AGTCCCTACACCATCTTATAGACCATTTTTGAGTAGTTTCTCTCCAGAAATTCTCAAGTTGACTGGACTAGTCTCGCACCAGCTCTGGGCGAGTCTGATACATTGCACAAGCCCCGGAGTGCTTCTTATATCGTTAGTCCTAGTCCTGGCAATGATTTCTGCAGCTTTTATGGCTTCTCATGTGTCTTACACAGTCCTCTGACCGTTGCGTTGTCACTCATTGCCACTCTCTTAGGTGGTCAACTGCCATCGAGCTAACTGTTGACACCGACAAACCCGTTCTCGACTTTGCCACTGTCGAAATTTGCCTGCTCACGGAGCGTGGAGAAGAGGTTCATTGTGGGGTAAACACTGGTGTCGAGAGCATTGACCGACTGGCAATAGACATTGTACGCAATTGAGTAGGCGTCACGCTGCTCTCAGAAAATAGCTCTTCTGATGAAATCTCGCTTTCACCATCTGGGATGCTTGGGATGACAGAGGGTGTAGGAGTTCCATGAACCAACAACAATGGTGAGTTGCAGAAGACGTTGGTGGATGACTGGACACTAGGCAAAGGCTGCTGGGCGACAGAGATCGGTCATGAAGACATTGGAGATGATGACTTGGACTTTGGGTGGCGTAACCGGTGCCCTATAATACAGACAAGATGGCTCAGTGGTAAAAGCTCCAAACTAGGGTATGGGAGGTCCCGGGTTCGATCCCGGTCAAGTTATTTTAGACTACTTTAGTAATGATCATCTTTAGATGGTTTAGACAGCTTGATGGAATAAAATTCACACCTTAATTGGTTGATGTAAATGAAGAACCCTGCATCCACAGAAGTCAAGTGTGTTCTTAGGTCTTGAATGGATTCAAAACATGTAATCCAGTAGTATAAAATCGAAAATGATGGACTATATCCCTGGTATGCATCCTTCCTGTACACGCATCCACTCACTTCCATATACAAATGTGGACAACTCAAGCCGGACTCGAGGGCATTGACCAATAATGACAACGCCATCGCGCACAAGCCCAGTTCGAAAGATTTCTGGTACCCAAATGAGATGCTTGTCATTGGGTCCCACTAACCAGCCATCATGATCAAGACGGTGCTGCTGATATGTAATGCGAAGCTATACATATATGAGTACATTCATCAGGAAGCTAACACTACTCACCGAGCCACCTGCTGCACTATTTGAAATCTGCAATTTTCTGTCAATGTCACCAGAAACAATCCTGTGACTGTCTGGCGAGAAGGCGACAGACAAGACCGCATTGGTATGTCCCTCGAGCGCGGGTCCAAGCGGTTCGCCCGTCTCTGCATTCCATACCCGCACCGTCTTGTCCCAGGATCCAGAAACGATCTTGTGACCGTCTGGCGAGAAGGCGACAGAGCAGACCGCATCGGTATGTCCCTCGAGCGCGGGTCCAAGCGGTTCGCCCGTCTCTGCATTCCATACCCGCACCGTCTTGTCCCCAGATCCAGAAACGATCTTGTGACCGTCTGGCGAGAAGGCGACAGACCAGACCGGATCGGTATGTCCCTCGAGCGCGGGTCCAAGCGGTTGGCCTGTCTCTGCATTCCATACCCGCACCGTCTTGTCCGAGGATCCAGAAACGATCTTGTGACCGTCTGGCGAGAAGGCGACAGAGTAGACCAGATCGGTATGTCCCTCGAGCGCGGGTCCAAGCGGTTCGCCCGTCTCTGCATTCCATACCCGCACCGTCTTGTCCGAGGATCCAGAAACGATCTTGTGACCGTCTGGCGAGAAGGCGACAGACCAGACCGCATCGGTATGTCCCTCGAGCGCGGGTCCAAGCGGTTCGCCCGTCTCTGCATTCCATACCCGCACCGTCTTGTCCCAGGATCCAGAAACGATCTTGTGACCGTCTGGCGAGAAGGCGACAGACCAGACCGCATCGGTATGTCCCTCGAGCGCGGGTCCAAGCGGTTCGCCCGTCTCTGCATTCCATACCCGCACCGTCTTGTCCCAGGATCCAGAAACGATCTTGTGACCGTCTGGCGAGAAGGCGACAGAGGAGACCGCATTGGTATGTCCCTCGAGCGCGGGTCCAAGCGGTTCGCCCGTCTCTGCATTCCATACCCGCACCGTCTTGTCCCAGGATCCAGAAACGATCTTGTGACCGTCTGGCGAGAAGGCGACAGACCAGACCGCATCGGTATGTCCCTCGAGCGCGGGTCCAAGCGGTTCGCCCGTCTCTGCATTCCATACCCGCACCGTCTTGTCCCAGGATCCAGAAACGATCTTGTGACCGTCTGGCGAGAAGGCGACAGACCAGACCGCATCGGTATGTCCCTCGAGCGCGGGTCCAAGCGGTTCGCCCGTCTCTGCATTCCATACCCGCACCGTCTTGTCCAGATCCAGAAACGATCTTGTGACCGTCTGGCGAGAAGGCAACAGAGGAGACCGCATTGGTATGTCCCTCGAGCGCGGGTCCAAGCGGTTCGCCCGTCTCTGCATTCCATACCCGCACCGTCTTGTCCCAGGATCCAGAAACGATCTTGTGACCGTCTGGCGAGAAGGCGACAGACCAGACCGCATCGGTATGTCCCTCGAGCGCGGGTCCAAGCGGTTCGCCCGTCTCTGCATTCCATACCCGCACCGTCTTGTCCCAGGATCCAGAAACGATCTTGTGACCGTCTGGCGAGAAGGCGACAGAGGAGACCGCATCGGTATGTCCCTCGAGCGCGGGTCCAAGCGGTTCGCCCGTCTCTGCATTCCATACCCGCACCGTCTTGTCCCAGGATCCAGAAACGATCTTGTGACCGTCTGGCGAGAAGGCGACAGACCAGACCGCATTGGTATGTCCCTCGAGCGCGGGTCCAAGCGGTTCGCCCGTCTCTGCATTCCATACCCGCACCGTCTTGTCCCAGGATCCAGAAACGATCTTGTGACCATCTGGCGAGAAGGCGACAGAGTAGACCGCATTGGTATGTCCCTTGAGCGCGGGTCCAAGCGGTTCGCCCGTCTCTGCATTCCATACCCGCACCGTCTTGTCCAGGATCCAGAAACGATCTTGTGACCGTCTGGCGAGAAGGCGACAGAATGGACCTTATCAGTATGTCCATAAAGTGAACCAAGCAATGGAGACCATGTTTGATACCCCCCATCAAGAATGGCCAGTGTGGATGGATATTGAGGGTGGTAATGTCTTCTCACTTCAGAGCAATTTGGAGAGAAAGGCAATGCTGAAATGTAAATATGAGGAGCGCTCATGGATATCACGTGGCCGAAGTGAGCCACAAATTGACACATATCCTCTCCTAAAGCTACTAGCTCTTTCTCATTGGTTCTCTTTGACCTGTCAGCAAGAAACAAAAATATACGCAATAAAACTTACCTTCAGCCATCTGGTCAGGTTGCGGAGAATAGACTGTAATGCATCTGTAAATTCACATAGGCTGGCAACCTCGAGCCAGGCTAGAAATTGCAATGTGAGAAAGTGTCGGACAAGAGCCATTGTCTCATCATTGAGAGGCGTGAGAACCAAATGATCGGCCCAGTACCGAGATCCATATTTCAAATGTGACGGAATGCAATCTTCAATGGATGTGATTGCTCTCAAACTCTCGACATTGAGTTGGTCGGACGATGGGATGCCGCCAATGTTGAACTTTAGATTGTTCTTCATCACCTGCAGGCACTGGTTGGCAATGCTTTGCTCACAGATAGACGTCGTTAAACTGAATTCTGGTGCATCTTGCTTGTTCTCGAGCAGGAAGTCGACAAACGATTGATGTCGGAATCGAAGTGGGCCTTCTTGATCCAATACTGAGCGAAGTCCGTTGCAAAAGTTCTCCAATATCGACTGCTTCAATGAAAGGAGTTTAGCCAATGTCGGGAGAGATAATGGTTCCTTTGCCACAATAATCGCGCCAAGCATGGCGAGCAAACGATCCTGCTCCTTCTCGCCATGTCCTCGAGACGCAATATGCAGTACTTGCGCATAGAGTTGGCCGAGATGATTCTTCCCTTCACCCGTCAGGACTTCCTCAAGTCGATCCTCCGGAGGGCCAGCTTCGATCAAGTCCACCACTGTTGTAGCCCAGATGAACAGACCACTCGCCTTCTCCGTCAACTGATCCAGCTGTTTGGGTCCGGGCCACTCTGGTCCCAATGACGGATACTCAGTCGCAATTGACTGCAGCTTTAGACTCAAGACGGCTCGTATATCGGTTTGTACTCCCTGGTCTGCTTCTTTGCCTACTTTTAGCTCAATGGCTAGTGGCTTATTCCCGTCGATCCTACCGAGGACGTTTACGATGTCCGTCTCTTCACGACTGGTGACGATGAGCTTGAAGCTAGATGGAAGCTTGGACCAACAGATCAACGTCTGCATCAGGCTCCTACGATCGACAGACGACCGACCCTCAATCCCACCGCACTCGTCGAGTGCATCGACGACGACCACTGGAGAAATTTCCAAGGGGGGGCTACTAATTTTCGATAGCGGTTCCGTAATTAATTGCAGAAATAGATCGGCGATACTGGATGTTGACAAGTCGATTTGCTCCTTTTTCATTGCACTGCAAAGATGCTTTCGGATGGTTGGGTGACGTGCCAAGTCGTATGCAACGTTACGCCAGAGCGCATCTGTCGTACGAGTAGTACTTTCTTGACGACGAAAGAAGAAGCTTGAGCCGAGTCGCTTCTTCTTGATCTCAAGTAGGTCTACAAGACTGGATGCAATGGCTGTTTTCCCCGCTCCAGGTGCGGCTTTGATCCAGAGGATGTTGGGTGCTTCACGGTTTGCCACCCATTCCTGGCATGCGTGGAGTACATCAATACGCGTTCCTGGTTGACATCCTGAGGGCCGTTTGTATTCGGGTCCTCGCAGCCTGCCCAACACGGCGGCATCCGCAAACTCTGTCACGGCGACAGAGACATAGAACGTAAGAGAGCGCTACCAAGGCCTGAATACTGTGCAAAGAAGAAAGTGGGAATCAGACGTACGAGTATTTCTGATTCCGCAGCCTTCAAACGCTTTTCGTAGGTGCTTATTGTATCCGTTTCCAGCTTGCTTGTGCCACTGCGCTTCACAAACATCTTCAAGAGTCCCTCTTTATTCTCGAAATTGGTCTCGTTGATGTCAGCGTCTTCGCACACGTCGGCGAGCAGCTCCTTGAGTGTACTAAGGCGGGTGAGATGCATTCGTGCCGGGTTCGTCTACGTACGCAATGTAGTTTGCAATCGGGCCTTTGACCGAGTCATCGACCACGTCATTGATTCCAGGCTGGTTTAGTTGGGCATTGAATGCACCGATTTGCATCTGAATGGTTTTGGCGAGTTCATTCCAAGCAGATCTGCCGTTATTGAAAGCCTGAATTGAGTGAGGAACGATCACATACTCATAGTGGTAGCTACATACCTGGATGACCTCAAGGACAGTCACTGCGCCCTCACAAGCGCCTTTGAGCGGTGCAAGACCAGCCGCATCGGCAGCACTCTTGGTCAGATTGAGAATGAGCGCGGCTTGAGCGAGCCACTTTTCCGTATTCGATCTACGAACTCGCTCATGGACCCGCGGCTCGCCCTGGTCCCGCTTCACCAGTGATGACATCGTTTTTACTTTCGCTTTTGATAACATTGGTGTTTGTCTCGGCGATGTTTGGGGCGCCGATGTTGCTGGATTGACCCGCAGAGGTGGTTACGGTGGTCGGGATCGAATCCAAAGGTCTTTCTGGTGCATCTGAAGTGCCTTTCTTCTTCTCTTTCTTACGAAAAAGTTTAGGCATTATCTTCATTTTGTGCGAGGTATCAGCCTGAAAAGATGGAGAACAAGGACCAGGCACCGGCCAGTCTCTAGTGCCTCTGCGGGTTGGAACCTGACTGCCAGTCTGTGAACCATCAGCTCGGTTCCAGGGTTCATGAACTTAGTTTCACACGTAGTAGGCGTACGATGGTTATTTAGGGACTGCTCAAGTGAACGTGGGATGACCTCGAACCCGAATCCAAGAGCCTTTCTCACCTGACAAAGAGATAGCTCGTCCCCGTGGGTCTCTGCGCAACCCATAAACGCCTCTGTATACGGCAACGGATAGCGCAAACGCGTATGCAGCGCCCTGAGCCCGACCTCGGTCACGGGTCCTCACCCGGGTGTAATCGTCCCGTTGCACAACCATTAGGCATCTACCTGTAGGCTCATACTGCGCATGGAACTCGAGCGTGTTGAACAACCCTGTGCCAAAATCCTTGAGTCGGCCCCATTTGTCCGCGTACAGCTCATCGCCCTGGATCCGCGTCGTCTCAAGCATGCGTCCGAATCGAGCGATACCTGCCGACACCAGACTTTTATATGTGAGCTGTTGAGATTGGATCAGAATAGAACGACGTGCCAACAAGGTGGTGATTTCGTACTTGGTCCGTTCCATCGCTCGGCCAAATCCCTGGGCGGCAACCTACCTGGTTGCGTTGACGAGCGGGTTCAACGTGGATAATTGGTGTTCGGGATGATGTTGCCGGGACATAGACTGGCCGACAACTCGCTGCGGACAACATGAGTCGCAAATTCAAGCGCCGAGGCGCAGCTTGAGCGGAGGGATGAGGATTGGAGACCAAAATACCAGCCATTTTACACGCAATTCATGTCCATCTTTCCCATCAAACGCGTCATACGCGAACCAAGTCTACCTGTGGCTCGCTACCAAAGGTTTGTCCCCGTCGTGCGTGATGAGACGGACCAAGAAAAGCTGATGTCGTCGAATTTTTCTCACGGTATGGTGCGACTACCTTTTTCCTGGCAGGTCCAAGGTCTGGTGCATTGAAGGAGCCGCCAATTTACGACTATACTGATACTCTGCACCATGGCTCTACAGGTCCAAGATCATGTCCAAGCACTAGTCGTCCGGGGCGATGATCTGGCGCACGAGATTTGCGTCGACCTCGACCAGTTGATCCGGACTCGCTTTCCTGGGTGCTATGGACAACTAATCCCAGGAACATTCAAACGCTCTTTCTCAGTCTGGCTATGGCATCTCGCGAATAGCAACGAAGCTCACGACATCGGCCGCTTTCGAGCGTTTGATGATGAGGACAGCCCTGGTGGAATCAGGCGTGATTCTTGCTCCATCTGGAGAGAGTTAATATCAAATGGTTGCAGCGCCAAACCACTGACCGGAATATCGTGACCGGCTGCACGACCACAAGATTGGGAGCACGACATCATGCCTTGTGCTTCTCTGGGTAGACGAGGCACCAATCGTGTTTCGGCATCACGTGGAAGACTTGACCGACAAGAAGTCTATCAGTTTCCTGTCAACGACACTCAGAAGTACGAAGGTTGTGGGGCCATCTTGCGAAGGTCAGACGATTGATAACTTTCAGAGAGTGCATCTGACACTCGGACAAACAGCTTACAATATGCGCCATGCACACTGTAAACCCGCGAGATTCCGAAGATACCGACCTGCCATGGTGGGGACTCACCTATGGCGGCCATCTTTACATGATCATTGCCATTGCGTACACACAGGATGGGCAGGTTCACCTTTACCCGAACTTCGATTATTTTCCGACGATCAACATGTACGACGAAGTGCTGCCTGTGTGTACCCCAATACTCTACATGCTCCTGGACAATCTGAGCATGCAACATGAAGAAAGAGTCTCCGTGACGCGCTCACAGTGCAAAGTTCACCTCTTCGGATCTGCTGGTGCTCTCTAGACCGCTTCATCTCGATATACTCGGCACACCAGAGTGCGGAGCGAGTAGCAGCGTCTATCACACCGTTGGACGATATTCGCTCAAGGTGGCTCATCCAACCCCAGAAGCGACGTAGAGGCCGCTCGACGAATTGGATTGGTATTGCATCCTCTTTGGCCTTCCAGGTGTGCCGCAATGTCGCGGACTCTTCCGGGCCAAGACGGTACATGGGCCCGTTTTGGATGATTGTGGTACCACTCTCCAAACGCTTGACGGTCTCGCTCTCAAGGACAGGTCAGAGCCGCCGCTCTTTTCAACTCACCGACCGCACCTTTAATCCACGTGTCTAGGCTGCAACTCTATCACGCGCAAAAGCCATGTCTGATTGGAGACTTCGTCGGGAGATGGCTGGATGGGGGCGATGAGTGGAAGGAACTCATACAGACGGAAAAGGAGATGGATGCCCTCATCCAGCCTTGCCTCTACTTTGCCTTTTTCGCCCTCGTCGTCGTTGCGCTGGAGCACCAGCGCACACACTGCGTCCTATGATCTCGCTTGTAGCTCATCTACTCTATTCGTGTAGTGGATTTCCTTGGAGTCGAGCATGTAGCTCGTATTTATCTTGCAATATTGTAGGCCATGCTTAATCCATTTCTTTGGACCAATAATAGTTTGTGAAAGATATTACAAAACCCAAGGGTTGGTAGCTCAATGTAAGGGTCCGAGGATTTCTCCTCGTCACACACGTCGTAACCACACCCGTGACACTCATTACCCACTCCATACCACATTTATTACCCTTCTCTTCATAGCCTCCATTGCATATACCCTCATAGCGACGGCCTTAGCACATGCTTAGCTTCCTATCGTTCTTTCCTCGTTCCTGTTTACCCTTGCCATACCTTGCTACATAAGACTCTATGTACATGTCTTAACTAGCAGACTCTTTCCTGTACCCTCCCACGTCGATACCCTCCGTCAATAAACGGTTTTAGACTGGTGATCTCACTCGCCCCAGCTAAGTATTACTCACTTGGCCTCGCATAGCCCTCGTACTGGTGAGTTCTCCCTGTGAACCTCACACTCAAGGACCAGTTCTCAACCAGTGGAGACCGGCCGGCGTCTAATCCTTCCATCCCCGTCTTTTCACATCGATATCTCTGAAATATGAAGGAAGTCTTCAAATGGACTCGTAAAGGAGAGGAGAAAAAGAAACAATATTCAGATTTACACAGCGCCTCCTTGGATTCAACCTCGACCACCGTAACCACCGTCGCTGGTGAATCTAACAGCACCGCTGCTTCAAGCATCACAGATACGAACTCTGGTCTTTCTAAAATTGAAAATTAGAAAGAAATAGCCCATGAAGGTGCACTAGCAAGTGAGCTGACGAGGGTGCCTGAGCGCATTCGTGGGTCGAAGACAGAGAACGATCTCAGGTTCTTAGAACTCGCAATTGGGACAGATGACTCTATTGTCGAGTATGTGACCCAAGTCACAATATCTGCTGATTTCGCTAATTGACTGACATCCTTATTCAGTATAGTTGCAATTCATGGCTTGGATGGGCACAGAGAGACAACATGGACTGCAGAAGATGGCTCCGAGACTTCCTGCCAGCCGACATACCCAAGGTGCGAGTTCTCACCTATGGGTACAACGCTGCTACTCACAGTCAGAATTTTGTATCAACCAAGACCATCTACCAACACGCTAACAACATTATCCCAGCATTCACAAGAGTACGCAAAGGCGCTCCACGGGTGAGTGCTTGACATACCGTGCATCAGAATGTTTAATCTGTTGATTCTAGGACGCGTGAGGTGAGAGGCAAGACCAGTATATAGTGTGGCAAACCTAGGACGCATGAGGTGAGAGGCACGATCAGTAAGGTCCGGCCGCATCGTCCCGCGTCCCTAAATACATTGAGTTGCGACGTGAGCTATTACTATTGGCTAAGTCTACTTAGTGAGCGCTAAGAGTCAAAGGGTAAACCTTCAACACGAGCCCCTGACCCTGTGACTCAGCACATGGACTGAGTACGGTCATGTGGATGAGGAATCAGACCGAGCATTTTGACAAACTGTTCGAACTTGATGCGGCCTAGTGGTTTGGTGAAGACGTCGGCAACATTGACGGCTCCAGGGACATGAGCAACCCGGATTTCATTATTGGCAACTCTCTCGCGAATCCAGTTGAAGCTACGGTGAACATGCTTCATGGTGGACAGATGTTCTGGGTTCTTGGCAACTTGGATGACAGAGGCGTTGTCAACAAATAGGGTGGATGGATAGGACGCAATGTCGTAGCCAATTTCATCGAGGAATGACCGCATCCAGATTATTTCGCACCCGGTGGCAGAGGCTGTTGTATACTCCAACTCTGTTGATGATAGTGATGTGTGGCGCTGGAGTCGGCTACTCCACATTACAGCGCCACCACCAATTGACATGATAAAACCGGCTGTCGAGCTGGTATTATCGGCGTTTCCACCCAGATCGGCATCACTATGCGTCGTGAATAATTCGTCGGAGTCGGGTTCGAGGCCGTAGGTGAGCTTGTAGTTTGTTGTTTTGGGGAGATATCGCAGTACCCGTTTGAGAGCTAGCCAGTGTGCTCGTCCAGGATTCTCGCTGAACCGACAGAGCATCCCCACAGAGTAGGAGATGTCTGATCGAGTGGCAGTCGCGAGGTAAATGAGCTTTCCAAAGGCCTCTCGATAGGGTACATTCTGCATTTCCAACTTCTTCTGCTCAGTTTGTGGTGAATCCTTGGTCGAGAGGAGTGGCTTTTCAGCCATGGGCGTGTCGGTGCCATTACAGTCCTGCATTTCGTAGGTTTCAAGGATATGTTCGATGTATGCTGGCTGAGAAAGATAGATAGTGCGGGATTGGCGGTCACACTCGAGTTTGACACCAAGTAGGAATGAGGTAGGTCCCTGGTCGTGGATTTTGAAGCGCGCCTTGAGTCCATTCTTCACGATTTGAATGGCGTCTGGTGACTTTGATGCGAGCAGGAGATCATCAACGTGGACTGGTACAACAATCTTGACGTTATCACGCTCGTAGATGAAGACACTGTGATTGCTTTCGAGACATTTGAATCCAATTCGGGATAGGAGAGTGTGTAGTTCACAGACCAGATGCGAGGGGCTTGTTTGATTCCATAGAGGCCCTTGAGAAGTTGAAGCACCCAGCTTGTGCCCTCATAGCCCTCGAACTCGACTCCTTCTGGCTTTCTCATGTAGACTTCCGCATCAATCTTACCATTGAGAAAAGCGGTTGATATGTCTACTGACTCTAGCGCCCAGTCTTCAAGTGCTGCAAGTGCTATGATGGTGCGAAGATTTCTGTGTAGTCGATTCCTCTCGTTGTGCGTATCCCTTGGCCACAATGCGTCCCTTGTACTTGCTAATAGACCCGTCAGCATCACGTTTGATTTCGAATACCCAACGTGAGCCGATAGCCTTTCTGCCTTGTGGGAGTCGCACAAACTTCCACGTGCCGTTTTCCAGGTGAGCTCTGACCTCTTCTATAGCCGCTTGGACGTACTTGTCGCCGTCAGGGCGTTTCAGAGCTCCTCCTAGTGTTGTTGGCTCGCGGCTTGTAGATGTATTTAAGGCAGCTTCGACGCCATCAACAATGGGAATGAGGATATGATCAGGCGCTTCGAAATTCGGCTTAGGTCTCCAGCGTCGAGCCTTAGTTGGCACATGAGAGATGGAATTTGAGGGTAAGAACGCTTCTTCAGCAGCTAATTGGACATTATCCTCGTCAGAGCTCTCATTTAAGTCAAGGTCCAAGTCAGATTCGGTCAATGTGCCTGGCTGCCGCGCAATTGTGTGTCGTCGAGCTGGGAGATTCGTAAGGACCTCCTCGAAACTGGTACGATCAGCGAGTGCTCAAAGTTCGCGACTCAGGCGTTGTGGAGCGGCGGGTTTAGGTTGTGCTGGCTCTGGTGTGGGTGGAGGGACAGGCTCGTGAGCAGGCTCGTGAGGAATAGGTGCAGGTAGAGGTCGCCATGCAACGTGAACAGGAGGGTGAGTGTTGGAGGTGGAATGGCTGATGGAGAGGCGTTGATTTCCTCAAGATCTGGCAGCTGGATGTAGTCAGAGAGGTTCGGAATCGATTCCTTTGCGAGCGAAGTGCCTGGAAAGACTCTCTCATCGAATACAGAACTGTCTCTGTGTATAATATTTCGTGTCTGCAGGTTCCAGAACACCCAGCCAGGGCGGTCAGATGGATACCCCACGAAGATACAATTGTCAGTGTGCGAGTCAAGTGCATCACGCTGCGATTTTGGAATGAAGACATAGGCAAGGCATCCAAGTATTCAAAGGAGATCAACGCTCGGAGGTTCACCATGCCAATGTTCATATGGGGTTTTCCCATTGTGAACTCGGGCACGGTTGAACTCATGGACAGTGGCAATTGCAGCGAGACCGCAAAAAGATGGTGGAAGGTTTGATTCTGTAAGTTTAGTGGTTGCCCCTTCTGCTATCCATCGGTTTGCTCGCTCGACTCGTCCATTCTGCTCCGGTGTTGCCACTATTGTGCGTTCTCTTGTAATACCAGCGGAGATACAGTACTGATCAAACTCTTTGCCACTGAACTCGCCGCCTTTATCATCTCGCAAGTGTACCAAGCGCTGGTGCGTCTGATTCTCGGCGAGCTTGTGGAACTCTTGGAACGCTCTGAATGCTCCATCTTTCGAGTGAAGGAGTGAGAGCGTGACAAAATTAGATGCGTCATCCACCATAGCCATCCAGTACTTGGCACGGTGTGGCATGGACTCAACGTTGACTGGGCCTTTTAAATCAATAAAGACCCGGTCTAATGGAGTGGTGGCGTGAGTCGCTGGCGTTGTATGGGGTGCTCGAGTTTGCTTGCCCGCAATACACGGGGCGCATATAGGGTCTGGCTTTGCATTTTACTCCAGCTTGAGTCCGTTGACCAGGTTATGGTGGATTAATGTGTCGACTCCGTCGTGGTGATAGTGACCAAGGCGGCGATGCCAAAGCTCTCGGTCCAGCTTGAGTGTACTCGCGAAATGTGCCTGCTCCGACGTGAGAACTCGTCCATTGAGGTAAGCAACGCAGTTGTCATCGATACGAGCTGTCATTTGGAGTTTACCATCAAGGTAGAACTCCATTTGCTTCGAATTAATGCGGATATCATATCCTTCTTTGCGTGCCATTGAGAGAACTGAGACGAAATTCGATTGTAAGTCGGGAGCAAAAGAGGACATTAGGGAAAGTAACGAGGTCAGAACTAAAGTAACCATCCATCCACGGCTGAAACACAACGTCCCCTTCTCTAGTGGAGAAGATCCTTTCACCAATGGCCAGTTTGATCGACCTGACCAAGGGGCGGAACATGGTAAAGTAACTTTCGTCACTCATGATTGTCCGAGTAGCCCCTGCGTCGGCGTTCAGGTCAGATCTAGCCGTAGATGGTAAGGAGGGGGTACTTGCATGAGCGGCATGGGCATTTGGTACAGTATTTGAACCGTCTGTAGTGATGGCAACACGTGCGGCCTCTTGCTTGCGACGAGTCGCTTCAGCCTTCGACCAGCACTGAGCGGCTGTATGGTTCCGTTTGCCACAATGATCACATATGGCCCCTGGCGTGCGTTCAGCGGCCGTAGAATTTGTTCGTGAGGAGTGGGGAGGTGTACTGCGATAAGCAGTGGGCTGGGAAGTGGCTGCCCGGAGTGCGATGGCTGGCTGCGAGTTACTGCGCTGCTGATTGTCCTCGTTGACGAGAGCTGCATCTATTACATCTCGGGTGAGATTTGGCTGGCAGAGTAGCGAAGTTCGGACGTGAATCGATTCAGGCGGGATCATGCGGAGGCTCGACATCATAGCAAGGTCGTTTAGTAGTGCGTCTACATCGTAATTTGTCGTCCAGAGTGATCTAAATTGTTCCTTGAGGGCATTGGTGGCGGCTGTGATCGACGCCAGAGGCTCTCCTTCGGCCTTCGTCTTGGTGAAGAATGCCTCAAGCGCGTTGAAGCGGGTCACTGATGTCTTTGCATTGTGAATAGACTCGAGTTTATTCCACATTGAGACCGGATCCCCTTTGAGTTTGCGGATCTGGCTCATGTTGGTCTCATCGATAGTGAGTGTGATGGCTGCGGAGGCCTGTTTTGCGCGGCGTTTCCATTCGTTAGCATTATCAGCGACGTATTGTTTGGAGGAGGTTGAACTCTCACTCCCCTCGCCTTCCGTACCGGGGGAAGGGTCTTTGGGTGCCGAGTCTGGGCTGAGTTCAAGCCCGTAGACGAGGTCATCGAGGTTGTTGAGTGTGAAATATCGATCTATCTTTTGTGACCATGCGAGGTAGTTGTCCGTTGTGAGGACTGGGATCGCACTGAAGTCTTTTGTAGACATGGTTGCGTAGCAGTGGGTGCGCGGAGGCGAGATTACTGGTGAATTTGATCCTTAGTGAACAAGAGGCTCATAACCTGTTGATTCTAGGACGCGCGAGGTGAGAGGCAAGACCAGTATATGGTGTGGCAAACTTAGGACGCTTGAGGTCAGAGGCAAGACCAGTAAGGTCCGGCCGCATCGTCCCGCGTCCCTAAATACATTGAGTTACGACGTGAGCTATTACTATTGGCTAAGTCTATTTAGTGAGCGCTAAGGGCCAAAGGGTAAACCTTCAACATCCTGGGCTACTGATCAGGATACTGAAAGTGCCGGATTCAGTATTACGGGATGCTGAATTTCAGCAGATGGTGACTGAATGCGACAAGGGTGTCGGTGACTGAATTTCAGCATCCTGGAGTACTGAAACCGTCAGTCACCAGTTGCTAAAATTCAGTCTCCTATTTTTCCTTAGTGATATGTGCTGGCTTAGCATGCGGAGACTGTGAGCCGTGAGCTTCACCGTCTGGCACGAGCTATAGAGCGGTCGGAATTAATCGTGATGGGACGAGAATAGTATGGGACAAGCAGCCGATTTGGAGCGAGGTCCGGGTCCTTTGAGCTCGAGTGGTGGTGGTGGTCTAGGCAGAAGGTGGGAGGATTAGGTGAAGGAATCTTAGTAGAAATATGGTTCATGACAGGAACCCTCAAGTCTGACACTGTCGTGAGAGAGAGCCTCTCACAGTAGCATCTCCTTAGCAGGCAAGCAAGACATTTTGTAAACGCCACGTATGATGACATGACATATAGCTGCTAGCGGTATCTAAACCAAAATCAGAGCGATCATAAATTGCAAGTGAGGGAGATCCGGCACCCTGTCATGGGGGGTAATGGATAAGAGGGCCTTGTCTAGGAGACACTTCACTCATTTCATGAGGTGCGGTGGAGGAGATGTGGCCACCAACATTTTACCCAGGCACGACAGGACTTGGTGGTGGATTATGGGTCAGAAAGTCGAGTGGCTATTTTCAATGAACTCGAATACGCTAAAAGTCAGTTTATGGTGGATACTCCGCATGGTGCTTAATCGACTTCTGGGGTCTGGTAGCCATGATTGGGGATATGAGGTATATTTGCCTAAGAGTTGAACACAATAAGGAAGGGAAGAGGTCGAGTGATACAAGGATATTGATGAGTGGCAAGTCCCGACGCATGTAGCCAAGCCCTTCAACTGGAACGGCGAGGTAGGCGCCGCGACAGGAGCTTTTCAACCACTTGTCATCGGCAATCTTTGTACCATTCACTCCACCATAGTTAAGCCTCTTCATTACGTCAATCTACAATCGTGGATCGGTCAGCAACTCGACAAAATTAGGAAATGAACGCACCACCTTTTGTCTCTCAAAGCCCAGTGCTTCAAATTGTTGTATGTGAACGACATTCAGACCATAAGCAGCAATCTCGTCGATGACTGGCACTTTCTTCACTGGTGCCTTTCCCTTCTTGCCATCAGTCGCCGCCTTCTTCTCCTTCGGCATGTTGCATATCCTGCTTTCTTCTCCGGCGGAGGTACAACGGCGTAGATTTCCATCCAATATCGTGCGGTAGCGTTGAAGCTCTCACGGCTGGTCATCTAATGCTTCGCCACCTCAGCACCCTGGGGATCCGTCGGCTCCGGACTACAGAGAAGACCTTGGAGAGAGACGATGGTGCTCTTGAGCGTGAGCACAGGAGACCAGGCATCTTGAGAATATCGAGGCAGATGGCGCCAGACACAGAGGAAACGTTTGGATGATAGAGTTTTGTCGAAATTGGGAGATGAAAATGGATATGTTTGTGGGATACCAATGTCGACTCGGTATGTGCCACCCTTGTACGGTCTATTGGGTGGGCCAATAAAAGTGCCTAACAGATGCAAGGGGGGATCGTCAACAAGTTCAATTGTGATGCTGGATGCCATATCTGCTCGGAGGTCTACAAGGAAAGACGGAAAGAAGGCTTGATGTTAGCAAATGGTGGGTTACGGGTACAGATTCCAACCCGCATCTGCAATCTCCTTTTGCAAACGACGTACTTTGGCGCTGATATTCCAGAGACGAGTCAAATCGTATCGAATCTTCATGCGCAGAGTGCCGATGATGTGGTCGGGGTACAGATGCCGTCGTGGATAAACAGTGCGAAGAATTGTGAATAGAAAGAATAATCAAGAATCCATTCGAATATGCGCGCGGATGCTGATCCGATTGACACTTGCAGTCATTGTCGACATCTGAATGAGTGTCTTGTTTGGGACCGACTTGGAGTCTACCACAGCCAGGCGAGTCTAAGTTCGACACTACCACATAAATGGATGCCCAGGTTCTCCCCATCCATCGGCTACCTACCGAGCTCCTCCGCTCAATCCTCCTCTTCTCCGTTGGCAAAGGCAATGCCAGTTGCTGGAAATGTGGGCACATCGACTCGCGACTTCGGGGCATCGCACTAGCAACACCTCACCTCTGGACAGAAATCATCATAAACCAGTACCCAACTAGCAATTTCAGCTCCTTGACCGAGAAGCTACGCGTACAGCTCCATCGATGTGGGCCAGTTGTTCCGCTCTCCATATACTGGAACACCTGTACCACCGTGAGCTACCTATCGCAATTGCTCCTGTTGTTCATCGAGAATGGAGCTTCATTCGATCGATGGAGGTTTCTCATGGCCAACGCATGTGATTTCTTCCCGGACAGTATGCTCGAGGACAAGCGCCTTGGTGAATTCACAGGTTTGGAGGAACTTATTCTGGGCGGTGTATGCCCCAAGTTCTTCTTTCATCACCTGAAGAAGACTCGAGCTTTCAAAAGACTGGAGAGACTACAAGTTGATGACGATGGTGTCGAGATTCCATTCATCACCTTTGATGAACTCGCGACGGATCTACCAAAAGTCATGAGCACAATCAAAGAGCTGAGTATGGACTCGAAAGCAAACCTTCCGCTCGTCCTCCCACAGAACATAGTTATTCTCAGCTTGAGAGTATTGAACTCTTCATACCATTTTCATTACCTGACAAAACTAAGCATCCAACACTGCGCCATACTGCTTAGTCCACCTGATATACCCCTCGTAACGCACCTCGACGTCTATTTCGAGACTTTGCCCCCGGAAAATTTGGTACTCGAATATCCATCACTCACTTCACTCGTACTTAGGACAGTCATCAACGACTTGCGGCCACTCACTTGGCTCGCAGCTCCAAATCTCGCATTTCTCGAAATCAAATATCAAAACAGGACATCCTGCCTGGACTTTCACAGAGATGGGCCTCCTTTTACCAAGCTTAAATTCCTCACATATCCATCTGTCTCCGAAGTGCGGTTCAATTCTTCGATGCCACCGGACCTGGTTCAGACTTTACTCCCTCTGTTCCCTGCCATGCAGACATTCGCTATCCAACACGTCGTCACTCTCTCCGATAAAATGATCGCACTGCTCGGACGGGTTAGACAGTAAAACAAGAGTCTCATAGAGTTAGGTCGAAAGAGGGAGGTTCATAGTGTAGGAGAATAACCAAAGTCATTCTGTACATACGCCCTGACTAGACTCTCTGCTCGGTTCATTAAATAGATATGAATTCTGTCATCTCACTGTATCATTGTTTGGCGCAATTGGTAAATTAAGAGAGTTTACAATCACAAAGAATATCACCTGACACTAGACTGGGACCTGCTGGTACATTGATCTTTCCATATTTGTACAGTTCCATACAGTGCTATCTTCCCTGGTGTACCGACCGTACCAGACGTAGGGTGGATTAGGTATATATGCTCGCTGCGACTTTTAGCCCCAATTTTCCTATCTGGGACACTTCTCTTACCTGTCTGTGTGCTCACCTCGTTCGCCCCATGCAACCGACGCCAACCACCACCTGATTCTTTCATTCCTTAATGGCTGACTCCGGATTGGCTGAATGTATTTTCTCGGTTACTAGGTATAGCGGCTCGCTTTAGTCACTAGATGCTGTACTGACTTAGTTTTCCCCCGCAACTTCGAGAAACACTGCTCTTTACTCGATTTCATACCTGAAACGTCTGCTGCATCTTTGCTCGTCGGTCTCGCATTTTGCTATGCATTTTAGGTTTGTCCGAGGTCAATCATTGACGATTGGGGTTCGCTCTACACCAAGTAAACTGTGAGAAGATAGGTTGACTAGTCAGTCTCAGCACGCATAACGCTTGTACTCATGTTGTATTCGACTCCAGTCTAATCTACCTACGACACAAGCATTCCTCCCTATTTTCTATGACACACACCTAGCAGGAGAGCTCGACTTCACCTCTGTAGCGTCGGCCTACCATTCAGCGGGAATATGAAACTATGGAAAGGTGCACTTCCCAAGTGAAGCAAAATGAGACGTGATTAATGCGCAGCTGATCGGAGGAGGTATGAAACCAGAAGATGTAAGGAGCTGGGATATTACAGGAGCAAGTGGTGGTGAGTTGAACCTACGAGCAGAGTTGTAATAACATTTTGTTCTCAGGCAACCCGCAGGAGCGGTACAACCAATCGGAGCCTATAGTCCCCGGTGGGCAACAGTACCATTGTATCCTAGGTTGATACATTTACACATGACTATGAGCTTGTTCGAACTTACTTTTGTCCATGACGTCCCGCACTGGAAATTGGTGAAATCGAGTTTGGTCGCACTAAGGTGACTTGAAGTGGGTATAGTCAGAAGAAGACGCGGGTTCTTCAGTCCATGGCGATTGTTAGGTGGTACCCAGAAGATGTGTTGATCAGAAGACTGCGCCCATCCATTGGGCAGCAGAGAACAATAACCAATTTCAGGTATAAAGAAAGGAGGATCAGCGGAGAGAGACTTGATGAACGTGTTCTGTTGTGGACATTACCTACATTTAGCATATGGTCAGTGGCCATAGCAAACTGAGGCTACAAATCAAAGAGATATTCAGAATAGACTCACCATCATCCAAACTCAATATTTGAATTGTCCTATCAACGGAGCCAGAGACAACTTGCGTGCCATCTGGTGAGAATGCGGCAGCGTTGACCAACAATTGATGACTCGGAGCGGCTCTCCACTGGCTGGCCAGTCTCTGTATCCCACTGCCTAATTGTGCTGCCTCTTGAGCCAGAGACAATTCGCGTGTCATCTTGTGAGAATGCGACAGCGCTGACCGAGTCTTGATGACCTCGGAGTGGCTCTCCCACTGGCTGGCCAGTCTCTGCATCCCACTGTCGAATAGTCCTGTCCTCAGAGCCAGAGGCAATTCTTGTGCCATCAGGAGAGAACGAAGCCGCTGTGACAATATTCTGGTGACCTAGCAGTGTCCTGGGAAGCCCAGGAAACGTTTCTTCAAACCCTCTGGTCGCCATTACTGAATCTATATGGTCTCTTAAACCCTCTGTATGTAATATCGACTTCAGTGGACTGAATGGGAGCGATGAGATGTAGATATGAGGCGCGCTGTCTTGAATTGGTACAGCAAATGCCATCAAGAACCGTCTGACGTCGTTCATACGACCTCTAATATACTCATCTAGCTATATATTGCTTTAGCAATCGGAGGGCCTCAGATAAGCCACTCACACTGTTACGTTGCGTTGCAGTTCGCAGTCCAGTCACTGCTCGCATCACTCCTCCAGCCACTCCTCCAGCCACTCCTCCAGCCATGCTCAGAATCTCCATCTAATAGAGTGCGAATGGAGCTTGTGTTGAAGGTTTACCCTTTGACTCTTAGCGCTCACTAAATAGACTTAGCCAATAGTAATAGCTTACGTCGTAACTCATTGTATTTAGGGACGCGGGACGATGCGGCCGGACCTTACTGGTCTTGCCTCTGACCTCCGTCCTAGGTTTGCCACACTATATACTGGTCTTGCCTCTCACCTCACGCGTCCTAGAATCAACGGAATCAACACTTTGGACTATATGTGCCAGCTCAATCTTGAGTATGGGTGCCCAGTCATCGCCCATTGCCGCCACGTGAAATAGCCAGTGCAAACTGGCATAGCGAAGCCTCCGTGATATGAATTCGGCTACCCGTACATCGAGGTCTGGAATCTGTCTGTTCAAGTAGAAAGACAACTCGATTTGGCAAATTTTGAACTTGAGGCCTTCGTTGCGTGATTTGAGACGGTGAAGACACCGTGACGCGGCTTGACCATGTCCACGGGCGATGTTGATAGGATTCCTGTCGCAATCATTGATATTCTCGGTGATACAGCGTCGTCGAAGGTATTCGAAAAAGGTGGGGTGACGAAACTGTATCGAGTGGGTGGTCGGATCCTCCTTGAATACACTTCCTAGAATCCGTACCAGCGCTTTGGCACTCCATTGTCCTTTAACATGCTGAATAAGATCTTCCAAGTCATGGGTGGTGAGTGGTTCGAACGCAGCAAGCATCATACCGAGCATTGCAATGATAGCTGGCTTGGATGCTTGGGCAATGCGCTCGAAGACGAGGTCGTATACGTCGTCGATGGCTCCAGGCTGATCAGTAGAGATCAGGCGGTCATATATGGCCTCTGGATTGACTGCAGATGATTCATCATCGAGCATCCGACACGCAGTGCTCGCCCAAATGAACAGCCCATTGGCCTTATCGACCAGTCGCTGGACCTTATCTGGCGTCAGGCGCCCGCCAAGCGATTGATGGACATATATCGCAATGTCATCGATGTTATCGTGATGGCTAGGATCGTGGAGTTGATCTGTCAACTTGGCCTTGATCGAAAGAGGTTCTAAAACCTTTAGATCACAGGCTCTGGTCGACTTGTGATGAATATCCTGAGATTCTTTTCTTCTTTGACAGAGTGAACAAGCGTTTCGAGAAGTTCTCTTCGCTGAGGTCCAGACTTGCACTCGTCGAGGGCGTCGAAGATGAGAACTACACGCTTCTGTTGATCGCGGAGTGGATCGATGACAAGTGCGCAGAATTGCTCACCAAGGAAGCTTCGTATGATGGAAGGATTTTGTCTCACAGCATCTGCGACACGCGGTGCGAGATCGGGAATATGCTAAACGAGGTCTCTTGCCATGGTCGAGCAGAACTTCTCAGTCCTCGAAGTATCGTTATTCGCCATCGAGAAGAAGAATTGGCCTCCAAGCGTTCTTTCTGTCCTCCACGCTGCTGCCACCGACATTGAGTAGGCGCCACGCTGTTCTCTGAAAATAGCTCTTCTGACGAAATCTCGCTTTCACCGTCTGGGATGCTGGGGATGACGGATGGCATAGAAGTTCCATAAACCGACAACGATGGTGAGTTGCAGAAGACGTTGGGGGCCGACTGGACACTAGGTAAAGGCTGCTGGGCGACAGAGATGGATCGTGAAGGCATTGGAGAGGGACTATGATGACTAGGACTTTTCATGGCGGCAGCCGACATCGGCGTGAGGACATTGGCGAGAGTGTATGTGAATGCTGCATGGAGAGCCAAGTATTGTACAGGAACAAAAGTGTCGACAAAGTGACTGAGAGTCATCGCGAGCAGACCTTCCATGATAGCGAGAAGGCAAGCGAGAACTATTCCGACGGCCACGAGAAGGAGAAGAGTTTGGGTAGATGTTGATTGCGTTTACAGTCCGTTCGACAAGCGTAGACGGTTCCGGGAGAGAGTGAATTTCCAATGAGGCAAACCAGGGTGAAACGAGGACCGTGTCGCTGTCAAAGGAGCAAGAGAAGACGTTGCTTGTCTTGACAAGAGCGCATGTGACGAGTCCTTGAAATATACTAGGAGTATCACGGACATGCTCGACGGATTCCCTCACACCATAAGAGCTGCTCCGCTGCGACGTCCATACAGCGTAGGTGTCCGATTTGTGGGTTTTCCGGCCAGGTAATTTGTATTGTTTGCTTTAGGCGTACTCTTGTGGGGGCATGTCGACAGGCGAAGCAAGCGTGGGCGTGGCCATGGGTGGAATGGTGGGCCCATTACTTCCGTCCATGCCTGCGGAGCATTGCCTATCGAAGGTTTTTCCTTTGAATCTTGGCGCTCACAAATAGACTTAGCCAATGATATCGTTTCCCTTTGTAACTAAATGTATTTGGGGATGCGTGACGCAATGGCTGGACCTTACTGGTCTTACCTCCCGCCTCACGCGTCCTAGTATCAACAGACAGGTGGAAGAGGTTGACTGTACATGGTCAGGCTCTCGAGAGGGTCAGAAGTCTTTTCAGAGGCAGCTCACCGGGTGGTGGGGAGCTTATGCCCCGACGATGGGCGATTGGAGAACGACCAAAACCTGGTGGAGATAGATTTCAAATTGGAAAAGGAGAAGTCGAAGATAGCGAGGATGGGAAGAGTGGCCACCACCACAGCGGCTAGGTGGATGAACAAGGCTAAGAGATGATTGCGAGGTGCTCGACACAGAGGAGCGAGTATCTATATTGTGTACAAAAGAGTTGACAAGAAGGCAAATCTGGTTCCCAGAGTCATACCTGAATCCACAAAGACTATTTGCCTCCAGTTCGTTGGCTGACATTCTTTGACTGGGCGATTGCTTCAATATTGGCCACCACCGCACGGTCCTCCAAGCTGGAACTGAGCCATTCACTGGACCCAACGTCGTCCTTACGACTTCATCGTACACCGTATCTATCAAGACTGGAGCCACTGCGTCGTCCAGCAGCAACAGCTCCTCTCGCTCCACCTCGAGGGCGTCGAGCACTTCGAGCTCTCCGTCTGATGGCACCACCTCTCCATACAAGGAGTTGCTCAACACTTGGGCAGGCACTTGCGCTGACCTGTGCTGCTGGTTCGACGTGCCAGTTTTCGAACAGTAAGCGCCATCCGTTCACAGATTCCGAAAGTGGCTTACTCCTATTTAACATGGTACTCGCAGTGTTTACCAAAGTAGAAACACCTGTACATTCCGCCGTGAAAATCTATTCGCTGCCCCGTTTCTAAAGCATGATTGATAAGATATTACATCAGTGACTTGGTGACCATTATATGAACGAAATAGTCTACATAGTGAAGACAGACTATAGCAAGAGGAAGTGTCGTGTCGTAAGTAGGTGGGAATTGGGGATAACAGCTGTGAGGATGTTCCCACAGCTACTATGCGCGCGCAACGCCACTGGACCATGATGGAGTTATGTTGTAAATAAAGCAGTGAAGGTGTGACAATTTATTTTCTATTGCCAGGTTTAATATTTTGACAGTGAGCGGTTATTCGGTCCGCCACATCTGTTCCGACACGCGCGCTGCACTGGTCCAGGAGCGTAACCTTTCTCAAAGTATCGATTAAAGATATACACGCACACGATATAGCCTATTATAGGTATGTGACCGCATCCAGGCTAGCCGAAAGACGAGCGCTAACCACCAAAGTGATGCGCGCGTCTCGTGCTTTATTGAGGGAAAACCTTATCAGGGGATGTAAACCTGAGGCTGTATGGAAACTGCGTTTTTCTATAAAGAGGACCTCCTCGTCAACCGCCCTCTCCTCAGACTGGCTCTCAACTTTGGGTTTCATCCTACATTTCTGTCTTTTTTCTCTTCTTTCTTCTTCTCGTATCGTGTTCAACATGCGCGTCGGTTTCGTTGCTATACTTCTTGCGTCGGCTGCTCTTTTGGCCTCTGCTACTCCATTTCCTAGGTACTTTCAGCCACTATTGAGATTAAATTGCTCATTTTGATGCCTTTACCTTCCAGCCGTACCAATCAGCCTATTTCCGCGCATGCGGCACTACAATATCACCAAGACCGGGAAGCCCACCATATAGAACGTGTCGATGCCCACCTGAATAGTGCGCAAAGTTACCTGAACCAAGCCACAGCCGCAAGAGAGAGGTCCGTCTATGAATCGAGCAGGAAATGCGCCGAAGAATTGAGCCTTGTACTAACAATGAGATAGGGGTGATCACGACCTCTCCAGCGCGCACACGGGCAGAGTACATTACCATCTGGCAAAAGCCGATCACCATGCCGCTCGAGTCAGATACCATGGGACACAGGCGGACATTCACGCGGCCCGAATTTTCAATAGGAACATAGACGACTTGGATTAGAGAATGCCTTTTCATTAATGTCCTAAATATACTCGATTTTGCGAGATGTTCGAATGCTAGTGCGTAAGTGCTGACCCAACGTCTGTCAAGGCAGACCAGTGTGGACGCAGTGCGTAAGCTCCTTCGAGGGTGCACTCAACTCGCATACACCATCGATTCACCTCGTTTTCGTCCTGCTCTTACTGCCGAATCTTTCCCAGCCGACATTCTTCAATCAACATAGTGCCAAGTTCCGTCTTTGTCGTAAATCGATATACAAGCATGCCTCTTGAGGTTCTTTCTGACCTTTCAGGCCTCCCCAAACAAAGTATCGAGGCCTTTGGAGCGCCATCGTCGACCTCTATCACCCGACAGTTCAAGAGTCGAGATAAGATGTGTAGCGTTCGCCTCTTTGTCTATTTCTCATTTTCTCAATACATCTCTTACCGCCCAGCTTCGAGGTGCAATACGCTAGGCCCCTCGAGGTTTCAAAGTCCCGCTCCCATCACAGGAGATGCCCACATTTGACACCAATACTGGACCGCGACTCTGTGGCAACTGACTTGCAACAAAATAACCTTTCAAATACGCCGTCCTTCTCTACCTCCACCTATGCGCCATCACGAGCACATGCGCGCGCGCGTAGGAAGGTCCTGACGGGTGCGTACGACTTCGAAGACGAGTGCATAGAAGGTGAGCCACTGAAGTAAGGAGCGAGATTACCTGCATTATCAGGTCAAAAGGCGGCAGCCAGTTGCTTCGACTAGCACCAAGACTTGAATACGATCCGGAGATGGAAGGAGACGTCGGAGAAGCCGACTGAACTCACAAAGTCAGAGATGCAGTCGTTACTGCGCTACGCTATGCGACTTTCCTGCAAATAGTCGTCTCTATTATTGGTTCAAGGACGTACGCACCAGTTCTTGACGCGTCGGGCTCTGTTGAATCGATTCCGGTGGCTGGAAGAGTACGAAGACGTCGTTCTATGGTAAAGTCATGCGACGAATATCAGCGCTACAGCGAGGGGAAGATTGTATTAGCAATTCGGCCATTGGCGAAGGCGCCATTCCGTCAATTCCAGTGCGATATCGCTTTCATGACACCATCAAATGGGTACGTGAACATTGTCGCCGCGAGGTGCCGTGCGACCGCATGTGAAGGTCGACAAATGCAAAAGGCCACGTCGTACGCAATCGCCCAATTTCTGCGCTAGGATATTCTACTTCGATGGTGTGCAATAGAGGAGATACAGCTCGTTAGAACAGCGCTGACAGCCGGCCCTGTAGCTGTTTTAGAAAGTGTAAAAAAATCCCAAGTTTCTTTCGACAAAAGGCCTCTCTTCACTTTTGCCTTCAGTCAGGAACCAGGGGCGATATCTCCTTTGACTCGGATATACACAGAAAAAAAAAAAAGTAAATGGGGATAAGATGATGAATATACAGTAGAACAGGGTGGTAGTATGACAGGCAACACGTATGAAAACAGCAAGAACCATATGAATGCGAACAGAGCTGACTGCCGGGTCAGAGCTCAGCACTCATGGACCGATTATATGATACAAGATGCAGAATTTGAACGTTGAGTGGTCTCCTCAACACCAAAGAGTGTCAGCTCAGCGAGGTCTAGAAGCGGATTCGCAACTGGTTCGCCTGGATCCGGGGTCAAGTCGAGTGGTTGCAATGGGTAAACATCGGGGGCAAGTATTGAAGTCGACCACGTCGCCTCGTCACCAATATGGGCTGAGAAATCGGACATGTACGCGTCAGTGCTAACCCCCGCAAAGGGACATTCCCTTGTGAAGTCGAGTCGAGGGAAAGGATGGTAATCGATTCGTCGGGCTGAGCGTAGTTGATGCGTGGGTGTTGATCGTTAGGTGAACTGGCGGGTAGAGGAGGGAGCGATATGGTCTAGGCAATACGTCAGATGGTGCAACAGAGTAGAATACACTCACCGTGTCCGAAGCTGGTGGCCTGAACACAAGGTTCGGATCGACTGTCCGAGGCACCGACTCTTGCCTGGGATCTGTCTCAGCGAACGATGCATCCTCCATCTCTACATCTCCGAACGTCTCGACAATTGAATTTGATGAGACGAGGACCGCATCCAAAGGCTGGGGGAGATCGCATAGCGACACCCTCCCACCGCTGGGTCCGAGCGACGCAAGACCAGTCCGAGTAAGAGGACGACCTTGCTTCCTCTTGCGCGTGGCAGGCATCCGTAGACCTGGGGCTACGACCAGGTAGTTGTGTCGCGAGGTCGATGGGACGCCGCGACGATCGTCGTCCGACTCGGTGAACGAGTCCGATAGCCCATCATCCTCTAGATCCGCACCGAGTTGAAAACAACGGGTGCGTGGTTTGCTGCCGTCGGTGGTGGTGCGCCCGTTGGAAAGTCGCGCGTACAAGGTCTGGTCTGTTCATAGTACTGAGGGTCCAACCCGGCTGTCGGTGTCGACACCTTTGGTAGCCAATGCGGAGGAACAGCGAGCAGACTTTGGATCTTGCGCTGGGTGGGAAATAACGGCGGGTCGACGGTGTTGCCAGAGGTTGTGGGTCGGGAAGCTGAAAAGACGTCAATGTCAACGTACCGTCAAAGATAAGGTGCTTACAAGATTGTGCTATAGGGGCGGCGGGATCTGACCACCTACAAGGCCGGCGTGTTTACTCGGCAGGAAGCGAACGCGCACTCGATGCTTTGTGCACTGAGTACACATGCAGAGGTCCAGGCAGTAGGGACATATCCAGGAATCCTCTCGTATACCAAGGCCGGTTCCTTTGGCCTGCCCGTCGCCAACGTGGCCATGAAGTGCATACGAAACGGCGTCGTCGTCGAATCCGTACCATTTCTGAAGACACGGAACGCACCATGTCTTGTTGCATCGAATGTTCGAGTCGCCCGACGTTCCGGTATTCCAACACCGCGCGCGATTCTTGTTCTGTGTTCGTGCGTTTCGACAATTATGACACCACTTTGTCGTCTCGGTCCGTAGCCCAGCTGGCTCCTTGATCCTAATGGCCGACAGATCCACGTCGTCGACGCACGTATTGTCAAGGTATGCTGCTCGCTTCTCCTCGGGGATGGCTCGAGAGGTTTCCGGGCTTTGGACTAGACGTCTGTCAGCCGTGTGGGGTGCCGGAATTATTGGCACAAACTCGTCCTCACTGTCCGCAACGGCCGCCCGTCGCTTTCTTGGTCGACGATGGACGCCATTCGAAGAGTCACTACTCGACTCTTCGAAACTCCTCTCGGAGATTAAACGAGGACCAATGGATCCCATGGGAGGCGAGACTGAACGTTGTTCCGGCGAGCGTCGCATTAAACGGGCGTACGAGCCAATTGGATGATTGATGCCGACTCCTAGAAAACGGCGTCGTGGTCGAATGACGAATCCATCTTCGGAGCCGCCTCCGTGTGGGTCTTGCGAGGTCGAGGGCTGGGAGAGAGCATGTTCGTCGGATGAGGGATTAGGAGCGGAGCCCTCACAGAGGGAAGGGTACCGTCGCTCGGGGCTCTCTCCACTAGGTTCGCTTGAGGAGCTTGTATGATCTTCTATTTGATGTTCGTATGAGAGAAAGGAGTAGACCGCTTCTGTGGAATCTTGAAGACGGGAAGATTGGCAGAACCTGGTTGGCGAACGCGGTCGTGCGCGCCCTCGTAGCGGTTGCTTTCCTTTGGCAATTTCTCGCGCGTGTGCATCAATGTCAACCGATGATGTACTCGTCACTGGAGAGAGACTTCGATAAGAGTCTCGATCCAAGGAAACACGACGAGAGTGCGAGACGAAATCCTCCTCATTGTCCGAGTTCGCCAGGCGTGATCGGTCCACCTCTTCGTGTTCCAATTCCTCGCTGGTCAGCGTCGCGGATACGGTAAATGCGCGGTCCATACCCGCCTCGTCCGAGTCGCTACCCGGAACGACGTAGAGCGGTGTAGACCAAATATCCTTGGAGCCTCGAGTAGACAAATGTTGTCGGACCAGCAGGCTCGGTCGCGTATTTTGGTCAAGAGCCTGGAGGTCGGAGGAGGATGACTCTGACTCGCTCGCGAATTCGGCTTCGCTTTGCTCCTCTTCTCGACTGTATTCACGATGATATTGTCGATTCGGTGACAAGGACGCATGATCAATACTCAGACGCGGCGTGGAGCGCGGGCTGAGCGTCAACTCGTCTTCGCTTTCGAAATCCAGAAATGCGCCAGAAGTAGAATGAATAGGATGTTGTAACACGCAAGAGGGGTGGAGCATCTTGGTCGTGTTGAGAGGTGGGTTGATTCCTAGCTCAACGGTAGACGTAAGCTTTGGACTCCGCTGAGGTTTAACAAGTGGATCTGGAGAATCTGACCGGGGTGCAAAGTCGACTACGTCGGGCGTTGTTGGATCCAATTGCTCGAGGGTTGAATCCGAAGATAGAGGGGAAGACTCGTCTGTTGTTTGGATCCGCAGACGACGGGCTGTATTAGAGCCTGTGTGGTACCCTTTCGGATCCAAACGTGGCTGATATTTGGTGAGGATATTAGAAGAGAGCAGCATCAACACGTACCGATGCCTTGGCCTCTTTTATGAACCCATTGCTAGATCCATCTTGACGGTGCCTGTTCCTTCGAGCCACCGACGCGTCATTGGCAGAGGATGTCGCGTAAAGTTGTCTAATACTGCTCTCTTCCTCTATTTGACCAAGTACTGTACGCCTTTGGGATGTAGGTACTCGTCCTGGTGTAGGCGACGTTGAAGGTTGATAAAGTATCGAGGACCGCTCAGTCATAAGCATAGAGTGCGACTAAACGAGTAGAATAAATGTTCAAACAGCAGTCAGCATTTCTCTGATACGAGTTTGGGGGGATAACACACCAACCGTCGCGCAAGCGTGTGCACGGCGTCGTTGATCGCCCTCAAAAGTGAATTCGAAGTAAAATATCGAGGTTTGAAGATGTATTTCGATGTAGAATTGTGCAATCCAAGTGCCTTTTCACCGCAAAGGTGGATCTGGTCGACGTCAAGGGCTGGTGGCACAACCTCACAAACCCGAATCTCGAGCAAGAACGCTGTACATTGCAGTGACTATTTTGGGAGGTTTTCGCAGTACATTGGACCAGGGCTATGAAAACGGGGTTTCGGACAACGTAGAGGATAGATGTGCATAGGTTAGAGTTTCTTCCAGTAGAGAGCAATAGAAAGGCGCTCGGTAGGTAGTCTACTGCTGCTTGCACTCTTGGTCTCCCGACGCCTTTTTGCCAGCCTTTGGCGCCACCGCCTTGGCCTTGCGCTTGGGAACATCATCGTCATCGTCTTCATCGTCTTCATCATCGTCGTCGTCTCCCTCGAGGTCGTCCTCGTCAAAGTCTTCATCCGAATAATCGTCGTCGTCCATCTCGTACCGGAGAGCCTTGCCCGTAAAGTAGTCGATGGCACGCGGAATGACCTAGAGAGACTAAGTTTGCGATTGAGTGAGAGAAGAGAACATACCTTGTCCTTGAGATCTTCACCGATTTGATAGTCTAGTTCGAGCTTGGCCTCGAGTTCGTCGAGCTCTTCGGGTCGAAACTCCATGTTTTCGAGCTGCTCATCTGTCGGGTTTTGGGGTGGAGTGAAAAAGTCGAAAAAGGAGGGAACGCTGCGGGCCTTTTTAACGACGCGCGTCTTGTTGGTGTGCCTGTTCCGCTGCCTCTTAATTTCGACTTCCTTTGTGAGATCTTTGTCCTGTTTCCAGGTGATTGGCGTTCCCTCGGCATGGTCATAGACGAAATCGCCCTCGTAGCTGAGTTCGTCCTAGAAGGGGGGGGGTGGATGAGCGCCTGGAATAGGCGAAAGAGACCACATACCAGGTAATAGTACGTCTTTGTGAGCGTCTTCTCTTCAAAGAATTCGTTGGGCGCAAATTCAAAGATGAGCTTGAAGCCCATCTTGCCTGAAGCATCCTTGTCGCCAAGACCGAGATGCTCAATCTTGACGTCGGTAAGATGAGCGAGTGCTTGTTCGTCTCGTTCTGTGATGAGATCGCTGAGACCAGGATGGTTTCGGAGCGTGGTGAGCCAGAATTGGGGAATGCCGTCCTTTGCGCCTTCTTCGCCTTCGACGATGGGATCCGAGGGCAAAAAGGAATCCGAATCATCGTCCTTTTCCTCTTCATCCTCGTCCTCATCGTCGGAGAGGTCTTCCTTGTCCTTTACTTCCTGATCGTGACCTTTTTGGAGTTCTTCGGCGGTTGGAAGGGCCCTTGCTTGGATGATCTCTAATCTGCGATCGAAGAGGGGTTGGTACAAGGCGGCATACTATGCGCGTGATCAAGCGTTACATCGATGTGGGTGGAGCATAACCGTCAGCCACGCGGGTAACACGCAAACGAGGCAGCTGACCTTTTTCTCCAACTCGAGTGTTTCCTTTTTGTACTGGAGAAGGAGCTTTTCGTAGTCGCTCTGGACGCCCTTGAGCGCAAGGACGCGCTTCTTGGTGGCAGACGGTAAACCCTCGATGTATCCACTGCTTTGGCCCATGAGACCGTTTAGTCGCTGCTGAACGAGTCCCAGGATGGCGTTGTGGCCCTTTGGACCAAGTCCTGCGAGTGGCCCGCCTGCTGCAGCGCCCGTGGGAGGAGTATCTGGTGGTCCTGGCTCTCCATCGCCATCTTCCTCACCAATCGTGGGCACTGTTGGCTTTGAGAGCGCTGTGACGAGCGGGGCCGTAGTCAGCGGTGTGTTTTGCGGCGTGGGCGCGACGGATCCGGGACCGCCAGCAGCCTGGATGGGAACAGAAGACGAGGAACTGCTCATGTCTGTCGAGCGATCGTCGTCGATGAAAAGCCCAAAAGGCGGCGGGGGTCAAAGTGCAAGTGGCCAAACAAACTTGGACTCGACTTGAAGTGTAGACTTTTGTCGGTATAGATTATTCAATTACTTTTGTAGAATCACTCAAAGACACATACATCCACGCTTGGACACCAACCACGATAGCATTATGGACGATGAACGGTCAGCTTGGCCTTGTTTTCAGTGCAACAATCGTGACAAACAACTACAGGATCCAACTTTTGACAGAACTTGAACAACACTTGGACTCGCTACTCCCCTCGCTCATCTCGTAGGTTTCCTTTGCCTCTCAAAGCCTCATGATGACCACTAGAATCCAGTCGAGAGAAATTCGCGTATTCATCAACACGACAGGCCGATCTGCAGCCTCGCATAGACGATGCCATTCTCCGCGTCGAGGGTAGCCTCTGCCGGGCTCTCGCTGTCATTCGACGAGAGCGAAACCTCATGTCTCCAGTATCTTCTCTACCACCAGAAGTCCTTGCTAATATCTTTAGCTACGGGACCTTCGCGGACACTCTCCGCGCCTCTTGGGTTTCACGCACATGGAGACTGGCAGCCATCAATGCTCCCTCACTATGGATCCAATTCGAATGGTATCGATACACAAACGCCGACTTTAGAGCCCTCCAACTAGCTCGCTGCAGGGCGCTGGCTCTAGAGCTCGACCTCGATTGGAGCCAAAGCGAAATCTTTGGGGTCCATTCACGAAATAATGAGCCACTCTCAAACGTGCTCAGCAGGGCCTCGTCAATTACTCACCTCACAGACCTATACTCTCTCAAAAGGGCCAATGCATCGAGGTTGCAATCGCTGCACGTACACCTTAGTCCTACCTATGCCTTGGACCCACTTGACGTGCGACTGGAGACCCCGGTTCTCAGACATCTATCCATTGAGATGCTGGATTGGTGTCTCTCCAATAAGATGCTGCTGATGGACCATCTCCAAACTCTACATCTCCAACTCGATTTCCGTAGAACAGGTAGTGGCCCAATCCTTGGACAGATTGCCGAGCTTGCTCAATTGCAAGAGTTTTCTGTCCGGTTTGTGCCGCCGGGCTCCAATGGAGACCGCGTGAACATGAGTAACCAGGTTCTTAGCGACCAACCTGCTCTTAAAAGAGTATACCTTTACGACACTTCATTCTCCTTTCAACAGGCCTTTTTCTGCCGCTTTAGGCTGTCACAGTATACCAACGTTGAGATTTCGCCCTTTCATCTTCCATCGCACTGGCCATCGAGCCAACTACGTGGCGAAGTGACAACAGATACACTGTGGATAGACCAGAAATCAGGTGTATCTCTCTATGATCATGGGGCGTCTGTCACCAAAATCACAAAGCCCATCATAAACGGTCCACTCCTTGGCCGCCATCGTTACCGGGCCTACCCCTACAAGCTCTCCAAGTTGAGCACCTGCACGTTTCCTGAGTCCCTTCCTCTGGACAAGATAACCTCCCTCATTATTAACAATGGCCCCCCACCGACTTCGCACGATCTGCGGAGCCTTGTACAGTTGAAACGCCTTTGCTTCACCTTCTACCAGTACCCTATTCACCCAGTCGGAGAGCCGAAACTCGCAGAAACGCTCGATGAGCAACTGGTCAAGAGTTGTCCTCACCTCAGCGAGCTTATTATGGTACGAGATGGAAGCTATTGTACAGACGAAGACGAGGCAGTGCAGACGGTCCTCTCGTTTTTAAAGGCATGGCACTCTGAATACCAGGCCGTGTTTGGCGTCTTACGTGTCAGCAATGCCATCTCCTCACAAATGTGGTCGGCCCACCGTGATATTCTTTCATCAATGACCGGGCTCTTTGAGCTTGCAGAGGCCGATTTCGAACGTCGCTCTCCCGAATTTCCGGAACCAAGACATTTTGTCGCCAAATCACCCTCTGCTTACAATGCTGCAGCCCATGTCGACAGTCCCCCATTATTCCAGGTTGACTCACCTTTCAGTACCCTCGACTTTGACCCAACTTCCCTATATTTATTTCCGTACAGTAGCTATTATCCTTCGACGTTTGATACTTGGTAGATGTTTTGGATACGCTCCATCTTGGACTGTAATGCCTGCTAATGATGTACGCGCCTTTTCTCTCTCATTATGAAAGACTCCTACATGCTTCATCGCATTGTTTCACGCCTGTATAGGAGGTACTGCGACTGTTTTGCGAGAGATGTCAGTCTGTCAAAGCAAGTGTTCCGCAGATATCCGACCACAGGCACTTTGACGCCGACTACATTAGCCGATCTTCCAGTATGGACGATGAACGGTGAATTTGACCTTGTTTTCAATACAATAATGGTGACTAACGACTGCAGAATCGAACTTTTGGCACAACTTGAGCGCTTTGCCCAGGCCTTATTGCCATCACTCGCCTTGTACGTTGATTTGCCAAGTAAATTCACATAGTGATAACTGTAATTCAGGCAAAAGAAACATGCATACTCCTCTTCACCACAGACATATCTCCAATCTCTGATAGACGATGCCCTCTTTCGCGCGGAGACTAGTATCGCCCATGTTTTTGCTGTCATTCGACATGAGCGAAATTTCATGTCCCCGGTATCTTCTTTGCCACCAGACATCCTTCACAATATCTTTTGTTATGGAACCCTCGCGGACACTCTCCGCGCCTCTTGGGTCTCACGCGTTTGGAGGCAGGTAGCCATCAACACCCCCTCTTTATGGACTCACTTGGACTGGAATATGTACAAAACCTCCGAGTTTAGGGCTCTACAGCTCAGTCGATGTGGAACTCTGGCCCTCGACCTCACTCTCCCGGCTCCGCCAGGCCCACTAGAACTTTATTTACCACAGCAGGCTCTGCCTCGGGATCTACTCTCGAGAGCATACTCCATTTCTAACCTTCCCACCACAGAATCTCTCGAAAGCGTCGACATTTCTGGCTTGCAGTCGCTCCATCTTTGTCGTGGTAGTTATGACGCCCATTACATGTCCAAGATGCAACTGAACACCACTCATCTCAGGCACCTTTGTCTTGAGCTGACGACGAGTGACTTTACCCGACCGAGGATGTCGCTACCCTCACTCGAAACACTTCACATCCATATGCGTATCCCCAACTTCGACCTCGTCCTAAAGTGGGTCGCTGAACTCCCTTGGCTCCAAGAGCTGTACATCCACTGCAGACTATCCCTATCCAATCAACACGACGTGAAGACTGCAAGGCTAATCACCCTGAAAAGATTATATCTTATCGAGGCACCACAATATTTCCAGGAGTTGCTTCTAGACCACATTATACTGTCAGATTATACGCATCTCGAGATTTCCCCCTTGCGTTGCTCATCCAGGAGTGGACTGAGTTGTCTACCTCGCCAAATCGCAACACATTCTCTATGGATAGATCAAACATCGGGACTATTTATATACGACCATGGGACGTCCACTACCAAGATTACTGGGACCAAGGCGACCTTCAGCCTCTTCTGCGGACTTCCAGACATCACTGATTTGGACAATATAGCCACTCTTATTGTCCACCGTGGTCCCCCTCCAACGTTCAATGATCTGCATAGACTTATTAATTTGACCAGCCTCGCCCTCACTTTCCACCCGGGTTCCATATTTGAACCAGGAGGACTCGCAGAAACGCTCAACGAGGAACTTGTCAAGAATTGTCCACGCCTCGATGAGCTCATCTTGGTTCGAGGGGAGAGCTCTTTTAACGACGAGGTCCGACCAGCGGAGACAGTCATCTCGTTTCTAAGGACATGGCTTTCTGAATACCAAGTTGTATTTGGCACCTTGCGTGTCAGCAACGCCATCTCCCCTCAAACGTGGTCCGACCGTCGCGAGATTTTTGACTCGATGACGGTGCTCTTTGAGCTTCGGGAGATTGATCTTCAAAGTCGAATGCCCAGATGTCCAGAGCCAAGGCGATTTGTGACCAAATCATCTCCAGCTCGCAACCCGCCAAGCTAGCTGGCTAGCTCCTGACTACCCAGGGCGGCTTGCCAGTAAATTTTCTCAACTCTGGTTCAACCCACCTGCACTCACGTCAATATAAGCCCTTTGGAAATGTATGGTAGTCAGTATACATCGCAGATATCTTATACTCCTAAGAGGTGTCATTGTCCAGAGAGGTGTTGATTCAGTTGATTCTAGGACGCGTGAGGTGAGAGGCAAGACCAGTAAGGTCCGGCCGTATCGTCCCGCGTCCCTAAATACATTGAGTTACGACGTGAGCTATTACTATTGGCTAAGTCTATTTAGTGAGCGCTAAGAGTCAAAGGGTAAACTTTCAACAACAGGTAGGGGCCGATATAATGTTTCTCTGACTTATTCATGATTGGTAATGATATACAAGTTTTATTTTGATCTTTCACGACATGAAGATAATTCGGTGACCAAGTTGAAACTGATCGTAGTCTACACCCATTCAATATGCCAGCTCGGTCAATGATGTTCTTCGAGGCCAATATCAATGTTACATGCCAGAAATGGATGACGAATGGTGAGCCTATCTCGGGTAATGCAAATTATTCTAATTCAAAGGTTCAGGTTATCAGAAGCATCCAACACCTATTAGAATCATGCGTGCCTTAGTACGTCTACTTTTGGGTTCGTAAGAACCACGATAACAGCTTGAAACTAGCAAAAAGCAGCTCAAACACTTCTCACTACCGCATGTAAATCTATGCCGTGAGATGGACGTCGCCATCCCAATGTCCAGAGCACCCTCGATCAAGTTAGGAGAGTTCTTCGACAAGAGGTAAAAACTCTGTAGTCCCCATATCCTCTTTGCCACAGGAGATTCTCACCAACGTATTTGTAGACGGGTCTGACCAATAGACCAGCAGATTCGGATTCAACGACGATGTTTGTATGCAATATCTATTCACAATTCGTTAATAATCAACGTATAGAGCATTCTGCGGATTGGAGATCGCACCCAGGCCGTTAAGAACTACATCTTCACTCCCATGACGACTTACCTTGATGGCTTACAATGTGGTTTTTGATTTATCTAGGTCTTTTCATCTTGTCCGCACTGTACCTCGAGTCCTTCGGTCACATCTTGACTCATCTAAGCAGGCAACTTCCTGCGGATTTAGCTAATTCGGCGACCGAGCCGTCAAATGAAATGTTTATACGGCCCCTGGGAGATTGATTTGGGTAGATTGCCTGTTTGAGATGCTGGCTCTCTCAACGCTACTCTTTTGACGCCGACCATTGCCAGCATGGACGATGAGCGGTGAGTGTGTTGGCATGCTCAAAGAGGATAATCAATAAAGGATTTAGGATCAAGGCCGCTAAGCAACTTCAACATTATTTGGAATCATTGCTACCGTCACTCACCCCGTATGCCGGCATAGGTACTGTGAAGCCAGCGCTAATATCCTTGTTCCAGGGATACTCGTCTTATTCACTCCTCCTCGCGGCAATTTCATGCGCGATATGAGATGGACGGCGCCATCATTGGTGTGGAAGGCGCCGTTCAACAAGTCCTTGCTGCTCTTCGACGAGAGCGAAACGCCATGTTACCAGTATCCTATCTCCCAGCAGAAATCCTCGCCAAAGTCCTCAGCTATGGGACTCTGGCTGATACCCTCAGCGCCTCTTGGGTATCACGCGCGTGGAGAGTGGCAGCCATCAACACTCCTTCCTTGTGGACGTGTCTCGATCTTGAAGCCTACCCAAACAACAACTTTAGGGCACTTCAACTCGATCGGTGCGGAGCTCTGCCTCTCGAACTCAATCTTCCAATAGTCAAGGATCTCCGAAGTGTTCTCCAACCGCAGACTCCATATAAGGGGCTGCTCAGCAGGTCGTATTCCATCTCCAACCTCCTAAATCTGGGTGTCCTGGAAGGCATCGACGCATCCAGACTACAGTCCCTGCATCTCTTTAGTGATGCTGCCGACTTGATGCCATCTCGGATATCCGTAGCGACTCCAGCTCTGAGACATCTCTGCATGGATATGAGAAGCTGCGAGCTCAACCATATGGCCATATCGATCAACCTTCTCCACACTCTTCATCTCTACATCCGTAGCGCCAAAGCCGACGTTGTCCTTAAGCGCCTTTCTGGCCTTCCTCGGCTGCAGGAGCTCTTAATCCAGTGGCCCCCAGACGGGCCGGACGAGGAGCCAATGGATATAATAAGTCGCGATATCCTGACCGAACACAACGGTCTGCAAAGAATTTACCTCATCGAGCCCCCGAAAGACTTTCTATCAAGGTTTTTGGCCCACTTCAGACCGGCATCCCACACGAATCTCTATATCGCTCCATGCCATCTCATTTCGAATGGGATATTGGCCCACCTACGCCACCAGATTGCGACTCATACCCTGTGGATGGATCCTCATTTGTGTTCATTCACATTTGACCATGGAACATCTGTCACCAAGATCATGGACACGCACGTTGAGTCGACAAGTTTTCGCGGATTGCCGGATCCCGTTGGTTTAGGGAACCTAACGTCCATCATCATCAACAGTGGTCCACCTCCAACGTCCAGGGACCTGCGTATTCTTACCAAGTTGACCAAATTCTCCTTTACTTTTGAGCCCGCTCCGTTAGGAGTCCAACAGTCACCACTGGCAGATACATTAAACGAAGAGCTTGTCAAAAGCTGCCCTCATCTCCAGGAGCTCGCATTAGTTCTCCGCAAACCCCTTAGCACCAATTTTTTCGTCAAAGATCAAGCCCTGGAGACAGTTCTATCGTTCTTAGAAGCATGGCTTCTCGAATATGAAGTCGTGTTTGGCACCGTACGTATCAGCGATAGAGTCAAACCACAGCGATGGAGCTCTCAGCTCGACGTCCTCTCCTCGATCACCTGGTTATTCGAGCTCCGAGATATTGATCTCGCGAGTCAAGCTCCAGAATTTCCGGTGCCTCGTCGATTTGTCCCACAGCGACCTCCACTTCGCTGGAGATTACCGGCACCGATGCTCGCACCGCTGGACAACTTTGTAAACCTTGATAGGTAGATTTCTTGGGTATGCTATTATTCGTTGTACTAGGTTCAAGGATGCGTCGCGCTTTGAATTCCATTTCTTCGTAGCTTTCTCCCACTAGGAAGGTGAGTATGTAGGAACACGAGCTCAAGGAACGATATCTTCTAGTGTACATTTGTGCAGACTTGAGCGCTGATATGACTGGATTCTCAGAATACATTGTTGATATATTGCATCATTGTGAAATTGACCGAAATGCTCCACGAACTTGCAATGCAGTGCCAGGCTCCGGTCTTTGACGCCGACCACGATCGTCCGCTCAGTTTAAATTTGCCTTCAACGCAAAGGCAGTCACAGGCAACACTCTGAATCCGAGTTGAAGGACATAGTAGACTGTGTTTGGAACCGTTGTTGCCATTTCTCAGCTCGTACGTCAACTTTCCTGTTCGGGATCCACAATGAAAACTTGGGAGAAGGCTCATTTCCTCGATACAACAGGTAATATTTAACGTCAGACGCACGAGCCCACTACCGAAGTCTGCCTCTGTTCAGGTTCTTACTGCTTCTCGACGAGAGAGAAACAGGATGCCGCCACTATCTTTACCACTAGAGATCCTCGCCCATATATTCAGCTATGGAACTCTCGCAGACACCCTCCGCGCCTCTTGGGTGTCACGCGCATGGAGAGTGGCAGCCATCAGTACTCCCTCCTTGTGGACATGTATCGACTACAAAAACATCAAATTTAGGAACATCCAACTCAAACGCTGTGGGGCTTTAACCGTCGAGCTCAATCTCCCGGTTAGGAATCTCCTTGGCGTCTTGCGACTGAAAGCCCCACCAAGTGATCTGCTCAGTAGAGCCCATTCTATTACTAATCTTGTCTCACTAACGTCTCTGAGCTACGTTAACGTATCCCGTCTACGGTCCCTGCATCTTTTCAACAACGACTATGCGTCGATTCCATCCTGGATACAACTGGAAACTCCAGCTCTTCTACATCTCTGCATTTCAATGAGAAACTCTGAATTTACAGGACACTCTATGCATTTCAATGAGAAACTCTGAATTTACAGGACACTCTATGCGAATACGCTCTCTCCAAACCCTCCATCTACACATACGAGTCGCCAAAATTGCCATTCTATTCAGCTGTATCGCTGAAACCCCGCGATTACAGGAGTTACTGGTTCAGTGGTCGCCTGGCACCATTGAAGAGCAACTAGTTCCTGCGGAATTCCCCAGAATTCTCGCCAATTTGAAACGGATCTACCTTGTACACTCCCCGAGACCTTTTTTAATGACGTTTCTGACTTATTTTGAACCGTCACAGAACACTAATATCTATATTTCTCCTCAAGGTCTCGCATCAGATTATGGCGTCTTGGACCTTATGCATCATCAGACAACTCACACATTATGGATTGATCAATACCAAAGCTCTCTCATCTTCGACCATGGGACGTCCGCTACCAAGATCGCAAAGGCTATCTTGATATCGGCCTCCTTCTGGGGGTTTCCAAAAGGCGTGGACCTTGGGAACATAACATCTCTCATTGTAGCCACAGGGCCGCCTCCAACCTCCAACGACCTGAAACATCTTATCAACTTGAGCAGCCTTTCCTTCGCCTTTGAGCCCGCTCCGTTAGGAGTCGAGCGAGCATCGCTGGCAGAAACGCTCAATGAGGACCTCGCCAAGGACTGCTCTTGCCTTCAGGAGCTAGTCGTGGTATTTCAAAGGCCTCAAAACACCGACGCTATCTCCCAGGATTGGGTAGTGGAGACCGTCCTCTCGTTTCTGGAGGCGTGGCTTCTTGAATACGACCTGGTGTTTGGCACCGTGCGTATATGCGATAGAATCGAGCCGCAGAGGTGGTCGCCTCAGCTTGATATCTTCTCTTCAATCAGCTGGCTGTTCGAGCTACAGGACGTTGACCTCAAAGCTCAAGCCCCAGCCTTTCCGGAACCAAGATATTTTGTTCCCGAACAATATTCGTTTACCTGATGGCCACCATCCGACTATAGGACGAGTTGGTATACGGCTCTTTCTTTGTCACCCACGCTGATTCAACCTAGTTCATGCCTTCAGAGTTCAAAGCATTTCATAGCTTCCGATACGTTTTGTTCTCACCCTAGGATCGTGCAATGTTTACGACATTCGTACGAGGACTGATTCGATAACGAGCGACGGGAGTAAGTTTTCTCCGCCCCCTTGATAGGCGTGGTCCTTGCCAACCGGGTTTGATTTCGAAGTCCGACAATGAAAGGCCCAGCTAAATCAGAGGACCCGTGCGCATACGAAGGCGGTGCTCATCGCCTTGCTCCTCGCATTCACACTTGGCGCCTTCTGTTGCAGAGCCAGAATGAAAATTTGTGGATGAGCTCTGCATTCCCAGACCATCTTCCCTGTCGGGTCGACGTTGCGGGTTGTCCTGCGAACCGCTTTCGGCACCTCGCGCGCGCGAGTGCAAGTATAAAAGTCGCATGTTCTTACTGTCATTATCACACGCCCATACTTTCTTCGCCTTCAACCTTCCTTCTCACGGCCAGGCGCCACTTGTGAGTGACATCGTAATGGTCCTATCACGCTCACTGCCCTTTAGTGTTTTTTTCTTTTCCTAATTAGCCATGTTGTTCACTAGTGTGATCATTACAGCACTCATCGCTGCTTCACAATCCTTGGCCGCACCGCTACCGGCGCCTTTCCACGGGCACAACATCATCCATCACCTCGCAAGCGCCGTGTCGGCAATGACAGCACCTCAAGAGCAGTATTATGTCAAAAGAGACGTAAAGGCGCATGGCGTTCACGTCGTTGGTGTACACGTGCACCCTGCTTCCGGATCACCCGTCGCCGAGCCAGCAGGCGTGCATCAGGCAGAGAAGAGCAAGGAAGCAAATCCCAACGAACAGAGTGCACCGAAAGGAGGAGCTGATGCGGCTCCTGCGCCGGACAATACGCGACGTTCACTCGTCGCTGAGCTAGATTGATCGTGCGTAGAACCATCCTGTATGATTCCTCAGGTTCGTAGAGGAGGAAATCTCAACAATCAGATAACATATTCATCTTTACTTCGCACTTGGGAATCGAATCCCTCCTGTGTCAACTGAAAAAATATGCGGTCTAGCCCTCATTCTTTGACGAGTAGTACTATTATGACTTTAAAAGTGAGTTTTGAGTGGGTTATTTCGCATTTGTACCTTCGTGGTCACCTTGTGTGGGTACTATCTACCTCATCAGTATCCGACTCCGTGTTAAAGACGATACCCACGTCTTCTGACTGGCGGAGTCCCGAGTAGGGTCAGTACAGGTCTAGCAATGGTTTACTTTAGATTATTCCTCGACGTGAGGTACTTAGTTACTGTAATATGACGCGTAAACTGGGCGAGGGAGTGTTGAAGACGATACCCACGTCTTTCTGACTGGCGGAGTCCCGAGTAGGGTCAGGACAGGTCTAGCAATGGTTTACTTTAGATTATTCCTCGACGTGAGGTACTTATTTACTGTAATATGACGCGTAAACTGGGCGAGGGAGTCAGATATCAGACTAGCGAATGTTACATGGAAAATCGGGTCCTTTTATACCTTTCGATAAGCTTATGTAAGCATTATTTCGGAACCAGTAGTCGGTAGCGGACTACGTTGGAGGGCATAGGGTTGGCGGGAGTTGGAGGAAGGGACAAGAGGAGTCCGAGACGAGACAGCGATCCGACATCTTATATCATGTCATCTATATAACGAGTCACCTATAGAGATGACTCTTGATACGGGCGAGTCGTGCGCAGCCGTCCACATACAAGCTCCCGCTCGTAGTGGCCAAAGCTGGCCACGGCCGGCCGCGCATCGTGAGTCAGGTAAGTGACTATCCTCGTTCTTCGTGACTCATACTGACATATACGAGTCATCCAGATGACGTGGGTCTTGCGGGCTGGTCCGTAACACTCCGACTTTGACTATCCTTGCGCGATAGAACAGAAAGTGCCAAGATGGTGCTGTGACTGAGTTATGGGAGCTAATATTTACTCGGAACCGATGTGAATGGCAGGAACGCTCAATTATGGGGGAATGAATTCCTGGCTGGTTGAAATGCTCATCATATGAGAAAATATCGGCGTTTACACCACCCAAGTCGGGCTAAATGAACAAAACCGAGATCGATGTGGTTTTCAATCTACTGAATACTCCGAACGAGACACACCACGTTTCACACCTACCTCGGGCAGAAGGAGCGCCCATTCATGGGCAGCCGACGATACATCCTGGGCTTAACTAATCTTGTAACTCACCTCGTCCCTGTAATCGTGAGGGACAAATGATATTGGCTAGGATTTAATGACACGACTTCACCTTATTGTGTTATTGAAGCCCAGCCGTGATATTTTGAATTTCCTTCTAGGACCAGCGTTGGGTTTTTGTCTGACTGCATCACGTAATATATAGATTTCTAAGGCAACCAAATTACTGGTAATCGAGCGAGTGTCAAGGGAAACCCGGGTCAGTGTTTCACAATCCAGTAGCTGAACATGCTGAGGAGCGACAACTACTTTGACGGCTTTAAAGAGATATGAAGCTGAAGGGTATTTGATTCAACGCCAAATGAGCTGTAATATTAGATAATCACATCTCTCCATGTACTTTGTGCATGTGACGGAGATATCCCCAATCAGTATATTGGACTTCCACTCTAGTCGGGTATAGGGAATAAACTCCTGTTATAACCCTGTTCCATCGTTCTTGGTTGAATTTACTGACAAGTCGGCTGAGTGGAAGAGGAAGTTTGGTGACCCTTGATACTAATATTGGCCAGTCGGCCTTTTCAGTGAGCCCTTATATATAAAAGTCTCAGAAAAGAGAGTTATGGCCCGTCGTTCGTCTCAATATGCCTCTTTTTCTACTCGGAGCCGTGTTTTCAACCTTTTCGGTGGTCGCCACCGCAAACTCCCGGTCGTCACCTCATTTTCCAAGCGGCGTATCTGGAGATCCCTTGGATGCATCCAATCACACGTTTGACTACATCGTTGTGGGCGGTGGGCTTACTGGTCTCGCGCTCGCCGGTCGATTGTCCGAGGATGCGGGTACGACAGTATTGGTGATTGAGGCAGGAGGCGATAACCGTAAAGACCCGAGAGTGTATGATGTGTATAACTCGCAACAGTTTTACGGCTCTGATCTCGATTGGTCATGGCCAGTGGACTATGGAAAAACAGGGAATGGGTAAGGCAGTCAATTTCAGAACATGCGAGTACTGATATATCGAAAAGAGGTAAAACTCTTGGTGGAAGCTCGTCTATCAATGGCGCGACGTGGACTCGTGGGGCTGCTGCGCAGTACGATGCATGGTCCGACCTCCTCACACCAGGCGAACGCAGTCTTGGATGGAATTGGAGTAATCTTTATTCGTACATGAAGAAGGTAAGAACCATTATTGGACACGGGTACAAGCTCACCAATACATGCAAGGCCGAGCATTATCATCCTCCAAGTGAGGATAATCGCCGACTGGGCGCCGATGGAGTGACCAGCTGGCATGGAACCCGAGGGCCTGTACACGTCGGATTTCCAGAAAAGATGGTTGAAGGATCGCAACATTCTGCATTCATCACGGCCATTAAAAACATTACTGGAATCCCTCATTGCCGCGATCTGAATGGTGGCTATCCAAATTGCGTCGCTTTCGTGCCCAGCGTACGTTTATTATCCATTCGAGCTTCACCTGAGATTTCAATAGTCGATCAATCCCGAGGACAACTTTCACCGTTCCTCATCGGCCATGTCTTACCTCACACCTGTCGAGAATACTCGAAAGAACTGGCTAACGCTTGTAAATTCGACTGTATTCAAGTTAGTTTGGAAGCCCGACGACTCCAAGACGGTCATTGGCGTGGAGTTCCTCCATCTCAATAACTCTTCGACCGTGTACAGAGCCAACGTACGAAAGGAAGTGATCATGGCGGCTGGATCCATCAACACACCCGCGATTCTGCAACGCTCGGGTGTCGGAGATCCTGCGCTTCTGTCTTCGCTCGGCATCTCAACTGTGCTGAATCTCCCAACCGTCGGCAAGAACCTGCAGGAGCAGACTCTCGTACCAATATTTTTCAATAGAACGTATGAGATGCTAAGCAGGCCTTGGAGCAATCTGCTTGCATTTCCAAATCTCGCGCAACTCTATGGCAAGAACGCGACAGCTGTTGCAGCGGAAATTCGCTCCAGTCTAGATTCATGGGCAGACTCGCAAAAGGAGAATGCACTGTCCAAGGCAGCCCTGAAGAAGATTTATGAGTCTCAGGCAGACGTCATTATTAGAGACAAAGGTTAGTGCTTGTGTTGTCAAGGAGTTCCTAAACTTATTCTAAACAGCGCCCGTGTTTGAGATCATCTTCATTACTGCCGATTACATTGCGTTACATGGAACCATGTCCTGGGTTCTCCTTCCTTTCAGTCGTGGGTCTGTCAAGATCAAAACGACGGATCCCTTCGCCAAACCAAACGTGACGAATAACTTCTTCAGTGTTGCCTTCGACACGGAGATGCAAGCGAAGGGCGCTAAGCTCTTGCGCAAACTGTTCAACACACCGCCGCTCTCAAATCTCACCTCGGCTGAGTACTACCCTGGCCTTGCCGCTGTCCCTGATCCAGTTGGTGATGGAGGGTCAGTCGAGGCGTGGGATCCATGGTTGAAGGCTGCCTTTTCTTCGAATAGCCATGCATTGGGTACGTGCTCAATGATGCGAAAGGACCTTGGAGGCGTCGTAGACGGTCGTTTGAGAGTTTATGGTGCGAAGAACTTGCGCGTTACCGACGCCAGTGTCATGCCGACGCAGGTTTCCTCTCACATGATGAGTACCCTTTACGGGATTGCGGAGAAACTGGCCGACATGATCAAGGCTGGGTTGTAGCGTAGAAAATTCTGATTCAAGGTACTCTGATTGTGGGTATTTGGCCATTGATTCCCTATGCTTCATGAGCCCCGGTGTAAAAGAGGGATTGCTCGATTCGGAAATGGCAATAGCGTGATCTTCAAGCACTACGGATTTACTAATAATCTGCGTGGGATAATATGAATTGATTGAAGTTCCGTCAAGCCTTGACACTGCCGAGGATTCGATTTCCTCGACTCATGGGACTTCTGAGCATACTGTAACGCCCTCGCGCCCGAGTGGCACGGACCAGCCAGGGTCCCCCGGAGCTAGATAGATAGTTTCTTACATTCTGGTTAGCCGTTTACACTCTCTAAGCGGCGCAGCAGCTCCGCCCTGTCTCATCTTCCTCACCTTCGTTTCGACTTCATCCTTTCCGCCTTTCGTCTCGCGCTCTCGCGCGCATATAAAGCCTCCAATAATTGGCAATCATGTATATAAGAAGAATTTCAGCTATTTTCTTGTCCATTGCTCGCCTACCGAGGCCTAAGTCCCGTATTTTCCGCTCGCTCTCATTCCCTTCTTCCAATCTCACGTTACCCATCCTCGCCTCAACAAGCGTTCACGCTTTTCAGTACGATGCTGCTTCTATATATATATACAAGTTTCTAAAGTGTATATAGACCGCTTGCTCTTCTATAGATTGAGCTGAGTATTGGCGGATGTTTTCTACTAGCACGAGCATGCGGGCGGTGGATGAACATTTTCGTCCAAATCATCCTAATTAGATGGATTGTACTGCGTGAAGTCTCCTCGGTACCCAAGGGTGAACACCGTTCGCCGTTTCTACATGTAACCATTCTCAAGCCTAGACAGCCACGCGTTGCATACTCGCATCATCAGCTGCAGAGAATAAGCTCTCGATCAAATTCGGCTGATAGTCGATATTGTCGAGGGTGTACTGATAGTATCCTGGTCGTCCTCTCATTGTAGTTCTGTCCGATATTCGGTGTGGGTGATGTATTGGCAATATCACATTCTTCCCTTTGGGTTGCATTCCTCCTTTTGGATTTACACCATCGTCCGATACACGCACACCGGTGGTTTTCGGCAGTTTTAGAAAACTCGCTTAGAATAATGGAAGAAAACATAGAGTAATGTAAACAAGGATCACATCAATAGGTCGATTTGATGTTATTATAAAGCATCTTCAGCAACTGGGTCGGATTTGCACAGTACCCGCCAATTCAACGGCCTTAAAGAAATATGAGGTAGAAGGGTATTTGAATCGAGACCCTAAATGAGCTGCAATATTAGATAGTCTGCTTCTGCCGATCGCCTTTACTACACGTGGCCGAGGTATCTCCAACAGGCAGGCTCAACGCCGACTTTCGTCAGATATAGACGACGAGAAACGGTGCCCCTTAGAATTATCGTAATATCTGGCTGAGACTGTCGATGACCTGGTTTGAACTGGAAGGGGATGGTGACCCTTGATGCCAATATCACACCAGGTCGGATTTGTCAGTAAAACCCTTATAAAGTCTCTCTCAGCATAGAGAGATGTGGCTAAGGATATTTACGAAATGCTTTATTTCCTCCTAGGAGCCCTGCTCCATGCGCTTCCTGTAGTCGTACACGCGACGACGGATTACCAAACTCACCCTCGCCCTCCAAGCGGGATATCCGGAAACCCATTGGATGCATCCAACCGTACATTCGACTACATTATAGTGGGTGGTGGGCTTACTGGTCTCGCGCTCGCGGGTCGATTGTCCGAAGATGCACGTACAACGGTGTTGGTAATCGAGGCGGGGGGCGATAATCGTAAAGATCCAAGAGTGTATGACCTATACAATGCTCTGCAGGTCTATGGGTCTGATATCGACTGGTCATGGCCTGTGGACTATGGAAAGACGACGGACGGGTAAGGCTACCAGCTCCAAGCCCGCTTATGCTCAATCTTCGCAAAGAGGAAAGACACTCGGTGGAAGTTCGTCTATCAACGGCGGAACATGGACTCGCGGTGCTGCCGCACAGTATGATGCATGGTCCGACCTCCTCACACCAGGCGAACGCAGTCTCGGATGGAATTGGAATAATCTTTATTCGTACATGAAGAAAGTAGGAGAGATCCTGATGTACTAAAGGTAACTCACAAGTTCCAGGCTGAGCACTACCATCCACCCAGCGCCGCCAATCAACAGGTCGGTGCAGATGGAGTTACCAGTTGGCATGGTGTTCGAGGACCAGTGAATGTGGGATTTCCCGAGGAGATGCTCGGGGGACCGCAGCACCCAGCATTTATCGCTACCATCCATAATGTGACGGGAATCCCGCATTGCCGTGATTTAAATGGCGGGGATCCAAACTGCGTCGCATTCGTGCCCAGTGTGCGGTATATCCTCTCGTAGATGATAACGAATTGACATACTCATAGTCCATCAACCCAGACGACAGTTTTCACCGCTCGTCGTCGGCCATGTCCTACCTCACGCCCGTCGAGAATACTAGAACAAATTGGTTGACGCTTCTCAATTCGACCGTCACAAAGCTGGTTTGGAAACCTGACGGCTCCAAGACGGTGATAGGCGTAGAGTTCCTCCATCTCAATAACTCTTCGACCGTGTACCGGGCCAACGTGCGAAAGGAAGTGATCATGGCGGCTGGATCCATCAACACGCCTGCAATTCTGCAACGCTCAGGTGTTGGAGATCGCGCACTTTTGTCTTCGCTCGGCATCTCGACTGTGCTGAATCTCCCAACCGTCGGCAAGAACCTCCAAGAGCAGACCCTGATTACTCTTGGTTTTAATAGGACGTTCCAACTTACTGGACGTCCTTGGAATAACCTTCTCGCGTTTCCGAACCTTTCTCAACTCTTTGGAAAGGACGCGGCGGCAGTGACTACGAAGATTCGCACCAGTCTGGACGCATGGGCAGAATCACAAAAGGACAATGCACTCTCCAAGGCAGCGTTGATGAAGATCTTCGAGTCACAGGCGGACGTTATCATCAAGGGCAAGGGTCGGTTATTAAATCTTCGATCCACTGCTTGTGCTCATTTATAATAGTTCCTGTCCTTGAACTCATATACGGCAATATCGACTATGCTCCCATGCACGGAGCCATATTCTGGGGCCTTCTCCCGTTTAGTCGCGGTTCCGTCAAGATCAAAACTGTTGATCCTTTTGCGAAACCCAATGTAACGAACAACTTTTTCAGCGTACCCTTTGACATGGAGGTGGAGGTCCAAGGCGCTAGACTCGTGCGCAAACTATTCACAACGGCACCACTATCGAACCTCACGTCAGCCGAGTATCTGCCTGGGCTTGCTGTCGTTCCTGATCCAACTGGTGACGGTGGCTCCGTCCAAGCGTGGGATCCATGGTTGAAGGCTGCCTTTTCTTCGAATAGCCACGCATTGGGGACGTGCTCCATGATGCGCAAGGACCTTGGAGGTGTGGTCGATGGACGTCTACGGGTCTATGGCACCAAAAATCTGCGAGTCACAGACGCAAGCATCATACCAACGCAGATTTCCTCGCATATGATGAGTACACTCTATGGGATTGCGGAGAAACTGGCCGACATGATCAAGGCTGGAGTATAGTCTGTCGATTAGGTCATGTAACTAACTAGTCACAACCCCACTCTCTTTTACAGTTTATGACTGCATAAGTGCGTAGTGACGAATCTAATGTGTCATATACTTTCCTCCGACCAGCTAGTAGAACCTGGCCCTTTTTGTTCCAGCTGCGTTCTTCTCCTGCACTACAGACGCTGTAAACGCTCAAGAGAGCTTATTCGGGCCGGCCGCTGTCCTTCCGTATTCGTCGGCATTCCCAGCCTCTGAGCATCCATGGCTTCAACCCGTCCAACTGTACCTACGCAGCCCAAGCGCGTCGGGAAAATCATAAATCGCGTGCGAAGTCGACGAGAATCACGATATGATATTGTATTCTGGCTTGGAATCTTTCCTCTACTCGCATTCGTGCCATTATGGTCAATGAACACGCATTACCGTACGTCTTCAAAACAATCAGCTCGCCCACAAGTTATTTATGGTGTTTCGAAACGTATCTAGGCTTGCCAGAGCCCAAAGTCGGGCTGTTCGACACCACTGGCAAACCTCAGTTATCCGAGTCGCGCATTCTCAGCATGGTCGCTGAGCTCACAGACCCATACAAAGTCGGCTTTCGAACAGTGGGATCACGCGAACACGCTCTGGGAGACGCTTGGGCTGTCGACCAGGTTCAAGGTCTAACCGCGTTATGCGATCACGTGAAAAGCCGCGCAAAGACGCGGGGAGACACAGTGGACATCGAGTGCGAATGGGATAGGCAACAGGGAAGCGGTACTCACAAGTAGGTCAATTCTCATCACAGAAACTACCATCTTACTGCAATGGATAGATTCGATATAATGAACCAAGTCATCTATAAATCCTACCAGAATCTCACAAACATACTCTTTCGCATCTCAAACTCGAAGCCAGAGTCAAAGTCGCTGGCATTGCTCCTGAATGCACACTTGGATTCCACCTTGCCGACACCTGGAGCCGCGGATGACGCGCTTTCTGTCGCGATATGTTTCGAAACGGCCCGTGTTTTGATCGAAAGTGCTGGTAGAGGGGACTGGGATGTCGGATGGAGCATTATCTTCTGTACGCCGATTTTTTGTGCTGAGATTTCTCTTAATATTTGGTCTAGTGATCAATAATGCCGAAGAGACGTTCCAAGACGCTTCTCACCTCTTCTCCACGCAACATCCTTGGGCACAGACCGTTAGGACAGTGATGAATCTCGAAGCGGCAGGTAGCAAAGGTCCAGAGCTACTCTTCCAAGCGACAAGTGAGGAGATGGTGGGCGTTTATCAAGATGTTCCGTATCCATATGGTACCGTCCTGGCAAACGACGTCTTTGCCAGTGGAATTCTCATGTCCGAGTACGTTCGCAGGTCCTCGTTTCGATGGCTACTGACGCACGATAGTACCGACTTTCGCCAGTTTGATCAATATCTTCTTGTACCTGGCATCGATATGGCAGTCGTCGGTCATTCCTACTTTTATCACACGACCAAAGACACTGTGGACAATATCGAGCCAGGTGTCGCACAACATTTTGCCGAAAACGTCCTCGCTATCACCAAGAAGATTACGGCTCGTCCAAAGAACATCAAAGGAGAATACGAGCCGACCTCGCTGCTCCAACAGATCCAAAAGTTTGACGAAGACTCCTCAAGGCTCCATTCAAGCAAGCAAGAAGCGGGGCTGAACGATACTCCAGACTATGCGACTACGAGCTCTTCACCGTTTGCCAAGGATAACCGTGGAGGGCAACAACACTCTCGCCGCCCAGACCTCGTTTTCTTCTCCTTATTCGGGTGGAAGCCGTTTGTGTATAGTGGTACTACGGCGCGTATCATGTATACGCTCTGGTCCGTTCTTTGTACGTGGGTAGTCTGGACAAGCAGAGGCGAAGAGACCGTGCCGTCCTCGTCGGACAAGAATCAAGCGGGCAGTGCAAAGCCCATGTCCACAGCGACATTTATTCGACTGATGTTAGGATCCATCGCTCACGTACTGTTGTCGCTCGTGAGAGCGCTGGCATATGCAAACGTGGTGGCGTTTATCATGCGCTCTGTGCTGAATGCCCAACTCAGTTGGTTCTCAAACGAACTACGACCTATCGGGCTCTATGCGTGGCCTGTCGTACTTGGTGAGTTTAAACCTCCTTCAATACTCTTCACTAACAAACACCAGCCCTGCTGAGTCCGGCGCCAAGCATGCTCGTACCCAAAACGATCCCATCTGAACTCGCGGAGCGACTCATACTCTACGCCGTCTTGCTCCTCAACGCTTATTTGGCTGTTGTTGTGCAGTTTGCCGGGATTGGGAGCGCGATCGTCTTCTTCTTAATCTCAATGGGAATCGGCAGTGCCGTCGCTTTGGGCCTCCTAATGGACAGTTTCAGTCGTCGACCGAGACTGCGTATTCACCCTCTTGTAAGTCTATGATATCTCATCTTTATGGGCGACTGACAGCTTCGTAGCTCTACTTCTTTGGCTCTGCACTTCCCCTGGCGTCAGGAACGCAGCTGACTGTTGGAACATTGGACGTCTTTGTACCTTTGGTGGGTTATCCCACTATCTTGGTATGGTGAAGAAGATGACTAACGGAGCGTAGACGGGACGGATGCCACCCTTTGTACCAGCGGAGCATATTATCGCCTCTCTTGTCGCGGTGTTCCTCTATCTCGCCTGCCCACTACTCGTCCCACTCGCATATCGCCTTCCCATTCCAACCACCTCGTCACCTGCAACCGCCTCACTCACCTCATCGGTAAACGGACCAAACGTCCGATGGTGCCTGCGCATCGCGAGCGTTGGGGCTGTAGCGTGGTTTGCGTATCTGAGCGGATTGGGGACGTGGCCGTTTGATGCCGAGCATCCGAAGCGAATATTTATCAGTCTATCGGAAGATGTAAGGTTGCCGATAGCAAGTCGCACTGTTGGCTTACTCTGATATCCCCAGGTGTCGACTGGCCAATATGGTCTCCATCTTGCGGGAATGGACGGCGCACCGGGCTTTACGGATCTTGCTGAGAAACTCGGCCATTATATCGTTCCAGCGAGCGGTAATCACGCTGTAGAGAAACCTACCAAAGCCGAATTTGATCAATGGAACCCATACTGGGGACCGGTGCGTGTCTCTTCGTATTTTGGAAGAGGAAATGCTGACCTGATCTTTGCATAGTTCTATCCACTGGGTGCTGTGAGTCGATCGTGCTGACTACAAGCATTTTCTGACTTTGAGTAGCTTTTGGATCACTATTCGTTCGTTTCTCTTCCACCTCTACCTGCGCCGTCGGCAGCATGGCAGGACAAGGAAACCTTTGGCATCATCGTTCACGAAGACACGGTCAACGCCGACGCAAAGACTAGGTCATTAAAGTTGGAGATGAAGCACCGAGGCGTAATTTGGACGAGTCTGTCTTACCTCTGCTCGTTGTTGCCACCCACTTATACTTTGACTAGTGTTGGCATTCGACGCGCATATCCTATCGTGGAACATTGACGATAACCCGCCGAAAGGCTATACACGCCACCACATCAAGGAGGCGTCTTTCTATGGCGTGGATTCATGGTCGCTCGAGTTGATGATCAAGACGGACCCGAAGATTCCACCGCACATGGTGGAGGAAGCGGCGGCAAACGCAGACGCTGGAGGTGTCAAATTGACCCTGAGCGGAATGGTCGAAGCGGAGATGTGGCCTGGGAAAAAGTATCTCTGGAAACAAGAGCAGGCAAAGCACGGATCAGCGGCAGTGGAGAACGGCGTGATGGACCTGTTTGAGCGGATATCCGACTGGATGGAAGAGGAAAAGAAGGGAAGCACCGACGTGTTTATGATGCATACCGTCATTACGGAGACGATCATCTAATGAATGTCGATTGGACAGATAGCATTCACAATATACGACAGAACCGGACGATGACTAGGCTCATTCTGAAGCTGCCATGACTAGAAGAATGTGATTAGATTTAGAGTAGTTGAGTGAGCGACGACGTACTGGCATTGATGAGATCGCCACCACTCGCTTTGAGGGCCTTGACAGCCTTTTTCCGCGAACAGCTCGTCTACACGGGAGATCAGTATTTGACTACTTCTTGCAAAGGAACATGGAATTACCTGGTTCATGACCAATTCGACCTCTTTGTCGTCGACCCCCGTCTCGCTCACTTCTCCATCGTCGTCTTCCTCTTCTGCCTTTTTACCCGCGCCTTCTACTGGTTCGAGCTCTGGAGGCTCGTCGTCGTCATCTCCCGACTTGCCAGCGACCATGGAGCTACTAGCCGCAGACTGTTGGGCGGCAGCGTTTGAGAGGTGTTGACCAAATGCGCCCTGACTCGACATATCCTCAATCTACAAATGCAAAGAGTACACATTAGCAAGCAGCTCTGTACATTTGATTCATATTGGATTCACCTTTGCCTCTCCAAAGACAATGTACGTGTCCGAGTTTGGACTCTTGTAAACGTCTGGCTTTGCAATGACGAATAGAATGTTTTTCGGGCGTCGGAGGGTAACACGCGTGATTTCTGGGACACGCTTGAGGCCGAGGGTGAGGAGCGCCTTGCGGGCTTTGCGTTCAGCACGCGATTGAATCTTTTCGAGTGCTGCTGCCGACGTTGGATCCTCGTCTTCACCATGGGAATGACCGTGCGCGTGGTCATGGTCGTGGTCGTGGTCATGGTCATGATCATGATCGTGCTCATGCGAGTGCGTCGACGACGGGGAGGATGGGACTTCTTCAATCGTCGCCATTTTTTACACGCGAATTCCGAATTTGAGAGGACGGGAGTGGCAGACTCAAGTCGGGTCAAGAAGGTTTCGATATCGTCTCTCGCTGCCACCATCCACACTCACAGTGGCTGAACAAGAATACAATGATAAATAAACTCATAACTCCTCTGAGATCATAACGGTACAAATATGTCATGTGCGTCCTCTAGTCGAGCTCATCGAAGCAGAGAGCGGGCTGCAAATTCAAACTCGTCTTTGAGGTCACGCTTCTCATGACTCTGATGTTCCTTGATTGCACCGTCTCATCCAGTGTCCTTGCTACTTCTTTTCCTGCTTCTCATCGTGATTATTCGTCGTTTGTCGTCCATTGACATTCAAGAGAGCCGCGGCTGCGTGATTGTTCTTGCCTGCTTGGCTCAGAAATTGTTTTCGACCGCATTCATGAGTGACTGACCGGTCTCTCTTATCATCAACGCGGGGAGAGGGGCCCCAGCGGCATCCCGAGTGGAGAGCACAGAGACGACGGTAATGAGAGCGAGAATAGAGAACTTCATGTCGATAACGAGCGCCTTGAAAAGAAAGAAGACTAGAAACATATTAGCGTCAAAGGTAGAAAGTTGGAAGCGCATACAAAGAGGCACCGGGCCGTTCGAATGAAGATGGAAAAGAGAAGAAAAATGAAGGAATGAGAGGAACTCGTACCTTGGACAGCGTTGGCTTTATACCAGCCTTACGATGCGCCGCCTAATAAACCAACAAGCGCGCGTACCTTTGCAACTCCCATGCCTTCAATGTTTTATTGTTGAATACGCCTGGAGTTAATGGCATCAATTTGCTTTCCGCCTTGAATTGACGGCATCGCTTTGAGTTGCGCGCTTCTAAGGCGGGCCAAATGCAACGGAACGCCAACTATATGCCCTAGGCGAAGCGTCGACATGCGATGCTAGCGATTAATCTAGGTAATTTGACACTTGGTACACCGCATGCGTTCTTACTCGTGATGATTAAGCCTTAAGTCCGACCCAGGGAGCGTTTGAGGTCTCGTGCCTATTATCTGATTCTTATTCATATCAAATAGTCAGGGATCAATATCTGGCTCACCTTCCTTCTCGAGTGAGTGAAACTGGCTACGTCCCGTTTGCCTGTACCAGAAGGTTCCAATATCATTTATCACTTTAGCAACCTAGATAAGTAACAAATCACTCAGACGGGGCAAAAACAACTGAATAAGGTAAGTGCCACCAACCAACGCTCCCCGACGCCACTCTCCGTGACGAGTGCTACTCCGCACCGTATCATACTCGCTACCTCCCAATCACTCATAGTGGTAGGAACAGAATGAGATCAAACGTAGACTTATATCCTTCTAAGGACTCCTAGGCGTCAATGAGCATTCTCTGTTCGAGCCTTTCAATGGAGTGATGGAAAATACCAAATTATTCTACAGCTAGAAATCTAGAGCTATGATGCAAACCCTATGTTCTGACGCCACTGAGCCTCCAGCCTTGCCTCCAAGTCCCGGATACTGTTCTGCCTCTGCCCTGTGCCATGAACTGCTTTTTGTGCTGCCTCTTTGCCAGCGTTTCTGGCCATTACTTTGCTAACCACGGGTGGCTTAGGAATTGGAGGGTGTGGGGGAGTGACTGGTGTGTTCGCTGGCCCAGCAACGGGGAGTCGAGGGAGTGGTTTAATAGGCTGCGTCAACTCCTCTTTACCATGTCTACTGCTGAGTAGGCTGTTATAGTCTCAGGTTAGGGCTCAGACTGTGATCGATTCCTCGTAAAGTTCATTTCAAATGCATTGGCATCTGTCGACTAAGCGACATTTATTAGAACGGTGCCACTCACGTGGACCTCATAGCTCGCTATCATTCTTTGCTTGAATCGGGAGAATAAACTTGCTCTCTGAGTCTACCGAGCAACGCTTATTCAGCAGAGGATGAATATTCTCATGTATTCAATGAGCCTCGAGCCATCAGTGAGTTTGTGTCACATGTCTCCGAAAGAGAGCATCGTAGAATATGTCACCAGATACAAGATTCTGACTTGGCCTGCAATAAGTATGGTACAATGCGAGATCGAGTAACCCTTGAACCATCTCGCTTGACAATACTCCCACATGTACAATGTACTAAAACAAGCTCCTGGCGTATAATTAAGCACAGCGGGTATCATCTGCGGGCTCAAGCCATTCCTATAGCCGCAGATGGTAGCGGGACGGGAATTGCGCCTCGGTATATCATCATCGCATCCTAATTAGAGCCTTGGACGAATCATCGATTTGACACCCTCTGGATCCAGTACGCTGATGGGATAGGGTAAGGGGGTCGAACGGGTGTGTTCCGCGCCTCCATCGACGGCGAGGATCTGTCCCGTAATAAAGTTGGCTGCTTCAGAGAAGAGGAATACAGCCGCATGTGCGATTTCGATCGACTTGCCAAGTCGTTGGAGAGGAGCTTGTGATTCGCCAGTTTCGACGGATCCATCAGACTTTCGAGCACCAAGTCTGCTAATCCCTGAGAAGAGGTTATTCAGGAGAATTGAAGAACAAAGTGGCTTGACATACCCTCTGTGCTATCGGTGAGTCCCGGGGCGATAACGTTACTTCGTACACCTCTTGGTCCCTCTTCTACAGCCAGAACACGACTGATTCCGTCAACACCGGCCTTTGCAGCGGCAACATGTGCTTGGAAAGGTGTACCACGGTATTGAAGGGTGGCTGAGATGTGAATGTACGAGCCCCTGGTAGCACGAACATGATTGAGTGTTGCCTTGACAGTGTTATATGTGCCAATGGTATCAATTTCAACGACGGTTCGGAATGCGTTGGAGGAGAGACCGGAGATGGGTGCCAGAAAGTTTCCAGCGGCACCTGTAGACGTATCAAGATATGAGAGAGAATGAGAATAGAGATGAGAAATGGACGCACCACAGATGACATAGTCAATCCTCCCAAACCGTTCAACGGTTTTTGCCACCGCCGCCTCGAGATCGGCGTATCTTCTCACGTCTCCAGGAACCGGGATACATTCCCTTCCGGTATTACGACTCATCTCTGCTGCGGCGGCCTCGAGGCGGACGGCGTTTCGGCCTAGTATGGCTGCATTCGCCCCAAGTTCCATCTACTCTTTGTCTGAGCGACTCGTATGTGGTGGAAAGAAAAGAATACCATTGTTTTCACGATGACCTTGCATATTCCAGACCCCCCGCCTGTGCAGAAGAGGACTTTGCCCTTGAAGAGATCCGGCTGGAATACGGAACTTGTTGCCGGCGGGAGAGGTGCCACAACTGCTTTTGCGGGTGAAGAGGACATGCCGAGTAACTAGGAGCAATATCAGCTTCAGCCAAGGATGCGATGCAATGGACAGCTCCACCTCAGTGATACGGGATGGCGAGCGTGATTCTTGGGATGTATCGAACTGAGAGTACCGGGAGCAAGTAAACGGGCGATTGGAGGGAGTGGTCAAAGCTCAAGGCTTAAAGACCCCGCCACCGTTCTTGTGGCCCTCTAAGGAATCCCGCTTCGAAATAGAATTTATCCGAGTAAAGAATCTGGGGAGTGGCGACCATGACAGTCGGCATGTTTACAGTTCGGCCACCTTGCGCCGGGACGTGAGTAAGAGCAACTGATGGACTTGGGTAGTGAAAATAATCCCGCAGTAAGGACCCCATGCTGGTTGGCAGGACAGGGATGCTTGTGGCGGTTGCCTGAATCTGCTTCCGATTGTTGAAAAGAGGCAGGCATTATTGTCCGCCCATTTCCTCCAATACCGTTCAATAGGATATCTTGGAGTAGGAGCGAGGCCTATTTCACGGTCGGGACAGCAGCCCACAATGCGTGCTGGGTTTAGTTTTTGCTGACATGTAACGGCAAGTTAACCGTGCATGTCACCTATCTAATTCCGACATTTTCGAAGATAAGGTGCGCCACCATGGGCGCCTTCACTTGAGCTAGCATTCGGTATTGGTATAGCGGTGAGGAAATCTAGAGATGTGATGCTGATATGGGCGTTGGTCAATAGCAGCAATCTCATGATCTCGGCATTGGATGTGCTAAACTTAACTCGGCCATAGATATCGTGCCCGGATCTCAGGGCGCATTCGCGTTTGACTAGATAACTTTGCAATAGGCATAGATACTCGAACTGTAGTTCCTCTACAGCTTGCCGCGAATCATCGATTTGACACCCTCGGGGTCTAGTACGCTGATGGGATAGGGCAAAGGAGTGGAACGAGTGTGCTCTGAGCCTCCGTCGACGGCGAGAACCTGTCCCGTAATAAAGTTGGCTGCTTCAGAGAAGAGAAATACGGCAGCATGTGCGATTTCGATCGACTTGCCGAGTCGTTGGAGAGGGACTAGTGATTCGCCTGTCTCGACGGACCCATCAGACTTTCGAGCACCAAGTCTGCTAATCCCTGAAAACAAGTTAATTAGGGGGGAACTGAAGAAGAGAGTGGCTTGACGTACCCTCTGTGCTATCAGTGAGTCCCGGGGCAATTACGTTGCTTCGTACACCTCTTGGTCCCTCTTCTACAGCCAGAACACGACTGATTCCGTCAACACCGGCCTTTGCAGCGGCAACATGTGCTTGGGAAGGTGTACCACGATATTGAAGGGTGGCCGAGATGTGAATGTACGAGCCCCTGGTAGCACGAACGTGATTGAGTGTTGCCTTGACAGTGTTATATGTGCCAATGGTATCAATCTCAACGACGGTTCGGAATGCGTTGGAGGAGAGACCGGAGATGGGTGCCAGAAAGTTTCCAGCGGCACCTGTAGATGTATCAAGATATGAGTGAGAATGAGAATAGAGATGAGAAATGGACGCACCACAGACGACATAGTCAATCCTCCCAAACCGTTCAACGGTTTTTGCCACCGCCGCCTCGAGATCGGCGTACCTTCTCACGTCTCCGGGAACGGGGATACATTCCCTTCCGGTAGCACGGCCCATCTCTGCTGCGGCGGCCTCGAGGCGGACGGCGTTTCGGCCTAATATGGCTGCATTCGCTCCGAGTTCCATCTATTCTTGGTCTGAGAGACTCGGAGGTGAGTAAGAAGTGGAAAATACCATGGTTTTGACAATGACTTTGCATATTCCCGAACCTCCGCCCGTGCAGAAGAGGACCTTGTCCTTGAAGAGGTCCGGCTGAAATATAGAGGTTGTTGGTGGCGGAAGAGGTGCCACGACTGCCTTTGTGGATGAAGAAGACATGTCGAGTAACTAGGAGCACTGTCAGCCTCAGCCAAGGACGCCATGCAACGGATAGCCCCACCTAAGAGATGCAGGGAGATCCAAAGTGGTAAGTATAGTTCTTTCTAGGGGACTCTGGGAGTGAGAGGATTAGGAATAAGTAAGCGGGCGGTTGGGGGGGAAATGGTCGAAGATCAAGACTTGACAATCCGCCACCCTTGGCTTTTTTGTTGGTCCCCGTGTGGCCCTGGAATCCAAAGCTTCGATGTAGAATTTATCCGAGTAAAGGCTCCGGACCGTGACCGGCCACCTTGCGCCAGGACGTGAGCAGGGATCACTGATAGTGAATGTGACCCCTGTGCTGGTCGTCAGGACAGGGTTGCTAGTGGCGGTTGTTTGGATCCAGCTTCTGATTGTTGTAAAGAGGCAAGCATTATTGTCTGCTTATTACCGTTAACGCCGTTTGAGTCATTGAACACCTTGGACTGATAGGGGTTTCTCCTCGTCGGAAAAATACCCCACAATGCGTGCTGTCTCGCTGGCATGCAACGGCAGGTTAACCGTGCACGTCACCTGTGACACTCTTACTGTCTCGAACCCACCACGGTTGAGCTGGCATTCGGTACCGAGAAATCGGTGAAGAAATTTCGCGATGCACTCTTGATAGAGGACGTCGGTTACGTAAACTCAGCTCTAAGCTTGCTAATTTTAACTCGGCCACCAGCTTCTCGGATCGCAGACAAATCCATGTTCGACTAGATAGCTTTGCAATAGGCATAGATACTCGAACAGTCGTTCATCTACAACTTGCCACGAATCATCGACTTTACGGCCTCGGGTTCCAGGACGCTAACAGGGTAAGGCAACAGTGTCGAACGAATGTGCTCGGAGCCGCCGTCGACGACGATGATCTGGCCTGTGATAAAGTTGGCCGCTTCCGAAAAGAGGAAGACGGCAGTATGTGCGATTTCAATTGATTTGCCAAGGCGTTGGAGCGGGATTTGGGATTCGCCTGTTTGGACGGACCCATCTGGGTTTCGAGCGCCTAGTCTGCTCATTCCTGATGGTCGTTTAGTGCGGGCTTCGTCTCGAGCAGTGGATCGTACACACCTTCTGTGTCGTCAATGGGTCCAGGAGCGATTACATTGCTTCGTACACCTCTTGGACCTTCCTCTACGGCGAGAACGCGGCTGAGTCCGTCCACGCCCGACTTTGCGGCGCTCAAGTGGGCTTGGTAAGGTGTTCCGCGGTACTGGAGTGTCGCCGAAATGTGAATGTACGCGCCCTTGGTGGCTCGTACATGGTCGAGCGTAGCCTTGATGGTGTTGTACGTCCCAATGGTGTCAATCTCGACAACGGTTCGAAACGCATTTGGCGAGAGACCAGAGATGGGAGCGAGAAAGTTTCCCGCGGCACCTATATCATGGTCTGAGTTTGTATAGGCGTAGCAAGAAGAGATGGACGCACCGCAGATGACAAAGTCAATCTTTCCAAACTGTTCAACCGTCTTGGCTGCAGCAGCTTCAAGGTCGGTGTATTTGCGTACGTCTGCAGGAAGAGCAAGGCATTTTCTTCCAGTTGCAGTGCTCATCTCGTTTGCTGCGCTCTCGAGGCGTGCTGCGTTGCGGCCTAGAATGGCAGCGTTGGCACCGAGTTCCATCTGCAAGACTAGGTCAATCTGGTTATTTGTTGGTGAGAGGAACTTACCATCGTCTGTACAATGACCTTGCATATCCCAGATCCTCCACCGGTGCAAAAGAGCACCTTGTCTTTGAACAGGTCTGGCTGGAATATGGCCTTTGTAGGGGGCGGAAGAGGAGCTACGACAGCTTTTGAAGAAGACATGTCGTCGTTGGGTCGAAGGAGCAGCCGGTAACCAATTGCCGGCGCCGGACTTGTGAACATTTGGTGGCTCCGATACTTCGGAGTTGGAATAATAGTGTGAATCTAACCTCTTGAAAGACTTGTTGAGATATTCGTGGCTGGCGATGACAGTCGACCAACGTTGGACCCAACGGCCGCAGCGGGTGGCTGCTCTGATCTGCTCTTTGGCCACCAATTTACAGACTATTTGTAGTGTATTCAACGTGGAATCAACACTAGACACTCGTTGGGAGCCACTCCACCAACGTCGTTGTGTATGTCACCGCGGACGCGCTGTTTATTTATCAAGTCTGGATGCTAATGAGGTTCTGATTACAGTAATTCCCAATGGAACACTCTGGCCCTACCCTCCCCGTCGACTTTGCGCCGCATCTCCTCGTCCGCATTTGCGATGCCATTCTCGAGCCCCTCCTCAGCCCTCAGTCGCCCCTAAAGCCCTATACAAAACCCTGGGGACGCGCTACAACCGCATCCTGGCAAACATCTTCTGCACTCCATTCCATGGGTCTGTCCATCCATCGCCCGTGGTATCTTTAAACTTACCACTAGATTCTAGATTCACCAGATATCTACACAAGCTCATCTAGAAGAGAGTCTGTCAATCTTGGTATCGGCACCAGAGGCTCCACCGCCTTGACCGCCAAGAGCGACATTCTCGCCTTTGTTTCATGTCGAAAGGACATTTGGATCGCATGTGGTGACATGATCCATCGCCATGTGCGTGTCAGCAGTCTGGCCATTGCAGACGTTCTTGTCAGTCGTCGAAGCTGCTTGACAAACACTAGGTACACGAGCTTCATCCAACCCGTGTCAAGTACTAAAGTACTCGTTTTTCAGAGTGATGGAACTATACATCACGCGCGAAATTGAAGCATCCCAGGCGCAGACAGACCTCAATCTCGCCCGTTTCTTCATCCAAGCGGGAATCCTACTCCTCTGGTCTCCTTGTCTACACACGATCATCCTCGATATCCGCGCTCTCCCCGCGGAACCTCATATATGGGCCAGCTTTATTAGCCGCCTGCGCCAACGCCTCTTTATCACTCCACCCCAAGTCCCCCCACAACCCGCCCGCACCCTCCACCCACGCGACAGTGCACTCATCGACTCGCTCACGGAAGCCAGTTTCCACGCCGAAGTCGGCCCACGCTGGACAGACTCGCAAGGCGTGTTCAACTCGCCCAACCGCGTTTCCATCCCACATTTTGCAATCGGACTCAGCTATGGACAAACGGGCAACATTCTTCGCGGATTCGGCGGAGTTCTCGACGCCATTTTTGCGCACCATCCGCCCACAGCGACGGAGAATGGGCTTCCAGGGATGCTTGCAAGGCCAGGTCATTTCATGACGAGCATTATTACGACGCGGAATCTCGCCACGCTCACGACACTCAATCTACTCGTCCCGCGTCCGGCATGGTCCCAAGAGGAGCTCGAAGGCATGACGCTCGGATTCGTCCTCCGTCGCCTGGCGAATCTACGCCACTTGGGCTTGCACGCCGATGGAAGCATTCAGCAAAACTCGACGAATGCAGAATTTGGACTCATGAGTCGGCCGCCGTATAATGGCGCTGGCATCGAGGGAGACAGTAGTGATGACGAGGCGGATATGGCCATTATGGCGGACGGGACGGTGACGTATCAGACGCGAAAGGGGAGTCTTGGTGGACATCAACCTTCTACACCCAACGTCACGGCGACTACAAATGTCAACCCGATACCAACGAGTCGGAGGATCGAAGTCGGTTCGTCTGGGTCCATCTCCTCTGAAGCTGGATACGGTGCCGAGCGGTGGTGGGCCGGCATTTTCCACGCGCTTTCCGTGCCCGAGGGGTACGTCGAGGAGCAGTTGGGAATGAAAGCCGAGTTTGCGCAGAGCATCCATACACTCCGAATCTCTGTTGCTGTACCTGGAGGAAACGTCGAAGTGGCGCATTTCGACGCGTTTTTCGAAATGGTCGTGCCTTATTTCCAGAATATGGTGTCGTTGCAGACGCTCGTGTTTGACATGTCGTTTGCGGCCCCCCAGCAGAGTGATTCGCTCATGATTTGGAAGGGCGAGGGCAGTAAACGGGTGTCGCCTTATGATCGACAGCGGTATTATGTCGAGCGCGTCCTGGATAGGAGCGCGTCGTCCCTTCCGTTTGTGGGTTCCGGCGTCGGCAAGCCGATGCTCACGAATTACTTGTCCGAGCCGACGACGTCGAGGACGAGTATGGGGGCCGGGAGGGAGAATAAACGGTTTACGCTCGATGATTCTACCTCTGAGTCGGCGAGGAAAGAGTTTGGCGATATGGGGAGTGCAATACCGATCCACGTGGAAGGAACAGGGGGCTCCAGTGACGAAGTTTTCGCGCCGAGTTTGCGACATGTCTATTTTGGCGAGTATTATGGGTTGCCACCGTTTGCGCCGAGTGATTGGGAGACGAGCTTGCGTGATGGGTCCTCGACCGTTCCACCTCCCGGTACGTCTTCTCTCTCTTCCGTATCCATATCTAACATATTTTCTTTGTTGTAGGCACAATCGTTGATGGTGCGCATTCGCTTGGAGAGAAAAAGTCAAACCCGTCGTTTATCAAGGGTGTGACGGATAAGGCGACGTCCAATAGTTCGAACAGTACGGCGAATGGACGCGTGAATCGCGATATTTCGCGGAGTTTGCCTGGGATGTGGTGGACGATTGCGCCGTTGGAAGCTGTTGGTCCTGGTATGTCGAGGGTTACACAGGGTTGGAAAGAGTCTGTTGGGGATTGGATATAGGCCCATTGCCCGCCTACTCGAGCCTGGCCACCTCCAGAGCTCGTGACTATATGTTTCATATCGTGTTGTATTTTTTGGTTGTTCGCTGGTCTACACATATACCGCCGATTATTCCCGTCACTTTGTGGTTCGCATTGGTCACCTGCGGCGGGCAAGTAGTGCGCCGAGACCATGAGATCCGGCTGACGTCTTTTGGATCCAGCCACTTCCAGCTCGGGTAAAGAGATATTTGATGGTCATTTGTAAAAGATGAAAACACATATCAGTGATGCCAGTACGTGTTATCATTCTGTAAGGATTTTCACCAGGAGTGGCGAGCTTTTTCTTGGGTGGCGACGTTGTCGTCTGGAGCGGGAGTAGAGTGGAAAGGATATTCACGTGTCGTTAGATTTCCCAAAGAGCGCGGATGGACGGGTTTATCATCTAGGAATCAAACCTGGAGAACTTGCGAATCGCATTGTAGGTCTCACTCCCAGTGGTCCGTGGCAAAACCAACGTATATTCCAGATTACCGTCGGAGATCCAGCGCGTGCCAGGACAATTGGACGATACTTGGACCGACAAGCGACGGCTAAAGCTGTCGAAAACGTACAAGACCAGGCTGAGAGCGGCGTATCCGGGAACCACAACGGCGCGCATGCCAATGACGCACCTCTGAGCGTATTTGAACTCTACTCGGAGCGTGGATTCTTGACGATCACGGGCACGTACAAGGGTACACCCGTCAGTATCGTTAGTATCGGCATGGGCTCGGCCAATATGGATTTCTTTGTCCGCGAGGCTCGCGAGGTGCTCGATCAAGCGGGTGCAGGAGATATGGTCGTCATTAGGTGCGTTCAGGTTGCCAGAGTTTTAGGGAGAAACATGATACGTTGGATAGATTTGGTTCCTGTGGGTCGTTGGTAGACGACTTGCCTGTGGGCAGCTTGACGGTTCCCAAGACGTCGCTTTGCGTGACGAGAAACTATGACTTTGATTTTATGCAAGAGGAGGGTCTGGATGCGGCTCGACCTGATTTCATGGATGCCTATCGGATTTCCAAACCCGTATGTCGCCTCTCTTGACTTGCTGCCATTTCCACTTATGATGAACAGGTCAGAGCAGACTCGGTTCTTCACGATCTCGTAGGTGGAATGCCCAATGATGGAGCATTATACTCACTCGTGTAGCTAGTAGCGATACTCCGAGAACATCTTCCGTCAAGTACGCCCGTCGTGGACGAGCATCTCAATGCGTCTGCGGATAGCTTTTACTCTTCACAAGGGCGCATTACCTCATTTCCCGATCATAATACCGGGTTGATTGATCACCTTGCGGCGTGCAATGTTGGGTCATTAGAGGTATACATGCCCTGCTTGCCATCCTATGATTACTGACATACCATTAAGATGGAAACGTTCCATTTGCTTCATTTGGCCGCGAATTGGCCTCGGCCACACGCTCCCTCAACGCAAGTGGCTGAGAAAAATGGTCAGGAGACAGATCAAGGTGCTGAACCCGTACCTCCACCACCAACCAGTATCGCCGTGGACCCACTCATCCTGCCCTCCGACAATCCACTCCCAACGCAGGACACAGAGGAAACGATTCTCTATCCGAGCCCGCAACAAAAGACTGCTTCTTCGGCATCTCAACAACATAAGCGTATTCGAGCGGCTGCAGTCCAGATGATCTTTGCCGAAAGGGGATCGCGAGCGTTTATCACGCCACAAGAGGTCGAGGTCCTGCAGGAAACGACGAGCAAGGCATTATTGGAGACGTTGATCAGATGGGAGGATGTAAACTAATTGGATTTGTATATCTGGTCCACTTCACGAATGAAGCATACTGAGGCTTGAACCCGACGTCAACTTTGAATGAAACCGCTGTCGCTCACGTTTCTCGGAACATGTTCTGGTGGAGGACCGTTGATCTCACGCGCGTGTACAGCGACCGCGCTCAACTTTGAATCGCATTCATGGCGTACGTTTTAATGGCGCTTCAACTGTGCGGCCTTTTTCGACCAATTTTCTGTCATTAAAACGCATACCTGACTATATCTGCGCAATGTAAACAGTGATTGATTGTGCCGAGGGTACACAGACTCAGATTCTGCGTTCACAAAATGTGCGCGTCGCAAGGATCGACCGTGTCTTTATTACGCACATGCATGGTATGCCTATCCTTCTCAAATTGACTGATAGATTTACAAATTGGGTAGTGGACCACGTTATGGGCCTCATCCCGCTCATACGAAGTGCAATGTACGGCGGCACAGATTCACCCTTTTCTCCAGGTGGAAGTAGCCATTCCCCGATACGGATGCACGTCTATGGACCACCTGGGATCCGCAAATTTGTCCGTTTCAATCTTCAGATTACCGAAGTGGGTCTCTTTGGCAAATTCGCCGTGCACGAACTCTTGCAAATGGACGAAGCGCCGTCCACCGGGTGCAAAAATGAGGATATGCACGAAAACGAAGTTGCTGGACAGGATCTCATCGCGGGTGAGGATGGCCTTTGGAGGAATATTTTGGAGGCTGGCGAATGGTCCGTTGACGCTGGTCCAGTCACGCATCGTAGTACGCTTCCTCTGCTCTTACTCTTTACAGTTCTGATGCGAATACAGCGCGTTCTCTGGGCTATGTCTTCCGCGAACGAGGCTCATCAAGCATCGGCGGCGCAGCGTACATTGCTGCCATTGATGCCAACGACGCTCAGCTACGCGCCAATGGACACCGTAACCCACGCTCTCTCCTCTCTGTTCTCCTCAAAAAGCGCCAGCCAGTCTCGTTACCTGACGGCACCGTACTCGAGCCACCACCGCTCGATATACCTGGACGCAAGATCGTTATCCTGGGCGATACCAGCAACTCGGACAAGATGATTCCAATAGCCATGGATGCAAGCGCGTTGGTGCATGAATGTACGAACGCGTATATACCGAGGAACGTGGCCAATAATGTAAGAGGGATGAATGGTCGTGGCACAGAGGAGATTGTAAAGGCCAAAGCCATCTCAAGGGGCCATTCAACAGCTAACATGGCAGGCGAATTCGCAAAGAAGATTCGTGCCAGGAGGCTGTACATGAATCACTTTAGCACACGGTCTGTCTAGGTTCCTTTGGGAATCTATCTGATTACTCATGGCGTAGCAGATTCAGCCCTGGTGGTCAATCACCGCATCCGGGTATTGGGCGAGGCAAACCCAGCTCAGCGCAAAAGGAGGCTGCACTTGTCATGGCGGAGATTGAAAGGCAAGCAAGTGAGGCTTGGGGACTCGGAAACGCCGTCGCAGCAAAAGACCTACAAATAGTTGATATACAGCACCACGAGGTAGTTCTTCCCACACCACCATCTACCTCATTTCCGATAGAACAGAAGGTGTCGACATCCACGCAAGCTATAATTCTAGATGGGGGAGGGGAGGAAGCCTGGGAACGTCGAATCGAAGAGGAGGTCAAAGCGGAGCTGTAATCAAATGACTTCTCGTGAAATTATTCTACAAGCTAATATACATCGCTTTATCTACCAAACTCCGCTCGTCAGCGGACAAAGTGAATGGAGCAGAAAAACTCGTATTAGTCGTCGAAAAGGGGCGAGAACTGATCAGAAGGGTGTCGTTGCGTGGGTGGAAATGAGTCCGCTTGTGTTGTTGGTGGGAAGGCTTCGTCAAGATTGTCAAACTCCATCCGCCCACCATCTTTGGGTCTCGCGTCGACCCTCCCTCCAGAGCTTACTGGCGTGAACTCCTCGTCATCAACAATCATCATCTCTTGTATCTCTGCCTGGCTCAAGTTTATTAAGCTATCCAGACCCGCATCCTTGAGCACTTGTGAAGGCTGAATAGACTGTGACGCGGGATAGAACAATGGCTCTGCGTCTCCGTTGGGATGCTGAGGACCTGGACGTGGAGTCGAAGTCACAATGTTGTGGAATGATGGCTCCTCTATGCCTCTTCCACGAGAGTCTTTTGGTGCGTGGAGGTCCAACGGAGTCGCTGAGCGCGAAGGGTGATTCAAGGGGGCATTCTTTCTTCTAGTGGATGCGGGCATCCCTTCGTATCCATCGCCCTCTTCGCGCATCCGCTTTCTCGAGGTGTCCACCAGTCGATTTGATGAACTTGGAGTGTAACCATCGGTATCTCTGTGTCTGCCATCGTTGGTGTTTGCAGATGTGTGCGACATTGGCCGCTCCCCATCGTGTTCACTCTCGGGTACGATCCGAGTGGACAGCGCGCAAAAGGCGCTGTAAGTCCCTAGAGCATGTTCGAATGTGAAGAAAATGGGTGCACCCTTGGATGTGAATCGGACGACCACGTCGGTGCCGAGTGCTTCGGCGACTGCCATCGTGGCCTATCGATGTGTAAGACAACCAGCACGGCAGAGGTATTCAACCAACATTGAGCTCTTTAAGGTGCAGGGCCAAGGTAACAGGAGCATAGCTCACGTCGTAGAACTCAAACTCTGAGCCAGCAAGACTCAATTGACTATTGAGAGAGCTGTAAACTTTGTCGCGTTAGAGGGTCCCTCCAGCACAGTGTCAGACGCACTCAATGTTCCATCATCGTCATCCTCGTCTGCGGCACGTCGCTTGGCTTTTCCGCCAATCCAGTCACCCTTGCCTTGATTCCACCTATCTTCTGTTTTCATCGTCACGTTGTCGTCGAAGAACTGCCAAATTAGGATTGGCTCTGAGTATCCGCTCGATTTCTTGTCCGGCCTTGGAAAATGTTCGATGAGCTCTTTTAGAGTGCGACCACCGATTTGAAGCTTGTTTGTTTCGTCGTCTGTTGGGGCGGTGGGAGAGCGCACTGAGGTTGTGTCTGAGATGGGGAACGTGTGCGTCTTGATGACCCCTGTATGATCTCGGTCGTGAGGGGAGCCAGATTTGAATGTAGCCTACACATACCGTGCTTGTAGTGTAGTTTGACCACGAGTCTAGTCTCGACGCTCTCGATGGCACCGCTTGATGATCCCGGCTCAACGCCTTCGATAAACTCGAGATGACACTTTTCAGCTGACTTGTCCACGCCCGACCCCCTTAGAACAGTTAAAAGTGGCTAAAGAGTCATCAGTATCAGTTCTATAAAGAAACGAAAAGTCACGCATTGGAGCTTGTACATACCTTGCCAATGATGAGCCCTACGACCTGTCGAATTTCCTCTACCTCTCATTCGTGAACCACGCCTCTTCTCGCTCTCATTGACGGCTTCGGCGGTGTGCCAACCCTGTATCCCTTTTCAAAGAACGTCCTAAAGAACCTAAAGCGACAGAAAGACGTGGAATTGACGCCGAGAACGCTCAAAGAGAGCCACTCAGGCGTCGCGTGAAGTGTAATTTCATCGCCATATCGACATAGGCACGCCAGCGCCTTGGTGAACGCTTTTCGTCGAGCGTTCTTGAGTTTAGTGCGTAATAGACACAGATTTCTTACGCTTTAGTGAGGATGAACCGATGGAAGCCTGCATTGAAGGTTCTGGGATCGATAAAGTTGGAAGCAAGCAGCAACCACATCTTGACCTCTCCGATGTCTGACCACGACAGTCCTCCAGACGACTCGACAGCACCAGTGTCTGCTCCTGTAGCGAAGGGATCCCCAAACGACTTTTTGAAAGCAGTCGTGGGCAAACGCGTCGTTGTCCGCCTCGTTTCTGGCGTCGACTACAAAGGTCAGACTTTGGTCACTAGTTCAATAGAGACTATTTCTTGGTTGGCTTCACTCTCTGATACTATTATGCGTTTCTATAGGCGTCCTCCAGTGTCTTGATGGATACATGAACATTGCGATGGAGCAGACAGAGGAGCACGTAAACGGTGTGATTACAAACAGATACGGAGATGCTTTCATAAGAGGGAATAATGGTGGGCGAATGCGAATCTCATGGCGCGCTTCTAACCGTTCGCAGTCCTGTACATATCTGCGGGCGAGCCTATTTGAGTGTTCGCTGGATGACATCTGAGCATGCAAACCCACTTCACTTCACTGAATTATCAGATGGGAACCGCGATCGGGATGCGCAATGGCCGTCCGTCCATGGAGACAGAACGTGAAGCAAATGATCTCAATCCTCGAGATACATCGCCGTGCACTGAGCAACGCCAAATTTAGGGTATATTCAACCACGCGTAGCGCGAGAACTCGAGCTCGCAGTAGTGGTCGTCCAATGGTAACAACTTGCCTCCAAACCATGGGAAACTGACATGGTTGTGCGGGAGTCGCATGGGTTCACGGGCACTATGCTGACATTCTGGGAAACGGTGGGGTGTGTTAGCCTCACCATGGCTGCAAATAAAAGCCTTGCATAGTTGCTATTTGGCTTCATCCTTCGTGCAGAATATCCTCAATATGCGTTTCACTCCCAATTTGCTTCTAGTGGCATCACTCCTCGCGTCTAGAGCCTCGGCGAGCTCCTTCACTTTCATTCAACCTAACACAGACAGGTTGAAATGCCTGACGGCCCCGGGGTTCTATAATGGTGCTCGTCTTACTTTCTCAGATTGCATGGGTGGGCAAGAATTTCAGAATATTGACACCGAGAGCGTGCCCGGTCGTTTGTCCATGGCCAACGGCACAATGTGTTTTGTATGTGCCATTTCCTCAGCGCTGTCATTCAGAGTTTCATTTATCGGTGCAGGATGTCGTCGATGGCATCAAGTCGAACCAAACAGCGATTCAATTATGGGAGTGCGCCGATGGAAACATAAATCAAATGTGGGAATTCCTACCAACCGGGCAATGGGCAGTAGCAAAGTACGTAATCACTCAAATCACAAGAAATCCTTACTGATTAGCTCCTCGCAACAGTTATAGGTGGAAAGGTCAAGATATGTGCATGGTAAGCTCTATGAGATGAAGGATAACTAGCTGATATACGACAGTGCTCGAACGTTACTTCAGGAGCGGACGGCAATGTGACGATCTTTAGTTGTATGCCGAACAGTCTGAACAAGGAATGGGTCACCCTGTCCCTGCGGTACAGTTGATACAGAGTAGCATCAGCTCTGTATATATCCTACAAAGACCAGGCCAAGCTGTACCTGAGCTCTTTGTGGAAGGCTGGCTTTGAAGCACACGTATTGGCTACACGGTCCGGTGCCTTCACTTGAGTCTGAAGTATCATTTATGGAAGAGGCCTAATGCTTTTAATATGGACAAGGGCGAGTCGCACGGTCCAGACGGCGATATAGATAATGTTCCTATGCCTTTGGGGCATGCTTCGACTTCAAGGGATGTATAGATCGTTTACGAGTATTGCCTCAATTAGGAGAACACATAAAATTGTTTGGAATAGCATAGCGAGTTCCTTCATCCTATTATCCCTCCAACTTGGGCAATCATGCGAATCGTATCTTCGTATGCATCGATTCTGTCTTCGTATCCAACTTGGCCCTTCATGACTTCGAGATCCCATCCGTGTCCAACGCCCTTAACGATCCGCCCGCCAACTTCTTTTCCCTCCGCCACAAGCCGTCGTCTCAGTTCTTCGGCCCTCAGATGTAGATGATCATACTCCGCAGTATACAGGTTGAATATAGGTGGAAAATCTTCCGTCTTAGCGCAAGCAGGTGATATCTCTGGCCGTCGTCGTAGCTCGTCCTTGCGTTGCTCCTCCTGTTCGGGTGTCAGGCCAGAAGAAAGCGTTGGAGAAAAGAAGTGGGAGGCAATGATCATATCGTCTACAAACTCTGGGTTCCCCGTGCCCGGCCATGTCTTCACCCACGGTTGTGGAACTTTGACCCGTTCGCCTAACCAAGTCACGACGGGGTAGAGTACAGTCATCCCCTTGACTGGAAATGTGGTAAATGGTTCTGTAGAGTTGGACGTTATATGGGCTTCGCGCTGCTCTGCGCACAACTTGACCGCCAACCCAAGTCCAACAGTTCCACCTGCACTAAATCCTGAGAATGTAATACGGTCAAGATCAACACGAAGCTCTTCGGCGTGTTGGACGACATAGTCGTATGCATCTCGTCCATCCTCTGCGTCGGCTGGTGATGGGTGTTCCGGGGAGAGCGCATAAGAGCAGTCGAGAAACGTCACTGGGTACTCCCTGTCATTCAGAAGTGGGCTGCTCATTATAGCGCGAATGAGCGCTCCATTCTGACCTTGGAGGGGGAGAATCCACCCCGAGCCTGGGATCTTCAGCTGGTAGCCTAGCCAATTGGAATGATGGTTCTTACCGTGCCAGTTGAAATGGACCGCAGAGAGGCCAGTTGTGAGTTCTTGAGCAGCCTTGTTTCTATAGACGCGAATCTGGATGGTGCGGTTGCCTCTGGTTGAAGGGACGACGAGCGTCTCGTGTGGTGGCTCGATGGGATCAAGATATCCAACTGCTCGACCGAGGTGTATCCCGAACATGGCTACTGCGCGAATGATGTTTGTCGCGGCGTAAAGTTTGACATAGTTGGCGCGTCCAGTTGTCCCCCTTGGGTTCATCACTCTCCAATGTGAGGAAAGGAAAGGAACGCATGTGTTTGGTTGGCAGGGTTTAAGTTGGCAGGTCTTTATAATGATTGGAGCTGCGCCTCACGGAGATAGCGGCGTAAAGGGTCTGTCGGCGTCTGTTGCGCTAGAAGATGCAGTCACTTTAGTAAATATTGCGAGCGTGATTACGATGCATTGACGACCGGTCTTCTCCTTGGTTGGCGCGACCCAACCTCAATTTGTCGATCATTTCAAAAGTCCGAAGCCATGGCAGCGTCCTACTATCTACTTGCGTCGTTGAATATTAGACCATCACTGAGCTCATGTCAAGCACTTTGGATCTTGAATAATGACGACTTGTCCAACCAGCAGGTGGTCGAGAACAAAGTTGGATCCCACCGCGACCGACATCGAACTGGAGAGCATCTTGAAAGTATCTCTGTCACCTCGAAATGCTTCTGTAATCAACTATCCACCGGCAAATTGCAGGAAGCCATGGCAAACTTACGACTTGCAACGCATGTGGGGTGTCATCTTACTACACATGCACGTCTACCCACCCATTTGTGCCTCTGGATACTCTTCAACTTGTTTCTCCCGCGATTCGTATGGGTTTCTCTCTTCCCGCTGCTCGCTCGACGCGCGACTTCACGGAGGAAGGGTGTCATGAGGTCAGGATTTCCCTATTTGATCAAATTCCCAATCCTTATGATCACATAGATTGTTTGTTTCACGTTCACCTTCTTGCCTGGCCTGGGCTCGCGCTCCCAATGACATTCGGAAGGAGTTTACTGCCGGGATCAACGGAAGCCGCCAGTCATGGGAGAAAATACATTTCTCTTTGGTTTACTTTGCTATGCTCATAGCGCCCATCAAACCTGGGGACCAATGATTCAGCATCCGAGCGTCGCGCAGGACCCAGATTCGACGACGCGCAACACTATTCTTGGACAACCCACTCTGTAGCCTCTCGATCGAGTCGCGACTCCGAAGTCCGTCCCATCGGTCGGCACATTTCAGGGCAATGGATCATGAGGACACCAACGTTAGACGACTTCGCCATGCAGAGTGTGAGAGTCCGCTTTGGTCGCGTATGATAATTAATAATCATAAATATTTCCAGACGGCACCTGCGTTGGTCCGAGGGTTCTTCATTTCGAAGGGTACCGGCCAGGGGGCGCCGTAACTTGTGTTTTAGATCCCGAGCCTGCCTCTTGCTCAAGATAAAAGGAGGCAATTTTCGTCGTCCTATCCTCATCGTCGTCTCGTCGATAACAAGGATGCAGCTCCTCAGTTTGATCCCACTCGCCGCCACTCTTTTCAGCGTTACCCTCGCGTATCCAGCTCCGGTTTCAAACATAACCGCGCGTGCCCCTTCATCTTTCACTCATCCTGGTGTCCTGCTCAGCTCCTCCCAGCTCGACTTTATCCGTACCAAAGTCAACTCTGGTGCACAACCATGGTCGAATGCGTACAGCTCTATGCTCGGACACGCTCTTCTCTCGCAATCCCGCACCCCTTCGCCTCGCTCTGTCGTCGAGTGTGGTTCTTACTCCAACCCCAATAACGGGTGCACGGAGGAAAGACAGGACGCTCTCGCGGCGTACGGAAATGCACTGGCATGGTATATAAGCCAGGATAGCAAGTATGCGAAAAAGGCCATTTCGTACTTTAACGCTTGGGCGGGTACGATTACGGACCACACCAACTCCAACGCCAAGCTCCAGACGGGCTGGGCTGGTACGTCGTGGGCAAGGGCCGCAGAGATCATTCGATATACATACACTGGTACGTCTTGCATTCTACCTGGTGTTTCCATGACCGACATAGTACGTAGGATGGTCTTCGAGCGATATCACCACGTTTTCGAACATGTTGCGCAATGTGTACCTCCCAGAGATTATTGGAGGCTCGAATAGTAACGGCAACTGGGAACTCGGTCAGCTCATTCCATACCTTGGTCGGTTTCTCTAACAAATCTCTAGTCATGATGGAGGCAGCACAGGCCATTTCAGTCTTCCTCGAGGACAAGACTAGCTACGACAAAGCGATGACAAAGTACCTCGGCCGTGTTCCCGCCTATGTCTATCTCACAACCGATGGTGACTATCCAAAGGGCGCACCCGGGAGCCCCCAGACTACGAAAGCGGCAATTATCGACTACTGGCAAGGTCAAACTACATTCGTTAACGGTATTGCTCAAGAGACGTGCCGCGACTTTGTTCACACTGGATACGGCATTGCATCCATCGGCCACGTCGCGGAGACGTCTCGTATCCAAGGTACGGATCTCTACACTGGAGATATCGGCACACGCCTCCGCTATGCTCTCGGTTTTCACTCGCAGTATGAGTTGGGAGCCTCAGTTCCTACTTGGCTCTGCAATGGCGATCTGAACCTAGGCTTGGGACCGATCACCGAGATTGGGTTCAACGCTATGAACACTAGGCTTGGATATGCGATGACGAATACCCAAACGCTAACGCAGAATCAGCGTCCTGCCGGGACGAATTTGCTGTTCGTTGGGTGGGAGACACTGACGCATGCGGGGAACACGGCATAAAGAGAGATCTCTAGCAAATTGTCTTCTTAATCTGACATGGAATCACAAAACTCATTCGCTTGACCGAGACTTAACTTCGATTTAGTCCAGTCGTGTTTTGACCTTGTGACGAATATTGGATGGGCATTACTGGTACCTCTCTCGTGATGAGCCTACTATTAGATGTGGAACCACCTTTTGAGTGTTTACCTGACCAAATGGTTCACTACAACACTCACTCGCTCTCACCAGCAGGTGGTCGAGAGCAAGCTGGATCCCACCGCGACCGACATTGGAATGGAAACCTGCCATTACGAGCCTCTATTGCACAAAATGTCTCTGTGAAAACAAATTCATCCAGAAACCGGAGGAAATGTTGCCAAACGATGACCCGTATTCTGAATGGGACAATATACCTCGATACGGGGACACCTATCCGTCAATTTACAGTCAGAGATGCTCCTGGCTTCGTGCTCTCGCGAGTGAGGCGGGATTTCCTCTTCCCACTGGTCGCGCTACGGACTTCGCAGAGGACGGATGTCATGAGGTCAGCATTTTCGCATTTAAACCCCATATAGATACTTATATTGATAAATATTTGCTCTTTCACGTCGCTTCCGGGTCGGCGTTGGGCTTGCGGTCTCAATGATTCTTGGAAGGAGCTTGCCACCTATGCTAAGCGAAAACATAAGTCATGGGAGAATTCATGTTTCTCTTCAACAGAGTTTGCGGTGCTCATAGAGTCCAGCGTGTCCTAATTCATCGCCCGAGCGGTGCGCCGGATCCAGACCCGACAAGACGCGAGCTTTATTCAATCATCGACCTTTCAGCCTATTCAAGACACCGAAGTCCGCCCGTCGGTTGGCGCATTTTAGGGCAATGGATCATGAGGACACCAACAACAGACGCCTTCCCGATGCAGAGTGTGAGAGTCCGCTTTGGTCGCATATGACGATGAATGACCATGATTATTTCCAGAAGGTACCTACGTCGGCTCGAGGACTCGTAATTTAGAGGGTTCGCGGCCAGGGGATACCGCACCTTGCGGTTTTCTATCTCGAGCTGACCTCCTGCTCAAGATAAGAGGAGACAATTTGCATCTTGAGGGCATTATCGTCGCCTCTTCGATATCAAGGATGCAGCTCCTCAGTTTGATCCCGCTTGCTGCCACTCTTTTTGGCGTCGCTGTCGCGTATCCAGCTCCAGCGTCAAACATTACTGCACGTGCACCCGCATCCTTTACTCATCCTGGAGTTCTACTCAGCTCCTCACAACTCAACTTTATCCGCAGCAAAGTCAACGCTGGGGCACAACCATGGTCCGACGCGTACAGCTCCATGCTTGGACACTCTCTTTTGTCACAGTCCCGGACACCATCGCCTCGTTCGGTCGTCGAGTGTGGATCTGGGTCTCAGAACCCGGGGAATGGGTGCAAGGAGGAACGACAAGATGCACTCGCGGCATACGGAAATGCATTGGCGTGGTATGTGAGCCAGGATAGCAAGTACGCGAAGAAGGCAATCTCGTACTTTAACGCTTGGGCGGGTACAATCACGGACCATACCTACTCCAACGCCAAGCTCCAGACGGGCTGGTCTGGTACATCCTGGGCAAGGGCTGCGGAGATTATTCGTTATACATATACTGGTGAGTGTACCTCTCTATGTGCTTCTCATATCTGATGCAATACGCAGGCTGGTCTTCGGGCGACATCACCAAGTTTGAGAATATGTTGCGCAACATCTATCTTCCTGAGATAATCGGTGGCTCGAATAGTAACGGAAATTGAGAGCTCGGTAAGTTTCCTCGTCATTTCATCAATCTCTCCAACGCCTTTATAGTCATGATGGAAGCAGCGCAAGCCATCTCCGTCTTTCTAAATGATAAGTTTAGCCATGACAAGGCGATGACAAGGTTCCTCGGCCGCGTTCCCGCCTACGTATACCTCACAACCGATGGCGACTATCCAAAAGGCGCACCTGGGAGCCCCCAGACTACGAAAGCGGCGATCATCGACTACTGGCAAGGTCAAAGCACATTCGTCAATGGCATTGCTCAAGAAACCTGCCGTGACTTTGCACACACTGGGTATGGAATCGCTTCCATCGGCCATGTTGCAGAAACGTCTCGTATTCAGGGGACGGACCTGTATACTGGAGATATTGGCACTCGCCTCCGCTATGCACTTGGTTTCCACTCGCAGTACCAACTAGGAGCATCAGTTCCTAATTGGCTCTGCAACGGAAATCTGAACCTAGGCTTGGGACCGGTTACGGAGATTGGGTTCAACGCCATGAACACTAGACTTGGATACTCGATGACGAATACTCAAACTTTGACGCAGAATCAGCGTCCTGCTGGAACAAATCTCTTATTCCTTGGATGGGAAACGCTGACTCATGCGGGAAATACGGCATAGGAGAGAGTATCTACAAAGTTTTCATTGTATTTCGACAGGAATCACACGCTTGCTCGCTTTGAGAATCGAAACCTCGTGCCTAACTAAACGAGTTCAACCGATAAGTACATTATAATGCTGCACCGTTTCGTTCTCAGGTCTGATTTAGCCCGCTCTTCAGGCGTCACTTGTCCGTCCACACCGAGAAGCAGCATAAAGCTATATGGTTGAGTATCAAGAGTGTAGAACAACGAGAAGAGTTATGTGTTCAGCTGGGGGTACTAGTCAAACGACGAAACTTAGACCTGACCCCATTATAGTCGCATAGCTGCACCGCTTAGAGCTGAATAAGTCTCCCATGAACTATGGGCCGTGCTTATGAACTGTTTCACCTGTCTTGATAGAGATGAAGCCGTGGCTGGAGCTCCGCCGCTAGTTGAAGCTAGATTCAGCGGCAGACATCCGTGTGATTCTCAGTCTATTCCAATGAGAATCATTATGTCAAACTCCTTGAGGGATGACTCAATTCATGGGAAGTCGGTAAGCTCTCCTTGAAAGCGGTGTTGACATCTCTGATTGCCTGCGCGCACACTGCGCCCATAGTCGCCCCTTATTTGTGAAACTAGGCTCTTTCACATTCTCCGCGTGGCACGGCGTTGATCGACTCTAGAATTGATCGACAGTGGTCCCGGCAGCCCCACACCGACGTCCCAACAGCTTCCCACTGGTCGACACTCTCTCCTCCCATAGACTGACAATTCCATCTCTTCGTGGTTATCGCGAGAGTTACGTCGTAAATATGTAAGACTGAGGAACGAAACCTGTCGCCCGCCCAACTGGACTCTCGGGAAATGCCTCAATAGTCGAAAGGGCACCTCATCGCTTCGCATGTCCTGTTTCAAATGATCTTTGCGGAGATTGGGCTCAACGCGATGAATACGAGGCTTGGTTATGGGATGGCAAACACACAGATGTTGACGCAGAACCAACGGCCCGCGGGAACGAACTGGCTGTTCCTTGGATGGGAAACGCTTACACATGCGGCCAATGCGGCATAGAAGGAAACAACTAACGGATGACATAGTACTTTGATACGGTATCATAACTTCACTGCCTTTGGCCAAGTAAATAAATGCTTATCTGGTCAGGTGCTCGCTTAGAGGAAGTTGAAGGAGAGGTATATCAACTGATAATATCGACGTTCATGATCTAAGAAAAGTCGCAACGCGTCACACCTTTCCCCGACGCGATGCTCAGCCATAAAGCTTGGATCAAAGCGGCGACCATCGAATGGGCTGGTTGAGGCATCTGTATAGATGATATGATAGGTAGGTGATACTATCAGGGGTTCTAAGTGGTCGTAGTGCGTCATTTGTTCCAGTACAAGTTCGTCCCTAACCCAACTAAAGTTGGACCCGACATTGAAGATACTCTCTCCGTAATGTTGATGATTAACAATCAACATGTGAAAACCCATCAACCACAAGGAAGGCGCTTATTTCGCGCCTTTATTAGCGCCGTTTGATCTTTGCGGTCATCATCTGGTATGCCATCGTCAAAAATCCGACCACTTCAAGATAGCCCCACCCATTGTCCATCTTGGATCATAATTCACTTTGAATGCGACGCTTTTACATAATTCAACTCCCTGCATCCTTCATCCTGAGCGGCGCTAAATAGAAGGGGGAGTGCCGATGAGCGGAGGAGGTCCGCCACCAAACCTCTGCTTTGCGAACACACAAACACTAAAAAATTGAACTCATAGACCACCGATATCGGACCTTCGAATGGAGTCAGGCTATCCTGTCAATGGATACTGCGGTGAATGAGCGACTCTACGTTTGTGTGACATCTGGAGCATAAAAGAAACCGGCAAAGATTCTCAATCCTCACCATCTCTTGATTGACCCCAAGATGCAGTTATTGCTCACCCTGTTCCCCTCTCTCACTGCCTTCTTTGCTAGTATGATTTCGGACCCCGCTCCAGCAGCCAACATCACTGCTTACGCCCCTGCGTCATTTGTGCATCCTGGTGTGCTCCTAAACACCGCTCAGCTCAACTTTATCCGGAGCAAAGTCAACGCAGGTGCGCAACCATGGTCCGGCGCCTACAGCGCGCTTTTAAAGGAGCAACTTCTCTCTCAGTCACGCAATCCGACTCCTCGTTCCGTCGTCAATTGTGGAAGATCATCTAACCCGGATAATGGGTGTACGAATGAGAGGCAAGACGCGCTCGCTGCTTACGGCAACGCGTTGGCATGGTATGTGAGTCAAGATAGCAAATATGCGAAGAAGGCAATCTCGTATTTCAACGCCTGGTCGGGCGTCATTACGGACCACACCGGGCCTAATGCTCCTTTGCAAACCGCTTGGTCTGGCACGTCGTGGGCTAGAGCGGCAGAGATTATTCGCCATACGTATAGTGGTCAGTCTTACCTCCTCCATGCCTTCTTCGTTTAACGTCCTGTTCAGGTTGGGCTTCCAGTGATATTACAAAATTTGAGAGTATGTTGCGCAACGTCTATCTGTCCGCAATCATCAACGGTGATCCACGTACTGGCAACTGGGACCTAGGTAAGTCATGGAATTCAAGTGTTCGCAAGCTATGCTAACCCTAGTATAGTGATGATGGAAGCCTCACAAGGGATCGCAGTGTTTCTCAATGATAAGGCGAGTTACGACAAGGCAATGAACAGGTACCTTGGACGCGTACCCGCATTCGTATACTTGGAAACAGACAGCAGTTACCCAAAGGCCGCCCCTGGTAGTCCGCAGACAACCAAGGCCCAAATTATCAGCTTTTGGCATGACCAGTCGACATTTGTCAACGGTATTGCACAAGAGACGTGTCGCGACTTTGTTCATACCGGCTATAGCATCGCGTCGATTGGACATGTCGCCGAGACATCCCGCATCCAAGGCACCGATCTCTATACCGGAGAAGTTGGCACGAGATTGCGCCATGCACTTGGATTCCATTCACTTTATCAGCTAGGCGCGACGGTGCCCAGTTGGCTTTGCAAAGGAAAGTTGATATTGGGTCTGGGCCCAGTCACGGAGATTGGGTTCAATGCGATGAATACGCGTCTTGGTTATGGAATGGCAAATACGCAGATATTGACACAGAACCAGCGACCGGCGGGTACGAACTGGTTATTCCTTGGGTGGGAGACGCTTACACATGCGGGAAATACGGCGTAGAAGACACTATATAGTCAATATCCTTGTATTTCGATACAGAAATCGCAGCTTTCAATTCCTTTGTCCAACGGTCATTCAATGAGTGCTTGTTGGAGACTTTGTGGAGATGGCGTGAAGAGAACAATACTGAGAATGCCTACTATCAAGAGCTACGAAGATTCGGAATGCATCACAACTCGCGGCCAGTTCGAGTGTGTAACGAAACTTGGACGCAACCTCATCCAGGACAATAGGCGAGCCTCCCGCAGAATCCAGATAGCCTCCTAGCGACTTTCAACCATGTTTGAAGCACGTTTGATCCAGGGAACTGCGAGTAGAAGCTGGTCGAAATGAGTTGTTACCACGAGCATTGGCCGCGGGCAGTGATAGCTCGTCTCCAACAACGACAGCGCCTATCTAGGGGCACCTTTAGGCGCCATCTGATCTATATGATTATCACCTGGTATGTCATCGCTGAATGTGATATGGGCACTCCTGACCGCATCGAGATAGATCCGCATGATGTTCAGCTGCGGGCAAAATGGTCCCATCGGTGAGCGCTTCTGCGTAATTCAAGCATCGGGTTCTCCGCATCGATCGGGGCTAAGAGAAGGAGGGATGTGCCGACGAGCGGGCGTCGGTCGGTCGCCACCAAACCTCCCGACAGCTCTCGACCTGTTGAGGTGTGCTCCTGCGTAGACAGATGGCGCCTCTTCTCTCGGTACAGGGTGAGAGTCCGCATCGGAAACATACAACCTTAGGAATTGGGATGCCCGTCACCGGGACTCTTGATGGAGTTGACTATGCACCTGTTAGATGGCGCAGTCGGTCAATGTTTATGTCATTTACGTGAAATATCGAGCATAAAAAGGAGTCAGTGAGTCTCCCTTGCCCATTATCCTCTTCCCGTCGATACCAAGATGCAGTTACTCGCCTTGTCTTCTTTCGTCGCTGCGCTCTTTGCTGGTGCGCTTGCATACCCATCTGCAGCGGTAAATATCACCGCTCGGGCACCTGCATCATTCGTACATCCTGGCGTGCTCCTCAACACCGCTCAGCTCAACTTTATCCGGAGCAAAGTCAACGCAGGCGCACAACCGTGGTCAAATGCTTACACCGCACTCTTAAACGAACAACTCCTCTCTCAGTCCCGCACCCCTTCCCCTCGCTCGGTTGTCAACTGTGGGCCATCCTCCAATCCAAACAACGGTTGTACAGATGAGAGGCAAGATGCGCTCGCTGCTTACGGCAATGCGTTGGCGTGGTACGTGAGCCAGGATAGCAAATATGCGAAGAAGGCAATCTCGTATTTCAATGCTTGGTCGGGCGTCATTACAGACCATACCGGCGACAATGCTCCTTTGCAAACCGGTTGGTCTGGAACGTCTTGGGCTAGAGCGGCAGAGATTATTCGTTATACCTATACAGGTAGATTTCATTTCTTGTCCACGTTCTTAACTAATGGCGTGCTTAGGCTGGGCATCGAGTGATATTACCAAGTTCGAGAATATGTTGCGCAATGTTTATCTCCCCGAAGTCATCAATGGCGACGCCCGCACCGGGAACTGGGACCTAGGTGGGTTGTCCATTAGTACAGCCCACGAAACTAGACTAACGTTCTCATAGTAATGATGGAAGCCGCTCAAGGGATTGCCGTGTTTCTCAACGACAAGACTAGCTACGACAAGGCGATGAATCGATACCTTGGACGCGTACCAGCGTTTGTCTACTTGGATACGGATGGCAGTTATCCAAAGGCTGCGCCGGGTAGCCCGCAGACGACCAAAGCACAAATCATCAGCTTTTGGCAAGGTCAGACAACATTTGTCAATGGTATCGCTCAAGAGACGTGCCGCGACTTTGTTCACACTGGCTACGGCATCGCATCGATTGGCCACGTCGCCGAAACATCCCGCATCCAAGGCACCGATCTCTATACCGGCGACATTGGTACAAGATTGCGCTATGCACTCGGGTTCCACTCTCTTTATCAATTGGGAGCGTCGGTACCTAGCTGGCTTTGCGATGGAACGCTGACGCTGGGTCTGGGACCGGTTACCGAGATTGGGTTCAACGCGATGAACACGAGACTTGGTTTTGGGATGACGAATACGCAGACCTTGACGCAGAATCAGCGACCTGCGGGCACAAACTGGTTGTTCCTTGGATGGGAGACGCTGACACATGCCGGAAATACGGCCTAGTTTGTCGATTTGAGAGAGAAAGAGTGTGTATACATTCTACTGTTCTGTATGTGCAAAGAAAGAGATTACCACCATCCCCATCCAGACTCGCATCCACCGTGAGTGAGCGTTTCCCAAGCGACGAAGAGATAGTTTGTTCCAGCCGGTCTCTGAGCAACGGTACTTTTCCGTGTATGGAAGTGGGTAGCGCAAGCGGGCATGGAGGGCGTTGAGGCCAACTTCGGTAATTGGACCCAAACCACGACTGATGGTTCCATTGCACAACCAGCTTGGTACCGTCAAGTTTCCACCCGTAGGCTCATACTGGGCGTGGAACTCGAGGGCTTTGAACAGTCTCGTTCCAAAGTCCTTGAGACGACCCCATCCGTCAGAGTACATGTTGTCACCCTGGATTCTCGCCGTCTCCATGACGTGTCCAATGGACGCGAGACCATATCCTGCATGTGCATAGTCGCGGCAGGTCTCTTGGGTGAGACCGTCGACGAACGTGTCCTGGTATTGCCAGTATTTGATGAGTTTGGCGGGCGTATTGAGTGTGGCATTTTGCGAAGGAGCGATTTTCGGAAGGTCTCCGTCAGAGGAGAGGTAGATGTACGCTGGTACACGACCGAGGAACTTGGCCATGGCGGCGTCGTAGACGGAGGAATCTTCGAGGAAAACGGCAATGCCGATTGCGGCTTCCATCATGACTGGTTAGGTGGTTCAGTTGCTTCATACGTCGAGATGAGAGACGTGCGTACCGAGTTCCCAGTTGCCGTTGCTATTTGAACCAACCAGGAGTTGAGGGACATAGGCCGTTCGGAGCATGGTCTCGAATTGAGCGATATCCGCTGCTTGCCAACCTAGATATACTGCGTGAGAAGGAGAAGAGATTAGAAAAGGACGCATACCTGGGTAAGTATGTCGCATAATCTCTGCTGCGCGCGCCCAGTTGGCGCCAGACCATCCAGTCTGTAGGGGTGCGTTTGTATTATTATGACCCTGGAGAACATAGGACCACGCATTCATGTACTCGAGTGCCTTTTGAGCATAGACTTCTTTGCGCTCAATATACCATGCCAAAGACATTGCATACGCCGCTAATGCGTCCTGACGCTCGGGTGTACATCCCTTGTTTGGATTTGAATTGGATCCACACTCGACGACTTGCCAGGGCGTAGCGGTGCGGTTAAGAAAGGCCATGGGCGTTGCGAGCATTGCATCGTAGGCAGTCTTCCACGGTTCAAGTTTCAAGATGACTTTGAGGCGGATGAAATCAAGCTGAAGGCGGGACAGAAATACCCCTGGGTGGACGTAGCGGGACGGGGCGGCCGCGACGGGGGAAGGGGAGAGGGCGACGGAAATGAACGTGAAGAGGTGCGCAAGAAGCGCGAGCGAGATGAACATGCTTGTTGAGGGAGATGTTTTAGTTTTCAGACGAGAAGCGCACCTTTCCACCCTTTTTATCTCTTGAACCCTCGTGGGTCCGTTTGAGTCGACCCTCCGTGGTGCCTGTTGAGGAAGCGCTCTGGTGCGTGTAAGACGGAGAAGAAGTTGACCAATAGCTATGCAAAAGGGTTCCCAGGTGTTCAGTCGGCCGGCCATCGTTGGCCATTTTGAAGAAAGAAGCAGCGGCGAGGGGTGAGAAGCCGGCGCATGTGCCGGGAGATTATTAACAGCCAAGATACTTGGATCCTTTTGATAAAAGAGCATTCAGTTTGCTAGTTTTACTGTTTAACACGTGTGACATGTTTTGTAAGAGGCTTCCGTTCATTTAGCTATCAAAGCTATTATATTGTTTAACTTGGTAAATTTTGCGATCTCGGTTCTATAGTGTAGTGGTTATCACAGTGGATTTTGATCTCAAAATCTTCCATTAACCCCGGTTCGAATCCGGGTAGGACCTTTTTTTTTTTTCGTCCTTGAAGGCGACGGCCCGCGGAGGCCGTGGATCCCAGGCGCACTGGTCTATTCTCGCGCTATTCGGTGATGGGCTTTGTCGGTATTTATATCTCGCACCGCCAGGCTGATGGGATGGACGCGCTCCCATCGGATGAGCTGTGGAGTCGGACGTTGGTATATATATCTTGGACCCGACTCTGACTTTTGTTTCTTGCTCCACTCCCATTTCTTGCCCCACTCTTTCCACTTCACGCAAGCCGTCGACTTTTCCTTTCTATAATCAGTTACACTCTCGAATAATCCATCATGTCCATCGCAGATGCCAACCATTCGAGCAGCCACTGGGCATACTATCGCCTCCTAATCCCAATCAAACTCATGCGCTTTGGTACAAAATACGGCGAAATACTGGGACGCGCGGTCGGCGAGTTACCTCCGCTTGCTGTGCCCATCCACACGTTTACCGTAAAGTCAACCTCGAGCGACCGTCGTATCAAAGTCAACGTACACAAGAATACCGCCGCGTTGAACAGACCGGAAGTTCCGACGGCAGTTCACCTCAATTGGCATGGTATGTTCCCCCCCACCGCGCTTTTCGGAGGTTATTTGACCAAGATGATGATCTAGGTTCTGGGTGGATTCTTCCTGGTCTGGGTACAGACTCCGAGTTTATCCGTCAAGTCCTCGCCCACCCAACGCTTGTAGACCAGCCTCTCACCATTCTCGACTGCGACTATGCGAAATCACCCGAGTACCCGTGTCCGGCAGACGGAGAAGACGCGCGAGATGTATATGACTATGTTCTCTCCCATCCAGATCTCTACGACGCATCCAAGATTACGATTGGCGGCTTCAGCGCTGGTGGGAGCATCGCGCTTGGTTTAGCAGTCGAATTGGGCACCGAAGCACGTATGCGTGCGCTTAGCGAAGGCAGAAAGGAAAACGACTTTGTACACCCGATCAAAGGCGTGTTCAGCGTCTACCCAGTCGCGACGTGGGAGGGACCCCGGGACGTTGTCAAAGTCCCCAAGTGGCTGAAGAAGACCTTGCCGGGAATGGTACTCCCTCTTTGGTTCTCCAAATATATCACAAACGCGCATCTCTTCCCTCCACGTCGAAACACTGGGCTCTCATGGGACGAAGAGAGGAAGCGAAAGGAGGAACTGGCAGCCCGGCCCACCGTATCGACGCTCAATGCAGAAACGGTCGATTTTCCCAACGTGGTAGAGATCTGGACGGCCGAGTATGATACGCTTATGCGCGCTGCGGAAGAGTTGCGCGTCAAGTTGCAGACTGAGCGCCCAGATGCAAAGATTAGTGGACGGAAAGTAGAGAATGTAGGGCATGGGTGGGATCAAATGGTCAAAAGGGGCCAATTGGGTTATACGGAACGCGACGAGGCCTATGAGTCGGGTGCCAGGATGATTGCACTTGCAATTGGAGCAAACACCGAGAGGTCGCTTTAGACCAGCTGTTGACGTAATTATTTGCTTTAAGTGATGTGCATGTATGATGTACTGAATTCGAGCTTGGTGTAACGTGCGCCTGGCATTTAGTTGGCGTTGATCTCGAGTCCGTTTTCTAGTTTACATTCCTTCATCGCATCCCATATGTGCTAAGGTTGTGCATTCCGCGGTTCATTCGACGTAGCAAGTCTAGTTGCTCGCGCATTAGTGGCATATCTCAGAGTATGCAAATATTGGTTCAATGAATCAATGTTCTCGATACATCAAGCCTAAAGCTATACATAGTCATTCCTAAATGACAAAGGTTGCCTCCTTGAACCATCCGGAATAAATTGTGTGAGCGAGGGGAACTTTGGCAAGGTGCATGTCGGGCGCCTATCATCGACAATAAACTCTCCGGTAAGTCCACGAAAGACATCTACGTATTCGTTCCATCTCGATGGTTGAATCCGGTCGTGGATATGGACCGACGGGAACACCCGCCGATGCAACTCCAACCAAGCGTCGAGGAAGACGCTGAGATCATCCTCTGGTTTCTGCTCCTGTGTAACATCATGTACATGCGATTTGAGAAACCGTATCATTATGTGATGAAGCTGAGGGCAGCTGGCGGCAAGACCATGGTTGAGAATGATCGATAATCCTGGGTCCGGCTCATTCACTGAAACGGGCTGAAAGTCGATATGAAGCTCTTTGAGATGGGTGAGCGTGTATAGGCTCTCCGAGTTGACGCGTACGAGTCGATGGATCGCAAGCATCTCAATCGTAGAGGGATCTATGTACTCTGGAAAAGCAACCAGCCGTACGAGTTGCCCGTTAACGACGGGGAAGGATGCAATTGGAGATACTTTGGTGTACACAATCCGAGTTAGCGATTGGTCAGTTTCATAAAAGAATACCTTTCCCTTTTCAAGAATATGTAACCGTGTATTCGGATGCGCTTCTCGTTGTAACGGCCAAGTCGATGGGGTTTTGTATGTGTCTATACCGAGTTGGACGTGGGTGTTACTTCTCACTTTGATAGGTCCCTGATTGTGTAAAAACGACGCAGCAAACACTGCGCTGCATCGCAATAAGGACAGAATCCGCAAGCGTCTTAAGCAGTGAGACGCGTCGAGTGGCATATGGTAATCGGATTCCGAGGATATGCAGTCGTTGACAGCCAGCTCTTCGATATTGGGTGTCAACTCGACAATCATGTGGAGCTCACTGGCGCTGATTCGAACATTATGCAAATGGAGGACGCGAAGCCCGAGAAGCGTATCTTTGGCATCCGACAACCTCAGAATATGGAAAGCACCAGAGGTCTCCTGCGTCCCAGGAAACTCGAGAGAAAGGTGGGAGAGACAAGTATGCTGTTTGAGGAACGAATGAAGGGGACGACCGCCGAGGAGAAGATGACACGACTCGAGTCGTGGAGTGGGAGTATAACCCATGTACTGTAACATCCAATCGTCTACTGCAAGGTTGCTTATTGAGCGAACCCTTGGGAGTAAACCTGTGAGAGATATTGGGAGTCCACTATTTGATGGCCAGTGTCGATGAATGATGAGTCGAAGGTGTAGGTCGATTGGCATGTCTCTACTTCTCTCACAAATGAGCGAAGCCATGCCCTCCGACATGTTGGATGTGTCCAAGTCGACGTATGTCCATAGCCAGCTCGCTGAGATTGCCGTAACCCGCCAGCGATGGCAAACTGCGGTGGCTACGACCGTTGATCTTAGATCGTTCAGTCCAAATATTCGCGTGAGAAGCTCAGGTGGAAGAGCAGCCGCCGGGATGAGTGCGTTACGCTCCCGCTTCATTGCCGCGGACAGTTTACCAAACGCGACGGCCATTGCGTCGTTCGCAGCGTCGAGACATTGGATCGATGTTTGTTTGTTTGTCGCAGATTGGATGATCAGCTCGCGACTGCGCCAGTACGCGCGTGAGTCCAGAGAAGGAAGCTCCGTCACGATCTACGCACCTAGCCATGTTGCTAAAAACCGTTTCCATAAGGGACGCGATATCCCTCGCAACAGCTGCTCTGAGCAGAGTTAGATCTCTTCCACTGTTTGAACCGTAAAATCAACTTACCGACCTTCAGGAGTCGGAATCATATTCAGGGTTGTATGAAGAGTTGAAGATGTCGACTGAAGCTGATGGATTCTTTATCTTCGCCCTAAGCCAAGCTATGCGCAGATGGCGCTCAGGCAGTGTCGTGGCGCAGGGCGAGTAATAGTATAAGCCAGTGGACGGACTCAATCCATCTGTCTGGCGAAAGATGTCCGTGTAGGAGGTTGGAGACCTATTTGAGAAAGCACAGGCTCCGAAACTCGAGCCTGAAGTACGATGCAGTGGCTGAATACCTTTATTCACACAATAGCATCTCGAGAAGCGAATGTTGTCAAACCGTGCTGGAGGATTTGTTCCACCGCACAATCGTGGCGATGGGCTATGCTGTGTACTGGGCTCGGAAAACAGAATCAGGTACATCCTCCGTTGCCGTAAGCGGCCCAAAAGACATTGCATTGAGCGCTCTGCGTATCCAAGCCACTTTTCACGAATGGATTAGTTGGAATGAACCGATATCTGATCACAGACTTGCTTGATCTGGCGATGGATTGGGTGCAAGGTTGTACATCGCGTTCTCTTCCAACGTGGATATTGGTGAACTCATGATGAGCACCGCCAATAATCCAGAAAATACTGTTGACTACCTATGTCTACTCCCCAAGGAGTTATGGCGGCAAATCCTTCTTGAGGTATATCCACCGCTCCTATCTACCTTTACGGAGAATATTGGGGAATACATGCAGCTAAAGTGGCTGAAAGAAAGGGTGTTTGCCGCACAGAAATGCCGTATAGAACTGCTGGTCATCTGTAAGGCTCTGCAGCCAATCGCAGTTGAACTCCTTTACTCTGAAGTAATCCTCAGCGGGACTACACGAGGAATACAAAAGTTTTTTAGCGGAATAGATGCCCAATGCAATGCTGGGTATTCTCCTGGAGTGTATACGAGATCCATTGTCGTTGATCTCAGAGGTTACGAGAGAACGATGACCGAAAGCATGCGCAATGACTACGTCAGACTCCATCTACTTCATCAGTACTGCCCACGAATCAACCTTATGCTAGTCAATGGGCCGTTTCGTCCTTATACGCGCCTACCCTTAGACTGGATCGTCGCTGTCGAGACGTTGATACTCTTCGGCCCTATAGTGGACTGGAAGGAGCTACCCTCTCCCCTGCTCAGTCACTCATTCATGCGCGTCACGTCACTCGGAATCGTGGAGCCACTCATCTTTCCAAATCTCACATCACTATATTTGGACGTCTCCATCCCCGAAAAGCTATCCCTTCTTTCCCTTCCATCTCTCCACTGGCTAAACTTCTCCATCGATTGCCTCGATATCAACGAATCAGCCACTTTTATAGAACAAAATGGCCAGCACCTCCGGTATCTTGGGGTCAGACTTGACCTTGTGGACGATATTGGCGCATGGGAAGAGCCTGACGTCAAGTCAATAATAAATGCTGCCTACAAATGCCATCATCTTGATGTTCTCGAGATTGATAGCAGGCTCCCCGACACTGGGCAGCCTAGGGATCGGCATCCATCTCTCCATACCCTTATACTTCAAGGTCACGATGTGCCCACTATCTTGACCGCTTTGTACCAATGGGGATTCCAGGAATGGAGGCACGAGGAGATCGGATTTCACACTGTCGTCATCAATTTCTACGGTGATATCGGCCAACTTATGGGAGACGACGTCGAGGCTGCCATCCTGGAAGAAATCATAGTTCAATGTGATACCAAGTCGGCAGTCTTTAAAATTGAACTTATTGTATGAGGTAGACACTCTGGGTGACGTACAACACTCTTGCGAGTGACGAATAATAGCTTTGAGGGTTTGTGGCCTACATAAACTCGCGCCTAATCACTTAGAGATAGCAGAGTGAACATATTGCTTGGGCCCAGCTTGTCTCATTTGGCATCACGCCTTATAACCCCTATAAAATACGCGACTTTGTTATTGGAAAAATCTTCATAAGCCGTATCTGACTAGCTGGTAGTAATACATCTCTACTTGTTCGGGTAACACATCAGATTTAGTCATGTATCCCAGTGTAAATAATACTCTGAGATGTTCAATATTGAATCACAGATGCAAGCTCAGGACGGGCAGTCGCATGCAACTTCAAACCTGTGGATGTATTGGAACGAATAGGAGCAGAAATTCTCCTCTCCTCCAAGTCGCTCGGAATGCCTTAGAAATGTACAGAGGAGAAGCATATATATACGTACAGGTCTGCCTCGCACACTAGTAAAGTTAATCAATCCAATGAGACATGTCATATAAATATCGTTCATTTCGAAGATAATAGCCACAGCAGCGGAAATTATATCCTCGAACCATCGGGAAGGAACTGCGTGGGTACAGGAAACTGGGGCACAACCCGATCCTTGCATTTACGGTATACTTCAAACTCTCCTGTGAGCCCGCGAAAAAAGTCCATATATACCGTCCATCTCGAAGGCCGAATCTCGTCGTGAATATGAATCGACGCGAAAACGGTCTGATTCAGCTCAATCCACACATCGAGGAAAACTGCGAGATCATTTGCGGGTTCGTAATTTTGTACTACGGTATGTGGCGGGGGCTTGATGAGTTGTATTGAGATGTGGCTAAGCCGTGGACAGGAGACGGCGAGGTCTTGGTTGAAAAGAATCGATAGGCCTGGGTCCACAGTTTCAACTGGAGCAGGTTCAAAGTCGATATAAAGTTCCTGAAGATGGGTGAAGGTGTCAAGGTCCCGCGAGTTGATGCGAACGAGTCTATGTATCACAAGAGATCTGATCATTGAGGTCCATACATACTGTGGGAATGCAGTGAGTCGTAATACTTGCCCATGCGTCTCTGGTGTGGATGTCCCAGGCGAGGCTTGGGTATGAATAATCCGAGTTAGCGATTGCTCATGCTCGTAAACGAATACTTTTCCTTTATTGAGGATGTGTAATCGCGTGCTCGGATCGGCACCTCTCCATCGGCCAATTGAATGGAGTCTTGTCCAGGACGAGCTGAACGGATGTGCCTGGCTGCACTTTTATGGGTCCTTCGCGGTGCAAAAATGAGGCAGTAAAAGCTTCGGAGCAGTTTAGCAAAGAAAGGAGGCGTAGCCGTTTCAGATATTGCGAAGAGTCGGTTGGCGTATGATAGCCAAGTTCCAAAGAACCACAGCTTGAGATAGTCAGTTCTTCAACTCTTGGTGTCAACTCGACTATTCTCTGCGTTGTAATGGCACTAATTCGGATGTTATGCAATTGGAGCACTCGCAGCCTGAGGAGTGCCTCTGTGGCCTCTGATAACCTCAAGATCTGGAAAAAGCCTGAAGATTCTCGCACTCTAGTACCTTCGAGATAAAGGTCAGAGAGAAGAGGGTGCTGATTGAGAAACGAGTCAAGCGGGCCGTTGATGATGAGGAGGTGGCACGATTCTAGGCATGGTGTTGGAGTGCCTTGGGATATCGTATCATCCATTCATCGAGCGCGACGTTGCTGATTGAGCGTGCTCTCGGAAGTAGACTGGCAAGAGACGCTGGGATCCGACCATTCGATATTCGGCCTTCTTCAAAGCAAGGTCGAAAGCGTATGTCAATCAAGGCATTTCCACATCTCTCGCGCACCATGGAGGTCATTTCGTCCGATAGGTGGACTTTCTGCAAGTCGACGCATGTCCATAGCCAGCGCGTCGAGATTGCTGCCACTCGCCAGCGGTGACATACTGCACTGGCCACCAGAGTTGACGATAGATCGTTATGTATGAATATCTGTGCAAGAATTTCCTGAGGGAGAGAGGCTGCCAACACGAGTGCGTTGCGTTCACGCCTGGCTGCTGCGGACAGCTTGTGGAATGAGGGTCATCGCATTGTTCGCAGCGTCAAGACATTGAATAGATGCCTGCTTATTTATTGCAGACTCGACTATTAGCTCCCGACTGCTCATGGGCCTACGTCAGCCCAGAAATGGGCGAGAAGGCTACCGAAGAAACGTACCGGGACATGTCACTGAATACAGTCTCCAGAAGATAAACAATATCTCTAGCGACAACTATACTGGTATCGTTAAACAAATCGTATACATCGAACCGTAATGCCAACGTACCGTCCCTCGGGAGTGGGAATCATATTGGGAGGGTGTCCAAAGTCTTGAGGTCAGGATATAAGGAAGAATAATACAAACGGGGTCTTTATTTATGTGATCATATTCCTCACTGGTTATCCGCGGCTGACACTCGGGCAGTGCCAGCACTGTCAGCGAACTGTCTCGAGTATGGCTGATGAGCAAGACACCCGTCAATATTGAGTGTCTGACCGTTCCGGTGCAAGGCGCTAGAGTTATATATACGAGCAACGGAGAGAGATTTCAATCGAAACTTGTCATGTTATGTGGCGCATGGCTTAATCAAAAGTCGCCAAGGAATGGAGACCGTACCATAATTCAGTGGACCCCATGGATGAAACCTGCTGAAATTGGACAGTTTAAGCCTTCTGTCTGCTCAAACTGTGGATTCACAAGATTCTGGATTTCTCGGATGTTCTGGCAGGGATCCTGGGACGATTTAGTCTGCCGTTTTGTTTGATGTCTAGTTCCTCATCAATATGAATTCATAGTTGAACGGCCTCTGACGCGCTCGTTGGTGAGGTCTAAATTGAGTCATTACATAGCAAATGAACGTAGCATGCAATCGGACTGACATGCACCACCTCGCTTAAAGAGTCACTCGTTGAATACATTTAACGCCATGCTTATGGGATATTAACTGGAGGTGAGTGTGCCTATGCTCATCGCCGCACAGATGCGCGGTGGAACTTCTCACTGCCTCGATGCCTGTCAGGTCGATTTCAAGTGGTGCCTTCTTTCCTTTTTACACTTGCAGAGAGTCTCTCTAAGCTAAAAGTGGATGGCTCTGTGGAGAGGTCCAATTGTCGAGACTTAAGATGGCTTTCACTCGTCGTTCTCTGCCAAATTCGCATTATAGAAGCGACTAGAGGAGTATGCTCCATCCACTGACAACCGCCATACCTCGCCTATAGACATATTCCACTGCGAAACCGCAGCTATACGCCACCAATGGCATACAGCCGAGGCACGGAAGACGTATGAGATGTCTGTAAACGAGAATATCCGTTCCAGTAGCTCAATTGGAAGACAAACTGCCGGCACGTGCTTGTTTTGTGCGCGGCGAGTGGCGAGGTCCATAGCGGGAGAGAGACGGCGACTGCCTGGAGTCAATTCAAGGGCACCCTGTTCCTCGTTCCAAGTATTGGTCACAGCATCAAGACCACACCGTCTGCTAGAAACAGGTTAGAAATCTCCGAGGACCCTTATATCTCGTACCTCGGGTTGGTAGCGTTGTAAACACAAGAGGCCGTGGATACTGATGTCGCGCTCTTCACACTTTTCTCCGGTTGGAGTCTACTTTGTACGTGTCCGGTGAAGATTACAGAGTTCGACATTCGGTGTATCTGGTCATATCTGACGACCGGGATGACTGGTATATAACGGATTGTTACTGTACCTAATGTAGAACGAGGAGATGAGGACGTCTGAGGAAGACGCACGGCCCGCATTGCCTTCAGTTGTTTTACAGCCATTCAGAACAACGTGACCCTCACTCACCGGTACGGCCAATCCTTCCTGCCGCTTATCAGCTACAGTGTCAATCATAACGATACTTAGATGTATTTCATATCTAACAAGGACTCCATCCGTTATCATACTGGAATCTTCAAGGCACTCCTCGAAGTGTAATCGACCAAACGGAGGGAACGGTTTCGCTCCACTGGTCTAGCCTAGCCACGAACTGGGAAAGAAGAAATAGCTGAGCATTCATCCTCAATACATATCCTTTACTACCGCGGATCCTGTGACGATGAACGCGCAGGTGACTCTGCGTTGCGTTGAAGACGCTCCACGGGTGATTACACCGCAACAGGGAGAATAATCTGAGCTCCTGTGTCGATTGAATAAGAGCGGGTAAGCGTTCGTTTGGAGAAGATGGTGTACTATGGGCGTTGGTTCTGCAGATGTGCATCACGACAGTTCACAACGTCGCATCGTTTATTTCAATATCGATTTATTCGCCAAACGAGGGCTGTATTGTCATCGCCAGAGATCTCCATTGGACATTGACGGGTCCAAGGTTTGCGACAGACATCTTGGTCCTGACCTAGACTTTGACGCGCGTACAGTAACACTAATGTCCACGAAAGAAACGAGTGTACTGTACTTATCGCTTTTACCTGAGGAGATCTGGCGCTACATTCTCTTCGACGTCTATCCACCGATTCTACCTTTGCTTTCGGAGGACTCAAACTCTACCCTCGCTAGAACGTATCAGAATTCCGCTTTTCACATACAAAATCGGCGAGCATCACTCCGACTCGTCTGCAAAAAATTCGAGCCTATCGCCCTCGAGGTCTTATTCCATGAGATTGCCGTGTCGGGTAGGACACAAAGATTGAAGCGATTGATTGATACGATCGAGGCGGGAAATACCAAGACATGCCTGCCTCTTTCCCGTACCACTGGCGCCCTTATTTGGCTCTCTACTTCCTGGAGTGGAAGACCCGAGGAGAATACATACAACTTGCTTTGCAAATTGCGAGAATATTGTCCTCGGATCAAGCAAATGCTCGTATCTGGAAGCATTGCAGATAGTGTGGATCGGCGCATCGAGTGGGTAGTCGGCATTGAATGGTTTATTCACTTCTGCCCCTCTGTAAACTCGAAATTTCTCCAGGACCTCTCTAGTCACAATCCTATTCTCGGTACACTGGTTCTCGAGGTCATTGATCTCATGCTCATGGAGCCGGTGACATTCTCATGCGTCACAAATGTCTATCTCACAACTATAAACATCAGCGGACTTTCAAATTTCATCTTTCCACGTATTCACTGGCTCAGCATTGCCATCAGCTTGGACGACCCCGCCGATTGTCGAAGATTCTTTACGACGAATGGTCCGAATTTAACTTACTTGGAGCTCAGGAAGGGCATTACCTACGAACCTTTCAGAGCAACAGAGCACGCAAGATTAATGGCGGATATTCTCAATCTATGTCCCCGGCTTAGCGTGCTGAACGTGGATGCCATCATCATCGACGATAAGCAGCCGCGCCTGTTCACGCTACCCGCTAGTACGCTAATCATAAAGTCTGATGACGTGTATAGCGCGGATAAAGCTCTTCGTTGGTGGGTGTTTGACTCGGAAGGTCACGTCCCTGTCGGCTTCAAGAAGGTCAACCTCAGAATGCGCGGGTACAAAGACTTTGATAAAGATTCCGTGGCATATATCATGCTGTCCCAATTAGAGTCACGCTGTTCAGACTTAGGTGCTAGGTTTGTTGTAGAGCATATTCCTTGACTGAGTATCATGATGCATATGATAAAGGTGGATAGTAGAATATGTTACTCCCTTCGTGATCACAATTGTCCCGAACCAAGCAATAAAGAGGTTATTCACTATCTCAAATGGGCGACATGCATGGTGTTATGAAAGCGAATGAGGACCTCAAACAGAGGGATATGGAATCTATCCTCAAACACTATGCATACCGCCAACATAACGCCAATCTTGCTTGCCTTACCACGCTATTCTGAAGTCCGCTGAGGGGTATTGAATTTGTTGACTGGGAAATTGTCTTACTTTCCGCTTGGATCCCATCCATCTCTGGTTTCACACCGAACAGATCGGGTTAGTTTTGCTTTCACAGTCTTAAATAGCCAGCTGGCCAGTTCATTCGACTCAAAGTGCTCGAAGTGGATGGCGAACTCGTCGATGACAGGCAGCCACAAACCACTCCACTCTCTGCTCATACGCTAATTCTACACTATTACGACGTCGAATACATAGACGCTGCGCTTGACTACTGGGGATTTACCTCACATACCGATCCGCCTCCGAGTGTCAAACTCGTCATCATCATCCGAGTGTACCCGCATATGGGACTCCATAAAGATGCTGTGGAGCGATACTCGGATGAGGGAGCCCGGGGCTATTTCTCTCACAGCGGCGTGGAGGTCGATCAAAGGCAGCCATATTATGTAGGAATCATCAACTGTAATGTCCTAGGTTCACAAACGACAAGCAACTGTGGACTCTCGGCGACATGGACGGGTGCAAGGTTTGTCAAAAACAGTTTGGAGCCGCCCTCGTCTTTGAAAAGAATAGGGCGATACCAATGGACTCAAATCTCAACCATAGAATACCTCTCCCTTCTTCCTCAGGAGGTCTGGCAACAAATCCTCTTCAAGGCATACCCGCCAATCTTACACGTATTGCCCGAGCATCCAAGTACCCGCCTCGATGAAGAGTATCTCAAAAAGATATTTCGTAGACAGGCTCGACGTGCACGACTGAGACTCATCTGCAAAGCGCTAGAGCCCATCGCTTTTGAGGGCTTATTCAACGAGGTCGTACTTCGGTCATCGACACGGTGGCTTCGTAAATTCTTCGATGCGGTCACAGCGGGGAATCGTGGGGGGAATATACCTACCTCTCGCACAACCAGCGCTCTCCTCTGGTTCTCCCCTTGTCACGGGAAGCCAGACAGGGACATAATAAGAGACCATCGGTTTCTTCGTAGAATACACGAGTACCTACCTGCGGTCAAGTTGCTGATCGTTTATGGATTGGACGCATTTACCTCTGCGTGGTCGTTTGACTGGGTCGTTGGGGTCGAGACTCTCGCGATTCATAACATTATGGCTAGTTCGAATGGGCTTCGGGATGTTTCTAACAATAACTTATCTCTTAGGGCACTCGTTCTTGATGCGGTTGTTCGCGATCTCCAGGAGTCGACGACCTTTGCCCATCTCACGAGACTATATCTCAACATACCGGACTTTAGCAAAATATCGACCGTCTCTTTTCCGAACATTCGTTGGCTAAGCGTTGCCCTCGAGAAGCTCAATCACACCACTGCCACGGCATTCTTCAAGGCCAATGGCCAACGCCTGGAATACCTAGAGGCTCGCTCTGTCATTCCCGGCATTTCGGGCAGCATCGAGCCGAAGATGAGGGTTATGAGGGATATACTCAGCCACAGTCCTCGTCTGCAAGTCCTTGAGGTGGATGATCACCTCGTCAACGGTCGCCCACAAAAGTTCTCACTTTCCGCTCATACTCTAGTCCTGCGCTGCAAAAGCGAGCTAAGTACGACCAAAGCTCTCCGTTGGTGGGGGTTTGACGTGGGCGGCCATGGACTCGCCACCTTCAAAACTGTTCTACTCAAAATAGACCGAACATTATATCCCGGTCGCAATCCTATGGCGTCGCTTTCGGAAATCAAATCTCTATGTGTACAACAGGGTATCACCTTTGCCGCGAAATATGTTTACGAAGATGATACTGGACTGTAGGTCAATGACGTTACTTTGTAACTTGCATTCGTACATATATTATTATACGAATTGTCGTCCTCAACCAAGTTATCAAAGTGGATAATCAGTTTATTCAACACAAGGATTCATCATATATATCGGTGATTCATCACTTTTCACGTTATTGGCCTTCCGGATAGCCAAATACCATTGAAGAAAGGCTCTACTCTATTCGTAAACAGCGGTAATGCTACAAACTTCGCCGTTTCTGCGGCGAAAGAATGACTAGAAAAGTGTGGAGACGAAAGTGTACAGAAATATACCGTGAGATGGACTAGATGAGCCGAAATCTATCATAGCTAGCGCGCTGGGCAGCGACATCGCTGCCCCTCTCGCGAATTGTGGATACAGATGTGTCCGGTAAATCAAATCAAGTGCGCTTTCTCCTGAACCGTCGGCGTGTAGCGCGCGGAGCCCTTGGGCAACTTGTCTACCATAAGAGGTCAGCCAGGTCACAAACAATTTATCGTTGCACTCACCATCAGGATATTCATCTAATTGGCGCACCTCAAAGTTTGCATCGGATGGCAAGATGGGCGAGCGACGAATGGCGCTCGTGCGCGTGCGTCGCGCCACGACTGGTTCAGGCATTCGTGGTGGTACCGGAACAGGGCCTAAAGACGCAAGCCACGAGGAGTAGTTAATCCCAGGGACTTGTGACTCGACGAATATCCATTCGATGATCGTATGACGTTGAGAGAGAGCCGATTCGTCGTCGTCGTATACGATATCCTCGTCGCTCCATGCCGCTTCTGGGTCGTATCCAACGAAATATGCCTGGTCTGAGATCCATTTTATGGTCCGATCGCGTCTATAACGAGTCGTTTCCTTGTTTCTCCTTCTCGCCCTTCGATAGCAGCGCCGCTGCCATTTCCGGTAGAGAACCTTGCAGCCCCATGCGCCCAGGCCAAGACCAATTAGAATGAGGGAGATAATCGCCACGGTGGGAAATGGGCGTTTGGAGCCATCGCCATCGTCTTCGGAATCCTCAGATTGGCCGTCGGTCGGGAACGACGTCGCGGTTGGGACAGGAAGAAAAGAGTTGCTGACAAGTGTCAATGTAGACGATGGTGATGGATCTGTTGCTTGCACGGTGTCGGCGTGCTCATTGGCGATGGTGCGGGTGTTCAAGGTTGAAGCGAGTGGAGTGGGCAAGGGTACATTGGAAGTGATGATAGTAGATGAAACTTGCTCACTGGGTGCCATATTTGCGCTATAGGTCGACTCTATTGTAGCGGTGGTTGGTACCGTGGTCGAACAAGGGTGGATGCGGATCATTTTGACGGCTACTGACGTCCATGCAGCGACCTGCGCGCTTGGAGTCGACGTACAAAAATCTGAGGAGTACATTTCCTCAATGTCTACAGAGCGAAATCAGTCATTGTTTTCTCGAGCGTGAACGACTGACCGATCGGCACGGACGCGATCATGCCAGGTGGGCTGGGATGGTCGTGCTGGATGCCGAGAGAAGAGAAGATAGCTATAAACTTTAATCAATATTTTTTATTGTAGCCCGTGCGCAGGCCCGAGCTCCACCGACCAGGAATGGACATGGAAGTGGCGACCGTTTCATCAGCGCTCGGGACAGTAGAAACTGATATTCCAAGCAAAGAGATGACAAAATCACCAGTAGAGATCTTGGTAGGGTCGAGCGACGATCCTGCGCGCTCGACGGACGTCTGGGCGAGTGCGCTGAGAGCGCAAGCGAAACCAGACAGGACGTAGAGTTTGTTGAATGTGAAATACATTCGTGACGTGGTGTTTTAGCAGTGGTGTTCGCGTTGAGTCGATTAAGACGATGATGGTCAGGTCTGAGAGATGTACCCTGTTTGTTCGCCACAACCCATCTCGTTTCTAGATTCAAGTTCGAATATCTTGGTATACTGCAGTCTCTTAGCACTAGGAGGAAGCTGTCGAGTGGCTTTATCGTGATCCCTTGAAACAGACAAAGTGGAGCGCTGTGGAATGCAGAGGGTACCTCATCTGTATGATAACAAGGTGAAAATATTGCACCTAGACTTGGTAGTTGTCTGTTATACGAGCGAGAAGCTGGCAAGCACTCGATATCCCAAACCCTCACGGATAGGATAGCTTGGCCAGAAAACATGCATATATTATATCCAGATTAGCAAGAGTACTAGATTGTGAGTAGAGGTGACAATCGCTTGTCAATGAATGGCAGGGCTTGCCATGTATCATCCCGCAGTTTCCTACTGTGACTGTCTAGCGGATTTCATAACAGCAGCTAATGTAGTTGGGGTTTAATTTTAGGAACCATCGGCCGCCACCCCTGAAACTACTTATTATAGGCTTATCCGTTCATTTGTTATCTCGATTTTGAAAGACCAATGAGGATTAACTCGTTCAACCAAACGCATAGATAGGGTCTCGTCCACTGGTTGTGTGTGTCACCCTTGACCCCGACCTCGACGTTGACTGGTGTATAGCGAACAAGATGGAAGCCACAGAGGAGCCTTTACATTACCTTTCTCTTCTTCCTCAGGAGATCTGGCGCCAGATCCTCTCCGAGGTGTACCCACCCATCTTACGCGTGGTGTGCGAGAGCCTAGACGCCGACCTTGACTATCCACGTATGGTCTTCAATCTCCAATCTCAGCGTGCGAAACTCCGGCTGATCTGCAAACGATTGGAGCCGATTGCTGTCGAGGTCTTGTTCAAGGAAATCGCCATCGATCCTTCGACCTGGTGTTTGCAGAGTTTATTTGATACGATCAGATGTATAACTGGCTTTGGCGGGTCCCCGTTTGTCTACACTGCTAGCGCTTTCATCCAGCTCGACTGTCGAGGCAACGCATCCAAGATAGGCAAGGTCGACGTCGACTATCTTCAACAGTTGCATAAATATTGTCCCAAGATAAGATTGATGGTGCTCAACGTGGTCTTTGATCATACTTTTCAGATGCACGTTGACTGGATCAAAGGAGTGGAGACGCTCATGATCCGAACGCACCATATAGAGTCGGGAAATCTACATAGGATATCTTCTCAGGTCCATGGCCTCCGTAGGTTGATCCTCGACACTTTGACGTTTAACTTGGTCAAACCAGTGACCGTTGCGGATCTGACGTGCCTTGATCTTCGATGTAGTCTCGTCAAGGGGTTCGGATTCCTCTCTGTCTCAAAGATACACCAGATAAATACCATTTTCGACCCAGTCAATCTTGTCGAGCATCTGGCGCTCTTCGAAGCGAATGGTCCACATTTGGAACACCTGGCGCTCAGGAGCGGCATCCTATCTAGAGGTCTGACCAATGTCGGCCCACTTGTCAAGGGGATGGCGAATGTCCTTCGCCTGTGCCCTCGGCTCAAAGTGCTCGAAGTGGAGGGCCAGTTTATCTCCAGCGAGCATCCGCAACCTGCGCTGCTTTCTATCCATACGCTCGTTCTCTGCTTCCACAATCCAAAGCGAGACATTATCCCAGCACTTTGTTACTGGGGGTTCGGTTCAAAGAGTGAGATGCCGACCACCGTCACTACTCTTGTAATCAAGATGAGGATAGGTAGACTCTCTGAACACGGCGTGAGAAATCTTGCGCTTTCGGCAGTCGACGCTCACTTTACACGACTTGGGATTACTTTTACGATGAAGCCTGTCCGCTACGAACAGTTTATGGGAATTCACATCTCAATATAGCAAAGTTGGTATTCACGCGCAATGTGTAGGATAGAGTGCTTTGTTCCTGCCGTGAATAGACTTGTCCGTTCCGGGGAATCGGCGAGTTTCTTGACACGAGAGCGGGTGTATGTCGCGCGCCGACAGGAACCGCTGCCCTTTTACTGCCATCAGCGCTCGTGGAGCGGGGGCTGAAACTTTAGAGGCGGAAACGTTAGACTTTGCATGAGGCGGATAGCAACCGAGTGGGAAGAAGCAGGATAGGGACCTGAGTGCCGTCAGTCCAAAAAATCTGGGCCTTGTAGACGCCAACGGGGCCGAGTTTGAGAACCCACTGGAGCTCTTGTCTCTTGTTCCCGACCTCTTCCCCTCGTTTTCTTCGTCATTTTCTTCGTCTTGTTGGCGTCGTCGGCGTTGTCGTCGTCGTCGAGCAATATATTGGACTGTTTGCTGAAACTAGACTAGTGTGGCCGCCGGAGAGTGGTGCGTATCCGTTGGGTGTTTGTGGTCACGGAGGGGAGATATATATCGTCTACTAATCCTTTATTACAGGTCCAGGATAGAGTACACTTATACCCTCAACGAGTCACCCCCATTTTGCAAACTATTATGCTCGGACGCAAGACGAGCGAACCCTCTGCAGCCCAACCGCCGCCCGTGTCGCTGAGTTCTGAAGACGACAGCAGCAAACGGAATACGAGTACGAATAATACGATTACTCTTCATAAACGCGTCCTCAAACTCTCCAACGCGTCTTCTCGCCGGGAGCCACCTGCTGCCCCGTCCATCTTTTCCGACGCCGACGTCGACGGTCCAGGAGCGACGGCAGCATCGGCGGCTGCTTATTACTCGAGGAATCAGAATATACCGCATCCGTACGCAGATATTGATATCATTGCAGAGACAAACTCTGCCCCTCATTCGACCTACGCCGCCAGTCCAGTTCCTGCTAATCGTCCCTCTTCTTCCGTCGCCGCGGTAGCGCCAAACACGCTCGGAGTAGCAAAAGAAAACGAAGACGATTTCGATCCGTCGCTCCTTCACGTCCTCTCCGAGGCAGAGTCGGACGTACATTCTGTTCTTTCTGCCCCAGGCGATCTTTCCGCCCACCGCGACCCGTTTGCAAGTCTCGGTCTAACTCCCATCTCGACATTCCCTAGACGCGACAAGGCCGCTCAGATCCTTGGAATCCCCCACAGACGGAGTATGGAACCCATTCCGTCACCCAGTGCCCCCGCCAACGTAGCCAAATCCTCCAACCGCTTTACGAGCTTTGGAAGTCGTTCTGCGACGGGAGGATACACCAACCCACACCCAACCATCCCCGAGGGCGGTTCGAACAATCATTTCCAGACACATTCTCACCGCTACGACTCGAATGCAAGGACGGACAGTTTTATCAGCGCAACAGGCGGACGAATGCGTGCGCTCTCCGGCGCAACGACCAATACACAAATGGCAGGCCGTTTCGGGGCCCTCTTCAATGCCGATCACAATTCGCCGCCCACGCCCCTGTCGAGTCTGTACCTCGTCGCAGGTCTCCCAAAATCTCATCATGCCTGGACGCTCGCAGACCCAGACTCTGTCCTCGGTCTGCAGCATACGGATGGCGCCGTCAACAAATGGTGGCGACCAGAGGTCCTCGGCTCAACCGTCTCCCCCGGTGTCTTGCCCACGTCTTCTAGCGCAAAAGAGACAACGAGCGGAGCTATGAACGGCAACAGTAGCAGTAGCGGTGCCAACGGCGCATCTTCTTCGACGCCTATTGCCGCGGCAAATGCCACCGCGGGTTCAAAGGCAAACGGCGCGGGTGGCGGCCCAAACGGTAATGGGGCTACGCTCGCCTCGTCTAGTGCGTCGATTGATACCAAAAAGAATAAGCGTCGGCAACGATCTGGGACGAATGCGACTATTCCGACCAATGTCCCCAACCCGCGTGACCCTGGTGCGGGCATTGGATTGTCGAAATCTCAAGTTGCAAAGATGCTCTCCAAGGCCCTAAAGTTGAGCTTTACGCGCGAGGTTGAGATTATCGCTTCGACGCTTCAGCCGCCCTCGACTGTTCACTCGTTTACGTTTTCGCTTCCGACGCCCGTCGACCGTGAGCTTGGGTTGCCAAGTACGGTGCCTGCGAATACGGGTGTAGGTGGTGGCGCAGCTGGACGGAGCATGGGGGATGTCCGAAGCAGTGTTTACAGTGCGACAACTGGGAGGATGATTGGTCCAGGCGGGATGGGGATGAATGCCGTTGGCATGATTTCGTCTGCGCGTCCTTCTTCGACCTATCTCGGTCCGACGACGACACCTCTCACACCGGCTGCTCAAGAGGCCCTTCAAGCGGAGAGTGCGAGTTCTACGACATACTATGGTGTCTGTTTGACTGTGTGGAGCCATGCAGACGAGGAACGTAGCCGTGCGATTCGCAAGACGATGGAGCTTGGTTTACGCTCGATGAATGCCGACGGAAGCGTGAGGAGAGGAAAGGCACGAGAGAAGAAGGATAGTCTCGTACCGCCCAATGGCAGTCAAGCCGGCCAGGCACGCTCGCCCGCAAAGACGAACAGGAGCCTCAAAATGTCCAACCCCGATGCACCCGCATGGAGTGGAACGGATATCGAGACCGAGGCAGACGACCTCGAGTTTGAGGGAGAAAATGAAACGGATACCGGAGGGATTAGCGAAAGCGACTGGGAAGGTAGAAGTCGCAATGGAATTCGAGGGGATGTCGGAGGAAGCACGCTCTTCCTACCAGGCGACACGGTATGTGTATTCATTATGCGACACAGTCGGAGCGCTCATGGTTGGAATGAATAGATCTTCTGGCTTCCTTATGCTCTTACACTCGTCTCGCGCGTCCCTATCTACGACCTCATGCGTGACTTCCTCACGTTTTCGTGGGCCCGTTTCTCCAAGGATGTGCATTCGCATACTCTCCAGATTGCCAAAATCTTGTCTGCGCCCGTTCCCAAGCCCGGCGAACTCATCAAGCTCGATGCGAGCCCACCCGAAAAGGACAAGCCTACCGACCGTAGTGGACGTGCAGTCGCTGCTGCTGGTAAGTCCACCTTGCTCATTGTATGGACTTCCGCTAACGGTCTACCAGCCAACTCGCTCGAAATGATCTGCCGTATGCCCGGTGGACTCGACTTTGGTCGAGGATTGGTCGACGTCAACTTCCAGATGTGGCCACTCTTCTGCTGTCTCAGCCTCGACAATATTCTTACGTGCTGTGAAATTGCACTCTCACCGACGGGACGCGTCCTCTTCCTCTCCAAGCACCCTGCCATGCTCGGTATCGCCGTTTCTACGATCAAGTACCTCGTCGAGTTGCGCGGATGGAATGGAATCGCCCTCCAGGCTGTTCATTCGCGTGATGCCAAGATTTATCTCGAAGATCCCGGACCGTGGATTCTGGGATTGGCTACCGAGGCTCGCTATATTGCCAGGACGTCGCCAGAGGTGTGCGTTTGCGACCTGTAAGTTCTCTTTTGAGAATGTTTTCTAGTTACTCACGGCTTGCAGGGACATCAACTACGTAAACTGCCTCTCGCCACCACCAGGACACGTTTCGACCAAGGGACGCCGTGATCGTTACCGTCGTATCCTGCTCAGCGCCTTTGACGCTTATTTCCACCCCGACCACTCTGTCCCATCCGAGTTCAAAGAGGCCTTTCCAGCTGGTCGCTTCCGACCCGTTGTCAAGATCCAGAGCCGTCGAGGCGCGAGCAGCAGTGTGAGCACAGAGCTCATCAACCCACCAGATTGGTGGAACTGGACCCGCGTCGTTGGCGCGTTCAACGAGGTTCTTCAAGATCGCGACAAGCCACTCAGTTTGTTCAAGCGCATCACGGCGCTGCGTGGACCACGACGACAGGCCAAGCTCACGCCGGCGGAATTGATGATCCAGATGGCGCTCAGGAAGCGTGCTTCGGCGTTTGTGGATGCAAGAGACGATTTGGAGACAAAGATTGGTCGTCTGTCGAGACGCTTGAACTTTTTGCTCACCGAGAGCGATCTTTGGAGGTATGTGGCTGTTTGATTCGTCAAGTGATGCGGTGTTTTGATGGCCTTGTAGAGAAAAGTTTGTCCAGTTCGAGGCATATGCGGAAAAATTGAGCGGGGAAGCCATCGACTTGCGTGCCAAGATCAACAAGGAGCAACGAGAGAGTCGCCGCCTTACAAGCCTTGTCACTCTTACCGCTCAAGAAAAGGCCAAGCTCCAAGCCCGTGCGTATGTCCTTTGATGGTGGTTCAGTCAACTAAATGTCATTAGAACTCTACGAGACCGAAGGTGCCCACCGCGCTGCCGTCGTCGAGCTCGATAGAATGAAGAACAACATGGAAAAGATGGAGCTTGAACGTGCTCAAATGGTCGCCGAAGTAGAAGCTCAAATTGAGCGGGCTCTCCAGAGCATGATGGTCGGTGACAGTGAGGGAGAGTGGGATGAAGACGACTTGGACGAGATCCCCAACGACTCTATGTCTATGGGCCGTGTTCGCTCGCCCGTACTCGACTCTGTCAGCAATGGCGGATACGAATCGCGCCCCGTCTCCCCTGGCTCCATCGTCTCATCCCATCGCGGAACGAAGAAGCGCTACCACCAAACGACCAGTCGACCAGGCACCTCGCACTCGCTCAGCGATGCCAAGAGCGCAAACGGCGGTCGTCTCCGCAACTTTGGCACCGCGACTACGTTGGCAGAGATTGCGGACAGGCTAGAGCAGGTGAAACAGGTCCACGCTAAGAAGTCCAAGGCGTCTTCCCTTCATGGCCACGGCCGCAAGTCTCGTGCGTCTTCGGTGCACCATGGCAGTGAACGTGGTCATCGTCTCAAGCCACAAAAGAGCGAGCCCAAGCTCAGCGGGGAAGAGGCTGGAGACGAGGAGAGCATGTCAGAGCGCGAACGTGCCGAGCAGGAACAGGCGTTGAAGATTGCTACCAAGCGCTTCTCAACCGGTGCTGCCGAAGGTGGACAAGACGGGACGACAGGTGGCGATGGCATGATGAGTGCGGTCGATGCGGGTATCGTCGAGAAGAGTGACCGCATCGCGGAGAAGATGAAGCAGATTCAAGAACGCTTCGAGTCTGCGCTCGCTGCAGAGGAGGCGGCCGCTGTCGACGTGGAATCGGAGAATGACAAGGTTCCAACACCCGAAATGGAAGCAAACGCCAGTGGATCCGAGGATGAGGTGGAAAAGTTCCAGCCTGCGCCTCTGACGTCGATTACTTCACGCCCACGACCGACTCGTGCTGCTCGCCCTTCGGCACCGAGGCCAAAGTCGAGCGGAGGCGATCCCCATACTGGCTCGATGCCACCTACCCCTACCACAATCACTCACCGTGGCCCCTCTGGACGACGAGGAACACTCTCCAGTCTTCATGTGGATACTGAAGCATGGCGCCAGTCTGTTGCGACTGCGCACGAAGAAGAGCAGTGGCGTGAATCGTCCATCACTGCTGCTATGCCTGAATACCGGCCTTCGCCAGCCTTGAAGGCAAAGTCGACAGGACAACCATCGCCAGTCGCCTCTCCCAAGACACTCGTCCCTCATCTGAAGCGTGTCGCGAGCGGCGCCAGTGTCGGTGCTCTCGTCTCTTCACCTTCGATTCCCACTCCTCCCGTCAGCGCGCATACCAACACGACGATGCACAGCGACTCGATGTCGTCGGGAGCGATTCATCATTCTAGTTACTCTCGTTATCGTCCTGAATCTCGAGGCGGCATTACCACTGATGGAGATTCGGACGCAGACTTTCAAAGCGCCTACTCGACCAGCCCTCGCATGACGCCGGTTCAAGGCAACAGCGACTTGGAAAGGAGCAACAGCGCATTCGGTCGACGAGCCGGGTCGCGAGCCGGTTCGCGTCAAGGAACCACCTTTTCACAAAAGATTCGTCCCCCAAGCATCGCTGCGACCACGTGGAGCACCGGTGCCGTCGGAGGACTTGGTCTCTCTGGGACCGAGATTGAGACTCGCTCAAGAGCGAGCTCTGTCAACACCAGCAACGGCATCGCCTCTGGCGAGCGAAAGACGTCGAGCACGAGCGGCAGCGATCACACCGTCGCCCCCGATCAGTCTTCACCTGGATTCTACGAAACCAGCCGTGGTCCACACCCGCCCGTCGTCAGCCTCAACAACCGAGGAGTGAACAGCCTCAAGAATCGACGCGACAGCGGCACACCACTCATCATGGGCGCCTTTCCTATGGATTCCGACTCGTGATGATTGGCAGCTGCAAACGAAACTCGATAAATGCGGCCGGCCTCTGAGCTAGCTTTCGGCCCTCGTAATTTCGAAAATCATCCTCATTACCGTCGTGTCTTTTCTCGACGTTCACACTCGTTTGTCTCTGTTCCATTGGAAATTTTACACGAAACTCGTCAATCAACCTCATCGCTCGCACGCCGCAGTGCCGACCTCTCACTTATTGCCGGAATCTTTCTTCCTCTCTCTCAGATTTTATCTGATGTTACTGTAAATAGCTGCGCTAGTTGGTCCCTACCGGTGGAGGATTTCATTCTTTCGGTTCCCAGTTCAACTGATTGCCAGGGGCTTGTACGGAATATATTCATCTCTTGACCTCACTTGTCGTGCATGAGCTAGACAACTTGAGCCAATCTCTTCGGACTCCCCGCGCGAATCTAGGTTCAAGAGGCTTCGTTGGGTAAGCAAGTGGGCTAAAAATCCCATAAATTGTATGTAAGGTTGGCTATCAGTCCGTCTCAGGATTAATTGCTTCAAGAGGATCGCGTTCGACCACGAACATAGCGGCTATCTCTTGCTTGCATACGAGTCTAACTTCTGACAGCATAACCTGCTCCATTTCATTATCTGTGAGCTCGTGATAGCCGTGTGGTTTGATTACTACTCTTGTGACATTCGGAGGTGGGTTCCCCTTGGCGTCAAATCCCCACCATTCGAGGGCTGCTACCATGTTATTTGCAGCGTACACATGAAGCACTATGGTGCGAATAAATGGATGACGAAATGACGGTATGTCAGTGTAGACAAGAGCACCATCCATTTCGAGCACCTCGAGGCGAGGGCAATGGCGGATGACGTTTATATATCCCCCTGTATCTTCAACAGAGTAAACGATGAGGTCCTGGTAGTTGACTCTGATATTGAGGTATACTATAGTCTGGCCATTTGCTTGAATAAAGGCGTCTAACTCGGCAATGACCAGGTTGTCGATGGCAATGCTGAGGGAACAAAGGCTTGGAAGCGAGATATATGCCAGATTCCCAACACTTGGGTCATCCAAAGAAAGATGCGTGAGATTGGGGAAGACTACTGGTTTCTGGAAGTGGAGTCCGCCAGTACCGTAGAGACATAGCCTACCGAGACACGGATTCCGCGCAGAGAGCTCAGCTAGAGCCTCACATTTCACAAGTCTGGTGTTAATCATGATCGACTCGACGTCTTTGATCCAGCTAGTCGACCGTTCCGTATTATGTCCAATGAATCCGTCCAAGACAACGTATTTGAGCCGGGGACAGTATTTGGGTAGTTGAAAAAGTAGGTTATAGTTGATTATTTCTTGCTTGAGTCCATCCCTTAGGCGGGGAGAGGGGAAGAAGATGGAAGCTCGTGTAGTGCAAGGGGAGCCGTAGTTGACGCTGAGTGCGTCAAAAAAGCTGTTGAGACGGAGTTTCGTGTACTTTAGTGCCACTTCAGTAATCAGCACCTCGAATGCGATTGGTTCAAGCCGTTTGCAGATAAACCTGAGCCGTCCACGTCGAGCTTGAATGCCGAGTAATCGACTCCAGTGGGCTCTATCTCGAGTCTTACCTGGTTTTGAGAAGAATGGATTTGGCGGGTAGACCCCAAAGAGGATTTGTCGCCAAATCTCTGATGGAAGAAGAGAAAGATAATCTATATTCTCCTCCTGCAATTTCATTGATCTTTCCCGCTTTTCAATGTCGAGGCTGGGATCAAGTCGCATCTCACAAACCCTGGATTCACCCACTCCAGGTGAAGAAACCTGCATCAGAATTTCGGCCACTCTTGAGATTTCTTGAGATTGACATGAATCCAAATATTGGATGCAATGGGCTTGGCGACCCCACTCGTATCCTCTGTCAATCTTTCGGGCCGAATGCTGGGCCCAGTCGACCGAAAACGGATGTAAAAGTCATGTAACTGTCACACTTTTGCTACATAATTGGCAAAAATAGAAGAGAAAGGTGAACTAGACTATTCTCTGCCGGATATGAACGACTTCGCCCCGTTTTATAGATGAATTGAAACTCTTAGAAGCTCGCAATGGTTAAATATAAGTGGTCAGTTTTTCAAATTGGATCACATCTGGGCCCCAAAGGCTCCATCAGCGGCAGAGAAGCCTGTAGGCTAAGCTCCACTCATTTAGCACCGTCTATCAAGTAGAGCAGTATAGTATTCAGAAATTATTAACTCTTCCAATGAGTTCGACCTACTGCCCGCTTTGGATAGAACCCTGGACAATGCAAGGGTTAGGATGAAGAGAAGAATTGACTAGACAAGCCACCTGCATACGGCGTCACATCAACTATTATCCATTGCTGTCAGACTCGGTTGCTGTGGAACGAACGCATTCAATCTTAAACATGGCAGCAACCTGAGGTTCGCACAGCAACTCGACCTCCTGGCGAAGGAGACACTCCACAGCATCGTCTGTAAGTTCTCCATACCTATGCACTCTGATTATGAGTTTCGTGATACTCGGGAATGGGTTGCTCGTGGAATCAACGCCCCACCATTCAAGGACTGCCAGCAAGCGTTCTTTACTGTATGCATGCAGAATTATGGTGTATGGATGGGTGACAGTAAGGTTGCCTTTCGATGGGGAGGAAGCAACAATCCAGCGCGAGAATCTCGAGCTGAGCGCAATGACGAAGAACGTTTGCATGTATCTCGATATCTGAACTATATGGATAGTCCTGATAGTCAATTCTGAGGTGCAGATATATTAAATATCGTCCATTCGCTTTGAAAAAGGCTTCACATCCGGCGATGTCCATGCTGTTGAAGGCAATACTGAGCCAGCGAAGACTTGGGGCCGAAAGATACGCCAGTTTCTCGACGTGCATCTTCCCAAGGTAAAGATGCGTGAGGCGAGGGAAGGTCGCTATTGTCTCAAGACGGAGTCCGACAGCCTGCAGAGAGAGCATACCAAGGCTAGGGTTCTGTGTCGAGAGCTCAATTAGGTCTCTTGAACTGATATTACTGGTCTCGATGATTACCAAAGTCAGGCCTATGATCCAGCTGAACGGCCATACAATATAATACCCAAGGTATCCGTCCACGGCGATCACTTTGATCCGGGGACAGTATTCATATAGTTTCGAAAGCAGATTGTAGTCGTTTGGGTCGAGCCTGCGTGTCCGCCTCTCGCGCCCGAGGAGCCGAATAAAGACGGGAGTAGTATATCTGGAGCTACTTCCGACTGCGAGTGCGTCAAAAAATTGGCGTAATAGTGTTGTGCTACCGCCAAGACCAACTTCACTGAACAGGACTTCGCAAGCGATTGGTTCGAGTTTTTTTGCAAATGAGCCTGAGTTGTGCACGCCGACTTTGCACGTAAAATATTTGGTTGCTAGGAACGATTCCTTGGCTGAGGATTGTGTCGTGATTCTCGATGCGGGAGGGTAGAATGCGTGGATAGATCTCCAGGAGGATCTGTCGCCAGACCTCCTAAGGGAGAAGTGACAAATAGTATGTATTCTTCTCTCCTGGGTTCATTTTTCCTCTTATTGCTATCGGGAGTGAGTCCAAGATATATCTCACAAACTTTGGACGCGTCTGCCTCACCCGACCCAGAGTTGTCGGCCAGTTCTCCAGCTAGAACATTAAATTGCACTATGGAGATCTTGGCAACATTGACCTGCGGTCTGCGGTCCAAGCTTGAGTGTTCAGCCTCGTCTAATAGGCCAATGACTACTCCTTATCAAGTGAACCCGCGCACATGTGCCCATTGAGCCGCTAAATATGCAAGATAACCAGCAGATAAGCGGCTGCGAGGATGCCTAAGCCCATGCTGTTCAGCCGGTTCATCGCAGCACGGCGACCAGCGCCTACGTACGGATTCCAGTAGGATGCTATTTCCCCCCTTTTTTTTCTTTTCAACTTGTATGCAAAAGAGGCGATTGCTCTACAGCCCGTTTACCCGTGAGGTCGGGGATGTTCTCTAATGGCACTGGCCGAGATGCTTGTCAGATCATGCTGAGCACAGGACGTTCAGATTGAATCTGGCTAGACCAGGCCGCGCATCCTCCTGAACGTCCTCAGTACTCTGCCACAGCACCGCCGCTGGTTTACACGCAAGTGGTATATATGGACGATCACTCCTGCATGATCAAACGACGATATGAACCACAGTGTTATAAAGTATGTCTCATTTCACTGCCCAAGCGACAACTAATCACAGCAGACAGTCTTCCCCCGCGTATTTATTCATATTTCTCTGATTTAACCAAAGCTCAAGATATGAGGTATATTCATTTAGGGAAACTCCATTATGCTGACTAGCTTTCAGGCGTCAATATCGTCTTCGAGAACCAGTCCGCGATTGGGAGGATCACCCTTGGGCTCTTGTGGAATCTGCAGGCTCTTCAATGCTCGACATAGCCTCTAGGCGCGCACAAAACGGAGATAAACCAGCTGCCCGTCTTCCAATAGAGATATTAAAGCGAATATTTCTCTTCGCCGATCTTTCGTCCATCTTCAGAGCATCGGCTGTGTGTCACTGGTGGCGGGTCGCTGCAGTTTTCCAGTGGAATGCATTGGCTGGGAAAATTTGGCGGCTCTCGGTGGATGGATCGTCCCCTGAACTCTCACAGAGCGACGATACGGGGCCCACAGAGGGGCAAACCGTCATTTCTCGGGGCGAATCACCAGACTCTCACATAAAGTTTCAATTTCAAAGTCTCCATGATCTGTTATATACAATATAGCCCTCCTCCCGAATCCGTGACTCTTGAGAGAAGAATTTGATTGGAGCAGACAGCCATTCTGTTACAGTTGCTCGTTTGTTTTTTCGGTCGCACGCTCGACCACGAACCTGCTCTTCGTACGGCCCTCCTCGTCGAGGCGTGAGAGCAGATTGGTATATATGACGTTGGGCTCGTTTATAGTATGACATCCACTATAATAGCAGCGAATCAATACCATTTCAAAGCGAGGATACTCCCATCCGCCGGCTTTAAACCCCCATTGCTTCAGGAGGTCAAGGAGGTAGATCTCGAGCGAAGTGATAACGAGATTTTTAAGTGAAGGGTGGGGACCATAGTATTTGACTGGTCCATCCCCACAGGGAATTGGGTATGTTGACACCGTTTGCAGCAGCGGGCAGGCGTAGAGAACTTCGAAGATAATATCCATAGTCGGGGTCAGTGAATCGATCACCGAGGGTAAATATATGTCGAGGAGCGTTATCCTGGCTGTGCTGAAAAGCAAGGGATCGAATTTCCAACAAGATGGGAGGTATAAAGAGAGCCACTCGAGTGTCGGTGGAAGGGTTGTAAAGAGTTGGCCAGGTGCGATAGACTCAACGCTAGCGCGCTTCAAGTGTGTATGATAGATTGGAGAGCTCGATGTCTCAACGGTATCCCAAGGTTGACAGTCGAGAATCAGTGTCTCGAGCTCGGAGTTTTGGGTAAGAATCTGAGTTATAGTCTTGGGTGCATATTCGTTGACGAACCAGTAGATATGGCGGAGATTGCGGATCCATCCGACGTACGAAGGGTCCTCAGCGTCTTCACTGTCCGAAATAAGAACCAAGGTAACGAGATTGGGAAGGAGTATAGCAATCTTGTCTAGAGGTTTCACGCACTCATCTATTGTGTCGGACGAGACGTTTGGAGTGCTCAAAGTCAAACGTCGAGTATAATAACCAGGGGGATGAGTGCCTATGGTAGCCATATAGAGAAATGATTCCAGATGGGTTTGGTTTCTCTGCAACGCAACGTCTGTAAAGAGAAGCTCAACGGCGAGTGGCTCCAAGCGTTTGCAAACTAGTCGTAGTTGCGCTCGATAAGGTTGGTAATTCACAGGATCCTCTTTCGTGGATGAAAGGTTCCACCCTCGACAGAATTCATATGGATCCATCGCCGCAGGCTCGTGCACAGAAGGATAGGTAGATTGGAGGATTTTGCGCCATAGTTCGGTCGGAAGCCGAGATAGGTAATCAACGCCGTCAAAATTCTCACGATTCTTGCCTCCTTGCTCTCCCATATTGGAGGTGTGGATTTGGCGGAGATCAGGTTCATCGTTCACTGTTTGGACTAAACCTTGTCACCGGACTCGGCATTTGCGTTCATTCTCGAATGAGAAATAAAATCATTTTCTTCTCACAAAAGCCCACTAGCAAGTCTCATCAATCCATGGCCTTCTGTGACGGTGCGGAGAAGGACAAGTAGGTTCTAAACGTCTAAATATCAGTTCCCAAAGGTCGGGAAAGCCAAAGAGAGAGCAAATAAATACTCGCCCGATGTGTTATTCACTGTTTATCCAAAGTTCTATCGAGCAAAAGGAATTAAGATGACTGCAGGCCCCTGAATAGTCAGTGGCCAGCATGTCTGAAGGGTCGAATTTGGAGATAGAGTACTGGACCATAAAGTCAATTCCTCATGTCGGTTGCCTTTAGCGAAGCAGGCTCGGCCTATCTCAGGGGAGGAAGCCAAGGAACCAACGAGAATGGAACGATCCATTCCTATTGACGAGACGTATGTGAAAAAATTGTACATGTGAACCCTTAAATAATGCTTACTAGAGAATATTGATATAAGACATGATTCATTAGAGACCATCAACGAGCTACATATTCCCAGCGCTCGGCCTCCATAATATAATGTTGTATACAGGAGACCGCGAGCGACTTATAGCTCCCCCAATACAAATTCTAATGGAATATCATGTTCCTCGTGAAGGAATCTGACAAGTGAGTCTGCGACCTGCATCATATAAGTCGGCCTTGTAAGGACTAAGACTCGGTTGAAATGGGGGTATCCACAGCAAGAACGAATGATCCCCCATTGACGAAGCATTGCATCCACTAGGCCGACCGCATTTGTGATACAAAGGGTGCGAAGCGAAGGGTGCGCTTCGTAACTTGCTTTGGGTGCTACAAATGAGTAGCAGGTGCTCGTGGTGAATACCTCTAGCCGGGGACAGGCGTACAATAGACTCAATATATCATCCATTATCAGCGGTCTCTCTCGCGACGTAGACCAATGTACTTCGAGCGATGTTAGCATCTTTGAGCTCAGCCTGGAAAGGTCGAGTGCGAGATGCGTGCCGAATGTGAAGCCGAGTCTGTCGAGGTCCGGAGGAAGAGTCGCGAGGAAAGGCGTATGCGGTGGATAACCTATGAAAAATTGCTTCATGTTACCCCATGGCGGCGCATGTTTTGGCCAACAGTACAAGCTCCCTGAAGGCGATGAGAGAACAAAGCTCTGCAGCTCCGGATTTTGAGCTAGGATCTGCACAACTTGTTCGTATTTAAGCGGAGATGGATACCAACACAGATGCTTCACTCCGGTAATCCAGTCTAGGTAAAAAGTTGTCACTTTGGTGGAGAAGGCGTCATCTATGATGAGCGTGTTGATATTTGGAAACGTTTTATGAATAAGATCCAATTGACGGTCATACGTTTTACCTTCCTCCATTTCGCCATCCTCGTCTGGGAAGCATAAGCGCGTCATCAATCGTCGCGTTAAATCACCGGGACTTGATGGTGCTCCATGAGTCTCCTGAGCAATTTCAAAGAGTAACTCGAGTTCGGTATGATGATGTGGGAGAATGATGTCTTGAAAGAGCACCCCGAGTGCAATCGGCTCGAGCCTCTTGCAAACCAGCCGTAACTGCGAGCGGTATTTCTGCATCGCCCGCATTCTTCGCATGGGATCTCGAGCAATAACTCCTATTGCATGGCCCCAAGATGTGAATGCGGAGGGAACGGCTGCCATGCCATCGCGTGAAGGGTAGACTTGATCGAGTATCTCGCGCCATAGCTCGTCAGGTAGCATAGTAAGAAACTCTGTGGGTGATGATTGGTTCCCATCTCGTGGGCCAAAGTCATGGCGCTGACTCTCCTTCGTCTCTGAGACCATGCTTCTCGACCATGACGCCGAGTAGAAATCTCCCCTTGTTTGCTCTTCGATCGCGACAGGATGTCGGATGGTAATCCTGTATTTTTGTTCCATCTTCTCCGATCTAAAGTTGTGGACGAGTCCAAGTGCGTACTACCCAAACTTAGACCTGACCAATAACCTGTCGTGACCATGTTCCACCTCCGCCGTATATCAAAAACGATAATAAACCCACGACAGCCTCGTAGAGCGGTTCTCATCACATCTTCCACCAAACGATTCCAGTCGGCATCCGCTGGGAAGTCTCGCCAAGGACACGACTGCCCGAACTGCGGAACTCCTCTTCCTACGACACTACCTACTTGTACAAATGTTGGGTGTGGCTACATTGAGCCAATTCCAAAGGAGCTTAGAAGCGATTACTACGCCATATTTGGCTTTCCAGGCGTACGAGATCCGGAACCGACAAGAAATCCTTTCTCTATCGACACAAAGGCGCTGAGAAGGCAGTTTCTGGACATGCAAAAAGTATGTCATCCGGATCGTTGGGCTCAAAGCGGCAAGGTGTGGACTTCTTTAAGGACTTTGGCGTATCTCTGATGCTCTATAATGTAGTCTCAAGCAGAGGCAGCCGTGGATCAGTCAGCGCAGATTAATAAAGCGTATCAGACGCTTCTTTCCCCGCGACTACGAGCAGAATACATCATTGCGCAACATGGTATCGACATTCGTGAAGCAGATACTCTGGAGAACGAACAAGAACTAATGATGGAGGTCATGGAAGCACGAGAAGAGTTGGAAAATGCCGAAGGCGAACAAATTCAGAAGTTGCTCGCTGCGAATGATGGTCAGCCTCTTGACAGCAGCCTTGATATCTCATCTGACATCTATATTTATCCAGAACGACTGCAGAATATCACCGCCGAGCTAGAGGATGCCATTGGAAAGGAAGATTGGCAACACGCACGGCGACTAGTCATTCAACTGCGATATTGGGAGTCTTTCCAGCGTGCAGGAAAGGGAATGGAGGTGGACCATTAATACGACCTAGCCACTGTTATACTTTATCTTCTGCCGTCTCGGCACTAATCAGACATATCGGTCATCATGGCATTCACCACTTCTAGACTACGCATGAAAAGATAGCCTGTTAATCCCGCTCGACGACTAGCTCAACAAACGCATGAGGAAAGGACGCGACTGCAACCTCGTGTACCAACATTGGTTTATCTAGCGGCTCAGGAACCTCCCACAGACTGTGTAGACTTCTTCCCAAAGAGATATGAGTATTAGGCTCTTCTCCTATCATCGTAACCTTCTTCAAGTTCGGGAATGCCTCCGTCGGGAAGGATGCCGCATGTTGTTGCACCTTCTTGCCGCCTATTGGACATTGAAAAATGAACATGAGATGGCGAAGATGAGCATGTGGGATTGCTCCTGGTTCAGTCGGACGAGGTGCCGCATCCAATTTCGAGATTGGGATGCTTAGAACTTCCAAGTTTTCGCAGAGGGCAAATAGACCCCCAGGAAGGGTCGGGTTGGAGTAGAGGAAGTCGGAGGTGGACACCTGCAATCCTATAAGATTTGGACCGTAGCGTCTCATGAACGCATCTGCGTATTCGAGCCCTTCGACTGTTCCAATTTCAATATGTAGCCACTTGAGATTTGGCATGTCGAGTTTGTCCAACGGAAATGCGGATACAACCTCCCAACTGAGATAAAGGCGGGTGAGGCAAGGGAAGTGGACAAGTCCCTCGTAGGCTTCCTCACCAACGGAGAGAAGCGAGAGTCCAGTGAGGTGAGGAAAGGTCTTGGCGGCGAGTTGAAGGTGGTATGGAAGTAGCTGGTTGTGATCTATGGTCCAGGTTGTGATCCCTTCTAGGCCCTCCACGCTCCACGAAGAATCCATGATGCTTTGGTGTAGATTTGGGGTATATTCCACTCCGATCGAATGGATGGCTTTCAGATTGGGATATGCATCTCGGAAAGAGACTCCGCAGCTGAAGGCGAATGAGACGATGAAAGGAATGTTGTATATCCACACGCTTCGCGTCCATTCGCCGCATCTGCGGCCATTTGATTGTAGAATATACGCTCCTGCCATATATCTCCCTTGTATCATATTCCTATGGCAGAGTATGATCTCCAGATAGAGCCACTCCTCAACCAGCGGTTTTAGGGCTTTGCATATTGTGAGGAGAGAGGCCCGATAAGCCTGAGATTTTATTGCCGTCTCGAATAGGGGCGGCTTGACATCAAGAAAGCGCAAAGGCGCCGTGGATGTGAGGCTTTCGGAAGAGCCCTTGGTAGGAATGAATCCGATAATTGTTCTCCAGAGTTCTATCGGTAGCTTGTTCAAGTAGTCCATCTAATTCGGGAAGAGGACAAGGCCAACGTGTGCTCTCCACCCAGCCTCGTTGTAATTCATTTTGATTCCCGCTCACACTTAGCGCTTATTCCTCTCGAATACATATGGCCACGGCACTATACATTACACCTTCTGGACTTGATAATGTGGAGAACGTATCCTTCTCCCATCTGCTGCACGAAGAACACCGCTCGTTTCTCGTTCGCCGGAGTGTTTTGTCTGACCAAAGGCAGTCACTCACGAAGTTTGAAAATTATGGAGTTGATAATAGTCACATACCCGCCGTTGGGTGGGAAAAATAACCGCCGACCTAGGGGCCGCGACTACAAAGACGAATAATAACAAAGACGGTGACTACTATTCGGTCACGGTATCCAGAGTTCTTTAGAGCGCATAAATGGAGGTATAAATAAACAATCAACGAGTGGGAGCAGATCCTACTTTGCACCTGTATCCCATACACTATGATATTCAGTTAAAGAATATACTCCGTGACGAACGTAGCGCCTAAGTCTAAACAGCATGACTCAGATTTGGAAAGCATACCAATTGCGATGTGATCCTTGTCAAAGTCTTTATACTTGCGCAACTTGAGGTCAACTTTCCTGAAGCCAACAGGAACCTGACCTCCCGAGTCAAACAGCCACCAGCGAAGAGCTATTTCCGCACTCAACACGTCATCAGCCTTGAGGATTAGAGTATGAGCAGGTAGAGTGAATAGCCGTGGCTTAGTATCGTCGATGACCCTGGCATCCACCTTTAGGACCGCAAGTCGGGGGCATAGATTGAGAATCTCTGCCGTCAATCCTGCGAGCTCCCTTGCTATGATAGGTACGGGCGCATATTCCGTCCTGATGAGTTCCAAGTAATCCAGATTCAGACCATTCGTCCGAAAGAATCCCAAACAACTGGCAGGGTCCCGCCGGCTGAGGGAGATGCCGAGCCATCGGATTCGTGGAAAAATGAAATTTGAAAGTCCATCACGTTCCGCAAACGAGAGAAAGACATTTGTAACGCATGGGAACGTCACAGGCTTTTTGAGCACGAGATAGTCGACGCAGAGAATCAGAGTATGAAGAGAGGGGTTGTGAATAGAGAGATTTTGTAGGAATTTTGAATCTAAGAATGAGGCGGAGTAAAAAACTGATTCGACGCCGGATAGCCATTCGACGCGCTCATTCGAAGCATCTTTATTGCGTCCAAACACGGTGATCCGCTTGATCCGAGGACAGTACTCACGCAATTTGCAAAGCCAATTGTATGCATTATCCTCGAGTGAACTCCGCCAAGGGAGACAAATAAGGGCACCGGTGGTACGGGAGAGAGGCAGAGACGTAGTAGGATTCCCCGCCTCGAAGGTATCAAGTAATCGCTTCCATCGCGGTGCCCTATCTGACACAATAATCTCCCTGAATAAGACCTCGAGAGCGATAGGCTCGAGCTTTCTGCAGACGAGTCTGAGCGACGCACGCATTTTTTGTATGTAAAGGATTAGCATTATAGTCATTGGAATGAATGGAGAGTTTGGATCCACGGAAGCAATTGGTGGGTAGACCTCGAGGAGGATCTGATGCCAGATCTCCAGAGGGAGGAGCGATAGATAGTCTACTTCGTCTTCTTTGGTCTCCATGAGTGTTGTTGTACGCTCGTCAAAGTTGAGGTTGGGATCAAGGCGTCTCGTAGACCGGGGACTCGGCCATCTCCTATGGACATCTCCGGCGTTGGGAATAGTGCATGTTTCAGCGGAATTGGCGAATAGAACGCTATTTGAATATCCACCACGACTTTGTGGACACGTACAAAACAAACCCTCGAACCATCGCCGGCCGACGTATCCCATCTTCTCCACATGAGCGTTTACCCACTTGTATTCAATCAACGCAGGAGCCCAGTCTGCTCTTATTTTGCCCTAAGATCAGCCGCGGAGCGTCTTCAAGGCAATGTGGAGCAACCTACATGTCCACCGTTACAGGATCCGTGGCGATGGAGGGCACGTATTATATTGGAATGCCCGGCTATTTCTTCTCTCCCTAATTCGTGACTAGGCCAGACCAGTGGAATGAACCGCTCCTTTTGTTCGGTTCATTACCCTCGAGGAGCGCTCAGGAGATCCGATATGATGATGGACTGAGGCATTGTTAGAGATACCGTGCGTTTGAGTATCCTTATGGCTGATAGTATAGTTGATAAGCCGCAGGAGGGACTGTGAGTCACAGTTACATTCTTCCGAACGGCTATAACACAAACGAAGGCAACACGGGACGTATGTATTCCTCAAACATCCTCATCTCCTCGTTCCGCGCCATATACAGTCGCAATCCGTTATTTATCAGTCATCCCCCTTGCTGGATATGACCAGAAATATATCGAATGTCGAACTCTTACAATCTTCAACAGGCGCGTGCAAAATCAACTCCAACAAGAGGAGAGCGTGAATAGTGCTACATCGGTATCAACTACTGGTTGTGCATATAACTCTACCAACGCGAGGTACGAGAGATTCTCTTCTTCGAAGAGTCTTGACCAGCGTCTAGACCACAGTATGGTCCTGATACTGCGACCAATTAAGGTACATGGTACCCTTGAATCCACTCCAGGCAGTCAGCGCGTCCTCTCGTACTTCTACCGTCGGAACTAACTAGACGATTATCCTGTAAGAACGCCATGGAATTCATCACACTTGGACTACGTATGACAAGCTAACATGTCAATCCATCTGAACAACCAGCTCGACGAGAGCGTTAGAGAAGGATGCGATTGCGACTTCATGTACCGAAGATCGGTTGTATAGCGGCTCGGAAATACCCAAAAATTGGTAGAAACCACTTCCAAAGGGTATGATGGGTATGATGGTTTGGATTTCAGGCTCCTCCGCGACCATTGTAACCTTTTCCAAACCCGGGAATGCCTCTTTAGAAAAGTATGCGGCGTATTGTTGCACTGTCCTACTGTGTATTGGACACTGAAAAGTAAATATTATATGACGAAGACGAGGATGAGCGATCACCCCCGCTTCTGCTGGACAAATTACTACGTCCATTGGTACCTTTAGGACCTCTAAGCTGTCACAAATGGTAAGGAGGCCCTCAGGAAATGTCGGGTTAGAGTAGACGATGGCGGACTCGGACAGCTGCAATTGTGTAAGCTTTGGACCGTACCGTCTCATGAAGGCACCAATGGATTCTAATCGACCAACTATCCCACTGGCAATATTTAGGCACTTGAGATTTGGTACGCGGAGTCCGTCCAGTAGGAATGTTGATGCAACTTGCCAGCTGAGGGAAAGCCGTTTGAGGGAGGGAAAGTGGACAAGTTGGTCACGGCTTTGCGCAAGAGCTGAGAGAACTGAGAGTGCAGTGAGATGAGGAAGAAATCTCGCTGCGTACTCGAGATGGTGTAGCTCAAGCCCGACGTGATCCAGCGTCAGAGTTGTGATCCCTTCCCACCGTAGAGGAATCCCATCTGCGTCCGTGATGCTAAAGAGTATATTTGAGTCAAAACCGATCCCTATCGAATGAATGGCCTTCATATTCGGGTAGGCATCTCGGAAAGACGCCCCGGAAGCTACATAGGTCAGGGATTTCCAGACCGAGACGCGATATACCCAAACAGTTTGTGTCAAGTCTCCGCACCTGCGTCCATCCGGCCGCAGAATGTTGGCGCCTGCCAGGTAGCACCCCTCCTGTAGGTTCCGCTTATATAGGACGACCTCGAGGTAGAGCCATTCTTCCACAAGTGGTTTCAGAGTCTGGCATATTATGAGTAGAGATGCTTTATAGGCCTGATATTTGGCCGCTCTCCTGAGGGTGGCATGCTTGCCTTGCTCTGTGTGTGAGATAGTAGATGCAAGGCCTTCAGAGGAGTCTTCCATAGGAATAGATCCTATGACCATCCTCCAGAGTTCTATCGGCAGCTTGTTTAAATAGTCCATAAGGTCGAGTCCGACTGACGTGTACTCTCCACCCAGCCTCGCCCAGACACAGCTTAAACTCCTGCGCACGTTTGGCGCTTATTGCTTCTCGGTACAAATGGCCGCTCCGCTGTATACGACATCTTCTGGGCTTTTATGGCATGCAGGAAAGATCCTAATCGTCGTCGCTGGTCTACCTGCACGCGGCAAAACGCACATTTCTCGCTCTCTAGAACGCTATCTGCGATGGAACGGAGTTACAACAGAGGTCTTTTCATTAGGAGATTATAGACGAAAGACGCTAGGACACGCAAAGGCTCTTCCCGCAGATTACTTTTCTCATGGTGCGTCGTTCGGAGACGATTGGGTGGTTTGATGGATTCTAATGAGTGCATAGGCGCAAAAAGTGAAGAGACATTGAAGATTCGGAACTCCGTCCGAGAGCGATGTGAACGTGATATCCACGACTTTTTCGAACACGCGGGACAAGTCGCAATCTACGACGCAAACAATGGGACAAAGCAATCCAGAAGAGCCCTTTATGATCGCTTCCACTCGGTTGGATACCATGTCATCTTTCTCGGTGTGGCCATCACCGCAATGCGAACTTTGTACTGACGGTTCTCCTCAGAGTCGGTCTGTAATAACCAGGAGATTGTTCTAGCAAATATCCGTAGTGTCAAGATCTCTTCACCTGACGTATGCCCTGCAAGTACACTTGGTTGATTACTGATGATTCCTAGTACGCGCAATGGGATCCAGACGAAGCTGTCAAGGATTATATGAAACGTATTGCGGACCACGAGCGACACTATGAACCCGTCGAAGAAATGGATATTCCTTGGATCCGTCTCTTCAATGTCGGAGAAAAGATTCAGATAAATGTTCGCCCTTCATCATCCTTCCTTGCTGGAAACTGACGAGCGACAGAAAATCCAAGGATATCTTCAATCGAGGATTGTCTTCTTCCTGATGAATATCCACAATCGACAACGATTCATCTACTTTGCTCGCGTATGTTCTTTTCCCTCTCTACGGTCATTTCTAACGTTGTGTAGTCTGGACAATCCCTCATCGAGCACTCCTATCGTGCAGACTCAGATCTCTCTCCAAGCGGATGGGACTACGCCAAGGAGACTAAAGAATTTTATGATCGAGCGGCGTTATTTGAACATGGAGGAAAGAAAGAAGAATAACGCTGGCATTGCGGAGGAGCGCAATCTGGTAGTATGTGGCTTTCTTGTGAATATCTACCAGACTCTGAGCTGCAACCCATCAGATCTGGACATCGTCCCGTCGTCGCTCGCATCACACCGCATGGCCATTCATCAAGGATTCATCGGCTGGAGGAATCGACCAACAGAAATCGCCGCTAAAAAATCCTGCTGAACTTGACGAAGCGCTCCCACGGCCTCACGAAGCCGGAATCGAGGTCCCTGGTCCCGTTTCGCCTCGACCTCCGGCCAACTCGACCTCCCACCTACACAAGCCGCCTACTCTAGAATAAAGGTAGTCGAAAAGAGTCGCCTCTGCGAGATCAACCCAGGGGTCTGGGATGGATTGTCGCCCGATGATGTACGCACACGATATCCATTGGAATGGGAGGACTTCCTCCGTGACCCCTATGGCCATCGTGCTCCTCGAGCAGAGAGCTATCACGATCTCTGTATTCGACTCGAGCCGATTCTCATTGAGCTGGAGGATATGAAGGATGACTTGCTCATCATCTCCCATGCTTCTGTCATTCGCTGTCTATTAGCGTACCTCGTCGGCCTACCAGCGCATGAAGTGCCTGCTGTGGACATTGCGCGCGGCGACCTTATTGAGGTCCAGCCCAGCGCATATGGCGTCAAGACACGGATGTTCCACTTCTGGAGCGGTCCCGGCAGGAAGGATGGGGAGGTTGCAACACAATCCATGCCAGATCCAACAGTGGGGATTCTCACGCCCCCTGTATCGAGTCCACCACGCAGCGTTTTACACCTCGACAGAACATATCGCTCTCGGAGCTCAAGTCAGGCAGACTTGGGGGACTCGTTAAGCATGACGCATGCAGACCACCAGGACGAAACTCACCATGGAGAAAACCATGAGGAGAACGTATCTGCACCCATCGACATTCCTAAGCCCACCTCCGAGACGCAGCAGGCTGCTATTCTTGACCTTGGTCTGGAGACACCCAACGCTTCCAACACTCATGGGCTGTCAAAGTCGCCCTCTATACCCCCACGCAAGGTTCTTCTGGCCGCCAATCCGGCCGAGCCACACCCACAGCAAGAGAACTCGGTAGCAGAGCCAGAAAGTCCGACAGAAGCAAGCAAGGTGCTGCCCAAAGTAGAACCAAGCCTCGGCGCGGATGAAGCTGGACAAGTAGCTGCGAAGATTGAAGCGGCAGATACCCGTCCGACATTTTATGAGAATGTCGTTGAGGGGGCGACGAAGAGGAAGAAAACGCAGGGACCAACAGTGATTTCGACGCTCCAATAGTTTTACTTGTCTATGTAATCACTTCTAGAGCTGTTCACCTCAGGCGGCGTTTGCTGGGAGGCGCTTATTAAACTTGGACCCCTCCATGACATGACTTGCTAGAGAATATTACACCAGTCAAATTTTGCAAGATTAGAGCATGGAAACCAAAGAAAGAGCCACAACACCCGTTTCTAAACCCCCTCCTACCACACATCGTCTCTTCAACAAGCCTCTCGTCGTTTTATTCCCGCTTTTTATCGCATTTATATCTTATTTCATGTCAAAATACGATCCAGAGCTCGTCTCCGATATCTCTGGACGTACTCACGAAACGCTCGGCACTCTCAGGGGCCTTTTGCACCTCCCAAGCGAAGTCCAGCGCTTCTTTAGTGACAAAGCAACCTCAAAAACTCCGGATAACCTCGCTGTTGCCTGCTTAGAAGAGGGAGCGACGCATGGAAACTTTCGTCTCCTGAAGCGGATCAGGCTCAACTACACCGACGCGACTATAACAAAGTGGGTTAGCAACAAAACGGGTCTTAAAGTGGTGCATGTCGACTACCAAGGTGCGGGCCGTCCATCACCAGCGTGGATTCCTCTTCTTGTCCGCATGTCTCACTGACACGTCCCTCAGGGCCCATCATCAACGGCTACTTTGCGGTCGCTACCGAAAGTAAGTTTACAAAGCTCGCTCTATGAGTAAACAGCTCATTTCTATTAGTATTCGACGACTCTGGGTGTCCTCATACACTCGAACATCTCGTATTCCATGGTTCCGCGTCATATCCGTATTCGGATGCACTTCAAAGGATTGCTGCTCGATCATTCGCGTCCACACCCAACGCGTATACGGCTCAAGATAGGACGGTTTATACAATCTCGACAGCCGGAGAGGATAGTTTCTTGCGTCTCTTACCCGTGTTTGTGGACCATATCCTCTATCCACGACTAACGAACGATACTTTCGTTACGGAGGTATACCACGTCAATGGCGAGGGCAAGGACAGTGGCGTAGTGTATTCGGAAATGCAAGGAAGAGAGAATTCCCCAGGCGATCTGGTGGACTTGGCGTCAGTCTTCTCAGCCCTATGGTGGAAACGTAGTCTAACTTCGTCCTCAGATACCGGCGCAAGCTATATCCTCAGGGAAGCGGTTACCGAAGTGAGACGGGAGGTTTAATGGAAGCTCTTCGAACCCTCAGCCTGGAAAAGATCAAGGCATACCACAAGAGCTACTACGCATCTCATAACCTATGCCTCGTCGTCACTGGTCACCTGTCAACTGCCGCCCTCCTTGATCAAATCGAGAAGACGGTCGAAAAGAATACCATTCAGCGGAGTGGATACTTACTTTCGAATGAAGACGTCTCTAAAGAGCGTGCTGGCTCTATAGACAGTGGCTACCATCCACCCGAAGGATGGAAGCGACCCTTCCTCGAAACGGAGAGCTCCAGATTGCCAGTACTAGACAAGGACCAGGAGCTCATTGTCGAGTTTCCTGCTAAGGAGGAAAGATACGGCGATGTCACATTGATCATACTCGGGCCAAAACCAGATGAAGAAATTCTGCATGCTGTGAGTAGAGTTATTACCCCTCGAGTCGCTCTTCTCAGCTCCTTCACCAGGCACTGTCTCTTCTCGGCGATTATCTCGCTGGAAATATCGTTGCGCCTTTGAACAAGGAGCTTGTTGATATCCCCTTCCCATACTGGTAAGATTATGGGGCTTTTTTTTTACCTGCATCTCATCGTTACAGCACATCGATATCCGTCGGCGGAGAAACCAGGGCTACATTCAGTGAAATGCATATCTCGATGACAGATGTGCCTCTCAAGCACCTATATAATGTGGAGTCGAGACTAAGAAGCGCCGTCAAGCGGATAATAAAGCAAGGAATCGACATGAAGCGTCTTCATGCGATCATTGATCGAGATGAGCTTCTAGTGCGGAGTATTCTTTGAAGTGAAAAGATGATTACTGACATTCAAAAGTGGCGTCATGGCCTTGAGGAAATCGGTGGCGAAGCATTCTCTTCTGATATACTGGACGACTTTATGTACGGCGATGACGCAGGCTCAAAGCTGGCAAAGCGCCTTCAAATGCCAGAGTACTACACTCAATTACGTGGATGGTCAAGTAAACAGTGGATAGAGCTCATAGACAGGTACGCTGAGAGCCGTAATTGAGCTCATTCTGATCACAATGCAGATGGATCCTTCAGCAAAATGCTCTTATAGTGCGAAGTAAACCATCAGCGACCATGTCGCAGCGCATTGAAGACGAGGAACGCCACCGTGTAGAATCTAGAATCGCTGAATTGGGCGAGGATGGTTTAGAGAGACAAGCCCGAATTGTCGAAGAAGCCAAGCGTAGGAACGACGAGCCTATGCCGGACGAAATCGCAGGCGCCTTTGCATCTCCGAACGTTGCATCTATTTCTTGGATTGACGTGCAAAGCGCTAGCACAGTTGCTGATAGCGACCAAATCGGCAGCGTGGAGGCAAACTCTGACTCACTGCGAGAGTATTTGGAAACCGACCAGTGTGTTCTTCCCTATACGCTCCATTTCGACCATGTCTCTGTGAGTTCTCCGTCTTCTGGGTTTTTAGTCGTTGACATTCCTAGTCGCAATTCATTACTGTCTCAATATATATCTCTATGGGCCAAATCCCAGTTAAGATGAAACGGTATTATTTAAACTCTTCATTGAGCAATAGCTGACCTCTCGTAAAGGTTGGTCTACATTCTTCAGACGCTATTCTTCAGCGCAACGATCACGTTGGAAGATGGCACGAAACTCGATGAGGACCAGCTTTTGCACAAGCTGGACCAAGATCTCGTATCTTACAGTTTCTCACCCTGCGACGCGTATGAAGAATTACTCTGTCTCAGCGTAACGGCAGAGACGTCTAAATATCCCACTGCCGTAGCATGGATACGGCGCCTTCTATGGTCCAGAGAGGAGAACGTGAAGAAACTTGAGACACGTCTGGCTATACTGAAGCAAAGTCTTCCGGAGGCACTGCGCGATGTACATACGGCATTCTCGGACGTCCAAGCAGAATTGCTCTTCACTGACAAGTTGACGGCTCGTCCGACCCATGCGAGGAGACTTGTTGCATGGGTACCAGAACTGGAGGCCCAGCTGAAGCGCAATCCAAAGGGGATTGTGAAAGACATCGAGGCACTCAAGGACATCTGTGCGTCATATAGTATATCTCATTACTGCATGTTGACGTTCTATGGAGTGCTAAGACCAGAAGGATTCACATTCTCCGTCCTTGGGGATGTGCTCAAGTTGGAGAAGCCAAGGACTACATGGATGGAGCATTTCCAGACACTAGCAGTGGGTTTCACCACGCTCTGAGGCTCATAACTGACCAGTTATAGTATGCATCTCCACTTCCTATTCCCCTCGTCAACGAGACACTCTCGGGATTGGGTAAATCGCCAAGTAAAAAGGTGAGCTCCAAGCGTCGTAAAGCACCAGCTAAATGTCGACAGGCGGTCGTAGTTTCTCTCTCTAACATAGAAAGCAGCTTCTCCGGCCACTTCGCGCGAATGTTTACGGGTTATAGTCACCCTGAATATGCGGCGATGATTGTGGCTGCAGAAGTCTTGAATGGCGCAGAATTATACTTCTGGGTGAGGAGAACGCAACTGATTCACTACCGATGCCTAACACTATATTACAGAAACGTATCCGAGGTGCTGGTCTGGCGTATGGAGCGGCTGCTAGGCATGACCTCCAAGCTGGGCTCATCTCTTTCAGGGCATGGAGTGTAAGAGAAGTAGCGGGGATCTCAGATGATAGCTAATGCCCTGTGTTGGTTTCACAGAGTCCAGACGCTGCAAAAGCATTTGCTGAGGCCAAGATGGTCGTAGAAGGACTGGTCGATAGAACGGTTAGTCCAAATCAAATCAACATTCAAGTCGCCTTGACCTCTATATCAGATCCCCTTGGAGCCGCAGAAACTCGAAGCTGCAAAGAACGCATACGCTTATACGGTCGCTGACAACTTTTCAACTCGTATGAGCATGGCAAGTCCTGTTCCTTCAGACAGCAATATTTCTCATGCACGCCTCTAGGCGGACTCCATGTTCATCAATAGGGTATTCCGCAATCGAACCAATGACTGGCTTAAACGGCGACTTGAAGACGTCCAGGTATGTCATTTCCAGCGAGGGACTACGTTTAGGCTCATTCCGGATAGCACATCACCACTGAAGATGTGCTCGGGGTAATGGAAAAGTATATTCTCCCTGTTTTTCGAGCAGAGAGCTCCATTTCCATCATCGTCTGCGGGCCAAATCAAGCCGATGGGATAGTGCAAGGGTTGGAGCGGGATGGATACGAGGTTGAAATCCGACATTGGGACGACCGTGTGCCTTGGAGCACAGAAGCTGAGCAAAGTACGACAGAGAAGCTGAGGGCCGGGGTAATTATGGCCACTTCGCGGCTAAAGAGCTTCTTGCGAGGGTAGTCTGAGGCTTGACCAAAGTGCCTAAACCGTAATAGCCAATCTATTTGAACATGTTCTACCGTTTTCGCAATAGAAGATAGACGTTTTCCCCTAGGACAATGCCCGACATGTGTCGATAATTGCCCGATAACGCCATCAGGAGGCCACCGTACGAGATGTAGGCCGTGCTATCTCGACATAAGCCATGCCTACAGCTAACTAAACCTCACTCACACTGTTGTTCCTTCCCCCTCGTCGAACTTGTACACTTTGCCGTACATTACATAGTCGTAATCAGCATCAAGCCCTTTGCTCCTCCCAATTGTCGGCCGCCAAGTGTCGCGGTCAATTTTGTCCTCTGCGGGTCCACTCGCTCCTGCTGCTGCACCTGTCGTCGCTGTACTGGCTGTGGTTTGCAATGACGAGGCAAGGACGAGCGTGATCGTCTCATTTGGGCGAAGTGGATACAATTCGTGGTTAAAGTCGAGCGAGAGTTCCATTCCTAGATTTGACGATCGTGCTTGCAGACGCGAGACTATAGTTTTTGCGCGGCCAAAGCACAGTGGCGCAAAGCGCGGAGTCAAGATTTTAGTTTGCCGTGGAAATCTGATGATAAAAGGACAGACCTCGCTCGTATCTATTACCATCCACGTTGAGGATGGTAAACATCTCGTCAAAGAGGATATTCGCAGACTTGGCCATTATAAAAGACGACTAGAGACGAATGGTGAACGAGAATAGTCTATGCTCCGTTAGTCATGGCGGTTTTGAATGCCTCTGATGTACGAGACGCACGGTCGGTATAATGGTCGGGTCCAAAGGGAATTAACTCGATCTTCGCCACCATGAACCCGGGACAGAACGTCGTGTATCGAAAGCAAGATTGATATAAAATCATGGACATATCGCTCGCGACATCAACTACAAGGGTCTACTGTCCTTGATCAGACGAAAGCTCGCGAGTTAAGAAATTAAGGCCTGGAGTACTATAATCGCAGACTTACAAGGTGCAGTGTATAAATCCTTATACAATATTAGTGATACCCATAGGATGAAGGCAGACTCTTCTGCGTTTGGGGCCGAGCGCAGATTGAACACTAGCACCGGATCATGTCTGGTCGAGTTTTTCAGCTATCACAGAATGATCATGTGCATAACGCTGGGCAGGTCCTGGTCAAGGGTGGCGACATGATTTGACCCTGTCCATCGTCGGTACAAACGGCAGCAAGTCGAAATAATATGGTGGATTATCTCCATATGCTTCCCATAGAACTCTGGCGAGAGATTCTCTCTCTCGCCTATCCATCGATGCCAGACGAGACGACCTGTGACGACCCAATCGACTTCTTTGACACTCTACCCGCCGTTGTCAAGGACAACGGTGCACCAGAATACTTTAGCAAACATCGAGCAAACCTCCGACTCGTTTGCAGATTTTTCGAGCCTATTGCACGCGATCTCTTGTTCACCGAACTCGAAATCACAACAAAGGACAGAGGAGAAGAGAAATATTTGGAAGCTTTAAGCTCTCTGGCAAAGAATGGAAGACACCTTGGGGGCTCGCGTACGCCGCATCCGCCTTGAATTGATCACCCCAGAGGATATGCGAGAGGAAGATAGAAGCAAAAGAAGTGTTCAGATGAGCGAGAACATCAAATTATTAGGTGACAACTGTCCGAATCTACGGGTCGTTGAGCTGGACGCTCGAAATGCAGACAGTCACGGACTTGATGTGGGGATCTCTGCACTCCATAGCCTTCAATTGCTTATCTTGTACTCTTTCGTCATCTCTAGGCCTCTAATGTATAGTTTGTCCTCTCCAAATCCACAACTGACTACCCTCATACTTTCGTCCATATTTTGCAGGATACCCCATCACGTCGAATTCCTGCACCTAACACGCATTCATATCGACATTAGGAGTATTTCAGGGCGTTTGGCCTCTATTTGTGCCCCCAAACTCCAATGGATCAGTCTCAACACGCAATGGGTCGCAGCGGCCATCCCTTTTTTACAGCAGAATGCAAAAATGCCACATTCCTACGTCTGGGTCAGGGAGATGTGATGAGTGCAGTCATTGAAGCGGCGTACGCATGCCCTCGTCCCGAGACTCTCGGGGTCGGCTATCCCCGGGGGCAAGGTGGAACTGTATCACAATGCCAACCACACCAAAGTCTCAGGACGCTAGTTCTATATTGCGCCGATCAGACCACAGTTGTTCCTGCCCTTGCCCAATGGGGGTTTGAGCGCCATATAGGGCCATCCAATCTACGATTTACAAGCGTGGTCGTTTGATTGAAGGATCAAAAGTACTCTTGGCCCGAAGAGTACAAGCGTGCCAGAAATAATATTCTTGGAGCAGCTGCAGTGTTGTGCGATATGAGGGATACGGCCTTCACAGTTCGTTGCGATCCCTACTATTAGCGCTTCCTGGCCCTCTTCCATCGAAACCTATGTCCTTTGTAGATAAAGTTACGATCCATATGTATATTCATCTTCCCGAGTAAATACGCACTAAGAGAAGACTCCGGCAGCTTCTGATGTGGTGCTTAACAGCGCATTTCACGGGATGCAACTACCATTGATGATTGTTTAGCCAACAACAGGAGAACGAGCGGGTAGAAACAAACACGAGTAAACCCCATTAAGAGATGGAATAAAGGAGCGGGTGAGAGAGTCGGAGTACACGACAAGCACGGTTCTATACTGAGAACGGATATACGTGAGACAGGTCGGCGCACGTGGGTATGTGCAGAGACGGGGGAGTCTAAGAGGAACTGCCTCGATTAGACAAGACTTGGTTGCGCATAGCGCAGGATCCTTGCATGACAATGAGTAAAAAAAAGACGTCGAAAGGAGTGTGTGGCAGAGTCCGCGTCGCGCACCGAGACGAGTGTATCGGGCACAGCTCTGAGAGTGGAGCGGAAATCGAGAGTCGAAAGAGCGTTGGATGATTAGGGTAAATTGATTGCTCCATGGCAATGATCCGAGTCGAAGCGTTGTTGCTTTGGTGGTGACCGAGGTCACTTCTTGCTAAGCCAACCGAGGATTCCCTTTTTCTTCTTCTTTCCAGGGTCACCACCGGTCGTAGCAGCCGTATCAGGTCGTTCGTTGCTCTTCCACGAGCTCGTCTGTCCTTCGCCACTGCTCGTACCGATACTCGCACCACGCTTAGCATGCCTGGGACCATTCGACAGTTCATCTCCCGACGAAGAGTGGGGCGAATGCTCCCCCCATCCAGATTGTTGATGATACGACGAAGGCGAAGGCTGTCCACCAGAAGACGTCGAGGGACGTTTGATAAAATCCTTTAGCCGCCCACCAGATGAGCGTCGCTGTGCCTTTTCGAACCGGTCTTGACCTTGGAACGGTCCAGAAGAGTGCGATCCACTGGGGCCCTCGGCAGCCGCATAGCGCGTGGCCGTCGGATAGTGAAAAGGAACAAACGTCTCACTCCCAGTCTGGTGAAGCGCTGGGTACCCACTCGGCAGACGCCCGCCGGAGGAGCCATGATAATGCGACGACTCGTGGGACGAGATGGGCGTTTCAGGCGACGCGACGTCCTCGGTCCGAGGGCCACCTTCGGGCGGAAGGAACCGGAACGACGTTTGAACAGGCGAGTTTTGCGCCTGATTGTGCTGCCAATTCGACCGGTGTTCAACAAATGGTTCAGATGGTGCAGAAATCGAACTGGGCGCCGTCGAGGGGCGCATCGACTTGTGCTTCTTTGTCTTTTCCGGTGGAGCAGGAAGACCCATGGTGTGCGTTACAATCGAGGTCTGAGGATGTGCCGAGTGCGGAGAAGGATTGCTACCATGAGCTGCCATTCCAGTCGGTGTCGTATTGGATCGCGAAGACGCTGGACGACGCGGTGGGCCAGCAGACCATGGCGATGGAGCAGACTGCGTAGGCGTCGCGGTACTCTGCATCGGCGTCGTACCTCTTGAACCACTGGTAGCCGTGATGGGCGACGGGGGAGCCATCTGCTGAGAAGAGGAAGACGGCTGCTGGGCGCGAAGAGCTTGGTTGGATTGAGAAGTATGAAGCGAGTTTCCAGCCTGGTAAGACGACACTGATGCCGAACGTTTCGCTCTCGATCCACCAAACGCGCCAGCACTCGCCGCACCTTGAGCGAGTGCTGCGACGCTCTTGAGTGCCTGAGCCTCGACGTGGAAGCACAATTCGGAAAACTTGGTGAGACTCCATCCGTCTGCACCATCTTGCTGCGAGGCGCCTTGACCCGTCGCAGGACGAGGCTGATTGTTGGAGCGTGCGTTGCGTACGACGGCAGAGCTGAGAATCGCAAGATGCTTGGGCACGTCGAGCGCATAGGGCAAGAGTGGGATCGCGTCCTTGTACAATGTCGGAATCATATTGCCCGACCCTGTGAGGCGTTCGCGGAGCGAGTTGATGACGTGTAGACGATCATGCTTGTCCGGCCCAGAAAGGAAACTGCTCGTGTGCGCAGAGGGCGAGAATTGATCCGGCGGGGTAGACACGCAGGCGAGGTAGTCGAGCATCGTAATGGTGTTGCGTTCCAAACACCCCTTGATCCCGCGCATATAATCCTCCTTTTGCGGTCCTCCAGGGTTCAAATTGGCCAGACTCTGCGTGCACTTGGCGAGCAACGTCAGGCTTCGGACCACACCCTTTGACGGCATCCCAGGGCAGATGCCAAAAAGATGCGGGTTGAGGATGGCAGGAACGAGGAAGCGGAGGAAAATAAAGCTTGAAATGGCTTGCCACGGTAACATCTCGACCGAGGGACCACCAATTCCCAAGCCCGCATTAAACGCCGCCCCTGAACTCGTCATTTGCACACTCTTCTCTTGCTGTCCCTCTGTCCCAAATCTCCGCTCGACAATGGTGCGAATGTGCGAAAACAGCCTACGGAGCTCGACGGGACACTCGGTGCGAGCAATGTAAATCTGACCCCAGAGCTCGTTGCACCAATACTCGAGCGCTCGAATCCCTTGCTCTTGGAGTTCAGACTCGACCTTGTCCTTGGACATGATCGACTCTTTGGTGCTTGGTCGGTAAGAATCTCGCGTGCTCGGTCGGAACGAGTCCTTTGTCGAGGGCCGCTTGGACGAAGTCATGGGCAGACGCGAAGGGTCGACTTCGATTTCAATGTTTTCCGCAATCATCTTGCGCACAATGGGACCGACAGAGAGGTCGAGAAAGGTCTTGCCGTACCATGCCATGGCAGTTTCGACCGTCTTGGTGAGGACAGTGTTACCACGGAAAAGCGTATTCGTCGCTGTACTCTTGTTAAATAATCGCCCTTTGCAATGCAGAAAAGTACTCACATCCACTGATGGCCATGACCTCGCGCTCCGCCAACTGGACAATATCCTTCAAGAGCCGATTCCGCGCCACAGCCAACGAGATGATATGTGTCGAGAGCAAAGACTGGTCCATGCGGAGTTTTTGCTCGAGCTCAGTGAGAACATCGAGATAGTTTCGCTGCTCGAGCGCATCCAACACATTCTTGTACGCACGCGAAGGTAGGATAATCTCCTCGTCGACTTTAATCTTGAGCTTCATTTCGCCCACTTGCACGAGCGCACCCGCAACGCCGCCGACGCCGCTCATCCCACCAATCCCCATGCCACCAATGCCCATTCCAAGCGCGCTCATCGCACTCATACCTATAGAATGTGAGTATATGGTTCTTTCAAAGGAAGGAGGAAACATACCAGACGCACCACCAACAGCACCCATGGCATTGGCATTCGCGTAGAGTGGCCACCACCCCTCGACCCATTCTCCCCTCGGAAATTCGGGAGCGAAATCTCAACACAACCAACAAAGACGGAATTCTTCTTGATACCCGTACCAGTCGTCAAATTCGACGCAGCACCCGCACTGGAGATTCCACCGCTCGTCGTTCCCGCCGTCGTCGTCGAACTCGTCGGATTAAGGGACATGGACGCCGTATCCGTACCCTTGGAACTCCTCGGTCGACCTTCATCTTTCTCTTTGGATTCCTTTTCCTTGTCCCGTTTCGAACTCGAACCTTCGGGTACAGCGCGCCAGAGCATGACGAGCATATTCTCAAAGCTCGGGAGATCCGCAAAGAGCATATTCTCAAACCACTCTGCGCCTACACCACCCAATCCACCGTTTAACCCACTCAAGGAGGGTGAAGAGGGGGACAATGTGGGAAATGCCTTGCGCACCGTCGTCCGTCCACACACTTCTCCATGCAAGACGACTTCTGCAAAAAGACCAGGAAGCGCAGCGACGCGTTCACGCTCCTTTTTCTCCTTTTTCTCCCTCTCCTTGCGCGCCTTTTCCTCCTTTTCGCGTTCCTTTGCCAATTCCTTTTCACGTGCTTTGGATGAGGCGTGTGCGGCATGAGAGTTGAACGAGTGCGAATGATGAGACGATGTGCCGTGATGGTGCACGTCGCCGGATTCAGACGTGCCAAGCGATGCGGTACTATACGACCCAAGACTCGTGACGGTTGCATTCGCAGGCGGCGTTCCATTCCCACCACTCCCACTTGAAGACGTCGTGGTAGGCACCGTCGAGACAAAGGACGGGGTATGACTATTCGTTAGCGTTAAAGGTACACCACCACCACTCGTCGTATTCTCGTAAGGATGAATCGTCGTGGCCGTCCCAGGTCGCGAGACATCGTGACCACCACCGAGCACGAGATCCTTGCCATCTTTACCAGCAGACGTCACCCCCACACTCGTATTCACACCCCGCGAAGCAGCGACCGCAACGCTCGAAAGTGGCATCGTCGCTACAGCAGCGTTAGCCCCATTCGCCGTCGCAATCGTCGTCTGCGCACTACCAGGTCGAGCAGCAGACGAAGACGAGGTAGCGGATGCTGCACCAGAAGGTGCTGAAGTGGCCAAGTTGACGTTGCGCGTTTGTACGATGGACATTTCAATCTGTCGCCACATTCGATATAGTCCACCCTGTGGCGGTTGAGGTAGCGAAGATGTCGCGGTCCCCGTGGGCGAATCGAGCGTCGAAGTGGAGAGCTGTGGGTATTGGTTGAGCGAGAGGGAACGGCCATAGATTTCTGGATTAGTGTAGGATCGTAAGAGGACGAGCCACGTATTATGAGCGTCGGTCGACGGGAATGCGAGATGGATAGGGGAGAGTGTTGGGTTGGTCGAAAGGGAAACGGCAGCGCTAAGGTTGGGTTTAGCGAAAATTGAAAGAAGCGGACGAGAAAAGGTACCCACGGGTGTCCCCAGATTGCGAGAACATCCGACCGATTGAATAGAGACCGCTCCGCGGGTCGAACGTCTGTGCTGGTGAGTTTGTGTACGTTGATAACATGTTGAAGCGTATTATCGTCTGACCAATAGATGGTGAGGAGGGCAGAACCCGTGGGTGAAGCGGAGGATTGGCCTTTTGGGATCATTTAGGGGCCGTTTTTTGGGCTGTATTGCGAAGGGCGCATATACGTACCGGGCCATACAGCACCTTCGCCACTCAGTTTGCAAACCGCCGTTCTCCAATAGCCGCGGGAACCAGTTGCACTCGGGCTTGACCCGAACAAGCCAGCGATACCCGACTTCTTGCCTGGAACGCGGGTTAAGAGGTCTGACAGACCCGAGGCCAAGGGACGGGACATACCGTTTGTAGCCGCGGCAGCCGCTGCAGCGATACTGACGGCAGCAGCAGAGCTTGCAATCGAGCCTACACCAACACCGCTACCTGCGCCGTATGCAGAGACATAACCGCTTCCGGAGAGGGTATGGGTAGAGTGGGCTGGGAGGGTTGTCGAATCGGACAAGGCGGACATGGAATGTGCGAGAGCGAGCTCGTCTGAGGATGCGTTGCCATTGCTATAGTGTCCACTCGCGGTTCCAAACATTGTCGAGGCGGGTCTGGAACGAGGCTTCTGTTTGGGGAATGAGGAATGTACAAAGAGTGGTATAAAGTATAAATACCTTTTTGCCTGTTTTTGAGCCTGCAGGTGTATTTGCTGGACTGGATGAGCACCACATTTCGACATGGACGAGAAACTCGCGAGAGGGGGCGGCGAGAGAGGGAGACGAGTGGATGGGATGTCGTGAATGTTGGGATTCTGCACCAGCATATGCATTTGTGGGTGTTGTATACCCATTTGAACTATATCCTATATCGGCGTTAGTCGTTTGGAAATATTAGACTGTTTTTGTTCCACAAACCTTGGGCATAGTGGCTATTGGGTGTTCCAGGGGAGGAAGGATAACCGTTGCCATTGGAAGACGAGTGAGTGTGACGGGTGGAAGATGCGGGGGCGTAGGCCATTGTCGCGATGGGCATCGACAAGGGGCTGCTTCTCTTTCCCAGCGTTGTTGCCAACGGTGTTGATAAGCGTATTTACTGAATCCTAGAGAGTATCTTGTAAGGATATCTCGACCTGGAAGAGTCCAACTTGAGACGGGGTCGGGGGAGGGACGAGCAGGAAGCGTCGCATAGAAGAGATGTTAGCTGGCATGAATCTATATATATGGGATATGTCAAGTGTAACGCACCAAAGTTAACCACCGTCGAGGAATCTATTCCAGTGACAATGCTAGTGTTTGTTGTCGTCCAAACGTCTATCCCAATTGCTATCAGAAAAAAGATAGAGGCCTGTCTGTCGGCGTCGTCGGAAGCGGGAGGGAGCAAAGAGCGTAAAACCCCCACGCGGCCAAACACACGTAAAGGGCCGAGGTGGGACGGCCACCGAGGGAACGAACGGGGGGCCATTGAGTCGGATTATTCCAGTAACTAATACAAATGTCATACGCCAAAACATACTTTTATGGAGGGGACCCCTTTTTTTATCCCCGGACCTTGATGCGTCTCCGTTACGGCCATGGTCATTCTCCGCGAAGTCAGCATTCAACCACGACTTCCCACGCCCACACGCGCACACGTAGGCATACCAACGTCGATCTCCTTCTCCTTCTTTTCGGACACTTGCTGTCTCAGCCACTCCGCTCAGGGGCTCCGCTCATCCGTCGAGGGGCAGTCGAGAAGTCCGGCATTACCAACTGTCCGATTACGCCACATATTCATGCCAATGGCAAGTCTTATGACATATCCCAGGGACTCTGCCAGCATTTGTGACAATTAACCACCAGCCTACGTAAACCCCTCAAAGCGCCCGTTCTCACCATCACTAAACAGGCACCCGCGGTCCCGCTAAAGTCTAATTATTCATTACAAAGTCCAGACTCACATTCTACACGATACACAGCACAATCATCGACCAACAAGCAACTCCAAACGTGGCATTGTGCGGTCTGGACTTTTTATTCTAATAGTCTGTGATTAACCCTTTCTTGGACCTTTTCCTCGACCAAAGCACATTCAAACATTGTATAGTAAATGCAGAAGCTCCCATACGAACTCATACGCGAGATTCTTTTCCTCTCCAATCAGCTCCTCAGGCAACTCGAGCCACATAACAAATTCTTCCACGGCCTACACGCACACGTCACAGGCTATGTATCCGCCAACCTCACAGCAATCGAGATTTCCACTCGAAGCAGACACAAAGACGACGATTTGTCCACAGGTTGGCTCACACGACTCAAACATCTCGCAATCTTTTCCAGAGGCATATCCATGTCGACACCTCTTCTCCAAAGCACCATTGACGCGAATCCACACCTGGAAACGCTCATCATTTCCGTATAGTCGGGAGCTCCCCACTTTACACCCCACTCTCAAGAGGCTCGAGATTAATGCGGGCGAATTAATCGACTTGACCCTCATTGTTAAAGACGATACCCACGTCTTTCTGACTGGCGGAGTCCCGAGTAGGGTCAGGACAGGTCTAGCAATGGTTTACTTTAGATTATTCCTCGACGTGAGGTACTTAGTTACTGTAATATGACGCGTAAACTGGGCGAGGGAGTCAGATATCAGACTAGCAAATGTTACATGGAAAATCGGGTCCTTTTATACCTTTCGATAAGCTTATGTAAGCATTATTTCGGAACCAGTAGTCGGTAGCGGGACTACGTTGGAGGGCATAGGGTTGGCGGGAGTTGGAGGAAGGGACAAGAGGAGTCCGAGACGAGACAGCGATCCGACATCTTATATCATGTCATCTATATAACGAGTCACCTATAGAGATGACTCTTGATACGGGCGAGTCGTGCGCAGCCGTCCACATACAAGCTCCCGCTCGTAGTGGCCAAAGCTGGCCACGGCCGGCCGCGCATCGTGAGTCAGGTAAGTGACTATCCTCGTTCTTCGTGACTCATACTGACATATACGAGTCATCCAGATGACGTGGGTCCTGCGGGCTGGTCCGTAACACTCATCACCGCACCACAACTCGAGGCATGCACACTCACCGTCTCGTCCTTGAACACGATCATGGCCAATGCGTGTGCATTTCTCAAAAAGAATGCTCACGGTTTACGCTTCTTGCGCCTAATCAGGAGAGAGCTGGATGCGTTTCCTCTAAACTATATTCACGACCTGGTTCATCTATGTCCGCGCCTCGAAGCAATTCATCTACTAATCTATTACACAGAGACCACCCTCCATCGTAATCCGCATCCAACGCTCAAGACACTCATCCTCGACCGTACCTTTGTCACAAATCTCTCGCAAGTTCTCGATCATTGGAAGATCAACGACGACGATTTTGCCAACTTTGATACCGTCGTTCTTGCCCTGGGTTTATATGAATCCCCTTTGGCCACAAAGGCGGACATTTTGCGCTTCATCCAAACGGACCCTCGGCTGTTTGCTGTCACTTGTATCATCACACAACCACATTGTTCGCCAGTGATTATTCCTCCTTGTGCAACCAAGGATCTGGCTGCAAAGTGCGCTCGTGATCCGTTAACGCTTGCAAAAGTGTCTGCCCGTCGGTCGAATATCTCCAACTTACTTTGAACTTTTGCGTTCACAGAGGATTTGGACTAGTATATCGCGTTTGGATCTATTCGACTGAGCGCAAGCTTTGCTTGTAATGTGTCATGTCACTATAAAGATATCCAATTCTGACTGGGCGCGCGGTCGCACGCGTCTCTTCGCCCCTCGACCATTTGAGTGTGATATCAAAATCACGCCCATATCTTGTACATTCGATGGATAAACTCCCATATGAGCTCATACGCGAGATTCTCGTCTTATCCAACCAACCTCTTGTTCCAAGCGAACCCCACAACGAATTCTACCACGGTCTACATGCGCACGTCACAGACTACGGACTTGGAGGTGTACCAAGAAGGGAATATGACATTCTAAGGCCAGTTCAAAGGCAGTTTGCAACCTATCGCCTCATCTGCAAGGACATCTCGCCCATAGCATTAAAGCTTTTGCTTCAGGACGTGGTGCTCTGTGCTACTCCAGCATGTCTCACCTCCTTTTCCGCCTTTTTGCAAACCAAACGATACCGAGGCCAGCTGGGAGCCTATACCAGACGAATCCTCCTTGTGCCTCTCCCTGTGGGCATCGATTACACCCCCATACTTGATTACAGCCATGTCCCTCTACTACGTACCATCCGCACTCTTTGTCCCAACCTTGAGGCAATCGAGATTTTCAACAGAAACAAGGACTTTGAGATGCCTACAGGTTGGCTGATGGGGTTGAAGCATCTCGTAATAGTTTCCCCCAGCTCCTATCGGTCATCATATCTCCAAAGCATCCCTCATTCCCACCCACTCCTCGAGACACTCATCATCTCCGCAGATATTGGCGCTATCAATTCCCCGATTCATTTCTCCCACCTCAAACGGCTCGAAATCGATACTGGAAACGCCTTTAATCTCAACTTTATCACCGCCCCACGACTCGAAGCCTGTACTCTCACCATTTCCCACCTCTTGGAGTCCAGCTTAACCGATGCACATGCATTTCTCAAAAGCAACGGTCGTGGTTTGCGTTTTCTGCGCATCATGCAGGCGCTCACCACCGAAGATCACTACGAAGACATGCGGTATCTGGATCCAATCCCCCTAAACCGCATTCACGACCTGGCACACGCATGTCCACGCCTCGAAATAATCCATGTACTCCCCTTTTACACAGGCGCTCCTCTACACCGTGAACCGCACCCGACACTGACGACACTCATCCTCGATCGTGCGTATGCATGGAATCTCTCGTCGGTGATAGGATACTGGAAGATTAACGAGAACCAGTTTGCTAAATTTGACACCGTTGTGTTCGCACTAGGCGCTGGTCAAAACCCCTGGACGACAGATGCGGAGATTAAGCAGTCCATTGAGGAGGATCCCCAGCTCTTTGCTGTTACGTCAATCATCACAAAGCCGCATTGCTTGCCGGTGGTTATTCCACCTTGTGCGAGCAAGGAGCTGGCTGCAAAGTGTGTTCACGATCCACCAGCTCTCGCAGAGGTGTCTGCCCATCGCTCGAGTACTTTAGGTACGTAAGCAAGGACAAGTGAATTTACCTGTTATTACTTGATTCGTGTACACCGTCGAGTTTCTGCGACCCTTGCAAAAGACATTCGCAACGTTGCATTGCCTATTATGGCTCGAGTACATTTGCATGTCCGCCTCTCACTAACCATATCTACCTCTGATAGTCTCTTCTTTTACAATCATCTTCCTCTGAATGAGCAAAGTCACCAGTCTGACAGGCAAAGTGCAAACTCTATAGGCGGGATATAACGCCGAATATGGCAAGTTGAAACCTTTTTCTAGATGCTCTCTTCGGCGCACGTCGGCATTTTCTCGCCGCGGGATCATGCTCGACTACCTCACCTTGGTTCGCTGTTGACTACCTCACCTCTTGGTTTCTCCTTGACTACCTCGCAAGTATCTCGTCAAACCGCATGATTATCCCTTGACTTACTACGCCGTAGATGGAGAGCCTCCCATACGAGCTTATACGCGAGATCCTTCACCTATCCAATCAACCGCTCATTCGACTCGAGGCTCGTAGCGAATTCTTCCACGGTTTAAACGCGCGTACATCCGTCTATGGGCACGATAAGTTGGATAGAACGGGGTTCCCTGCTCTGAGGCTCGTACAAGAGCGGTTTGCGGAATACCGCCTGATATGCAAAGCCATCGAGCCCATTGCCCTCGACCTTTTGCTTCACGACGTAATATTATCACCTACCGTGGCATGCATCGCATCCTTTCACGCCTTTCTCCGGACCAAAAGCAGCCCATGGGGAAGCAAGCCGCTTGGCTATATTAGGAGAATCATGTTCGCGCCTCACCCTGCTGAGACAAAGCCCGACAAGTACCCTGCGTATTCGGAAGAGCACGCGCAGATATGTTCCATTCGGAATCTCTGTCCCAACCTTGCGACGATCGAGATGTTTGACACGTGCACGTATCCGACGGCGATTCCAGATTGGCTCGTCGGTGTTGAGCATCTCGCAGTCGTATCCTCTTGGGCCGGATGGCCGGCGAGCTTTCTTCCCACCATTGTCCATTCAAATCCTACCCTCGAAACCCTCATCATCTCAGCAGAGACGCTTGAGATTCACTCCACGATTCACATCCCTACTCTTCGAAGACTAGAGATTGTGACAAAGCATTACTTTGATCTAAAGCTCATCACTGCCCCGATGCTCGAATCGTGCACTCTTTCGATTTCTCACCTCTTGGAGACATCTTTAGACGATGCCAGCGTCTTTCTCCGGAGAAATGGTCACGTATTGCAGTTCCTGCGGATCAAACAGGCCAGCAATGCTGCTCTGCAACACCAATCCTATTACCCCACGCCACTCAGTCATATTCACGACCTGGCACATGCCTGTCCTCGTCTCGAAACGATTCACGTGTCAGACTACTACACATGTGCCGCTCTTCGGCGCGACCCACATCCGACGCTCAAGACTCTCATCATCGATTATCTCTATCACACAGAGGCCCTACGAAACTTTGATACATGGAGGGTCAACGACAATCAATTCGCTCATTTCAGCACTGTCGTCCTAATGATGAGATCATATACCCCACAAATGAAGCCAGCCGTCTTGCAAATCGTCGAGGAAGACGTCCGGTTCTTTGGTGTCACGACGATCGTTGTCGAGCCCTACTGTCTACCAGTTGTTATTTCACCTCGAATTAGCAAAGAATCGGCGGCGACGCGCACTTGCGACCAAGTACTGTTGGCGCAGGCGTCGGAGCATCGTGTCGGCTTGAGCTACTCGTATTGGTAGACGATGGTTGCAAGAATGGGTGCTTTAACTAATGATATGCAACAATTGTCCATGTGTTCGCTACTTGCATCCTCGCCATCATAGCTTTGGCTCTAAGAAGCAAGTCAAGATTCATCTTCAGTCAGGATGATATTTTGTTTCTACTCGGATCAATAAGATTACATAGAGTGTATATTCATTTATGGATAAGACCCAATTTACAGAGGTAAACCTGCGTGACCGCGGCGGCGCCACTTCGTTATTTGCCTTTACGCCTCGACCACCCGGTAAGTACGTCGTGAAAGCACGTAATGGTGTCTCATGAAGCTGTTTTATATGCAGAGGCTTCCATACGAGCTTGTATATGAGATCCTCATCCTCTCCAATCAACCGCTTGTCCGACCAGCACCGCACAGCAGATTCATCCACGGATTATACCCAAGTGCAGGAGCCCACGGATATGGGAATGTCAGTATCGAGGATTTATCGCTTTTCAAACTTGTCCAAGAGCGGTTTGCGAGCTATCGCTTGATCTGCAAGGCCTGTTGGGAGCGGTGGGATGTTGAGAGCGTCATCCCTGAGAGACTCGGGATGCATATGAAGCTGGAAACGAGCTAGAAGAGAAATCCATTTCCTATTTACTTACCTTGAACCACTTGGCCATTTGTTCATGATCATCTTCCGACTGATAGTTCAATGCCTCCTCGCCGCATGCTACGCACTGAGAACCGTCGTACAGGAAAAGTGTTGGAACCTTACATAACGTTCAGAAACCTGTATTCTGCGATGAGCTGGCCTTCCTTTGGCGGACCCGCTAGCGGTTGGTTGACCAGGCCATTGGGTTACCTGACGACAGTCAGCCCATGTTGACAGGACTTGGTTATACTCGCCATCTCTACGGTCGGATGGGCTCGCTTCGAGAGATGCGAGTAGGACGCAGCGCCTGAAATGGTGATGCTTTACATCAGCCCGTCTCAAGGACGTACTCATGGTCGTCCCAATAGCAAATGCGATAACAGTCTTTTCATCTCCGTTGTACATCTTCTCGCTGCGATACGACGCCATAGTGGACGGGGGAAGGCGAGGGACAGCTCGAAATGCAAACAGAAGTCTGTTTTTTTTTTTTTTTTTGCATTGTGGGAAGATTTCCGTCACAATTTTAAAGCTGGATGAGATGGACTAAGCAAGCTTACCACATTACGGCGACGGCGCTGTTAGAAAAATGATGATAGGTCTCGACGGTATCTATCTAGCGGCTCTTCGGAGACAGGTCAGAATTTCCACATAGTCGGCCCCAGGATAGTCTCAGTGCCTCGCATCTCTGAGAGCTCGGAGGAAGTTCACACTCCTCCCGTAGTATCGATACGTCTTCCACTTTTTATCTGCAGTATTGACTCTCATGAAACAGTTGTCTCTGGTAGCATTTTTTTTTGCAAACGGGAGCATGAATAGTGCAAAGAGGTCAACCTTGCTAATTAAATTCCAGAATCGTGGTGGCAGGCCCTTGCTTGAGAATTCCCTACGAGTTATCAAGTTACGGTTATGCATCTCATAGAAGACAGGTGCATACTTTCTCGTACCATTGCAGTCGTGCCTGGAGCTGTGCGCCTCCAATTGGCAAGGTGACCGCAATCTGATAATCAAGCTTCCAGTATTTCCCCTTTGGACCTTTCTCGACTGCGAGGCCGTGAGGAACAAGGTGAGAGAGGTCCGCTTGTACTGTGCAAATATAGTGGAAGCCGGGCATCAATGACCCTAGACGCGATTAATTTCTCACAAATTAGCAAATATAAATATAGCCACGCACTATTCTTCTGCAAGACCCAAAGAGGAATGGTATCGGCTTCCCACTTATAGACCTGCACTTCCTTCACTCCCAGCGATGGCTTCGAGTGTGCTTCCTTGGGCCAGGTAGTAAGGTAGCCTACTGTATACGTAAATCCATCTTCCACCGGTGTTCCCTATAACCATGATTAAAGGACGACGATGCAATGAACCAAGCGCTGACTTTCTCAACCCAGGGGTCAAACACTCCCGATATCCTCGTCAGACCGCTGTTCTCAGATGAGTAAGTTCACATCAGCAAGAGGGATACGTACTCGGGAGCGGTATAGACCTGGTCGCTGCGTTCGTTGTGGCGGAGTTGATTGTAAATGCAATTTACATCCGTCCCGTAGGTTTCACGAGCGATTCGTGTCTTGACCATGTTCCTGAGATACCATACCACTGCTCCTTCACTAAAAAGGCAAAACATGAAGATTGGGACGGAGATGCAAAGGCAGACCTACGCCGCCGCTTTCTTGCTGGAAGCCCATGATTCGACAAGTTACTTAACAAGGAACATGTTAAAGGAAGACGCACGTTGGTTGCTCGACGGTAATGACCTCAATGCCTTGACTTCCGAAGATTCGAGAGAGTTCGGATCGAAGATATGGTGACTCTCCGAAGCCTCCAACGAGAAGAAGATACTAAAAGCTAGCGTTAGCTGTATAGACCGACTCCCTTGATATCGTACTTGTGGTCGCTTGCTACTGATCAAGCGGCGTATACTATTGACAATGTTTTCCGAGACGGGTTTGAATGTTGCAAGTACCTCTTCTTTGCTCAAGCTGATTTGACCCTTGAGGATCCCCGAGATTCCTGTCTGTGTCACGCGAGCCGCCGAATTTGATCACGTTTTTGTTAGTATTGCCGTTGAATAGACGCTTGGTCTGTTGCATGACAGGTGAATCCATGGTCAGTCAGAAGGATGAGATTACCTTTTTCTCGAACTCTTCTACCATTGCCTTGATGTTGTCTTTGTCACCAAATCTGGAGTTGGCGAGCCTGGCCTGGAGCACTTGTCCCAGGACATCGTCGACGTTGACACCTGCAGCCTGAACATATTCGGGATAGTATCAAGTCGTCATGATAGGACGTGCCTGAACACACTCGCTCATAGACGCCTCCTTTAGCACAATGCCTAGCGAGACCTGAGTACACGTGTAGAGTGTACTATCCGTGGTGGATCCACCTTGTGGAGTAGGTGACTACCGATTTTCTCCAAAATGAAGGCCTACCAGCATCAACCACCCCAAAGGTGGAACCCACGCTCAACCAATGCCGCATAGAGCCATAGACGGAGACAAAATGTACGGATGCTTCTCCTTCTGTCACGAAGCGGACCAGAGAATCTGCCTTGGAGGAAGGGAATAATCCGGCGTCGATGGCGGCTTGTCGCAGCGTCTGCTGCTGGCTGTGACCCCATGCATTCGGGATGGCGAAGATGAATGTCATGGAGTTCCTGTTTCGCCTCCAAATAGATGCTCCATTCACTACCTTTTTCTCAAAGTGACTCTGGGTGTTTTTGAGCATGTAATCCATGATGTCCTGGTACACTCGCTGAATGGAGATGCCGTTGGGGAGTGGTGGGATATTGACAGTCCAGTCCTTAAGAGAAGCCGGATGCATGTGAAGCTGGGCGCGAATCAGACTAGCATTCCACGGGGAACAAGACTCACCTTGAACCATTTGGCCATCTGTTCATGGTCGTCCGCCGAGTCGTAGTTCAAAGCCTCCTCGCCACATGCAACACACCGAGATCCGTCATATAAAGCCAAAGTCGGGAACTCGAGGAACAAGTCTCAGCATCAACTATTGAGGTTTACGGTTTACCATCACCTTGGCAGACCCGCTCGTCTCTGGTTGACCTGGCCATTGGGTTACCTGGAACTGGTAAGAGTCTCTGTATGACAGCCAATACGCTCACCATCTCGACTACTGGGTAAGCTCCCTTCGAAAGATGTGAATACGACGCAGCACCTACATGGGACCATGGTCAAGTCTGATACACCGGTGGAAAGCTATAACTTACTCATGGTCGTTCCAATATCGAATCCGATGACAATCTTTTCATCTCCAGTATAGACCTTGTCGCCGCGGTACGCCATAACAGGAGAGATGGATGGGGGGAATGGCAAGGTGCGATGAAGTTAGGATGTTCTGTGACAGAATATACATCTTCCGAACGTAGCTTCGGCCCTTCGAGGTTCTCTCCTGCGGCCGGGCGAGAATGAATCAATCCAGAGGGCCAGACATGATACAAAGACGCTATCAAATGGGATGAAACCCTTTTATTGACACCTCTAGTCCAGATTCCGAGGCTACTTGCTCTAGCCCAAATGGACCAGATACTGGCCAGCAATAAGGGCACGCCGCAACGTCTATATATTTGGTCATTTGTCATACGGTAATCGTACGGATATTCATGTCGGCATTCTGACTGCGAATACGAGAAACGGGGAGAGCGTTCAGGGTCCAAGGTGCGGAAGAGTCATGGACGGCGACAAGTCGCCGTTGGTGTGCAATTGTAATCAGATTTGCGCTCTCCATTAGCCAGCACTCCACCTCAATCTCGCGACTTTCGGGCTATCTTTGCGCGCTTTGTACGTTCCTGCCGTACATAAGAAGAAACTCGTCGTCCAGCATCCGAATGCAGCGTAACGTCACGCATCTCCTTGCTAATGCTGTGAAATGTTCGGACAGTTGCTCCTTGCGATCACTTTCCGGTCGATCATAAAGACTCTTCGCGCGGAAATCCGGAGTACATCCTTCCAGAAAGACCTGGGAGATATTTGGGAGCTCGATGTCCGTTGGAAGCACAGGCATATCAGAAACATTGAACGTGAGAACTCGTATCGTTGAGCATTTCATTCGTTTGAACAGTTCGTGCCAGATTTGCGGCGGCATTATCGTGTGTGTCAACACCCGCAAGTGGAACTCGCGTAGTGGCGGAAGGTGTTCGAGAAATCCATAGAGATCAGAATCCCATGGTGCGGGCCCAACGAGAGCCTCGAGCGATTGTAAAGTCGGGATGCACCAACGGTGGTTATAACGGATATAGGCTCGTTCTGGGGTCGTGAGGTCGATGCGGAGAGATGTCAGATGCAAGAGAGATATTTGCAGAGTCGAATGGGTATCAGAAAACCGCGTGAAACACAAAAAAACGTCGCCGAGAACAAGTCTACGCAAGTAGGGTATACGCGGAAGAAGCAGATTGAGGTCGCCAACGAGGATGCCTTCTTTGCCCGACCATTCTAGATGCTCAAGCGATGTATTTCCCTGTTCTGAGGCGATTTCTTGTTGCTTCAGTTGCGGGAAATAGTCGCTTGTTCTTGTTCCACCCCCTCCTGATCTGCCGAGTGCGTTGATGATAGGGAGGGGCGTCGAATTGCCGGCTCGAGGATTTTTGTTGACATAGATACGCAGTTTTGGACAGCACTTGAGCAATTCGGACATGATACTCCCGTATATCAGATCATCTGACTGATATTTGCCCACTGCTCCGTGTGTTAGTAATCCATGCTGCCGTAGCCAAACCGCTCACAATCAATAATGGTTTCGATCCTCTGGATCAATGCACCGTGGCCTATGCCTTTGCGTTCCAATAGTAAAGGAGTGGTATATGGCCCAGGCACATATCGGCGTTGGGAGGGATGTACGATACCTGTGAGGAGTTGAAGTTGATGCAACGACGTGAAAGTCACATTTCGAAATAAATCCGGTAGCCCAATCTTGCGCCAGTGTGAGCATGTCGCGGTGATGGCGAGCTTGACTTGGAAACTCGCTGAGAGGGGCACATCGCTGCTGATCGCCGGCGAAAATGCGGTTGGTGAGAGTCGAAGAGTTGGTGAGGACGATGGAGAGTATTTCGACGCGGAGCCCCCTCGTGCAGGGCCTTTGTCAGAGATCGGCGTTGCGCCCATCGGTGGCGGCGAGGAAGGGCCGCTAGAGGTGCGCGTGGTCCAGTTCGCTCGAAAAGCTGCGACTCGTATAGTTCTCGTTATGAAGAAACTCGTAGGCATGCGGGCGATGGCCCTGCGGCTCATGCACGGGATCCAACTCGTTGGATTCCCCGATCGCAAGCTCGAAAATCTCTCGTAATAATTCGACTGGCAAGTCTTTTATCGTATTCATGGTTCAAACAAGGTTCCAGTGTGGAATCGCAAAAAGCTCAGCGATGGTTGGGTCCAAGCCTGATCAAGGATGGCTATGCTGACTGACCTACGCCAACAAATGCCGACGCATCCTAACGCCAAGGATGGTAGGAATGTTTGGATTTTCATTGTCACTGAGCTCTGTACTCGGAACGATGCGTCTCGTCTACTCTTCAGTCGCGCATTTGCGTTACCAGGCCATTGTACCCACAGGCATTCCTTGCATCGACCCCATAGAGTACCCTTTATCAAGCAGTTCTAAAACACTGTACAGATAGCTGTGGAGTACCAGTGAAGTAACTGGACATCTACCCGGCAAGCGATACATATTGCAAGTAATCATCTACTTGGGAATCTGCATCTCTTCAGAAGCTCTTCCAGTTCTACTCGACGGAGCTCTATTCACGGCTGCAGTGATAGTAACAACCAGCCCATCGTTGTTCGCCGTGATGCGTTCTTCGAGTGGGGCTAGGTGACGGCTCTGGCTACAGATTATCTGAAAATCTTTCGATTCGATATGTAATGGACCACAAGTCATTTTCACTGGTTTGTATTCATTCGGTGCGACGGTCAAGCTGACCGTGGGCATCCCCGTCGCTTCCGTGAATGTTATGACTTGCATTTTCCATAACGAGAAGGGCACGCATGCACAGTGGGCAACTATTTATCCGCTCGGCCGCCGCCCACCAAAGCTTATGCTTGGGGCTCACCAGAGAGCCTCTGGACAAACGCCTGGTCAAGACCTTGGAGCTGCACCTACAAATGTCAAATGTATCTAGTCACCGATCATTGGCTACAACATTACTCTGCGCTTTTTGGGATATCATCCAAGTATTGACTGTGCCCTGACTCTGCCGCTAACGGCGTTCACAGTTCTTATAGGAATGGGAATGATCTTCATCAACCCTATGAGTCGCCGAGAGAACTTTGAAGATCTTAGTCTGAAGTATTGTCTGCATGCCCCGGCTCCAGGTGAAATTATTCTACTAGCGACATTCTCGCCAAACTCGACGCCATTTTACCACTATATGACGAGCAGAGTCTATAGTGCATCAAGGAGTGCAGTATAATACAAATAATACAGAACTGGGCCGTTGATTCGGCCTGTAGACACGTCCACAGAGGTACCCAAGTCGATTGATGGGATTCAATTGATGGAGAGAAGCACCGACACTGCGCAGATTCCGCGTGAGGCCTCGTGAAACCTTGAGATGCAAAGCAAGGTACTGGTCATGTGCGGATCACCGCGTTCTTTAGGTTGACTGTCGGCGTAGGGAGGGCCAGCTGCCCGGGGTGATATGGATGCAGCCTACAATTCTGAGTCAATGGATAGGATGAAGAATTATAGAGAATAAATGATCCAATGAATCAATCAAATTCCATCTACATTATCCGCTCGATTGCGCTCCATTTGCTCAGTGCGAGTTCATCAGGGTCAAATAAAGCGGCAGCCTCCATTCAGCGCTGACAGTCTACAAAACGAGAAATTGACCTGGTTACAAGCAACGAAAAGACCGCAATGTGGCGAACAAACAGCGCCCAATCTTTAGACCTGACCACGACCGTCTCCAGTCGATTTAACACGAACACCACTCTTAACACGCCACCACAAGAATGTCCTTCACATTCAACAAAATCTACGTCCAGTCTAGACTTGTCTTCGCCTTCAGCGCACTCGCCGAGATGTCTGTTGTGCGCGCACAGTCCTCGATTGGACACTATAACATCTCTAGGGGCAATTCCATCGTCTCTGTGCTTGAGGAAGCTATTTTGACTGCGCAGCATGCAGAGGAAATGCCCGTCCCTCCCATCACCATTCATGGTCAGTCGAGATCAGGTCTGCGCGCTGGGTGGGCTAGAAAAATTGATGAAAATTCACAGCTACCCCCCCTTCTCCAGGCATCCAAAGTGGCCACCCAGTCGCACCTGTGTTCCCCGCGTCCTTGTCCATTGGTCAGTTGTGCACGTTCGGGGAACCTTGTGCTCATTTGGTTCTGTAGACATAGAGATCACTCACTACTATACCCATTTGACGTCAACTTCACGCGTGCAAGGCGCCGCACCTACCTTTACTGCTTTCACCACGACCGTCCACTCCCGCTCGTCGACAAGATCAACCGTGTCCATGGCCGAATCAACCTCTAGCGCACTCGCACCCATCTCCGACCGAGTGTCTATAATGGTCGTCACCCCCATGCTTCCTTTGTTCAGTCCATCGCCTGTAAACGATTGCCCGACTGTCAACGACTACACTATCACTGTACAGGATTCACAGCCACCTTCCTCATCACTCGTCTTTGCGAGTACCTTTTCACGTCCTCTTCCACGCACGACATTGGTCCCCAGTGACGGCCACGCTGTGGACTCTGGAAGTGCGCGGAATGGCTTCAAAGACGCGGCCCCAGTCGTGGTGATTGTTGTCAGCATCCTCGTTACTGGAATACTCGTCTACGCCTACTATGCTCTCAAGCGGAAATGGCAGCGCCATCGCCAGGCGACGGCAGCAGCAGCCGTCCGCGACGACGATTTGGCCTGTATAAACCTCACCGAATGAGCGAGTTCGTTCTACCTCATCCCGAACTCACTGGCTCGCGCCTTCGGCATCTCCCTCTCCATCTGGACCAAGTCAAGTGATGTCGGAACCACCTTCGCCAGACGTGACACTCGACGATTGCGTCCCATGGACCGAGCCGGAACTTTCTCGTCGAAACGCTATCAAATTGACGCAGTTTAAGCCGGTTGTCACCAGGAGTATGCGCACCCGTGCCACTCGTCGTCCACGGGCTTTGCCCTTTGGGATGACCATGGAGGCGCCGCCATCTCGAGAGGAGCAAACAAAATGTGAGTGCAACGAGGTTTCCTGTGACTTGACTGACTTGGTATCCTAGGCTCGCTCCCCAGAGGCCACCTCCCTCACAATCCATCCCCTCTGCGAGAGGTACATCTCGACTAACCCTCTCATGTTCAAGAATCGACATTAGGCAGCAATCGTGCTCCCCACTGCGCTATTCATCAGGCATTCATTGGTTCAACTCTTCATCTCACTGTAGCATCCCTCTGTACTCTTGTTTACATCGTCGCATTTTCCTAGTCCCTCTTTCGCTGTACCTATGGCGAAAGTGTAGTAAGTAGTATCGGTGTCTATCAATAGAGTTGAACCTCTTTTCAAACATCTTGGGCTCTCCGAGCGGTTAAATGAAATGAAAATTAGTGAAGAACCAATTTGTTGATGAATTGTCGGTGTTGGCGTCTCACCTTGGACCTGACCGTCACCGCGTCAGAGCTTTCCGTTTTCCAGACCAAGGACGGCTGGCGGGTTCATGGCATCTCCAGCTGTTTCCAATAATTCACAACAAATAGCATCGACGTCGAATAGCTATCTATCCTCTCCAACAAAAGAACCTTTGTCGTCCAAGACGGATATTTCCAAGGATGAACCTGTCAGCCCGCCTCCACCGTCGCGCAAAGACTCGGATACGGCACAGCTTGTGGAAGCTGAACTCGCGAACCGGTTGAACAAGGGTGGTTGGAAGCGGTTGTCCCTCTCGCATTCACCTCTGACACCGATGACCCCTTATTTCAGGCGGACCAAGACGCCGGTGACCCCAGCAGACACTGAAGGCCCAGAGCCTGGACAAACTGACGAGCGTGCGGTCCGAGAGGGTGGAGCCCCACCTTCCTCGGGTATCGCGGAGGGTGTACAGCGCGCAAAGAGTGGACGTACTGGTGCAGATGAAGATAGCAATGGGGAGAGGAGTCGGTTGAGAAAGCGTGCGACTGTTCTGCGACAGGCAACGGACGCATCTGGGTCCGTCGAGCTTGACGGACTCACTCGCGTAAACACTCGCTTGGCGATGCAGAAACTTGGCGGCCAAAAAGCCCTTTATCGGTATATGGATGTATACGAGAACCAGCGTGGGTACGTGTGTCTCTTTGGCGCTGTTTGTTAGAGAGATATTGACACGACCACTCTAGGTGGGCTCGTCTCGGTTCGTTCAAGTTTAGCTCTCGCGCTCTCAAGATATTCTTTCACTACAACGATCCAGCCCCATTCACAAAGTTTGAGCTCACAGAGAACGGGTTAGAAGAGGTCGACCTGCCGTACAACTCGTTGTCCGAAGTACAACTGCCTAGTGCTGACTGGTCATGGCATAGTCCTGAATGGATGATTGACATGGCTGGAGATGGTATCACATCCTATGACGGCTTTCAGTACAATACGCATTTCCGCACCAAGAGTTGGTCGCCTATCGTGCCGAAATGGCATTCGTATATTGTGACCTGCGTCCGCCGGCGGCGTTGGTTGAGGTTGATGGTCTACTTGCCATCCATCAGTGCTGCACTGCCGGATAAAGATGGAAAGTATCATCCACCAGAGAGGCACATCCCGACTGCATCTGAGCCGACATCGCCATGGCCAGGAGGATACTCTGCGGGGAACACACCTATAGACGCTGAAACAGGTCCTCAAGATGGTGATGATGACGATAGACGTGGGCGCTCGCCTCGCAGCCCTGGTCCCAGCGCATCCCAATTTGACACCCAGGATGTCTGGCGAGGCAATGCCTACGACTGGTCAAGATGCCACGCGGCACTCAAGACGCTCCGGAGCGATGGACGGCGACTCGAGCTCTGGAGAGCCTGGACAGGAGACCTGGGCGAGGATAGTGAAGAGGTCGACATGACCGGTATGGGACGGCTCTCCCTAGAGCGCAAGCGTGTCACTGGAGAGGATGATTCTTTGACTAATAAACTTGGCGTCGTCCAAGTGTCAAGGGACAATGAGGATCAAGCTGTTTCGAAGAAGGGAAAAGGAAAGTGGGCAAGAGGTGTTCGCTGGACGGAGGATATAGTATTTGGAAGAGGAAGTACCATGCGCATCAAGCATGAAGCTGGCGAGAATGGAGAGGAAAAGCGGGTCCTCTCCGAGTTCATGACCGACGAGCCGCTTGAAGTTGATAGCTCACGCGCGCCAAGGGAATACATCTCCAATGTTCTTAAGTATCACGTACGTCTTCCTTATTTATCACCTTTGACGTTTCCTCAAGAAGTCTGTATACTAACAATGGTTAATGTAGGCCGAGGATATTCTTGCGCTATTCATCTACCCGGACTCGCGTTCCAAGTTTCATGATATCCTACAAAGGACGGGGCTTCTAGAGGCAATCCCCAAAGACGTGTCATTTACGTACTCTAAGGATTTCCGGGAGCGTGTCGAGGTGTGATCCTCGTCTCGCTAATGACGCAGCATCTCTCCGAGTAATCGGATTGTTCGATTTTAACTTACTACGTCAACCTCGATTATGGTATCTGCCCAGACATTCATCCAGTAACCGTTCTGCCGTCGCCATTACCTTCCTGTTCTACATCTCAAGCCATACTATGCTCTCGTCTGCAGTTTATGGATCATACACATGGTTGTATGAGTAGAAACTCGTATTATACACGGGGTTCATACCTCGCGACCACCTCATGAAAAAAGCTTGCGACACACGACAACTGGACGAGGATTTGGGGACAATTTTGAGCTAAATGTGGGATCTAGTGCGAAGGCGACACCTGTTGGTGTCGTCGCTAGTCGCGGTCGTCTGTCCCTCCTCGCCTGCTGCGTTTGCGCAAATGGCACAGGCTCTCGTAAAATAAGTGGTTTTCTGGCCTCAAGGACAGGCAGCCCGTGTACTTGACATTGCATGCTTGATACATGTCGGGATGCACTCATTCTCTGTATCTTGTTTGGCGGAATTTAAATGCCTAGTTCGGCGTGAACCGATCCTTTCAGGTCCCTGTAGTATTGAGAGTGTACATATAACTGATAAAAAGGCAGTTGATGCTATTCATTCTATCTGTTGGACTCGAATGAGACTGCCCTCGTCTGCCAACTCTCTCATGATCGATGAAAATACGCAAAAGATCGCCAAACCAGCCACTACGATTTAATTATAGAAACTTTGGTGGCCATTTAAACATGGGAATCACGAGGCTGCAGCTGTTCTCCAAGTCCCAACCAGCATCACTTATTCCCTGCTTCTCATTCACCCTGCCGAGCCTCGTGCCTTACTGACTCTACACACACGAGGACGGAACAATTTGTCACGTAGTAGCCACGTTCAACAGCCCGTCTAGTATTTCGAGGCCCCGTCTTTGTCCCTACTCCGTCAGTTTGCCCACCATGTCGTCGTATCGCAGCCACAAAATATACCTCGAAGAGGAGAAAATAGTCGTCGCACTCGATATCGGGACCACAATGAGTCGGTCATCCACAATTCGCTCGTTCCTGGCTAAATAATTCCTAGGCGCTGCGTCCTATTCGCACCTCGCCAAGGGATCCTACCCATCAGTAGATATCGTGCGTCTAAAGAACACGTGGAACACCTATTTAGACTTCTTAGGTGACGCAATGGCCAGGGCAACCAAATGCCAGTGGCTCCGCCAAGGTAAAAATTTTATGGATTCCCAATTGACGTTTTCTAATGGTATAGATTCCAACGCTGGTCCTATACGACGGATCTCGATGCGTGGCCTGTGGTGAGGAAGCGCTGAACTATGAATCAGATAATGACCAGGAGCAGATGGCCAAATGGTTCAAAGTAGGATTCTCTTTGTACTTCTCGGCATTTCTGATCTGCATGCAGCTGCATATGCATACAGAATCTCTCAAGGATCGCTCCCTCGATATCCCCCCTCTTCCGCGGGGTATTGCAATCAAGCGGGTTTACAAGGACTTTATAGAATATATGTTCCTACATACTCAAAAGCATTTTGAGTCCAAGGTGCCCAACGGTTCGTCGATTTGGGCCCGGAATCGGCCTCGTATGGAGTTTGTTTTCGCTGTCCCAAACGGATGGGACTATGTGCCACAGCAGATTATGCGCGAAGCTGCAATCGACGCCGGATTATTCCCCGCTTCCAGGGCCGACTCGCTACTTCGTTTTGTCACAGAGGGAGAAGCGTCAGTTCACTTCGTCTCGGTCTATGGGTCCATGAACCATTGGCTGCACCTTGGCTCAACATTCGCAGTCGTGGATGCCGGTACGTCCTTCATTATGGAGCGACCCTGCTCAACTGGGAAATATAGGTGGATCAACCACGGACAGTACTCTCTATACCTGTACCCAGACGACTCCAGATGTTATTTTAGAGGAAGCAGGGGTTAGTGAATGCGTACAGGTGCGCCATTCTTGGCCATCTACCCCTCTACTTACCTTGCCCAGGCCGCTGGTGTCAATGTCGACGACGCTCTGAGGCAAACGCTCAGAGCCAAGCTTGCGAACTCCAAGTTTGGAGACGAGGAGACTATCAAGTTCATTGTCGAAGAATTTGAAAAAAAGGTACTTTTATGCTCTAACGGCACATTTATTCACCATTCGATGAATAGACCAAACGCTTGTTTGACGGCACGAATGAGAAAAATGTAATCAAGTTTGGTGGAAATCGGGACATGGATCGAGCCGTCGGGATCTTCAAAGGACAAATCAGTCTTGAGAAGGAAGAGGTTCTTGCCGCCTTCGATCCTGTTCTAGACAATATTGCCGGCAGCATCCGCCGTCTTACGAGTGAAAAGCGCCCGAAGGTACGACTTTGACCTAAGTCACACTGACGACAATATCTCACTCTCTAGTCCTTGCTTCTGGTCGGTGGTTTCGGAGAGTCACCGTATCTCAAGTCTCGACTAAACCAACTCTTCGGCATCCAAGGTATCGAAATTGTCACCTTGGAGCAGCCAACGTACGTTCCGGCTAGACAAACTGCCGCTTGCCGACTGACAATTATCTCAGGAAGAAAGCTGCTGCGTGGGTCGTACTGCGTTGTGATCTCCTCGGGCTGACAACTCGCTTTAGTGAAGGAGCCATGATATGGTATCTAAAGAATATGGTCATCACCCGAGTTGCCCGAGAAACGTACGGGACTGCCACAAAGGTTGTATACGACTCCTGGCTTCATTATGAACGAAGTCATCTTGTCGTACAGGATCCAGAGTCTGTAAATTTCTATCTTCGCATGCATCTGCTTAAATGGGGACAGCGGAACGAGAAGAATCTCAGGCACGTTTGACCCCTGGGTCAAGAAGGTACGCTGTAATCATATCGCCGTCCTATCTGAGCGCCGCTCCAGGGAGCGTCTGTCGAGGACGGATTTTCGTACACTCTTGACTACCACTTCTCCTGGCCTCCCATTGGATACTCAAAGCCGATACTGAGTGTTATCGAGCTCGAGGTCTACATGTGGGAGGGTGACAATATTCCGACTTGGGCCAAGGAAGAAAATGGTAATACATAAACTCTCCGATCTTAACCTGCGAGCTTACGCTAGTCTAGGGGCGTTGATGCCTGGGTTTCGGCGAATCTGCACAGTAAAGGCTGATGTCTCAGCCTTAAATTCTCATGGCATTAAACTACAGCAAGGGCCAAATGGTTCTTACTGGAGAGCTGATTTTCAAGTCGCGGTGACTTTGCCTATCGGAGGTGCCCAGCTCCAAGCACGATTGCAATGGCGCGAACAGGTGAGTCCTCCCATCTTGATCAGAAAGAGGGTATCTCAGTGCATAGGGTATCCTAATGCAAGGACCGGTAACCACCCTTGTTCACTTCGATACCGTCAACGGTCAGCCAAGATGGGATGCACCACCAGCGTGGTCACCTTCATTCGTCTGGGGAACAACTACCGGGGAAAAATCGCTGAGGAATCTATGATCACATAACAGAAGAGGTTCCACCCTCTATTCCAGTAATACTCGTACGTACTCATTAGAAAATACCCGAGCGTGGTTGGAAGAACGGACAACCCAACTATGTCGAAGATCTTATCCAAAGGAGATTTTGTAACAGGGATGGCGGCGAAGATGCTCTCCCTGGTTAAAGTAGACGGATTTTATAGCACTGGTATGGACCTGGTTCGGAATGATTAACAAAGTGAGGGGTGAATACAAAAGGACCTGTGGATTGACAATGAGATAATGGTAACCACTAGCTCGCTGCGGCGCACCAGGTTCATTATCATCATCATATGCAACAAGTTGATCATCATACCGCTGAGCACGAACGCCACCAAGCCCTGTCCAATTCATATGGTACGCATAGTTACCGTCGGAGCATAGAAGAGTTAGATCAGGATATCTTTTGATGTCCTAAATATAGCCAATTTCATGCATAAATGATTCCGCAGAGATGTGAATGCTCGTATGCAACGGCTGACCTGACATCTTTCCTTGTGATACCAATCGCTGGGCGTTTCGTCTGAAGGGTTGGGGGACGAGGTGTTGACTCCAAATCTCCACCGACCTCAACCCAACCCATAGTCAATCTTCTGCTTTCTTGGCCCAATTTGGTAGCAAGAGGCCGTATACGCCGTCATATCTCCACTATCATCAAGCGAACGGTCTATGGTGGCGCATAAGCTTTGGCAGATACCTTTGTGGACGGAATATGACATGGTATACTTATTGAATAGTACAATTTGATCAACAATCATCGCAAATCGGTATGCTTGTTCGATGATTTATCTCTGTCGAGTCCTCTATCGTTTCTTCTTCCCCGCCGCTTAGCCCCCTTGGCTAGTTATGGAGTCTAGAGCAATCTTCAAGAGCTACCTATATATATCAAAGGAGGGGGGGGCATTAAAATCCTATGAAGGAGAAGAATGAGAACAGTCTGCTATTTGACGAGTAGGCATGTAAGATTACATATATGCGCGCGGAGCTTGTCCTACTAATAAACCCTACAATGTGTAAACAGACCAGATTCAGCATACGTATTTCATGAGAGTTCTGAAGAAACAAGTATCTTTGTATTAAGTGAGCCCGAACGAAATCATTTGTCAGGACTGCAATAAAGACTCACTCAAACGCAAGATTGCCGGTGTGAGCAGATGCCGTACAGTTTAGGCAACGAGACACTGCAACCCATCACTGCTCTGCCCTGGACCATCGGCATCCTCAAGACCTATTGGCCCTTCGGTGGATGGCAGGAGATGTCCAAGGATGGTGAAGAATTTCATGTTGACAACAGAGAGACTAGAGCTAGAATCCTCAAGGAAATTTAAACTTTGGGAATGGATGAGACACTGGCTCGGAGGAGGAAGCATTCTGGTTTTTTATATACCGCAACGGTGGTCCATTTGCATCTGAACAAGTACACGCTATCACGGGAAACACGGGACACGAATAGGCAAGCATTGTCACCGACCCTCGCACTCTCGTAAGGATGCGATCACGGCTGTCGTGGATGGGCGCGGTTCAATTGTTCAAGCACCCTCTGGGCGCGGTCCAAAGGTACTAAATCGCCCGGCTTGATGCCAAGAAATGATCAAAAATCTTAAATTCTCGAAGGGGGCTATACATATAACAATGCGTTACCTCATGGCGAATGCTGGATGAAGTAGACCGCGACACAAGCACCGAATGAGTTGAATTTTCTCATAGTTCTCTCCCGTCACTAGTTTCTTTTATCTCTCGCATCGCTCTTACCTGCTCGAGTAGTATTTCCCCCAACGATGAGGGGCCTCTCTAAGCCAAGGAACCAGAGAGGTGACATTCAGGAACAGAGTATGGAGGTTGGAAAAGGTAATCTATTCTCTTATGTATTGTCACTTTATTTGCGCGATGTAACTTGCGAACGACCAAAGACTGCCTCAATTGTCTTGTCTTGTTCGGTCGAGCCAAGTCACTTCAATTTGCATATACACAGTACTAGTGTTCCTAGAGTGACGACACGTCACTTCATGGTTCACGCCTTCAAGGAGCGCCATCTGAGCCCTTGGGCCAAATACTGCTCGATTGCCACGCGCGCCTGCTCAGTACCCTTGCTTTGCATCTCAAGGTTTCACGAGGCCTCACGCGGAATCTACGCAGTGTCGATGCTTTTCCCCATCAATTTAATCCCATCAATCGACTTGGGTACCTCTGTGGACGTGTCTACAGGCCGAATCAACGGCCCAGTTCTGTATTATTTGTATTATACTGCACTCCTTAATGCACTATAGACTCTGCTCGTCATATAGTGGTAAAATGGCGTCGAGTTTGGCGAGAATGTCGCTAGTAGAATAATTTCACCTGGAGCCGGGGCATGCAGACAATACTTCAGACTAAGATCTTCAAACTCTCGGCGACTCATAGGGTTGATGAAGATCATTCCTATTCCTATAAGAACTGTGAACACCGTTAGCGGCAGAGTCAGGGCATAGTCAATACTTGGATGATATCCCAAAAAGCGCAGAGTAATGTTGTAGCCAATGATCGGTGACTAGATACATTTGACATTTGTAGGTGCAGCTCCAAGGTCTTGACCAGGCGTTTGTCCAGAGGCCCTCTGGTGAGCCCCAAGCATAAGCTTTGGTGGGCGGCGGCCGAGCGGATAAATAGTTGCCCACTGTGCATGCGTGTCCTTTTCGTTATGGAAAATGCAAGTCATAACATCTCTTCGCATCGACCTCACGACCCCAGAACGAGCCTATATCCGTTATAACCACCATTGGTGCATCCCGACTTTACAATCGCTCGAGGTTCTCGCTGGGTCCGCCCCATGGGATTCTGATCTCTATGGATTTCTCGAGCACCTTCCGCCACTACGCGAGTTCCACTTGCGGGTGTTGACACACACGATAATGCCGCCGCAAATCTGGCACGAACTGTTCAAACGAATGAAATGCTCAACGATACAAGTTCTCACGTTCAACGTTTCTGATATGCCTGTGCTTCCAACGGACATCGAGCTCCCAAATATCTCCCAGGTCTTTCTGGAAGGATGTACTCCGGATTTCCGCGCGAAGAGTCTCTACGATCGACCGGAAAGTGATCGTAAGGAGCAACTGTCCGAACATTTCACAGCATTAGCAAGTAGATGCGTGACGTTGCGCTGCATTCGGATGCTGGACGACGAATTTCTTCTTATGTACGGCAGGAACGTACAAAGCTATGGTACGTCGGGGTGGGAAGTGCCCCGTAGCAAGAAACGCTTGAGCAATCTCAGAGCATGGAGAGAGTGGAGCTCACATCTGCGCGCTGCAGGAATCGCTTTGACGAATTGTGAAGGGGACATCATTGGTCTAAGTTATTGGTTAACTAGGTTATGATAATCAGAAAGTGCACTTTCACATCAAAATCGGCTCCATGTCTAGGATTTGATTGCTCTCTTCTGTGTAGATGAAGTCAAATGAGGGAAACCTACAGGTGCATTTGACCTGTGCGTAAAGATAGCCCGAAAGTCGCGAGATTGAGGTGGAGTGCTGGCTAATGGATAGCGCGAATTTGATTACAATTGCTCATCAACGGTGAATTGGTCGCCGTCTATGACTCGTCCGCACATTGGACCCTGATCGCTCTCCACTTAACGGTCCTTTCGTGAGTCTGGAGCAATATAAATGACTAGGATTCAATGAGCCTACCCACGCGTGCAATCATCTTGACTGTATCATCGTATGCGTCCATTCTATCTTGATATCCGAATTGATCCTTCTGTACCTCCAAGTCCCAACCGTGCCCAACGCCTTTGATGTATTTTCCCTCCACTTTCCCGCCGTCCTTTTGCAGCCGTTCACGCAGAGCCTCCGCTTTTACAGACAGGTGATCGTACTCCGTTGTCCACAATAGCAAGATTGGTGGGAAATCACGGGTGGGGGCAAGTGCAGGGGAAATCTCGACTCGTCTCTTCAACTCTTCGATCCGCTTGGTCTCCTCCTCGGTGAAAGTGGAGAAGAAGATGGGGAGAAAAAGTGGGCGATAGTGATCACGTCGCTAACAAAGGGTGGCATGAGCGTCCCTGGCCATGTCTTTGGCTGCGGTGGCTCTGGTACAGTCGCACGCTCGCCTAACCAATTGACGGGCGGATAAAATGCTGATATGCCCTTGATCGGATGTACTCTTGTCTCTGCGCTTCCCCCTTCTCTGTGCACCTGCTCAGAGGCGAGCTTGACAGCCAGACCAAGGGCGAGAGTCGCACCTGCGCTTGTCCCACTGAGGGTGACACGGTCCATGTCAACGTTGAACTTTGTCGCGTTCTTCATGAGATAGTCGTACACGTCTCGCGCGTCTTCGTACGGTGCGGGCGCTGGGTGTTCGGGAGAGAGTGCGTAGGAGCAGTCGAAGATGGTGACTGGATATGCATCTGTGGTGAGGAGATCCGAGGAGAGGATCGTGCGTATGAGTCCGCCATTCTGACCGTGTAAGGGAAGCATCCACCCAGATCCTGCCCGTCGCATTTGTCAGTAAACAAATTAATTTCAAGAATGTAACTGATTAGACGAGATGCGCACCGTGCCAGTTGATATGGACCGCAGAGGTTCCGTTTGTGAGTCCTAATGCGGCCTTGTTTCGGTAAATATGTATCCTAATAGTCCTCTTTCCTTTCGTAGACGGGATTGTGACGATCTCTTGAGGCGGCTCGACTCGCTCGACACGACCCATCGCTCTCCCGAGGGCAATGCCAAAGAGACTGAACCCGCGCATCATTTTTGCCATGAGATAGAGCTTGATATAATTTGTCCGTCCGGTCGTATCACTAGAAGTGGACATCTTGATTCCTTTCGGGTAAATGGAGTGGACAGAGGATGGAGACGCAATAAGACGAATTTGGATGTCTTATACACAAGAAAAGCAAATAGCTTACGTGTTAGTCCGGCTTGATCACTGTCCCCGCAGTTTACAGATGTCCACGTCGACGCCGTCCGCAGTGGCGGAGTTTGAAGTGTCTCCGATGTCAAGGATCTATCATACAGCCTGCATCAATATACGCCCAAAATCTTCAGCATTGTGTCGCAGGCACAATTGTTGCGGGTCCGCATCGTGTTGCCCCCTAACAGCCGTCAGTCGTTGGCCCTTCGCGAAGGCAGATATACACTTGGTGCTCCCACAGCAAGCGTGCCATAGATTGGAGTGCTCGAATCCAATCTCAACTTTGTAGTGAATTCTCCAGACTGGTCGCCCATCCACACCTGCGCGTGATTGGATCGAAGGGAGGAGTTGACTCAAGTCGGCAGTGATAGTCCACAATTTTCGAAGCTACCTGAGCCGTTCACCTGTGCAGAATATGAGACATAAGCACAACGACACCGAGAGAAAGGGGAGACTGGCCTTGCTCGTTGTACGGCCACAGTGTCTCGCCAGGTCCTTCCCAAACATGTAGAGATGTCTTGCATGTGCCAAGATCCGCTGCATGAGACCGCTAGTGGAAATCACGATGATGCCTCTCTGATGCCGTCCATGAGTCGGTGATGATCGTGTTCTGTGCTCTCGGTGAGTACCTCTATCTATTGCTTTAAATTGAGCGAGAAGCCTGCCCGAGGAATCATGACGCTAAACACAATTCCTTCTCAGACCCCTAACTCATCCATCAGTCACTGGGAGACAGACCGTTGACGGACGTACTGCGAGTTCAAGTAAGTTTGCATCTCTCGCTCACGATGAAGAGATGGTTTATAGTCGACTCCCATGACCATTCCACATGACCACCGAGCGGCGCGACCGCGAACGAGTTGCTTCGTGTACCATACCACTGCGCGGTCACTCTGTGACATCAATATTTAATATAATCTATTGACTCCGGACGTACGAAGCGGCTTTCCTCTTGGAAATGAATAAGCAGGAGGGATGCAGCAGAAATGAAGTTGGGGCTCACGAAGGTTCGTCTATCGCCACCACTTGGATCCCTATTGACATAATCGCTGATTCGAGTTTTGTACGCAAGGTGACTCGCCAAGTCCACCGACGAGGAGTAGATGCTATACATAAGCAGCTCGTAATGCAGGCAGAGGTCGGGCCTACCCCAATTCTTGGTGGACCTATGAGCTTGTTACAGCTTTGAATCACATTTTTGATGACATTTGAAAACGCATGCTCGACTTCTGCACCAGAGAGGGTCAGTTTGCCGCATCCAAGTCCTTGTCCGTGTATGCTGTAGCGCATAGTGGACGCTCGCTTCGCCTTCGGTAATGAAATGCAGCCGTCTGTCTGCTTCACGGCGCGATGGAAAGATACCTGCTGTGACCGCGACGTTTGTGAGAAAAGTTTGCTGGGTGATATCCCATCCGTTGGGGTGCAAAGGACGAGGATAAGCGAGGGCGGTAGACGGTCCCATATGCTCCGTCCATTCGGCGTATTGCCGATGAAGAATGCTCGTATGTTAAGAATATATAGCTCAGAAAGTCGGCGTAGATTTTGCCGAGTGTGACGCCTGGTGGGAGTAAAGCTAGTTCAACTGTCCCCTTGCCTGCATTAGATGGTTGAATAGACTCTGGATGTAGAAGTAGCTGAATAGTGTTATTTGGCAATATAATCATCTACAATGGGACCGACCTTGAACCAAGAAGCTCTCTGGTACTCTTCATCGTTGATAAACTCGCTTGCTTCTGCACCAAATGCTTTAGCTTCTCCTTTTCTATAGGGGACTATAGTCATTATCTGGCATATTTCAGACTACACGTGCCCATGATCTGGGTATAGCGCCCCTTGGAGGCTCCGCTTGCTTCTGGCTGACCTGGACACTTGATGACCTGTGATATCGTCTTTGAGTCCAAAATTATGTGTGATTTTGTGTATTACCGAGAGAACGGCGAGTGGGGAACCTGGATAGAGATGGCAATAGGATGGAGACGGCGCTTGGCTCCTCTGGGTTAGAGAGTTTCCAGCGAGACTAGTGCGTACTCTTTGTGGTCCCGGTATCGCAGCTGATCACAATTCCTTCTCTGACTGTTAGCGCTGACCTATTGTAGTCATTACGAGGCGTAATCTCCAGCATATTCATTGGATTCAGTAATCCGCTGAGTGTAAACACCTCCGTGTCGCGTATGTAAGCACTTGCCATTCTTGGTAATTCCGACTAACGAGATTACAAATCGCAGCCGTCTGCGCCCACAGCCACCGACTTGCTGCCTTGGACTCCGCGTCATCTGCGCCGACGTCGATTGTCCTGTCATATTCCCCTCCCAAAATATTCTAGGTGCTATCATTCATCTCCCAGCACGCGCCGACACGCGTTGAAAGGCAAACGGACAACATGCCGTCGTTTTCACTCTTGCCACAGCCAAAATCGTTTCACAAGAAGAAGAACTACGTGCTCAAGGAAGAACTAGGCAGTGGCTCGTTTGGAAAGGTCATCCGAGCGACCTGGACGAAGCCGCTCGACGCGGACTCTAATAATTCCGCAAACAATTCGACAGCTACAAATGGTGGAGTGAGAAAGTCGAGCACAGGGATATGTGCCTCTACAAGCACGTTGGAGAAGGAAAGGAGCAGCGTTGGACTCGCTGCGCAGAATGTTCGCCCGGGCGAATCGCGAGACGTCGCCCTCAAAGTGATCCCGAAGAAAAAGGTCAAGCACAACGAAGACTCAGTGTGGGGCGAGATGAATGTACTGAAAGGACTTGACCATCCGAACATCGTATGTCTTCTTAATCATCGGAATTGTGCGTATTCTGACCAGGAGTCCCGCAGGTCAAGTTTTACGAGTGGTTCGAGTCCCGAGACAAGTACTATCTATCGTTTGAACTCGCGACGGGGGGCGAGCTCTTTGAGCGGGTAACACGTCAGGGCAAGTTCACCGAGAAGGATGCCCAAAACGTCGTTCGTAGCATGCTTCAGGGCGTCAAGTATCTTCATGAGCATGACATTGTCCACCGGTGAGCAGATTTCAAATCTCATATTGCCCCAATCTGACCGGACTTAGCGACTTGAAGCCGGAGAACATTCTCTACCGCACAAAGGCGTCCGATAGCGACATTGTCATTGCAGACTTTGGAATGTGCGTGACTTTCCTCATAGTATGGCCAGTACTGAGTGATTTACAGCGCCAAGCACTTACATGGCCCAGACCAGCAGCTCCTAAGCGTGGCCGGATCCTTTGGATACGTGGCACCAGAAGTTCTCGCACAGAAGGGACACGGAAAGCCAGTAGATATCTGGAGTACAGGGTGCGTATGATTCATTCTCACTCGACGCCGCTAACGGCATTTAGGATCATTACGTATGTTCTTCTGTGTGGCTATTCGCCCTTTCGCTCGGAGAAGCCGCAAGAACTGTTCGAAGAGACGCTTAATGCCAGAATCCAGTTCCACGATCGGTACTGGAAGAATATCTCGCAAGAAGCCAAGTCGTTTATCCTCTCCCTCCTCAGACTCGACCCTGCCGATAGACCGACAGTTCAAGAGGCACTCAAGGACCCCTGGCTGAGCGCCGAAGTCTCGACAGACCACGACTTGTCGGCTGCGTTGCGCGAAAACTTTTCGCCGCGTGCGAAATGGCGCAGTGCGATTGATGCCGTCCGTGCCGCTGGACGGCTCTCTGCGTTGGCGAATGCCCATAGAAACTCGGGCAGCTCGTCAAGTTCGAGCACAGCTCTTTCTGGGAGGATGAAGAGTGACGACAGTACGCTCACCGTGGATAGCGGTGGGTGGAAGTCGACGTTTACGGACGATAGTCGTAAGGGCACGGAGATAAGGGACGGCAAGACGACGAGCGATGAAGAGGAAGGAGAGGAAGATGGTGGTGTTGGCATGGAGTGGGAGATTAAGCCTCACCATCACCATCATCATCACCATCATTCCAAGAATGAGACCGCTACTACGACATCACCAACGACAACAGCGACGATGCCTCCTCCGCCACCCGTGACGGTAAAGAGCCAAGCAGAGTCTGTCAAGGCAGAAGTAGCCAAGTCACACGCGAGGCGGGAGAGTGACGATAGTGACGATGTCCATAATCGGATTCCCGGCGCGTATATCTGGGACGCCGTCAAGAAGGCGCTCGACTAATTGTTTCTCTATTTAATAGGCTATAGATGTATGAGCTTTCTGTTCGTCATGTATGATTGGTATCTAATCAAGTACTTATTCTTCTGGAGCTGCACTGTTCATGTTGTAAGATAGATGGCCTCGGACCCTTCCACAACCTCGACCTTACGCTCGGCGATGGAGCGTGGATCCAAGAAGAGTACGCAATCTGACTATACGATAGTACCAATTCTGATCTGGTCTACTTTGTAGAGCAAGAGTACTTTGATAGCAAACGGGGCCAGTCGTCTTGGGCGAGGCCCGTAATAGCGACGGCGGCACCAGCTTCTGTGCGCAACCTTCTCCTCCAAAAAGATCTCGATGCGGGCGATCTTGCCATCGCAGCCGTCCGCAAGCAACTTGAGATCTACGAGATGAATCTCAGACAAATCAAGGCCGGTGACGGGTCGTTCAATCGAGATGATAACCGCAATGAAGAAAGGACTGGATTTAGGAGTCTCTTCTCAACTGCAGCGAGGAAACTCGGGGAGCTCATGGAGGACGATCCGGAGAACGTAGACGCCGTTATGAATATGGTCAATCCGACCATCTCCCGTGCGAGTTTGACGTGGTATTCGATCCCTTATACCGCTTTTTGCACTATTCACTCACAACATACGCCCCACGAACCTGATCGCGAGCGCACACCCATCGAGGCAGCAGGAGCACGAGTGGATGGTGGAGATGATGGAGAAGGATTTAGCTTGGATTGGTGGATATTGAAAAATGAGACCTGGCTCCGTAATCGTCGAATTCGAGATCCCAATGCCAACTGGCGTATAGGCTTGGTTGGACTTGATGACAGATCCAACAATGTCTGGTCTACATTGGTCGAGCTAGGTACTACATATCGCAAGATCAAGCGACAGCAGCTAGATGGCTTCAAGTTTCTTGACGCGAGAAGGGCTGAACACGTCTACCTCCAACGCTCCAATAAGCAATTCCAAGCCGCTTACCAGCGTTTGACGAACGGCCAACTCAAGGGGTTGGACTGGAGTAATGTATTTGTGGCCGGAGGGAGCGTTCTCGGAGCGCTATTATGTCCGGATGGAGTGGAGAACCCCACGAACCGTCCGGAGCAGTGGGAGTCTTCGGATATCGACATCTACTTCTACGGGCTCGGGCCAAAGCAAGCGAAAGAGAAGCTCCATCACCTATTCGATGTCTTCAAGGCGAACCTGCCTAAAGACGCGCCAACGCTCGTCGTTCGAAATACGAGGACGATCTCATTTATCAGCAACTATCCCAATCGACGCTTCCAGATCATTCTCAAGCGATGCATGAGCCCGGCAGAGGTACTACTCAACTTTGATCTGGATATTTGTGCCGTGGGGTTCGATGGAGAGGCTGTTTATATGCTACCCCGAACGGCGAGAGCCCTCGAAAGTGAGTTTTTACTGCAATTCTGGCCAGAATCTCATGCATTGACAGCCGGATACAATTCATGGACGATGGACATGGTGCAGGGACATTACCTGGGTACACGCCGGGCATCACAGGAGCAGAGGTATGGGCAATATGAACTGTACGCGGACATTGAGAGTCCCCCAGAGTCTTCAAGTATGCGGACAAAGGCTATGGCATTCGGATTCTTCCTCAATACCTCGCTGCGCTTAAGAAAGTCGACGTTAAAGACGTACCTAGGGAGTCACGACGCCGCACTGCTAAAAAGGGCAGCTTGGCTCTCGAGCCATATATCGCTGATGCGCGCGACTATTTCGAGCGCGTCTTCAAAGTGTACCTTAAATGGTCCCACGATGGTGCAACCCTCCAACCACATTATAGCGGCTCTAGCTGGTGTGGTTCGCCAATGTATGAGTTCAAGGCTCGGCGATGGAATGTCGACGAGAGCGACAAGGAGAAGCGAATACCTGTGCTTACGCATGCGTTGCTGGACACGAATGAGCAGGTGACAGGAGAGCCCTTGAGACGAAGCTGTTTAACGGGATTCACGCTGCTTTATCGGCACGTGGCGCTTTGGGAGGCCCAGGAGCAAGGGAGGCTCAAGATTCAGGACGACGTTTGGGCCAGTACGACGGTGAGCAGAAGTATGCATCTATGAATAAGCTCTGAAAAGCTCTAGTATGAGGACGTACTTTACCAAAATGCCTACGACGAGCTTCCACAGTACGTCTCCATCGTCACGTTCCACCCATTGACGCGTCCGGCCCAGATACCAATGGGATGTGACATTTGACCTCAAAGAATTTGGGGAAAGGATTGAACAATTCAATGCCCAGCAATCAGAATGGGTCGAAGACGAGGTCAACCCATGTTGTGAGCAAACCTTGGAGGCGAGCATCTTTTATCTACTGACAATATCCCAGGGGGGGAAAATCATGGTTCATTTGTGCCTACGGTCCGACGTATCATTCATGGGGAAAATGTTGACGAGGTTCTCCAGAAAGATATTGTGCTCGCAGCGTGGATGCCAGAGAGCTTTGTCACGTTTGCAAGGTCTATGCTGGACGAAGTAGCCAAAGATATTCCAGACGTCAAAGGATCTTCTGTCATACAAGAACTCAAGCGTATAGAGGAGGGTGACGAAGTACTCTGTCGGATCGATATCGATGCACACATCATGTGGCAGCAGTTGGATCGTAGAGCCGACGAGTATGTCCTTCCATCGTTGTTTCATAACCACTGCTGACATAGGTATAGACTATTTGAACTGATCTGGAGTTTTGTGTTTGCCAACCGGAACATGGAGCTCGAAGATTCCAATCGGCTCAAGCTCCTGAAGAGACAAATATCGAGGAGAGCTTCGAGACTGAAAGATGAAGACGAGTTCCTCGACTTTGCCGCCTGGGTTTTTCGTGACCCTGGAGATATTGGTGGAGAGAGCTATGGTGCTATGGGCCAAGGGTTTTGGTGGGAGTGCTTCAATTCGGATGAAGAGGAGGAAGACGAAGACGAAGACGAAGACGGAGATGAAGATGAAGATGAAGATGAAGACGAAGACGAAGACGAAGACGAAGACGAAGACGAAGACGAAGATGAAGATGAAGATGAAGATGAAGATGAAGACGAAGACGAAGACGAAGACGAAGACGAAGACGAAGACGAAGAGGAGGAAGACGAAGAGGAATAGATATAATAACCTTGAGAATATCTATGAACGCTTTCAATTCATTGAGTATGTACATGGCCACTCACGCGACCGTCGGAGTTTGAAATCAAACTTGGACTTGAACGACGCTCAACGCGTCGCGTCGCCTCCCCTCAACGCGTTAAATATCCTCTCATAATCTCACAAAAATGCCTAGAGAGGTCTTTGTCGCACCGTCACGTCCATTTGCAGAGCCGCCCGCGCCTGGATCGCTCAAGACAGCCGAAGAACTGGGACTTTCGAGCGCCAATGCATGGGGATATGGCGTCTCGACGCGTCTGCTGAGCGATCCTGGACGATGGGAATTATTTAATATGATTCAGACGGGCAACGTCTGGTTGGATAATTACATGTTGGAGATCCAATCCAAGCTGCAGGCAGTCGAAGTAGGCAAGCTAAAGGAAGAAGTGTGCGTTGTTTACGCCTTTGGAAACGCGTCGAGAATCATGCTGAGACTTCTGGTCACGTAGCGACTTTGTCGATCTTGTCAAGACGCCTGGACGAAATAAGGGGACAAACAAGTCTCGCTCACAGACGACTATCGATGCGGAAAGATTGGCAAAGATTAACGCTTTGCATTTCGGAGAGCTTGAGCGCCACTCGCCCGTCAAGAAACCACAGGTCAGCAACTCACAACCCTTCTACGTGGTTTCTGACGCAATCATATAGTTCTTGAAGGATGTAGCAGACGATGGCGCCCAGTTGAAACAACTTCCAGCGTCTGTCACGATGGACGCTGTCCGTCCAGAGGAGATGCACGTTGTCACGCATTCACCGATTGCTCCTCTGCCACTCAAGGCTCAAGGAGAACCACTTGGTATCTCTATGACTACCTCTCAGGCCACTATCAAGCCTGCCGCAGCACCAAGCGTAGCCTCTTCGTCAAGCGAGCGCCGATTCGGTCCTCGGCCACTTCCAGCCCCTCCAGCCTCTGGGATGCGATCCCGTACCACTTCCAATGCCAGCATTATTTCCGTCAAACCGTCGACATACGAGAGACCGCCTAGCCGTGCTGCTGTTGAGCCCAAGCAACCAGTCGCTGTCTCAGCCGAGTCTCAGAAGCCCAAAGTTCCAGTACCTGCAGCTCTCAGAACGCCTTCACCGATCCCTATTTCCGCTGATGACGGAGATGACATGGTCGTCGATGTCGAAGTTCCACTCAACGATTTGACAATGCCACTCAACGATACCACGTCTTTGTTCCCATCCATTCTAAATCGTAAACCGAGCTTTGCGGCCCTACCAGGCCCGAGCCCGCTCAAGCGAAGTTCGCGAGGGACCTCTCTGGCCAACTTTCACCACTCGGACGGTGAAGGCTCGAGCAGAGCGTCGTCAGGCACGGCGTTAACGTTTACAAAGCCACCAAGCGCGAATAACGGAACTCGTTCCTCTGTTCGTCCGAGCTCTGGATGGCTCAAGAGCGCAGCGGCAGCTCGAGACCGAACTACATCTATCCAAGGCGGTGTGCCCAAGATCTCTAACGAGACTGCTCTCAATACTGCTGCAAATGCTGTAGGAGCCAGCTCTGGATTCAAGCGTAAGAGTGAGCATGGAGACGTCTCTGCGGCAGAGAGGGCGCCCAAGGTGCAAAAGACGCAGAATACCAGCTTTGCTATGCAGAGAACATCGGAGGAGAAGCCTGTGCTCGAGCCAACGTCGAGCAAAGGTTCCTTACATGGAACTGACGACGGAAAGCAGGACGACGATGAGTCCATGCCGCACGGACAGGACGAGGACGATACTGCCAAGAGACTGATGAGACTGAAGGGTCTTGTCAAAACACCGGTGTTGGAAGATGGACCCGCGTCCACTCGGAATACTTTGACGGGTACGAGTGACCGCACTCGCGTCGAGAGCGATACCACCCGTATTAGTGCTCTCACCTCTGCGACACCCGGAGATAGGGTAAAGAGATTGCATTGCCATCGTCAACAGTCGAGAAGAAGGGCGACGGCGTCAAGGAGTCAAGGCCTCGCAAGGAACCCGTCAGCGAGGCCGCACCGAAAAGAAAGGATGACATGGGTACTAAGGTTGCTCCTCCATCGAATGCGACTATCGCCACACTTGCTGCTTCGACTACCCCTCCTGGGTCGCCCGTTACAGTTGCACTCGATAAACGAAAGAATAAAGATGCGGTCCCAACTGCAACTGTCAAGGTGGAGGAGAAGCCCAAGGCGAATCCTCCTGCGCTCGTTTTCAAGCCTCCAGCAAAGGCCAGCATCTTCTCTGCTTCAACCAAGCACACATCGGGAGTACCGGAAAAGACAAAGCAAAATGGCATTTTCAGTCGGCCTCCGTCACTCCAAGCCCCGTCTTATCAGAACCTGGCTGGTGGCAGTCAAACTACCGAGGAAACCGAGTCCCAAGCTACCTCTATCTTCGATGCACCAGTAGCTAAGGGCAAGACGAGTATCTCGACGTTCGACACCGGTTCTCAGTCGTCGCATCCTGCCAATGAACAATATACGGAAAAGGAGGACGAGTTTGCCGGATGGGACGAAGAGGACGGTGTCACGGCTGGATGGATGAGCAAGGGAGATGAGACTGCTGGTATTCAGCGCATACCCGGTGCTTTCAAAGACGAAGAGGAGAACCGGGAAGAAGAACCGGAGGATGTTACGAGTAACCGTTGGCATGCGCTCCGAGCCGAAGCTATGGCAGACGCAAACGCGAATCCCGACCATGGACGAGAGGAGACACCTACTCCATCTGGGGACGACGAAGAGATGGCGATGGATGAAGAAGATATTGAGATTGGAGACAGTGAGGGCGAACCAATGGAGGAAGAGCCTGACTCGGAGCCTCCCAAGCCTGCGGCTCCAATGTCGGTCGGCGGTGGCATTATGGCGTCCGTCGGTTCATTAGCCTCCAAGTTTGGCCTCAAGAGCTTGCGGATGGCAGCTGCTGCTGCTGAAAAGGTATGTGTCCTCGACGACCTGACACCTAGTTGATACCTTTGATAGGAGAAGACGGAAAAGGAGAAGAAGCAGAAAGAGATGGAGGCTCGTCGACAAGCCGCTGCACAGAAAAAGGCAGAAGAAGAAGCGAGACGCAAGGAAGAGGCGGAACGAAGACGTAAACTCGAAGAGGAAAGGCGCAAAAAGGAAAAGGCGGACACGACCTTGAAGGGGAGCGTCAAAACTGTGAAACCACTAGTACGTCTGGCACTGATACTCTGACTATCTCTAACGAAGAAGCAGCAGGTTCCCGTGTCGGAGAAAAGCAACCCGAAATCAAACGGCAGCCATCCAAGCTTGCGTTGGGCAACTCGACGCTCGCAAGCTCAAAGACCGGGCCATCAGTTATTTCGTCCACGTCAAAGCGAGCGCCCACACCAACCAAAGCGCCGTCGACCATCAAGCTCCTCAGTCAAGCGAGCGCCGCGGCTTCAACCTCAAATCTCCCTATGCTCACTCCTCTCGCTACCCCTACCTCCATTCTGGGTCCCACGACGGTCAAAGCTGGCACCAAGGTCACTTTCAAACCCAGCTCGACCTTGCCCCTCAAGACCGCGTTGGTGAACAATGGTAGCACAACAAGCTTGATGTCCAGCAAGCAGGTTCAGCGGACGGAGACTACGACCAGCAGAGTGGAAGCCGAGGTTCGCCTTTCCGAAGGCGGGATTGACGAGAGCGCCGACTTGCCAGACATCAAGAGCGAGTACTCTGACTCGGAAGATGAGGACAGACCGCGAACGTATGATCCACCTGTGTGGGCTCAGTCCCCCGACTTGCGACAAGCGCTCGAAGATATGCGCACGGTCAATCCTGATACCATCTTTGGTGCGATGCCGACGTTGAGGATGGAGGAGATTTTCCCTGGGAGGCGGAAAAGCAAGTTTCGTGCGAGAACGAGCTCGGCGAACTGGGCGGGTACGGATGGCGTTACGGCCGAGGAGGAGATTGAGTATGCGAGACGAATGGGATTCGAACAGTAGAAAAAGGACATTGCATGAGCTATGTACATTGTATACCTATATGGTACAAATGCCATGTTCGTTCATTTGGGTAAGAGACGAATATCAGCGAGGTGCATTATGGATATAGTTGACATCGGATTGGGTAGTGTAAACCACCGGGTGCATATACCACACAAGCTCTTGCTTTTGTGTTCCCTTGTGGGGAATCGACTGCGTGCAGCTCACTCCCCAACCAACACCGATCATGCAGGTAATAGGAGCCGTCTTGTATCCAGTTCGTGGTGGCTTGAAATCGGTGAATGTCCCTCGTCGGAGAGTATCTCCATGTACTGGCATATAGATCTTGAAGTTTGCGTCTACACATTCCTGTTCGAGCCGTCGACGAATTTGAGCAGCCCGAACCAAAAGGTTGAGGGCCAATTTTATAATCTCATCTTTAGCGACTTCCACGTCCCTGACTTGGCTGATCAACATTTCGATGTTATTCGACATTGTAACAGCCGGCTCGGTCCAGTCTTTGGGCGTTGGGATCTGGCCAAAGGTAATCGATCTCCAACGACCCGCATCTCCCTGAGACTCCCCGTCCTGGATAGATAAACTGATGTTGGATAGGAGCTTTGAAGTCGGATCGTTGATGCTGCATCCCGGAATGAAAGGATCAAACACATAGCGTTTGATTCCGGCGGATAATATGTGATTGATCATGAGCTTGACAATTGGGAGAAGTAGTAGGCCATGCTTAAGATTCTGGAGGCCTGCGAGGAATGGGTGGAGATCCTGGAATGAGAAACTTGGGGTGCTGAGCATTCTAAGGAACGATTTGTAGTATTCGGGTCCGCAATACGCATCCAGTTGCTTCTCATATGGCTTTAACAGTCGATCCGACGTCCTATCAATCTCCCCGCGAAGCGCTTCAAGCTCCTTTATTCCTTCCTCTGCGCTTAGCTCCCCCTCATCGGGTGCGTCCTGCGTCGTTGCTGCAAGATCTTCTTCGACAGTCTTTTGTTCTTGCTGTAGTTTGATTATCGCATCCTCAATCTCCTTCTTGCGCCTGACACTGTCCCGTACATCCTTCTTCAGAGAGCTCACGATGCTCTCAGCCGTTGCTAGTTCGAGTCTCTCCTTTGCTAATTGTTTTTCGAGGTCTTTAATCTCATCGAATCGTCTTTTGTCTTCCGGATCTCTCCTCTAGAAGAGTGGTCTTAGAGAATGTGCGCCCAGATGCAAATACTTCTGCTTACCGACCCAATTCCGACAACGTGATTAAAGGCTCCACCGATGGCTCCGGTCGTGCGCTCATAAAATGAACGAGTTGTAGCAGAGACCGCTGGGTTATCCATGGCCGTCGCAGATCTTAAGAAGGCGGTTGTTTGGTCACTCGAGACATTTTGGATATTATCGCCATGTATTTCCTTGTTATCTTTCGAATATCTTGTTCGATCACCCGTAACGAGTTGGAACCAATCTCCATCCAGCGTCTATCAGCAATCCCAGCCAGCAATCGATAACGTCAAATAGCAGTTATATTAGCCTCAAAGGAGCCAATTGAGATCCAAACTCGGTACATATGGACCCCAAACGGTCCCATCCAGCAATAAATTGAATGTTCTACGACTGCGGCAGTTGAGAAAAGATATGCTCTCAATTGGAAATCTGCGGGAAACCATGGGACCGGTTCGAAACTCTTTGAATTAAATGATTGGCTCGCCATTTTGTCGATCATCCAGCTGCACGCATCCAGCAAGCCCTGGCAAGCTCTGACATTCCCCTCTTTAATGTACAATCATACTATCCGACGGGCCAAGAGCCTGCTCCAGCTTTCTATCTCCTTCGCTCTCATACCACAATCGTTTGAAGATGGGGACCAGGTACCAATGCGACAAATTGTACACTGGGGAAGAGAAGATTGTTATTGCGTATGACATTGGGACTACCATGTGCAAGTCAGCATGACCTATATCCTGCGCGTGCTGACTTTCGTTGAAGCCGCCGTCTCGTTTTGTCACCTGACAAAAAACTCTTTCCCTTGGGTTGAAATGGCGAGTCTACGTCTTGACTACAAGTACCAAGGTTCTTACCTTCCAAAGGTTACCAACTGGCCAGGTCAGGCGCGTGGCAGTGGCGGGTCCAAGGTATGCGTTGAAGATGATCTTTTCTCCTCTCACCCACGTAGATTCCAACCCTGGTAGCATACGATGGAACTCGAAATGTGGCTTGCGGAGAAGAGGCGTTGAAGCATCTGGACTCTGACACCGTACGCGTAGCTAAGCTATTCAAGGTATATTGGTCGCTCCTTCGTGATCTATCTAATCCTCTCCCAGCTTCACCTACATCCAGAGACTATCAAGACTGGGCTGCAAAGTCTTGCCATTCCGCCTCTCCCTTACGGCGTTTCGATCACCAAAGTTTATGCGGACATCATATCATACCTCTTCTCTCACACGCGATCGTATTTCGAGGAACGTGGTGGGGGATCAATAGTTTGGAGCCGTTTGCGCGACAGCATGGAGTTTATCTTTGCCATCCCAAATGGCTGGAACTACATCCAACACCAGACTCTACGTCAAGCCGCCATTGACGCTGGATTGTTCCCGTCCTGGAAAGCCAACTCTCAGCTTCAGTTTATCACCGAAGCTGAAGCCTCTGTTCACTTTGCACTCACATATGGAACGACCAAAGGATGGATGAGTTCTGGGGAGGTTTTTGGAGTCATTGATGCTGGTATGCGAAGGTTTGCCTACTTGATCGCCTTTAATTTTATGTTTAGGTGGTTCAACGACCGACAGCACTCTCTACACCTGTTCCTCTGTCTATCCCGATATGGTTTTACGCGAGGCAGGGGTGAGCGAGTGTATAGAGATACGATTTTTCTTCTTTATAGCATCCTGCTTATATTGTTAGGCAGGAGGAGTCACTGTAGACGACGGCTTCCGGAGCATGCTGCGCAATAAGCTCAGAAACTCAGATTATGAAGATGAGGAAACTGTTGAAACCATTGTCACGAACTACGAACCGAAGGTTTGTATCGTTACTTGTCCTAAACTCGTGCTCATCCTGGCTCTATCCAGACCAAGCGCTTATTCGACGGGGTCATGGACAGGAATGTTGTCCAATTCGGTGGACCTCGTGATACCGACAGAAATTTGGGTATATTCAAAGGGAAGATTTCGCTTACAACCTCCGAAATGGTCATTGCATTCAATGAGACCGTCTCCAAAATTTTGGCAAGCGTGCGGCGGCTTGTTAGTAAATCAACACCAAAGGTGGGTACATTGCCGTTTCATAAGCTTACTTCTCACTCATTCTTCCTAGTATCTCCTTGTTGTCGGAGGGTTTGGCGAGTCGCCTTATCTCCAAAAGCGTCTCAAGGACGAATTTGGCAGTCGGGGGATCAGTTTTATCATCTGCCCAGATCAGGCAACGTAAGTGAAATAATCAGATTATCTGGTGTTCACGAGCTCATTCCTCCATCAGAAAGAAGGCCGCAGCGTAGGTTGTGCACTGGTTTCGTTCGCTCGTACTCATTCTATGCAGCGAAGGTGCCGCGATTTGGTACCTAAAGAAGCTTGTCAAGTCTCGTATTGCCCGTGCGACGTTTGGGACATGCACCAACACGCCGTATGAGCCAGCCCTCCATCGTTCAAGACCCTACCAAATTCGCACAAACCACGCGTAAGAGGCAATAATTACATCTATGAATACTAATAGTCACTCAGAGGCGTCATACAAGCCACTGATGTTTTCGATACATGGGTGACAAAGGTAGGTTGGCGTTGGCGTTCTCTCTCTTTCTGACTAACATCAAATATATAGGGCACGATCGTGGAAGATGGATTCTCTCACGTTGAGAAGTATCGAATCACCCGGGCCAAAAACTTTCTTACGTCGTGGTTCAGCATACCCCTTGGTATGCAAGAGCAAGAAGTATATATGTGGGAAGGTGAGGACCCACCGACCTGGGTCAAGGACAAGTCGGGTTCGTGCATCGATCTTTCCGGAGTATCATACTGATTTGCGAGAATAGGTGCTGTAACTCCGGGACTCAAACACGTCTGCACCGTCAAAGCTGATGTCAGTGGTCTCACAAACTCGATGGAAGTACGCTCTGGAAGCAAAGGCGAGTACTATGCCGTGGAGTTTCAGGTGGCCATCTCGCTACCCGTCGGGGGAGCACAATTGCAAGCGAAGCTGCAGTGGGAAGAACATGTGAGTGCACTTTAACAATCATTCATTGGCTCATTTTGGTAGGGGGTGAAAATGGAAGGCCCAGCGAGTACCATTGTTGACCTTGGTAACTAGAGATGTATTCCCGGGATCATTAAATCAAGATAGGTAGTGAACCACAATCTAGATAATTTATTTTGCACGAAGGTTTGACGTACTCCTCACCATGGAGAATTGTGATCTTGGTTCCTTCCTTGACCGACGCCCACGAGTGGCGAACGGATAACGCTCAAACAGACGTCTTTCGTTATTTGGACGCGCTATCCCGCTCATTTGAGTCGTCATTTGCGGGCCCTCCCCGTTCGGGTCGCGGGAAATCATGGGCATCCGCGTAGAACGTCGAGTTCCGCAAGTAACAAAGGCTAAACATGAGTATTGAGGGATATCCCGTCTGGCACACAGCCCAGTCTCGCCAGGCTCTAAATTGAACATTCTCAACCAGCAATAACCCAAGTGCCTGGACACCTCGATCATCCAGTGTCATCCAGCCGCTTAGAAGCACGTTGAACTGCCGCAAAAATGGAGCCAATTCGCTTGCTTTTGGGTTCCACGCTTTCTTTGTCCCACAAGTTCACCCCCGCCTCGTCAGCCATGGCGTCGTATCGCAGCGAGAAGATGTACCTCGGAGATGAGAAGATTGTGATCGCTTTGGATATTGGCACAACCATGAGTATGCCACCCATCTCTCTGGATGCGGAACCTGACCATTGCAGGTGCCGCGTCCTATTCGCATCTCTTTAAGAGGTCCTATCCTTCAGTAGAAATGGTAATTAAAACTTACTCTTGGGAAACTGTGCTAATGCTTCCCAGGTAACGCAATGGCCAGGCCAACCGACCGCTAGTGGTTCCGCCAAGGTAAGAGCCGATCATCGCGCGATGAGAGCGACTGATTCAGTTCTTCCAGATTCCAACGTTAGTCCTCTACGACGGATCCCGGTGCGTTGCTTGTGGGGAGGAGGCTTTAAACTACGAACTAGAGGGCCATGAAGAGCTGGCCAAGTGGTTCAAGGCGAGTCAAATCCTTGTAGATACACTCATTCTGACCATAATTAGCTTCATATGCATCCAGATTCTCTCAAAGACCGATCCCTTGACATCCCACCACTTCCTACTGGCATTCCTGTTAAACGAATCTACAAGGACATGATGGAATACATGTTCAAGAACACTCAGAAGCACTTTGAGACCAAGGTCCCGAACGGTGCCTCCATCTGGAGCAGACATAGGGCCAACATGGAGTTTGTCTTCGCCATCCCAAATGGCTGGGACTATGTTCAACAACAGACGATGCGACAAGCTGCCATCGACGCTGGTTTCTTCCCGTCTCACAGAGCCGACTCTCTGCTCCATTTCGTCACTGAAGGAGAGGCCTCGGTTCACTTTGTTTCCGTGTACGGCTCCATGCGCCACTGGTTGAGCGTTGGCTCGACATTTGGAGTTGTAGATGCTGGTATTTCTCATTTCTGATACATACTATATCGATATAACAGCTGGCTAGGCGGATCAACTACGGATAGCACCCTCTATACTTGCACCGAGATGACGCCAGATGTGGTGCTGAAAGAGGCAGGCGTGAGTGAATGTGTCCAGGTATGTGTCTCGATGGACGCTTTCCGGCCTGCTCACGCCATCCAGGCTGCCGGCGTCAACGTCGACGATGTCCTTGGTCAAATTCTCAAAGCCAAACTCGCAAACTCCAGGTTTGGAGATGAAGAGAATATAAAGGCTATGATCGAGGCGTTTGAACTCAAGGTAACTCTCATACTGAGTGAATAGTGTGAAGCTGATCTTCCGCAGACAAAGCGTATGTTTGATGGGAACACCCCGACAAACGTGATCAAGTTCGGTGGAAACCGCGATATGGACATGAGTGTCGGTATCATCAAAGGTCAAATCAGTTTGAAGAAGGAAGAGGTTCTTGCCGCTTTTACTCCAGTGCTCGAGAATATTGTTGGTAGTATCCGCCGCCTGATGAGTAGCAAACGCCCAAAGGTAAGGTACCTGAGGCCATTTGAAGGTAACGCTAAGCACTGTCTACAGTACTTGCTTCTGGTTGGTGGCTTTGGCGAGTCGCCCTATCTCAAATCCCGGTTGAACGACCTCTTCGGTGGTCAAGGCATTGAGATTGTCACCGTAGAGCAACCAACGTACGTCTCGAATTCACTGCCTTTGCATCAGCTAACGGTCGTAGGAAAAAAGCTGCAGCGTAAGTTGGCTGAGCACCAACCACTCTGATACTAATACTCGACTTTAGCGAAGGGGCTGTGATATGGTATCTCAAGAACATGGTGCGAGCACGAGTCGCGCGTGAAACGTATGGAACCGACGTGAGGGCCATCTACAACGCCTTGCTTCATGGCGAACGGAGTCACAAGGTTGAAAGAGCCGTCGAGTATGTTGATTTTACTTTGGTTGCGTTTACTGACACGGTTCAGCGGCCTGCAGCGGATTTCACATGTATTCGACACTTGGGTACAAAAGGTAGGACCAGCTTCACTACCTCGCCGTCTCTCATCGTTGTTTCAGGGAACCACAGTCGACGATGGGTTTTCATATACTGCGGAGTATCACTATTCCTGGCCCAAGATTGGATACTCCAAGCCAAAATTGGCCGTCGAAGAGGTAGAGGTTTACATGTGGGATCGTGACACGGTCCCAACGTGGGCGAAAGAGGAAAACGGTATGTGGCGGCTGCTTCTGAGGATGAGATACTTATTCCATTCAAGGATCATTGACACCCGGTTTGCGGCGCATCTGTACCGTCAAGGCTGACCTCTCCGCCCTCAATAATGATGGTATCCGAATAGAGAAGGGTCCGAATGGAGAATACTGGAAGGCCGATTTCCAAGTCGCGGTTACTTTGCCAATTGGGGGTGCACAGCTCCAGGCCAGACTTCAATGGCATGAAAGGGTAAGATGACACGCTTTCGAATGCGTAATCTAATCCTATGGGTAGGGCGTCCTCAAACAAGGGCCAGCAATTACGATTGTCAGCTTTGATTAAGCTATTCTCGACGTTAATGCTCTACTTGTATACTAGTTTGCCGTTTGCCGTATCGTATTTGCCTGGGTAGATGCACCAGACGACTGTACCTGATTTCATGGCTGGTTGTGCTCAGGTACATCAACAGTGTATCAATTGCGTGTCTCACGACTATTGAGAATTAGAGCCATGCAAGAACCGCCGATTACAAAGCGCAAGAGCAACTCGAATCTCCTTTCAACGGAATCACAGTAAAGACGACTGCATCCTCTATCAGTAACCGATCATTACATAGACGTGCGTGGAATGGCAGGTACGGATGTAAGTGTCTAGTCGAGCCTTCCTCTTGTAGATGAGTTGGGGGAGTGCGAATAATCTGACAAAAGGAATGTATCTATGATCAAACAGGGAGATGATATCAGCAATCTGATAAACCTCCAATCCTGTAGCAGCAGATATTCTTGTCCTCCTGTAGCAGCCTACCTGTAGAGCAGCCTGGGCATCCTTGTGACCCGCAGAGCAGTCTAAGCGATATTAAAGTACAGATGTGACCGTCGGGACTCAGTTTACACGGCAAGAGAGGCTGAGAGCTAATAATTCCTAATGAAGAAGCGCATGAATTAGATAATGAGGCGTCATACTGCCTCAAATAGCTAATTTAAATGAGAGGTGAGAGAACACGAATGATACCTATGGTCTCAATATACCCTAGTGTGCCAACAGGCGGTACAGCGCAAGTCGCCTGAGAGACATATGGCACAAGCACTTGTGTGCTTTACGAGAATAGCATTCATTACAAATGTACACCATTCGTATAACCTGAGTGAGTACAGAGTCAACACATCTGGCATAGCTTATCATAGCCCGGCAGTACATTCATTGAAGGTTTACAATGGTTTCCATGTGTGGGTTTGGAAGGGACCCGCTACCACAATCGTCAACTTTGATTGAAGCCATCGATACTACATGTTTCCTGGTTCTGGAGCTCTATGAAACGTCATTGATTCGACAGTGTAATTTGGGCCCAACAATATCGTACAGACTGGACTTTGTCGAAATCTAGATTGCCGAATTTGGAATGATGCTCGCTGGGCCTTCGCAGGTTTCATCCTGTTGACAGTCAGAACCAATGCTCCGCAGAAACCTAAATAACGCGCCCCTTCCGTCCACTCAAGTCGCACCTTCATCTCCTTTCCACCGAGGAAGATTAAGACGCGCAGGTCAGATTGGAAGTACTTCTTCCCTTGAGGACCCGTCATTTCCTTCATCGATTCTTTCATACGCGTCACTTGTGCCTCAAGTGAGCATAGCAATCGGAGACTAGGCACTAGTTCCTCTAATATTTGCAAGCCTGGGTAAGTCATTCGGGTGGCACGAAGAGTATAAGGGCATACCGCCGACCTCGTCTTTGGCCCAGACCGGAGGCGCCTCATTACTCTCCCAGCCATAGAAATTCATCTTTCTCGTCACGCTTTCTGGTACGAAGAGCATCTTCACTGGGAGAAGACAGCTGCAAACGATGCAGTGTGAGTATGATCATCGTCGAAGACTTGATCCTATAAGGCCGCTCATCAATATCTATGGGATATGCACTGAAAAGGGTCGCTTACGACCTCCAAAATGATCACTGCATTCAATGAGACCGTCTTCAAAATTTCGGCAAGCGTGCGGTGGCTTGTAAATAAATCAACACCAAAAGTGGGTACATCGCGCTCTCATTAACTTGCGACTCACTCATTCTTCCTATTATCTCCTTGTTGTTGGAGGATTTGTCGCCCTATCTCCAAAAGCGTCTTAAGGACGAGTTTGGCAGCCGGGGAATCAGTTTTACCATCTGGCCAGACCAGGCAATGTAATTGAAATAACCATTTCTGGTGTTCACGAGCTCATTCCTCCATCAGAAATAAGGCCGCAGCGTAGGTTTGCACTCGTTTCTCTCGTACTCATTCTATGAAGCGAAGATGCCGCCATGTGTCTCAAGAAACGTGTCAAGTCTCGTAGCCTGCGCGACGTTTGGGACCTGGACAACACGCCGTATGAGCGAACTCTTTGGTCAAAGGCCCTGCAAATGCAAAACATGCGTAAGAGGCAATCAAAGGTATGTGCAGATCAAGAACATGCTGACAGGCAGATCCACGCCTCGAAATTGGACGAGGTGTATCATCCGTTATCATCAGCTGAAAGGAAAGGATGCCCACTCTCGATGATCCTCTATTATTCTACATTGCCCCCTACTGGAGTCGCAAGGCAGCAGGCCCAGCTCACCTCGGGTTTGTGGACGACTCTACCTGATCGCCATTGGAGAACTTCCCGACACGTACCTCGGACTGAAGGACATATGGAACGTCAAGGCAAACTAGACTGTCACGTTCGCAGCACTCACCACTCGAACTACAAACTCGGGCTTGTCGCTTCACAATGTCATCATCAAAAGCGCAAAGGCTCACATCCCCTGGATCACTTGAGGCAAAGGACTGCAATGGCAGAACGTGCAGCAGTAACAATTCAACCTACCAACAGTTGCAAGTTACTTGGAGTGGTCATCGACCAGTCACTGTGGTGGAACAAGCGGCAGGACTCGTGCACACAAGGGCAGTTCAGTGGACCTCACTATTCTCTCGTATTCAGGGCATTCCATGGCCTCCCAATCGGCTCAGGCCGCCAAGTCTTCACTCCGTTGCCAAGCTCGCATCACAAGGCCCAAGATTGGGACACCCACTGTACACCAAGCCAGACTCGCATGCCGGATGGATCTGTCAACCAGAAGCTGCAAGCTCCAACGGTAGGCCGCCATCTGTATCAAGGCGCTATCTCCACAACAGCAGGAGATACCCTTGAAGCGCAATATGCTACCAAGGTGAAACTCCGCCTCACATGCCAGAAGGCCGGCCCGGCTGGCAAGCCTGCCGTTACCCATCCTCTTCCAATTCGTGAATCAGCATCAAGAGGACTCCTCCAGAGGCAGAACCCGCTTGATCGCTCTTCGACTCCATCGACTATAGACGCCTCAAACCATCACCCCAGGATACGCAACCCCAATGCACTAACCTTCACTATCTCAATAGTGTCGAGGATGTTCGCGAAAAGAGCCGGCAAGCAACAGCAACTGCAACAACAGTAGGTCTGTTTCATACAGCAATGGCTCAGGAATGGAAGGCATGATAGGAGCCGGTACATTACACGAGATGGAGTACGGATAAGGTCAGCAAGATTCCTGCTTGTAGAAGACACGGATCATTACGGTACACGAATGGCGAACTCGTTGGAATTGCACTCGGAGTCCAGCTAGCCAAGATGGAAAGGTCATCATACCACCTATCAAGATCAGCCTCCATCCAGCAGCAGATACAAGGAATGTAGAAGTCAGTGACAGCCGGGACATCACCCACAAGATCCACAGAGCAATAGACAAACTGCCAACAATCAAGAAGCGAGACAAAAGACTAATAGAGGCGTCAATGAGATACGAGGATCAATCGATCGACTAGAACTCGAATGAGTCCCAGGTCATGAATGATAGGTAACGTAACAGCGGACAGGAGGCCAAGAAGGCCATCACAGATGGTCTCCACGAGCAACAGAATGGCATTCAAAATGTACACCATTCGTATAACCTGAGTGAGTACAGAGTCAACACATCTGGCATAGCTTATCATAGCCCGGCAGTACATTCATGGAAGGTTTACAATGGTTTCCATGTGTGGGTTTGGAAGGGACCCGCTACCACAATCGTCAACTTTGATTGAAGCCATCGATACTACATGTTTCCTGGTTCTGGAGCCCTATGAAACGTCATTGATTCGACAGTGTAATTTGGGCCCAACAATATCGTACAGACAGGACTTGGTCGAAATCTAGATTGCCGAATTTGGAATGATGCTCGCTGGGCCTTCGCAGGTTTCATCCTGTTGACAGTCAGAACCAATGCTCCGCAGAAACCTAAATAACGCGCCTCTTCCGTCCACTCAAGTCGCACCTTCATCTCCTTTCCACCGAGGAAGATTAAGACGCGCAGGTCAGATTGGAGTACTTCTTCAAAGGAGGATCAGGATTTCATTGAGTTTTTCATATACGGTCACTTGCCTCAAGTGAGCATAGCAATCGGAGACTAGGCACTAGTTCCTCTAATATTTGCAAGCCTGTAAGTCATTCGGGTGGCACGAAGAGTATAAGGGCATACCGCCGACCTCGTCTTTGGCCCAGACCGGAGGCGCCTCATTACTCTCCCAGCCATAGAAATTCATCTTTCTCGTCACGCTTTCTGGCGAGGAGAGCGCAACTGCCTGAAAAGAGATGCATGCGCCAATGAAAGTGATCATCGTCGAAGACTTGCTCCAGTTAGACAATGCTATATTGGCGGTGCCACTGCACAATAATATCGCTTACGACCTCCAAAAAAAAAAAAAAAAAAAATTTGACCGTCTTCAAAATTTCGGCAAGCGTGCGGTGGCTTGTAAATAAATCAACACCAAAAGTGGGTACATCGCGCTCTCATTAACTTGCGACTCACTCATTCTTCCTATTATCTCCTTGTTGTTGGAGGATTTGTTGCCCTATCTCCAAAAGCATCTTAAGGACGAGTTTGGCAGCCGGGGAATCAGTTTTACCATCTGGCCAGACCAGGCAATGTAATTGAAATAACCAAATTATCTGGTGTTCACGAGCTCATTCCTCCATCAGAAATAAGGCCGCAGCGTAGGTTGTGCACTCGTTTCATTCGCTCGTACTCATTCTATGAAGCGAAGATGCCGCCATTTGGTGTCTCAAGAAACGTGTCAAGTCTCGTATTGCCTGTGCGACGTTTGGGACCTGGACCAACACGCCGTATGAGCGAACTCTTCATGGTTCAAAGGCCCTGCAAATTCACAAAAATCACGCGTAAGAGGCAATACTTGTATCTATGAGTGCTAATAGTCAATCAGAGGCGTCATCCAAGCCACTTATGTTTCGATACATGGGTGGCCAAGGTAGGTTGGCGTCGGCGTTCTCTCTCTTTCTGAATAGCATCAAATATATAGGGCACGATCGTGGAAGATGGATTCTCTCACGTTGAGAAGTATCGAATCACGCGGGCCAAAAACTTTCTTACGTCGTGGTTCAGCATACCCCTTGGTATGCAAGAGCAAGAAGTGTATATCTGGGAAGGCGACGACCCGCCGACCTGGGTCAAGGACAAGTCGGGTTCGTGCATCACTTTTCCAGGGTATCATACTGAGTTACGAGAATAGGTGCTGTAAATCCAGGACTCAATCACGTCTGCACCGTCAAAGCTGATGTCAGTGGTTTCACAAACTCGATGGAAGTACGCTCTGGAAGCAAAGGCGAGTACTATGCCGTGGAGTTTCAGGTGGCCATCTTGCTGCCCGTGGGGGGAGCACAACTGCAGGCGAAGCTGCAGTGTGAAGAAATCTGAGTGCACTTTAACAATCGTTCATTGGCTCATTTTGGTAGGGGGTTAAATGGAAGGTCCAGCGAGTACCATTGTTGGTTACCGACGCCCACAAGCGGCGGGTGGATAGCGCTCAAACAGACGCCTTTCGTTATTTGGACGCGCTATTCCGCTCATTTGAGCCGTCATTTGCTGGCCCTCCCCGTTCGGGTCGCGGGAAATCATGGCCGTTCATCCACGTAGAACGTCAAGCTCCGCAAGCAACAAAAGCCAGACATAAGTATTGAGGGACATCCCGTCTGTCACACAGCCCAGTCTCGCCAGGCTCTAAAGTTGAACATTCTCAACTAGAAACTGAATTTTTCTATTCGGCCTCATAACCCAAGCGCGCGCCTGGACACCATCACCCAGTGTTATTCAGGCGCTTGGAAACACAATGAACTACCGCAAAAGTGGAGCTAGCTCGCTTGCTTTTGAATTCCGCGCTTTCTTTGTCCCACAAGTTCACCCCCGCCTCGTCAGCCATGGCGTCGTATCGCAGCGAGAAGATGTACCTCGGAGACGAGAAGATTGTGATCGCTTTGGATATTGGCACAACCATGAGTATGCTACCCATCTCTCCGGATACGGAACCTGACCATTGCAGGTGCCGCGTCCTACTCGCATCTGTTTCAGAGGTCCTATCCTTCGGTAGAAATGGTAATTAAAACTTACTCTTGGGAAACTGTACTAATGCTTCCCAGGTAACGCAATGGCCAGGCCAACCGACCGCTAGTGGTTCTGCCAAGGTAAAAACCGATTATCACGCGATGAGAGCGATTGATTCAGCTCTTCTAGATACCGACATTAGTCCTCTACGACGGATCCCTATGCGTTGCTTGTGGCGAAGAGGCTTTAAAATACGAACAAGAGGGCCATGAAGAAATGGCCAAGTGGTTCAAGGTGAATAAAACCCCTGGAAATATACCCTGTCTGACCGCATCCAGCTTCATATGCATCCAGAGGCTCTCAAAAATCAATCCCTTGACATCCCACCGCTTCCTACTGGCATTCCTGTTAAACGAATCTACAAGGACATGATGGAATACATGTTCAAAAACACTCAGAAGCACTTTGAGACCAAGGATCCCGAACGGTGCCTCCATCTGGAGCAGACATAGGGCCAACATGGAGTTTGTCTTCGCCATCCCAAATGGCTGGGACTATGTTCAACAACAGACGATGCGACAAGCTGCCATCGACGCTGGCTTCTTCCCGTCTCACAGAGCCGACTCTTTGCTCCATTTCGTCACTGAAGGAGAGGCTTCGGTTCACTTTGTTTCCGTGTACGGCTCCATGCGCCACTGGTTGAGCGCTGGCTCGACGTTTGGAGTTGTAGATGCTGGCATGTCCCATTCCTGATACATACTATATCGATATAACAGCTGGTTAGGTGGATCAACAACGGATAGTACGCTCTATACTTGCACCAAGACGCTGCCAGATGTGGTATTGAGAGAGGCAGGCATGAGTGAATGTGTCCAGGTACGTGTCTCTATGGACGCTTTTCCTCCTGTTGACGCCATCCAGGCTGCCGGTGTCAACGTCGACGATGTTCTTGGTCAAATTCTCCAAGCCAAGCTCGCGATCTCCAGGTTTGGAGATGAAGAGAGTATAAAGGCTATGATCGAGGCGTTTGAACTCAAGGTTAGTGTCATACTGATTGATTGGTATGAAGCTGACCTTCAGTAGACAAAGCGTATGTTTGATGGGACCACCCCGACAAACGTGATCAAGTTCGGTGGAAACCGCGATATGGACAAGAGTGTCGGTATCATCAAAGGTCAAATCAGTTTGAAGAAGGAAGAGGTCCTTGCCGCCTTTACTCCAGTGCTCGAGGATATTATTGGCAGTATCCGTCGCCTGATGAGTGGTAAAAGCCCAAAGGTAAAGGATTTGGGAGTCATCCGAAGGTAAAGCTAAGAAACTTTCCACAGTACTTGCTTTTGGTCGGCGGTTTTGGTGGGTCGCCCTATCTTAAATCCCAGTTGAAAGACCTCTTCGGTGGTCAAGGTATTGAGATTGTCACCGTAGAGCAATCAATGTACGTCTCTAATGCACTGTATCTGCATCAGCTAATGGTCGTAGGAAAAAGGCTGCGGCGTAAGTTGGCTGAGCACCAATCACTCTGATACTAATGCTTGAACTTAGCGAAGGGGCTATGATATGGTATCTCAAGAACATGGTGCGAGCACGAGTCGCGCGTGAAACGTATGGAACCAGCGTGAACGCCCTCTATGACGCCTTGCTTCATGGCGAACGCAGTCACAAGGTTGAAATGGACGCCGAGTATGTGCCTTTTGTCTTGCTTTACTGTTAGTGACCCGAAATCAGCGGCTTTCAGAGGATTCAAAATGTGTTCGACACCTGGGTGAAAAAGGTAGGACCAATTTAACTACCTCGCCGTCACTCACTGTCGTTTCAGGGAACCACAGTCGACTATGGGTTTTCATATACTGCGAAATATTATTATTCCTGGCCCAAGGTCGGATACTCCAAGCCGAAATTGGCCGTCGAAGAGTTAGAGGTTTATATGTGGGATCGCGACATAGTTCCAATATGGGTGAAAGATGAAAAGGGTATGTGGCGACTGTCCCTGAGGACGAGAAACTTATTCCACTCAAGGATCGTTGACTCCCGGCTTGCGACACGTCTGTACCGTCAAAGCCGATCTCTCTCCCCTTAACAAACACGGTATCCGAGCAGAGAAGGGGCGGAATGAACTATACTGGAAGGCCGATTTCCAAGTCGCGGTGACTTTGCCAATTGGGGGTGCACAGCTCCAGGCCAGACTTCAGTGGCACGAAAGGGTAAGATGACATGCTTTCGAATGCGCCATCTAATCCCATGGGTAGGGCGTCCTCAAACAAGGGCCAGCAACTACGATTGTCAATCTCGCTTAACATATTGTCGACGTTAGGGCTGTAATTGTATACTAGTTTGCCATATATTGTTTGTCTGCCTGGTGGATGTATTGCGTGAGCAGTTTTCAGCGAGTCTATGACATATTAGGCACACCAAGAGGGGGATCATCTTTGTAATGTCAATGTTATACCTCTTCGCTCTACTCGCTTTCTAATAATGTAGCCAAATCACGTCGAAGGGCAATCTCAAGCAAGGCCCCGCTGTTATCGTCAATTTCGATAGGCCCTACCGAAAGCATCATGCTCTCTCGCCCGGAGTTTTGATGTATTTATCTGTTCAGCGAACAGATATTCGACAAACTCTATAATCCTGAAAATATAATGTGCTACAAAACCTTGTCTAGGCTAGATGGTCGAGTTTGGAATAATGCTCACTGGGCCTTCGCAAGTTTCATCCTGTTGACAGTCAGAAGCGACGCTCTGGAGAAACCCAACTAACGTACCCCTTCCGTCCACTCAAGTCGCGCCTTCATCTCCGTTCCACCGAGGAAGATTAAGACGCGCAGGTCAGATTGGAAGTACTTCTTCCCTTGAGGACCCGTCATTTCTTTCATCGATTCTTTCATACGCGTCACTCGTGCCTCAAGTGAGCATAGCAATCGGAGACCAGGCACTAGTTCCTCTAATATTTGCAAGCGCGGGTCAGTAAGTCATTCGGGTGGCAGGAAGAGTAGAAGAGCATACCGCCGTCCTCGTCTTTGGCCCAAAACGGAGGGGCCTCGCTACTCTCCCAGGCATAGAGGTCCATCTTTCTCGTCACGCTGTCTGGTATGAAGAGCATCTCCACTGGAGAGAAGACAGTTGCAAACGATGCAGTGTGAGTATAATCATCGTCGAGGACTTGATCCTACACCGCTGGTCAGAATATATGAGATATCCACTGAAAAAGATACCTTTTTGACCAGAGTTGTAAAGGTGTTTCTGACAGTGAGCAGGCCACTGAAGTTTCGTCAGGTATTGAGAGTTGATAAGAGTGAATGAGTTTACTCGGAATCAACAAATGCCTTCGAAATGCGCTCCAAGTGTTCGGCTCGATGAACGGCAGTGGAGGATATGGTGCCGAGTGTAAACCTGGCAGCGCGGGCCTTGACCTGCCGTTTGATATACCATATCGTGCTTCCTTCACTGGCTCCTGTTCAGTAGTGCCGTGGGAACCGATTAATGTGCTTACGCTGCGGCCTTTCGACTGAAAGAGAAGTTCAGATAATGCTTGAGCAGATAGACGCATGGCTCACGAGGGTTGCTCCACGGTCACGACTCTAATATTCTGTTTTGCGAACGTCTCGTCTAGTCTACGACGAAGATATGGGCTTTCGCCAAATCCACCAACGAGGAGTATATGCTAAAGAGCTATTAGCAATAGACTATCAGCACGTGGGAGATGCTCACCTCAACTCTGTGTGTCTGTAGTAAGCGTTGGCAGCTTTCTACAATAGCAGCTATAGCGCCGTCGAAGCACTGCGCGACTTCGTTCTTGGTGAGGGTGAGTTTTCCCTTGAGGATACTGAAATCTTTGTCGGTATCTTTATTGCCACCAAATTGAACTATGTTGCTCGTTTGATTGCCATCAAAGAGTCGCTTTGTCTGCGAGAGATGAATCGTAACTCTCGAATCTAGACGAAAGAGATACCTTGGCCTCGAAAGCCTTGACCATGTCCCGAATCGATTCAGGGTCATTGAACTTTGAAGCTCGTAGTTTGTCTTCCAGCATCCGCTTTGCTGCACGGTCTACGAAAACACCTCCAGCCTGAAAAGATTGGCCTATTGGGGAACAATGATGCGGCGAAATGACTTACCTGAACACACTCTGATGCACAGACCTCTTGCAGCTCGACGTGCGGCTCTACAGCCTTGCACTCGTAGAGTGTACTGTCAACAGTAGATCCACCTGTTTTATAAGTCGCGGACTCCGTTAGCACAAAAATAACTCACCAGCGTCAATGACCAAAAAGGTAGAACCCTTAGACAACCATGATCTGGTCGGACTATAGGCCATAACGTAGTGAACGCTTGCCTCACCCTCAGTCACAAACTTGAGGAGTGTATCTGCATTGGCATCTGTGACGAGTCCAGCTACGATCGCCGCTCGACGAAGGAAAGTCTGCTGAGTGATGTCCCATCCATTGGGTGTCGCAAGAACAATCTCCATCCTATCGCGTAGTCGACGCCAGATGCTCTCGCCATTTGTCATGCGTTGTTCAAAGTAAGTCTTTGTGTGACTGAAGAGGTATTTCATAAAGTCGACATAGACAGTTTGGATGGTGACGCCTCTTGGCAACGGAGGAATTTCGAGTCTGGACGAAAAGTTGGAGCTGCTCCCGTATCGTGGAGGCTCGTCGGCTTGTTTCATTGATTCGGGATGAAGATGCAACTTCGAAGAATGAGATAGATGTCACCAGATAGTTCAGGACCCCACCTTGAACCACCGCGCAACAACGTACTCATCGTCCTCTAGGTATTCATCTGCTTCCTGCCCACATGTGACGGCAGTGGTCCCTCTGTATGCAACAAAAGTGGGGATCTAAAGGTATGTATTGTGATCTAACCACTTTATTCCTCTGACATTGTCACTCATACCTTTGCAGCACCAGATGCTTCGGGCTGACCGGGCCATAGCGTTACCTGATCATTATCAGCCTGGTGTACGTTTCCTTCGACAACAGAGCATACCAGGTGGACTTTGGGTTTCTCCCCGGGGTACAAATACGTAAACGAGGCGCCAGCTGAAGGTAATCAGAAGGCTGACGAGGTGTCGACGGACAACTAACTATGAGTTGTACCCAAATCCATTGCAACGACGAGTGTCTCATTCCCAGAGTAAACGGTATCACTCGTGTAAACGCTGGCCATAGTGAACGAGAGATGGAGGTTGAGTAAGGCGAAGGGCTAGGTCTAGGTCATTCGCTTTCTTTGGACTCATAAAACCCCGTCTTGGTGCTTATCGACGGAATCGGCTGGTTGAAAAGTTTGTCAGAACCCGGGTGCTGGATGGAAAGCCTAAATGGGACAGCATATACCTTGTCGCCTGAAGATTCGAGTAAACTGGCTATGCAATGCGGGATAAGTGTCACTGCATAGACTCGACGTGGAGTCTGAATGGCGTCCATTACACCCCGAAGAACGTCGAGGAACGTTTCATAATGATTTTTCTGACTCCACTTGTAGCTGTTAAGTTCCAGGTCGACGTGTTGTCTGCAGCAGCTTCATTGGACTAGGATCAAGTTGTGTTTTCGACTTCAAACCTGGCCACTTTCCGAGTTACATGGATTTCCGATGCTGTGTATCGTATTGGATATGCTCTTTGGAAATAAAGCGCGTACCAGTCCATTCAACTAGCCGACGTGGAATTTGGAGACTGGAAGGCGTCTCTGGACAGACGAATGAGCTCCAGCGCCATGCCCTGCCTTTAAAACGATTCTCGAAACTCAGACAATCCTCACTTCTGTTCTTCCTTCTTACTGTATCCATATCTCTGAGTGATGTCTGGCTTCCGGGGTGATCTTGCGTATGACGGCGAGGAGTCGATCATCCTCTGCTTTGACATCGGCGCTACTCGCAGTGAGTTCTCCCTTTGGGGGTCAATAGCGTTCAAGAGTTCACCGTCGAGCAGGCGCTGTTTCATACGTTCACCTTTCTCCTGGCACTCCGCCCACAACTTTTATGGTATGTACGGGAAATAAATGCGGTTTAGGCTTACCGTTATACAAGGTTACTCGTTGGCCTGGTCAAGTAGATCCCTCTGGTGCATCCAAGGCAGGTGTACCACTAATACGCAAGCCGCTTAGTTTCACTTACAAATGTAGATTCCAAGCATACTAGCCTACGAAGGTGGTGAATGCATATCGTGTGGAGAAGAAGCCCTGGAACTTGAGGGTCAAGACAATATTGAGATTGCCAGATGGTTCAAGGTACGTCCTTCCTCGTGTCGTTATCCTGTTCCTGTATTGAGCAGATTCTAGTTGCATCTTCATCCACCGTCGATGCGGAATGGTGCGCTATTTGAAGGCTACCCTGGTGAAGACGCATCCATGTTCGAGATACCATCGCTCCCAACCAACGTCTCCGTCGACCAAGTATACGAAGACTTTATCAGTTACCTATTCAAACACACGCAAGTTCACTTTGAGGAGCACATCGCAGACGGTCCAGCCATCTGGAATCGCCTACGCAGGAAAATTCATATCGTGCTCACCATTCCAAACGGGTGGGATCTCCTCCAACAACACATTCTCCGCAATGTCGTCGTGGCGGCGGGCATTGTTGCATTCGAGGATGCGAATACGCTTCTTTCGTTTATCAGCGAGTCGGAAGCGTCGATTCATTTCTCGCTTGCGTACGGTGGTTCCACGGCGTGGGTCAAGCCTGGAACAGTGTTTGCTTGCGTGGATGTCGGTGGCTCCACGTGTGATAGTACTTTGTACGAGTGCACAGCGGTCGAGCCCAAGCTCGAGCTGGAAGAGGCTTGTTCGAGTGTATCCATACAGGTGTGATATATTCACTTAGGTGTTGTGATCTGACAATACGATAGGCTGGTGGCATCTATGTCGACCGAGCCGCACGCAAGATGCTCGAAAGAAAACTGGCGGGCTCGCAGAGGTATGGGGACGAGAGCACCATACAGGAAATGACCAACGTGTTCGAAAGCAAGGTAATTCCGTATAATTTCCAACAAAGGGAGTCTATTCTGACGACTTGGTAGACCAAACGCCTTTTCGACGGCTCGGATGTCGCCAGCACAATTCACTTTGGCAGGGCGGTAGATAATGATGATCAGTACAACATTCACAAGGGAAAGCTGTCCCTCACCAAACAAGAGGTCGCCGAGACGTTTGAGCCTGCGATACAGCGGATCATACTCAACTGTGTAGAGCTCATACGTGACCGCACCATCGATGTTCGTCCCGTCCTTCTTAGGTGGCAACTTTTCTAAACCTTTGGTAGTATATCTTACTGGTGGGGGCTTTGGTGAATCAAAGTACCTCAGGAGTCGACTGGAGAGCCACTTTGCCAGTCAAGGGATTCAAATTGTGACGGCAGAACAGCCATCGTGCGTCCTTTTAATCATACATGTTCTTGTGGCTGAGGTGTTTACAGACGCAAGGCCGCTGCGTACGTTGATTGCCTGCCAAAGAAGCTCTCACTTACCGTTCACAGTGAAGGTGCTGCTATATGGTACTTTACGCAACACGTAACAGCCCGAGCAGCAAAATACACATATGGTGCTCTCGCATGTCGGTTCTACGATCCTAATGTGCACTCTGCACGCGAGGCAAATGCATTTATCGATACCGAGTATGTTTCATACTACGAAATCTTACCTTCGCTCATTATCGTATAGTGGAGAGCTTTCCATTAGAGGGTGTTTTGACGCGTGGGTGCGAAAGGTATGACGACAAACCGCATGTGGTGGCAGTCTCTGACGAGGAGAGTAGGACACTATCCTAAACAAGGATTATGAATACGTCCATCCATACGTTCGGCTGTGGGAGTGGGACGCGGACATGCAAGAGCAGCTACAAACGTTTAGTTTTCCGATCCTGGCGTTTTCGGGCAACGAAGTGCCAGCATGGGGCCTCACAGAAGATGGTGAGTACTCGTGCGTGTTTTGTGAAGTGAGTTTGACTGGGCATTCACAGAGGAGGACCTTGTCTACGGCATGCATTTCCTCTGCATCGTTCAGACAGACTTGCGGAGTTTGTCTTCGTGTATCCAATTCGAGGAACGTCCGGATGGCAAAGTGTATTACCGCGTCGAGTTTGCGATTGTGCTCCAGATGGGTGGCACGCACCTAACAGCCAAGCTGCGCTGGTACGAAGGAGTGAGTATGCTCTATCGTTGTTCTTCTAATCCCTTATGACCATAATGAACAGGGCCAACGGCATGAAGGACCTGCGAGTATTCTGCCTGATGCGCTCAAGTAGCCAGTTGTATGCCCGATGAACGCGGACTATTGTGTCAATTCTCGTGTGATTTTGTGTAAAACCGAGTGGCCAGCTCGGGGCCGACTGAGTTTGCGAGTCGTACGAGAGTCGAAAATGGCAAATGGTCTCACCCGCTCTTGCTGCTTCTTAAACCCCCGCCACGACTTGCTAGCCCCTTCTCCCCGTTTATACTCCCCCTTCATCCTCCTTTGCAGCTTCAACGCTGAATAACACGCCAAAATGTCCTCCAACGGAACGCTCAAAGACGGCCGACAGCTCGACCGCATCGACGCATATGCAAAGCACTGGCAAAAAGACCTTAAAACAAACACAGACGTGCGTTGGCATCTACTTTTCCCATTCTTTGACGCGCCTTCTCGCTCTGCAATGTCACCCCGTGCTCATGTCGAAATTTTTGGGTCCATCTAGGCCGACACCGAGAACCGCAATGCCGACTATGAAAACGTGGTAAACGGATATTACGACGGTGCCACCGAACTCTATGAATGGGGATGGGGGTCCTGTTTCCATTTCAGCCGTTTCTACAAGGGGGAGGCTTTTAACCAGAGCGTATGTACCCTGTCATGATGTATTAGTTTGTATACTGACATTCTATCTGTAGATTGCCCGCCACGAGCATTTCCTCGCCTCGAAAATGAACCTCAAGCCCGGCATGCGCGTTCTCGACGTCGGATGCGGTATCGGCGGTCCAGCACGCGAGATTGCACGCTTCGCCGACGTTCACATTACTGGTCTCAACAACAACCAGTTCCAGATCAACCGCGCCACGCGCTATACCGCAAAAGCTGGTCTCTCCGACCAGGTCACCTTTGTCAAGGGCGACTTTATGAAGCTCTCGGAACAGTTTGGCGAAAATAGCTTTGATGCCGTCTATGCCATTGAAGCCACCGTCCATGCCCCCAGCTTTGAGGGTGTCTACGGCGAAATCCTCAAAGTTCTCAAGCCAGGAGGAATCGTACGTCCTTTTCGCCCTTTTTTTACAACATGTTATTCATTCTCATCGCCTAGTTTGGTGTGTACGAGTGGGTCATGACGCCCGAGTGGGATCCCAAGAACCCTGTGCACAAACAAATCGCACACGAGATTGAAATCTCGTCTGGCATCCCCGAGATGCGACCGCTGGCCGTCTCTCGTCGTGCATTCGACAATGTCGGCTTTGAAGTGCTCTATGAAGAAGACTTGGCAGAGCGACCGGATCCTATCGCATGGTACTACCCGCTCGAGGGTGACATCTTCAAGGCCCAGACGCTCTATGACTTGTTCATGTGCTGGCGAATCAGCTGGTCGGGCCGTATCATCTCCCACAGCGCCATTTGGTTCATGGAAAAAGTTGGACTCGTCCCCAAGGGTACCGTCGAAGTCACCGAGCAACTCAAGCACGCGCTCAAGGGCATTGTTGATGGTGGAAAGACCAAGGTTCGTTTGTCGCCACCACTACTTTACTCTCGATTGACACCCGCCGTAGCTCTTCACACCAATGTACCTCGTTGTCGCCCGAAAGCCGCAGTAGACGGTTCACACCCTTACTTTATCATTCATAGACAGGATCCTTCGGTCGTTTCTCCATACTTGACACTGTTACCTACTTTGCTTAATACCATGGGCCCTGCTGTGGTCATGTAATTTTTGCATACGCTTGCTATGAGTCTGAGGATCATGGGCCACTCCATATTATCCTTTCTCTGTCTCGGCAGGATGTGCTCACTCTAGAACGGTAAGGCTGGTCCAAGCTTAGTGTGCGCGTTTATTGCCAAGTTATAAGGTGATAAAAGTCATGGTCCATGTATGGTTTGCATACAAGGGTCTATCTCAGAATATTGGCACCTCAGACCGCAGACCCAGGTACGACCGAAAGAGGTCCCTCTCGAACGCTCCGCTACAGAAACATCAGCGAAATGAATCTTCATCACGGGAGTACCCACCCCTTCCATCCACTGGAAACGAGCCTTGAGCTTGGTTCCACCAAAGGAAATAAGTACTTTGTAGTCGAGACACCAGTACCTTGTGCCGTTGGGCCCCGCCCTTTGTCGTAGACTTGGAAGCAATGGCGTCAAGTCTCCTTCGACTCGACACAAGAGTTTCATCTTGGGCAGCAATGCGCCTACCAGGCTCTCAGCTGACTGCCATAGATTCTAGAGTATGCTTACCTTGGGGATCTGTAACCCATTGTGTCGGATTATCCCCACTCCATGCCAGAATGGGAAGACTGAACTGCGAGAGTGTAGTGGGTCTGTCGGCGTAATGATTTCGGCACTCATACACCTTGTGAAAGTCCGAGTTCATAACAAAATCCTGAAGAGCTCACAATAGACAGGAGAACCGAATAGCATTTCATACCTTGGTTATCCACACCTCGAATCGGCCGGGGATTCGTTGGCATCCACTGAGATGCATTAATATGGACTCAGATGTTCAGCGATCACTTACTCTGCATCGATGTACATCAGCCCTCTACGAGCAATGTGACCTTTGTCACGTTGGTCGTACATTGGGCATACGTCGATCCCAATATTCACACGTGCCGCACGTCCAATTACGAGTTGCTTTGTGTACCATATGGCCGCACCTTCTCTACTTGCTGTCAGTGACCACCTCAGAGCAACAAGGACACTTACGCTGCTGCTTTCTTGCTGGGAGGATGGGATTTAGCATTGTAACCCTGCCGTTTCAAGAACTCACGTTGGCTCCTCGACTGTGACGATTTCCGTGCCTTGTCTCCCGAAGACGTCACCCAACCGCTTGCGCAGGTAAGGTGATTCGCCAAAGCCTCCGACTAGGATAAGATGCTAGGTATCCATCATGAGGTGGCCATGGTACCAGCAATGATTATCTAACCTGGATTTTGTGACCACGGAGAAGCTTCAAGCAGCTGTTCACGGTTCGAACAATGGCTGAATCAAATGTGGAGGCCATCTCTTCACGACTGAGGCTAATCCTTCCATTCAGAATACCGTAGGGCCGATCAGTCTGTGTTCTTCCACCAAATTGAATAGTATTGACATTTTGAGTCCCATCGAAAAGCCTCTTTGTCTGGACACCAATCAGACGATGAAAGCGACCTTTGAGTCCTCACCTTTTTCTCAAATACGTCGATCATTTCAAGAATCTGGTCTTTATCTTCATGCGAAGATCCTCGGAGTCTGTTAGCCAACGTCGTGTAGGCCGCGGCGTCGACAAAGACCCCGCCTGCCTGAACACATTCGCTCGCCACGACTTCCTCTAAGATGATGCGTGGATGTGCAGACTTGCATTCGTAAAGAGTACTGTCGATAGTCGAGCCACCACAGTCCGTCTACCCTGCGTCAAGATGGGGACATCTGCATGCGGCACTTACCACGGCGAACATGACACCTTTTCTCAGCCAAGTTTGATTGTTCGATTTTTGTAGAACATAGTGTACGGATGCCTCCGCTTCGCTGATAAACTCGATCCGCAAATCTGCGTCCTTATCCGAGGATACCATGCCGGCCTCTATAGCAGCGCGTTTGAGAAACTCTTGCTGCTGGGTATCCCATCCATTTGGTATCGCCATGACTATCACCATGTCGTGCTGCAAACGCTGCCATATTGCCACTCCGTTTGGCGTCGTCCCAGCGAAGAAGTCTTCGGTGGCTTTAAAGATGTAGGACATAAATGCCACATATACTTGCATTAATGTGACGCCAGATGGAAGCTCTGGGATCCGAATTTGTGCCGTTTCACTACTACCGTATTCTGGTGGCTGGTCGGAGACTTTCATCGAGTCGGGATGGAGATGGAGCTTCAATATTCTGAGCTTCGAAGAAGAATCCAGATAATTGAGTGTACCTTGAACCACTTTGCAATCTCATATGCATCGTCAGCGACATAATCCTGCGCTTCCACTCCGCATACGACAGGTGTTCCATTCTTGTACGCTACGATGGTAGGAATCTAGAGAAAATCAGCCTGAAATATCCTGATATCTCGACTGACCTTAGAATCTCCGCTCCCACTGGGTTGACCAGGCCACCGAGTGACCTATAGTTGCCAGCATCAGCTGTTGTGCTATGCTATTATAGATGGCACACCATTCTAACTGTGGGTATGCTTCCGTTATAGGCATGCATAAAGGACACGGCGCCTGGAAACCTGAGGAGTTCGGCGTGAGAGCAACTCTTGGGACTTACTCTGAGTAGACCCAATATCAAACGCCACTATAAGCTTTTCCTGCCCCCTATATGGGGTATTGAAGCCTGAATCGGCCATGTAGCGTCGTGGAGTGTGTCCAGAATCAACCTCCGTTCGTGCTGGTTGCGATCAACCAGCATTGCAGTATGGATTAAATAAATCCTGACGTTGCATTTTATTGATTCTCTGTCAATTTTATTTATCATGGCTGACCTTTTTACCTCCTTTCTGACCAACAATATTATGGTCAGCAACGGATTTGGTTACCGTCACGCACGCCCCTCGAAAACCTTATATTCTGTGAAATCTACACCATAGATCTGCCACGGTTCTACTGATGACAGTTAATCAATACGTTGAACTGGGAACAACTCGCACGGGACCGCTGCAGGTCACACCCTGCATATTCTGTCAGAATTTGACCATACATTGATACTACTTACATTCTGTTCCCATTGCGTTCTCGCAAAAAGCCTGGTACCACCAAATTTGAGAGCGATGTGAAAAGTAACCTCCCAATAATTGTGTCCGTCCTTTCCATTAATTATTCGCAGATATGGAAGTAATGGGGACAAATCTGCTTCTATTGTGCAAATCTTTCGTAGCTTTGCCAATGAATCGCCTGTTCTCAAATAAATAATCAAATCAGAGATTCGACAAAGCGTACCGTGTTCATCTCTGGACCACTGCGTAGTGCCATCTCCCCCCCAGGCGTATAGGTGCGCGCTAAATGTATCTAAAGCTATCGGTTTCGCTTCGTAACGGCACGAGAATTGAGATCTAATCTCTTGCTCCTGTTTGAGGACGGTATCCTGTTGTCAACTAAGTAAGCCGTGGGTCTAACACATATTAGACAACCAATACCTTATAGACAAGTGTGTGAAATGCTCCACGCAGCATAAGTGTCCCTCTAGGAGGCTATGAACCTCTCATAGTGATTGAAAATGTTGTCACAGACCTCGCATCTAGATACGCGTCACCTCGTCGGGCCCGGTGTTGGGGGTCTTTGACCGTATACTCGATGCTTCCTTTTACGCCAATGGAGAACCGAACTGCTCGTGCGGCCACAGATTGTTTAAGGAACCATATTACAGCGCCTTCTCTAAATAAGATGTCAAGGAATGTGACAGGGGTAGATATGGTACTGACGCCGCCGCTTTTTTGCTAGTCACTATGATTAGCCAATTTCATGAAGCACGTTTATAATGCTCACGACGAATCTTCCACAGTCACAACCTCCGTCTTGGATCTTCCAAACGCGACTTTGAGATAGTCTTGTAGATATGGTGATTCCCCAAATCCTCCGACGAGAAGAAGATGCTGGTTCCTGATAAGCATCATGGAGAAGATACGGTCTAGTAAGATACCTGAACTTTGCGACCCCTTAGGAGCTTTAAACAGCTTCCTTCGACTTGAGCAATGACCCCATTGAATATCGAACAGACTTCGGATCGATTGAGTGTTATTTTGCCTCTAAGGATGCCGAATTCCCGATCATTGTCATTTCGCCCACCAAAATCGATGACATTAGACTCTTTGACGCCATCAAATAGTCTCTTGGTCTGCTTGATGTCAGTAGTAACCAACTTTCCTTCAAGAATTACCTTTCTTTCAAAAGCCCGTTCCATGTCGCCGAGATAATCGCTTTCTCCATACTTTGAGTTTCTGAGTTTACTTTCCAACATAGCCCTTGCAGCTCGGTCGACAAAAGCACCACCGGCCTGGCAGTTTGTTAGCCACATGAGTTTCACAGAGAATAATCTCACCTGGACGCATTCGCTAGCACATACTTCTTCAAGTATCAACCTAGGAGTGGTCGCCTTGCACTCATAAAGATTGCTGTCTATGGTACTACCGCCACAATCGCAAACACAGAACATGGTGCCTTTCTGAAGCCAGGAACTTGCGCGAGTCTTCTGTATAGCGTAATGAACTGACGCTTCACCCTCAGTGACGAGTTCGATTCTCTTTTCTGCATCATCGTCCGACCTGACAAGGCCAGCGTCAAGAGCAGCAGTCTTGAGGAATTCGTGCTGCACTGTATCCCATCCGTTTGGAATCGCAAAGATGAGAACCATACTATCCTGGAGCCGGTCCCAGATCCCGGCACCATTAGGTGTTGTGTTTTCGAAATACGCCCGAGATGAGTTGTAGAGGTACCTCATAAAGCTACTATAGACCCCCTTAAGGGTTACACCAGTAGGAAGCGGTGGAATCTCGGTGAGATCTGCGTGATTTGGGTGCCTGCTGTAGGCCGGAGGAGCGTCCTCAAGCCTCATAGACTGGGGATGGAGGTGAAGCTTGTGACGACTCAGTATATGTTAACTGATACGTTTCATCTCGAACCTTGAACCACTTTGCGATTGTGTACTCTTCATCGCCTAGATACTCCTGGGCCTCTGCTCCAAATGCGATTGGCTCCCCGTTCCGATATGCAACTATCGTTGGTATCTGGGTGCGACGTCATAGTCGTTCGGAATGAGAGGTTCAGAGTACTTTGGAGTCTCCGACGGCCTCTTCTTGACCCGGCCACTTCGCAACCTCGGCGTGGTGTCAACGAGGGCTCACCCCAAGACATATTACGTACCATTTTTACCTCTACCCTTCGCCCAGGATACGCATGTATGAACGAGACCGCTGCTGCTCGACGTTGAGGAAGCCATCAAAGGGGCTATTCGGAACTAACTGTTTGTTGTCCCAATGTCCATCGCTAGAATCAGTCTCTCGACGGAATCGTACGGCTTATCATCATCCAAGGAGGAAGTCATGTTCAAGCAGGTAGAGGGGAGGTCCAAACTACATTCCAGGCTCCTCGTCGGTCGTGTTCAGCGAAAGCACGCGGGTAAGCGAGCATTAGATTTCGAGACAAAATACCATTTAGGAGTGTGATTCATAGCGAAATGGGATAAACGCTACCGCCGGTGCTATTCTGCCTTTGGACCCGGCCTCGTCAATAATTTACTTATGCCTGTGGAAATCTCGGCCCTCGATAAATTATATTGTCAGATGGAAATGGCCTAGTCAGATGCCTCGTGGGCCGACGTCAATTTATATCCTGCTGGTTGGAACCAGCGTTTCAAATACCGGCTTTCACTTCGATCGTACAGTTGGAGTTTGACAAAGCTGCATCGATAAGACTTGGTCCTGTCCTCGACCAAGGTACGACTCTCCCCGACTCAACGATGGCGAGCCTCTTTGATAAGCCATACAACTCGGAAGAACGGCTCATTATCGCCTTGGATATTGGCACCACTCACTGTGAGTGGCCGCAATTCTGCATATTTCTCAGGGTCTGATATAATTGCGAAAATGAAGCTGCTGTTTCATTTGTCCACGCATATCCAGGATCCCAGATTGATATCAGGATGGTATATCTAGTTCAAATGCACATTTCATCTCCAATTTCTCACCTAGGTGACTCGTTGGCCCGGTCAAAGCGAGGCTGCGGGTGATTCTAAGGTTCCATTCTAATGTCTTAACGTCCATTCAACTTATCTTTATTCAGATTCCAACCATGATTGCCTACAAAGGAGGTGAAGCTAAAGCATATGGGATCAACGCAGAGGAGTATATTGCCGACGACGATTATGAGGTTGCTCGATGGTTCAAGGTGATCCATGTTCCTCAGTCAGTCTTCTATTCTGACCACTAGTGCAGCTTCATCTTCATCCTGAATCTATGAAAATCAGCGACCAGTCACCTCATAACACTGATCCATCCTCAGTCTCCCTGCCCACGATTGAGGTTCCACCGCTACCCAACGGCGTTTCTTTAAGTCGAATATACGCTCAATTTATGGCATACCTCTTCAGCTCGACCAAAGCCTTCTTTGAGAACACTACTCCAAATGGAAGGTCCATCTGGTCACGACTGGACAACGACATGGTGATTGTCATAGCCACTCCGAATGGCTGGGACGTATCACAGCATGTCTTTCTAAAGCATGCTGCTATCAAGGCCGGCATCGTGCGCTCTCAGCAAGACGCGGAAGATCGCCTCGAGTTCGTGACAGAGGGCGAGGCCTCGGTGCATTATGCTCTCGCTAAAACTAACATGCGGACATGGATGCGCAAGGGCTCGATATTTTGCGTTTGCGATTGTGGCGGAAGCACGGTAGACAGCACGCTATATGAGTGCAAACAATTACTGCCCAAATTGACACTCGAGGAGGTTTGTGCAAGTGAGTGTGTACAAGTATGTTTCCTTCATTTCTTCCTTGATTCTCATATCGCTGACTACTTCAGGCTGGAGGAGTGTTTGTGGATCGTGCTGCGAGACAAATGCTCACAATCAAGCTGCGCAACTCAAATTATGGCGACGAGGAATCCTTGAATGATATGGAACTCGCTTTTGAGAGAAAGGTACCGTTCGTGTGCTCGCAATATAAACACGGCTCATGGTTACCCAGACGAAGCGATTGTTCGACGGGACCAATGAGTCATATGTTATAGACTTTGGTGGTCGGCAGGATAACGATCGAGAATTCGGAATCCTCAAGGGAAAATTGACGCTCAGCCGAGAGGAAGTCGCCTCGGCTTTCAACGACGTGCTTCGACAAATCACGGATAGCTGTTTACGCCTTCGCAAAGACAGGAAGATTCGTGTAAGTCGGTCATATCTTCCCTAACGTCACCGGCTCATGGTTTAGCATTTACTCCTCGTCGGTGGATTTGGAGAATCGCCGTATCTGCAAACATGCCTACGCGAGACATTTGGTAAGCAAGGCACCGAAGTGGTTACTGTGGAGGACTCTTCGTAAGTGCGATATCCTTGCGTGTTTTCCCTCTTATTTCTGGTCCAACAAGCAAAAAAGCAGCGGCGTAAGTGGGGGTTGTTGACTTTGGTTTTCGATAATGTTTGTAGAGAAGGCGCAGTCATTTGGTACCTCAAACAATTGGTCACGGCTCGAGTGGCACGATATACGATTGGCACGGAATATTCGCCAGACTACGACGCAGACAATCCAGAACACTATGAGCGGAGAGCTGGAGTGTACCTAGATGCTCTGTATGTGCTACTTGAATTCGATCTGTCGCACTTACATGTCCTAGCGGGCTCCTTGCTATTCCGGATGGCTTTCGATCCATTATAGTCAAGGTGAAAGCCGGTACCCCCCGGCAAAATGAAACTCGGCTGACTTCCTGACAGAACTCGCGGATATCGAAGACCAAGGTGGTTGTCACACCTTTCCTGAGGGTCTATGGGTCAAAGCCGGGACCAAAAGAGCTGAAGACAAAACAACCGCTGTTTTTATGGGATGCTGACGAGCTGACGCGATGGACGAGAAACGTCGACGGTAAGCTCCAAGCGGATCCAACTATTCGCAAATCGTCTGACGTTGGCCTTAGGATCGCGACCCGCTGGCCTACGCCGTCTTTGCGAGATTAACGCAGATTTCTCACCGATCCTAGGCCATCTACAGCCAAGGCGATCAAAGGACGGAACAAAAGTCTGGGCCATCGACTTGGAAATCGTGGTCGCTTTTGACGGCAGAAGACTTCGTGCTTGGCTGCGGTGGGAAGAAAACGTAAGCACGTTTTCTCTCTGAGCAATAGCTAAGCATACATAGGGCGCTACTCGAGAGGGTCCAGTCACTATACTTCCTGGCGAGGTACTCAAATAAGCAGTCGAGTTTGCGCCATAAAGAAGGTGGCGTTATCCTGACCATTTGACTCTAGTGTACAGAAGCTATGAGAATCGAGTGTTTATTGGATGTTCATTTTCCCATTAGACACCAGCCCAAGCGCTCCATGGTCCACCTGGCAAGGGACCATCCCATAGGAGACCCTTGCGGGTATCACGCGGACGCTGTGGCCAGGCGTTGATGAGACCGTCCCACAGCTCGAGTTTGGAATAGTAGACGCTCGAATTACCACCACTGCCGCCACTCGAAGGCTGGACGAGGAAGCCTGCACCTTGGGATGCACTCAACCACGGATACACGCGCGTAGTGATCACCGTCTCGTCATTTGCATACACTTCGACGACGGAATTGTCGACGACGATGGTCAAGTTGAGCGACTGGGGTGTATAGGTGGCATTGGCACCACTACCGCCGCTGCGCACGGGCCATAGGCGCAATTTACCAGCTTCCGTCTCGTTTCCGTACGTCTTGATCAACGAGCTATGGTCGCGCTGGATGTAGAGCGTCTCCTGGCGCCAGTCGTAGTAAATGTCCGTGTACTCTTGGTCGCTCGCCAAGACGCGGAATCCAGCTCGCGGTGCTGCGTCGCTTGAGCCGTCGAATTTGAGGTTGGCGTTGATGGCATAGTAACGCGAAGTTGGTTGGACGCGAAAGGGGACATAGCCGTCACTTGCTTTGAGCGAACGCGCTTTGGGCTGGGAGATTGTAGACTTTGCCTTGTACTCTTTGAGCGTCTCGGGTACAATCTTTTGGCCGACCGTGACAACAGAGATGCTTCCGTCGGTCTCGTTCCATACTTTCCAGCTTCCTGGATCGCGGAGTCCAGACGTCGAGGGATCGACATTGCGCGTCACCTTGAGGAAGAGGTCGCGGAAGAGCGTAAATGCACCCTGGTAGCCACGCTGAGCCGTGAGAACGAGATCCTCGTCGTCTTCGTACGTCCAGCCGATGAGGACGGAGCGCTTGTTCTTGACGGGGAAGAAGATGGATGCATAGACGCGTCCCCAGTCGACGACACCGCTAGCATCAATCGTCGAGCTAATGGCATTGCCGTCGTTGCGATATGTGACAGCAGACCCTAGCGAGTTGTCAATCCCCTAGAAATTCGACTCGAGAGATGGAGACTCACAAAGTGGCCAGTGATTCTCGTGGGAGCCATTACGACCTTGTTCGGTGCCCAAACCAACAATATCGAGCGCACGCGAGTCCGAGCCATCGTCGTATGCCATGCCATTTTCGTTGAGACGGGTGATACCCGCCGTCTCAAAGTTTGTGCCAAAGTTGCCACTCCATTCTGAAAAGGCGTTTCTACGCGAAGGTGCAATGATGGGACCGATATACGTCCAGTGGCGGACCTCGCCGGGTGTCGTCTGGCGGTAGAGATAGAGACGAGGACCGCCGTTTGGGTCGGCTTCTTCACGCGTGCCGCCGCTAATGGTGAGAAAGTTTTCGCCTGTTGCTTTGACGGCTGTGACGTTTTTGAGCATCTTGGCGAGAATAGGCGACTCGAATGCATATGGGTCGCGGAATCCAGTGAGATTTTGTTCGGGCCACTTGTCTGTGGGTGGGTTGTTATCAGTCGCAAGTGAGCATACTCGATGGGTACATACAAATGACTGGATTGTCGCCATAACCAAAGTTGAGCTTGGTCCAGGTCGCGCCACCGTCTTTTGTATAGGCAATACTCTGCGTCTCTGCACCTTCTTGTTCGGGGGGTTGGCTGGTTGCACCTAGAGGAGCAGGAAAGACGGAAGTATAGATGGTGGTAGGATAGCCTTTCCATCCCTTTTTGATAATGGAACCATCAAAGACGCCACGAATGTCGTAGATTTGAGACGGATACTGGCGAGGACTGAGTCTGAGTGTTCAAGATTCTTGCTACAACGTACCAGTGTCTTTGGGTCTTGCCAGCTGTTGGCTATTGGGGAGAGTTAGAAGGCAACAAGGGTAAGAGTGTACATACCATCTCGCCAGTAAGTGAGATCGTCGGAGAATGCGGAGCATTGTGAAATGTTTCCCCACTGGTAATGCTGGGCGGCGTCAAGAGCCAGTCTATGAGATGGAAGAGACATACCTGGGGGTGGCATTGGTATCCAGCATGGAAGGATCCATCGTCACGCTGCCAGAGACCTATGAGCGATTAGAGAGTGTGTTTGGTGGTTAAAAGACATGAGATACCCTGTGGGTCGTTCATCCAACCCTCGGGGGCAATGAAGCGTGCCTTTGGACGCCAGACAAAGAAGAGGGTCGAATTGCCGCAAGCGGTGAGATCACCCGGGGGCTTTGACTGGTCCGTATTGCAGGTCCCATTGGTCGCTGTGGGTGCTCGTCTGGCCAAGTCATAGAGTGCCCGTCCAGCATCGCCAATGTAACTGGCCGAAGAGTGGGTAGTGGCGGCTGCAACGACGAGGGTGAGGAGAGGGAGCATGGTGGAGCAAGTCCACTTGACCAGCGACTGTCGACCGTGCGGGGTTATATACCCAGTCCTGTCTTTTCTACCGCGGCTCATTTGCCCGGGATCTTCCCTCACTCGAACTTGTGGATATTTACAACGTTTGTTAATACTATTTTGCTCAGCGCCGATAGTTCTAGTCCTCGTGGTCAATCTACAACAGGGCACCAACGTCGTCATTTCGACGCACTCCAAAAAGTTGCCGTCGGGTTCTGAACCCTGTCTCCCCACGTTTCCCCCCGATTCCCGGTAAATTCATGCGTTTCAGATCGGGAATACCGACGGCAATTAGCTTGGCCTCGGGCCAAATCGGTCTTGCAGAGTGGCAAATCATTGAGCCTAGTGCCACCTTGTCTCGTCCAGTCGGCATCAATACCGGGTTTCCATAGCTGCACCACGGCCCGGCCATGACTAAACGAGCTCTGACTTGGACGGACCTCGAAAAATGGCTACTGTAGACAGATATCCTCCAGACATCCCCCATCCAAGTAAATCATCCATCCCACAGGCTATTCAACCCATCCAGTCCCTACAATCATTACCACTCGAAGAGAATCCATCCATCCCACCTAGCCGACATACTCTCCGAGTCCTCAGCGCATTCTTGGTCTGCTTCACCGCTGGTTGGGGAGATGGAGGTACGTCCTAATTGAGCTTGTTGTACTACACTGACAGTATCCAGTCGTTGGAGTCGTGCTTCCATACATCAACCTGCAATTCAAGCTCTCGTACACCTTGTCCGCCACTCTCTTCGTCGCAGTTTCGTCTGGGTATATACACCACTTTCTTCCTTTCAAAAGCTCCTATGCTTCCAGATATGTCATCACGGCTTTTACCATGGAGCGCACGACAAACTACTTTGGACGCTTCCCACTCGTCTCCCGTCGAAGACTCTTCTTCCCGCTCGTCTTGCCTTGTAAAGATGTCGGGTTTTCTCACACTCAAGGCCGCTCGTTTCTCATGACAATGGCCGCCTTTCTTCACGTCTGCTTCCTCCTCACCGCCGCCTCCTCCAAGACATTTCCAGGCGTACTCGCCGCCTTTTTCATGAACGGATTCGCCAAGGGAAACATGGTCTGTAAGTCTCATCACTCATTGTATCCATCCAATTCTGACATTGTCCAGCAACCCTGTACGCCTAGTGATCCCAAGCTACCTGATACTGACAAACCCCCAGGAATGCGTACATGGTTGCGAACCCACACACGTTTGGTCTCGGACACATGCACGCCTGCTTTTGCCTCGGAGCCCTCGTCTCACCCCTCGTCGCTCAGACCGTGCTCGCCCACGGTTGGCATTGGCAACAATTCTACTACGCCTCTATCGCTCTCTCCAGTCTCAACCTGTTCCTCGTGACGTTTGCGTTTCACTGTGCGTCCATCGAGTTTGCGCGCGATCGGGAGAGTGCGCTTAGAGCACTCGGAGGTGGACTCCGGGTGGTGCGAAGAGGCGAAGAGGCCGTTGTTGTCGACACAACTCTACGCGTTGAAGAGGTTCAAGCGTCGCGGCACAACTTGCCTAGGAATAGTGAGTTTGTCCAGGATGCTGATTGCTGGCTGACCTCGACAGTGTTCATGACCGCTCTGAGGACACCTGCCGTGCTTGCTTTTGGATTCTTCGTGTCCATGTACACGGGGAGGTGAGCATTTCATCAACTTTGAATGTCAACTAACTCTTCCCAGTGAGGGCGTGACAAGCGGTTATGTATGTCAATCCCCATCCAATCCACCATTACTCAATGTTTCAGATTGTTACCTACCTTCTCAAGACGCGAGCCGCAGACCCATCTCGAGTCGGATATGCCAACAGCGGTACGCCACAAACCATTACCATTCTTCTCTAATTCCCCTCAGCCCTTTGGGCTGGTGCTGCGATTGGACGACTCTTGTTGGGGTATGGAGCGCCGTAGTGGGTACAGATTATCTCCCTATCTCCCCACTTACCACACACACAGTATGGGACGCCTCAAACCGTACTGGATCTTTGCATTCCTGTACGTGCTTCACCCTACGGACACACTCATCTGACAGACTCGCATAGTCTCCTCGCCATTTCTTTCCACATCTCCATCTGGCTCGTTCCCTCGTGGACAATAGGATGGGGTCTCACGGCACTCGTTGGTCTCTGCATGGGACCCGTCTTCCCGCTCACTCTAGAAATCGCCTCGCGCTTCGTCTCGCCGGCTATCACAAGTTCGGCCCTCGCGATCATGTACGTTGAGCCATTCACTCTAGCTCAAGCTGCGTTCGCTTATATGCGATGGCTATTGTAGGTCATCCATGGGGAATCTCGGAGGCGCGTTTTATCCCTTTTTGACTGGCTTGTTGTCCAATGCCAAGGGAGAAAAGGTCATTGAGCCCCTCATCGTCTCGCTCATGTCCACCATGTTCTGCTTTTGGGGAGCGACAAAGGTGCATTTCAAGTTGCAGTAGGACAAGTTCGGACAAACAAGGCATAGGCATTAATGTTGTAGGTGAATAGACCCATACTCCTGTTATCACAACGGTACGGCAATGCGTTGACGCGCAAACGCCTTACGGAGAGCTTTCAATTTAGCTTTGCCATCCTTCTCGGACGGAGTCTTAGCTGGGACTATTTTGACTGGCCCATATTGCGTCTTTCCGTCCTAGAATTCATCAAGGTTTGATGCAACAGACTCTACAGACGTACTTTGTCTGTCCACTTCAGACGAGCACGGAGCCGTGTCCCGGTGAATGTAAGCACGAGGTCGTAATCCAATCTCCAGTAGGAAACATCGCCGACTCCCTTGCACAGCTCTGGTACCATATCTGCGCAACTTGCTTCGAGGGTGCATAATCTACTAGCCTGTGAGTACAATACTCCTAAGATGGTGTCAGTTCCGGCGCCCCAATAATTAAGGCCAACCTTGTTCGTTGGTTAACCAACGACTGCCAGGGTCTCCAGCCCAGGAATATAGGGGAGAGATAAGAGTGGATGTTGAAAGCGGGGGGGCATCCCAACCCTGACGCTGAGGCTCCACCATTTCGTCTCCTTGAGCTAAGGTGGCACCCTAATGTCAGATTATTGCATAATTAGTCGGTTTATACATTCTTTATGTCCTTGCTTACCTTTTTTATTAAAGTATGTATGCCCCGTGAAGTCTAGTATTTCCACTGTGGCACCGCCGTGAGTTTCAGCGCTGGAAAACTCTAGCTACTCACTCGGCAGATACAAAGGCCAACTGGCGTCTTGCCCAGTGGTCTTCCTTTGCCGGTGTGAAAGATTTCATGATGACGGAGGCGATGGTATAACGAGCTGTATGGGCAGTAACGTACTGTTTGATGAACCACACTGTTGCACCCTCGCTTTATCTGTGTCAATTTAAATTCAGACTATACTAGGAGACGTATTACGCTGCAGCCTTCTTCCTGCGGGGAATAAGTAGCAGTTGATGATTCAAGTAGTACTCACGCAGGTTGCTCGATACTGTAGACCTCGACATCTAGAGAATTGAGCGCTTCCTTGCCGCCGTCGAAGATACGGGGATTCGCCAAACCCGCCAACCAGCAATAAATGCTGGTGCTCGAGTCAGAAGTAATATGGCTAAGTGGGTCTGTCTTACTTACATAGACCTTTCTGTTTTGAGAAGGGTTTTGCAGCTGTTCAGCACCTTTTCAATAGGGAATGAAAAGGTGCTTGCGACCTCGCTTTTTCCGAGGGTAAGTCTACCCTGGATAATTCCAAAATCGCGGTCGTTGTCTCTACGTGACCCAAATGTGATTATATTCGACTCTTGCTGTCCATCAAACAGCCTCTTTGTCTATATTGAATAGTCACTGGCTGCTTTCAATCATCCAGATGGATGGGACACACCCTTTGCTCAAAAGCATCAAGCATATCCGCGATAATATCGTCACCACCGTATTTGGAATTTGCCAGCTTGGACTTTAGCATCCCCTGAGCCGCTCCATCTACGTACACCCCGCCAGCCTGCGGGATGTCAGTAAACGACAATTAGTTCTGGTCGGTAACCTACCTGGACACATTCACTGATAGCGACCTCCTCGAGCTCCAGTTTGGGCTCTGTAGCTTTGCATCGGTAAATGGTGCTGTCAATCGTCGACCCTCCACAGTCAACAACAGCGAATTCGGTGCCTGGATGAATCCACGTTGCATGATTCGTCTCATGTAGAACATAGTGTACCGCTGCTTCGGATTCAGTAACGAATTCGATGCGCTGTTCCACATCGTCGCTGTTCTGGAATAATCCGGCGTCCACGGCGACTTCTTTGAGGAATTCGTGTTGTATTGTATCCCATCCGTTTGGAATCGCAAATACGACTGCAGCACTGCTGATAAGCCGCGACCAAATCTCCTTTCCATTCGGCGTACTGTCTTCGAAATGCAAGCGAGTCGCCTCGAAGACATAGTTGATAAATTCGACGTAAACCGACTTCAAAGAGACGCCGCGAGGGAGAGGCGGTATCTCAAGCTCGTTGGTCGAAGCGTTGTAGGGAGGTGGTTGATCATCGAGCTTTGCTATCTCGTCTGGGTGTAGATGCAGCTTGAGTGACGTTAGAATGCACTTGTGAGGCGAGTTGAGACATACTTTGAACCATTTGGCGATTTCATAGTCCTTATCCCCAATATATTCCCGGGCCTCGGCACCGAAAGCGATTGGTTTCCCTTTTTTGTATGCAGAAATGGTTGGAACCTTTCTCATGTCAGTTTATCAAAGTTCGTCTGAGGTTCTCACCTTGGAGTCCCCACTCGCCTCTGGTTGGCCCGGCCATCTTGTGACCTACGACGACATCAGATAAAGAGCTTATGTTGGTCTAATTCTGTGCTTGCCATTTTGATGTCGATCTTACTCCCAGGATAGGCATGTGTAAAGGACACCGCCGCTGAGATTGCTCAGTATACGGGCATCTCCTTTGAATGATACTGCATACTGTGTGTACATCCTATGTCCAACGAGATAATGAGCTTCTCCTCGCCGCTGTAACGCTTGTCGCTCGAGTTAGACATTGTCGCAGGCTTGGATAGTTAGTTGCCACTTGATCGCCTTTATATTGTCAGCGATATCATGAACCTTGATGGAAACACAAGGCAGATGGCTGGTCGATTATCAGGTTCAGAGAGAGACTGGCATGATCACGCTGGCCGTGATTGAGCAAAGCATATGCTGTTTTCTCTCCCTTTTCCTGTATTTTTGCAGCAAGACCTACAATACCGTCGGAAACACCGGCACATGTGGGGTTCCAGGTTGGCTAACGACCGAATGATGAAGCGTTCACAGCGACCCTTGAGAAGGCAAATTAAGCCTTCTGGGCCGCGTTAACACCGACTAAATTGTTTCTGATGGGCGATATGAGCGAAGCCGCCAACAATTTCACAAACATTTTCGGAGTAGCAATCCTTGGACTCTGCCTTCTCATTCTATGAAAACCGGGTCATTCCCTTTTCCTTCCTTTTGGGCGCTGTGGACGTTTATTTCCATCCTCGACTGTTCACACGCGGCAGTCTCCTGGACGGTCAAGCCATTCAGCCCTCCAGCGTATCCTTTGGCCGTACGGACTCCATATCTCTCCTGCTGGCTACCTCAAAACAATGGAACCGCGCTCAACCAAGCGTGGCCAACATTTTGGACAGGCACCGTACGCATCGTAGTCTTGGCAGAACGTAACAAGTGTTGATATAGTATGCATTAGATTCTTGGCTGGGCTGGATATGTGCGGGTAGATGGCTCTGTATACCTCTTTCTGGGTCATCCAGACGTCCAAGGCGCACAGCTTGCTACGCAGAAAAGTGCGACCGTAGGTGATATAATAATTCGTCAAATTATGGCACTGATGCCGTCATAGTTCACTTCTACTCAGAGTACCTTTGTGCTTTCAGCCGGCGGTATCGACCTGACCGCCAATTTTCTGAGTCCTGTCGAGGTGAGAATCTATTACGTCGAGGGGCCATAGCTAATTAGCATTCTAGCCCGAAGATCTCACCAAACAGTCGCTTCCCTTCTCCTACCTCGCCCTTACCGCAGCTTCCAATGATGGAAACTCTCATTCCGTTCAGGTGTACACTGATATTAGTGCTGAATGGGTAACGGGAGACAATTCCAAGACTGCGACTTGGTCCACCACAACTGGAGATAGTATCATCACCCATCAAATCAGCTTGCAAAACCCGCAAGTGTACGGCGAAGCCTCTGACCATACCGAATGTACGCTCACGGCTCGCTCACCAGCCAGGTGCTGACGCTACTCAGATGGCTCTGCCTATTACTCTCTCGCATCGGTAAGATTTCTTGAGAGACCCCTTGTGAGAAGATTAAATGTCAGCAGACAGAGAAGGTGACCTATCAGAGTGGTGCCGATACCACTCTTCGTGCACGGTTTATCGCAAACGGTACACTGCAAAACACTCTTGATAACAACTTTCGCGCCGTCAACGACCAGTGGCCTGTTTTCGCCTTTGCACAAGATGTTGGCACTGTTGGACCCTCGGCAAGCGACCCTGTCGTATTCAGTGTCGGACACGTTCGTGATCCTGCGATACAGTATACGGTCCGCGGTGCACTTCAAGACAGAAGTCTATACTTCTGGACGCAATATAGCTCGGTAGCAGAGGCCGTGAGTGCTGGATCCGAGAGAGCAGTTGCGTTCTAACGACCTCAGATCAACGCGTTTCATACCGACTACAGTGATGCGTTGGCCCGTGCCAAGTCGCTAGATACCAAATTCTCGTCAGATGCCGCAGAGATTTCCGATGCTTATGATGGTGTCGTATCGCTCTCGTTGAGGCAGGCATTTGCAGCGATGGAGCTCACCGTTTCGAAGAACTCGGACGGATCGTTGAACCATAGCGACATTCTACTATTCCAGAAAGGTGTGTGCTTTGTATATGCCAGGTACAGTCTATTGAACAGGCGTAGAGATATCCAGTAGTGGGGTTAGGCCTTGTTTATGATATACGAATATCGCTGAATGATTCCAGAACGTCAACACAGTGGACGTCGTGTTCCCCATGGCCACTCTTCCTCTATCTCAATCCATCGCTTAGCAAGTATATCCTACTTCCCTATTTCCAGTACCAAAGCACCGGGCTATATCCCAACGCATGGGCTGTCCACGATATGGGTATGGCTTTGGAGTCGACAATACATTGATCTAAGCTTACTCAGGTGCTTCGTACCCCAAGGCTATTGGACATAACGATGGGAAGGATGAACCCATGCCACTGGAAGGTGAGGGACCTTCCGAAGCCTGAGTTATAGTCTCATCAAGTCGCATAGAGTGCGGCAATATGCTGATCATGACCTTGAGCCATTATCAACGGACAGGGGATATATCGTTGATATCTACCTACGTTGGGTGCCTTTTCCTTCGTTTACGCATGGCTCATCTGAGAGCAGTACAAACTATTGGATCAATGGACACAGTATCTCATCGAAGAGGCGCTTATTCCAGCTTCCCAGATTAGTACGGATGACTTTGCTGGCCCTCTGGTGAACCAAACAAATCTTGCCATCAAAGGAATTGTAGCCATTCGAGCCATGGCAGACATTGAGTGTCTCATGGGAAATCAAGCACAGAGCGAAAACTATACGGTGAGCGATAAACAGCCGGTTGAGTATATCTGAGTGATTTACATAGGCTATTGCGGAGCACTACGTCTCGAAATGGCAAATTCTTGCCCTCTCGACTGACCAGCAACACCTTACGCTTTCTGTATGCTGTGCATCATAATCTACCTCGAGTATTGATTCAACTTCTTGCAGTATGGAAACTCGAGTAGTTGGGGACAGGTGTACAACCTCTTTGCCGACCGGCTCTTAGGCTTCAACCTGTTTCCAGAGTCTATCTATGACCTTCAAGACGCCTGGTATCCCCGAGTCTTGGGTACGGTCTCCAACCCTTTTCTAATGGTGATGCTGACTGCAACCAGAAACATACGGCATTCCTCTTGACACCAGGCATAAGTATACCAAAACAGGCGCGCATATGTTATGATATTGTCTTCCTTGCTGACCAAAGGTAGATTGGTCAATTTGGATGGCAGCCATTGCCAAATCTAGGGCCACCAGGGATATTTTCATTGGATCCATTTATAACTATGTCTCCAATGAGAGAAACTCTGTGCCCTTCTCAGATTGGTACGACACGGACACGGGCGTTGTGTCTGGCTTCCGAGCAAGATCCGTAGTTGGTGGTCATTTTGCGCTGATGAAGGGTGTTCTTCCCAGAAATTCGACTACAATAGGGACGTGCACTGCTAGAGGTGGCACTTCGAGTCTTGAGTCCACAGCGTACATTTCATCGTCCCTAGTCAGTGCTCTACTCGGCATATTTTTCCTATCTATTGCTGTTGTAGTATTGTAATGTCAATATCTCGTGGTCAAAACACCTGGCCACCCAAGGCTGAACCTGCCCTCGTCCGAGCCTTTTCTTAGGCGCTCACGATCGAACCATTTGATCATTAAACTCTCAAAGAATATCCTAAAATTCAATTGCACTTGGACTATGTACACCTCTGGCCAAGCCGTCGTCCACCCTCGGCTCTCGGTGCTCTCTACGAGCTCGCTGCCATCTGAACACTCATCTCTCGGAACGGCTTCTTCTACTACTCGATTCTCCCTCCCTCCTTCCGGTAGCAGCACCCCAGTACCGATGCCTACATCGGCGAGCACATTAAGCTTGTCAAAGACGCCGATGACAGGTCAGTAAACGTCACTAACCAGCCTTATGTGCATATTTTTGGGTGAAGTAAAAATCTTACATATTGATAAAGCTGTCAATCTCGTCCGACCAAACATCTACGATCGTCCACTAAACAAGACACGAACAAGCGAAGTATCTCTCGCTGCGTTCACTTTTCTCTTCTCAGAGATGATTCAATACACACAAAAGAGAGTGAATGGAGTCGCAGATTTCGAGCGCAAGTCAGTTAAACTTACCCATCCTCAGTGAATTTACATTTAGTACTAACCTAGTGACACAGGCTAAATACACTGGGGTATAGAATGGGTCTTAAAATGCTCGAGCTTCATGCATGGAGGACAGAGGGAACCTCAAAGGCACCGAAACGGGAAACTAGGTTTCTCACAGTGCTTTCGACGATTGGAAACGTCATGTGGAAAGCCTTCTTTGGTCGTGCGATGGACGCTATCCAAAAGAGCGTCACCAAGGACGACGAATGTGCGTCTTATTCCATCTAATGGCTTTGAAGCTGAACTTCTCTAGTCATGTTGATCGAGAATGATCCAGCTATTACTAAATTCATCTCAATCTCAAAGGACATGGGGAGTTTGAGTTGCTCAGCACTGACCGCAGGTGTAGTAGAAGCCATACTCGACGGCCTAGGCTTCGTTAGTTTCTTCCAGATATTCAGGAACGCAATTCTCTGACGTGTCTTAATAGCCAGCGCGGGTGACAGCTCATAATGTGCCGACGGAGGCGAACCCGAATTGCACGACGATCCTCATCAAACTTGACCGTAGTGTGCTAGATCGTGAAGAGGCTCTCAAATAGAAGATGGTGTAAAGGCCCATAATTGTCGTGAACGTGAACTTGGTATTCGTTTCTACCCTTGATCTCCGTCGCCGCATCTCTAGAGGTTGCGTTTATGTCTGGGATACCTCGCTTGACAATAGATCCTCCTCTACTCAACAGTTCTTGTCCATGGGCTTCAAGTCGTGAAGACTTGCAAGCGCTGTGAGTGGATGATTTCCCCTCGAGGCCCAGACGCATATCAGCGTTCTCTCTTAACATTTGAATCCAGTATATTTGACTTATCAGAGCTCAAATAGGTATGAATCGGCCTTCACAGGTGCCGTCACAACACGGACGGCCACCCTCAATGGGTTCGAGGAAGACGAGAGGCTCCATACTGTACGGACGTACCTCAAGGGTATATTGGTACTCACCTAAGGTACTCTAGGTGGCATTTAGTGAGGATAAGACCACTTCTATCAATTCGTACGGATATAGCCCTCACCCTCTCTCCGCCTGTGAGTATCAACTCATCCTTTAATAGCCGAACTTATGATCCAGATATCTCTTGGGTGCGAGACGTTATCACTTCGGGTCCAGTCCCTCCAAGGAAGCCGTTTATTGTCAGCATTACCTCTTCGAGCCCTCAAGAACTTTCAGAGATGCTTGATATGGTCATGGACCTGCGGAAATCCCTCGCGTCCCAATCTGGATTCCAATTACCAAATGGAGGCAACCTAATTGCCGTCGAGCTCAACACATCTTGTCCAAATATCCCCGACAAGCCACCACCAGCATATACGCCACGAGAAGGCTTGAAACCATTGCTAGAAGTCATGGCAAACACTGCCCGAGAGGACCCCACGGCTACATTTGGCCTCAAACTCGCGCCATTCGTCTACAGGAAGCAACAACAAGACTTGGTGGATGTCATTAGCGAATTTACGACGTTTGGGAGAAATCCATTTAGCTTCTTCACTTGCACAAATACGTTGGGTTCATGCGTCATGGTACAGGATAACGCACCGAATGGTGAGTCTGTTGCGTTGCCCACCAAGTACGGTGGTCTAGCTGGTGAACCGCTTCACTATCTGGCTCTCGGGTACGAACTTGGTCAAGATTTGTTATCGTTTGTCTTACTCGTCTTAGAAACGTGATGGCTTTTTCTGAATTGCTCGCAAGTCACCCTGATCCAGCAATGAAGGAAATAGGGATTATAGGAGTCGGTGGCGTCACCTCGCCTCAGGCTTTTCAACGCATGCGTAAAGCAGGAGCGTCTGCGGTGGCTTGCGCGACGGCCCTCGGTCTAGAAGGTGTTGGAGTCTTCGACCGCCTGTTGCCAAAGTAAAGGGGAACAAGTATAATTCATACCCCCGGGTAATACACATTTTGGTTTATTCTCTACAGGCCCCGAGAAAGAACGTCCAAACTACTAATTTGAGCGCCTTCCACCTTGGAAGTGTTGCTCTTTTCGGGATGAGGGACGATAGATGAGATGATGGTATCGTGATGGAATGATGCGAAGATTTAGAAGGTGTATGCAGCCGGCAAGACCTTATGCCCATCGAGCAGGTTCGGGCGTCGCAGATAATCGGAGGTACTGCTGCATGTCCGCTTCGTCCGAACTGGTGGGAGTGTTGGGCTCTGTCGTGCTACCGGAATAATATGTCAGTCTAACCCTGCCCAAACAGGAAGAGAACGGCGAGAGAAGGGGGAACGGGACGAAAACACGTACCCCCAAAAGTAGAAGCAAAGGGTCATGGCACGCTCCTTGAAATGCCACCTCCTGTTCTCGGGGAGCAGCGCGGGTGGCTTGGTGGCAATTGCAGCCAGCGAGTTGCGGAAACTGGCATTATTCTACATTTGGAAAATTGGATTTCCCCGCACACATGAGTCGAGGCGAGACGCGATGGGAGTTTGATGTAGATCCAGCGAGTCACAAGGTTTGATCCCGTCCGGTTCCCAGCAGCCGGATTTCAACGCGTGGCGCCAATAACCGTTTGCAGAGTTGGTGGTGGCGATAAAAAATCAAGCGATAAGGCAAAAGTGGTTAGGTTCATTTTTCTAGCATTTCAGAGGCGGTGGAAAGCAGCTCCGGACAACGACAGTGGTCTGGGAACTCTGACGTCGTCTGAGCTGGGGAGTAAACAAATAGACGCACCTCGAGCTCTGAGCGAATCACGGATGCCTTTTTGAGTTCGATATCAAGCACAGTTGTGTCCATTTTGATGAGCTCTCGGTGCGTGAGCTTGACACTCTTATGTGCATCCAGCAGCGGGCTGAGGCCAGCCGCCCAGCGCTCAGTATCGCCAACTTTGGCTCTGGTGTGCGAAATCTCGGATGCGTAGGTGTAATCCATAATAATGTGACGATTAGAACGGGCCTGGGATAAAGGTGGTAGAGGCGAAGAGAGAGGGGGAAAGATAGAAAGCTGGATTTGTAGCAGCGAGCGCCGCCTTATAAACCGCCTGCGGATGACCCAAAAAGTCGCACGCAAGGCCCGAATCCTCATTTGTGACAAGATGGCCCCTGGAGAGGTTGCGAAATTCTACCAGATTGACGAATAGATAGTTACAGTCGATGCCTGCACGCGTCAAAGCACTGATAAGCAATTCACGCGCTGGGTTGATCAGATTACCATCTCGGCCACTCCGATCATCTCACTTGGGTTCCAGCGCTATTTCCTTTTCAGCCCAGGGTCAGCTAGAAGTCTGCCCGCCTATCGATCCAAATGCGGCCTCGCGCCTGCCAGTTTTATCCTCAGCGGCAGAATCCCTGAGAGGAAGCTGTTGAGCCTTTACGTACCTCGTACGAGCCTGCTCCCGTGTGGATCGTCCCTTCAGCCCTGGCCTCTTGCATCCGCCAAATTCACAGCACCCGTCCTTCTGACCTCCCCGTCGCATCTTAGGAGCATAATCAATTGTCAACTCTTCATATTTGGCGATGTCTCTGAGAGCTACAAACGCCAAACGATGGCGTTGATCCTACGACAATTCAGCGCGACTCCATAGCAGGTACAAGCTTGGGGACCGTACGTCATCAGCATCAGGGATAGAGTCGTAAATGACACCATAGGCTTTGAGGTTCGGATAACACGAATGGCTGGAACACGATCAGTTCTAGGGTCCCAGCGTGCCGAATGTGAGCGCTACTTGAGGAATCGAGACCAATTCCCTGATCTGTATGAGTCTTCTATCTCGGTAAGCGAGAGGACGATTCACCATATCGACGAGATGTGACCCGCCATCTATTGTTGGGGTCAAACCAATCGAGGTGGTAGGTATAATCATCGTCGGCTGATCTGTATGCGGTGGATCAAGACCCAATCTTCATCAGGGGCCACCTACTGTGACAACTCTCTAGAGTCTCGTTCAACTACGGTAGCATCTCAAGTAAGGAAAACATACCCAGTGAAGACTCCGATCACCTTCCCTCTTGGAACAGCGATTGGTGCTCGCACACCCCAGCCACAATCTACCGTCTTGAATATCTCAAGTGGGACATCCCGAGGCCTTTGTGCCACTCGGTTTGGACATGTCTCGTGGCTGCAACGGCACATCTAATGGATGTATGAGGGGTGGCACCGAGGTTGGAAGGTGGAGACATGCGTGATTACACTCAAACACTGCGAAGTCGAATTGTTCGGGGAATATGTATAGGCCCTGAACAAATGTTTCAGAGTTGTTCCCCCAAATTTTGAAGTAATACATACGTTTCTGTCGTAAGCAAAGCTACGTCGACCGTGGTGCATGATGACGTCTGCGAATTCTGTGCTTTGACAAGCACATTCGTCTGGGCTGATGCATCCATCTTCGCACTCACAGCCTTCGTACAATCCGCTGTGCGAGGTCTCGCCTTCGGGTCTAACAGGTATATGAGCCAGGGCAGCGTCATCGAGAAGGAAACCTACAAGATATAAGAGCTTCTTTCTAGATATGTGAAGGTTGCTGGGTCAATAGAAGAGGGTATCTCTTCGTCATCCACATCATTGACCAAGGAAATTGTAGCAGCTCCCGAGTTTCTTGCTATGCGATTCCAAGCAGTCTCGACTCTCCTGCGTAAACGTAGGCTACACAGGAATAGTATCGTTAGGATATTCACCATGTATCACGCGACTCACGATGCCTCATTTCGCCTTGGCCTTCCCTTTGAACGTCTCGAAGGAGGCCGCGAAGTACCCATAGAATCGGAGTCACTTTCTTCCAGTATGACTTGAAATCGTTTAGCTGGAGGAGCGAATGGAGGTGATTTGGCTCTTCTCTTGACTCCTTGAGCAATCTGGACTGGATCCTCGTCTTCCTCTGACTTCACGGTGGGCCGTCAAGTCGGGTAGCCATTAGTATCATAACACATACATAGCTGCTCAATGATGGGCTCTCCTCGTGCTGCACACCTCGATAGCCCAATGCCGTGGCCTTTACGGATGCGACCTCGCCACGAAGGTCTGCATTTCGGAGAGGTTGAGGAGAGGAATGATCGGCCCAGCTCCATATAACAGTCTCTGATAGTGTAGTGTTGAAACGTGTGCTGAAATATGGCACATTGACGTGGTTCCACCTGTAAAAACGAATACTTACAAGCAGTTTTGGCCGATGGATGCGATTGGAACGCCCATGTCCGCATAGCGCTGAAGGTTTTGCCCTAGCTTCTTCTTTTTTTCCGCTTCCCATGCGCGAGTAACCTGCTCTGACCGCTTTGACAAATCATTGGTATGCACCCAGGTCATGACAGAACCATCTACCGGGCTCTTCCAGTCGACCCATTGCACCTAAAACTCGTAAGCTGGCATCATGAATCCCGAATATCTCCACTTGGTAGCTGGAAGAGGTCAGATGTGATGACCGTCGAAAGGGGAGGACCCACTGTTTGGAAGTCATTGCATCAATCTCTTCGTCAATGATGCATTCAATCTCGTGCGTTTCATCTGTTGGCATATTTGACTGCTCCTCTGTGTTTAAATCGATTCCAAAGAGTTTCCTTCGGATCGCTGCGACTTCCTCGTCGGTACAATCCAGCGAGTTTCCGTTCCAAACATTGTAATGAGGCTCCTGATTAGTTCTAGAACTGCTGCCATCACTACTAAACGTTCCCGGCATCGATGTGGATGAGGAAAGGTCGAATGTTTGCTGAGCTGCAGCAGCTTCGACCCTTCTTCGATGGCCGGCAAGGCAAAAGCAAAGTGAGCAGGACGGAAATGAATTTGACAGCCTTGAGTAATCTCGATGACAGGACTATTATTGTCCATCTTTTCTCGTCGGCCCGGACGGGCTACTTTTACACGACAACGCGCGCACGAGCGAGTGCAAAGCTCACCCAGGTCAAATATGATCCTAAAGGTACGTCTCCTTGCTGAATTACAACGGACGGATAGTCTCTGAAAACTACCATAGTCAAGCAACATGTCCTATTCGTCGAGAAGAAATCCAGGGCAAAGTGACCAGCTTATTCTCATGATCCCCAACAAGCGGTTGTATACCTGAAGTCTATTATACCAGGTCTGGATAATTGACATATTTGTTTGAACGATTAGTCTGTTTTGAGACACGGTACATGAAATATGTGTCCTCTCTCCCTTTTCAAATATATCGTATACGTGATTGCTCCACAAGAAACGGTAACAAAAGATATGATGGCTGCCCAAGGGAACTGAACTGGACGCGACAAGATCATCGCCAAAATGTATCTGCATTCCCATCAGATTATCGATATCTGTTAGGACCAGGAACCATACTTTAACAAGTCGGCCATATTGGCCATGGAGAATTGCAGGGCAGTCCTACCCCAAGTCAGTGACTAGGACTAGAGTTGCAATTCTCTTACAGTGTATTCCGCCGTGGATGATTTACCAACGCTTCTTGCAGTTGCTTGAGCTGAATGAGGTCGAATGACCATAGACCGACCCTCGAGGCAGCCATTCCTATGCATATTAGATAGTCTGATGGGTGGCTATGAATCCTCACCTCCAAAGATCAGAGCACTACTCACGCTGGGCAAGGTTTTCTCATTTTTGCGGAGTTGCTGCGCGAATGCAAAGGTTACAGGAACGAGGCAGATGGCTTCTGACCTGAACTTTTGTCAGGAGGATGCGGGCCTTTGAGACATCACGATACCATATACTCCAACTCCCAGCGCGAGCCGAACCCAATCGAGTTTCCAATGCAGGCGCCACCAACGTGCCTAGGAGACCGGTGATGACTCCGAGGCTTCTCATCGCTGCTAGAAAGGAATCTTCAAACTTTTTAGTTTTCAGGTAGCCTAACATATTGCCATCGAAACTGCTCGGGAATGGGTAAGTTTCCGTCAAAGTCGAGAGAGGAACGCACGAGAGAACGGTGATATAAAGCAGTGAGAGGGCGACTGAGGAGAGAAAGACGGGTAATTGAATAAATTCCGACCAGTCGTTGAGTTGGTTGGCCAGAGCAGATTTCCATCCCCTTGGTTCCTCCAAAGGTGATTCCGACGCTCTTTGTTCTGCATGCAACCTCGGAAAGGAGCTATAGACCACATCGATCCAATAGAGTTCGAACCCCATAGTGAGGAGGGATACGGCAAACATCAAGAGACTTGTTGTGCGATAGGAGAGCAGTGTAGTGAATATGGAAACAACGAGTGGAGCGGTCAGATTGCAAAAGAGGTCGACACGACGAAGGGAGACGTTGAGGCGGGAGAGCGCACGGTCAGAGCCGTGGGCGATACAGGTGACCCAGTCCCGTTCGACTGCTATTTGGATGCATATTGTCGACACGCGTAATGCACATCCACAGAGAACAATGGCAGAATAGTTGAGAAGATTGTACTCGTCTTGCAGGCTGGGTGGTTGCTGGGGCGTTGAGAGTAGAAGAGCAAATGCTGCATACGCGATTGCTGCCGATGTTTTCTGAATGAATATGCAAGTTCTTACCAGCGAAAGCTTTGGGTGGCTGTCGACCAATGTGCCGACCCAGCGAGAGAGCAAGATTCCACTGACTATAGATACAAGATTTAGTGTCCCCTTTGTTTGTATGGGCGCTTACGAGTCGCAGAGAATCCGAATATGGCAGAGGGAAGAAGAGTGGTCTGAAAAATGACGACGAGCAAGAGGTACATTAGATATTCCGACGTTCTGTCGCCACTCGTACTAGAAAACAGTCAGAAAAAGTGAATAGGAGCTACAGTTGGGCTTGCTTTGATGCGTGCTGGATGCAAAGACACCAGAAACCAGAGCCACCGACTTCTACATCGACTTGATCCTCCTCTGGCGGCAATAAAAAGGCATTTTCAGGTGCTGAACTTTCGTTGTGCGGCATTCGACAATCGAGTTGGTGGTCAAAGTCGGGCTACTCTCAAAGATCCGAAAATAGCAATGTTTAATTGCTGTAAAAATATTTAAACAAATATATTCGTTGTGTGATGTGGTTGTCGCAGCCGTTTAATCGCCGACCTCCATACGAGCCCGCCTTCGACCCGACCACGACCAGCATTTTTAGCAGCAGCCAACAGTTCTACTTCCAAAATGCCATTAGGATTCATTCCAAGACCACGGATGCGCATTCCTGGAAAGGGCTTTGTCCGTCGACGATGGAACCGCCGACGGCTGCACACCGACGACCGCCCCCGCGAGCCGTTATACCGTGAGTGTCTCTCAAATTACTGCTCTATGCATTCTCTTTTAACCTTGCACATTGCTCACTGCACAATCCAGGACGGCTCGCAAACGCATGGTACGACACACCGACAAAGTGGTATCCGCTGCACATTGGCGTAGGCTCTTTGCTGCTCGTCTCTCTTCACTGGAGAAAACGACGCCAACAGGCCCTCGAGGATGCAGAGGCCGGCGACGACAATGCCCCTGTGCGGCTCAAAGGCCCATGGCAGGTGAGCAGTGCCGTTTGTTCCGATGCGACGTCAGCCATGCCGACCAACATATGCTAGGTGCATGCACTTGGCATTCTTCCTTTGAGGAGTGCCTCTCGACTGTGGGGCTATCTCAACAGCCTCGAGCTACCTGTCTGGTTCCGGCCGTTTGGGTTTAGCTTCTACGCGTGGATCTTTGGTTGCAATCTCGACGAACTCGACGAACCCGACCTCAAGAAGTACAAATCCCTGGGCGACTTTTTCTATCGCAAACTCCGGCCCGATGCTCGACCCATCGCTCCCTCGTTACTCGTATCACCGGCAGACGGCACAGTCCTTCATTTCGGATCCATTCAGGACCATAGGAGGGTCGAACAAGTCAAAGGCATGACATATTCACTAGACGCCTTGCTAGGAGTCGCTTCAGGGTCGTCCACGCCAACCTCGGAAGAGATTCACTTTGGGAATCGTGACCATGCTCATGTGGACGACACCGAATTTGCCAATGTCAATGGTATTGAATATTCAGTGGACACGTTGTTAGGCCACCCGGCTCAGCGACAGCAAAGTCTACCCACTTCGGAGACCAAGGACGCATCTGTGGAAAAGGATGCTGCTCTTGAAGCGGGTATCAACATGACAGACAATGTCAATGTTGCGCTCGACGCAGGCATCCGACCCCTCCTCCACCGAACACCCTCCCAGTCCGCAGTCAACAAGGTCAAAGATGGCAACGAACTCTTCTTCGCGGTCATCTATCTAGCTCCAGGAGATTATCACCGCTTCCACAGCCCCGCAGCATGGGTAGTCGAGAAGAGGCGACATTTTGCTGGCGAACTATACAGCGTGTCCCCGTATATTGCACGGCGCCTTGCCAATCTCTTCGTGCTCAACGAACGAGTGGCTCTCCTTGGTAGATGGAGGCACGGCTTCTTTAGCATGGTTCCCGTTGGAGCGACTAATGTTGGCTCAATCGTGGTCAATTTCGACAAGGTATGTGCCATCACGAGGCCCAACGAATGACCCTCATACCCTCTCTTAGGATCTTCGCACAAACGAAAGGCAAAAACGACCAGCTCCCGGTGTCTTCCGCGAAGCCGTCTATACGCGCGCATCTCCTCTTCTTGGTGGACAACCCCTCAAACCTGGTGTTGAGGTCGGTGGATTCAAACTTGGAAGCACCATTGTTTTAGTATTCGAGGCTCCGAAAACGTTCCAGTTCTCGCTACAAGCTGGACAAAAGGTACGAGTGGGCCAGGCGATGGGCGATGTCGCCCCACTACCCGCCGCGCATTGAGAGGCAAGTTGTCATCATCTTGGTAACACCGCATCATTATCGAAAACTGTCCAATAAATCCGTCTTTACAGTACTGTCACGCTAAAAGCGTCCTATGAGTTTCGCGCGGTGCGCATCTTTTCCAGCTTATCTATCTTTAGGGCCTTTGCTGCCATCCAGTCCTGTTGCCCTGTCAGCGTGCAACGAGCCACAGGAGAAACTCTGCTCACCAACAGCCAGAGAGGGAGGAGCCACGCCAATGTACTCAGTATCGTCGCTCCTGCTCCTACATACAAATGCCTTGGAGGGGACGGCTTGAGGACAGCGTTGACGAATCTTTTGGCTAGTATCTCTCCAGCCAGACCATCTACGGGTGGTGAGCTTCGAACCAAATCAATACTAATTAGTACGCGTACGATCTTTGGGGCGCTTCCTGGCTGATCTAAAATCCTCTTCGATTGCCAGGTATTGGGAGTTTGGGGGGATCGGAATGGGAGGGTAATCGAAGATGTTCGACTTGACGCCTCCTAGAATGACTGTAACGACTTTGATGCTAGCCAACGGTGAGTATGTGGATTTCATTATCGAATCCTGACATACTTAAACGGGCGTAGTTCTGCACAGAGGTCAGCATTACCCCACAAGAGAGATGGCTAGGCTGACCGACGCGCAGAGTATCGCTGTAAGCATGGACAGCTGCCTTGCTTGAGTTGTACACGCTGCTGAATGCAAAAGGAACAAGAGCAGCAGTGCTACCGACGTTGACGATACATGCTTGCTCGGAGAGAAGAAGCAGCGATATAAACTCTTGTACCATGGACATGAGTCCAAAGACATTTGTCTCAAACATTGCCCTAGCTTGATCCATATTGTGATCCAATGCGGGGACGGTGCCTGCTATTCCCGCATTATTGACGAGAAGATCAAGGCCAGCCTTGCCAACTTGGGCTGCGACCTGGTCGCGCGCCTTGCGAATCGAATCAAGGCTTGTGACGTCTAGAGATAGAAGCGTAATGTTGTCCATGTCCTTGAGGTTACTCATCGAGTCGAGGCGGCGAGAAGTGGCGAAGACATGAAATCCTGAGCAGTAGTGAGTTGGAAATTTCATGTAGTTCGGGTCACGTAATTACCTCTTGAATGAAACTCTCTGCACAGTGCGTTTCCGGCGCTGCCATTTGTGCAGCCGGTGATGAGAACGGTGCGTCGTTTGTGAGACATGACCAGAAAGGGGGAGAGCCTTTGATATCAGAAACGTCGTTAGAGCGTATACTTATATAATTTCACATCTCAATTGGACCAGCATGTCATGCCTGGGACGTCTCAGATCGTTGAGCAAATTTTGCCAGTGACGCTCTCTGGGCACTGAGATACAGTGCCGATGACACATTAATTACCAATAAATCATTTGATTGAGTAAAGGCCGATCAGTTCGGAGAAAATACTCGAATCGATGAGCAAATTTCGTCGACGCTCAGTCACAACGCACAGACCATTCGCTCCGCGTTTTACCCACGAAAATATCTTCGAGAGCATTCAATAGAGCGCGACTCACTGGACCATATCCACCTGGATGGACTGGGAAGCAAATGTCCGAGTGTCGATACCCAATCCGACCGATTGGGCAAACAACAGCGGCAGTCCCGGCTCCGAACACTTCAATGATAGCGTTATCTTTGTTACGTCCCAAAACCTCTTCGATGGTGACGACGCGCTCGACGGGATGCACGCGAGTATTGGCTGGGATGCCAGGCAGGCACGCATACAAGGGATCTTCAGGAGGCAAATTGTGAAATCTTGCCAGGTCTAAACATGACTGGCGTGTTACTCCTGGAAGGACAGTCCCATCAAGAGGCGGGGTGACGAGGTCAAGATCTAGAACCGGAATCGTCAGTGAATAGTCAAGCAGTTGAGAGTACATACCTCCATCTTCACGCTTCATGACCGCAAAAAAGTTCATTTGACCAGCTTCAGTGATGCGCATCTCGGGGCTTTTTGCATGAGGAGCCTCGCCATTTGCCGCGACAGTATCTCGCTCTTTTGGTTCGACATCTTCCAACAGCCATAGGATCTGCTGGTAGCCTTTCTCTGCTGCTTGTGTCTGCGGCATGAAACAAGGGGCATAATTGCCTCCAATTTTGACTTCGCCTGTGCCGCCTGGCCAAGAGCGTACAAAGTCGTAGGCGGCGAAGAGTGAGATGGGTTTGACTCCTACGGTTGGGCCACTCGTCTTGAAGAAGGGTCCAGTTGGAGAGACGATGATGAAGAGCATGGCATGCGCCGAAGGCACTACACCCATCGTTGGACGCGTCCCAATCAACGTCGGCCGAATGTAGAGGGAATAACCTGATTCAGTTGGAATCCAGCGGCGCTCAATGGAAACGAGCTTCTTGATCAGAGCCAGGAGCGCGCCTGGGTCGGGAACCGGCAATGCCAACCGTTTTGCAGAGCGAGTCATCCTTGTCATGTTTAGGTCTGGACGAAAGAGCAAAGGCTCGCCGTCTGGTCCAACATATGCCTATTGGATTCTTTAGTGCTCTATCAAAGCCCTGATGTCATTCTGCTTACCTTCATTCCCTCGAATAGATTGGTGGAGTAGTGGAGACAGTGACTAGCCGGGTCAAGCTCTAGAGGTGCATACGGCTTGATTTTTGGTGAACCCCAGCCAGTAACTGGATCATGCTCAGCAACGAGCATATGATCCGTCTTTGTCTCGCCTGCGTTGGCTTGTTAGCCTTTTTACGCACAAACGCGATGACTGTGGCTCGCACCAAAGACGAGCTCGGTCGGCTTAGGAAGTTCCTTGAGCGCCGTTGAGAGGGTTATTTCGAGTTTCGTGGCCTGTTTCAGGTTCAATATCGTGCGGCAGTCAACAAAGCCCATAGCTTACGTCGAGTGGAGCCCTTCGAGCGCCCTTTTGGTCCACACTCTCAACTAGACGCTCATTGGGGGCAGATACCATAGTTAATTGGCAAATTTTTGGTCTGTTTGTTCTGGAGGAGAGACGTAGAAGAGTCCAAGAGTCTGACTCGGACACTCAAGCCGATGAGCGTTCGGACAAAGGTGACTGTATTCAATCAACCAACAATTACTCCTTCAAATGCAGTGCATGTTCGATACGATGAAGCAAACCCTCCTTCTTTGGGCGTTTACAGTCGTCATTGCATGTGTGATTTGGATCGCTAGAGGAACAATGCTCTTGCTTAGCAGGTTCCGAGTGACATGCTGTCGTCGTGGTTGCCTTTTCCGGTTGGGTGCTGCTACAGGAGTCCTTTGGAGGTATAGTCGAGGATGGCGCAGGGCCACTGGATTCGTGGTGACACTCGCTTGTGCACTGATGCTGTGACTGAGCAGAGGGTGCAGGCTGTGTGGGTTGCGGATTACTTTCAGGGGGTTTAGATACTGGGTTAGACGGCGCAGGTTGAGCTGGTTGCGTGGGTTGTGTCGTGGGCGCTGGGGTGGGAGGCTGGACCGGCTGGGATGGTTGGGGTGGCTTCATGCACCTGCGAGACTCGAAACCCTCACGATACCTTCCATTAATGTCAACGCACTTGAAACGAAACACGCGGTCGAACGCACCCATCGTCAAAGGCCCATTCACACGGTGAATCACCCCAGCGTCGAACATGCTCCTGCCGGCGCTGCCCAGAGAGTGTCTGGACACTAGATGAGGGGTTGTGTTCGTAATCGCACCACCCAGCAATGAAACCGTCTGAGAATCGAAGGGTGTCAGTTTGCCTGTTGCCGTGGGCTTTCCAGTACGCAACATGTGCATCTCTGTTTATTTGAGTCCCTAAAACGCGCCACTTTGACAACGACGAACCTGTGTTGTGCCAACTCGGCCATCTTCGCGTCATGAGTATCAGGCTGGCCCATGCATCGACGACCCTCAAAGCCCTCGCGATATCTGTGAAGGTTGGAGCATTTGTAGTACACTGGTAGAAAATACCTACCCGTCATCAAAAGCCCATTCGAGATCGGAAGGGCCACATTTTTGGATATGCTCGGTACGGCGCTTTGCAATCATCGAGTCGCGGGTGATATTACCGAGCGACTTGTTCTCGGCGTCGCACCACCCAGCAATGAAGCCATCTTCATATCTCTTAGGGTCGGTCGGCGCATTATGCTCTTTCCAGTACGCAATGTGCCACTCCCTGGCAAGAGTAAGCGCCTGGTAAATACGAAAGTGATGCTCACTTATGTTTAGATAAGGTTTGAGTCTTTTGTGCGTGTGTGTTTTCCAGTTTGGCGCCCGTCGTCGGTGTATAAGCCTTGCGGGACTCGAAACCCTCGCGGTAGCTGGCAATCATTACTACGTAAGAAAATACGAATGTTTCTCAGCATACCCATCGTCAAACGCCCATTCGGAGGGAGAGTCGCCCCATCGTGAAACATGCTCCCTGCGACGTTGGGCCGCCAGCGTTTGCACAGTTGAAGAGGGGTTACGTTCGCAGTCACACCATCCAGAAATAAAGCCGTCTGAGAAGCGAAGGGTGTCGGTCTGCCTATTCCCGTGTGCCTTCCAGTACGCGATATGTGCCTCTCTGGTCACAGTCAGTATAGTAGTTGACGATTCATGGCCGAAACCCACTTGTGCTTGGCGAGTTCTGCCATCTTTGCGTCGTGAGTATCTTCCTGGCCCATACAGCGCCGCCCGTCGAAGCCCTCACGGTAGCTGATAGGATGCACTAATCAGAGAGGAGGAGGAGCGTGAATATCAGTAAACGCACCCGTCATCAAAGGCCCACTGATGTTGAGAGGCGCCACACTTTTGGATATTTTCATTGCGTCTCTGAGGGAGCATCGAGTCGCGGGTGAGGGACATGTTCTCGCCGTCTGCCCAACCGACGAGGAAGCCATCTTCGAAACGCTGGGGGTCTGTGGGTGCATTGTGATCCTTCCAGTAAGTGACGTGCCATTCCCTGTAGATCTAACTCAGAAAACAGGATTCCTAGCGCATTGCAAAGGACGTACTTGTGCTTGGCCATAGAGGCCATTTTCTGGGCGTTTGTATCCTGTTGAGCCATTGGAGACGAAGGAGGGGATCAGGAGCAAGAGCTGTCGACTGTTTGGCTGGCTGCGATGGCTATCAGGGAGCACAGGGCACGTGTGGATAGATTGTGGCAGATGGGGGCAGCTCGCGGCGTCGCTGATGAACACGATAACCGCCATTGGCTGCTAAGAATAAGCCCCTATTCGCGTTCCAGCGCCGCCGCTAACTGTCGCTGTAGGCTCCAATCCATGTTTTCTCTCTCCGCCGCGACTGCAGGACGACGCGCAGGGACGCGAGGGACAATCAGTTTGACAAGAATATTGCACAAAAAGACAAGAATGGACACAGTCACAGCATTGACACGCAAACTAGACTCGCCTGGACCCCAGGGGGACGCCAGGCCGGTAAAGAAGGTGCGCCTCGACGGCCCTTCGGGTGCAGACGTGGTTGCATCGACGTCAAAGTCCCAATTTCAGAGCAAAAAGAAGCAAAAGTTGTCAAAAAGAATTCTGAGAAAACTCACGCAGCCGGAACAAGGAACACCAGACGATGTGCTCTGGCACGAAGTACAAGAGCTGCTTGGAGAGGACGTCGTGGACGATGCAATCGATCGTGGTGTTGATCTAGAGGCACCCATCAAGTTTGGTGACATTCTAGAGCTTGATGTCAGTGAACTTAGTTCCAACGGTTCTTATATCCCCCTCCTATTCTACTCCCAGGAACCTAATCTTCATCAGGAGAGGCACTGTCCAAACTTCCACACCCCCATCCACCATGGGTTGTGACCACTCCATTCGCTCTACCCGGAGAGGTTCGCTTCAGTACCACAGACTCTCCTGTCGCGTGTTTATACACATTTAGAAAATACGCGTAAAAATTGTGCGGAGCGGCCGCATGATTTCGTATTCCGACTTGCTGGAGGTCATTCAACCTGCTGCGACAAGAGATAACTCGCGAGTCCAATGCAAATATTTTGGAAAATGCGCTGGTTGTCAATACCAGGTTCGCTTCACCTTATTATCTTGCTTGAAGCTCATCTTAGCCATAGATGCTGGACTATTCGAAACAGCTAGAGTTCAAGCAGCGTGTGGTTGAAAAGGCGTACCGATACTATTCTGACCTGCCTGGAGAATCCATACCCTCGCCTCTACCAACCATTGGTTCTCCGCTACAATATGGGTACAGGACAAAGATCACACCGCATTTCGATGCTCCGCCAAAGGGAAAGCTAAAAGAAGATTGGAAACTCTATATAGGATTTGACACCAAGGGTAGACGACAGGTTTTAGATATTGAGGTATGGGCATTACTGCTTCAACCTGGTGACGTCTGAGGGCAAGATAGGAATGTCCCATTGCCACCCAAGTCTTGAACGACGCCCTGGGCCCCATCCGTGCAGAAGTACAAGAGTAGGGCACATTCGACGAAAGCTTTTGACGGAGCGCTGATTCGAAGCCAGAAAACTGTCGACATATAAACGTGGTGCGACGCTACTGATGCGTGATTCCCTCCAAGTCGTAGACAGCTCTCGCGAGGACCATGTCTGCATCCGTGACCACAAGGCGATCGTCCGGGAGCGGGTCGGAAGCAAAGTGTTCGAATTCCCGGCAAATTCGTTCTTCCAAAACAATAATTCGGTACTTGTGCCTTTGACCGACTATGTTCGGCAAGCGGCGACGGTTATTCCCTCCGGCGGCAGACGGCCAACTCATTTGGTGGACACATATAGTGGATGCGGCCTCTTTGCGCTCAGTCTGGTGGAAGCTTTTGACCACGTTGCAGGAATTGAAATATCCGAGGTGCGTGACGGTTTCGGGCCCCCCACTGATTGACTGCTAACCTCTTGTCAGGAGTCCATCCGATACGCCACGCACAACGTCCAACTCAACGGCATCTCGCCAGATAAATGCGAATTTCGCGCGGGACAGGCAGAAAAGATATTCGACGTCGTAGGCGACTTTCCGCCCTCGGAGACTGTGATTGTGATCGACCCACCACGAAAAGGATGCGACGATGCCTTTATCTCTCAGTTGGTCCGCTTCGGGGCTGCTACGGTTGTGTACGTTAGCTGCAATGTGCATACGCAGGCGCGGGACGTGGGCAAGCTCGTCCGGGCGGGCTACGCGCTCGAGAGTATCCGTGGGTTTGATCTCTTCCCGCAGACTGCCCATGTCGAGAGTGTGAGTGATTTCGTGACTGCCATTACTTTGAGCTTTACTGAGACTTTCTCCAGGTCGCCGTGCTCCGTAAGAGTAGTTAGCTATTTGGAATGTGGATCCTCGTTGTAAAACCAATTGAGATGACTATTCCTACCGCGATTGGTTGACCCCCGTTAGACTCCGTCGCTTGCCTAGCCTGACAACTTGGCTCCCGACCACACTGGCACTGCAACTCCCACCAGCTGATTGAGCCATTAATCTCACTCTCTTCAGTTTAAAGCTGCATTGGTCGGCAGTATAATGGGCATCTGCAGTTCAAAGACCGAGGAAAGCGACGTGCGAGCGCACAGGGAAGTTGAGAAACAGCTCAAGGAGGTTCGTTCATCTTGTTTTTTTTATTTCTACGCGTTATCGGCTCACTAAATTCCGCCAAAAAGGCGAAACATCGCCGAGATGCGCAGGTCAAGGTGAATGGATGCTCGTGTCATGTCTTCCGAATCACTAACAAGAGGCAAAGATTCTTCTCCTAGGTTCTGGTGAGTCTCCTCGTCGCCGTCGGCAATGCCCACCTCTGCTAATCACATATCCAATTCCAGGCGACTCTGGAAAGAGTACTGTCCTCAAGGTCCGTCCTCGTTGGAAACGTAGAGATCCCCAGACTGACGCTCCCAATACAGCAAATGCGTCTCATTCACAAAGTGCCATTCACCCGCGACGAAATCGAGTCGTACCGGCAGCTCGTGTTTACAAATCTCGTTCATGGCATGCGTCTCGTGATCGAATCCTTGGCCGTATTCAGCATAAACGTAGAGGAAGCTAATGAGGTGTGTCCTATTAAATTCATTTCTCACGGGGGTTGCCGACAAATGCGGACATAGGATTATGTACCGCTCATCGAGAATGCTCCAGATTTACCAGACCAAGAGCCATTCCCAACTCAGTATCTCGCCCCACTTAAGGCTCTGTGGGCCGACAAGGGAATCCAGAAGGCGCTACGGCGTGGAAACGAGGTAGCGCTACCAGAAAATTTGAGATAGTGAGCACTCGTTTGCGTGTATATGCTATGTTGAAGCTAATCAACCACAAGTTTCTACCCGCAGCTAGACAGATTCTTCGAGCCGACATATCAGCCCACTGACCAAGATATCCTCCATTGCCGCGCTCGATCTACCGGTATCACCGAGACGGTGTTTCGACTAAAGACGCACGAACTACACCTTCTCGATGTGGGAGGTTTGTCACAATCCCTTTGAGAGGATCCGTGGTGCTCATTTTACAAAGGGCAAAAGAGCGAGAGAAGAAAATGGATTCATTGCTTTGAGGATGTTACTAGTATATTATTCCTGGTCTCCCTCAACGGGTACGACATGAGTCTAAGCGAAGATCGAGACGCAGTAAGTGGTATGTGCCTTGTGCCCTTCAATTGCTAATTCCCTGCAGAATCAGATGCAAGACGCAATGGTATTGTCGATCTCTGCCCTTTTTTCTTCAGACAAGTGACTTCTGCAGGCTATATGGGATTCTATCTGTCATTCCCAGTGGTTCAAAACCACCTCGATAGTACGCAGAGCTTTTTGAGTCGAAATAATCCTCACTTTTTTTTTTCAGATACTCTTCTTGAACAAGCTGGATCTGTTTACTGAAAAGATCCAAACGTCGGACATCAAAGCGATCTTCCCGGATTTCGACGGTTTGTCCTGGTAGCACGTTCGCCGATAAAGGTCTGACATTACAAAGGCAAAGCTAAAGATGTCAATGACGGTAAAGAATACTTTAAACGACGCTTTCTACGACTCGCGCAAAAGTCAAGTCGGACAAAGGAACGCGAGATTTACGTCCAGTGTGTCACTTTTTTTCCCCAATATTATATTCCTCATCATGCTGTAGTTTCACAAATGCGACGGACACTGCTCTACTCAGTGTCGTCATGGCCGCTGTCGAAGGTATGCTGTTTCTCGACCGGACATTGGCTCGTGGTGCTTACTTTCTTTTTCAGAGTACGTACTTCTGTTCTTCTCAGTGATCCCGTCCCCCACTCTTACCAGGCGTTTTTTCCATTCCTCGTATGCCTGTCTCATTTCATCATTCCAGTACTACCCTGAGGGGTAATCTTCAGGTGGCAGCTTTGATCTGACATGCTTTGCCTCTGCCACCCTGCTCTGTTTTCCATTTCATCCGTCGCTCATTAAATCATTTTTCCTGGCCATCCCATGACTCTCCTTTCTGATTGCACACACAGTTCCATCATCACCCAAAATGTATGTGGCGAACTATTTCTACATAGGGCTATTTGCTCACGACACCGTACAGATTCGCGATATTATGATGTGAAATCTCGCAGGCTCGTGGTCTTCCGTCTCTCCGTCTACTCACGTCCCGTCCTCCCGCCCCCCCCCTCTTTGCGCCCCCGTCTGATGTACTACCACTTTTCTTGCTTTGCCATCGCAACGACCCAGACTCTCAGCTGCCTTGATATGCGCATTTCAATGGCTGATCGCGCATTGTATTCGCACCGTAATGGACTTTATTGCAATATATCACCCGGTTAAGTGATTTTAGGTTTACGAGAAGCTGAATTGCGAACAATCTTGCGAAAGCTACAGCTCGTGGCATACAGTTGCCAATCAGTGAGAGTCGGGCTCATCGAATGTGTACTCTGTGGCCAGAACCTCGCCGAGGACCTTTGTAAGAAGTCTATGTTCCATCGCGTCAAACTCCAAACCGTTATCTCGTGTCCTAAGAAGGCGACAGAGGGATTGTAAGATTGATGACCTGACGAAGCTGTTAGAGGAGGCAGACGCTGCGTCCAAGTCGACGTCAACCGAAAGGCCGGTACTAATCAAGGCACAGAGATACCATATCGTATCTCTGAGGACGATTCGTGATATTGACCCCGTCTCTTTGCATGCATGAGGTTCCACAGCGATTCGGCACAAACGCTCTAGCTCCCTGGAAGCCTCGGCTGCTGCCATTGTGAAGAGAGTGGGCCCACAATCCACACGATTTCTTGTCACTTCAAGCGTGCGTTGGCAGAGTTCAAAAAGGGAAGGTCGAGGGTCAAATTTAGGTAGCTGGCTTTCGAGGACAAATGCACTATTCAGTTGGCATTGTGCGCGAGCCAGGCCAATTTGATGCAGACTTTTAACACTCGGTCTGACTATGTTGCAGAATAGTTCGGAGAGAAGAAGCCTTTCTACGTCGTCTCGTGGAGTATCCGAAGGGATGAGCGGCAAGGAACGAAGAAGGAGAAGAGGGAGGAGAGAAGATGTACGTTGAGCAGTTTGATATAGCATGATTTCAATTGGATTTGAGAGTGCGCTGGCCAGGATCTTCCCAATTGCTGCAATACATCGTTGTAGTAAAGGAAGCACTTGCGCCTCGGGTCGTTGACCGTTTAGTATTTGATTATGCTTGAATAAGAGCTCCATTAGCTGGAGGTCACAAAGGAGTAATTGTGGCAAGGCGGCTAATAGGGGACATCAGCTAAAGACAAGGCAAGATTATTAGGTACCCTGAGAGGTGACGATATCCTTCCAGACCAGAGAGATGTCGAATTCTGGAGATGCTGTAGCTTTCTTTTTCCTTTTGCCTGTGTCCTTTTGTACAGGCTTATTGTTCAGTTCAAACGACGCTGGAGCTTGACTGTTGTCGCTGATTAAGGCGCGCACTAGGGGTACCATTAAGACTCCTTACGGGGAATATCGGTGACTTACTGTCATGATCACGTTGGATCTCGGCTTTCAGCGTTTCGACAACTTGCTCGGCGTTTTGGGCTCGCTTACGCCAGTAAGCGTGGGCTCCCTGTGGTGAAGAGAAGCATTCTACGAGGTCCTGTACGTAGTCTTGCGCGGTTATTTCAAGTCGTTTACCAACTGTTCGGCAGACCTGCAATGGACTGTTGGCTGGGTTTGTGTCGAAGCGCAGTCAAGGCCTTAGATATTAATGTAACACACTCTCAAAGCATCGATTATTGAGGATTACCACTGCGATTCTCAAAGAGTTCGAGATAGGATTTGGCTCAGCCATTGCAGGGAGGTCCAAGAAGATTGGGGGTTTTTATCCAGCAATATGGAAATGATCCAAGGGGATTACTGAGTCTTTCCGACATTAACTGTACACAGGCTATCGTTAGCAACCATGGGCGATATCACCCCCATGTCGTCGCTTTCAAGGCTTAAGCAGATGCTGGCGCATGACTCGAGGGTACACAGCCCAATTGTACACTACGAGGGCTCCTTTATAATCTGGGTCAGTAAGCCACACGATAAAGCAGACAAGTGCTTACGGAATTGATCATCTCGTCAGGAATACTCGTCGCTCTCTGCATCCTCTCCCAAGCTCTGGATGTGTACTTCGATTGCAGTAATATGCCTCCAGGGGAACATAAGCATCCCGACAAATCGCCCATTCTCGACGAGATGATCATCCTGAAATCCAACGGGAAACTCGTACACTTGCGTCATTACAATGTTGAGTTCCTTGTCTGTGCATGCAAAGTTGCCCAGGAATATCCTCCCGTCGCCAATGGTCACTCTGAGCTCTTTGCCCAGGAGAGCTCTCAACTTTGCAATCGCTGGCGAGTCTTGCTGCTTTCTGTGCTCTCTCTTTCCCTGTGGCGGCGACTCAGGACGGCTTTCCATGTGGTCGAGTCTAAGAATTTGTTTGAACCTGACCATTCGTTTTGGTGAATGAGCGTCGCCATTCATATGCCCTCCGACGACTCGATATCCTCGAGTCACAAATACTCGGTCATTCTCCCTACTTATAATGAGCGCAAAAACCTGCCTGTGATTGTCTGGCTGCTCGCCCGGACATTTACCGCACAGTGAGCACGTACGGAGGGCCAGTTTCATGCTGATTATCGACGCTGCATATAGCTCTTTAGCATGGGAAATCATCATCGTCGACGATGCCTCTCCGGATGGTACGCAGGAGATTGCCAGGCAGCTGCAGACCGTGTACGGAGAAAACCACATCGTCCGTATCCTCCAATGACTGCTCTGTATCTTTACACTGACCCTACAGAGCAGATTCTCAAGCCCCGCGCAGGAAAGCTCGGACTTGGGTCCGTCGAACTTTTGATGAGCTGTCAGGCTGTATGCTAATGTCGCATAGCACAGCGTATATTCACGGCTTGAATTTCTGCACGGGAGACTTTGTTATCATTATGGACGCCGACTTCTCTCACCACGTAAGCCCGAACCATGGCCCCTCGCTCTAACGGGCTGACTTGGAATATAGCCCAAGTTTATTCCTCAGTTTATCAAGTATGCTCATACCCTTTGGATTTCTGGCCTTCCTTTGATTACTCTTCAGACTTCAACAGACTTACAATCTCGATATTGTTACTGGAACCCGCTACCGCTCTGATTCCTCGCCCGCCTTGTCAGAAGGCGTGACGCCAGGCGGTGTATACGGCTGGGACCTGAAGCGTAAACTTGTCAGTCGAGGCGCCAACTTTCTGGCAGACACGGTCCTTGATCCTGGCGTCAGCGATCTGACAGGCAGCTTCCGGTCAGTCGAAAAAGTCTAGGTTCCCTTCGCTGCTGACTTAAAGCCACAGACTTTACCGTATTGCGGCACTTAGGCATATCATCAGCTTGACCCTCTCAAAGGGATACGTGTTCCAGATGGAAATGATGGTCCGTGCTCGTGCATTAGGTTACACCGTCGGAGAGATCCCAATCACCTTTGTGGATCGTATTTACGGTGAAAGTAAGCTGGGAGCAGACGAAATTGTGGGGTATGCAAAGGGTGTCTGGGCGCTATTCACCGGTGTGTAGAAACACGCAATGTATTGCTTATTGTCCCGGTATACTATCATATTATATATATCTCCTCGTCCGTTTAACCTCTTCGTATCTGTCAATCTTTGGCGGGCGTCCGTATCTAGGCTCTGGTTTATCTGCTACAAATCAGCAGCCGGCATAGACCACAACCATCACTCACGCAATATAGTGGAATAAATATCGCTCACAGACGGTGTCCATGTACTTCTCCAGAAGTGGATTCCCCCTCCGAGGCTCGGTTTGAAGTCCCACTGCTTGATAAAGTCTCTCAAACAAAACGTAGCCCGCTCGCTCTCGGAGACTGGCGTGATAGGGAGTTCACGCGATTCGGGATTCTCCAACAGCAGGACCGTATAACGATGGTATGGCGTGCCGTTTTGGGGATGCGGGGGAAGATATGTGCAAGCCGGCTGGAAATTCTCCAGTTGCAAGAGAGGTGGCGAAGTAGAAGAAATGACTACGTTCGGTCTGCTCTATAAGTGAGCCATGGTCCAAAATAGGTTTGACTCCCTACTCACATGAGCCAGTGCAGATACTGCCGGTAAGACCTGTTGGGTACGTCTGGTACATCTGATACATTGTTAATCGACTCGTTAAATCCAAATAATATCCTACCTGGATCGACCATGACGAGAGTATATGATCGCTCCTCCCTGTGGAACACCTTTACACCAATCCCGGGCGCTTGAACCGTCTATAATTGTCAGCTTAAGGGTGCATACAGTTCAAGCAACGTACTGCTTGCGGGTCTACAAATACACCCGCCTCTATCGAACCGTCGCCGACCACGACATCTAGGTCGACGGAGGGGTGAATGTCACCAACCAGATCTGGTACAATGTTCATTGTATGAATTCTTTGCATCTAGTATGTGTAAGAGTGTCGTCTCTTTCACATGATCATATCCATACCAGATGATCTAGTTTCCCTTCGTCCCTCCATCTCCGCTCAGCCAAATGTCGGAAAACAGGCTTTGACATATCACCTGAAGCCAAACTGATCAGATAAACAAACCCATTCAGAAAGAATGTTGACCTTTTCCCTGTTCGAAAGCCCACAAAGTTTCTGGACGATTCAACTCGGAGAAAACTTCGAGTTCCTGCATCCTCGCAAGAGTTTGGGCGGTCAAGGATGTCTTTTTGATTTCTTTGAGTCGTCCTCTAATCCTTTCCGAATCTTCTTCGATGACCCGCAAGGCCAGGTCGTACAATGGAAATTCTCCTGGCTTGTGTGCTGGTGTCCATGCGGCCCCAGATGAATGTCGTAGGAACAAACGTGAGCCTCTTCGAAGCCCAATGGTCTGTAGTATATGTGTTGTCCTCGCAGAAAGGGAGGTCATGGTAGGAACTAGGAAGTCGACACCACTTTGCTCGTTCACAGTAATAATTCCGAATGTGTACATTGTGTAAGAGAAATAAGGATACAACTTTACATATCACGTCCGCGTCGTTTTAACACCGGATCCCCATATTGCTGAGGCTGGGATGGCTTGCGGGCGTCCTCGATCCAAATAGCTGGTCCACCACCTCCGCCTCCTGCGAGATAGCCGTCTTGCTCTCTACTTCCTCTACCGGTCAGCACGGCCCTCGAGCTTGAACTAAGCTCCTTTAGCTCTTGCTCAAACTCCCGCTCGACCTGGGCGCGTATCATCCGCTTCAGTTCGTGCTCAAGACTTGGGATATCGCTTGCAGTTGATGCTGCTAAACTGTAGCCTTCGTTCTCGTCAAGCCGAGGACGAGTCGGAGTCTGGTTGCGCTGGCGAGTTTGTTGCACTTCGCTGATTGGCGGGGCCTTTTTCCCGAGTTTATGTGGCGCCAAAAGCGCCAAAGGATCTTCGTCGTCACTCGACTCGTTTGCTAGTGGCTCTTCACCGTAACTGTGACCAACCGGTGGATGATGCCGTCGGTTGGGAGGTCGGGGTCTGTTAGGTGATAGGGTGGGAAGAGGCCCTGACCCCGAAGGGCGACTTGGGAATAGACGATCTGGCGTGTATTCACGCTGAACAGTTGGATGAGTGCCTCGCAGTCGTGACGCGTTAGGAGGTCGTGAGCTCGAAGCTGCAGTCTCTGCACCCGAAGCGCTAGATTGAAAGGGTCGACGTTCGCCTACTCTAAGTGTATCGAACATCGGCTGAGGGATGGTTTTAGAAGTGTCGGTGCGTCGGCCTTCCCAGTGGCTGAGTTCCGGGCGTTGACTTTTGTGAGAGAGATCAGAGGCAGCAAAGGAGCTACCGACACTCTGGCTTGATACACTATCTTGGGAAAATGCCTGCCGTTGCCTCGGTCTCGGTATCGGATTTGCTAGGGGCGTTATGAGCGTAAGGTGAACGTGATTGATTTACAGTACGTACAAAGAGAGTTGGAAGTCCCTTGAATGCCATCCCGGAGCTCGGGTTTCGATGCTACCTTTCTCAGACGAACCGATTTCATCTCGTTTAGGAACGCTGCCATCTGCACAGCGGGAACCGTAGACATCATTGTAGAAGGACGACTGACAGTAGTAGTGGTAGTGGGGATCGGATTGCTCGGGGTAACCTTTAGGGCCGCTCGCGCGTTGGTTAGAATACTATTCGCTGGTGTGCTTGTTTTGGGGACATCCGTCCCCACAAAAGGTGGGGGTGGCGGGGGAGGAGGTGGTGGAGGAGGTACTGCGAGAACGGGAGGAGCTGCGGGGGCAGCATGGTCCCGTCGTTCGAGCTGTGAGGATGCTGAGTAGCCGCATCACGGGAATAAGCTAAACACGTACTTCTTCTCTTAATTTCTTTACTTCTCTTTCGAGCTCTGCGATCCGTTCTTGCTCAAATGAGCGTTCCGAAGTCATCGAGGTGAACGAAGCGCCTTCTGCTGCTCTCAACGAGTTGACAGAGTCACGTAACCGATGCCTCACTTCGTAGTCGTTTAAAGAGGATGCAGATCGCGTGTCGGAGCCAATACGGGAGTGGAGGGGTACGAAATCAGCTTCGGGTGAGCGGACTGCTTGACTCTGAGAAAAGGAAAGTGATTCCTCTTCGTCGGCGGTGGATGGAGGTGGGGTTACTTTCTCGACATCGTAATTTAGGCGAGGGAACGACCGCATGATTGTTTCAGTATTCGACAATGGCGAGCTTGAGGACCGACGCGGCGGCAACGCGGGAGAAGCCGTATCGCGTGCAAATCTTACACGACGATCTTCTTGAACGTCATACTCGGATTCGGACTGCTCGTAGAGTGCACCTGGCATGGCTGATCTCCGATGAGTGTCTGCTGTTACATCTCAGATATTGCTTGCGGATGCATTGACAAGCGTACCTTTGTAGGTATGACCTGTAGGTTCTGGCTTTTGAGTTGATGGTGGGAGTCGCTTTGCTGGAAACATTGCTATCATGAGCTGGTTCCGGTATACGAGACACCCGACGTACGTTTTCGAGCATCTGAAGGGTCTGGAGAGGAATATGGAGAGGAAGGTAAGACCTCTGAATGGTCCTGGCGAGACCTTTTTGTCGGTCTGCTGTCCTCCGTCCCTTGTTCATCACCGACGGCATTATATCTTCGTTTCCTGGGCCTAGCTGGCGATTTATCTGCCTCTTGAATTGTTGGTGCAGACTTTGAGCAAGATTAAAAGTCTTGTTCGTGATGGAATGGATAACGTACGGCACTGACGCCCGCAGCGTTGAGTACAAACTGCTGCAACTCGCGTCCTACAACTCCTAAAATCGACGTAATGACACTTGGACGCGTGTCCTGGGGCCGGCTGGCCATCGAACGGCGTTCCTTGTCTTGTCACGCGTCGACGTGAGGAACAAACTGGCAGTCACAAATACCATCAACTCGCATTTCAGACTAAGATACAGAAGTGAGCCATGCTGAAGCAAATACCACGATCCCCATGCAAACAATAAAGACGAACAAGTCGTCGAGCAAAAGACTAAACATTTGGATGTATCGGTATCCAGTTTGGATGCTGACAGGCAGCGGTGGCGGTAGGTGAGGTACAACCAAGCTCAGTATAAACGGGAGTTGGGGAACCGTCTGCACCACTCGTTAGTCATAGCGCTGCAGGTAGACACAGCACGCACTGGGCTCAGAAGGAGTCGGAGAGAGTGGAGGAAGAACTGGAGACCGAGATAGGTCCACAGTACGTGCTATCAGGGTATCAGAGAGAGTGTCATATATAACCTTTCATGCCTAACCTTGTGCTCTCCGGACCAGCCAAACGAAGGCGGTGAATATTGAAGCTCAGCCCATCGTTTCCAATACTCTGTCGACGAGATTTGATCGACACCAAGTCCTCCAGTTCTCCACAGCGTGAACCAGACGAAAATGATTGTCGAAAGCACGTGAAGCAAGGGAAACAGCTTTTCGACAAGTGTCTTGCGGGTTGGCTGCATAGGTGGTTGCGAGGTGCCAAATATATTTTCTGGAGGTAAGAATGGGCTAGAACCACGCTCAAAAGGCGATGGTGAGGAAAGTAGAGGCGTTCCCTCCCTGGAGCGGCTTCCAAGGAATGTTTGCAGGGCCTTCAGTTGGTCCAGTTGGAGAGGTTCGACCGGTTCAAAGCTCGTCGGGTCCACGTTTGCATTCCATGACCGTTCTGGAGTCTTGCTAACTTCTCGTCTAGCCAAGGGATCTTGGGGCCTCGAAGGAAGTTCTGCAAGAGGGGGATCTTGGATACGTGTCAGCGCGGAATCATAGAAAATCAATGTCCACATGCCGTCTATTGTTTCCCGTACGTTTCCAGCGACGTCTCCCTCATTCTTTGCTTTTGCTGTGAGCTTTGCTAGACGGTCCGATTTGGACGCGAGGATTGCCTGTCGTCTTGCAGCCGCTCTTTCTTTTGCGTCTGACATTTTATTCCCAAGCGTTGTTACTTGCTTGGTGGACCCGTGGGTTTCCAATAGCGCCCCAGCGTTGACGAGGTGCTGTCCAAAGTTGAACCTCGCCACGACCTTGAGTTGAACAATGGCCAACCGTCAAGATAAAGCTACAGCAGATAGGAATGCAAAGACGCTGAGAGATCTCGTCAAACATCCCGATAACAAGCTCTGTGCAGACTGCAAGCGCAACGGCAAGTGGCGAGGTCCCTCAACGTGGCGCCGACAGGCTGATTATTGAAGGAAAGATGCTCGCTGGGCTTCCTGGAACATGTAAGGTCACCTCATAGGCTATATCATGTCTCACACACCTTCACAGTGGATGCTTCGTCTGTATTCGGTGCTCTGGCATCCATCGGAGCATGGGAACGCACATTAGCAAAGTCAAATCAGTTGATCTCGACATGTGGACTCCTGAGCAAATGGCTGTTCGTATCAACCACCTCCAGCGGCGGGCGATGCTGACAATATACGACATACAGTCTGTGCAAAAGTGGGGAAACAGACGCGCGAACCTCTACTGGGAGGCGCATCTGAAGCCTGGACATTTACCACCTGACCAGTGTGTACGTTGCTTCCGTCAACCGTCGGACTCACCCTTCTTGTAGCAAAATGGAATCCTTCATCCGCTCCAAATACGAATCACGAAGGTGGGCCCTTGACGGACCGCCACCATCTGATCCCTCCATCTTGGAAGGTAGCAACGCAGAGGTCAGTGTGCGCTCAAAAGTACGTTGTGTTAGACTTACTATATTTTCCCCTCGGACCAAACCGGCAGGCTTCAGCATCTTCTGTGGCGCAACCCACCGAGAATACTCAATCCGCTGCTCCTGCGGCTCCAGTCGTTTCAACCCCAAGTGTTTTACCACAACCTCCGGCAAACCCTAGTCATTCACTGTTGTCGTCTACCCATGTCAGGACGGCATCATCCTCAAATGCACCCCCGGTTCAACCTCCAAGTGTACAAAACGATCTCTTTTCGTTAGACTTCACCGCTCCAGCACCACCTACCAACACAAATCCCACGGCTACTCAGAAGAATGTCAAGGAGGATATCCTTTCTCTCTTCTCAGCAAATACCACACAACTACAGCCTCAACCTGTTTCATTATTCGACAATCTAGGTGGTCAGCATATTCAGCAGCAGCCTAACGCGATGAACACGATGATAGGAAGCGGCGGTCCAGCCCTCTGGGGAGCAGACTCTTGGTCTACACCGCAAATGCCTCTTGGTGGGAACGTCTGGCAGACATCAGGTACACCCTTTAACGTACGTTCCAATCCATCGATCCAAGCAATCACCTGAGAAGTAAATCATCTAGAATGCGGCAGTACCATTACAGAATGTCTGGGGAAACGCACATGCAACAGCACCCTCAACTAATAGCGGTACAACGCCTGCACAACCAAAGCAGGACGACGCATTCAGTGATCTATGGGGTGGTTTCAAATGATCCACACTACTTGATGCAGATTGAGATACTATGTATGCTAGCGTATTGAGGATATAGTAAAGGAGTTTGTTACTATGTATAGCTCAGCGGCGTACATTAGTGAAGCCTCCAGTTACTAGAGCAAACCAGCGTGAGTTGTCACCACCTGCCAACAATTGAATAGCCAAAACACGCAGAAAATGCAGATAAATTGAGGAATAGTCTCAGAACATTGTGGAATATTTTGGAAGATTTTATGGAAAGGAATGAAGGAGAAATAACCATAGGAAAAGTCAGAAAAAAATACTTCAACATGTACTCAATGGAATATGAAGGTGGTGAGTAAGAAATTGGGAGCTTAGCCATTAAAATGCGGAAGATGTCTCAATTCTGGGGCTATATAAGCATGCAATGAGCAGCGTCTGTGAACGTAAGTTTGTCTATCCATTATTGAGAATAGACATCCTAATTCCGCACCTTGGCCACCTATGTTTTATACGCTGCAAGCGTCGGACTCGAATGATTCCATGTGTAAGAGTTCTAAATATGCGCAATGAACTGCTACATTTAATGTGGTGGCAAGTCACTGAAAACTTCACTGTGCACGAGTATGGGGAATTCAATTCTCATAACCCATCACTAAGGCGCTGTCGAACCCCAACACGGTTTGGTATTGTAAGCAATACACCATGAAGATGCTGAGTACAGTAAAGCTGATAAAAGATAACATTGGAGTATAGATTGTGAATAGACATTCCGGCTACTATAAAACTAATTCTCGAAACGGGCCGGAAAGTGTTACACATTGAGGTCCGAGCGGATATGTGGTAGCATGATTATCTAGATGGATAGTATTAATTGTGAAGTGTGCAGAGAGTATAGGTGAAGACATATGAGTCATATATATGTAGAATATCTTAGATAATGCGTTGAGTATTTGCAAAGTAAGAAACTGAACAAATACTTAACCTGGTAAAGAGCAACGGGGCCGCAAGCGTCAAACTTGAGGCTGATGATGACTTCGGCGAATGCTGCCACATAACTCTGGCTGCAAAGGCACACGTCGGCCTCAATTGCTCGCAGCTTGGCGAGCACTCCTCACACACAGTAACCTTCCAACAGATCTATTGCGTACCAGCAAGCTAACACTTCCTTAGCTCTCACAAAATATAATACGATACAAAAAACATTGATACTGACAAAAGATCGCAGTTTTCAGTCGCCAAGAGGGATTATACTTCTGTAATAAACAGTACAATGTAGAGATACTTGACACAATAAAGCCCTCTAGAGATTGAATGAATGAAAGCATTTACCTAAAGTAGACGACCTGAGCTGCCGAATAGTTGCTTTAGTGCCTACCCTAATGGCCTCCTATTGTACAGCAAACAATGCCGGATAAAATCACTGAATTCGTGACTACTACCGAAAGCAAAGGTGCACCTGAGCCATCTGGGCTTTGTACGACTGACAATATACATTTGCATACTGAATCATTTCACACCCTTGTCTCCTATCTGGCATTCTTTGCAGTGATGCTGACAAAGGCTTGAAGTAGTGGAGAAGATCATATGTGCAGGTGTATCGACCTAGCTAGGGCTTTAAGCACTTCCAGCAGATATATATGCATGACGAGCCCTTTTAGTATTAACGACTACAGTTCTTGCTCGTCTTACCTGGTTTCTTACCGCCAATCTTCACCAACTTTTCGTCACTTCTGAGGGTGTAGCACTAATCGGATTGTCGACGACTTACTACAGGCGAGAGAGTATTGCTATATCAGAAGTGACTGGAGGCGGAATGTGTTTCTTCATAAGTCCATCGTGGCATCTAGGATGCTTGTTCGAGAGTGTCTACAGGTTAAACTGTTCTATTATTGTTTTAGTGCTTTAGCTAGGTCGGTACACTGAACAGCTAAGCGTGGCCGCAAGCGTTGGATTCAAGGCTGATGAGGGATTCAGGATAATACTATACCTACGAGTGAGTGGGCGATTCCTCTGGCTAACAATTGAGATGCTGATCAAATTATGGTGCCGAGCGAGTATCCTAGAGCGCACGACTGACTACGAAGGCACACAGTAACCCTTTGGTAGCTCGTGACTTAGCAATCCCTCCTCACGCGCAGTAAAGTATTGACGATTCAATTGCGTACCATGTAAACCTATTCTTCCCGCGTCCTCAATACTATAAGATTCAAAGACGTCGACAACGACGGGAACTCGTAGCTGTCAGTCGTCAAGATACTTCTATTTGCACAATAAACGATACAATATAGAGATATTTTATACAGTAAAGCCAGAGGACGAGTAAACATTACCGAAAGTAGACAGCTTGAATTCGCACCTGAGCCGCCTAATTTCCGTACAACACTTGTAATTATGATCTCTCCCACTACTCCAAGCCTTTGTCAGAATCACTGCAACATGACGGTCGTCAGTTCAGTGCTATCAGTCATTCAGAGCGGACGATTAGGCCAAAAACTTCACCCTCGACCCGTAAATACAGGGCCATGCGCACTTTGATTGCTCAGTAGACTCATCCTATATTAGGCAAGTAACATGCCTTAACGTGGAGAGTTTCTATTATGTATCAGTATAATAAGAGTATGCTGCACTCTCACCACAGATTACTATCAAATGAGTCTCATATAAATGAGTTATTCCTAACAGCCATGTATATCACTACGTGTGCTCTAAAATATTTGCTCGACACTATAACAGCATCTCTATTGGTGGCCAGGAACAATTGCCCACTCTTTGTTATAGCATCTCTGAATCCATGATTGTCTCGAGTTCAACGCTTGCGGCCCTTCACGCTATGTTGGAATTGTTGCTTCAGTGCTCTATATAAGTCGATACAATTGTGCATCTTTGTTTCTTTGAGTCATGATCTCCCCACTAGTTCAGTCTTCGTCAGCATCATTGCAATATATTGTTCATTCGTTCTCCCACGAAGTGTGAATCTGCGTTCAGCATGTCTACTGGTCTTTAGCTCTATTGTTTTCTATTATGCGTTGCTCGCTAGACGTAGTATTGGCGCCTTTGGCAGTGCTTAGCGCTACAAGTATCGCGGGCAATGACGCTGCCATCCAACTACTCAGTCATTGATGGGAGTTTCAGCCAACGCCTCTGTTAGCTTCTAGTAAGCTACCAGTGATTTTACTGCGTACCAAGGCTTGATAAATGATTGTTGTAGTGAGTACCCAAAGAATATATTACTTGTAGAGTAAACACATACACAGTGCTACATAAGGTAGAGGGACGAGTAGAAATGATTACTAGGGCGTAGTGATACTCGCGACCCTCTATACCACAATTCGAGACTACCAATTGGAGTGATGCGACTAATGAAAGCTAGAATCCAAGATGGACAATGAAAGGCACACGGTAGGTCTTCTGTAACTCATAATATCGTACACATTGTCAATCGTCAATGGTGCTATTGGGCACCGATTCAAAGATGTACGCTCAATATCATTTACAGTCAATAATGCTATTATTCCCAATGCGATCATTGAGCAAACAGTAGATGGTCTAGGTGTGGATGCACCGCGCCCAAGATTACATACACCAATGCGTGCGTTTTGTTCTAAATGCTTCCCCCACTGGTGCTGAACAGGCGAAAGGACGCCCAAGCGTCAAACAATAAGGGATTTGGAGGTATTACTATAACTGGATGGGTAAAGCATAGACTTCCTGGATACCAATAGAGATCTGACAGTCAGTTAAGTAAATCGTGACGCGCTTATGGGTTCGAAGGAATGAGCACTGTTGTTATTTTACTTCTGTATTTGCTTTGGGGTGGCTGTGACCCGTGGCTGTGATTGGCCGGAAGCAGGTGGTGACAGGACGATTCCTCAAAAAGTCCCTTCTGCGTATGAAGCATATGAATTACATTGTCTAGCAATAGGACAGCATTATATGCCAGTGAAAGCGAGTGGATTTAGTACACGACATTGGCTGTCGGTCCCGCGAGAGGACCGGAGATACATGACATCCATATACGAGTTTTGTACAGTCTGTATTCGTTGTGAGTGGCAGTCCGAATTGGATGGTTGGGTGTGGTACTAACCTAAAGAGCTCCCGAACCAGATCACGGAAGTCTATTCTGGATTCAGCGATGAAATAAAATGTTAACTTGCGTCGGTCCCTAACGAGGCATTAATTAATTTGTGCATGACCACCATTATGACTCACCATTGAAATTCACAATCTACGACTTGCATCGGTAGCTTCTTCTGGCGAACTTTGTTTTGACATAGTTGCAATGCCTTCTGCTCGTCTTCTTCTTTCTTTGCGAGGTCCCTGAATCTCGAGTTAGAAAACAGGACTGTCACCCTAAAGCATCAACGTACTGCGCCTCTTGTGGTCCGGCAATGGCATATGCTCTCTTCGCTTTAGTGTGTAGAGCAGAGCCCATTGAGTCTGCTCCTAGGCCATGTCGTTGCGCGGTGAGCCAACTCCTTTCCACATCGGGATCCACTACCACGCCGATATCCTTGCCTCTGTCACCTTCGACTATCATTCTGTCACCTCTTGCGACACGAAGGTTTGCATCACAGAAGAAAACCTCTTTGCGGCCGAGCTTAAATTCGAGGAGCACAAGCCGAGATGTTCGAGGAACGTCGTCAATCCCAATACCCTGACTCGCTTCCGATACCTGACGGTCGTATGGGTGGGGGTCATTTATATAATGATCTCCCTGCGCCGAAGGTGATGGCTCCTTGCCATCTTGACCAGGAGATGAGTCTCTGGAATGAGAGGCAGCCAGAGGCGACGCATTTCCAGAGCGTGTAGCTTGATTCAGAGCTACACTTAGTTGATCCATGTTTGTTGCTTTCCCTGAGCCGTACGTGGCCTCACCAACGGGCGACCTGCCGTCCGACGGTGTTCGGTTACGCTGTAGGTGGGTGTCAATGTTCGGGTAGCCATGCATGCCATTGTTCCTCGCTCTGCCGTAGGCATGAACACCGAGACGGGATGATGAGTATGGAAAGGAGGAGGTCCCCGTCGGAAGAAGGTCGGTGACTGGCGAAGAGTTGCTATTCAGGTTGAGGACACCAAAGTTGCCGGCCAGTTCCTCGTCTGAGAACATGGCCATGCTAGCGTTGACTGGCATGCGACTGCTGGTATTACCGTCGTCCCCGCTGGGAGCAGCACTTGCTGCAAATCCGACTCCACGTGTGCGAGGTTGGACAACGCTCACACTGTGCCGGCGACTCGTTGCTCCACTCCCAGGTTCCTCCTCCCTCATGGAACTCATGATGGGGGACCAAGGATCATAACCGCCCGGCAGCTCTTCATTGCCTAGTCGAGACCCGAGACGGTCTCGAGAAAAGGGGCTTAGGTTGGAAATCTCTTGTTGCGAACCCCGATGAGCGAGCGCGGCTGGCATCGACGAAGTACCTTGGAGTGAATGTGCCCTCGAGCCGTTGAGACGAGAGGTCGGATACCCATCGAGAAATCGTTGATCTATCGATATGGAAAGACCTCGATCGTTCCAGTCGTTCGGTGGACCATTGAAGTTTGTGGGGGAGAGACCATGAGTCGGGACAAGACTTCTGCTTCGTGCACCAGGAATTTGATGAGGTCGATATCTTGACTCAGTATTGGCCCATGAGCGTGGTTGGCCTGTGAAATTATCCGTCCATGCATCCAAGGATTCTTCATCGTCCTCAAAGGTGGAAGGGAAATGGCTTCCGCTTGGTCTCCAAATGTCGTTTTCCTGTGGGTACTCTGAAGCAGAGAAGGATGCGGACCTCAACTGACCCTGGGCCATGCGAGAAACCGCGGCGGGGGAGCGGCCGAGTCGCTGGCCCCAGGGGCGTTCGCGAGCTGGAGATTGCGCAGACCGCTGATGAGGAGATGTTCCGACCTCTGGAAATGCAAACGCTGGATATTCTGGTACGCCTGATGACCGGGGCGGCTGGCTCACCGCACGGGCTCGTAGCGACTGAAGAACGGGATCTGGCGAGAAACGATTGCGTCTATCCATTGAGTAACCTTGAATTAGTCAATTTTGTTAGCGTAGTTGACCTGTGTGGCGAGGTCTAGACGACTTACCAAATGCGCGTTGACCAACGTCTATCGATCTAAGAGTGGGTATATGCCGAGCAGAGCACTGGGAGCAGCGACAAGAGATACAGAGACGAGTCTATCACAGTCTATGGCCCGTGGATCGACGTGGCCGGGTTCAAGATGCAAAAGCCTTGGAAAGTTGTGTCTGACCGGGCCAGGTCACGAGAGTGCGGGTTCCGCCGAAGGGTGTCCTCGCCCGGCCACTGGGCACGCGCAATTAAACAGAAAAAGAGACTGGGATTGATCCAAAGACAGTATGCGCAGGGAGTACAACGATTGGAATCTCACACTCCACCGTCTCGAGCTTTCCAAGCGCAGCCCCATCGCCGGCTGAGAAACTGCCGGCCCATTCGCCTTCAACGCCCACATCGTCCATTTGTCCACTCCCGTCACCAACAAGAAAACATATTCGCACCCTCCATTCAAGCCCGCCGTCCATCTCGGCGCCTAGCCTCAGTCCGAACCCTGGAGAGGCATCAGACGGAATGTCGAGGGCGAAAAAAGTTTGTTGTAGATTCAAAACCATATCTTCATGTTGTTCACCTTGAACTCGTCGAATGAGGGCCATCTTTGTGCCTGTAAGGGATTGGAGTGTGCGTTCAGATGTTTCCAACAAGTAGTTAACCTGACCGCATTATAATTCAGTACAATCCATTACTATGAGTCCGCGAAATTACGTACCTTGACGACTTTGAGTTCGTTACCGCCCAAGTTGAACGCGACGACACCATGAACCGTTTCGCCCAGCCGGAAGACCGTTTTGGGCATCACCAATGAAGCCACAGGTACGCCACCACGGTGGACATCATACGCAGCTGACATCGTGGAAGTAAGAACCGAGCGCGGGTCCCTTCGAACTGAAAAAGCACCTTTTCTGGATTGTCTGGTCAAAACCTCGACCGCAAACCGGCAACCTTCATCAACTTCCGTATCCTTCGCCTCGTAATCATCACCATCGCTTCCTCGTCTCGTATGATTGGACTCGAGCAACTCCCGACCAAACTCCGACAACGCCTTGACGGCGGCAGAAGCAGCAGGCTTGGACTTTGCTAACGAAGGTTCAGCGTTCAGACGTGAAGTGTGGGTCTAAGAGGTCAACCTTTTCTGGCCACTTCGTATGGTCGAGATGATTCCTCGATGGTCGCCCCAAAGTCTGATTTCGCCTCCGGGCCAATAGGCCACAGAAGATCGTAGGAAATGGTCGGGACATATACTAGACGTGTTATTTAATAGCTGGCATTGGAAATCCCTGCTTACCGGTGACGCGATTGTAAACTCTAAGCGGAAGGCGGAGCAGCCTACTCTGAGAGTCAACCCCAGCAACTCTTCCCCTACACGTCCCGACTATAAGGCTGTACGAGAAACGAAATGCTCGACCGCGATAGGTAGGAGGAAGCGCACCCGGCAACTGAACCGAATATACATCTATGTCGCTCTATTTATTACCATGAGAGCAAAATATAAGGCGACTCACATGTCCTGCTTTCACCGGGTGCAAGAGTTAGATCGACAGCAAGCATTGATTGGGGAGGTGTAAAAGTCGGCAAGGTGTTGGGATCGTCTGTTACAGTCTGGCCTAGTCTGCCTGGTGTAGGGCGACTGGAGAGAAGACCCGAAAGAAAGGATGTCTGTGTGGATGCAGGGGTTCTCGGAGACGAGAAGCCGAACAAAGATGACCAGCTGTTAGGACTCGGTTGATTGGAGCTAGGAGACTTGTCATGAAGGTCCATGCGACCGCCTCCGATAGGACCGCCGCGTGCCAGTCGAGACTTTATCGACGTAATTACTGTGTTATTTATAATTGAAGGGTCAAACTCTACGTTGCCTATTACTTGTGCGTAGGCCCATAGAAGAGTTTCGGCACCCTGGATTGGTAAGGTGCCTGCAGAGGCAGATCTGGGACCCGACTTGTCTGGGATACGCGTCGAGGAGGGAAAGTCTATCCCCAGCCCCTTTGGGATCGACCTGGCTGTCTCCGTTGGATAGGCAGACAAAGAGTCGGCTGCGATAGCGGGGGATGGCATAGCGGGTGTCGATGGTGATGTAGGCGAGTTTATTTCGCTTATGGGGTCCAATGATAGGGGGTGCGGAGAAGGCATTGCAGTAGGTGGCCCTTGTTCGACCGAGTGCCATTGGACCGAGACCTTGCGCGCGTGGGGATGATTGGCTGGGAATGGCTTCTCAGAAAGCGCCTTTCTGTTCTTTGCGGATGCTGCAGGTTGTCAGAGATCCGATACTGCAGATGAGTTTGCGAAATGCATACCCGCTGACGCGTTTTCGAGAGCCAGATGCGCAATCTCAGACTTTGAAATGGTGGTAGATGTTGATTTGAATGTCATGGTTTGCTTTGAACGCGTGGTAGATGGTGAGTCGAGGGGAGCCGTGTGACCAACCAGGCCGCGACGACGCGGGGCGTTTAAAGGACCCGTCGTGGGTGCTATTGCAGGAGAACTTGGTGCGTATTTATGCGTGAAGACGCCTGGAGACGTGGGAGGACGTGCAAGTGGCGCAGAACTTATCGAGTGACCGCGGCGGTGAGGCTTGGTGACGGCTGAAGGCGCTGTCAGGTTCGTAAAAGTAATGGTGACTTTGAGTTGCTCTCCCGCAAAGTAAACCGACGACGATGGGGTAATGGTGACTTCCATGTTGGCATCGCGGGGAAGTCCAAGGTTGGCCACCAACTACGACAAATGATTGGACCAGCTCTCCCGCCACACTTGCGTCGAAATTCTGACGACGCTGAGAAGGGAGACAACCAAACAAATACACATGCAGACAGCGACGACGACGGCGCATATGGACCTGCACTTCCTCCTTCACTGGCACGTCAAAGACAAATAGAGCCGGTCAAGGAGCAAAAATCCACCGTAAATCCCGATAGCGATGATGATAGTGACATTGTTGGACCCCAGTTGCCCTCGGCTAGTGGCTCAAAAGAGGATCCGGATGAGGGAGTTCGTGAATTTCTCGCCAGGGAGCAGAGACGAAAAGCTCTTGCAGAGGTATGATCGTATTTAAAGCCTATACACATAATAAGTAACTCTTCTAGGAAGAGAAGAAACCCAAGCAGCCAAAGCGAGAGGAGTGGATGCTCGCTCCCCCCACCTCATCTGAAGCCCTCCAATCACTTGATCCTACTAAAATCAAGAACAGGCAGTTCTCACGTGCGACAGGTCGCGAAGAGGTGTCTAAAGATACATCTCTCTGGACAGAGACGCCTTCGGAGCGCCAAGCACGGCTTGCAGAGGAATTAAGCGGGAAGCGTAAACGAGCGACCGCCAAGGTGCAGGAAGAGGACGGGGAGGGCGCATACAAGAGGCGTAAGATGCAGGACGACCTCCGAAGAGAGATTGACGATCACAACGTGAGTAACTCTTCGATGTTTGAAGCAGCAACTCTGAAACTCTCTGTAGCGCATGGCGCGACCTGCTAGTCTGCTTGAAATGCATCAAGAGACTCTGGCCAAACAGCCGAGCTCGACAAAGGACGAGGCCATTTGGGACCGGGACCGTGACATGGGTTCTGCGGGGAGACTACTGGATCAGAGCTCGCGCAATAAGATGATCAAGGATGCAAAGGGATTGAGCGACCGGTTCGGTTCTGGAAAGCGTGGTGCTTATGATTAGGAGGACGTCGAAGCAAGTGTATTACGTCGAATCGATGTCTGTAGTATACAACAGAGCACGGAGATGGCACAACAATAAATCCAAGCAGAAGGGAGGAAACTAATGGAAGAAATTCACCAGATTCCGCGCAAGGTCGGGGTTACTGTGCGAAAGAGAGCGTGGGTCGGACGTCGTGACGGGAGCGTGTCTGTCGCGCTTTCCGAAGCGATTCTTCGTGATGGGAGCACGTCGACGTCAGGATACTGAGCCAACAGCTCTCTCCCGGTCCGAGGTGGTGTGGACGGGAGCCGAGGGAGTGGTTTTGTATTTGAAGTGTCATCCAGCCTAGCCATTGACAGCGCATGTGCGACCGAGTTTGGCGACGGCGCGCGACGTGGGGATGGTGAGAGGCCATCCTTGGGTGGCGTACCGGATGGAGTTGCCACCTTTGGGGTTTCGGAAGGGGTACGTCGAGGACTAGGGAGTGGAAAGAGCATCGACTCGTCGTCGTCTGCGCAGAGGTGCTCGAGCATTGCCGGAGGCAGGCGAGCAGGTGCGTTGGGATGTCGTTTTGATTTCCGGGTTTCTATTTCGTCGACCTTTACAGGGGTTTTCAAAAATGCCGAACTGCACGGGGTCGATGTTGAAGGCATGGCAAGTTCCGATTCTGACATTCTTCGACGACGTTGTGCGCCCTTTGACCAATGCTCGTGGTAGTCCTTTTCAAGGCCCTTTTGGACGGAATCGATGCACGCGGTGCAGCATTCGCGGAGTGGGATGCGATCGACAGGCATTGCGTTGAGAGAACCTCGACGAGTGGTCGACGGCTTGTGGGAATTCGATGCGCTCGGAGAGGGGGGCGGATGCGAGGTGTCGCGGTCTGAAGTTGAACATGAAACCGAATGCGAGTGTCGGAGACAGGGCTGGAGAGGGGCTGTCCGCTCAGCACTGTGCAGCCTACGGTGTTTGCGGCTGATGCTAACGAGGAAATGTCAGTCAATACTCGTTGGATGCAAGATCAAGTGGCATACCTTGGGACTTTGACGGTGATGACGGCCGGTGGAGTCTCGTCGTCTGCGCGTTGTCTGCGCCAGGAGGGCAGGACCAGGGAGCGCTTTTCAAGATGGAGGAGAGACTGCTCCTCTACCTCTGGGATGACCACACACGTCGTCTCGAAGTGCACCCGGTGCGATGGGCTCGGGGGCAGCAACATAGGCATCCTGGAGCTTGCGGTCGCCGTCGTTGTTGCGGTCAGAGTTGGAGGAATAGTTGGGTGAGCTTTGGCCGCATTTAGCGTGCTCCCATCGTCCATCGTACGAGGCGTTCAGGGCCAAGCCGTAAATGGCCACGGGTCACCTGAAAGAAAAGAACAAAGGGTATTTTCAGAAACCCTCGGAGATCATGCCATGGCAGCAACTCTCTTCGTCTTTGCGCTAGTCGTCGCCGTGTTTCATCCCAAGGACTGCCGTTTTGGAACGTGCGGTCAGCTTTCTGCTACTTGACACAATGCATGCCAATGCTTGATCCACTTCTCACTTTTTATTGTGAAATAGGATGTACTAATGCTCGTTTGGTCGCGGGCCAGTCACGTCCTCGGCCCAGATCGTCGTTTCCTCGTGTCTCGCGTCGCCCCCAACGGTCGGTGCATCCCAGACAATCGTCATAGGCGTCTGTGAACTGGTTTACGCGTCTTTGGTCCAAAATCGACGGCGTTGGTCGAGTCTCAGTCCGCTGACAAACATCTCCGCCAATGGCCCACGTAAGTTGCGGCAGTCTGTTGCACGGCCGCCATCGACTCCTTCTCCGACCCATCTCCGACTGCAAACCCTGCTCGGATAGATTCCTCCAATCGTCCGCTCTTCACCGCCTTGATCCAGCCCTCATCTTCTCCGATCATCCCCAGCTCGTCTATCGCCCCCAGCGCCTGCACCTTGGCCAACCCGTGCTTGTATGATTGGTCAACAGTATTTGGGCCCCTGTCTGCCTGTCCTTCTTCGTTGTCATCCTCCTCGACGCGAGCAGGAAGTCTCAATATCTCCATCATTCGGTCGGCCGTCGGTGGTGCGTATACGCTCGCCCTAGTTTGTCCACTCCGTCCTCCATCCTCGATAGGTTCACCTTTTACTCGAGGCTTTGGTGGTTTTCGCGCCTTGGTCGTGTGCTGCCGATGTCCTGTCGACCCTCCAGACTGCGTCACGATATATGCACACGCAATCGCCAGTTTGAACCCAAAGTCCGTCAAACCTGCGAACAACGTCAAAAATCCTGTTGCGGACATGCTTCCTAGTCGTCGCTCGGTCCCACCGACGAGCCTGTCCGACGACAACAATTGAGGGGATGCTCGGGTCAAAGAGATCAACTAATACTGGATAATCAGATCACTTTTGTTATATCAAGTGCAGGAATACTCACAGATCGAAGTAGGCTCGTGCCCATAGCCACTTTACGTTCCTCCAACGGTTCCTCAAACGTGGATGCAATAATATCCAGAGGCCCGTCCATCACGAGTCTTGGTCCGAATCCTGGATTCGGAAGCTGGCTAGCCAGCATTGGCGATGGACCGCCGTGTGCGGTGCCGTCCTTTTCAAATGCATGTATCATCCATTCGAGAACAGGCCACGAAGCTTCGCCAACCAGTCTACATCGTCCCTTGATTTCATAGGATTCTGTCCCGATGAAGCCAGGAGATACTAACTCCCAGCAGCTCTTCACCTGCGTAATCGTCGAGGCGTGGTACGCCAAAGGATTTCCGACCACGCTATTTCCATCGTACTCCAATGGATTGTCGTATGAAGGGATCGCACAAAGCAAGTCGTGAGCCTCGTTGGTATGAAGAAAGTGGTAAAGAATGTCCAGCGCCATACCCACAATCTCTTGTGTAGGGGAGGACATTTCCGAAGTTGTCCTTTGTACTCCTCGTCGTTTATTACTAGTAGTGCTTGGTGACTCCTCCTTCCTACGGGTACCGACAGGGTAGAGTGCCAAAAACAATAGCTGGCGAACATGTTGACTGGACGTTGGTAAACTAATGCGCTCTTGTCACCAATGAGACCTACGGGCTTGGTCGTACGTCCGGAGCCCTGAGTCTATCCAGCATGCCTAATCCTACGTTGTCTACGGTGTTCAGTTGACCGATCTGGGATGCTACGGGAGCACGGTAAAACATACAGAGCGACTCTTCGAAACAGCTGTCCACGAGAGCTCGTTGCCTTCGCGGAATTTGGAATGTAGCGGTCATGGTGGCTGGCTCCAAGCAGTAAAGGCGAGCCTTCACGTCTTTTGACTTTGACCATGTCCGCGTTGGGGACCTTGGCCAATCCTCCACTGGCCTTAGTGGATGGGGCAATGTTTGATTACTTTCTAATGGAAATGGTGGCCACAATTCGACAGTCATCAGTGGTGGCTAGCCAGCGACAAAAGCAACTCGAGGACGAGATGGCCAATGCAAACCTCCTTCAGCATTCTCAGCATCGCAGCGGACATCAGCAACTCACCGAAGATGCATTAAGGGCTAGACTGGACAACATAGGTGCCCAGGTCGGCGCGAGTCTTGTTGAAAAGTCGGTTTCATTTGGACATGTCTATTCAACCTTGAATGACTATCTCTTTAGGCTGTCAAAGGATAGACAGCGTTTTACCGACACGCTAGACTCTGTCAAGTTTATTTGCAAGGATATCTGGATGGCTGTCTGGGACAAGCAGGTCGACAATTTACGGACGAATCATCGGGCGCCTACAATTCTTTCGCCTACATCGGTGTTGATCTGTCAAGGGCGTCTACGTTCTGCAAGATAATGCGTTTCGACCACTAATGCGCATCTCCTCTCCCGAGGGAGGTGCAGATGCTTTGGCAAAAGCGAAGATCGTAAGTGTATACAAGAGAATAAACCACATATATGACTATTTGGCAGTATCTAGCCTTTCATGCTGGTGTCCTGCGCGGCGCATTGGCTCGTTTAGGTCTCCAAGGTACAGTAACTCCCGAGGTCACAAGTCTTCCTCAATGTGGGCCACTAGTTCTCTTGTTGAGGATACTCTGAGCGTTTCTCAGGCATCTTTCAAATCAAACTACCCAGAGTGTGACGGGGATGGCACGTATTTACTATTAGGCAGACGAATGAAGAAACGAACAAGAAGCCCTGCCTTTGTCTAAACTATCCCTTGGTTCGTTTACGGAAGAGCCCGCCCGTACTGCCCGCTTGAGGCCTGCGAGGTACATGTAAGCCAAACCGCGACGGTGAACGAGGGACTGCGTACTTGTTTCTCTTCCCAAGACCAAGAAGCGAACCCAGTGCACTCGCACCCGAGTTGGGTCCTTCGTCCACCTCCATCGGATCTTCGATGGGCTCCTTTTCACGCCCTTTCTTCGCCTTTGACTGGATCTCCTGAATCATGGCTTCGCGCTGTGCTTCATGGTTCTCAAACGCTTGCTTTTCGTTCTTCTCCTCCAACGTTACGGCCTCGATTTTCTTGTCAAGCGTGCCTAGCACTGCAGCTGTTCTCTGAGACCTAGAATATTATCAGAGCCGCTCCTTTGTGACTCTGATTCAATCTTTACCATCGCTGGAGCTCTTCGAGAAGTCCTGGAAGCTGGGACATGGAGAGGTCACGGCCCATCGTAAACTCTACTTCGAATTGCTGTTCTTTCTGGTCCAGTTTACCACGGACTATATCCCGATAGATTGCATCTATGATGAGATCTTCAAGTTCACGGATTGAGCTGATATCGAGATTTGACAAAAGGGTGTTGTACGCCAGTATCTATTCCCGAGTCAGCGCGGCAACTAATTCAAGAAGGAGCAGACCAACCCTGGTTTTCATGGCCATAGATGCCAACGATAAGTACTTTAGCTTTGTGATCTGCTCCGAATTCAGGGCCGGGTAAGACGACTGCTTTGCTGTGGCGAACCGCAAATTAGTCAATCTTCGGAGGTGATTGCATGGATGAAAGTGTTACCTTTGTAGTCTTGATATGTTCCATGAGCAAACAACTCCAAAAGAGCGTACGATGCTTGGTGGTCTGGGTTTGCTTGAAGCTGGGGACGTAGAACGCGATCAGCACGCGTCATTCTGTGCCTAATACATTTATAATCACCTCTCGAATGTTCTGCGTTTCCAGAAGTTGAGCAAAGACATAGACGCCGGGGGCCGTTGTCGCATCTTGGATCAGCTTTGCGGCCGCAGCACCCTTTGCGCTCTTAGACATGAGCAGAAAGGGCTCCAATTTTGTCGTGTACGCTGCAAAGTCCATGGCTCTGGTCGTGGCTGGGTCCAAGCTCCTGTTTCAGCGCTTAGTACGTTAGCCACCAACCACATCTTTGAACGCGACGACTGTGCGGCCAATGGCGCTCTCGATGCTCACAAAGCATTTGGGAAGCACAAAAGAAAGAAATCAGGATGTCACAGAAAGACTCAGATTCGCGTTAGACACCATGCCCAATGCCCGCCATGGCCTATTCAACCCACCGGCTCGTGCAAGTATTCTCCAAGAGCTCTATACGGCCCTCTGGGGGAATAACTACTCACTCTTTCTGGCTCGAAACGAGCTGCTCCCTCAGGGAGGTCTCCTGTCCGAGGCTCAGGCTCGATCATCGCACAAGCCCGCAGACGATGGCGTATCTCGAGCGTGTCAGCACGTATTTAAGAAAGGAGAGTGCTGCTTCAGATGCAAGTCAGTTACACGGATCCTCCTCCTGCACGTTACTCACCTTGTCGGTTAGAGACTGTGCCATGGATGACAGCTGCATAATGTGTGCTAGGTGCTTCTACTCTACCGAGCATGCCGGCCACGTCGTTACTTTTTGCATATCACAGCAACCGGGCGGGAGTTGTGACTGCGGTGATCCCGAAGTCTGGCGTCACCCTATCAACTGCCCTCATCACCAGAACGGTGCATCTACTTCGGATTCGACCACAAAATCGTCAGATAAGCGCGCCCCTGTGCCGATTTCCCCCAACTTGCGTGATTCAATGGCAAGAGTCATTGGATGTGCTTTGGACTTTCTACTAGATGTCCTCGACTACTCTCCGGAGGATACGACACTACCATCTTCTTACGAAGCGCTGATGGATCAGTCATCCGCCGACCCGCTTCAGAAAGAATACTGGGCCATTGTATTGTGGAACGACGAAAAGCACTCATACGACGAGGCAGTAGCGCACCTACAGCACATGACTGGCTGCAACCTTCAACAAGCAACAGCGGTCGTACTTAGAACAGACGACGAGGTATGGCGAATCGTTCACTCTATTGCCTCTTTAACCCTAATAGGGAAGGGATGTGATTGAAGTCGCAGGAGATGCGAAACGGCTGCTAGAAACTGCCCACAAGATTAGTACCGTCGATCTGACGGTCACGATGCGTCGTGCATTCGACATCTTCCGGGAGCACATGGCCGCCGTCATAATTGAGTGGCTGCTCGACTTGCTTCAATGTCACGTTGGAGGGGATAAACACATTCTTCGGGAGCTGGTAGCGGCAGAGCTTTTCTCCTCCCGGCGACCTGATTCTAGTTTCCTTTACTCAGAAGTATCCAAACAGTATCCAGAAGCACATGAGGGAGGAAGGATAGAATGGCTCTTCATTTATCACCCAAGATTATGGAAACGGCCGCGGCTGAACCTCAAACAAATCTACATTACCATACTCACGATGAGTCAAGAAAATCGCCTCAGTGTGGGTGAGTGACTGACTGTATTTCTACCTATTTTTCTCCTCTAAACTCCGATGTAGCCATTCACTATGCCAAGATGTTCCATAGAATCATCGACTCGTATCTTCTCGTGGACCGTGAAGCAGAGACATCGATCAAATTCTTCGCATTGGACCTTTTCACTGTCCCGAGTGTTGCAGCACATTTGGTAAAGGAATGCGGAGTCCTTTCTCGCCTGCTCTCTGTGATAGCGGGTTTCTTCACCAATCAAATTTCGAACAAGCGCATCGTCTTCCCTCCAGATCCAAATCATCCAATGGATGTGGAAGCATACCCTTTCCGGAGTAAGCGATACATGCCCATATTCAGCGATATACGATACATCTGCAACAATCATAGCGTCCAAGGTATCATCAGCAGCGGCACAAATGCCACATCCGAATTCGCAGCGGTATGCGCAATGTTCATGGGCATACAGCCCAATAAGCGAGCTCGAGGAAACCACGTTGAATACGAGAGCGATTCATGGATCAACGTCTTCAATGTCACGCTTTCACTTTCACGCGTCGTGAAGGCTTTCGGAGAGGCCTTTACCTGCGCCTCGCCTTCAGCGTTACTTGCGTGCATCGAGGTTGTCATGACGCAGATACAACGTGCTTGCAGCATGGAAGAAACTCGCCTCGATCCAAACTTTTACTCTGCGCCAACCTTCCATACGGTATCATTCCAGGGCGCTAATTATCGAACCATCGAATTCGACGTACTATCGGGTTGGGTTAGCTTTCATAACGCTCCTCATTGGCTGTTGGCCGAATTGCTCAAGCAAGCAAGTTTGTTGGAATCGCGGCAGACAGGCGCCACGCATCAGACAGTTCTGCAGTCCGCAATAGCGGAAAAGTTTGATGATGCGACTATTCTCCAAATTATCGAGTTTCCTCTACGCGGTAGGCCCTTCCCAGTTCTCGCAAGATGATTATCTGACCGCCTTTAGTATTGGCGCTCATTGCCCAGGTGAGAGCCGGCCTTTGGGTGAGGAACGGATTCCCGATCCGAGGCCAGCTCGTCCACTATAGGGACTTTATGCTACGGGAGCTCTGCTATGATCAAGATTTATTCTTACTTCAAACGGCGATGATCCTCATCGACCCGAATCTTGTTCTGGTGTCAATGTTGGATCGCTTCCAGCTGCTCGACTGGATGTCCGGAAATCAAGCTCATCCGGAATGCGAGCCCACACATCTCGCAGGTCTCGTGGAGGAGCTTTTGTTCACACTCATATTCTGTACCGGAGATCCCTCAAACGCCTTACAGCTACCTCTAGAAGCCATATGCAAGCGAGAAATCGTCCATGCATTAGCCCCGGGTCCAATCAGTTTTACTGATCTCTGCAAGCGGGTACCCGAACGCTTGATTGAGGAGGCCAGTTTCGAACACGTGTTACAGAATGTATCCGTGTTTCGTAAAGCTGAGAGTATTCTCGACACTGGCTCCTACGAACTGAAGGAGGAGTTTTATGAGGAAGTCGACCCATTCTTCTACCATTACACACGTGCTAGACGAGAGGAGGTGGAAGGGGTTTTAAAGTCGAAGATGGCCAAAAATGGATCAAAGGATCTGGTCATACTTCCAAAGCCGTACAAGATCCCTGCCGGTCCCTACGCAAATCTGGAAACCGTTCTGGAATCTCCGGTACTCCTTCAGATCATCTTCTACACAATTCACAACTTTGTGTATGGAGCCCCGTTGACAGAAGGATCAGTCTCAACCGATGCCATCATTGACCAGGCGCTCCATCTCGCCACCCTCGCTCTCATCCAACTAGGCCCAAGGTTTACAACCATTGCTCGGCAGACTCGGTTCTCCGACACGTCTCTCGTCGAAATGTTATGTGAGATTGAGACCAGAGACTCTTCCAAGGCGTCTAGGCCACGAATACAGTGGTGTCTCGATTGCATGACAGAGCATGACCCTTCTGTTCGTGAATTCAGACAACTACCAGAGGCCAAGCCGGTGTCAGACGCCTCAATGGAAGCCAAGAAGAAAGCAGCAAAGGCAAGACAAGACGCGATCATGAAACAGTTTGCGGATGCACAGAAGATGTTCATGGAAACATTCGACGAGGACGAAGAAGAAGAGACATCCGCAAATCAACCCCAGTCGGAAGTCGAAGAGGCACTGGAGCCTTGTATCTTGTGTCAGGAGAAGATGGATTCAAGCCGACCTTTTGGGACTATTGCGGCCATCCATCCAAGTCGACTAGTCAGATACAGCCCTCCTCCTGGCACCCCTCAGTGGTCAGATGTACTTCGCTCTCCAGAATCTTTGGACAAAGAACTGCCGGTGGTGGAAGGAGATGCGAAGGCAGATCGACTCACCGCCTTTCCTTCACGCTATCTTCGATTTGGAACATACAGTTCGACATGTGGCCATATGGTTCATCACCACTGCTTTAGCGATTACATGGAAGCCATTAGGTCTCGACATCGAGTACAACCACAACGGCATCAGCCGGAATGCCTAGAGCGTGGGGAGTTTGTCTGCCCATTGTGCAAAAGTCTCGGAAACTGCCTACTTCCTGTGAACAAGGCAACAACAAAACCCACCACTCGCATCCCACCTTTTGCGGAATGGCTGCGATCCCTCGGAATTGAACTTCTCCGATCTACTCCTGATCGGCAATTGGAGCGCCATCAGTTCCCTTCCGGAACTGGAGAGTTCATGTTTTGGGCTGCGGAGGATACCGCATGGCCTACGGATCCATCAGCTTTGGGATCTGGTGATGAGATAGCATCGACTGTCCGAGCCGCGACAGCCATGATTTCTCGGCAGTCTGCACCATTGAGGACTCGACCGGAACCCATGGCAGGAGAAAGGGGTGCTGGGCTTTACATTCCAGATGGACTGGGTGCATATACACTGGCGGCGTTGGAAGTCGCTTACAGAGGCGTTGGAGCCACTGGAACCACTCGTTTCCTTCAGAAGCTCCCCGACACCGCTGGGCAATGTATACGGGGCATAGTTGGCACACTGAACCGCCTTGCAGTTGTGCAGTTTCGCTCTCGTCCGACCAGCACATTCGACTCTATGCGATTGGCTATTGCCAAGAGGCTACTTCCGGAATGGACAAGAGAGGAGCAATACAGACACCCTTTCCTACTGAGAGACCCGTGTTCCGTTCTCTTCGAATGCGCCGCCGTCGCACCAGATTTTATTCCAAATATCGTCTGCGCCCTCTATTACGCATCGCTCCTCCGTGCACTTTTCGCACTCATTCAGCATCTATTGACATCTTCATCCTCACATACTCCCTCATTAAAGTCTACACGACACACTTCTTTTCTCGGAAGTGTCGCCGTGCTCCTAAAATCGGCTGCTCGCCACTCTCCCATCCTTGATCGAACAGCGGACCGTATCCTCGATACTATAGGAGAAGCCAGACTGGAACAACTTCTATATGCCCATACCCTCCCGACACTTCGATCTCTGCTCATTTTCGCTCACGCAGTGTGTCCCTGGGCAATCAACCCAGTAGACGAATCGGAAATGTGTGAGTATGAGCGTATATTAAGAGCACTTTCCATACCATTTCCTTCCGATCTCCACAACCATGAAAGCATTCAAGTGCTTCTGGCTGGTTGGTGCACACATTATGGACAGCTGTACACGATTGCAGCTAGCGAATGCCTTATTCGTCTCGAATATCCAAACGTCTATCATCTTGCTCAACTTCCGACCATCCTGGATTATATGTGGCAGGGTAACGATGCCCTACTTACATGTGCACGTTGCAATACCATGCCTGCAGACCCGGCAATATGTCTGATCTGTGGCGCGTTGTGTTGTCACCAAAGCTATTGTTGCAGAGGCTCAGATTGGAGCCAACGAGGCGAGTGCAATATGCATACGCGAGAGCAAGTCCTTTCGATTCTTCCCTTCGTCATACCCTGACATGTTAGAAAGGTGTTCTGGCCCAATAGGCATCTACTTCTTGTTGAAGCGCTGTGTGGTCCTTTATCTATACGGTGATAGTGGCTCATTTGCTCCACCGCCCTATGTCGACTCCCACGGAGAGATTGACATTGGCCTGAGGTAAGAAAGCGCTTTTACTCCTGTCTGTGTAACTCAAATTCCGTAGGCGTGGGCGGCGTCAGTATCTTCATCCAGTTCGCATGGAAGAAATACGCAAGACCTGGCTCCTCAATGGCGTTCCATCTGCAGTATCACGACGGATCGAGGTACAGACGGATGCAGGCGGCTGGGAGTCTCTATAAGCGAGTTTTTAGCAAACTTCTTGCGCAATGTCCAAGTTTATCAACAATCAATAAACCAACAAGACTAGTGAAAACACAGCCAATAAAGTGAAATAGACTCATATAATGCATCCAATTCTACCATGTCACGAGCCAAGATTGAACTTCAGTAAAGCACCCACAATGGAGACCTGCTGCCACGGGCTATCAGGTGCAGAAGCCGCCTTTCGTGTGCGAATGTGAGCCAATGTATTTCGGAAATGACGTTGGATCATCTCTGGTGCCTGAACTCCCTCGATCAGACCAGGGGGAGCGCGCAGGGTGGGGTGAATATCGACATTGCTGATATTTTCAATGTTGCTGCTTATCAGCTCAACAAGGCTGTTGACGAATTTTGGAGTGACCTGATGTGGTTGTCAATAGAAGCCACGGAGATACGCGAAACACAGCTGACCTCTGTCACACCATGATCCAGGTAGTACAAGTATTGATCCAGTGTATCGCAGTACAGTTGAACAGTGACAATTTCTTCTATTGCAGAGCTGGCGATCCTGAGAGACTTTTGCAGGCACTCGAGAACGCGCTTTCCGTCCCTATGAGGGTACTATAGATAGAGAAAACGGAAGATCAGCGATTAATTCAGGCGGTTTAAATTAAGGCTTACGCTCTTAGCCTGCTCTGGTGTCACGGGGGTTCCTTCAGACGGTTCAGCTACCTTTGGTTCTGTTGATGCCGACTCCGACTCGGAATCTGGACTCGGAGCTCGTGTTTGCCACCACATGTGACTAGCCATGTGGACCGCAGTTGACTGATGTGGCTTTTTGAGGAGTTTGGCGCCGTGGAGTGCCGCTTTGGTGATAAGAACGTCATAGTTGTCGACACTGAACACCTTGGCACCTTGCAGAGTGTTGATGATCAACGTGATGGCCTGTAATTGTGCGCGACTGTCGTTGATACTGTCCTCGTAGACAGTAAAGGCCTGTACATAGAGCTCGTATGTAAAATCCTCGAAACCACACTCGTCGGAAATCTGAGCGGCCAGTAGGAATAGGCGTAGCGAGATGGAATGCGCTTCTACCGTCGTCGAGAGGACAGAGATGAGCTGCCGGATGAAACGGAGCAGGGTCATTACTCTGTTCTCCCAATCCGACTCCTGTGCCGATGGTGTCAGATAGGTCTACACAGGCTCAACCTTACGAACCTCTTGTTGTCGCTGCTTGTACCGTCTGGCGAGCCTAATGGCGGCTGTAATAAGCGAAGGGTACGTAAAGCGCATTCTCTCCCCTCCTCTCTCAAAGTGCCTTTGAGCCGTGCGCATGAGCTATCAAACGATTCAGAGACCTGTCGACATTGATTTGGCATACAGACCTCGAACTGGGTCTCCAAATCTTCAGATCTGAACAAATGTACCATCCGCGCCACCCATCCTTGCTCTTCGGCTAATTGCTCGAGATCCAAAGACTGCACTCCGGCGCGCGGCCTCTGACCACTGTACATTCCGTTCACACCGGGCACCGATTCTACCTGTTCTTGGATAAGTACCTGGCAGAGCTCGAGTACACCGTCAACGTCCTCGGGTGTGTCGATCACAGTTTCGTTCTTAAGAACTGAGGAGACGATGGAATGAGCCAACGACCTTCGGGAGTTGTAAGGTTGCTGATAGAGCAGTGGGACGTATCGAGGAAGAGCCAGGAGCGTGAGGACGGATTGATACGAGTTGACTGGTGCCGCAAGGAGGGATAGAAGGTTGCTCGTTGTCTGTGGATTGTGTAGTTCGGGGCTATTCCTGCGGTTACTAAAATCAATCGTCAACAAGCACGAGAACTCACGAGTCACGGAAGTCGTTGATCTTTTGCGTGGCAAATGCGAGTACTTGGTCCACATACTCCAGCCGATCAGGATAGCAAGAGAGGGAGAGGTTTGTGAGAGAGACTAGGAGTGCAGTAATGTCCTGAATCAGCAAATCTGGGCGGGCCTTGATAAGCTCAACGACTTGGAACCAAAATACTTCGAAGAGCTTGACATCTTCAGGGATGCCTCTAAACCGCTTTGGGGGCCCATCCTCTGTAGGAGGCGCTGATTCTGGAGATGCAGGCGTCGTCTGATCCACATGTGGGGACCCACCCCAGCCGTCCTCCGTAGACATGCCCGGTGAACGTAGTCCAGTCTCCTTGGCTCTCGCTTTTTGCACCCGTACACGCTCGGCGAGTCGTTTGGCAGCAGCCTCTTCTTGGCGCTTAGTCTCCTCTGGATCTTCGTTTTCTGCTTCTCTCGCTGCATACGAGGCTAGCCTGTCGATCAACGCAATAACTATTTGCTTGATGTTGACTTTGGGATGCAAGAGTGCAGTAGCGGAGAGGAAAGGGCCAAGAGTATGGAGATGAAACTCGTCGGTAAACACCTTGGGCACAAATTAGTATCTTGTGTGGACCAATGGAGCACAGGCTGACCTGAATGACAACCTCCATGAGATACTCTTGGGCAATTACGTCTTTGCAGTTGACGACTTGCTCTAGGATACTAGGGAGAATAGTCTGCTGGTACATGGCGAGGTCGACTCCGTCGAGCTGGCTCAAGCGGACCAGGTTTGTGCCGACGAGGATACGCAGCTCCTTGCGTTCCAATTCTCGCTTTTCTCGATCTCGTGAATGACCCTGATGTTGCAATCGAACCCAGAGCTTGTTCATCTCAATAAAGTTGGTCAAGACAAAGCCGATAGAGTCTGCAAGATTACCAGAGGGACTGAACAGGATGAGCGACGGTGATGATACAAGGGTCGGAACACTGGCTCACCCTTGATCGTTGCCTATAGGCAAATGGTCGCGAGTCTGACCGGAAAGATAGTGCCGCAAGAATAGACCACGCGTTGGATGCTGAACGCCTCTGGACATCTCCATCATGTCGCGCATGATCTCCTTGACGGGTGCATCTGGGATACTCATGTAGACGGCACCGACCGTGATCATGAGATAGAGACGGGGGACGATATTGCCCGCGTATTGGACCAGTTCGTACAAGTCTGCGAGATGATGCTTGCCCGACTGATGTGCGTCGTACAGATAGTTCGATAGATAGCGTAGAGCGTCGAATACAGCCATATCTAGAGATTAAAATCAGTTAGGAGCGGGCGTGAGGGAGCCAAAGGACGGGTTACGCACATAGCTCATAGTACTGCTTTGGCGAGAGGGAGGACGTCCTGAGTTCTGCAAGCATTGTGCTTGCACTCTTCAAGGCGTCCATTAACTGCTCAGCATCCTGGAAAATTCGCGCATAGTCAGCCGTTTGCGCGCGTAAACGTGTTGCTCTCTGGCCGGCGACGAACCAAATGGCGCTTCATCTGGACGACTTGAATCTTGACGGTGCCCAGAGCATCTGATAGGAGCTTTGCCTCGTCTTGCTGCGGCGCCGACGACATTTTGTCCCAGGACCGGTCGTGGCTATGGTCAGAAACTCAAACTTGGTCTCGAATATTTGCGAAAATGCCCAAACGCAAGACGCTACAAGAAGACAAGGCACCAGAATCAGACTCTGATGTTGTATGTACTTTGGGGTTTCATCGTAATATGGCTGCTGACGGCGCTGCGGAGAGCATAGTCGACGTCGACTTTGACTTTTGCGACTTTCGGCCACAGACGGATTATATTGCGATCAAGAGACTATTACAGCAGTTATTCCACACAGACGCATCTCTCTTCCATCTCGGTGCAATTGCAGACCTCGTCCTCTCCCAAGACGATGTCGGGTCCACCGTCAAGACAGACGGCGTCGACAGCGATCCACTCGCTTTTCTCGCCGTGATAAACCTACACGAGCATAATGTGAGTGCTTTTATGCACATTACTCGCTCTCCAGCACTCATCTTCAGCAGAACCACCCAGAACTCGGTGTCCTTAGAGACTATCTGCTGAGCAAGCTCTCGGCCAATCCAGACTTTCAAAAGACAGTTTCAACACTTTTAGAAAGCGATGACAGTGGCCATCACCTTGGTCTCGTCCTCGGTGAGCGCGTATACAATATGCCCCCTCAAGTCATGCCCCCCTCCTACAAAATGTTGCAAGACGAAATACAATGGGCCATAGAAGATGTAAGCACGTTCATACTATGGTCCTTTATGACTAAATCCTTGCCAGAATAAACCATACCGCTTCTCCCATCTCCTCATCCTCTCAAGAGTCTTCAAGCTTGATGACAGCGAGGAAGAGAGCATACCTCCGAGCAAAAAGCGAAAGACTGCACAGACCAGTTCCACAAGATCTGCTGGGGTCGTCCATAGCTTTCATCCAGAGGACTCATGCATTCAAAAGGTGAGTATCGACAGATAGGCCTCAACAGTCCATTTAAATCATCTCAGGTGGCTTTATATTCGCTCGACTTTACGTTTTCGCACCAAGAACCGCGGACCAAAGAGTCGTTTGGGACTGATATAGGTGGAAGAATAATGCTAATAGCAGGAGACAAGCTGGGAGAGGTAGTAAGGGACATGGAGGCCAAATTTCCTCCCCCAAGTTGACTATGAAGGGTCGACGTTTGCGGTGTTTGTGAGCTCGCGAAATGTGCGAGTAATGTCTCTATGCAGACTCTCTGGACGCCAGTCAATGTATATAAATGGAGAGGATGATGCTTACTCGCTCGTTCGACTGCCAATTTGTACTCTGCATTTGTCCTGCGCATCTCATCGTCGAGGGCTCCCAGTCGTGCAGCCTATAGAGGATTTGGTCAAGACTGTCTCAACCACGAGGACAACCTACCTGAGATTCCTCTGGCTCTGGGGGTGGAAGAGAGTCGATGAGGCGCTCAATTTGTTTTGCCTTTTGCACGAGGTCTGCGACCAGCTCACGCTTATTCTCTGGACCGATGAGCGGCGTTTGGAAAGCATTCTAGCGAATACCTTCAAACTTTTGTGGGCTGTCGACCTTGTCTTTTGGCCGCGCCTTGTAGATGGGAATCGTCTCCGCGACTGGCTTAAAGTCTGTGCGCTGGACAAGCTGGACAACGGAGAGCTTCATGATCAACAGCAGCTGCTCGATGCAGTCCTGGAGTTGGCTCAGCTTGTCCATGTTCACTGACTGCTCGTCGTCGACCCGCACAGGCATCAGGATTTCGCCACTTGCTGCCCACCAAAAGCTTGCTCCCAACTACGATCATGGCTGCAGCCACAGCTTCCCTATTCTCATTCCCCACTTCGGGAAATGCACTCACAAACCTCAAAGTAAAGAGCTATGACAACGATCCAGCGCTCCCGCCACCCAGAAAGGCTGCTCGCCGCGATTCCGGCTCGTCACCCCGCAAGCCTCGGTCATCCACCACGGGCTCTGGTTCACGACAGATAGAGCTCATTCTGGAATCAGGCAGGTCGCATCTTCTTCATCCCTATCGACCTAACACTCCGAAAAGCTCCCCAAGCGTCATCCCAAACATCCCTCATGACCCTCGTTGAAAAGTTTATACGGTCTTCACTTTTGCCAGACGGAGGAATACCAATTGAAACATCTTTCCAAGGGGTATTCGATGCGTGCAAAGTACTTGTCCTCCAGTCGAATCAGGGACACGCTCTGGAAAGAATTTTGGACGTCAGTCTGAAGAACTGTTCAGTGGCAATTATGAAAGAGTTAAAGAGTTCCGATATCCCTCTTCCCGCATGGATGACCAAGCTCAACGATCGATGGTCGTGGTGGCTTCGTCGCATCGTAAGTGCACTAAAAGTCGCGACTATCGCATTCATTGCCATCTAGAGAGTATTGCGTTCTGCTCTTGTCTACCTGGATGTCGCCTACCTGGCAACAAATGAGGACAAGTTGACCATTCAGTTGGTCATCTCATCTTGGAACACCTGCTGGCGCTTACGATACGTAGGGATGCTGCATTTCATCGTTTTGAAGACACCGTAGTCGCAAGCACGACAGTCACGCTCAAGTTGGAAGCAGCCTTGAAACGATGGTCTGAGCAGAGACGGGCGGGAGAGTGGGTGCTTGGCTGATAATGATCCACTTTGATTGACGCCCGGCAGGAATACCGAAGACTATGACGATCAATTAAGGCTGGTCGTGGATTGCATGAGTACCCTGGGCTGCTACGACGACCAGGTGCACCAACCATACCTGCGATTCACATCCGACCACTATACCAAAAAGAGTCAGATGGCACCAGAGACAAACGCAAAGGATTACCTGTTGATGTGCATCCAAGACATCTCCGATGAGGAGCGTCGAGGAGCAGATATCCTTCGTGAAGAAACGCGGCGTGACGCAAGTGTCACTGCGCTTTCCGGTCTTGCCATGGAACATATGGATTATCTCGCAAAAGATGGTGCCAGCATATAAGCGCCTTGTGACGAACCCCGCTAACACATTCATCAGGCCTTGCGGAGATCATTACCTCCCGAAATAAGACACTGTTCCATCAACTGTACAACTTGATCGGACGCCTCACTTCCGTTTCGACGACTTGGAAGACTTCGCCATCCGACGCATTGCTTGCTCACTACAGAAATGATGTGTTTGAACGAGTGAAAGGAACCATCCTTGACACTGCCAACGAGTCGTCAATGGTTGAGAATCTTTTGGAACTCAAGGAATTTCTCGACGAATGTCTATCCGCAGACTATATTGACGATGCACAACAAAATGACCGCAAATTTACCCATGCGACCTCAGAGGCGTTCGAGCGGGGGTTTTCAACTAGAAAGATTAAGCCGGCCGAGCTCATTGGTGAGTTTTGCTACAAATCGACATTCTGATGCTGGCTGACGGGGCTAGCCAAACACGTCGATTCACTTATGCGGCGAGGTCAAAAGGCTGCCTCAGACCAAGAGTTTTTCGCCCAACTCAAACGTGTACTCACATTGTATCGATACTCTCATGGCCAGTCCAATTCCTCTTTAAGGATGCCGTTTACTTACCGACTATTCCAGACAAGGATGTCTTTAGGGCGTTTTACACACGCGCGCTGGCCAAACGTTTATTGCTAGGCCGTAGCGCATCGGATGATTTCGAGAAGCAAGTCTTAGCTGAACTCTCTAAATGTGCGAATCTGATCCGTGCACACTCCTGATTGATACTGACCTCTTCCAGCTTATGATGCAGCATTCTCGGATATGACACAAATGTTCAACGACTTGGCAATCTCCAAGGATTTGATGGAGACATATAGGAACACCAAAGACCAAGAACCCGCGCGACCCGACCCTTCGCTCACGGTAATGGTACTCCAGCATTCAGTATGGCCAGTTATCCGAAAAGTGTCAAAGTTGGATGCGCCAGTTGAACTGCGACTTCCTTCACAGGTGATTATTTCTATAGAAGGGCGTGAATTGACTCACAGTTCCCGGTAGATGGAACATGCGCTCAACGACTTCATAGCATTTTACAAGACTCAGCACAGCAATCGAAAGCTCACCTGGGCGCACTATCTTGGCACGGCAACGCTGGTGGCACGCTTCCCGAGTGGCAAAAAAGAGTTATCTGTCAGTTTGTATCAGGCCGCTGTGCTCCTCTTATTCAGTGAGCGTGATGATTGGTCCACGGAGGAAATTCATGGTCGTTTGGGCCTTGGTGAGTCTCGGTAATCTGATCTGAACTGTGCTAATATTACGGAAATGTAGCTCTGCCGGATCTGACGCCCACTTTGCAATCGCTTGCACTCGGTCGCAAGCTCGTCCTGCGTCGTACACAACCTAGACAGGGAAAAGACGTCCGCATGGATGACCGGTTCTCGTTCAACGAAGACTTTACAGATACCAAAGTGAAGCTACATATCAACACGATTCAGCAAAATGACACAATGGAAGAGACGCAACAGGCAGTCAAAGTCATTGACCAGTACCGCGAGGCGTCGCTCGATGCGGCTATTGTGCGTATCATGAAGGCTGCCAAGACGATGAAGCACCAGCAACTGGTCAATGAGACCATTGACGCGGTGTCCAAGCACTTCCGACCCGAAGTCAAGGCAATCAAAGAGCGAATCGACAGTCTGATCGAGCGCGAATTTCTGCAACGCAATGAAGATACCGGCGGGAGCAATAAATTAAGAGATACGTATTCGTATCTCGCCTGAGATGGGCAAGCTGTAGAATAAGAAGCTGATGGTGAGATTATATGTAATGATGATCTATATCGATATGGCACGTGTATAAAAAGCCACAAAGATGGAACGTGTTTAAACAACCGCGGTGGAGCCTTCCGAGATGGCATGAATACAAAAGAGATAGACCTATTCCTCCCAAGCCGTTCTATCGCGCATACCCCCTGTCATACCAGTCTTGCTTTTACGCACACGTTTCCCACCATATTCCTTGTAAAAGCTACGCATCTCGTGTTTGGAGGGCGACGCCTCTGCCTCTCGCGCCCACTCTTCCTCTTGAATTTCACGCGGAGTCATATGCCCAGAGCGTGTACCACTACCACTACCGTCATAATCGACGTGGGTCGGTAGGTTGAGATTGTGAACATGGAACGGAGTGGCGGGTGTCCGCGGTCGAGAAAGACCGGGCGTAGATGTCTGGTTGTTGGCCTCTTTGGCTCTTATACGCCGTGCCTTCATCAGTTCCGATCTCCAGTCGCGCTTTGATTCACGGCGCGTCCATTTTCCGACGGGCAAGTCGCTTCCAAGGTACATTTCCGTCCGATAGATTTGATAAAAGGCTATGTCGGGTGTTAGTATTTAGATGCGAATTTGCATGAATGAAGGCGCACTCACCGTGATTAATGGTCTGACTCTTCTTCCACCGCTGAGAGACGAGTGAGCACGATGCAAGGTCACTCGAGTCAAGGAAGCAGAATATGTTCAATCGGATTTTGTCTGGCAATAGTCGAAGCGGATCGCGCGAGGAGGAGGTGGAAGCTTCGTCGCGTCCCCGTCTTGCCACTCGTTCTCCGTTTGTTGTCGTCCATTCCGCTTGAGAAAGCCGGCTACTGATGCTCGATACATCATCTGGAATGAGAGACTTGCGCGAGAGGGGACTCGTCTTGTGTACGCGGTGATTCTGGTTACTGGCGCGAGTGGGCGATGAAGAACGAGTGATATTGATCGATCTTGGGACTGGGGTAGCGACTCCAGACGTCTATTGTCATAGTTTCCCGTTGATGAACACCATATCCGAGGAAGAGATCAGCAAATCCGCTCCAAATCTTGACCAGATAGCAAATTACACGTACGAAATCAATAGGATCATCTTCGTCCGACTCTGGCGGAGTAAGAACCTGGCGAACGTCGAGGCCGTCATCGCTGACTACAATACTGGCGTTGGGGCCGCCTTCTGCACAAATCTGCGCGTCTTCCACAGCCTCTAATCGTTGTCGAAGAACATCTTGTAGTAGTGAAGGTGTCGGCATTGTCAAATTTTTGTCTGTTTTCTCTTTTCAGACTGTCGTGGATGGAATCCAAGATTGGTCAATCGGTTTGGCCCGCCACACTAAGCTCCGCGGATGCGTCATCATCGGGCCGCCGCCCAGGGCCAACCACTCACAAGGACGAATAGATGTTCATAAGTCATGTCATAGAGAGAACAGTAACAACTGCCCAGGGAGATTACACTACACACCAAAAAAAAAGCTACAGAAACGTACAGACACAAGAAGGGATCCACGACGGCAAGGGGGAACAAACGGAAGAAAGAGAATGAGGAGTGAGAGGAACAAAGAAGTTGACCGTCGTGAATGCTGAAATAGGACATAGCAATAAACAAAGGGCGGGGCGGAGCCCAATAAAGATTAGGACGCGAAAGCCAGAGAGACGCGACGTGTGGACGAGGGATTATAACTGCAGGCCGTAGAGTATCGGTGGAAGCAAAATAAGTGCAATGCAAACGTTGTGAGACTGCTTGCCAGAGGAATGGAGGGTATCGGTTACCATCCACCATAGACATCGCCGCGCCACCAGGAGCAAATGTCCAAGGCCGTACGCGCAACATCGGTCTTGAAGACATCCATCTTGGTCGGGGGTGCGGTCGACGGGAAAAAGGCCTTGCGGCGGAAACACTCGCGGAGCTCTCCAAACGCATACGCGTCGCTCAAAAACTGCTCAATGGCCGCTTTGTAGCGCTTCTCGAGCTCAGTCTCGCGGCGTTCCTCCTCGGCTTCGAGCTCGGCGTCGGTCGGGATGCGACGCATAGGTGGGCGAGAAGATGGCATGAAGCGCGGGTCAGCCTTGTGCATGCCAAAGATGGAGGGCGTAGGGTCTGGCTTGAGGGTGGAGCGGATTGGGTTGGTGAATTGCTTGTTCATGTCCGCAACGGTGGTCGAGGTGAAGCGAATACAAGGTGGGGGGGTTGGCCATGCATAGAGCTCCACGTGAATAGGTCGACCGGCAATGTCAACAGAAACCTTCTTATCCGCGGTCGCCGAGGTCGGGAGCGATCCTTGGGAGACGCCGCTTTCAGTAGTGGTGGCCGTATTCGAGCTGACATTGGATCCGCGTCGCCGATTCTCTGAACGGGTGTATTTGCGATGCTCGGGCGTAGGCTTGAAGGTGAGACCATGCTTTCGCAAGCAAACGTCCCACTGGTCCAATCCTTGGAGCCAGAGTGCCCATGCAATCTCTTCGCGTTGATAGACGAGGGCGCGTCGGGTATAATATTCGTTTGTGGGGGTGGTCTTGCCCCACAGGATCGCGTGGCAATCGTCGCATACGCGTTCTTCCTTTGCATTGTCAAGCACGACGTCTCTCCAAGAGGCTGGGATCGGATAGGGAACGTGGACGGCTGATCCGACCTCCCAGTAAACGACGTCCTTTGCCTTTTTGGAGCTGCGACGGCTGGAAGCGGAACTCCTAGACGCCGGGCGGGCAAAGTAGCCGTCTTGGGAACCGAATGAGGATCCTGATTCGAAACTGGCCGAAAGATATGTTGCTGCGGGGGAAGCCGGCAATTGTTCAGGCTCGTCGTCGTCCGAGTCTGCGAGGAAAAGGGACGCGAGCACATCCTCGGGGATGACCTGCCAGGGAATATTGCTCATGTCGTAGAGGACCTCGCGGTGGGAGGTGCATGCGTCGCAAAAGACCTTTGGGCTGAGGGTTAGTGGGGAGGCGCGGCACGCGGGATGCGCTGGAGACTCACGTTGCCGCAATGTCTACAATGGTGTCGCTTAACACCATCGAAATAGGAAAAAGGCTTGCAACAAGTAATGTTATCGCAATGAGTTGCATGTGAATCGGGCTACCCGAAGGGAGTCAGTAAATTGTGATTACAGGATTAGATTGGGCCCGGTCGGCTACAATCTCGGAAAAGCGAGGCGAGGCGAGGCGAAGGGCGGGCGGGTGGACAGGCGCGTGGGGGAACCAATCGGAATGTTTGAAAATGCAGCATTGTCGGGCGCGTCTCACCTTCCAGTGGGTGCGAGGCCATACGGTCGCAAAGGGCTCTTGTGGTCTTCGTCGGTGAGCAGCAAACCGGACCGGAGGGCGAACACATGGAGCTGATTGAGGCTGCTCTGCACGAATGCGTGGAGTCGTTTGGGTAGAGTCTGCGGCCACTGGCTCAGCCGCGGGCTGGACAAGGGCGCCAGGCGCTGACAATGTTGAGCATGGATGAGCAAGTAATGACGAGTTGTAAATACCTTGTTCATCGTCTTCTTCCTCTACGACACATTCTGGCAGCGATTCGAGCGTGGGCTGGCACTGGACCGTCGTGGGCGGTGACGACTGGGACAATGCGAGCTGCTGTTGCTGTTGTTGTTGCTGCTGCTGCTGACGTCTGAGAGCGAGTTTCCGCTGCTTTGCGAGATGTCTGGCAGCGACAAGTTGCTGCTCTTGGATGTGGATGAGATTTCCGATGCGCTGCGCTTCCTGGAGTGCGGCTGAGCGACGCTGCTGGGCGTCGTATGCATCGAGAGCGAGCTTTAGGTTGCTTGCAGGACGTGTAGATGGCGAGCCCTCCATGGCAGAGTTGTGGGCGGGTCCAAGAGATGGAGTGTAGAAATGGCCGCACATTTAGGCTGGCGATGATTCCCCGAGGAAATCACACTCCATTCCTCGCCCGCTTGTCGGTAATTTATACAATCAGCAATTGCTATTCCTTATGCGCCTATGGCTCCCATTCTCGCACTCCCATTCCCATTGCTTACTCCCATTACTCTCCATTACTCTCCATTACTCTCCCATTCCTCTTGCCCCCCCATTCCTTGTCCCCATTCCCACTCTGCCCATCCTTGTCTCAGCCCTCCGCACCGCTCCTTTTGGTCACTCCGACAATTGCGCGCACACTGATAAGAAATGGCCTAGTTTAGATGCCCGAAAAGCCACCATCCTTAATCGAGCTTACCTCGGATATTCTCCCGCTCCGCCCACGCCCTGGCCCGATTGGTCCGTGTCCTCCGACACTACGCACTCTTCAGTCCCATCACAAATTCGACTGCATTTTCCATCACCGGCCCGTCTCGCTCCCCACGCTGCATGCAATCCTTGACCACCGCTTGCACCTTGTCCACGATCCCCCGGGCCGCCAGAGCCTGCACAAACCCATCCTCGACGCTTTTGCGGTGCTTGGATACGTAGTGTACGGCTAAATTGCGTAGAATTACCACCCCTCGGTGGACGAGCTCTCGGTCGGCGACCTGGGAGCCAGTCGGAGACTTGTCGTCCGTCTCCTCGTCGTCGATTAACAACCGTCCAATGATGCCGAGCATATTCCCGCGTCTCCGCTCTAGTGCCACTAGTGCCCCGCAAACCCGTTCATCCGAGGAAACTATCGCCAAAGCCCCGCTCGCTGCTTTCCGTGTCGGAAGATCATCCACGTCGGCCAAAGCCACCAAGACTTGGAGCCTTGACTCGGCCGCCGACTTTGGTCCATCTTCCTCTTGCTTCTCCACCTTGGGTGTCGTCGTCGTCGTCGGCACAAACCGCTCAAAGCCCTCGTCACATACGACCAGATTGCATATCATCTCCACCGCAGCTCGTCGTAATAGCTCGTGGTCGTGCAAGAGCAGTCCCTCGACGGCCGTCCACATCCCCGGCACTTTGGCAATCCTCGCCGCCATTTCCGGTTGCCCGTATGCAATATTCGTCAACGCCATCAATGCTTCAAACTTTTGAAGATTATTGGGCAGCTGATCCTCGCGCAGCGAAATCGGCCTGGCTGGCGTCGAACCCTCCACTGTCAGCACGCGACACAATACCGGGATCGCATCATGAGTAGATCCAATATTGGCTCCAAAGACTTGTAACGGGCTGGCAGTGATCGCCAGCTTGGACAGTGCCTGGGTGGCGATCCAATCTGGCACCAGAGGTTCCATGGCCTTGATTAGATCCAGCAATGCCCTTCCACCTCCACTTTGCAGCACTGCACCCCGATTGCGTACGTCCTCCACCACGGCTAGATACGCACGCGCCGTGCACGCGCGGGCCTGCTTGCTCTCCGAACGCGCGAGTCCGGCTAGCAGAGCCAGAAATCCGGTGCTCCCTGCCATCGTACACAGCTTTCGTATCCTGACTCGGACGGCCTCGTCGCTCGTTCGCACATCCTCCCCTTCGTCTTGCATCCCTAACCGTGGAGCTGATGAATTGGACTCGCCCGTGTGTGCGGCTGCATTCGGAACCTTGGTCATTCGTCTCAGTTTCGCAATCTGCTCCTCTTCTTTGCTGAGCTTTGGCCGGTACTGACAAATGTTGGCAAACGTCAGAGCCAGGCCGTAGTGCAGTCCAATGTTGGCACGATATTCGACCACCTGGTCCTCCAGCAGTCTATTCGAGGCGGAAATATTGGTAGACGGCTTGACTTTCTTGGTACTCCTTGCACCAATCGCGTACAATGCTTGGAGGAGCGAGGGTTGAGAGACAATGTATTCGCGGACAGACGGGTGCACACTGAGATATGCTAATCCCTCGACGGCGTCTAGAGTGGATCTGGTGTTTCGGCCTCCAGAATTCTCCACCAAAACTGCGCGCTCAAGCAGTTTTGCCAGGGCATCTGGACTAGTCTCGACGCCAACTTCTGAGATGCCGTGGGAAGAGGGTGAAGCATCGACGGGGATACCAGATTGTGTGGCTTCGGTGTCAAAGATGCCGCCTTGCAACACCTTGACCAGCGCAAGTGCCGCTGCTGCCTGCAGAGTTGCGTCGTTTGAATCATCCGCACGCGAGCGTAGCCACCCCTTTATCCTTTCTTCCGTCGTGAGTATCTTTCGACATTCTGCGTGACCGAGGGCCTGCGAGAGGAGATTTACTAGGGCTCGTTCGAGTCGGATTCCTACAGTCTTCGAGGCCTTGTCCATGTTTCTCTTCTCGGATGATGCCTTTGCAAGGTCGATTATGTCCAAGGTGCACTCGACGTTACCTTCTCGTAAGAGGATGGCCGAGGCAGCTGGCGTATCGACTTGAAAGAATGCTGAAAGAAAGGAGAGCGTAGAAGTGATATGTTGTACATTTGTCCCTCGTAGTACATTGTCCACCGTGGGGGCAAACGCACCGGAAAGAGTTTGTGTGGCGTGCTTAATGGCAGCATCCGTCGGCGGCTCATTAGGGCCCTTTTGCGGATTTCGCTGGGAGTTTACGAATGTAGACAGCGCAAGATATGCACTGGAGCGAATGCCCGTCTGATCCTGGCGTTGCTTGCCGCTTGCATTTGTAATGTCTTCATCCTCGTTGAAAAGTGAGAATAGACTGAGTAGCTGTGATTCGCTCAAGCTTGGAAGGGCCTTTGCAGCTGTGACTGGGTCACGCTGGATACTTATTAGGATTTCGTGGATATCCTCAGTGGATGTTGATGGCCGAGATAGGGCAGACGAGGAAGACGGTGACGCATTCGAGCTAGAATTGGACATTGCGATCGTTTGATTGAGATTGATTCGTCTGCAGGGTTCGAATCTTGGACTACGACTACACCAGAGGTTCCAGCGCTGTCCTAAATCGCGGCAGGGAGAGACCTACGACAGTTAGAAGAAATGGAAAAGGGCGAATATACAGTTTTCGGATATGGGTCGTTGATATGGAAGGTACAGAGTCTACTTTGGTGCAAGCCTGCAGAGGTCGAATCTAAGGAATCAAACAGCCACCGCCGCACGTCGTTCGCAAGAGTAAGAAGCGAGAGATACGGTGAGACTGAAGCGGTTTATTGACTGTCCTTTAGCACCTGGTTACCTCAAGCACTATGTCCGTCGGTTTGCCCAGTCATCAAGCGATCACCGAGGCACTCCAGAGGTTGGATATCTCTATTTTGCTCCATATAGACAGTTCATTCCTTGGAAGTTTCCAGGTCGAGTTGTGACATTGATCCATGCCGACGAGTGGGCCAACTTTAGTGACCAGGTGGGTAGTATTTACCCCACCTATGATTACTGAGGCAAAAAAGGACGCATTTCCTCACGAGGATACAGTATGGGGTTCGTTTCATCCGACTTACATGCTGAGTGAACCTGCTAAGCTGGGTAGGGGTAGCATACACAATTGATCCTGCCCATGCGCAGGAGGTTCGGGAGTATCTAGGTAAGCGTTCGGTATCATTCAAATTTGGAATTAGTAGCTCTTACGCGGGCAGATTATCGAGAAAAGGCAGGACCCCTCTCCTCTATGGACTTCTTTGACCAGATGCAGGATGGCTATACAGTCCACAAAGTAGACGTATATGGTATGGTAGATGGCGCAGAGAAAGTGGTATTAGAGCAGGCAACAGTACGTTGGCCCGCCTCCAACTTGGTCTGCTTTTGAGAGAACACAAGGTGTATGTTGGGAAGGCAGACAATCCATCTTTCGGTACGTTCAAATTGGTTATATTCACCATTCATGACTAGATGGGAACAGTCGGCTCGGAGCCCCTCGATATACTGGCCAAGCGAATATATGACAGCGTAGGACCATCGGGGCCGAATAAGGTAGTGTGAGAGCTTTCTATGATGAAACTATGCTAACCTAAAAAGGATTACTTGCGAGCTTTGTCACAAGCTGTAAAGGAGTTGGCACCAGGTAGTCACGACTCGCATCTACACGCATTGGAGGTGAGAAGAGCAACCAGAAGGTACATAACTCAATCGTGATAGATCCGCGTCGACCAGCTTGAAAGTGAGGTGCAGGGGGCACGCAGTTAGGTTGCGATACTTGGATCGTTTATGCTCTTGATTCGCCTTGTTGGTTCGAGGATATGCCCCAATACGAATTCTCCATCTATACGTCGTCAGCATCATACCAAAGTGGCAAATGCAGCTAACTAGGGAAATCGTTCTCTTCAGCTCGATGAGTTGCTTCTTTCTCTGTTGCCGTGACTCCCGTCTCTACATGGCGCTTCACAATCCTTTCCTTTGCATCGTCGAGGTCGACATCGACGAGCCATCGTTCGTCCAGCATACTGCCAGCGACTACCCATGGTTCGATAGAAAGGAACACGTAAAGGCCCTCGAGAAGGATAATTCTGTGATGAGATTGAACTTGAATGTCGTCCTCAACCGGGTCTTTAGCCGAGTGCGAAAAGGATGGTGCATTGACAAGCCCGGGTGCACGCAGTTTCGCCACAAATTTGACATATCCCTCTCCGTCAAACGTCCAATGAGCACCTCTTCGTGCAAAGGCTTCCTTAGAATTTGGCATTGCGGCCAGTGTAGAGCGTGGGAGGTGCCAACCGTCCAATCCGATCATGATTGCAATGTTTAACGAGCCCGGCGAGCTCTGCTTGTGAACATCATTGACTTTGTTAACTACAGCATGCGCCAGGGACGTTTTTCCGCTTGCAGGAATCCCTGTTAGGCCGACGAGGAGCCGTTGTCCGGGATCGAGTCTATCCAAGCTGTAAGGTTACATAGAACACTTGGGGAGACGATAACATACTTTTCCAATTTTTCTAGTAGACCTTGTGCCAATTCGGCGACTAGCAGCTCCATCTTCGGCCCGATTGCAGCAGAGGCGCGAGGCAAGCCAACTTGACTTCCGACTACCACATCACAGCCACGGACTTTCTCCCAAAAATGCGGAAATTATCGTTATTCTATCTGCTCAAGCCAGCTTTGATGGTCTACGCGTCCCCTTTTCTTTTCTACGCTGCGACAGCACCCGAACCTGGCGAAGATCCTGATGTCGAAGTCGGTTCCCCTGATTTCTGGTTTCATATCATCGTCAGTGCTGGTCTCGTAATTCTTGGCGGTGTTTTCGCCGGGTATGTGCATCCTAGTCGAGTAGTGATGGGTCTAAACATGCGCCCAGACTGACGCTTGGCCTGATGGGGCTGGACGAGCTTCATTTACGTGTTCTTGCAACTGCTTCAGACGATACAAAGGAGAAGAAGAATGCCCAAAAAGGCGAGTTTCTATCCTTTCCTTACAACTTTCATCTCAACGAGTCTACCAGTCTTAAAGTTGATGCAAAAAGGTCGGCACTGGGTGTTGGTGGTGCGTCTGCTGCGTGTCCCCTGCTGTGTATCCGACCGCGCGGCTTGACTGAATGCTATTACAGGTTCTCCTACTGGGAAACGTTGTCATAAATGAAAGTTTGCCCATCTTCCTTGACTCGGCAGTGAGTCGATTGATTCTCCATCTTACCATTCTGACAAAGTGCCGCAAGATTGGGGGAGGGATTGCTGCTATTTTGATATCTACAACCATGATTGGTATGTTTCTCTCGCGTGAGAGAGAGAGCACGTAATTGACGTATCTTTAGTCATCTTTGGGTGCGTCTGTCTGCTATTAACAAGGTCTGAATTGCTTAGTGTGTTATCATCATTAGAGAGTGAGTTATTCATCGCTTGCTCCTACAGTACGCTTACATATCACAGAATCATTCCACAAGCTGTCTGCGCGAAGCATGGCCTCTCAATAGGAGCACACTGTGCTCCGTTTGTTCTCCTTTTGATGTATCTCTTTGGTACGTCGACAGTCCTTGCGATACATGGTTTATTTATAATTTCTTTCAGCTCCGATAGCTTGGCCTATTGCCAAACTTCTAGACTGGGTCCTTGGTGCCCACGACGAGCATACATACAAGAAGGCAGAGCTCAAATCATTCTTACAATTTCATCGCTCCGGTGAAGAACCACTCAGAGATGACGAGATCAGCATCCTTAATGGTGTACTCTCCCTCAACGAAAAGACAGCTGCTGAAATCATGACGCCGTGGAAGGTATATCCCCACGTTAAATTCCCTTCAATTCACTCATACGGTTGATTATCAGGACGTCGTCACGGTTTCTGCGGACACAGTTGTTGACCGCAAAGTTTTCGACACATTGCTAAGCAGCGGCTACTCGCGTTTCCCGGTTACTGCAGCCGGAAAGCCGACAACAGTCATCGGCTTGCTTCTCATCAAAAAGCTACTTCGCTACGATCCGGCCACGAATAAATCGGTCGGGGAACTGCCATTGTCAATCCTTCCAGAAGCGAAGCCATCCATTAACTGCTTCCAAGCGCTCGACTACTTCCAGACTGGTCGTTCGCATTTGCTCCTGTTGACGAATAACCCTGGTAAAGCCATTGACCAATATCCTATGGGCGTCATCACTCTGGAGGGTACGCCGGGGTCTAGCCATCTATATCGATACTGAAAATCTCTAGATGTCATCGAGGAGATTATAGGGGAAGAAATCGTGGATGAGACGGACCGCTACGAGTCTAACATGAGCAAGCGGGTCGCAGACAGACACTCAAACGCTGCAATCATGAAGGGGTGAGCAATCTATCCAACTGAAGTTTGTAATCACCAATTCCTTTTTAGTATCTTCGAGAGAGCATGGAGGCGAGGATCCATGGGTACCGTCAAGACCACGGAAACACGCAAGGATGCCTTCTCCGGTCATATAAACCTTTCTACTAGTCCAGCTGCGATGGAGACTCAGCCTCTGATTCCAAATCAATCCAAGGGCGGCGCCAATCAAGGCAACTACGGCGCCGCATAGAGAAGTTGAAGCTCCCAGCTCTCACTTGGTGATTTGATTTCTGGTTATGCGTGTCTGGCTATTTGTCTTGCCGATTGGGGAGATACTGTCGCTTGTTCTAACATATGGCTCGTGCTTGGGCATATTCACGTAGAGTATCAGCCTGTTTCTAGTAAATACATGCATACAACTAACTGGTGGCCACAACAAAAAGAGGGTGAGGTTGTTGAATGTCCAAATATTCATGGTATTTGAATCCCTCAAATGGGTCACAAAGGCCGGGCACCATGCACGTCAAGAGGACTCAATGTAGTATTAGGATCGAGGGAAAAATCGTTGTTGCCATGAATAGTCGTATGACTGGTTCGTTTGGCATCAGGATTGCTTAAGATCCCTCGACGAGCCAGTATGTCACGGAATAGGTTGGTCTTTTGCTGTCGAACAAGTTGACCTCGCCTTCTCTGCCGCAGAAAGTACAGCGCAAGGAAGCAGATCCCAACGAGGAGGAGGGAGCCAACGACCAGCCCTGCAATGCCGCCTCTAGGAAAAGGCAGTGAATCAGTACAAGGGACGCAGTTTGAACTGAGGAGGCCGTACCCAGAAAGACCTCGAGCTCGTGGCTTTGGTAACTGATAGCCATACTTGAACAGTTCCGTACGTTCAACCGCAAGCAACTGCCCTTGTTTCTGTGGCAAGTTACGCATAACAAGAGTCATCACGCGGCCAGAGTTGAGATTCGTAGCTCGATAGAGGAGAACCCCCTGTCGGTCGATCGAGAAGGAACCATTGAAAGCGTGATAGACAGTCCGCTCATACAGCTCGCTTTCACGAGTGATAGGCAGAGCATTGCCTGGGTCGTCGTCATCGGTGATATCCTCACCGTCCGCATATCTCAGGGATACGGAATAAGCCCCATATGACGGCCCTACACTGCCAAACACAGATAGCGTACTGCCCTATAGTGCAATCTGATGAGTCCTTTCAGGATATTAAACAGTTATTGGCTTGCCGTAAAGTTATACTCCATCCATGCATCGGCGGCGGCAGTTTTCCTTGCGAGGTTTAGCTCTGGCAGCACATATTTGTACAGGGAATTACACACCGATATTTGAAGGTCACATTCTGTGAACCAAGAAGCACGACTCGGGTGCTTGTCGTCCACTCCTCTGGGGGATACCAAGCAATATTGCGCGAATCTGCGTAGTCTCCAGAGACATCCATGCTTGTTGCGTTACCAAATTTGTCGCGATATTCATACGTGACGTAGGCTAGGTCAAGATATGGGGAAGACCCAAGGGATAAGGCGCCGGTGTTGTGAATTGAGACAACATGAGGTATGAATAGTAGACCCGTCTTAGAGAAGAGTGGGTCTGTAACATCGCTTGGCTCGTTACTACCATCAAATCGGGAGAGTGTTCCGTCCAAATAGACGTCGAAGCTGGACTGGGGGTATTGTTAGAGAATAAGTAGAGTAGTTTCAATCCGAGAGTATACCCTGGGAGTATTCGTGGCAGGGTAAATCCTGTGAAGCGTTAGCCGACTTGCGTTATTATTGGGGATTGTCTTGGTACCAGATACCTGTCCCCGTAAAGTTGAACGTCAAAGAGTCCCCACTAATAACATAAGACTATGCAAGAGTTGCAAGTTGAATCACTTGACTCACTGTGCCCTTGAGACCATTCGCACTGCGGGAGCATTGCTGCTATGATGCCTTAGTTATGATTTGGTGTTATCAGCCCACGCTTGGTATCCGTACGATGAAGCCTGGACCGAGTTGGACTCGGCCGTCCAATTGCCACTAAACGTGATCAGAGGCGAGTCGCAGGTATATGTCAAGTTGATTTTCATCGTCGATGGATCGTGAAGTTATAAAATGATTAGGAAAATGCAAAGTTGTACCATTCGGATTGTGGTCGTGGGGTTCAAGCTGTGATATTGCTTGGTCCGCGCGTCAACCACCGCCGAATTGCCAGCCCTGTAGACCAGCACGCCATCAAGTAACCAAGAGAAGCCTGACATTTCAGACAACAGATCTCACACAAACGTTGGACTCTTCTGGACCATCTACACGGCGCGTCTTGTAGAACGGAGAACAGGCCAGCAATTGTTGCATCCACCAGCACAGAAGCAAGCTTTTGAGGGAAAATGGCATCGAATCCGGCTATTTGTGTGCCATCGTTGCTCGTCCCATCACATGTATCATATATCCAGAAGTTGGGTGAAGTACGTATCTTCCGTGACAAAATCCGGCCAATCCTTTCTTGCAAACCCTATTCACGCGCACTCACGTGGCCACCAGAGTCAGGACGACCTCGCCTACCATCTAACCTCGCATCTTCGTCTCAACGCAGTATACTGGGGGTTGACTGCTCTGTGTATCATGGAACAAAGGGATGCATTGGATCGTCAGCAGCTCCTGGACTTTGTAATGAGCTGCTGGGACGACAAGGCTGGTATGGTGTCAGCCCACGACGCCTTGATTTACCCTGACATCTCGATATAATGCAGGCGCCTTCGGTGCTCATCCACGTCACGACGGTCACATCCTGCCTACTCTCAGCGGGATTCAAATCCTCATCATGCTTGATGCACTGCACCTCCTTGACGTAGAATCCAAGAAGGATCGTATAGTTTCATTCATCCTTGGACTACAACACCCGACTAATGGGTCATTCGCCGGAGATCGCTTCGGTGAGACCGACACGCGTTTTCTGTACTGTGCAGTCTCCGCGTTATCCCTACTTGGCTGCCTTGATCGAATCGACAAGGACAGGACAGTGTCGTATATCCGACGATGCAAGAATTTCGATGGGGGTTATGGGAGCGATGCAGGAGGAGAAAGTCATGCATCACAAGGCCTGTGTAATTCATTCGCAATAACGATTATAGTTGACCGGCTTTCTCACAGTGTCTGGACTTGTGTTGGCGCTTTGGCTATTCTGGATCGCCTAGACGAAGTGGAGACTGAACCCCTGGCATGGTGGCTCTCCGAACGCCAGTTGCCGAACGGAGGTCTGAATGGACGACCAGAGAAGCTCGAAGACGTAAGTGGCAGTCTCACCAATCCCAGAAGTCGTCGCGTCTTCTCTATCGATCGAGTACCTCGTAATTAGAGGCGCGTGGGATGGCGGGGTGGACATCTCATCTCACGAAGAGAACCATAACGCTGTTGACTGTATACTCAGCTGACGCTTTAATTGTAGGTCTGCTATTCTTTTTGGGTATTATCATCCCTCTCGATTCTGAACAGAATGCCGTGGATCGACGGCTCAGCCCTCGAGCGGTTCATTCTCTCTTCTCAGGTACGAAGCCGATTTCAACAGGCCTTATTCTCCTTTGTGGCTTGCTCCAAGGCTCCCTATTGTTGGGTGGCGTCTGACTTGGATGCGGAAAAAGGTCACGGAACTGTGACTTGAGGGACATGTCCCTACTTGCTATCAAGGCTCATCTCCCGCTAACCAGCAACTGATGGAACGAGAGAGGGTTACAATCCTTCACACGGACAACTGGTTGGGGACAGCGTGGCGCACTTCCCATAACGCCTCTTGCCGTTGACGGCTCGCTTTCTATCCGCAGAGTCTTATCGCTCCTCATGACTGGCAATTGCACTGCTATCGCTCCTTTGATAGCCACTGCTTCTTTTCCCACGATGAACTGACATTTCCTCACCAGGATACAGATGGTGGAGGAATCGCAGATCGCCCAGGAGATATGCCAGATGTTTGGCATACGTGTTTCGGTGTCGCAGGTATGCACGCCTTTGTTTCAGATTAATTACGCGCGCTCTGCTCGCCAGCTACCTCTTTAAGCCGGGATTGAGCTTCGACCTCGCGAAACACGTACTAGAGAGACCCAGGAGACCAAACGCTCAGCTCACCACACCTCGATCAATTCCCATGGGATCGAGGCGCCAGTGTGGATGGCCCATTGCGACCCATGAGCGTTAGAGACGTAACGCCGCAGGGAGGGACGTCTCTCATTTTCTCATCGCGACTTGGTTCTCTCAAGTGGCAGTCTCACGGACTGCTCCCATACGACCCGAGGCGCCAGGGCCGGGATTCTTTCGTGAATTGTATATGATTACGTCGCTCTTGCCGGTGCTACTTTCCTAATCAAGCGGTTTCTCGCGCGCGACTGACGACGGAACGTTGCCTTCCGAACAGGTCTTTCGCTGTTGGGATACCCTGGGTTGCACGATCTAGATCCCGTATACTGCATGCCGGCGGATGTGATCGAGCGCAAGGGGTTGCGCAAGGGCTGGGTGGCCTTGCCGCGCCGTTGCGAGTGAGGATAAGCCAAAGGGACAGTTTGCTCATACTTTTATTGCGTTTAGACCACGTACAATTGGGGTGAAATAGGGATCACTTCCTCGGGCGAGTTACCGTACACTTCATCAGAACCGTACCAATCTTTCTCGAAAGGAGTTGTGGACTGAGATTCTATTTTCAGATAAAGCGACCATATGGTTCTGCGGCGAGGTTGCATCGTTTTGATGGCCGTCCTGACGATAGACGTACGCGCAGCATTTGGCGGGTTGGGTTTTGTGCTGATGGACCGAGATTGAAGAGGGAGATCAGAGAAAGATGAAAGATACAGGTCTATTGAATAGACTGGAGTCCATGATATCCGGGAAAACGCTCACGTCAGAATTCACGGGGAAAACTCTGGAGGGGGGCGGAGCAACGGGGTTCGGCTGCTGAACAATTTGAGGAATCACTCGGAATTGGGAACAAGCGGTGATGATAACCCGAGTTATTGTATACAAATTGTCGAGGTCTCATGCTAGGGTGCCAATTGCGGTTCATGTGCCGGAAACTGTTGTGAGTCTGACACTGGAGACGATCAAAACAGATTGAGCAAGCTTGGAAATAATTGTGAGAGAATAGATCCGCCGATAAGACTGCCGGGCGGTAGCCCACGCAGATCCGTGTGCGCGTGTGCGACCCGCTTCATTAGTGCAATTTTTTCGCAATAAGTCCAGCTGTATCGCATGTAATTAATGGGGACGAAACAAAGTTAACGGTGTGTGAGGAGAAGCTGAAAGCTTGACGGCGATCGACTGTTCGACGGAGAACAGACTGGGGGGGGGAAGTATTTCATTTCTAACTGGTTGACAGAAGAGTAGTTCTCGATTCCCTGGCAGGCTCGTCGAGTGAGCAAGCGCCTGTATTATGGCGCAAAGCCAATTGGCGGTAATACATAACAGGGTGGTACAGAAACCGAAGACGTCGGGAGAAGTGCGATGAAAGGTAGATTGCCACGTAAGTAAGAATCCAGCCTTCTGGGCCTCGGGCGTGGCTGTTGAACCGCAAGTTGACCACCTCCACCGGGCGGGTCGTGCCAGGCCTTTGGGGGAGGACGACTCTGAATGGAAATCGAGACGTCATTCTGAATGGAGACAGATGCGCTCCCCTGTTGTCCAATACCGCCTCGTGAAGCAAGCGGGGGAGACACACATCACGCCAGAGGAGGCCCTTGGAGATGCCCGAGCCGCGGCAGGTGGGGGCAGAGGGGCAGATAGCGAGCTGTAATCGATGTGGAAGTATAACGAGATTCAACGAGATTTTTTTTCTGGGACACACGGTGCTTCGGAAGTGCAGCAACGGCGTTGAAGCCTCGCATCTGCCGAGGTGCTGGCGAGCAGCAGGATCCATATCGGTTCCAAGTGCCATGAATAGACGAATAGCCGGTGAGTATTCTCGATAATTTTGTTCAGAGGAACGCAGTTGTGCTCTCCTTTGCGGTTCATTGGCGACGGTAGCAGGGAGCCGAGGCCGGCTTACGGAAGTGACCGGTGGAAAAAGTGGAAACTATTGCCAAAAAAAAGGGGGAAGGGCCAAGATTGTCGTCTGAGAGAGGGCAGGAAGCGTGGACGGGGGCCCATATGCGAGCCACGAGCGGAGCGTCGCGTGTCCCTCGATTCGAGGAGGCATAGCTGATGATCATAATCTCGGGAAGCAAACACCCGAGTTACGGAGGTCGCCGCAATCAATTGATACCCAGCGAGCCTGTCCATTTTCGATTATTATCCCTCGATTGCTCTCGTGGATTTTGGCCAATTCCAGGGATCCATGCCTGTCTCTCCATCCTCGCCATTTAGATCGCGACGGCTGGTTTCGCTTTGGAAAAAAAAAAAAACAAAACAATATACAAATATACAAACAATGTGGAAAAAAATCCCCGAGGGATCCAACCACAAGCTCAGGAGTAGGCTGGCGACCCCTGTGGGCCCCTCTCCACCTCGCTCGTGGTATCTCGATATTAGTTTGCCGTTCAAGCGTTCAACGTGCTCCATCGTCTTACCGGCGAATCTGTCTCATCTGCGTTAGTTACTCGCATACTTGTCTCCAGACGGCGTCTCTCTTCTGTGAATGTCTACCGTTCTCTGAGAAACTGAACATGAGTCGGTGGATTGGGGTCCGAGTCTCGAGCCTCGGTTACTGACAAGGCCTTGGGCGAAATGCTGAAAGCAAGAGAGAGAGACTGTAGAATCCAAAAGTCACGCGAGTCAGGTTCAGCAAGCGCGTTCAAGGGCCCTCGGAATCGTGAGGATCGATCAAGCTCAAGCGTGCAGCTACTTGCAGGTCTCTTCCACAGGGTCCCCCCGATTGCACAAGGACCAGCCCTGAGCCTTCCCCAGACCTCTCACATGCGACTTTCAAATGGACCTGAACAACTTTGCTAGGCGCCTACCTCAGCTATGCAATCCAAAATTGGAAGTCCGAAAGCTGGGTCGACTTATTTCGAAACCGACAGTTCACTACGCCTAGACGGTCAGGCGGACAAAAGGCCCACCAAACCTCCCCGTGTATCCGTGTCTCTTTGGGCTCAACAAAGACGCGACAAGGTCTCATTGGGCCAAGTCTGGTCATTTTCCCATCCGTGGTCGAGTTCCCTCTTTCGACTTGTTCTGATCCTCGGGAAGAACGCTCCAACCTCGAACCGACCAGGGCTGATACGTGGGCTCAGCACGACGACCGCCCCGCCTTTCAGGGTAGCCTACGTACTCAATGGCCTCCACGGACATGGATTCTGTCAGACGCCGACGGTGGGCGCTCAGTCAGAGAGAGAGGTGTGTTGATGGGGGATTGAGTCCAGCCATCGGGCTATCACACGCAGGCGGTGGACTTGGAGCAACTCACTTGATACTGATAAAGCTGGTGATGGATTGCATGCCGTCCGTAGCCGTCCTTTGGTCAAGGGGGGGGGGGGATGCACAATTTCCCATTGGGACTGCCTCATCTCACCTGTCCCTAACAAGGCTTTCTCTGTGAACCATCCCCAGAGGCGTAACGAGGCGCCTTTTGGGCATGACGCAGGCCGCAAGTATTCCACGGCGTTGCCCAAACTGTGTGGCGTGGACGTAACTCGACATCCATTGTCTCATTTTTCCACCGCCTCGTATAGAAACGACATGTCCGTTTCAGTAAGTCTTTCACTAGGGGCGAGTGACCCAGCGGGCATCCACCAGCCAAATCAGTCATGGACGGGTCCGTCGCCCATTGATGACACGGGAAAACACTTGATGCGGAACTGTATCCGCGCGTCCATAGTGCTTGTCCACCTCCTGACCTCGACCTCACAGGCACTAAGCCGGACACGGCAGAGAATGGTCAAAGCGCAAGCCTGGCTAGTTCACACGGACGGAACATGTCTCAAATCGAGGATCACACATGGGCTCAACTCCTCTTGGTGCTCAATAAGTGCAATGTCTCCGGTCAGACTCTGTGTAGTGGTCAGTCAGCTTTTATGCCTCTTTTGCCGATATAATCGCTCGACCTGCTCCGCACAAAGAGGTCGAGCTCGATCGATTACTTATCCTAATTCAAGACGACTTATCAAACCGCAGGCGACGACGGCGAGCGAGCATCTGACTGCACAGCCCATTTCCGAGACGGGTGACAAACGAGAACCTGGCGCCGGATCACTCGCTTGACAGGCGAAATCGTATGCTCCGACAAACAAAGTGGATTTGATCCAAATCCCTCGGTTGTGTTTTGACGCCGTTAGTGGCGAGCGAGTGAGCGAGCCAGCGAGCCAGCTAGCAGCTCGCTCGGTAGCCGCCCGTGCCCCTCCACATGCTCCACTATCCACCCGCTTAGGATTTCAAGTTTGACGCTGGGCAACGCCCGTGTGAAGCCCCGAAGTTTCCTTGTGATCTCGGAGCGAGAGACTGACAACTCTGCCAGTCGCTGCACCATAACGCACGTCTGTTTCTTACACGAGAAATAAACCCATTCTTTCAATCTTTGCGAATCTCTGAGCTCTCCGTGAATGTAGCAAGCATGTCCCCAGCCTCGCGTAAACGTACAGCTTGACCTGAACCGCCTGGCACGAATACTGAATTCAAGCCGATAACGGCCGCTCCTTTAATCGACTAAAATACACGCAAGAAAAGCACGACTCTCGAGTAGATTAATCGGGCCCTCAGGATGCTCCAGTTTGGGTCGTTTGACGGCATTTGCGAGTCGGCCGCGCTCGTCGTATGCCCGCTGCTCGGTGCGGCCAACGGAATCGAACCTACATGCTATAGCAGAAATGTAGACATTGGGAGGACGCTCATTTTCCAGCCTGGTACGTCTCTTTGAAATTTCTTGCGATTTTCTAGGGAGCGGCGTGGTTGACGGAGGACATGATAGCAACGAGTTTTGTGCACATTGTCGCTATTATTATGACTGGAATCATGATCTTTCACATCCGCAGCAAGTATACTGCAGTCGGTGCGTCTCGTTTTGTCTCCCAGCAATGATGCGATGCGCTAACAAGAGGTCTCAGGCCGAAAGGAAATCGTCCTCTTCTTCTACCTGTACGCAATAATTGAGGCGCTTGCCATCTTCTTGGACTCTGGGATCATCCCCACCGCCAATAACGTCTATCCGGTGCGTGTTCAACTCCAAGAACCCCTGGAGGGAATCTATTCGGGATGCTCTTTGCAAATCGCTATATTTCTACATGCACGTTTTCCGTGTGGCCGTTCAGCGCCCTAGTTTAGGCTGGGCTGTGACGTGAAGAGACTTTGCCCACCTCTTACCTGATATGCATACACAAACGTTTGCTAACCTGGCTGACAGTGGTTCGCTGCGGTTTACACGGGGCTTGTCGCGGCTGAATATACCTGTCTGCTCATCAACGGCTTTGTCGGTTTCCAATTCGCCGAGGATGGCACTCCATTATCGCTTTGGGTACGTTTTTGCGATGCATGGGGGGGATTGTCAGGCCGACCAAACTGACCACACGTCCCACTAGTTCCTCCGACTGTCGTGTCTGCTCCTGTTCGGAATAGGCTTCTTCTTTGCGATTGCGACATTCAAGGGCATTGCCGGCTTTTCAAAGACACAAGCGATCCCGCTCTGGATCATTTACTTTTTGTGGCCGGCCGTGTGTGCGGTCGTGTACACGATTTCGCAACTCATCCTCGTCATCCGCACGCTCGACGACCGGTGGCCGCTGGGTGACGTGATCATTGGTGCGACCTTTTTTGCGGTTGCCCAGTTGGTGCTGTTCGCGTTTAGTGTGCAGATCTGCGATGCGGTCAAGCACTATATTGACGGGCTGTTCTTCTTTACGGTGTGTATCCTGCTGAGCGTGATGATGGTCTACAAGTACTGGGACTCGATCACAAAAGAGGACCTCGAGTTTAGTGTGGGCAGCAAACAGGCGGTGTGGGAGGTCAAGGAGCCGTTCATGGGCGGTGGAAACGGAGGGGGGGAGCAGTGGGAAGAAGACGCTGTGAGCCACTATGGGGGAGCCGCGCCGAGCCTGGTCGGGGGTGTGAGCGGGGGACAGTACTATCACCATCAGCAACAGCAGCAGCAGCAGCAGCAGGGAGGGTATGGCTACCCACCGCCGCACGGATTCGGCAACGAGCGGTTCTAAGGCGAGGTCGAAGGGACATGTTGTGGCGTATACGGACACTTTGCGAATTAATTAATTATTTTCCAACGTAATATTTGGGGCTCTGTTTGTGGCTGGGATAAGGAAATGCCGTAAGAGGAAATGAATTCCGGGATGGACGTGCAGGGCCGAGGTTAAGTTGAATAATAATAATAAAAATAAAATTTCAAAGGTTGATATATCTAGGACGAGGCTCAGCCCCTTTGGGATTGGTTTTATTTCTCTTTACCTTTTCCCCGCGACCAGAGCTGCAGTTTGCGTCTGTCGCCGTCGAGTGCGACGCTGCGACAAGATTTTGATTTGAGAATATGGCCAGTGCTTATGCTCATCCAGTATCGCACCAGCAGCAGCAGCAGCAGTCTGCCTTTGTCCCGCTCACCGTCTGTACCGCTCATCTCCACCGCACACAACGACGAGCACAAGACTCGGATTCGAGCTCGGGAACGTCTGATGATGACGACGACGACGAGGAAATGGCACTCGACCAGCCCAGCCGGGGCCACTCGCGCACCGCTCCCAACAACGGCGAGCGCACGAGAGCACCGATAGTCGTGACTTATGGTCCATTTCATGCTCCAGACGTCGATGTCGCAGTTGCTTATGGTGAAATGGTCTGCTACCTCTGGTTCTGGCAACCAACCGCGTCCGCCCTCCAATTACAGCCTCAGCCGCACTTTATCCACTATTTGTCAAAGGTCATTGCCCAGACTCAGCTCTCCAAGACGTGTTTGGTTCTGGCTTTACATTACATCTGGCTCCTCAAGCGACCGCTCATGGTCGGTGCTGCCGGCAAGCACGAAGCAGACATGGGTCCTGTCAATGCTCCCAGTGTCCTTGCAGCCTCCCAGGCCCACCAGGGTAGCCAGTACATGGTCTCTGTTGTCGCCCTCATGCTCGCCAACAAGTTTATGGACGAGTACGTATAACGGTGGATGGACCCCTTACTCTAAGCTGACACTCGCAGTAATACATATACGAACAAGTCGTGGGCCTCGATTTGTGGTGTCACCCTCGAAAAGATCAACGCCATGGAGCGCGAGTTTCTCATCGCAATCAACCATGCTCTGCACGTAGACGTCAACAGATTCATGTCTTGGATCAGGATCATGCAGTCCTTTTTCATCCAGCGCCAGTCCCGCTTCGAGTCGAGATCACGTCCCAGACGTCCCCTCCCTCATGGCCATCATCTCGCAGAGCCCAGCGTATCCTCGTTTGCAACCCCACCACGCTCTCCAGGATACGCCCGAGCGCGATCTGCAAGCCCGGACCAGTTCCAGTTTACGTTTGTCCCGCCAACCACCCATGTGCGACCTGATACCCAGTCTACACTACCATCCTCCCTCGCTGGCCGATCTATTCACCATCCAAGACCTCTGACGCAGCACGGAATGTACGCGCATCCACGGTCCGACGCCTACGAGTCGGGTAGTGTCTCGTCCTCTTCCTCGCACCACCTTCTCCCTTGGGATTCCCGCTCCGCGAGAACAGCGGCGTCTGAGACCCATTCGGCGAGCGCCGTCGAGCCTCTACACCATCACCTATTGGAACGCTCCCGAAGTAAACGCTCCGCATCTCAGGCCTTTAGTCCTCAGTCAGCCGAAGCGCCGCGTCCTCGACCAGATGACCGCGCTCAGCACCATCATCAACATCATCATCATCATCATCTCCATCCCGCCCGACGAGCTCATGTCCACCAGCACCAGCACCATCATCATCATCATCATCCACCAGGAGGTCGAAGACTGCATCAGGTTCATGAACGACTCGCCTCTCGCCCAACTTCGGCTGTCGAAGCCAATTTTGCGCGCATGAGCCTGTCGTCGTCGTCGCTCGCCCCATCTCCCATCACAGACGAGCGCACCGCCAATAAGCGAAACTCGATGCACGCTTTCCCTCATCTGACAGCACCGTTTGATCCGTACACGGCGCCATCGTTCCGAAACCAAGACTCGGCAGACGGCGAGCCACTCGAGTTGCAGTACTATCAACTCGTCCAAGGCGGACGCGGCGTGCTTCGCGTGCAGCCCAATGTAGCTGGTATACCATTCCCGGTGGATGATGCTTATGATCAGCACCTGCAGCAACAGCAACAGCAACAGCAGCAGCAACAGCAGCAGCAGCAACAACAACAACAGCATTACCACCACCAGCCGGCCGAGTTTGCATCGCCGTACGACAGACGCGAGCGCGTCCATAGCACGGGGGCAATATCCAATGGTCCCGAAACTGCAGGGTCACAAATGAGACGGATGCTATACGCTTCGAGCGCGACACAATCAACAGACGACGAAGAGGGGATGAGTGGTTCCGAATCGAGCAATGGTACCGGTTGGGAGCATCCGCAATTCAGCCAAGAACGCTCCTCGGTCCACATCCCTCAGGATCAGCATGGGTATCTCCAGCCTACGTCCCAACCCCCAGCAAATGGCACCGGATACTCATTGCCCCCGCTGAGTGCAATCCTCGGAGACGCACCACTTCGATTCTCGTCCCCGAGCATGCGTCCAGCAGTGCCTTCGCCAGACGATCAACACGTCAAGTATGCACAGTTTGCCAACGCTGGCCCGCCAGCAAGCTATGGGCCCCAGTGGGGATTCCAGATGCCAACGTCGATGCCCTACCATGTTCAATACGCTTCTTTCCATTCTCCATCCCGTGGCACACGCTCAGCGAGCATGCAACCCCGTCAGCACTCGTCGTTGCCACACTCTGCCTACGACTCTCATCCTCATCACCGTCCTCACCTACACCACGCACCTGGCGCCGTCGCACCTCACGCCTACTATTAACAAGGCGAACGGCGCACATGTAACAACTCTCCCGCTCACCTCCTGACTCGGGAATAATCAAGCCTATCATCCATTCACATACCAAAACCCCCTCAAGCATACCTCTCGAACAATTGTACCATCTGTACAACCTGGACTTTTTTTTCTTTCTCTTTCTCGGGTTATGTCGCGCAAATGGCCTTTGTCCCGGTCGCTTTGGTCCTCATCGCATAGTCAACTTATTCATATCCAATGTGCTTTTATCAACATCGAACCGGACCAAAAATCTAGTCTATCGTTTACTCGAGACGGCGGGTACACATTTCCCCCTAGAGGCGTGTAGTACCGACTGTGAATTGTCTCGCTAGTAGTCCATAATGTCGCTACGAACTACGTATGCAATACGATATGACATACATCATGTGATGGTTGCCTCTTTTTTTGAGGGTTCTGATGCGGTATTTTTTGTGGGGTTGTGAGAGACGGACTTTGTACAATTGTGTAGCTCGCTTCGAAAATCGCCACGGCAAAGTCCAGAGACTGACAAGCAAAGAGGGTCGCATGGGCAGGGAACTGACATGGAACCGAAGCTAGCCACAACTGGTGTTTTGCCTTGTCACGATGGAGGAGTGCAGACCTGCGCGGGAATCTCGTGCAGGAAAAAAGAGGGCTTGTTATGGGACGATGACCCAGTGGAGCGGACACGATCAACCCAACCCTAGGGCTTTGGTGCATTCTCTTCAGTCCCGCCGAATGGGAAATTATATCATTCTTGTTACCCAACGAATCATGGACCCCGTTTAGAGGTTGGGCCCTTTCTATCCGTTTATTCAATCGGGGAGATCCGAGGATCAAGTAGGTTCGCACGAGGTCATCGACGAGGCGCCTGGCTTCGTTGGGATTTTCAACTTGGAAGTCGCTCCGTTTATCTACACCGTCGCGCGTCTGGGACTTGGCGATGGATAGGCGGTGGCCTGGCCGCTGCCCCTTTCCCTGTTTACGTTTGGTAATCGTCCTGTTTGGGATTATCCCGTGTTGTTTTGGAATAAAATTGATGGCTTGTGCGTGGTTCTCACTTTTACGATGCGAATCCCGGGCAGCTTCCGGCCGCTCGTCAATGTCAGAAAAAAGGGCAATTAGGTGATGCACAGTGATCGCTGGCAGCCGCCGAGGGTTGACAACGATGGAAGTAAAAGAGCGGCAAAGGAGAACAGAGGCGGATGAGATACCCCGTGATGAAAGGGACGCGATCACCGGCGCTCAAACGGTCCTCCTCCTTCCGGTTTGACATAAAGAAAATAATAGGGCAGGTCTTGTCGGGGAATCCGCGATTTTATCATGGGACCCACTTTGTATAATCGCTTCATTTAGGCGCTACTGCATCCGAGCTTGGAATCCAGAGTCTGATAATGGGATCAGTGGGGCGTTGGTTTCAAACCCATCGGCCATTCAGAGAATCCTGTCTAATCCACTTTGAGCTTTTCCATACGAGAAAGGTCACACATCTCTCCTTGGAGGCCCAGCAGCCGTTAATGGGATTCGCCCAGTTTTGTCTTGTCCGCACCACCAACAACGTTGTGTTCATTGCTTCCTGTTTGGTACATTTACGTCTATTATTAAAACAGACGAGTACGCGTAATCTTCCCATGACGCAGCCCAGTTCTCTTTCAGCCCAAATGGCGCAACTCCCGTCCGTCCTCTTCAATCCCACCAATGGCTCTTCGAGATACTCCTCGTGTGCAGGATTGACTGCACGTTACCACTTGGCGCCTCTTTACTGAACAACTTGGACCGCACTTCAATAGATGAAGTACAAGATCATACCCAACGGCAGTCGTCGTGTCATCGGGGAAGGCTCATACGTACGTCTCCATACCTGAACGATCGGCCTTGGTACAAATATAGATCCATCGATAGTCCAACGTCTTCAAGGCTGAAGAGATCAATACTGAGACAAGGAATCTAGTTGCTCTCAAAGTCTCTCGCGCCTCTCTCAAAATCAAGAGACCCCTCCTCAGGCATGAGTCGCGTATCCTACAGCGTTTACAAGGCCACCCTACGATCCCACTCTTATTTGGCTACGGACATTTAGAGCATTTTGAATATCTCTCGATGGAACTCCTCGGACAGTGCATAAGCGACTATGTAAAAGCTGATATGGGGCTTCCAGTCAAGACGGTCGTTCATGTCATCGATCAGCTGGTGAGGTGGCTTTGCTCTCCAAAGTCTATGGCTCAGGCAGGGATAGGTGGATGGATTGGACCACATTCACTCGCACGGCATTGTAAATCGCGACGTTAAACCAGGCAATATCCTCCGAGTGCCAAACGACCCCTCTCGAATCAAGATTACCGACTTTAACATTTCAAAATTCTTCTCACGCGGTCCACCGACCAAATTTGATCCCTCAACACGATCTGTCGTCGGATCACTCAACTGGGCAAGTCTCAATTCGCACAACGGACTCGGTATGTGTGCTTTCGCGTTACCGAGCACAAGGTCTTATTCCATCGACCAGACCTTCGTCCTCGCGATGACCTCGAGTCTCTCGCTTATACCGCAATCAACCTCTTGCGAGGCAGTTTACCATGGGATAACCGACCACGACTCGAGGCAGACGATCGATCGCAAGAAGTCGTTCGCATTTTGAAAGAACGCGCGTCTCCTGCTGCACTCTCGGATGGGTTCCCCAGTGCCTTTGGAGAGCTTATCGCGTACTCGCGTGGCCTCTCGTATGACCAGTTGCCCGACTATGCGTACCTCAGGTCTCTATTCTCTCGACTCGATTTATCTGGCAAGAATGTCGACTCGGCGGTACTCGATTGGACACCATGCACAGTACCAAAATGGCCTACATCGTTGACACTGGAACCGGAATTGGATTTCCAAGAAAACGAAGATTTTGATAGAGACGATGGCGAAAGACCCCTAAAGAACAGTTATGACGAGTGGGACTTTGAGTGGTGGGACTATCGACAGGCAGAACGATATAAAGAGCTAACGTTCCCCGCAACTGTTGGGGAAGAACTTGATGGATGCGTACCGGCGATAACCTACGTCGATCATTCTCTTTAGGGTTCTAGCGAAACTGGGTCATCCCTACTCATCAAATGGATCGTTATGATTCAGTGCACCACGGGCGACTACATGTTCTGAGCTTATACGCGTATCTTAGCCCTTCATGGCTTTCAGAATGATGTCCACGGTTCCCTCGGGGAGTGTCCAGTTCTGCTTCTGAATGACCTTTCGTGATTTATGAGATGAGGATCGCATGGCAAATGAGAGAAAATGGACTGACATCACTTTGTTTGACTGTGTATGTTTGTCGAAGTGAGGCCCATCCTGCTTTACCATTCGCCATCTTTGGAAGTAGGTGAGGGAAACCAGCCTGCGGTGCAGGGTCAAATGGGTAAAACATTGTTTGATCAAGGCCCTCGGGTAACTGTTCATGACCTGCAAACGTCGCCACATAAGTGACCGTCATGGTGGCGTTGTCGTTGTTGACGGTGAGAACGACGCAGGTCAGCTCGCCGGGTTCCCCTTTCCCCAACCTGCTCATTGTCAGAGTACGAATCAACTATCCAAGGCACACATACTTTCTGCTATTAGATCCGGGGTTTTTACCCTTCCAATAGTCTGCCCTGTTGATGGCAAGTTCGAGTTTGACAATGTCTCCTGGAGCGTATGCGTTGTCCATCGTCGTGGAAATGGATCTAAGGCGAGTACGTTGCTCGTATGGGTGCTTTATATGTCTCGGAGTACTGAGCAAATGTCCTCTTTGGGCATGTCTGCCGCTCACTTGAGAAAGAGGGTTTGTCTTTCCGCCCTCTCTCCGTCCTCCCCATGTTAGAGACTACTTGTCTGCACACATGTGACCGAAACCAATTGGGTGGCTAATATAAATCCCACTGCCACAATGAATCTCTTCGCAGAGTATAGAATGTAGAATAGGGACTGCCCCGTCGTCCTCTATGTCCTCCATTATAAAACTTCCGCTGCTATTGATATTCCTGACAGGTAAGGCCAGCCACAAACACGCCACACACATCACCTAAGACTCTACGGCCAATAGCTAACCCCCACCCTCCAAATTCGATCGTGTACATGTAATCAAATCGCGTCTCATCATGGGGGAGGACGGAATGCTACTGTTCTCTGAGACCCGCAGGTGCGCTGGGAAGGGTTCCCGGTGTATGTATCCCCCCGCAAGCTTCCGGATCTAGGATACATCATTTACATATAAATATATCTGCGAATAGAGGCCCGCCTTGTACCCCATCATGGGAACTGGGGGATTTTTCTTCCCCCTCTGTTATTGAGTGAGGGGTGGCTGGATTTACTCGGAGAAAGGGTACGTATGTATTAGACCAGAATCGCATCATAGTTTCCGAGAGACGTATATTAGTAATCGAGGACGCCAATCACCTATTACATAAATGAGGCCGTGTACCGGTTCAACTAGGTGGTCGTCTATGTGGTGTGAATCTCCGAGGCGTTGCGCTATTCGAAAGTGAAGAATATGAGGACACTGCATATGAATTGATCAGCCCCTTTATGGTGTCAACTCGAGGACAGAGGGCGTGGACGCTATCCAAGCCATCTGAATTGAAGACATGCTCAGTCCCAATACATTCAAATGGGATATTAATCAGCTCTGTCTGGTGTACCCTTTGGAGAGGATGCGAATGCGAGGGGCAAGAACCTCCGACGAAATAAGCCACGAGCAATGTGAAGGGTCGTGTCTAATCCATGGCCTCTCTGTACTACGGAACACATTAGTCGATACCCCTTTCAGCGGATTTGCCGCTCTGAGTCTAGCGCTCAGTTGACACTCTTGTGTCCGTCCGTCCATACCACTTAATTGCCTCGACGCGGTACGAGACGACAGCAAAAGGATTTACCCGGAAGCATATCATTTCCTCATTTAGATAGACTCCACACGCTGATCGCCGTAAGGATTTGATCCGACGTGCTCAGTTATTTCATACGAGGGTGTCCACCTCGCAGGGATGCCCAACACCTAGGGCAGATATGAAAAGAATGTCAAGGATTAAGCTCAAAGATGAGGCCATGTAAGCAGCTGGGTTTGCCTATTGTCCGACAGGCCAGCCGACTTATTTCGATTAAAAGTCCTAGAAAATGGAATTTTTGGCGGCAGAGCCCGAGATAGCTAAGTGGCTTTTTCCGGCTCCGTATCTGCCGGGTCCCGATGGATGGGACTTGGGCGTGCGGCACACGCTCCGTCCAGCCTTTCTTGTGATCAATTCTAGTCATCCCAATTCCCAATATGGTTTTCCGCGTGAGCTTGTCCCGATGAACCTTGCCAATAAGTAAGTTGTTCAGTCGTGACGCGTTGAATGACTTAGGCGAGTCTACAGTTGTCAGATGACGATGTGACTAAACCATTAGGTCTCCTTTGAGTTATCTCGTGCGCGGCCTGAGACTGCCTATTTACTCACGCGACGCGAGCGTTTTGGTCGCCTATTTAGGTGGTCCGCGAAACGAGTCCAACGCCGCGGCAGGTCACCACGTGTCGCTTAAGCCTCGAGACATTGCGATCTGCGCGAATTCTTACCACGTCATGTGGAATACTTCTAGACTCGATGACACACGGAGGCGATCCAATCTTTAATGGATTAGGTTATGGAATCAAGGACCATCGGCTGAGGTTGACGCACTCGGACGCGAAGTTTGCGGACGCGGGTGCAGACGACGGATCAAAGCCTCGACTAGTTCGTTGCAGTCGCCAACCTCGACGTTACTTGGAGACCTTCGTTGTGAAAGACATGAAATCCCGCCGTTCAAATGTGCTAATTGGTACCGCCCACAGGCACTAGTCAGCGGCGGAGTTTACTATCTGTGTCGCGTAGATGACAGGACCTCTATAAGTCTCCAATTAGTTATCGGTGATCCATTCGCATCATTCATCCTGATCAGGAATGTTCCTGGAACGCCGAGAGTAACGGCTACACACACCTCTGATAGGCAGTCGAATAGCATGCGGTGAGATCCTCATTGAAATCAAACAAGAGTATAACCATATTGACATTCGCTGTAGTATGCGGTTAACAAGTTGGTTAACGTTACGCTAACTTGTAAATTCGGCTAGAGTTACTCTCGCCGTTCTTCAAACATAAAATCTACTCATACCCATATATAATCGCTATGTCATGCATTCATATTCCATACTGATCATCCAGGCTGTTTGCCAGTAATAGCGAAAGTCTCCATCGTCCCAGCTCCGGTAGGCAAAGGTGCCGTTGCAGTCGCTGACCTTCCAATCCGTCGGACCTTGGTTAGTCCCGCAATATATCCGGGAGCATTCTCACCTTCTAGCCTTGTGTGGTGATAATTAAACTCGGGTAGGTAGCGAAGCTGGGTATGCGCCGGGGCGGGACCATGGTCGAACGCCCCTAAAAGCGCCCCAAGCTCTCTACGTCTAGCAGTATGTGTCCATTACACTCATTTAAGTGTGTAAATCCCTAATTTCTATAGAAATATACTTTTGGTCCGTATCTACAGGCTTTTCTGTGAGATGAACTTTTGTTTGCCCCAAAGAAGGGACATACATGCGTATAGAAGACATACCCTGAGAAGCTACAGCGAACTTTGCGATGATCATTTGTTCTAACGTGCCCAATGTCAAGCCAGGTAACTTGGTCTCGTGACAAATGGCATTCTAAGAGGACGGAAGTGAATGCAGAGGATGGCGTGACGGCCCGGTGCTGGGGCACAAGAAAATCATCGTCAGATGGTATGTGAATTAGACGGACCCATCATTTTTGGAAGATACCATCAGCACGCTCGACCCTTCGATATTGCCACTTATGCTGCGAAGAGTTTCAGGAGCTGGAGGACGGTTTATGTGGAACACCTGCCTCTGTAGGGTTGGTGGTCAAAATAGAAGGTTGATGTCGCTCAAGATGGGTAAGTTGTGCCATCGTGAGCAGATGGGCGTGTGATCGCCACTTTATATCTAGCTGGCAGGAGAGGACGGAGAGCTTGAGCATTTTCTGTGAGGCCCAATCGCATGATTTTGATCTGAAGGCGCTTGGGTGACCAGAGTGTCGTGCTGGGAGTTGGAAAATCCGGTGTGTCGACAGGCATACAAAACCCAGCCATGGTCATATGGAAAGACATCAGCCCAAATCATGAACCACGTAACCACGTATTCCCCAGGCGATCTCATTTGTTCCCAGATTCATATCGCCCCGGAGGATATTGTGGTCATCGGGAAACCAGGAGACACGACCAAGGCGTATATATGTTTCATACTCAAGTGATATCTCTGAGAGAAGTCAGGGCACAGAAAGGAGAGGCCGTGAAACGCATCTGCATCGTCCTCGAGGTCGAAAATGACGACCTCATAATCACTTACACTGAACGTTGATCCCAACATGTGGTATCCTTTTACGCCTGCAACGCAGGGAACAGGACCTTTCAATGATCCATTCCCTGCAATGAGCGACAACAAAGTGACGTGGGCTTGCGTTCGTAAGAAACAGAAGATCCCGAAAGACCAGGTAGGTTAATACACATCCAAGTAAGAAGACAATAGCTTACAAACGATTTTAGCCTGGCTTGAAAAAGTTGGTCGAGACGCTGCCCCACACAACGGTGGTCTCTCTCCATGGGGCAATGCTCTCCTAGTTACATTGTAAGTTGAGATGCTCTATACCGGGACCTGAATGATTACATTTGGGGCAGTGATGATGAACAGTCTTGGATGGAGATTTAGAGTGGCGCCGTCGAAGTACTCCGTGTGCTGAATAGCCTTTCGTATCTACAAAGTTGATGCATGAACGCCCGCGCGAGAATAGTAGTTCATATATCAATTGACCATAATCAGATGGAGACTGTTCCTAGAGTCTTGCAGCTTGACTGATGTGTCCATTGGAAACGGTCTGGGAATCCCGTAGCCAATAATCTTGCTCAAGAGGTCTTGTTGTTGGATAGCTCGTGGTTCGCGTCGTAAGGGCATGGACTCTGAGTGATAGCTTGACTGCGTCGCCTTTACTGGTACCGAGCCACATGGTCTTAATGACCCCTATCTTTGATCAAAATCACCACTGTCTCGTGAAGTTAATCTCTAAGATCCCAAGTGTTTTCAACAGCACTATCCCAGATATAGCCAACGGAGCGGTCTGATTGTAGTCGTCGGAAGCAAGAACCAAGCTTTAACCTCCACAACGACACATCTACAAAATCAATCTTATACCATCACATTGAGCAAGGACAGGTCCAGAGTCATGGTGGATAGTAGTCGATTTATGATTGGCTCTAGAGGCGAATCTGGCATCCAGCATTCCAGCCTCTTCAGATCCTTTCTCATCCAGCCGCCAGCAAGCTGTTAGACGGGCTCATCAAACCAAACCTAAGCTAGAGGCAACTTGGACTGCAGCGTCGTTCATCATCCCCACATAAACTCGAAAATCGATCCACCATGCCGACGAGCGGGCCTATGGAAGACATCAGGTATACAAACTCAGAGAGGAGCCCAGAGGTAAAGGCTAGTATCATCATGAGCTATGCTTAACTCTACCAGGAAGAGGATCCTAATGTTCGCAACCACAAACAGGAGGTCAGTGGCCGCACTAGTGTAGCAGTCCAGACAATGCTCCAGGCGCGGGACATCGTATGTTGCCTCCGTTACTTTTTGTTCTTATCATCTGAAATGGGAACAGACTGAAGTTCGCACGGGTGCGGCTAGTGCACCGCAAGGCAGTACTCCCAGTGTCGATGGTCCAAATCTGGATCCAACAGTCGCTCGACAGGAGGCAGAGGACGCCAATTTGGCACGCGAAGCCCAGGAGAAGGAAAAGAAGCAAGTAGAGATCGATCAAAAGGCCCGCGAAGCGCAAATCCGGCAGCAAAGGCAGGAAGCGCAGATTGCGGAGATGAAATTGCAGCTAGACTTGCTGCAGGAGCAAACACGCAATGCTAAGAACCAGATCAGCACACTTGACGGAAATTATAAAACGATAGAGCAGGAGAACACCAGGCTTCAGGAGGAATGGACGCGACTTCACGCCGATGTCGAAGCTCGGAGGAAGAGACTCAACGGTAGTCGTGCTTTCGCCGCGCGTGAAGGCAATGTGGACGCGCAGGCACTCATTCAGCTTTTCACCGACTTTATTGGTACCATCGACGACTTTTCGTACATTATACTTAGTGGACTAAACGAAAAGTCTGAAGAACCCTTGAAGAACGAAGAGCTCGAAGAGGTTCGAATCGTCATGGGGAAGGAGAGGAGTGATCCAAAGAAAGAAAAGAGGGAGGGTAGGGAGCGGAGCCAGAGCGTCCCGATAGTGGAAGACCCAAACGTCGCCACGTTCCTCGCAAGGTTCAAGCAACTCAAAGAAGTACGGACGCCGATGAACATTTCGGACCCGCTGATTCAATATCTCTTCACTGATTACCTCTACACGCGCGTCTTCCAACCGTTCGCCCCACGAATGCCAGAACAGGATAGCAAAATCCTTCACCAAATGTACGCCGATATGCGCAAGAAAGAACCTCAGGAGCGGAGCGCAAAGTGGCGAGCGCTGACATACCAACATTCCCTTCGCATCCTCGCCGACGTCAAACAAGCAGCCCCCGTTCCGAGTAGAACCCAGGCCACCAAAGCCAGCTCCAGATCCTCTCCAAAAGACGCGGTGAAGGACCGAAATGCCGCCTCCGACGAGGATATAGCGCCGTTCATGGCCAAGGTCACAAAGCTACTCAACATCTTTAACCGGACTAAGAATGAAGAGGCGTCGGAAGAGTTGTGGAAGGCAGCGAAGCATAGTTTTTCTATGGCACTCAAGGTGCAGGAGAAGGCAAAGACCGAGTATACGAGCTTCGATTACGAAGTCGTATTCTACGGGGAAGAAGAGCGATTTGATCCGCAGAGGAAGGCATACAGATCGGAGAAAGCGAGATTCAATCCAGAGTCTATGGAAGTCGTGCAGGGTCCTAATACTGCCAAGTATGTTGAACTCACAGTCGGACTCGGTTTGAACGCAAAGAAGAGTGTTCGGAATGGCGGTGGATATGTGGAAGAGACTACAACGCCCGTCAAGGCCAAGGTGGTTTGCGATAACTGGACGGTGGATTACGAATCACCTAGATAATGGCTTCTCAATGAAGAGAGCTCGCGAATTTCTAGTTTGATGCTTTTCAATTGACACCATTGAACTGATGTGTACATCTTGTATATATAACAAGTCATGTTCAAGTCCAATGTCGGGAATATCTGGAACTTGCGATGAATTGACATAAGCAGTTGAATGTCGATGCGCCGTAAATATTGTAGCGAGACTTCCTCGGCGAGCGACTAGAGTGTCTTGTCGTCCTTAGTCTGTGGCTTTTTCGCTTTGCGCGCCGCAGAGAGCTGCATCCTCTTGACCTTGACACTGAAGAAAGTCTAGAATGGAGGGTGAGTGAATGTCGGATAGAAAGATAGACACATACTCCGATCACAAGGGAAACGACATTAAAGAAGGGGACCCAAAGCTACGCGACTGTCAGCCACAATAACATCAGACAATCTGGGTTACCTCGGGTGGAAGGAAACTTTGAGCGAACAAGGTGGCGGTCGGAGAACTGAGCCAGAGAATCTAGACGATTGAGAACGAGCAAAGGCTACGGCCATGAGACACACCTTGAGCATTGGGAGGAACCCTCTCATCACTGTAGCCTGGATCGCATCGGCAGACCGGGCACCACCGATGACGGCCATGGAAGCGAGGTACACTAAGGGCGGGTAAGGATTGATTTTGAAGAGGAAACCCAAATACCAGAAGCTTGTACTGGAGCGATGAACAAGTTGCTGACGAGCAACTGCAAGAGTTTGGCCTTGCCACTGGTGCGACCGGCAAACAACTTGTGGAGACCGCCTATCAAGACATGGTTCATGGGTGCGGAGATGAAGAAGCCATAGAGGGCCATATTGAGTGCCTTTGCGTTAACCTTGGCGGCGGCGAGTGCTCGTTTGTAGACCGGGGCGTCTTTCGAGCAGTGGAAGGGTACGCCCGCAATATGGTTGGCTAAGACCTCTTGCAAGAAGCACAGGACACCTTGTAGAGCCCGATTAGCACGCTTGAACTCGTGTTAACTGCCTACTCACCCGCTGTCGTCATCTTTGTTTGCAGTGGCCTTGCGGTGAGTCTTGCAAGATATGCTGCGAGCAAAGGATGGACCTTTGTGGCTCTTGGAGCGACGTAGACGGTCGTGGATGTGCTCATTGGCAAGATGCGGGGGGCGTTGTGGGGTCCAGAGTCTGTTTTCGGCTACCTTTCGACCCGACCCACGCTTGCTTGGCCGGTAACGCTGCCGTGGACAACCGGAGAATATGGATGCAGTCGTGGGCAAGACATTCTTCTTTGACACATTGATACCGGAAACAGAGCGCGGACGGCAGATGGCAAAGATTAAAGTCAGGCTGCCATTATACCATAGAACTTGGCGCTGACAATGTTCTCAGACCATTAGAGGACTCGTCACAGAGAGAATGAGCAGTGCAGACGTGATCATCCTTGCAGACGCCTCGAAAAAGGACGAGTTGGAACAACAGTTTAGAGACCGGGTTCGCGACGTGCACTGGATAAAGCACAAGCTAGAACTTTATGGGACAGGAGATTTTCAACCATCAACTCTTTTACAGGCCAGACACGCGTCAACAAGCTCAACCAACATTGCCACTCCCTCTCCAAAGGCAACACAGTAGGCCCAGACTCTATGCCATGCTCAATCTCATATACGAATCAGGAAGAGGAAGCGAGATGACCCTGATTCCGACATGGAAAACCACTCCGTTCAGCCGTCTCGTGCACGCTTTAAGAATGAACAGAATTTGTGAGGCTTGATGTCGCTCTGGACCCATTACTTATACCCAAAGTAGTCGGTCGTACACGGCAGAGGAACTAGAGAAGCTAAGAAAATACATGGCCGACCATCCATCACTGCCCATTGACCAACCCTTCTGGAAGAGGCTTCGAGAGGTGCATAAATCTCCCAGAATGTAGTACCCTGTGTTCCTGATCTCGTTCCAGGAGTGCCCTTGGGCTAGAAACCATACTGCCGAAGCTTGGAGGACGGGGTGGTACCGACAGTCAGAAGACTATCGTCGCCAACCGAGTTCTATCGGCACAAGGAAGAAACTGAAGAGCGTCCAACACCCCAAACTTCCTCTTGGCGTCACGGTCGTCAAAGCTGGCCCTTCCAAAACGTCAACAGTGATCCAAGATAGCGATGAAGATATACAAAGCGAGGACAATGAACCGCCCGCTGAGGATGTATCCAACATTGCTGGCAGAGGTAACCCGGTTGATCAGGGGGAAGACAACTCGGATTGCTGGCCAGCTGTAACTCCAGGCTTCAAATCCGCTGGCCCACCTTTTGCTCCGTGGGTGAAGATCAAACTAGGTTGTTGGCGCCAACGTGCCGTCACTCTCGTCAAGAACTCGGACCCATCCCAGTCGAGCGCCTCTGCCCCCACACGACCAAGTACAGGCCTTCCTCCCATTACAGCTCCTCCACCGTCGAGTGCCTTGGAGGAGACCAACCGCTCGCAAACGCCTCCACTCCCTCTATTCTATGACACACAACCGCCAGAGATTGACGAACTCGAAGATGCCGCAGTGTCGCAAGCACCAGAAAACAATGGAGATGAATTGAACGAAGGAGACTCAGACTACGCTCCCGATAACGCATCTTTTGACGCAGAGGACTACATACGAGAGACCCAAAGCACCTCGGCAACTCAGACATACCTACCATCCTCGACTTTACCGCCCTTGTCTGAGGATAACCTGGACAAGAATACAAGACAGCGACCAGCGACTACTGCGGTTTCAGCTCTAGAGCATTTGGGGGCTGATCACGTTGATGCCTACTTTGCCCACGCCCTGCAACAGCAAGAGGGCGGTGGTCTTACCCAACTCTTCATCTCGCAGGCTCCCGACCAAGACTTTCGTGCAACTACAAGAGGTTTGAACGGGGAACCTGACAACCGCACAAGACTCATATCCGCGACAATTGCGTTTATTGCACATTGGCTTCAGCGAGACGTGGAAAAGGTGTGGGAGCAATGGCAAATGATGCCCTTGGCCAAACAAAACTTTGCAGAGATACAGAAGTGGTGTCTTATGCATGATGATACGAGACTTGACGTCTCTTCTGACGAGACGCGTACGACGACGTCGACTAGGCGCCCTTTTCTTGCACCATTGAATGCCAAGAAGCGATATCCTTACCCATCCAAGCCTGATAGGGAATGGGCAAAACATATATGCAGGATGCTCGCCGCGCTCTATAATTGCCGACTGCCGAGCAAGGTTTACAACATCTGGGTGTCGACAAAAGGCGACGCTCGAGCTACCGAGGACATTCTCAAGGCGAAGAGTCGGGAACATGGAGGAGTTGCGCCGCTCGACGTACGGGAAATGGGTGTAGGGGACATCCCGAGACCTTGGCTGTAGCTGTACATTACTGTGCTTCATATGTTCGTATTGATTCTAATTGGTTCCACATCGCGGATAAAAGCCCGCCTTGAACGGCGAGTGGCGAGCGGTCGGACCGAGTGCAGCTTGTCTCCTCCCAAGTCCTACGTTTACCATGTCGCGCCCAATGCCCAGACTGTTTCTCATCCGCCACGGTATGTAGATCCGGATGAGTACTTTACTTGAAATGTCTTCGTCGGGACCGATCTATTGACATCGCATCTGGACCAGGCGAGACCGAGTGGACGATTAATGGTGAGATCTACGCTCCCCTTGTGCCTTGAGTTGAGCTCAGATTACATCCAGGACGTCATGTATGAGCTCGTGCTGTAATGTCCGACGTTGCTTGACGAATGCCACTTTTAGACTGGCCGGAGCGACATCCCGCTCACGGAAAACGGCGTGAAAATTATCGAAAGAAACAGGAGCAGAATCATTGGACCCGATAGTAGGCTTCCATTTTCGTGATATCCCGTCTGACACGGACCTCAGAGTTGATCAAGCCCGAAAATATTTGTCACGTAGGTGCCTTTCCAAGTATCTTGAGATTTACTTATCTTGTATAGGTCCTGGTGTCGCCCCGTCAGAGGGCTCAGAAGACGTTTCATACTTTATTCGAAGGACAGGAATTGCCACCCCACGAGACTACAGAAGCCGTCGCTGAATGGAATTATGGTGACTATGAAGGTCTAGTTATATCTGAGATCAAGCAGAAAGACCCCAACTGGGTTATTTGGCGCGATGGCTGTCCAGGAGGCGAGAGTGTCGCTGACATCACGAAGCGAATCGACGACACAATCAAGGTGGTGAGTGAAACCCTGTACGGTATCGGTGACGTCCTGATCATCTCCAGGTTCGAGAATATCATCGTCGGTACAAGGAAGAGGGCATCGGTAAAAGAGACAGTGCGGTCATCCATTTGACACGACAATTTGTCAAGCTCATCGTATTCAGTGCTCATTGTTGCTCATGGTCACTTCTTGAGGGCATTCATTGCTCGCTGGGTCGAGTTTAACCTCTGCTTGGGTATGTCCAGGGTCGCTGAACCAAAACGCCCCTCGCTGACGCAAATAGGCACACACTTTAACGTTGAGCCTGCTAGTATTGCTATGCTCACGTATCAGCACAACAACCGTGAGCCACTCCTGATTCGGATCCGCGTTATGCTCACCCTTCGACCTAGTTGCTGAACCCAGTTTGACTGCGTTGAATTTGTTTGCATTCTCCGACTAGAAACGTGTAGTCTTGAGAAGGCTGAAATGCATAGCTATACTTGTTTGCCGGTTGTCTGTGGTTATCGTCTTTCTTTCACGACCACATTCGCGATTCCTTCACGATGGCCACTGAAGAACCCGTCCACGACGTTTCTATAGACTCCGTTACGCCTTCTAATGTAGACGCTGAAACTAATGATCCAACGAGTCCCGTAGCGGCCTCGTCAGATGCGCATCCGAATGGAACGACAACCGAGGACAAGACGACGGAGCCGTCTGAGAATCCAGATGAGCCACCAACGTCTCCATCAAAGCCCAGAGCATCCATTTCAAGCGACGCGAAGAAGGTCGTCAAAGCTGCGGCTTCAACAGTCAAGTCGGCACCATCAAACGCGGTCAAAAAGGTGCGTATCCTGTTGCATACAGACTATCTGGATGCTATAAGATTATTCATTCATGCTAACTGTGACTTACGCGTTGTCTAAACAGGTACTCAACTCTGGAACGTTTGGAACTAGTTCCGGGAGCAAACCGTCTACGAGCACCGCGACCAAGGCGCCAGTCAAATCAAATTCGACTGCAACTCCATCAACGGGACCGACTGCACCCAGAACGAGTGCAACGACGGCTCCAAAGGACGCACCGTCGACTAACTCCTCCACCGTCGGAGGCAGACGAATTTCAACTGAAAAGGCGGGTCCAAGCACGTCGGGTACTACGACTGCATCCAAGCGCGCTTCGCTGGTTCCTGCTGGAGCCTCGTCCGTTGCGGCAAAGTCTGCAACACCTAAGCCGACTACAAGTGCACCGAAACCTTCGACGAACACGGCACCTAAGCCTGCGCCGGGAACAAAGGGACCTACGACTGGCACAAAAGATGGTGTCCCTCCCGTCAAGAAACCGCCTACTGTCACCTCACCGACTCCTTCGGCCAGTTCCGCGAGGCCCCGTGTGTCAGAGGCGCTTTCCAAAGCAGCGGCACCGCGTCCTAGTTTGGCTGTGGGTAGCAAAGGAGCGGGGACCAGCGCTGCGCCCAGCCCCATTTCGAAGAACAGGACGCCAACGTCTGCGGTGGCGAATGAGAAGATGGTGGAATTGGAAGGCAAGGTGAGAAAAGAGGCATATGTTGTGTCATTAGCTTATTGGTGTCCGTAGCTCAAGGATGCCACTGCATCTCTCGAGGAGCGGCTCGCCAAAGTAGTCGACCTCGAGGGGCAAGTGTTATCGCTCTCAACTGAACTTGAGCAGCGCAAGACAGAATTGGAGGAGATGAACAAATCTGCCGAGGACCATATCACTCATCGAACCCAATTGGAAGAAGAGCTAAATGCCGCAAAAGCGTCTTCCGAGCAACATAAACAGGCACATGACGAGACAGAGGCCCGTTACCTACAGTCGACCGAGCAAGTACGTTTTGGCATTCTTGCGTAGCTCTTTTGCTTATCTTTACAAGGCCGAGACAGCGCAGAAGGATGCGGAAGCTGCAAGAGAAGAGCTCGCAAAAGCAAAGGCAGATTTGGATGAATCGCAAGCCAAACTTGCCGAAGTCCAGGCTGCACTTGATGAACTCAAGGCGACCAGCGAAGCCTCTCAACAAGAATTCGACTCTGTTCGCAATGAGTTGACCAAGGCCCAAGAAGCGCTCAAGGCAGCTACGGAGGAGTTGGATGTTCATCGCACTCAGATGGCGGAAGCCACGACCAAAGTCGCCGCTCTTACGCTCGAGGTCAACGAATTGACCCAGTACAAGTCCAAGCACGACGATTTGCAAGCAGAGGTTGACAGACTCAACACGGCCGTCGTGGACACGGCCGCCAAGCTGTCCGAGTGCGAAGTCGAGGTTTTGGAGCTTCGTGAAGCAAAAGAAGAGGCGAACGAGGCCCAGGAAAAGACGCTTGCACAGATCAAGGACCTCGAAGGTCAGGTCGCAGAGGCTTTGGAGAAGCATACGAGCGAGGTCGAGGCACTCAAGGTTTCGCATCTGGAAGAGCTGTCGACCCTCAAGAAAGAGATGGAGGACGCCTTGAAGGAAGCTGCAGACAAGGCTGTAGAGGAGAGTAAAGCTGCGCAGGAGGAACTTGCTCGAGTCAAGGAAGAGCTAGCGAGTCAGGAGAGCAAGTACAATGCCCAGGTCGAAGCTGCCGCGGCTGAGCACGAAACGTTGCTTGCTCAGGCATTTGATAAAGCCAAGGTATTTCGTTCGTGCCTGTTATTCACCACTTTACTAACCCAATGAAAGAATGAGGCAGGTTCCGCTCATGCCCTCGAGCTTCAGCAGTTGCGCACCGAATCTCAAGCGACCATGGAGCAGCTCCGAACAGCACATACAAACTCTCTCAAAGAGCTCGAGGCGTCGCAAGCCGAGGCCCTCGAGAGTGCGAAGAAGGCATTTGAGAAGAAGCTTGCTGAGCTCACCATGGAACTCAAGGCCACTCAGGATGACCTGGGCAAGGCCAAGTCTGCACTCACGGCGTCGCAATCTGAAGGAGAGTCTCAACGCACGGAGATTCAGCGACTTTCCAAGGAGCTAGAGGAGTCAAAGGGCGCATCTTCGGATAATCAAGAAAAGGATGTGCAGATTGAAGGTCTGAGGAAGCAGCTGAGTGTCATGGCGGACGACCTCGAGGCTACCAAGATGGCATTCACCGCGCAAAAGGAGTCCTTCCACGAAATGGCCGAAAGTCATCAACGGGATCTGGAGGAAGCCGCAAAGTCACGTGTCGAGGCTGTTCAAGAGCTGAAGAAGCAACTAGACGAGGAAAAGGCTGGTTGGGCAGCCGAGAAGAGAAAGCTGGTGCAAGAGCTCGAGGACGAGAGAGTAGCCAAAGAGCAGGCAAAGGCGGAAGCTCATGCGGCTCAGACGGCGCTGCAGACACCACCCATGTCCCCCAAAGCCAATGGTCAACCAAGCCAACACGTTCCGCGTGAGGAACTGCTCAAGGTGCACGAAGCACATACTGCAAAGATGGCCGAGGTCGATGCTGCGCACACCAAGGAGGTGACTGCTCTGAAGAAGCAAATTGCCGATCTCACCACGGAGAGCAATGAACTGAAGAATACACTAAGCAGTAGAAACCTCGAGCTCCAGTTCCTGGGAGATGAAAAGACGGAGCTGGAAGAAGAAGTTGAAAGGTGCGTACTTGATCGTTGGACAATGTCATAGCTCACCAATTGGTGATCTAGGTTGAAGCACGACCTGAATTCAAAGCCGGGAATGAATCTCGCGTAGAAGCGTATGGTTTTCCTTGTTTGTCAAATTATGTGGATCATTCTATCGACTGAGGATCAATCACCTTTCGCCTCTTTTAATCTACGCGCTATTCGTCGGCGTGTTTTCTGCAACGAGCTGGAGTTTTATTCCTGATGCATTTCACGTCTCGCATGCTGTTCTCTCCTGTCGTTTACTTGTCACAAACTCTGGAATTTTACTGCCTTGTCATTTCCGCGCGTGCGATTGAATTGATGTCGTACGGCACCCATGGGTGGTCTCATGTCTCCCCATTTGAGCCAACTTGGCCTTTTGCCCCAATCCTCTTTTTTTCGTTGCCGTTCTATACACGACCTAGACAAGCATGGGAGTTCAACGTGAACCAGGTCAAAAGGGCGTCAACTGGTCCAACATTGCCGTCGGTACGTTTGTTCTGGTTCGTCGTACGGAACGGCCTTGTTGCTGACAGAACGCCGTGGTTGCTCGTGTTTAGGCGGTATTATGAACATGGTACGTATTCTACACTCGGATAAACGATAAAAAGACGCGTTCTGACGACTCGTTTGGTGCACTTTTTTTTCGACAGTTTGAGGTTACGACGCTCGGGCAACCGCTCGAGGTCCTCAAGACACAAATGGCCGCAAATCGATCGCAGACAATGGTTCAAGCTCTGCGTTCTGTCTGGGCACGTGGAGGCGTCACTGGTTTCTACCAGGGCCTGATCCCTTGGGTACGTCTGCGCTACCCTGCCCGTTTTCAAAGATGACATTTCTGACTACTATCTGATAGGCATGGATTGAAGCTTCGACAAAAGGAGCCGTGCTCTTGTTCACCGCGTCTGAGATTGAGACTGCCACCGTCCGAATGGGTCTCAGTCCTGCTGCTGCTGGTCTCGTGGGCGGAATGGGTGGTGGTATTGCACAGGCATATGCTACAATGGGTGCGCACTCTTTCCCCTCGTGTTTATCCGGCTATATGCTGATTCTTTGTGTCTCGGCACCCCTCCTTGATATCCTGACCGTCGCAATGTGCATTCTCCTGGAATCTAGGTTTCTGCACGTGCATGAAGACTGCTGAAATCACGCGACACAAGCAGGCTGCGGCGGGTATTACCCCTCCTTCGACCTGGGCCGTCTTTGCCGATATCTACCGCCGCGAGGGTATCGCTGGTATCAACAAGGGTGTCAATGCTGTTGCATTGCGACAAATGACCAACTGGGGCTCGAGGTTTGTAATCATTTCTTAGGAGTGTGCGTGTCTGACCGGGATTATAGAATGGGTTTCGCACGACTTGCAGAATCGACCATTCGTTCGATGAAAGGAAAGTCGGAAAAGGAACCGTTGGGTGCCCTCGATAAGATTATGGCCTCGTCGATTGGTATGTGGAGTAGCAACTTTGGGTTTATAGCTTCTCATCGACCCTAGGTGGTGCATTGGCTACATGGAATCAGCCCATCGAGGTTGTACGCGTGGAAATGCAATCCATGTCCAAGGATAAATCCCCTAACCGACCCGCAAAACCAACCGTCTTCAATACGCTCGGCTACATTTACCGAGAGAACGGACTCAAGGGCTTGTACCGTGGCGTGACCCCTCGTATCGGTCTCGGAGTCTGGCAGACTGTCTGCATGGTCAGCTTTGCAGACTATGTCAAGGCTTGGTACGTTCTCTCCTCTATCCGCACAGCTTCATCCATTCTGACCAGCCTCTTACAGGGTCAACAAAAAGTAGAGGGTCTAGAGCGATGACCGAGGACGCCTTTACCCGTTTTCTATAGTATATTCTAATCCATCTATTCCCTGGTACTTGCAAAAATGCGGAGAGCACTAAGCCTGATTCATGTCTGTTCCCCATTTGTCGGTTGCTCTGTGGTCAAGAACAGCGCATGCCACACCTCAACAAGCAACGTTACCGAGACAGCCGCCTCGAGACTGTCGAGTTGAATAATTGTGAATAATTGTCGATTTTTGCCGACTAGTTTGTTTCCTCAAGCCGCAGCCGACCCGCGGGCAAGGTTGCGGCGGCACTTTGACCTTGACTAACACATCCTTTCTCGGCCTGGCTTCTCCAACGACAGCGGCAGTCTTCAAACAAATTTACTGATAATTATTTCTTGTCTCGTCTCTCGTATTGCCCACAGAACGACGGCGACAGACTCCAGCGTCACCCACAATGCGCTACTCCACCGACCTCACCAGCGAGATTGGGCTAGAACTGAGCGTCAGTGATGATAGACGTGTCTATCAAAGCAGAGATTCAAGTCCAGATGCGCTGGGCTTTCTCCTGCCCGTGCTGTTTGTGCTCTCTACGCTCCTGTTCGTGATGCTCCTCTTTCTCGTATGCATCTTGCTGCTCAGAAAGAGACGTGGTATTTTATTGAGGGATAATGATGGCCCCGTCGATGTCAGCCGCGAGGACGTGTTCAACGATGCTGACGGAGGCTTGGCGGGCATAGAGGAGCGATGGTTGGAGAGTGTGGGTGAAGATATTAGAAGGAATTACAGACAGGCAAAGCGTGAGTGCCCCTCTTCTTCTCGATAAGACACGCGGGGCTCACCATCGACGATCCATGTGTTCAGTCTACGAGGCGCAATATCCGCCAAATTCACTCCAGACGGATATTACACTCTCCCAGTTTCTTTCGATTCAGGAAAAGGGCGTGTCAGCATGGTCCTTTGAGCCAGAATACGAGGCGCTTACACCCGTCCTCGTCCATGCCAGGACAGAACTTACATTCTTGCCTGATCCTTCCTCTACCTCTTCCGTACAATCAAACCTTCCAATTCCGAAACTCAACGAAGTCTATTATTGGGAGGTCAAGATGTTTGACTTGCCGTCGACTACAAATGTTGCCGTTGGTCTAGCGACGAAACCGTATCCTACATTCCGCTTACCGGGCTGGAACCGCTACTCTATTGCCTATCATTCCAATGGTGACAAGTCGTACAACTATCCCTTCACGGCCACACCCTTCGGTCCACCACTGCGCGAAGGCGATGTTTTAGGCGTAGGCTATAGACCACGAACAGGCACCGTCTTTTTTACGCGCAACGGAAGGAAGACCGAAGAGGCCTTTACCGGTCTCTCTCGATGGAATCTGTTTCCAACGGTTGGCGCAGACGGACCTTGCAGTGTCCATGTCAACCTGGGCCAGGCCGGCTTTGTGTTCATCGAAGCTAACGTGAAAAAGTGGGGACTAGCACCCAGCGTGGGCACGCTCGCTCCTCCACCGGCGTACGGGAGCGAACGGGGGAGTATTTTGCTCGAAGCTGGTGGTGTGAGCCCGAGAAGGGACGCTGGTGCGCACGCGGCCGGATCGTCCTCTTCACGACGATCGCATCAACATCGATTACGAAGACCAAAGGCACCTACGTCGACGTCGTTGCCATCTGATCCTTCGGCTTTACGAACGGCACCCACGAGCCCGCCTCCACCGTTCAGTCCAGGAGAGCCACGTAGTTCGAGACAAGGGATCATGCACAGGGTCAGTGCAAGTGCGTCGTCGAGTCGATCTATGCCGAGCACGAGCGCCGCAGGCGGACGAGAGTTGGAGACGATTCCTGCTGCAGAAGAGCCAGAAGACGATAGAGCATCGAATTCTTCTCAGAATACGGCCCGTGGTGGTGGTGGCGATAACCGCATCTCTCGATCGCGTGCAGAGACGAGCAGCAATGCGCATCGACGCGGTGCCTCAATTGGGCTCCAGTTGCCCGTGGAGACCCCCCAAGAGGACCTGGAGAGCCCGTACGTCTTCAACCCGCCTACTCCGAATGTCTCCGACATTCATTTGAGGACGTTGGACAGGACAAGTCTTGATCTTGGACGTGGTAGACCGCCACCCGCGGCGCGCCGTGAGAATAGTAACGATAGTCGGACAGACGAGAGCGTTAGTGAGAGTGGGGAAAGTACAGAGGGACTCCAAACGATCCCACGAACGGAGCCTCCAGGATACGCAGGTTAGTCCTATTACTTGACTGATAAAGCTGGATGACTTATTTGTGTATAGTGATCAATCCGCACATCTATGCATCCGGCGTGCACATTGACCTCCCTGCCGAGGTGATCCAAGCCGCCTTGGACGGACGACCAGTCGAGCCTGCCGCGTCGACGTCGACTACCAATCCTGGACGAGGAGTTCGTCGATAAAATTCTCCTTCACCACTTCACCTTTTGGGAACCTGATGCTACCTTGTATTTCCTCCTCGCCAGACCCTCGTCCGGCGGCCCACTCGACGCACGACCCCTACCGATCCACCCTTGTATCACCCAGACCTCAATCTCTAACGACCGTCCATTTTACGCCTTTGAAGTCGCGTGTCGACTTGTAACTCATCCACGACCTTCGGCTCACCTCCAATCACAGTACAACAGCCAATAAAAGCTTGGAACACTGGGCTATGCTTTCTTTAGCGAACTGGCCAGCAGGCTTGTCATATATTTGGCCGCCTTGCCTTGCTACCACCGCCAACGCGTTGAGAGGTGGACACCTTGAGGTTTCGCGGATAGATGAAGACGTAGATGGACAGACGAGTTTGCTCTGCCTCAGCAGCCCCCATCTTGTGACATTGTTTTCTATTTGTTTTACGTATATCGAACCATCTCTCAATCACTACACATCATCATAAGTATCAAGTGACGGAGCACAGGACCATCGAGTAAAATATTGAATTTGAATGAACCGCACCTCCGTCGTTTAATCGGACAATAGGCGAGCGTTTGACTCTGCCACCACCACGCCTGCATTCACTCGTCCTCGACCTTTGCTCATGTTTACAGGGCGGACGGAGCCATTTAGGCGCGTAAAAAGATCGACGTCGCTCCTTGGTCCATAAACGGGTTTTGCGCGGAGGGCAAGAGTTCGCTTTGAATGCGGCTTTTAGCAGGCTTCCCTCGCGGTGCGCCCACTGAGAATGCATTGGGATGGTTGGTATTCGTGAGATACACGATCGCTAGGCAATGGCGCAATGCAAAAGAGTACTTCAGACCCCTCCAGGCTTTTCCCTCCAGCTTTCTTTCCTCGAATCAATTCCTCCTATCCAAGGTGGCCGTGGTAAAGTAATCGCCTTCAAAGGGAGTGAAGCTAGACGTACAAATGGGCTGCAACATCCTCACGACTTGCCTCGTTTTTGTAATTGTCACCGGCATGGTCGAAGCCGTGATAACAGGCATCAATTATGTGGACGATAAGAATGAAATGAACAACAACGGTACATGGAGTCCGACTGCTCGACGGCTGCGTGTACCGGCCACGGCCTTTATTTGCGCCAGCGTCGCTTGGTCGTTGGTCGTCGGTGTGGCCTATTGCCTGGTCAGTCATGGTTCAAGCAGGAGAGATGAAGCCGAGCGAGAGCGCAGATCGTAAGTACCTTTCTCTCCAAGTCTTGATTTTATCCTCTTGGCTAACTCTTCCAAGAATCAGACTATTCTCCATCTGGTCGGGCATCTCTGCTCTCCTTTGGCTCATCAGTGGGGTCTTGTACCATCAAGCACATGCCTCTGTGGGCTGTGGTAGCATTAGCGGACCCGTCAATTGCAGCATCAACAATTTGGTTACAGGACTTGCGTGGGGATTGTTTGGTATCTGCCTTCTCTCCTTTGGATTCTCGCTCCTCCAGATAAAGGCAATCCGCAAGGAGGATAATATAGTAAGCCCAACTTGCCTCCTTCCGACCACTCGTCTCGTTTGGTCCCTCACCCATCGTTGATTCGAGGGCTAACATGCTCATAGGCAATGCAAAACAAAGTTGATATCCCACGTTCCGAGAGTCCGGTATCCCAAACCACCATACGTGTTTAGATAGCGTTACGACACTACAACGAAAGCACCGGTATCAATAGATCATTTCTATTGGCCCTTACTCGTTCATGTACATTAAAAGTTGGCTTATTGACATTTCGAGGTTGATTCATCTACCAAAGGTTCAGACGCTTGGTTCCTCGCTATAAGTGAACGACTACTTTTAACGTTACCGGCATAATAGTGAGATAGTCTTGTAAAAGCTGAAGGATTCGCGATTGGTACTGAAGAAGCCCTCTTTTCACTTGAAGAGATGCACCTGATGTCTTCAACGCGACAAATTTGCCAGTCCCTATCTTATAAGCCTTCAAGACGTTGCTCTGCAGCATATTCAATCGAAAATTTGACGCTATTTGCGAGATTTCCGAGTACATACGTATGCACCCTAATCCAAGCAAGCGGAGTGATGCCCAAGTTACTGAATGCCCCTCTCCGGCCAAATCAGTTTCATATTAGCAATTAGTCGCTCATGAAGTCCGTTTGAGGTCTGCTCTTTCGAACTTTGGCACATCTACCATCAAGGGCCATAGGACCCAGTCAAGTTCTTCTTTTCTAGCTAACCGAAGCTTGCTTCCTCATTGTGAAGCGACTGAACATCCATGGCGAATGGCACTGCGATTATTGACGATAGAGATAAACCACAGGCTTGGATCATCGCCAAAGTCGCGTGGACATGATCAATATGCCAACACCACGTTTCGAGAGCTGTCGGCGATGGAGGGCTTGACATGGCAACCAACGCCGATAACAGCTGGGGCAGCTTGCAACAAAATTAACAGCTCTTTCTATGCTTGCAACACGCTTTCTACTTATTTTCACACGCAAGCGTGAGCTGCAGGCGGTTCCTCGCTGAAACTGCTTGCTGTGGTCCTAGTCCAAGTTGGTTCCCCTCCTCGTCTGTCCTTTTTGTTTTCATTCGTTCCTTCTCCTTTCCGCTCTCTACGCAGCAAAATGTCGTTCGTTCTACTCCCATTGGCACTCGCTCTCTTGTCAACAGTCCACGCCCAACTTGTTGGTGGGCAATACTTCACCCGCGGACTGGCGATCAGCAATGCTCCTGCTCCAAACAGGTAATACAATGCAACTGGTTTCGTCATAGTACTCATCAAGATTGTCAGCGAATTCACAGTCGGAGGTACAATTGGCGTCAGCGTCGACGTCTCTGGAAACGGACGTCTTCCTCAAGGATCTTGGGGACCCAATTCGAGGCTACCCTCTGGGTTTATCTCGCTATCTCTTTACCTTGTGTCCAACGATCACAATGTGACGATTATCGATGGTACAGACGGCGCATTCCTCGCTGGTGAACCGGGTTCAACGGTCAAGCACTTGAGCTACGTGATTCCAAACTGCCTGCCTGCCGGGAACTACGACGTGCGTACTAGTCCCTTTGCTTGATACTTGTCTGATGGCCGTCTAGTACACTTACTACGAGGTGTCGAGAATGAACGATACGGCAAGTCTCATGCCGGTTTCCTTGCGAATACTGAACATGGTCTTCAGATGTATTTCGGTATTACCCCAATTCCCATCCGAATCTTGAATCCGTCCGGTCCGAGCGGTGAATGCAACAGCACCATCTCAAACCCAGTGCAAACTCGCCCTCAGAACGATTCTGTACCTGCGCAGAACCCGTTCACTGGAGGACTCGCGCTGAACACGACATCAGGATCGTCGCCCTCGACCACGTTCATGTACGTCCTCGCTAGCCTCGTCGTTTCTGGTGCCTTGTCCCTCCTCGCGTAGACAAAACGCCCACTCTCTCCTTACCTCCGTGTGCCCTCGTAACATTGTTTCATGTGGACAGTTGCCGCTCCCGCCAGGGACGTCCTCTGACCATTCGCGCCGACGGATTCTCCGTGTTCGTTCACACCCATACACGCTCTCGCAGCACAATGCGCATGCTTTCTATATACCACCCACATACCATATCCTTATTTACTCACAACAAACCGAGAATTTACTCCGTCCCAATCATCAATCAATCGGATTCGTTCTGCTCTACGAGATTCTAAGCGAATATGAAATGAAGAATCTGACACGAATTCTATCTCTTTCAGGCCCTCTAGACCCATTTCCGGCCAATCTACGGCAGAAACCATCGGTCCGGCTCCCACACCCAACGGCGGAGGCAGTACTAGCGGAGGAAATGGGAACAGCAATACAAGCGATCATACAGGGAATGTGCTGGGCGTGTACTATGACGCGCAGGCCGCGTACAGGGCCCAGCTCATCTTTCCCATCCGGCACCTCGACGCTACTGCCAATTTCTCCTCCACAAGCCGAGCCGGCCTTCGACATTCGATGTCTGCTCTGGCTCTACTTGGCCCAGGTTTCTTGACAGCATTCCTTGCTTGGTAATACCTGGGCCTTTTTTTCGTTCCACACCCCTCATTGATCTATTTTCTCCCAATTTTTCATCTTCTCACCACTAGATGGCCGACCACAATTCCAGGGGATTCAACCAACAAATACATAGCGGCTCAGCCACACTCTCACTCACCGTAGATCACCCAGCTGTAATACAATCAAATCTGATAAACAGCATGTAGCTTCATTCAAGAATACATCATCTGTGGTACATCACACTCTTCTGTGAAAATCGACATGTTTTGCTACGCTCAAGCCCAAACGACGCTCATTACAGAATAGGGTTTTCTGCACCCTACCGGGAGCCTTAGAAACCGATTTTTGTGCTTTAGTTTATACGCCCAAGCCAACCACAGGGAAATTGCCTTTGACAGTGTCGCTGCCTTGACTTGGAGCTGGCTTCTCTATCCGAAGTCATGAAGTGCACTCTTCTCCCATATACGGAGTGATTTCTTGGGCACGGAGATTATGTACGTTTTCGGTGTAGTTCTATTTTGGTATTACTGATTTGCCCCCCTAGAGTACCGTGATGAAGGCGACCGACGCAACTGTCGAAGTAGCGGAGGATCTCGATTTCTCGCTTGAGCCATGCACCGACTCATTGGACTGGAGACCATGCAAAGTGTCTAAATGGCCGGATGCGCTCACGGCGGAACCAGAAATCAACTTTGAAGAAAACGGGGACTTCGGCGATGACGATGGAAGAGAACAACCTCCTACAAGTAGCTACTCTGCGTGCGACTTCGAGTGGTGGGATTTTCCCAACGGCGGACAGCATCTCGACTTGACGTTTCCTGAAGAAACGGAGGAAGACCTTGACAGGAATATACCCGTATTTACATATGTCGACCAGAATCTCACCAAGTATTGACTCCTCTCCGAGGATGCAATTCGCTTGATTACAATGCGAACAATCTCGATAAACAACATGTAACTTCTTCCAAGAATACATCTCATCTCACTCCTTCGGTGTTGCATATTTATCTACTGTCACCTTCCGCTTGAAGTCGAACGGTATTCCGCACAAGAACAGTGCTCTCCGCGCCCGAAGGGTGTTGCGCGTATCGAGCGAGTGATTTCCACTCTACCTTCGCTTCATTCTCATCGCTCGGCGCTATCGGTTCGCCAACCTCGACCTCGACTTGCCACCCATCGATGGAAAACGAGCCAGAAGATGGTGCACGTAGCTGAGCACGTGCTGTGGCGTTCTCCTGCGGACCTAGTTGCCCATGATGTGTGAGTTGTCCAGAGTATGTCGCGATGAACGAATGTCTAATCAAGGGGTGCCGTCAGTGAAATGAACTCGATATCGAAGGTCTACATACCGATTATGTGGGGTGATTCGTACGCCGGAAAGGCGAAGTGTATATCTCAACGGATGGGTTGGCGAATAATTGTGGAGAGAAAGCTCGATTGGGATGAGGCAAGGCCTGTGTACGCTTAGCGAGGGCGTGAGAAGAAATAATCCAACTTTACCCTGTAGCGAAATCGTGCTCTACCACTGCTTTGAAAGGGCGAGCAACTACAACCAGCGGATCCGTCTCGCGATTCCATTCGCATTCTCTAAAGTGTTGCAAAAGGAGTTCGTTCTCCCTCATCGTTTCTGCGTACATACTCTTTCCTTTGCTCTGCGCAACGCGCTCGAGGACCGGTTCGAGCAAACCATGGCCTACTCCGACTTGGATATTGGATTTGAGAAGAATGCCATAGCGCGAAGAAGTGGGCGATTTCCATAATAGTACCAGGTCGAGCGTGTTTGGGCCGTAAAGGGGGAAAAGGTTCTGTAGTACCCGCCGAGGGACAATTGGGAAAGCCTCGGTGAGCGCTTGGATGTGATTTTTTCTCCTCGTAGACAAGATAAAGTGCTTTAGGGATGGAGAGCAGAGAGAGAAAGAGTTCTAAAACCATTATAGTAAGGTATGAAGGCTCGAGCAGGAGACCCACCATGGCAAGGTGACTGAGATGTAACAATGCCTCTGGATAATCTCGCTTGGGAGGTGATTTGGCGGTCAAAAACTCGGCAAGCTTCGCCACCATGAGCGACTGGATTTCATTTGGCTTCATGTCGGGTTTGTACTGGATCCCAAAGGAGCTCTTGAGTATTTGGTAGGGAAGAAGTGACGCAGATCTACAAGAAGTGAGACCTAGCGGCAACCTTGCAACGACACATACGTGAACGGTATAGATGACGAGAGTTCCCAGAACATACTGAGTCCACTGATTTGCATTACTTCTAACTCGAGATCTTCAGATACATTTTCTACCTATATGACGTAAGGTTGATAGCAAAAAATAAAGTGACACTGACCTCAACCCGTAGTATATAAGGATAGGGGTTGTAGGAGACGTCTGAACGGTAGCTGTTATATCGAATGCCGGGACTGCCTGAAAAGGGCGAGCAAATTGGGTGTAATAGAATGATTGATCTCCCTGTCATCTGTTAGCAGGAGGCGGCCAGTAAAGATGATACGAACGCTGGAATAGGTAAAAAGAACATTAAGGCCTTTATCTGTGACTTCTGGTGCATACAGTAGGATGGGGACGTCCACAAAGTGACCTGGACTTAGCACATTGTTGCCAGAAAGCTGTTCCAGAGGAAGAAGGAATGAGGTCGAGTCATCCCCGTGGTTTGAAAACGTAAAAGCTTCTTGAGCCGCGCCAGATGATGAGTCGAAGGTGGCTTCTGATGCCCGGTGAGTCCAGCTCGAGAAACTAGGATCGAGCTTACTCTCGCTACGAGTCGTATCCAGCCAAATAAAGACCGAATCTCCTGTCGTCATCCAAATTTCGCGCACCTCCTCCACCCCCCGATTCGTGATCCGCATAGTCGACTGGCAGATTTCGCCTTGCACACAGACCAGGTCATCTTCCTCCTCATCCTCTTCGTTGACTAGCTCCACTGCCACAATGCAACCACCACTACGCACAGGAACTTTAATCGGTTGAGATGGGGCATATGTGACCTCTTGGCGTTGGGCAAGTGTGTCATTAAGTCTCTTGCCCTTGACAGCTATCGGCTCGACGACAGGGAGACTAGATAGGAAGTAATATCGGGCTTCGAAGAGAAGCAGGGTCCCAGCCACATGAGGCGTAATGCAAATTGGTACCTTTGGACAAGGTCAGAGATAGCTGGGGAGTGCAGAGGTGCATACCATCCTCTTCTCCCGAGGGTAGAGGTAAACTTCGTCTATCAGTTGACAAGTCGCGACCTCATCTCCTCCACGTTCTGTTCCAGCTACGGACACCTTGGTCCCGAGCATGAAACGCTTGAGTAATACGGCAGTCTCAAGCGGGTTTTCCAGTTCCAAATCCAGCCAGAACTGGCCTAAATTCTGTCAATCCAGTAACACCTCTGAGACGGCGAGTACTCACGATTAACTTCTGCCTGTGGATGCTCAAGCTTTATCTTTCTGAGCTGGGACGCTGTCCAGTTGGTCTCGAGTTGAGTCCAAATATCTTGATCTTTCGAGTGAGGAGCTTCGTTCTGGTCGTTGAGCCTGACGGTGGACTCCGATGCCACACAGAAGCGGATGGGAAGAGTTAGATCTTTTGGTAGCTCCACTGCTGTGTGGGTCGACTCTAAATGCTGAAAGTCAGCTCTATCAGTACGATTTTGGGCACAAAGACAAGAACACGCACTTCCAGCGCCTGTTTGAAATCATCGATGATTACAGAGTCCATGTCTGTGGCGTCCACCTGGATGGAGTAGCGCAGGAGCCCAAGGAAAAGCCGCACAGCCGCTTCTGTATCACCACTACTGTAGTGTATCCTGCCTGAATAATGCATTTGCACTGTCAGGGTATGTGCGACCAAGCCCGGATAACCCACCGACCAAGAGAATGCTCGATGTTTGCAAGAACTAGGGGAAGCGTGCCAGTAGAGAAAGTTTTATTATCTTTAGGCCACTGCTCAGCCTCCGCGTACGCCGGGGAAAGAAGCTTTTCAGGAGGAGATTCGTAGAGAGCTCGAGCTTCTCGTAGGAAATGCGCGGTGAGCGATTTCTATTCTATCGTCAACAGCGGTAGGAGACTCGGAGAGTGCACTTACGATGCCAACTTTCTCTAAACGATGCGCCGACATGACATACCATAGGGCGGCTCTTCGTTTGCTTCCCTTTAGCTTGCTCAAGTGCGCGGCATGTCCTAACAAAAGCGCTGTAGGTGCTTCGTCTGCCTATGCACTGTCAGGGCGAGTATAAAGGCAGCAAGCAGCGTACCGTAGACGCTGCCCAAGCGAGCCATCGCTCGCCTCCGATCTGGAGAAAGTCCTGGATTCCGGTTTCCCAGCGAACCGCACATACGAGGGCGTTTAAAAGTGCCGTCGCCGACGGCTCGTGTATGGATACTGGAGCCAGAGCCTGTGCCGCATGTGAGACGAGTATCGGTCCGGGGGCCAACATCAACGGAAGAACTGCCTTTCAGAGATTCAATATTCCCTCTCTATGAGGGTGCCGAGTTACTCACGGTTCCTCCTTTTCCGTCTCTACGTAAGCTTTCGAACACTGTTACTGCTAGTTTGAAGTCACCGAGGAACGTTGCAAACTCCGCCAGGCGACGATGTTGGGGTGGTGACGGAGAGCTGATTGACGCTGTGGCTGGGGATGTCGGACTGAACGACTTTCCGGTCGTTGGCGTAGAAGGAGTCACTGTAGAGGATCCAAAGAGTCTCCTTGTTGAAGTGAAGAGTCGCGAAGGTAAGCCCTTGCTGTTGAACTGATGGAATGAGATTGGGATGTCTCCTCTGTAAAGCTTTACGCACCGCTTCATTCCACTCCATGACGTTCTTTTCCATCCACGGGATCAAGCTTTGGGTGAGGAACTCTCGGACAAACTTCCCAGTGGCTTGGGCATCACTGTCGGACATCAAAAGCTCGCTAGTATCTGGGACGGTATAGGGCTGTCGGACGGATTCCGGAAGAGGCAGTTGTGGAGGAAGGGATATAATTGGTATCGGCTTTGGACCGGGCTCAAGAACGAGGTTCAGCACATGAACGTGCAGGCCATACTGCTTTTTAACTGCGTTGTATAGAGCGGTACATCTGTATATTTCTCAGAGATGACAGCGACAGGGCCTCTTCACTTACTCGTCATTATTGAGAGGAGAATTCTTGGGATGAATGATGAGAATATACCGTAGGATCGAAGACTCCACCCAGGGTGGAAGGTCTAATGGACGCGAGTAAAGAAGCGAGACTGCCTGAAGAGGATTCGGTGCCATGGTAGATACCGCGTAGATCACTAGCTAGCCGTCAGTATCTGCGATATTCGTTTGTCAGTACGACCAACCTGCAACAGGATGGTTCCATCCTTCGGATCTCGACGGTATCCAGTCTCCTTCAACACATTTCTTGAGATCGTCCCACCATGGCATACGCGTATGTGAAGTTTCTGGTGGTCGTTGGCTCACTTCGTCCACCCATTTCGGCGCACGGCGGGCTATCCGTGTTCCAAGCCAATCGATAAAGCGACTCGCACGTGTCTCTTCATCTTCTTTGCAAGCTAGCTCTACTTCCTCGAGGTTGGTGAATCGGAGGTGGAACGCTGTGTGCTGCACAGGTGTGAGGGCCGTCGTGAGCGTCGAAACTAGTTATCAAGTGCGTTGAGAGACGATCATTGGCAGGTTTGAACGCATCACCTTGTCGCAGAGGCGAGTATGATTGCAAAATATGATGCAAAGGCGGCAAAGACGAAGTCGTTAAGAGATGTACAAGGTCTGCTGATATGATGGTTGTAACATGAGGAGATAGAGAAGATGGCAGCGTTGGCGGCATTGAACCGCTTGTCCTTGCGGTAGCAGTGGCAGAGTTCAAGATCGACTTGGACCCGTTCATCACCAGGCGCAATAATGTTTGACGAATGTGCGCGTGAAATGTCCTTAAATATCACTATTTGACGCGTTTACAGTTGTCGAGCATGCCGGAACGCCAGAAGTTGCGCGAAAGACGGTCCCGCAACTTGAAACTCAGGGATTCGAGCCAGATGATCCATCCATGGCGTTCCAAGAGGAACCAGAAACCATCCTAACCTCGGTATGTCACGAAAAAGGGGTGATTTTCTGGCCAATGCTGACGTGGAATACCACGCGAATCTTCAGCTCGAAACAGGTTATTTCTCTGCTAATGCGGCATCAGCGGTGGATAATGATCCGCTCTTTGTTCTTGGACGCGTTCAGGTCGATATACCTGGCTCTTTAGTCGCCTTTGCCGTGGCTTCCGACATGCTCTACATGGGTTGTTCGAACGACATGCTTATTCATATCAATCTCAAAAATCCGGAGAAGATTGTCAAAATTCCTCTTAAAGCGTCGGTCTATAAGCTATTCCTCGATCCCTCTGGCCGGCATCTCTTGATTGCGACTACTCAAGGCGAGAATTGGTATCTATGCTCTCAGTGGAAAGAGTTCCTTCCACGACCAATCAAGTCCTTCAAAATGGTCATTGAGACTGTAGCATGGAATACATCGTACTTGCTCTCAAATGTAGCACGGACAGCTACAACTACACGGGAGATGCTCATTGGAGGCCGGAACGGTATCATCTATGAGGGAATGCTTGACAGCAAAGAAGAGATTTTCAGGCCGCACGACAGGAATGTGACTGCAGTATTCACATTGCCAGAACGGACACCCATCACTGGCCTATGTTTCCAGTGGTTCCCTCCAAACGAACAGAAGAGAGGGCTGGTCGTAGTTACCACGGCCACACGTATCTATCAGTTTGTCGGCAGTCCTACGGACAAGCGTTCCGAAGACGGAGCACGAATGTTTTCGCAACTGTTCTCGTCTTACAAAGGAACAGAGCTGAGTACGCTGCTCTTTTATCGTAATGAGTATGCATTAATGCCGGAAATAGAATTCTTAGAACTTCCCGGGTCTACCCACTCCGAGCTGCATGCGCGATACTCTGCCGATAGGACATTGATAACATCTGTTGCATGGCTGACAGGGCAGGGTATCTATTACGGACTGGTCAACTATGGCTCTTCGACTTCCTCCGACGCACTCATCGACTCAGCCCAACTACTTCCATATCCACCTCCGTTCAATGCTACATCCCCTGTACCACTTCTGTCTAGTCCACTCTCTCCGCCTTCTACCGCACTCCCCGAAGTACCTGTCTCTATATCCCTCACTGAGTTTCACTTTCTTTCCTTGTTCAACGAGAGGATTTCGTCCGTCAGCACGCTCGACTCAAAGGCAGATTACGAAGAGATCATTCCTTTGGTTCGTACCAGTACCTCTCCGCAATCTAGGCTGAGTTTACCTCTAGAAACCTTCCGAGAGAATGCTCGGTCTGGCGTCAGATCCAGTCAGCGAGACGTACTGGGTCTACACGGATTCATCTCTCTTCGAACTCACCACCAAGAATGAAACAAGGGATGTCTGGCAAGTATACATGAGACGGGGTGAATTCGACGCTGCACTCAAGTACGCAAGAGTATGTTCTTTTAGTCTCGTGTTGCCTGCTCTGATTCCTTCAAGACTCCTCACCAGCGTGATACTGTTATAGCAGCACAGGGAGATGCATATCTCTCTCAGAAACAATATGCAAAAGCCGCCGAGCGCTTTGCGCAAACCTCGCGGAGTTTCGAACAGGTGGCACTCGCACTCGTCGATTCTGGAGATCGGGATGCTCTCCAATACTACCTTGTGGCTCGCCTTAGTCGGACTCGAAAGACCGACTTGACACAGCGGATGATGTTGGCAACCTGGCTTGTCGAGTTTTATCTCGGCAAATATAACGATCTGGACGACCTCATTGCATCTGAAAGCGCCGCTCACGACGTGGAGGATCTCAAAGCCGAGCGAGCTATGCTCGATAAAGACCTCAAAACCTTCTTCGAGACGTATCGAGTAAGCGTCTATTCACTATGGTAGAGGACTGCGCTCAAGATCCACTAGGAAAATTTAGACCGCCAGACGGTATATGACTTGATCCTTAGTCATGGTCGAACAGAAGTGTTTTTGTACTATGCGACTATAATCGGCGACTTTCAGCGCGTAGTCAGCCACTGGATTCTCGAGGAGGAGTGGGAAAAGGCGATCAACGTCATTAGCAGTCAAGAGGATTTGGATCTTTACTACCGTTATGCCTCTGTGCTAATCCGGCAAGCGCCAAAGCTCACCGTCGATGCTTGGATACGTCAACCCACGTTGGACGCCGCACGACTGATACCTGCGTTGCTGCAGCTCCAACATCAACCACGGGATCCCGTGATTCCAAATCAAGCCATTCGCTATCTCAATCACATCATATTCGAACAACAAAATGTCTCCTCCACTGTCCATAACCTTCTTATAACTCTCTATGCGTCGCCATCATTCGGAACGGACGATCGACCTCTCCTACGCTTCCTTTCAACCGTTCCAAAGGATATCATCTCTGGCAAACCTTATTACGACCTTGACTATGCATTGCGAATATGCAGAATGAATGGCCGTATTGGTCCCTGCGTCAGCCTTTACGCTGAGATGGGCCTGTGGGAGAACAGCGTAGACTTAGCACTACAGGTAGGCGATCTCGAACTCGCCAAGGCGAATGCAGATCGAGCAGAGGAAGAAGATATTCGACTAAAAAAGAAACTGTGGCTCAAGATTGCCAAATATGTTGTCCAAGATAAGCAGGACATTAAATCGTACGTTTAGTTTGCCGCGGAATTGCCACTGACAATTATACAGTGCTATGGCGTTCATTAAAGACACAAGTCTCCTCAAGATTGAAGACATTCTCCCGTTCTTCCCCGATTTCGTGGTCATAGACGACTTCAAGGATGAGATTTGCCTCGCGCTGGAGGAATACAAGAAAGATATTGACAAGCTGGACGCGGACATGAACGAAGCTGAGAAGAGCGCTGGACTCATCCAAAAGGATATTGCAAACCTCAAGAGTCGATTTGTCACGCTCGAGCCAGGGGAACGGTGCTCGTGCTGCAACTTTCCGCTTTTCACTCGCCAATTCTACGTCTTTCCATGTCAGCACTGCTTTCATGCTGATTGTCTTATCGGATTGGTGAGTGCCAAGCGACTAATCGAGTTAGCTTATCATTGGAAAAACAGGTCAAAGAGTATCTTCCAGCACACGCGCTGCGCAAAATACTCCTCCTCCAAGCGCAATTGCTTCAAGCGAACAACCCGGAACAGGCCAATGGCCCCACCACACCATCGGTTCTTCCGCCAGCCCCGGCTCCGAGGACGCAAAGAACTCTCCTCTCTTCACAATTTGGAGCGGCTAATGGTGCTGCCAATGTGCCACAATCAAAGGGGCCAGCTACTAACCAAGTAGCGAACGGACGACCCGCGTCTTCGTTGATCACCAATCCTATGGGTGGTTTACTCGCAGTCTCGATGGCCCCAGTCTCTCTGGGTAGGAACATGTTCGTGGCTGCAGATCGTCTTAAGGACATGATCGTTCCCGATGCATTAGCCAATGCCATTGCCTTGCCTTCGCTACCATGGGGTGGGACTGGCGCAAATGTGCCAACGGCAGGAGGCGCGAAGAAAGTAAAGAAGGGAAGTAAAGAGGATGAAGGTGCAGAGAAGGTGCGCGAGTCACTCGATGAGCTTCTTGCAAGCAGCTGTCCACTCTGCGAGAGTATGGTTGCCGGTCTTGACAAACCATTTATTGAACCTGGAGAGGTTGACACTTGGCAATTGTAGGCAGGAGAATTTTGTTTCTAGTTGTGTACGTACATATTCTATCCTATATTGGAGGTCTCTTGCGCTCTTGGAGACTCCAAAGAGATTCCCGCCGCAAGTAATGAATACGCCTGTCTTGTCTCAGTCCAGTCCTTGGCTGCCGAGTCATTCCCGTGCAGGAGAAGCATACATGGGCACGAATCGTAGATGTATACTGCTTAATTAGCTCCCTAAAATCCTAAAATTGACGCGCTTTGCTGGTTCTTTTGCGCTTGAGTTGTGACCTTCTATCCCCTACACGTGCCCTCGGATCCCAATGGAAGTCCTATCTAAGTTGCATAGAAACAGGGCGGAGCCATGAATAAGCTGGTTGACACATGTCAGCGTTTGTTATCTGCCAATCACAATCCGAGCCTCGTCTATATAAGAGACACGAGGTCCTTATCGTCGGCTCGAACACTACGGGGGGGATGATGGGGCTCTTTGGAAAGAAGCCGGACGCTCTAGCAACACCAGGGCGCTGTTCATCCATAGCATATTCTGGACATAACAAGATTGTGATCGCATTTCAGATCGGCTTGGAAACTAGTGTGTCTCATAAAGCTTGCTTTTGCGAGACTGACAGTTTGCTAATTAAGCTACGGCTGCCTTTGCATACCTTCGTCTCGGAGAGCGACCACAGGTCCACAAAGTCGGTATATTCCTCCTTCGTGCCATGGTTCTAAACACAGCTCATAGATAACCAAATGGCCAGGCCATAAGGACGACGTGTTCAATGCCGAGGTCTGTAGACATACTCATCTGCATTTCATCTCACGTTTAATTTCAGGTCGCTACGATTGTAGTATATCACAAGCCAGACTTTGTCGGTTGCGGGGCCCAGGCTCCCGAATTCAGGCAGCAGCCAGGCTACATCGCAGAACGCTCCTTTCCTGTAGGCTATGATATCAAAAATATTCAAGTGCTCATTGAATTCACAGAAATATTTGAATGCCTTCGGTACCGATGCCGAGAAGACGATGACGCCGCCTAGAGTCCCACTCGAACAAATCTACCGTGACTTCTTGCGCTACATCCACGATACAATTCGGCTGGCCTTTCAAAGCTCAATTCCCGACGGATCTGATATCTGGAAAAGACTATACGGGACCATAGATAGCGTGATCCTCATTCCAGACTCTTGGGGCGATGTTCAGAAAGACTTGGTTCGTCAAGCAGCCGTTGAAGCAGAGATTTGCGACAGAAGCAGAGCTGATTCTGCTATCTCATTCGTCAGCGACCCGTCTCCACTCCTTCATGTTGCAAGCGAGGGCTTTGGAGGCGTTCGACTAGCTAACGGTGAACACTTGGGTATCTTGACGACAGGTATGCGCGTACACGTGGTTTAGCAAGTACTGAGGGAGTTTTTAGGGCATAGATCCACCGATTTAGATCTCTATCTCTGCTTAGAGGCATCGCGAGAGCCCATACTACACCAAGAACAAACCGTTGCTCTACATAGCTCACCAAGCGCGCTGGCAAGTCTCATCGATGTACACGTTCAATGACTGAGCAAATTCGTAGCCTGGAATGATGGCTATAGGAGATAATCTACACAGCTTTTTGAAGAATAGCGACCCAAACTGGCTTCTGAGGGGTTGGAAGAAGCATGTGAGTCCGCTATTGCTCTGAAGTAATATATTATTCTGAGTTTTAGTACTTGGAGACATTCGATGGGGAGACCCCCACGAGTCAAGGTCTCGCGACATACGATTGGTCTTCCACGCGTCTATATCTCAACCAGAGTCACATGTGTAGCGTATTTTCAGCTCACATTGATGCATTTACGCGCGCTGTGGAAAATCTTTCGCCGCCCCCAAAGGTACGGGTCTGCCACAGTGGTCTGCAAGTCATTAACCCACGCAGTATCTTATTGCCACTGGAGACCTGTTTCTATCGCCATATCTGATTAAGGCGTTCTCTCCAAGGTGCGGGCAGCTCGATATAAAGTTAGTTGTGCTAGGAGGCTGCACGTGAGTCTGTCATATTTACTGCTCTATCTAGACTCACCTTTTTCAAGGGTACTTGTGTACGTTCAACGGGTATAAGTGTAACTTTTTCTGATGTCCACGATTGCATAGCCAGGCCGCAGTATTATTGCATGCTAGAAGGAGTACTTTTAGCGAATCTTCATTCCGGACAAGACCAGTAAGTACCCACCAGCAAGTGCAACCGAGTGAAGCAACGCACTCGACGCAGTCATGGGCCAATGGTTATTATGGGGACAGCGAAGTGGAACAACCTCTACCGTCATCGACAGTATACCAACATCCCGCTCAGCCACCAGCTGGAGCGTCATGGCCTGCCTCCCCGTACGGCCAAACAGAGGAGGATCCGCCTCATTACAATGAAGTTAATCCAAACTTAACAACTCTCCATAACACAATGACGTCTTTGGCAGTGGAGAATCAGAGGCTTAGGCTGGAGCTCGACGCAGCGCGAGCCGGACGCAGTCCACCTAGCAGTCCGGTAGACTCCCCAACCTCATTCTCACAGCGGCAAGATGCCAAAAGTGTCCTGAGGATCTTCAGAAGGCGACAATCCGAGAGCACGCCCACGGTCTTGAACTAGAACCACAATTCATGAAGGAACGAGTGTGATGAAATGTACAATATCGTGTATCCAATTTCGAAGATGCTAAACATCGGTCACTTTGAGCGTCCTGAAGGTCGTTCGCCCTTTGTAAATGGTCCAAGATGAGCCTTGGACCCAACGGCCATAACCGCGGCAGCGGGTCGTCGACGAAGAGCAAGCCAGTCTGAATCTCTTGAATTGAAACTCGAATAACCAAGCTGCAATCCCCAGCGTGCTGGCAGGAGCTGGCTGCCAAGCCCAGGATACACATAAAAAATCCGGGCGCTTTATGCCCACCCTTTTGTGTCATCTGAAATGGCAGGTGCCTGTGTACATATCGAGCTAAGCCGGATCGGACGTCGACATCTTTATTCCACCGGGATTATCGTCAGACGCATGTCAAACCCCCCGCTGTCGTGTATATAAGCGACCTTTGGATGCATCCGGCACCGTTTTCCCCATCTGCTAGCAGAAATGGGCCTCTTCAAGCAAAAGCAATACGCCGCTCTCGCAACCCAAGGTCGCACTTCATCTACAGTATACTCTGGCGAGGATAAATTCGTTTTGGCACTTCATATCGGCCTCGAGAACGGCAGGGCCTCTTCACCGTGCGCCTTTTATCATCTGACTGGTTTAATAGCGACTGCTGCCTTTGCGTATCTTCGTCATGGAGAACGTCCTTTTCTTTACAAGGTGTTTATACCACCTTGAATATGCTCCGTCTGACTTGTGACCCATTCAAGGTGACCAAATGGCCAGGGCATAAAGAGGAGACGTCGAATCCCGAGGTGAGCGAGGCCTGTCGCTTCTCCCGTTTCTGATCGTTTCAATGATTTAGATCCCGACAATTGTGGTGTACCACCGACCAAACTTTATTGGTTGTGGGCCGCAAGCCCCAGACTTCAAACATCAGCCTGGTTACATATCTGAGCGGTCTTTCCCCGTGAGACTCGTCTCGACGACTTACCCCTTGCTAACAAAGCTCTCAGCGATATCTCAATGTTCTTGGTACAGATGAAGAAAAGATGTTGCCGCCGCCTAGGGCCCCTCTCGAGCAGATCTATCGAGACTTCTTGCGCTACATGTACGATGCGACTCGACTGGCCTGTCAAGGTGCTATATCAAACGGAGCAAAGCTCTGGGACGAGCTACATGGCGTTATGGAGATTGTATTCCTGACTCCGCCGTCTTGGGGGGATGCTCAGAAAGACTTTGTTCGTCGAGCCGCTGCCGAGGCTGGTCTGTGCGACATGGAGAGAGCTGGTGATGCAATTTTATTCACCCCCAATCCTTATCCACTTCTTCATATTACGAGCGAAGGCTTTCGACGCGTTCAGTTGTCCGTCGGGGAGATTGTTGGCATTGTAAATGCTGGTGCGTCGCTTTCACATATGTCAACGGGACTAATAGTTTTCTAGAGCATAACGTGTCCGATTTGGATTTCTACTCCTGCCAGGAGACAGGTCCGGAGCTCGTGCTGCAATACCAGCGACCGGCTGCGATGAGCAATTCATCGAACACACTGGCAAGTCTGATGATATGTTCTCTCGTCTACCGCTGAGTATGTAGCCTGGGATGAAAGCCATAGGATCTGCGTTGCAGGAAGCGTGGAGCAGCTCACATTCTATGTTCAAAGACACCGACATTGACTGCCTTTTGACTGCCTGGAGGGATCGCGTGCGTTTCCCTTCTTTACGAGGACTACCCTTACCAGTCCTCAGTATTTGGAGACATTTGACGGGGAAACGGCGACCAACTTTGGTCTGCCAATCTCTGAACGCAGTCTCAGATCATTGCATCTCAACCCGAGTCAGATGCGCGATATCTTTTCACACTACGTAGACGCGCTTGTTGAAGCTATTGAGCGCTTCTCCCCACGTCCCAAAGTGCGTCTCTCCCACAGGACTCTGAACGCCACTGAGCTATCTAGTATATCCTGGCCACCGGGGAACTCTTCCTCTCCCCTTACTTGGCAAAGGCACTCACTGCGAAATGCGGGCCGCTCGGTGTGACTTTGGTACCTCTGGGAGGCAATACGTGAGTACATTGACAAATTTCACCTTTCTGACTGGGCTTACGCTTCTCAAGGATGCTTGTGTACGTATAACGCATGCCAGACCCGCATGTTCCCATCCTCATGTTCATACAGAGAAGCCGCAGTACTATGGTGCGCTGCGAAGATTTCAACGCGGCCACAAGACCAAGAAGGCCTCAGCCAACAACAACTCGACGAACAAAGAACCGAAGGATGGTCCGAGGCTGGGCCCGCATCGACGTCGGCGACTAGCTACTATGGAGAGCAGAATCAATCTGGGCACCAGGAGGCAATGGACAAAAAGGCGGGTTTCTCACCCATTCAAGAGGCTCCTCCTCATTACGATGATGTCGGGAACCATGTTTCGCCGTCTCAAGCTGCAGGAGGGCCGGCTGTCTCAGAAGAACTCCAGCGACTGAGACTGGAGCTTGAAGAACTCCGCGCAGGGCGTACTCCCGACAGCAGCACGACCTCTCCAAGTACACCTATATCACCACCAGATGTCAAAACTGTCCATAGGTTCTCCTCGATGTTCAAGAGGTCTGCCAAAGGCTCCTTGGGGAAGTCACCCGTAGTTACTCAAGTTGAGACGACGTAAGGGCAGCCAAGTTTCATAAAGTAGATCATTTCTTAATCAACTATGCCATTTTCCTGCCAAGTCATTCGGAGCCACCAGGCGTAATTGAGGAATATCTATAGTTCTGAAAGAACATTTATATGTACTGAAATATGGTTATCGATGTCCAAACTTGTCTTTGGTATGTGCCTCGCCGCCAAACTCGCCGAGAACCAATCTTCGACCCAACGACAATGAGCGAACAAACGGCGGGCAGCGGCTCGTCGACGCAGGGCCCATCAGTGCACTCGTCCTTGGAACGAAAAGTCGAACAACGGCTAGTGCCCACAAGCTCGTTGCAACCGGGCGTCCTAGACGTACTCATCGCCTGGCGCACGTCGCACGTCCAAAAGCTGAAACGCGCATACGCTGCCGACGCATCCATCTCGCCTGAACAGAAGAAATATTTGTCGAGTTTACCGGATAAACCTGATTGGAAGACGTCGGGGGTAGTGGACGTCCGTCAACTACCGCCGTTTGTCGATGTAGGGGATGCGAGTGTTGGGAAAGTGTTGAAAGAAGTCAAGTTGGAGGATGTGGACGTTGGGTTGGCCAAAAAGGTGACCCAGGGTGTGAGCGAGGGATTGGACCGAACGCTCAAGATGTCGACAGCGTCGAAAGGTATTTGAGCGGCTTTGAAGAGTGTCTGGTGGATGTTAAGCAATCTTTTATATTCTAGGAAAGTCTCAAGGTGGCATGTTTAGCCGTCTTTTCGGCGATGCAAACGAGTCGGGTGCACAGAGTTGGATCCGTCGGTCAAAAGGAATACTTTCCACCTCCAAAGGACAAGCACCACCCCATCAAGGTCTCAACTGAACATGAGGCGCGAGAAATGACAAAGAATGAGCGGGATGAGGTCATTCAAGCCCTCAAGCATGGTCAAGTAGCAATGTCAAAGGGTCTGAGCACGTCGCCCCTCGGTGCGGCTGCACTCGGGGTTGGTCTGGGTGGCTTCGGCGGAGTGGTTGTTAGTGCGTTGCAGAATGCAGTTCAGCCGCACAACCATGGATGGAAAGGAATCTACACGAGAACAGGATCGACAATTTTCGCTTTCGGTAAGTGTTTTTTCACGAATTCTTGCAGTTTATTAATCCTATTAGCGCTCGGCGGTGGAACGTACGGGCTCATGGATGCGTACATGAAGCAACGGACGGGCAAAGACGATGCGACGACCAAGTTTACGGCGGGCTGCGTCGCTGGGTTCATGGTTGGAATGACCAGTACGTACATTAGCTCAAAATCTTTCCATTTTGTCTTACTATTTATGAAGCCGGTCGGTCGATCCCCGCTGCACTCGGGGGTTGTGTGTTCCTGGGTACACCCATGGCCGTCTTGCAAGAACAAGGAGGGTCGATCCTCGGTGACGGCAAGTTTGAACACGCATCGTTGCAAGGCCAGATTTCGCAGCGCATGTCGACGCTGTTCAAGACGCCTAAACCACTCTTGACGGCAGAGCAGCAGTCGGCAAGGGATCGAGAGGTGGAAGAGTTACTTGCATTGGAAAAGCTTCGCGGAAAAGTGATGAGCCCAAAGTTGCGAGAACTACTAGAAGAGCGAGTCGAGCGTGCAAGCCACTAGACGAGAGGATCAGTGGGTAAGTACCCTGGTCTCGTTGGAGAATGACGACAAAGTGTTTACCGGCTCTCTAAGGACGGCTCGAAGCGAGTTGGCGACCGACCTGGATCTGGACCACATGGGATGCGCTGGATCGCTGCCTGCGGGAGCGAACCAAACGTCCAAGGCTAGCGAATAGTCGACGGCTCCGTGTTTCGTTTTCGGCGGGTGGTGGCTGCTGTAGAAGAGGGTTCTGCCGTAGGAATAGACAAGGTTTCGCATGTCCGGCAGCTTTTGGCTTTTGGCGTGTGCTGAGTTGTTCAGGGGTCAAGAGTATCCACAGGGTGTGGCTGAGGATAATTACTGGAAAGTGGAAGTCAAAAAACTCGGGAGTTGGCCACGAATTTGCTTCAGAGGAGTGAATGGGCTTGACGGAGTGGCATCGGCAGCGGAAGATCTGGGTGTATTGTCGCCTCGAAGACGCAAATGGCGGTTGTGACTTGTACCGCCCACCAGTTTGACAAGCTGACAAGGATCAACTCGCCAAAGTCCAAGAACATCCGAGAACTGGCTTTTGTGATGATCATGAGCTCATTCGCGCGCTGTTCTCCGGACAGGTGATCCAGAGCCAAGCACGGGAATTGACAGTCCCGATTGGTGCGTCGCGTCTCATTTTTTGACATGTCCCGCTCGTATCAGTGCGCATTTTCTGGTGGCTTTTGCGATTAGTCGTCCAGGCGAGACGTAGTCTACGCTGGGTGCATCATATTCTATTATGCGGGAGATCACGCCTGCGGCAAATGAACATGAGCATCTTCGAGGCTTCAATTCCTGGGAACCTGAAAGCTCTAGCGATCCGTTGCCTCGAACAAGCGCGTTTGGCATCGACACTTGACAGTATATAAAGCAAACCACACGGTCTACCCACGCTTATTTCTACTTCCACTAATGCTATATAACCGCCCCCTTGGAGTGCCCCTTGGAGCTCAACAAGCCTGCTCTCTCCCAGCTTGCAACTCGTACGCTCGGCTTCGTGTGCCCCGTATACCACATTCCTTCTACAATGATCTCGACTGCTGCTCTCCTTACTCTCGTCCCAGCCGTCCTGGCTATCCCCAGTAACATCAAGAGGACCGGTCCCGATGGCGCCTCTGTGCTCTCGACCATCGTCGCTGGAACCACGACTTACTACTCGCGTGGATGCTACGATGAGCTCAAGTGTGAGTTCAAGTGCCTACTTTCCATGTCTGCCCGCGTATTGACAGGTTCCCCCCTTTCCGCCCAGCCGGTCAACATGCTCTCCAGCACGAGATTACCTCTACCCTCACTTCCATCTCCGCTACTACTTGCGTTGTCGGCTGTCAACTCGCTGGCTACTCCATCGCCGGTGTCATGAATGGCAACCAGTGCTTCTGCGACAATGCCATGTCCCCCGACGCTCCAGAACTCGACGCCGAGCAATGCGACTCTGCTTGCTCTGGTAATTCTCTCGAGGTATGCGGTGGTGTCTGGCACTATGACATTTATTATACGTCGTCTACCGGCGATATCCCTGCACCTACCCCCGTCACCCAGGTCACGACTGGTGGCCAGAACTGGGTCAACCTTGGGTGCTACGTTGATCAAGTCTCGTGCCGCAGTCTCCCCGACTGGATGTTTGCCGCTGACAACATGACCCCGAGCTCTGCGCAGCGACCTGCAAGGACGAGGGCTATGCCGTTGCTGGTATCGAATGGGGCCGGTACGTCTCTATTCACACGTTTCTTCGTTCAAGTACTGATAGCTCACATAGCGAGTGCTACTGCGGTAACACCATCTACAACCCGACGCTCGCACCCCTCAGCGAATGCAACCAAGCCTGCTCAGGAGACTCTACCAAGGCTTGCGGAGATCAGGACCGCATCTTGTTCTACACTGTCGATGGAAAGCAGCCCAACACGGCCAGCAACAGCTGTGGCCCGAGCTCTTCATCCTCGACCGCATCTTCCAGCATTTCCACGTCCATCTCCTCGTCTATTTCCTCGTCTTACAGCTCTTCTAGCTCGACGACAATGCAGCCCACGACTACTCGCCCAACTACGGCCAGCTCGAGCGCGACCAAGCCTTGCACAACCTCCTCAACTACTCCTAAGCCGACCACCACCAGGCCCTGCACGACTTCTACTACTCCAAAGCCGACTACTACAAAGCCATGCACAACTTCGACGCGCCCCACAAGCACACCGACGCCTCCCAAGCCCCAGCCAACATGCGGACGTCCAAACAAACACGATGGATACATTCATCAGGGCTGTTACAACGAGAACCCATGGTGGCGCTCGATCAACCAATACTCGTTTAGCTCCAACTCGATGACCCCATCAATGTGCTCTGACAAGTGCTTCAGCAAGGGATTCAAGTATGCCGCTCTCGAAAAGGGTACTGATTGCTACTGCGGTAACAATTGCCCTACGTCGCAGGCTCCCTCGAGCCACTGCAACAAGCCATGCAAGGGTGACAGCCAGTGGATCGGTGGTGGCAATAGCGGAAAGATCACCGTCTACAAGTCGGTCATCCTCGGCTATCCCCGCTGGGCATGGCCTTGGGGATGGAACTAAGCGCACCGTTTCCCGTATTCATCGCCCGTTTTTGAGGGGTTTCATCCACCTCGAATGGATTCATCGGTAAACCGCAGAACCAAACCCAGAAATCGCTTACTTTCTTTTTGGAAACCCCAAATTTGTGTCAACCATATTTACATCCTTACACCAGCTACTTATCGATGCCGACCATTTTCTAATGTTGCGGACATCCTTCAATGCTTTCTTTACCGATCTACTCCCCTCCTAGTTTGTGCTCACCCTTCACTTCTTCCTCGTCGTGTCGGTGCGCCATAGCCCTCCCTCTCCCACTTTGTTGCCCTTCACTTCGTCTGCGAGTCGCTGCACACACCCCCACGTATCCTTGTTTCATTTTCTTGTTCTACCGCTGCAGCTCGTCTTTCGAGTTTAGGCAACGTCCATTCGCTTTGAATTACACTCGATGAAGCATATTGTTGCAAAAAAATGTCGTGAATTAGCGTACCCCTCAAATCGACGACAATTGCAAGAGTCGGTTATCGCCAAGGTGCATCCGGTGTCGAATCCGCTTTGACCCTGTAGATCCTCGGAGTCATGGAAAGAACGAGCTTCGTGGGCGGTCACGCGCGCCAAAGTCTGTGGGTGGAGATGTGCGTCATGCCTTGGCCAACACTCAAAGCGATAAACCTTAGACTCTACCATCTCTCAGGTCGTCATTATACTCGAAAGGAGCTCTTGTAGGCTCAAATTCCGGCTCCATTTTGATAAGAGATTCACGACGGCCATTCCACATACGAATACGCACCTTTACGGTTCACCAGAGTGAAAAATACGATTAAAACTGAAGACTTTGAGCAGTCTGTTTCAATCTGACGACTCTATGACCAGCAGGCTACTCCCACCACACCAACGCACGCTCGGGTTTCTCCTCTGTCTCGTCCTCCTCATCGCACTCGTAAACATCATCTTCACAGGGCTGACGCTATACGATGGACGCGTCACGTCCAATGGCTTCCCGTCTGAGATATACAAAGGTAAGAGGCCGCAATGGGAGGGACAAACGCACTCACAAATCCAATAGCCGCGATAATAGTCTTGCTCGTCGCTGGATTTTGGACCGTCCTTGTCGGGACGGTCATGTTCATCTTGGCTATCGGTGCAGATTTGGCAGCTGCTGGTGTAGTTACGTGCGTGCGCCTTTTGCCCTACTCTGAAGAGTGATTAATCAATACATCCCTCTAGCGCACTCTTCTTCAGCACCTTTGGCTTGCTCTCGACGGGCCTTTGGATTGTTTCCGGTCTCCTCATCAAAAAGGCTCACCTCTCGAATACCTCTGACACGTCTTCTGCGACTTGGACATGTCCGCCTGGGCTTCGGTACCCATGGGCTCGATGTCGATTCATCGGCGAGATGGAAATTTTATCCTACGTCCTCACGGGATTGTGTGGTGCATTCACGCTCTTGTGTATCGCGTGGGTGATTCGGAGGGTCATTCTTCGGACGGTAAGTGCGCTCAATCCTCGAGAGTGGAACAAGATTGACAATGGCTTCGCAGCGCCACCTACGCGTCTAACGTCATCGCTGTGAGGGAGAGGACCAAGCACGAGATGAAGCCAGAGAACCAAGCGTAACGAGGGTGCGGAGAGCGAGGATGAAGAGTGCGGAGACCATTTGTGGAGGCAAGCTCCCCAGAACGCGTCGGTCGCCTGCCGCGAAACAATCGCACGCTTCTTCAAGCGACTCTTATCCCCATTATCCTCTTCACCTACAACAGCACGTCTACCGTCCGCGCCGTACACCTTTCACGATACCCGACAAGGTAGAGGCCCACGTTTACCCCCTCATCATGTGGCGCTCGGCTTCGAAAGTCCACATTGCGGACCTCCAGGACTCGCCGGCGGCTCTAACGTCCTCTTCTGCCTGAAGTATGGGGCCATCGGTGAGGACAACCGCTTCAACCACTCTAATTGTCCAGCCGGTTCACGAGTTCAGCTTCCACAAGCCACGCCGTGTCCGAGTCCTTGGATGACGGTGCAGAAGGGCTGACAGGGACATCCTTGTAAATATTCGACAAATGATTGTTTGTCGGGAGACGATGAATAAATATTGGTGGACGACGCTATTCGCTGCGGATTCTTTTGATAGAGCTAGAGATGTTCTTGACCCGCCAGCCGTCCTCCGTCCGGAAGACGCAGAGCTCTGTTAGGTCCAAGGTGATGCCAACGCCGACAAACTATTGATCTCATTGTCTTTCGAGGAGCCCAATATCTTTGAAAAGAGGCTCACTCTATTGATATACACCGATAATACAACTACACCTTTGCCGTTCCTCGGCGAAAGAAGGACTAGGAAAATTGTGACGACGGAAGTATACAGGAATGGTACGGCGAGATAAACGAGATGAACCATGAAATCTTTCATGGATAGCTTGGTGGGCAGTGACAAGGCTGCCCGTATGGGTGACTTCTACCTGAGAAGTCAAATGGTGTATGCCCTTTCGGGACGCGACAGCTTGTAGGCTACGAAGTCGACAGGAGGTAAGCCTACCGTATTGATTCAGTCAAGTTAGAAACAACCGACTCCTACTCACAGCCTGTTTCTCCATCTTTGGATGACGGGCACTCGACGGTCATTGCCATTGACAAATCAGACCAGCGAACAGTGGACCTAGTGCTCATTCTTGTGTTCCTGATGGCAGCAGGCTGGAGTCCCATCATTTTGACATACTCTGGGGCCCAAACTTCCGGTCCTACCCATGAGGCGGAATCGTCAACCAGCCCAGCTAGTCCCAACTCCGCTGTAGAAGGCTCTGCCAGTCCATAGAATTGTCGCCAAATGGCCCAATCTTCTTCGTCCCATCCGCGCGCAAACATTGAAAACGTACGCTCCGGACCACGCCGCTCCCATCTCCGTTTGAGGTACATGTAGCAACGTGGGAAGAATCTAAGGAAAACCAGGACGAGAAGGATAACGAGAGCCACGGGAATCGAGCCTCCAGCATCGCTATTTTGTTGCTCCGAACCCTCGGGGTGATCATCGCCAGCGACCAACGCTGTGCTCGAGACAGAGAGAGAATATCTGGTCGACGAAGCCGAGATTGGTGACGGCGGCTCAGTAATCCGCACGGTAGGGGCGAGGCCGTTGACGGCGGTGCGGTCATTCATGGAGGGGTCCGGGTTGAACACTGGAATCATGGGCGTGACGATTGCAACGGAAATTTGCTCAGTGGTAAGTTTCGTTGTGATATTGGTTAGCTGAGCGATGGCAATCGTTGATATAGCCATCAAGCAAGGATGGGTAGGGGTCGTAGTGAGAGCAATAGACGTCGGCGTAGGGTCGTGCACACTTGTGATCGGTGTCAAGGAAGTGTAAGAATGGGTGATCTCAAGATCTACAGAATAAAGTCAGCCGAGGTTTCCTCAAACATAGACCACTCACTCATAAACACGGGTGCAGTGATTCCAGGTCTGTTGAGACAGCCAAATTAGACGCCAGAAGATGAAAAGATAGCTGTGTATTTTGTGTAAATTTTTGAGTTTGTTCCGCGCGCACGCCCGGCATGGACTGACCTGGAATGGAAATAGTGGTGGCGAGCGGTTCCGCAATGTACTTGGTAGTCAGAACTGATGCCCCAGGCACAATGAGGGTCGCATTGCTGGTATAGGTGTCCAAACGTTCAGGACTGGACCCTGCGCGCGGTGCAGACCCTTGGGCGACTGCGCTGAGGGCGACGACGAGTCCAGACAGGACGTAAAGTTTGTTGAATGCGTAATACATTCGTTTGGTGATATTTTGAGAGTGGTAATCGTGTTTAATGGATTGAAGACGATGTGGTCAGGTCTAAAAAGTGCACCCTGTTTGTTCGCCAAATTACACCTTCTTTCTACATTGAACACAGACTAACTTGCGATTTTGTGGCCTCTCAGCGGTGAATAGACACTCCCTACTGACTTGGCCCTGGATTCATTGAAACAGACAAAGCGAAGGCTGTCAAGCGTGAATCCTCTAATGTAATTTATATTAAATTGACTCGAGAGTCATTCACTGACAAATACTTCTCAAGCTGCATGAATAGCAGCCTGGACTATTTCTTGTAGACCCTTCTCGAGACTTCACTCTGTGTCGGCTCAAATTATTCGAATATCCAATCTCTTGCTCTTTTTACTTCAATGTATTAATATGACACACCCACTTCAGCGAACAACGGACGGAGCAAAGTACTAACATAACAGCCAATCAATTCGTTCTCGCACATCTTGATCCCAACCTCGAATGTGGCAAGCTTGCAACCAAAATAATGATATCGAACAGAGTGAAATTAGCTTATCTTTCTCTTCTTCTTCAAGTAATCTGGCACCAGATCTTCTCCAAGATGTATCCACCAGTTTTATAGCTGCTCGGCGAAAACCAATTATACACTTCAACTCCCAGCGTAGAATACTCCACTTCACTTCTCAGTGCGGGAGACTAGGGCTCATCCGCAAACAGTTGGAGCCAAGTTTTATTCAAGCGCTGTCCAATAAACTCACCATTGGTAGTCAATCGCATTGTTTGCAGAGGATATTTTGTTGCAGTCAGCTTTATCACCGAATTGAACGGGTTTTTGTTTATGCTATCGCTTTCTTTCTTACAGTATCAGGACGACACTCCCGAAAGAGGCAAGGTGGACGTTGATTCTCTTTGAGAGTGACATGAATATCGTCCTACTTGAGGGTTATCTACACTATGCTCAGTGGTACTTTCCAATGGCTGTCAATCGGATTGCAGCTGTTAGGCAACTCCTAGTCCGGACGTCTCATATATCCTCGAGGTTTCTACTCACTATGTTGCTATTTAGCCCATTAGATATCACATTCTGTAAACATCTTTGAAACAGAGGCTCGACTCTATTCATAGATACCTATAAGGTTACTACACTTTCGCCGTCGCTACGATGAAAGACGACTATGAGGAAAATAGAAACAGGACAAACGTATACAGGATTCCTACAAGGAAATGAACGAGGCGAACCAATGAAATCTCAGATGGAAAGCGCAGTGGACAGTAAAGACTGCCTTACTGAGACTTGTGGACATAAATGTGTCCAGGAAGTCAGACCGAGTATGCATTTTCTGGCAGTGATAGCTTATAGGGCATGTCGACCTCGGGTAAATCGCTATCCTCCAAAGTCAGCCAGCTCAAAGACAATTTATTTCCACTCACGATCAGAGTGCTCGTTGTTGAATGGTGACGCCCCGAATATCGCTCCAAATGACAAATTGGACCAACGAAGAATAGATCGCGACCTCGTACTTGGGCTTCGGGTGACAGCCGGCTGGACTTTCATCATTTCGACGTACTCTGGAGCCCAAATTTCAGGTCCAATCCAAGAGACCGAGTCATCGAGAGTTTCACCCAGTATATGTCGTCGATATATAGCCCACATTTCATCGTCCCACTCGGCCGTAGTCATTGCAAGCGCCCTTCTTCGTCGGAGGTATTTATACAAGTATGAGATCCCTCCGAGGGCGAGTAGGCTAAGCAATATCACTAATGCAGTGGGAGCCGATTTTCCGGAGCCGCTTCCCTGACTTTCAGAGTTTGACTCAGGCTGCCTGTCGGTCGGGATGGACGCCGTGTCCGGGAGAGGATGAGAAGAGTTATCCGAGCAGTCCATGAATAATAATGGTTGCAACTCTGGATCATGAACAAGAGTGATGTGGTTGTTAACGCCGGTGTGGTTGTTCAAGGTTGACGGAGTCGAATTGGGGAAAGGAACTTTGGAAGTGAAGGGCACGGACCACGCTCGCTCGGTGGCTGATGCCATTGGGATATAGACCAATCCACCCGTTGGAGTGTAGACTGATGCAGCAACGGAGGTGGTTGATAACGTCATCTTCCAGCGGGAGGAAGCGCGTGTCGTTGTAACAGCTGGGGAGGTAGGCGTCATGCCGTGTGCGGTTGAGATTGACATAGCAGGAGTAGAAGAATTCACGATGCCCAAGTCTTCCAGGCTGTCTACGAAGCAATATCAGTCAAAGCGTTCTCGAGGGTGAGCGACAGACCGATAGACGCGGTCATCCCAGGTCGAGTGGGACAATCGCTTTGGACACCGAGTGAAGTAGAGATGGCTGTAAATTTTATCGAATATTTTGAGTATGCCCCGCCCCCACAGCGCGGCATCGACTGACTAGGAAACGTGGTATAAGGGGCGATCGCCAGGAGGGTCCCGTGGGTAGTCAAGCTTGGTGCCTGAGACCTGATGGAGGTGTGATTGCTAATAGACAAGTTGATTTGACCCAGTGTAGAGTGTGCGCCAACGAAGGAGACTTGTGTGAGTGCGTTGAAGACGCAAAGTCCTCCAAAAAAGACACAAATTTTATAGAACGTATTAAGCATTCTTATAGAGGTGCTTTGAGAGTGGTAATTGCGGTGACTCGAGTGGACAAGATCGTGGTCGAGTCGAAAAGATGTGATTTGTTTGTTCGCCACATTCCACTTTATTTCTGGTCTGCACGCAACACACCTTTCCATTTTGTGGTCTCTCACCGGCGAATGGAGAGTTGGCCATAGACTTGATCCCCATTTATTAGACAGGACGGAACAGAGCGCTGTCGCATGCAGAAATTGAGCCCTCTGTATGATAATATACTTCACGCATTGGTTCTGAATTCAGAGCTATGTATCATCTGTCCGCACTTTGGACCCTGATCGCCGCCCATATTTCTCCCCGTCACAGTCAGCACGTCGACAGAAATGTCCGGATAATTGGTGAAGAACAGAGAATTGAGGTTTCATCCCTACGACGGCGCCGGCGAAGCCGATGTTCGTACCTAGTCAGGACCTCAGCTGTGAAACATATCTCGGTAGAATCTAGCGATACCTACCGATATAGTAAACGAGAAAGCAAGGAGTTCTTCCCACCTCCTCGGGCTTTCTCTTTTTGATGAATTGTAGGTAGTACGTGAAAGCTTGCAGATGCGCGGCTGCCTTAGAACTCGTCACATCATCTTTTGCTTCTGTGATGATGAGGGGATGGCCGTCTATCTGGAGGTGGCCATCGGTGGTATAAGCCATGTTAGAGACAAGGGATGCTTCCAACTTTATCCCATATTCCTCTGAAAACAAAGATCTGAGTTTGTATGCACGGTCGCCCTCATTTCTGTATTCCATCAACATTGCCTCCTGAAGGTTATTGAACAAACGATTCTCCTCTGCAGTTGGCCGATGTGTCTGGTAGCTGTCTAAGAATTTTCCAAAAACTTCATGGAGGAGGGAAATGGGGATTGTCTCCGGGTCAGCAGTAGGTCGGTTGACGTCGATTTTCCCCTTATAGTGTGCGAATAGTTCCTTCGGAGAGGCGGAGGAAGGGGCAAGAGAGCGAGCTATCTTCAAGGATTCAAGGATCTTTCTTCGCTTCGCATCTGGGCCTTTGTCGTCCTCGCGCTTCCTCTTTACTGTGCCAAAGAGAGTTCTTATCAGCAAAAACAAGAGTTCTGCAGCAAACGCCTACTCACGAAGCTCATCATGGGGCGACGCGGAGCACCTGACGAGGATATGCACCATTTTCGCTGGCGGTGGTGATGCGTAGTACTCGTAGATGGGGTAAGTTGCACGGAGCGGCGAACCCAGGTCCTTGCTTTTCTCCTCGATTTTCTGGGTAAATCGCCTTTATCCGGTATGTCTACCTGGAATAAAGCCAGTTCGGTCGGGCTCGCACCCGCGTAGAGGGGCAATAATGATTGAATTTGTTGCCGGAGTTTAGCGATTGTGGAACGCTTCGAGATCGTGGCACATCCTATCTGCTCTGGGTCGTCACTATCGATGAAAACGAGCTCATACTCCTCCGGCTCGTTTGCCATGGCGGGTGGATAACGTGGTTGGAATCGAGATGCCGCGGCCAAACCCAAACCATACTGTCGCTGGTTCGCTTGGTTGCTCGTGAAGAGGCTACCATTATTTTCCAATACATTTATCACACTTTTTCGACGCCTCAGCTTGTGGTCAGGATTCTGTTGCAGGCAATAGGGATATTTGCCTCAAGCGTAGCGTGATTCAAGTCGTATCGTGTGTATTTACTACAGTTCTCCCCAAATTTACATAGCCTCTGCATTTCGACCCGGTCGAATCGAGACGCACTAGGTCTTTCTTGTCTCTCCATAGAATCTCGGAAACCCAACTTTCATCTCCCGCGCAAAGCATGCGCTCAAATGACACTCCACGCGTAACATTACCAACCGCAAATCTGGCCAAGGGGCCCAGCCGCACCAGACATCCATGCTTCTGTGCGATTCAGTGACCAAATTGGAAGGTTTGAGGCTTCTTCGCGTTCGTATATTAGCTTTTTTCGACGACGGACGAGCGGCTAGAGTCACGTTCATCGTCGGCTCGTTCACCTGCAACCCGCTCCATCGCAAATTCTTCAACCTTGTCCTTCATGAAGTTAACCAGCTCCTGTTAACCAGAAGGTTCACTGTCACCCACAATCAGAGAGGGAAGTATCCCAATAAAAGCAGTTTCGGGCGTCTGAGCCCTCGCAATGCTATCTCCTCGAGCACTCTTGCTTACTCGCGTACGTATCGCCCCATTTTCTTGAAAGCAAAGTTGACATACTGTGTAGTGTGTTCAGCCATTCTCTACCAAACACTAAAGGTATTCTCGCGCGAGGCTCTGCTATTCATCAGTCTACTCATCGCTAAGGAAGGCTGCTCGTGACGTATTTTGGGCGGACAGCTCGGACAATAATGGGGTCCTGCCTGGACACCCTTGTGCGATATCGTGCAGATTTGTGACAATTCGTGAAAGAATGTGCAGATTTGTGACGATTTGTGACACTTGCAGTGCCAATTCGTGCCAATTCGTGCCGATCTGTGCCAATGGTCGTGCAAAATAGTGCGCAACAATGCCAGTTTGCGTGCAAGGATGAGTGAAAGATCATTTTTGAAGCATTTCATCTGTCACACCGGCCAGCACGACCTCGTCGTGCAAGTTTGTGACGGATTGTGCCCGGTGCTGTGAAAGATTGTGCCCAGTGCTGTGAAAGATTGTGCCCGGTCTGGTGACAGATCGTGCCCAGTGCCGTGATAGATCGAGTGCTACCCTTTAACAGCATTCTACGGCCTCTATATTGCCAAATAAAGCGTACTATAATGACAATTGTTCAAATAACCAAAGAATACCGCCGGAACTGAACCCGAATACCCATGCATGATCATGACGGATGATGTGAAGATCTGTAACGTCTGGAGTGAACATTTGTGACAGTTGGAGTGCACATTTGTGACGGTCGGAGTGAAGCCCACCACCCGTCACAATTTTTTGGGCGGACAGCTTGGACAATAATGGGGTCCTGCCTAGACACCCTTTTTGCATTGTGCATCGGTATAGCTGGACGCGTGGCGCGTCGGTGACCTTAGTTTGGCGCCGACCCATCTATGAAGGAAATGCTTCTGGCCACAGTACCGGATATCCGACGTGGACGAGAATGGTGAATGAAGAGAGTGCGGAATGAAGAAATCATATTGTATCCGGCAGCAACTCAGGGCAATCAGCCAGCAAGTATTGGTTGCACACAGCCTTGATATTGCCTCCCTTATCCATCCATCTTCTCAGCAGACTTCATAAACCCCACTGACAACATAGTGGGGCTCGCCACCTCCCAGATGCACAATGTGGGCCCGCAAAGACAAGGATAATGGTCTCCGAATTCTCAGCATAGGCACGTAAACCATAATTCGAGTCGTTTCGGGTACTCATACATTGCGTGGGGTAGATCGTGGTGGTATACGCGCACTTTCACAGCTCATCATCCTCAAGGAGCTCATGAACCGACTCGAAGTAGACCTGAATCTACAGGAGACGCCTCTTGTCTGCGATTACTTTGACATTATCGCTGGCACAGGCTCGGGCGGGTTCGTACCACCGCAATAACGTGAGAGGCGGTCCGATTGACTAACACGTCAAATAGTCTCATCGCGGTTCTCCTCGGGCGTCTGTGTCTTACCGTAGACCAGGCCATTGAAGAATTTGTCGGGTTGTACAAGTCCGTTTTCAACGATCGCAAGGACCCTGGAAAGGAGGATGCTTTCAAGGCGACAAAGCTAGAGAGTAAGGTCGAAGATATTCTGGGGCGGTATGGGCTACCACCAGATGCCAAACTCGACGGCAAGGACAGCCTGAATGGCAAGTGCAAAGTGTGCGTCACAGGTCGATACTTCGACGGAACGCTGACCATATCTGCATCTTTTAGCTTCGTATGTGCAGTCTCTACGTCCAACCTGGATGCCTGTCAACTCTTTCGGACATACGACGCACGTACCCGGATTGACTGCACCATTATTGAAGCCGTGCGCGCTACAATGGCTTCTCCCTCGTTTTTCAAACCCGTTGTCATCGGCCCGAAGGACTTTGCACAAGAGTATATTGGCGGGAGTATTGTCTGCAATAACCCCTCGCGCCAACTCCTAAAGGAGGCGCGCACTGTCTTTGGAGACGACAGGCGACTGGCGCTCATACTCAACGTTGGTGCAGGGAGACCGCAGGTACTCTCGCTTTCTCAGGCGGTCGAGGGAGATGTCGCTATGGACGACGTCGTTACGGTGCTCGAGAGCATTGCGGTCGACTGTGAGACGATGGCAGACGAACTGGGCCACCAGTTCTCAGAAGTTGGCGTCTATTATCGACTTTCTGTCGACAGAGGGATGGAGACAGTTGGGGTACATGAATGGCGCGAGTTTGAAAAGGTCGCCACGCACACACAGGCATATCTTCAAGGTCCAGTGGCAAACCGATTGATTGAGCTTTGCCTTCAGTCCTTGAAGGCTCCCATTGGATCCATCACCTTACAAGAACTCAGTAAGCCGATCATCTCCCGCATATGCCCTCAATGACCCCCAGTAGACCAATCCGCTTTGTCTATTACTAGGTTCAAAGGCTTGCCTCCACTCACCCCATACTTTGTGATGAGGCCTGAAGTCTGGAACGCGATGCAGACGAGTCTCATTGCAAAGTCGGCAGAAGAGAACGCTAGAATTCAACGAATCTTTGTTATTTGCGGAATGGGAGGTAGCGGGAAGACCCAGCTATCGATTCGGTTTGCAAAGGAGTATCATACAAGGTGAGACGAAAAGCCAAAACCAATCTCATAGTCTGACCCGTTGCTAGCTACTCACACGTCTTCTTCCTTGACGGAAGCTCTGAAGCGACCATCCGAGGCGATCTCCAAGCAGCCATTCGATCACAAGGCACAGGCTTCTCGCAGCAAACAGCCGACGATTCACTCGCCTTTCTCGCCCGTAAACAAGCCGGATTCAGCTGGCTCCTCATCTTTGACAACGTCGACGATCCAGCCATCGACTTGCGCCAGTTCTTCCCTCAATGCGACCATGGCGCTATCATTGTCACAACACGCAACCGTGACCTCGCTCAACTCGCGACCACGATGCATTGGCAGCTTGGACCTATGACGGACGACGAAGCTGTTGACGTGCTCTTACGTTCTGCGCATCGTCCATTCCCACCTACAACAAAGGACGCAGAAATTGCGTTGGGAATTGTCCGTGGATTGGGACATCTTCCCGTTGCACTTGTGCAAGCTGGAAGCTATTCTTTCCGCATGCACTGCTTTGAGAGGTATCTTGATCTTTACAATTCTAACCGGAGCAAGCTACTCCGCGACAAGGCGACATCTCAGCTGGATCATTACCATCATAGCGTGTACGCCGCTATCGACACGTCGTATGCCGCATTACCACAAGGAGCAAAGGAGCTCCTACACGTTTGCGCATTTCTGCACAATACAAGCATCCCGCGGGCCATGTTCTCCATTGGCGCCAAGTCTGATTTTCTCTACGAGGCGGATGTGTACGACGTACCACGCATACATTCAAACAAGCACGTTGCCCAGCTACTACGTTCAGCCTTTTACGAGGATGGCCAAAAATGGGACGAGATGCACTTTCACGAGATTCTCCATTCGCTTCAAGTCTTCTCGCTCGTCTCGACTGTACATGCTTCCAATGAAGCCTTTTTGCACTTCCACCCTCTGGTACACTCATGGGCACGAGATTCGCTCACGTCGAGGGACGATGTATTACGGTATAAAGCAATGGCTGTCCGGTTACTCGTATGCTCGACTGGCGCAGATCACTGGATGTTGCATCGCTACTTGATGCCACATATTCTTGAGATTGTCGAACACGGCGACTTGCATCCAAACGACAATTCTGCGTTTGCAAAGGTCTTGGCTGAAGCGGGTGTCTATGAGGATGCGCTCAATCTGCGGAAAGAAGTCAAGAGGGCATGTCGAATGTGGAATGGGGCACGGCATTGGCGCACCCTCGATGCATTGGCGAATCTGGCGGACACATATTGTAAGCAAGGGTCGTGGGCAAAGGCAGCCACACTGTCGAGTGAAGTGTGGGAGTTTCGGAGAAAGCTTATGGGTGCGGAGGATGGAAAGACCCTGCGTGCGGAAGCGTCATTGGCATTTACGTACCATCAACTTGGGCGGTATGAGTGTGATCCCCTCGAAATACGACGAATGCTGACTATAATAGGTGGAAGGAAGCAGAGGAACTTCAACTTGAAGTGCTGAATCTACGCAAACGCTTGCTTGGTCCGAAACATATCGATACAATCCAAGCCTCTGCAGATCTTGCTCATTCGTTTATTCAACAAGGTAAGGACATGCCTTTCTGAAGCAAGTCGCTGAGATTCCCAAGGTAAATGGGCAGAAGCAGAGGACCTTGGACTCGAAGTGTATCGAGAACGACGCAAATTATTAGGGGATGAGCATCCTGATACCTTGCTTGCCTCTTCGAATCTCGCGTTAATCTACTACGAGCAATGTCGATTCAAAGAGGCCGAGGTTCTCGAACAAGAAGTGCTTGCACTCAGGAGAAAGGTCCTCGGAGCAGAGCACCCCGATACGCTCGACTCTATGAACAACATTGCCGCTACACTCTCACAACTCGATCGGTGGCAAGAAGCACAGGCAATCGAGGAAGAAGTGCTGGCTCTCCGACGTAAACTTCACGGGCCAACGCACCCAGATACTATTTCTGCGAGCAATAATCTCGCGGTCACGTATCGAGAGGTAGGGAACTTGCAGCAGGCCCAAGAACTACTGGAGGCGGCGTTTGCAGAGCGCTGCAAGGCCGTTGGAAACGACCACCCAGACACACTTCACCCACTCGCAAACCTCACCCTCACGTATCACCTCCAGGGTCGCTTGGAGGATGCAAAGAGACTTGCTGTCAAAGCAGTAGTCTTGCTCAAAGACGTTGTCGATACTACCGACCACCCCGTTTTCCGCAAGACGCTGAACAAGGTTAGCGCAATCTTGGATCGAGGCCCAACCTATGATGGTGAGAAGCGAAGGAGTGTAGTTGCATAGATAGACAACTAGTACAGAGCGCAGTGTTTGGTTGACTACTTCTGGGCTACACGAGCCTTTTTTGCCTGTTTGGCCTCCTTTTGCTTGGCCTTGTCGATGGCTGCCCTCTTTTGCTCGAGCACATGTTTCTGTCCAAGGTTTTAGTTCACATTGTATCATCTAAAGAGATAAAACACGTACCTCTTCCTCCCTCTTTCGCTTTTGACGATTTAGACTCTCGTACATTCGCTTCGACTTGTTGCTCATGAGCATCTTGTTCATGTCCTTTTCCGCCAGCTCTGTATCCTCCCCTTGAAGTGTCGTCAAGGGTTTGCCCTTGACGGCCTTCTTGACGATGCGTTCAAAGTCGGCATAGCTGACACCAGCGGCCTCGGCCTCGAGCTCTGCAGCACGCATATCCTCCGCGTTGGCAGCGGCAATGTCCTTTTGTGCCTTGCGAAGTGCCTTGGCTTCCTTTTTCTTCCTCTTCTTATCGTCCTTCGTTTCCTCTGCCTCGCTTTCTTCTTCCTCTTCTTCGTCGGGCAGCTCCTCGCCTTCGATAATCTCCTCGCCACTCTCGCTCTCACTCTCCTCCTCCTCGGCGTCTTTCATCGCAGCATCTCCATGAGGACCATCTTCCGTATCCATCTTGGGCTGATACGCGCCTTCCTCTTCGCCAAAGGGACTTAGATGTGGAGGGAGGACTTTACCGCGCTCATACTTGTCCTCACTGAGAAGCTTTTCCGCATTGACGCAGTCGACGACCCACTGAGGCTGAACGTATTTCCTCTTCCGCCGCTTGCCCTCCTCTGTTGGGTCGAGGGTACCTGCCGTCATCGATGTCCCTGATACAGAAGGACCTTTGCCGGCCACAGCAGGTCGGTCAATGATAACGTGCGTGATACCTTCCCAACTCTCGTCATACGGACTTCCACCGCCGACAGTCTCATCCCATCCAACTTTACCACCAAAGCTACGAATGACAAATTCAAGTAGACTTCGTGGTGTTTCGCGGGAAAGCCAAAAGGAGAGACCCTCAAAGAGTCGAGAGGTGGCGTTGAGCGTACCGGCTGCGGCGGCAATGGTCTGATACGTCGGAAGCACAGACGTTTGCATCGCGTTTGGATCCGATTTAGAGGCTTGTGGTACAAACTCTTCCTCTTCCTCTTCCACTGGGGCTGTGTCGACTTCCATTGTAGAGGAAGGGGCATGCTGAGAAGACGACGCATCGGTGCGGAGCTCCTTGATGGCTTTTCGAACGTCCTTTCCTGTGAGGGTACTAGGCGCGCCTTCGGGAGCGGTATTGCTTGTGATGGCCTTCTCGATAATGGCCAGTGCCCCGATGCCAGCACCCTTTTCTTCCTTGGAGACATCGAGCGGGGGCGGGTATGTCCAACCTTCGTCGGTGTATAGCTTAAAGAAGACGAAGCCTAGAAGTGTCTGATATAGTTCGAGGAAAGTGAGCATAACCCTTATGTCGACGTCAGATGGTACCTGAGTATTGGTTAGGGGGCTAGGCAGATAATCCAGTCTATACTATACTCACGGTTTGTGTAAACATCCAGGGCACGATCCACGTTATCGTCTCCCCTGTACGACCGCTTGATAGTAGACGCCCTTGATGCTGAGAAAGACTTTGCGCAAGCTCTTTGTGTGAATGACATAGAGTTGCCATTCGTTGTAGAGACGAGCGCAATTTTCGATTAGGGAAGGCGGTATCCGTTCGTTGGTCGGCAAGGTGGCAAAGAGGGCAATCAGACAGAGGGGGTCATCGATATCGCGCAGCGCATCAATAAACGTTGGATATCTAATAAGATGCGTGTGAGTAAAAAGTTTGAGGTTATGTTTCGATAACATCACCTTTCTTTGACAATGTGATCCAGTCGGTATACTGGTTTTCGTTCCTCGAGACCCTTGGCAATTCCCCACTCTCCCCTTCCCATTGCTCTACTGAGCTTTTTGGCAAACGCTTTGTGTTCTCGGAGTTTTCGCAGGACGGGCTCGTGCTGCAAATAGGCAATGTCTTTGGCATAGTAAAAAGACGTTGGGGCAGAGTTTCCCTTGTTTGCCTTTTTTCTCGAGCGTGGTTCTCGTGGGTAAATACCTGAAAGGGTGTGATTAGAGTGTTGGGTAGAGGGCGGCGACGAGACAAAGTCGAAAGCCAGACTTGCCCTTTAGAATACAGAGTCGTCGAAAGTCTGCGAGAGAGCATTGGAGCTTTTTCACTGCAGCAGTGCGTGTAATGTACGCCTTTGCTGCACCGGCTTTTCCTTTTTGTTTTAAGCGGCCCATGGCTTATGTACGACGTATTCCAGTATTATTTTATTGCTTTACTGAGATTTTAAGGGGAGAACTGCAGGAAATCCCCTGCAGTGGCAGAGATCCAGAACGGGGATCCACGGCGGCCGTCTGAGCTGATGTTTGCTGGGATATGTGATTACGTAATTTATGGGAAACCGGCGAAGCTGTCGGAGTCGGGATGGCCACTGGTGGGAGTTTCCGAGAATAATGCCAGGAAAAATGGAAACTAATGACGTCACGCGGCCCACAATTTCTTGGATCAGCTTGGGAAAGTAGAGCCCACCGCGTCCAAGTGTGCACATTACAGCTTGGACCCGGCCATCTCTCCAGCCTCGACAGCGAGCACGTACCATTTGCTGGTTTACATTCCAAGTTCAGTATTACAACGCGTCTGAGGCCCTTGGAGCGGCTTGTTAGCGCCCACATTGCAGCCACGGGGGGTTTACCGCACTCGATAGCTAATTCCCAGTCGACTCGGTCATGCAGCAGCCAAACGCAAGTCCTCACAGACCAGCGCTAGGACTCCCCATCCCAGCCTCGCCAGCAGACAGCGGCTTTCTCCCTCGCCGCGAGTTTCTGCCGTCCTCTTCCAAGGCAAAAGCAAGCAATTTTGCCCTTCTCTCCTTCTCAAACACCTCTTCTCTTCGTCTATCCGCATTTCCACCGTCCGTTGTCGGCGCTGTCCGCAAATTCTTCGACGAGAAGAAGCTCCTCAAGATTTACAAGGACAACAGGCCTCCACTCAAGGATAAGGAGAATATCGAGAATGACAGACCAGCAGATCGTCCAGAAGACGAGTTTGTCGCCGAGCTCACCCTCGTCGCCAAGTTTTGGGCAAACGCAAAGACGGTGGAGACAGAGCGTCTGATAATCCAGATCCTCGTCCTCTTCAACTCGCAAGGTTACGCGTTGTTGACCTCTATCGCTGGCAGAGAGCCCGGGGACAAGCTCACCCTCGTCTTTGAGCGACCCGTCGTTTACCATTCCTCCCCTCAACAAGCTCAGCCAAATGTCAATGGTCACACACCTGGCCATCGCCAATCTGGTCATGGCGGAAGCACCGGAAGCGCCATTGCCAACAACGGCGTTCACCAGCTTTTGTTTGGCATCTCCTTTACCTCGCCGACCTCGTTCCGCTGTATCAATCCGCCACTGGAATCCACGCCTGGTATCCTACAAGCCCTCAGGAATGCATGGCCACGAGGAGTCGAAGGCGAGAGCAAAATCGCAGACGGCTGCTTTGAATTCAAACTACGAGGATATTCCTGTAGGTACAAACGCGGTTCAGATGCATAACCCTAACATTTCTCTTCTCTAGTCTTCGCGGATGACACCTACCAAACGGACTTTCTCGCCCTAACGGTCGCCCTCCTCAAAGGCCTCCAGAAGCTCCACTTTACCTTCATCTCGTCCATCTCCTTGTCCAATAGCCACGCAAAAAACAAGGAACTGTGGCTGTTCGCATCCAACGATACCGACGCGCTATCCCCTCACCAGCTGCTCAACTCCATATCAACCTCGCCAGTCGCGTTTACGACGGGCACACTCTCGGGTGCGGTCAATGATGGCACCTTCCCACGCACATACTCGAGTGACAAGGAGAAAACTGCAGGACATCTTCGCGCTGCATCCGTCGATACCGCTCAGGCCCAACAAACTCCCCAAGGCTCCGCTTTTAGCCCAGGCCACCAAAGGAATGCCACCACGCCAGCATTTGGAACGAATGCATTTGGAAGTACCTCGACGCTGGGAACGATCACGGGTGGTAAAGGCCCCACTACGCCTCGTAGCCAAGGCTCTGTTCTCGTCAAGAAATCCCACAGCATGAAGAAGCAACCAGATGCCGCCCTCTCCGAATCGAAAGGGGCCACTCCGCCTGGAACGGCTGGTGCAAACATGACACCTCCCAAAGAGCCTACACCTCCCGCAGCTTCGACCGGTGTATCCAAGCAAGTCGGTATTCTACCAGCATCTTCTTCGAAACCAATCACGGCTCCATCTTCCTCTAAGCCTCAGATACAACAGCAAGTGCTCTATTCGACACCCACATCCGGCAATGTTTTGTATTCGACTCCTCCCTCGAGTCCTCCTGTCAGTTATAATCATTTCCCCGCACCTGCCTCTCATTCAGCGATGCATCCTAGTTCGCCACATTCCAATCTTAGCCCCATCGAAGCGTCCCCACCAAGCTCGCCTCGCAGCAGCGTACCGAGACCGGCATCACCTTCCAAGACGGGCGCAGGGCGTCCATCGAATATTGATATTCCACCCAACACATCGACTACTCGGGCAGTAGACGAAGAGGGACCGACTCCACCGCTTCTCTCATCGAGCGCTTTTCGGGATACGCTCTCGGATAGGGGTGGAGAGCAAACGGCTGGCCGTGATTTTTTATTCTCTGGTGGGACTTCGATCATGTCTGGCAAGTCTGGGGAAAGCTTTGACGTACCGGTAATGTGGACAGGTGGGCTTGGTGGAGTTGGTCTGGGGACGACGCTTGAGGAGAGGGAGGAAGATGAGGATGCGAATACGTTTCGAGGCACCGCGGCGTTACCCACGCCTAATCCACCTGGGGGCTGGGTCGAAGACCCCTCGAGTCCACCTGTGACGACGCAGCGACCAAGGGTGACTGGTAAAGCATCAAGGGAAACGACGCGTTCGACAAAGGAAAAGGAGCGCACTGTAGAAGCCAAAGTCGACGGTGCTCATATCGTTACTGTCTCTACGCCTAATCAAGAGGCACCGCAAGCGGCGGTCATTGGCACCACGGGCGACCTAGCAAGCGATGCGGCTGCTTCTGCATCCGATTCAAAGGATAAGGACAAGAGCGATGGATGGGTCATGGTTAAAGTCTCTGGAGATCAACAGGGAATTAAGAAGTCGACCAAACCTGCTGCTGGCCCTCTTCGAGCTGTCAATGCCTCGCCAGGCTCCATGTCATCCATGGAGACGCCACCGGCTGCGGTACCGATCAAGTCCGACACGAGCAACAATGCGAACCGCGCGTCCAAATCTGGCGACGAGAGCTCGAGCTCTCACGATCGTTCTGCGCCGCCGTCATCACTTGCGCATTCGAATACGGCTCCACGGACGGGGACAAAAAGTCGAAGTGGGTTCCGAAAGTTGTTTGGTCGTGGAGATAAGGACAAGGACAAGGTGGGTTCCCGTCTCAACCTCGAATCTCCGACGAAACGGTCGCGGTGGGCAAAGGTCAAGGCGGACATTGTTCCTACGCCAGCGGAACCGGCGAGAGCCAGTCGAAGGATGACCATTGAATGAATCATTTCATTCTGGTCATATGATAGCCAGTCCTCTCTCTCCCTATGGTCCTGCCCCTTGCCTGCCAATGTTCACCCCTGTCTGACACATTCACAGGCCGAAGAAACTGCTCCATCTTCTGATCAATAATCTCTGTCTTTACGAACGCGCCTCCTCTTCCCCAGGTCCCGTGCTCTACCTTATGTCAACATTCTTTCTCCTGTCTTGATAGCCAGCCCCATCGATTCATGCGTATCGTGGTATTTTTGACATTTCCACTAGTCCTCCCCCTCATGCGCTCCTTTGTCTCAAATTTACTATTGTAGCTCGCGACGGGTTTTTCCCCTTGGACAATTGTTTTTGTGTGATATCGCAACATAGAAATCTAATCGCCTCCTGATTTCTTTGACTATATAACCTCGAGGTTTCGCGTTCCCCAGTCTTCTTTGAGACGCCGTTCGATGAGCTGGTCGATTTCTTTGGCCCGTTCGACCGCGATGTTGATCAGCCGGAGAATTTCGCTCTGGTCCAGTGGTACACCGCCGTTTTTCTGGAGTACGCATAGCTCCCCCTGTGCATTGAGCGCGATGGAGAGTGTACCGTGGGCTAACGTTTCCTCCAAGAGGATGGGGTCGAGCAGCGCAAATGTTTGGTGTGTCGAAAAGGATCCAGAGGGGACGGTGGAGATGCTTTGTTGTTCGGTCGTAGAGCTCGTCCCCTTTGATTTTGTCACCGAGAGCTTTTGGTACGAGTACAAGGCGAATGTAAAGCAGATTGGAGTGTGGTGAATGGCGAGTGGCAGGGGAGCTCTCGAGTCTGGAGAGTGCTGGCGGTGCTATCAGTCTCTTACTAGAGTAATCAGAGTCTAAACATACGACAATGACCTCCTCTCCGTCGATCTCGACTTCTGGCTTGCGAAAGTGACGCAGGGCGACGATCCCTGCTAGACATGCACAATCTAGCATATTCCCTGCATCCGAGAGAAACTGTACTGTAAGCTTAAGCGACCATACCTATCGATTCATGTCAACGTCGAATCGATATAGAAAAGCGAGCGGTATACTCTTTGCCCAGCCACGACGCAAAGCGATTCCTTGTCTAATGCATCACTCCTTCGCAATACCTTGTCTAGCATTCGCGTAATCGTGACCTCCTCGTCGGATGTCCTACCGGCTGTCCAGATCAGTTTGCTAGGCAGACGAGCGGCACAGATGCCCACCTTCCTTGTTCGTATTCACTTGAAGCCATCGGCGAAAACTCTGAATGAATGTTGATCGTGCCTTCATATGGCCTGTCTGGGGTAGGCTTGACCATTTTCGCCTCGACGCTTGCTAGCACACTGTTGAGAACCAAGAATAAGATACACGAGACCAAAGAATGAAATTGAAATTAAGAGACCGCATCATACCGTGTTTTTCCCATCGCACATTCTACCCAGCCCAATTCGGGGCCAAAACTCAACAGTGGCTCACGCAAAGCAACCAGGGAACGTCCATCAAGTCTTAAAGATTGCTGAAGAGCTGCTACCAGGAACTCCTTTTCAGGAATTGAGGGCGACGACGGACGCGGCATGGTCCAAATATTACACACTCGTCGATTCCAAACATGGTCTAGCTAGTGATACAGGTTGCAAGCAAAGATAATCAGTGATAACGATAATGTTGGCACAATGGATAATCGAGATCAGAAAGCGAAGAAAGATTAACTGGAAATGGACCGCCATTGTGGGTTTGTGGAGCCCAGGAGTGCCAGAGCCTTTTCTATTTGTGCCCTTGACTGGGGGTGGGGTGTTGTTCGCACACCGGACAGGGACCGAATACCACAGGAGAGGATATGAGTAAGTGAGGGGATCGTTGGGATGGTAAAAGAACGGCATCATGTGCGAGCGAGGATACCAGCGAAAGCTTGTTGCGGGTGGAATCAAACGCCCAAACCTGCACAATGCCACTTTGGAGCCGGGCGAAGATATTTTGAGAGCTCCAGGCGACTTGTACGATGCCTGTAGACACGTTTTCCCGTGCAAGGAGCTTGCGATTACGAGCGCTCCATATTGCCAAGACGCCTGTGGAGGAGGAAGACGCAATATAGAGCCCGTCGGTAGTGAATTTAACCTGTGTGATTGGGCCAAGACTATTTGACATTGCCTTGCCAGCTGGCTCGCGAGTACTGGTATTCCAAATGCGCAAGGTGTGATCCCTTGAGCCAGAAACGATATACCCGCCGCAGGGCGACCAATCGAGGGAGACTACGGCGTCCCGGTGGCCTGTCATTGCTTCACAGACCGCCTGAACACCGATATCCCATAACCTTACGCTATTGTCCGTTGAGCCAGAGGCAAATCTGGTGCCACAAGGGGAGAAGCACACAATCAGGACAGAGCCTGTATGGGCCTTGAAGGATATTGGCTCGGAGACATGTGCCATCCACAATCGAATGATCCAGTCGCGGTGGCCAGTCAGCATGAATCCGCTGGCGGTGGACACGGCGACTGTGGTGATTGGTGCGGATTCTTGCGCTACGTCGTAACAGGGTTTGGGTGATGCCTTGAGGAGTGAGGGATGTTGAATGAGAGCGCCTAGTGGATGAGATACGGTATAGACTTGTACCGGAGCTTGATCCTGCGCAAATTTGCAGCTGTCGATGATTTGTGATTGCTTCTCGAGGAGCGGAGATTCTGTCCTCCCAAACTCGGATAAATGGAGTGGCCGGTTCTTGAGAGACGATTCAACCTCGGGATTGTTGATCCTGCCTTGTTCCTCGGTATACAGGGGTCGGATCATCCTGACGTACTCCGACCGCGACAGAATGTCGAGCATGTCCGACTTGACGCGGCGACATACAACAACTACCTTGAACTTGGGCAGTACAGCATTAGGTCCACAAAAAGTATCGAGAAGCAGTGAGAGAACCTCGGTTCTTTCGGAAGAGCTGCACTCTTCAAGCGCATCGATGACAATCGTCGAAGGTCGATGAAGGCGCTTGAGGGTGTCGACCACAAGGGTTTCCCACTGTGTGCGTAGATTGTGGCGGAGGATGAGAGGGATGTGGGGTCGCATAGACCGCAACAACGGCCGTAGGCTGACGAAGAACGAGCATAGGTCGAAGAATACCGCATGACAGAGATCGACCGCTTGCGGAGTCTTCCCGTTCTTTGTTGAAAATGAGTAGACGAAAGCCAGCCTTCCGTCATTCTTGAGCTGAACGCTGAGACCTTCGGCAAATGAAGTTTCGAAGCAACCAGGAAGATTGCTGAGAAGTAGGATCCGAGAAGGCGTCGTCATATTCCTGGCCCACGCCAACGCCCCCTCGACTGCAGTGTTTCCATTATACTCATCGCCGGTATGAAAAGATGTATCGTTCCCTGGATATCGTTAGTGGATTTGGCAGTTTTATCGCCCACTTACCCTGAATCGAACCTGAACAACGTTCGAATGTGATCTTGGGAACTTCTAGCTGGCCCCTCATTGCCAAACAGCAAATTTCTAGTCTTCCTTCTACCACCGAACTGCTAAGATAGCTTTTGGTGTGAGAAATAATTTCACCAAAGCCCGCAAGTGTTGCATTGTCGGGTGTTGACTCTCTATCCACAGAGAATCGAAAAAACCGAGAGGTGGGTCCGAGCTCTCTGTGCATATCGTCCACTGTCCGATTTACTTCTAAGTACAAAAGCGTGGCCGGGGAGGTCCACCCTTTGATAATGGACGGGATGCCGTTGCCAAGGCTAATTAGGCAGGAAATCCCTTCCCCGAAGGCCTTGAGGATGAGATAATAAATCTCCTTGCTCGGATTTGCGTATAGACCTGTACAGGATACGAGCTCTTCTTGAAAATTTTCGGGGCCAACAGAGACAGGCCTAAAATGCTGAGTCGCACACGTGGCGCGAATGGCTTGCACAACGGTGATATCGCATTCTTGGTTGAAATTCCTGAGTGGGTGTGTCGATAATGGGCGAAACGCCGTCGAGTTACTAGCAACTCCGCATCCAAGAATTCTGCCAGATAACAATCAGACAGGAGCACCCCTACTGTAATGAGTACTCACAAGAGTGGTGTGTGTTTAATGTGCGATAGTTGCCGCAAGGTGATCGTCGGGTGGAGATTATATCGTTTTAGAACCTGTGCGAAATAAACTTCTAACTTTTGAGAGCGCGCATCCGCTGAGAGGTCATGAACGTTGAAGACTTCATGAATTAGACGAGCCAGCTCTTCCATTGCTTCGTCTGGACTCATCCGCAAACCTCCGAGCAGGACTGCGACGACGCTGCGAGATAACCTGAATTCACTGCAAAGATATGGACGACATACTGACCCTCCGAGGCCGGTTCCACCCATCACTTGAACCAGATCCGCCAGCTCAAGAGGTTCTTGCCCAGACCGTTCACGGTCCCAATTGATCCGCGAGATCATGTCTTTGAGGATCACGATATGAGATATTGTGTTTGAACCACCTTCTCCATCTTTGGGGAATGAGTGCATAAACTCGGTGTTTTTTGTAAACTGACTGACCAAAGGTTACAACATTCATGCCCATGGCTCTCTTGGACGCCATAGCTTGGTGAAAGAGCACCCGCGAGTAGAGCAAGGTCCTTTTCGATGTTGGTGGGGAGGAGTAAGTGAGAACTGATGTTTGAAGCCTTGGTCCGCCGCACGAAAGAGTTTCGCCTCGGCGCCTGCAAACATCGAGCCTGGCGATTATCTGGATTCAATATTCCATTTTTAGTTGTATCCCCGCATGAGGCCGCATGTTGCCATTCAAGATTCCTGCTGGTCAGAGGCTGCGCTTCCCAGCATTATAGAAAAATAAGGGGTCCGCTGGAATTCCGGTCCATATATGACATTGAAACGATAAGAAACGTAGGGGAAAAGCGCGGAGGGGTATTGGGATAGGGAGACGGTCGTGGTCAGGTCCGAACTTGGACTCACCCCCGACCTCCCCCCCGACTCGTCGCCAGCCATGTCTATCGACGAGCGGGCTCTATCGAATAGTGACGAGGACCCAGACGATGTCATGCTTACCTACGAACCGCTGGCTCCTTTGGAAGTCGTCCATCCCATGGAAGATTTGCTCAGCGATCCCGGTGCTGTAGGTCTCTCCAGCTCTTAGGTTGAAATGCTCACTAAGCCCATAATCGATATTCATCAACGCTTATAGCGGCTTACCTCCGTTAAAGTTACTTTAATGGGTCCAGACGCGATGCAATACAATAAGAGGTAGTATACCACCTGCTCTGATTAATGTACGTCCTAATATGCTTCATCTGTAGGGAAATACCTGCATTTTTGGATGTCCCTGCTCCTAAGTTCTGTCGAATTCGATTCTCCCGTTGGTAGGTCTATTGCTCCTAAGGCTTTGCGTGCGTGCTAATCTCCGTCACTATCAGCTCCTCCGCCTCTGTGTCAACGCGCATCCCCCGCCAGGTACGCTTCTCTGTTCAGGGGCTCTCGCTCAAGTTCACCCTCCCCTTTATGTATTGACTTTGTAGACCCACTATGAACTATCGTCTCTATGTGAGTAAGAGTAGCATATCTGCGCCTCACTCGATCCCTTCCTAACGTGGATTGGCAGCAAATTTGACTGCCCCCCCCTGGAGCGAGCCAAAGAAGATGAAACCTATCAGTGTCAAGACAAAGGTCCGCACATTCGTCTTATTCTGGTCGCCTTCTTAGTCACGCGATGCTTTGCCCTCCAGATCCAAGAGGAGACCCTGATGCAGGCCATCGGAGATTACGAACGTCAAATCCAAAGCCTCTTTCGTAATGGCGAATGGCAGGTTGCACAAATGTCCTTAGAACGCTATGTACGGCAGCAAAGAACCTCAAAGGGCCCAAACCATCCACTCACCCTGCGAGCATTGGGGCTACTTGCGACAGCATATGCGGGACAAGACAAATGGCCGGAATCGATCGCCATTCACGAGGAGATTGTCGAAAGTAGACTCGGTATGGATTTAAATCATCCTGAGACCGTCAAGTCGATGGTCAATCTCGGTGCCATATATATGGCCCAAGGGAAAGTGACACAAGGACTAGAACTTCTTTTCCACGCAGACGAGACGACACAGCGCATCAAGTATCCACCAAATGACGAAGAATACCGACGCGTCCTCAGTCACTTGCGTCATTTGCTCTCAACCGGAGCAGACTAGTCTGTCGTGCTTGACTGACATTTTCATCTTGTCGGTTGGATCGCATGGAGCCAACGAACAAGTCGAAGATAGCAGTCCAGATGCCAACCCTTCTCAGACTACAAGAGACAGTTGCATTGGAAGTTTGTCTCTCTATGCGCCACCGTTTCTTCATCCATCATTAAGTCGTAGCTCAGTACTTTTTCGACCCCTAGCTATGTATGTACCCCGATGGCAAGAATAAATTTCTATACCACATTCATCGAGCCGATTCGATCTCGAGATTGGCACGTCACAGGTATTTGACATGCTCTTCTCCTGCCCGCGTTGGCTGACCACGAGACTCTATTGTTCGTGAATAAACTGGTGCCGAGGTGTCCAAGAAAGTGCCACTTGCACGATATTTCTTTTCAAGTAAGCAGTGTACAACAAGTATCGCGTTGGATTTCCCATCTGGACAGATGGTGTGAACCACAAAGTGGAGTCGAACAAGTAATGCAAGGTTGTTCACAAAGCTGAAAGTATATAATGAATTAAAATATTCAATTAAACATTTTAGCCAGATCAACAAACTCTGGCCATGGTCGCTCACCCACCACGACATACATAGACGAGACAAGAAGGCAAAAAACGAACAGTCTCTTGAGCGCCCTTGGCTCCATGGCATGCACTGGAGGTGAACGTTGGACAAAATTATCATCCTGGCTAGCATCACCGCTGTGAGTATGTAGGGACCTGGGTTTGCATACGTAGCAGGACGCCGGAGCGACGATGCTTGTCGGAGATGATGTTACTAGGCTGTGGTGAGGATCGATAGGCGGGTGTTTAATGGTCGAAATCAATGTAAGAATCCTTCGATCGACGTCAAGGGTCCATACTTGAACAGTGCCGTCCTCAAGTACAGCAAGAAGCCGCCCATTGTCCCATGCAATCTGATGAATGACAATCGACAGCGCAACTCGAGCCTGAAGCTCGCACTTTGGTGCTGAGAATACAGCAAGGTCGCCGGTGGAAGAGCTGCAAGCGAAGTGGCTACCGTTGGACATAAACTTTACAGACGTGATGGGACCAAGGTCATCCGAGATCTCTTTGCCAATCTTGTCTCCGCGCTGAGTATTCCACAGGCGAAGCGTGTGATCCATTGAGCCCGAGACGAGATATTCGCCAGAGGGTGACCAGTCGAGGCACGATACTTGGTCCCGGTGACCTGTCATAACCTCACAACGCACTGAGGCTGCATCCTTATGCCATATACGTACACTGTTATCAGCTGACCCTGAGGCGAATCGACTACCATAGGGGGCAGGGCTGATGACAGTGATGCGACCTGTGTGCCCAGAGAACGTCTCTGGCAACAAGGATCCAGGCGTCCATAAACGAATGTTCCGATCCACATGTCCAGTGAAGACTGAGTCTCCAACAGGGGAGAAGGTGCTCATTGTGATTCGTGGGGTCGATGCCATGAATATACGACGGAGGACCCGATTAATTGGGGTATTGCAGAAGGCCGGGTCGTGTGGTGCCACAGTAAAGGCCGCAGCGTACGCTTGTTTGAGATGAATTGACCCGCGACAATTCAGTGCCCTGCATACCTCGACGCGAGAAGAGTGGTTCAGAAGTGGCTCGGGCTGAGTATTGTTATCATGGGCGCTGCACCCTGGGTCAGTAGCTGCAGGTAATGCGGGGGTCAAGGTCCCAGCATGAGGAGAGCGCAAGAGTGCTGCCACAACCGGTGACGTTACTGAGCGGGCTATAATAATGACCTTCGATTTAGGCAGTATGGCGTTTGGGCCAAAGGTTTCGAGGAGGAGTGAGGTGAAATCGGCCTGATCCACAGCATTGCATTCCTCCAAGTTCTCCAGAATAACCAAAGGACGATCTAGCCGCCGGAGCGGATCTACTACCAACATCTCCCAGTTCATCCGTAGATCGTGCTCACGAATGAAAGGGAGATGGGGCATTATTGCTCGCAGCGAGGGCCTCAGATGGACAAATTTAGAGCAAACCTTCGGGTTCACTTGGTAACACAGATTGCGGGGGGTGGAAGGTTCCGAGGCACCTTGTGGGAAGGAGTAATCAAAGGCGAGATATTTTTTCAGATGACCAATCAGATGGCCTCTGATACTGGCATTGGTTGCCGCCGGAATATCCGTGACAATGAGAATCCGGGGAGATGCGCCGGGATCTTCTGCCCATTTTGTGACATCTTTGCAACAAGGGAAAGCGGCGGGCTTAGTACGTTCAAGTGCTAAGGACTTTTAGTACAGTTGGACAGTATCCCGTTGAAACCTACCCGGAAAGGGATTGGCTAGGCTGCCCAATGTCGGCATAGGAGCTCGAAGTTGTCCGCCCATGGCCGCTCCGAGAAGTTCCAATTGTTTTTCAACCACCGGTTTCTCGAGATAGCGCACTGTATGCGAAATGATTGTTGGAAGGTCAGGCGCAGGACTCCCATCGTACCTGACCATACCGGGTTCGACTGTGAAATGAAAACACCGAGATGTCCCCAGATGTAATCTGTGAAAATCTTCGATACCTGCTTCTTCGATGCCTCTATACACCATAGTGGGCGGCGCGTTATGCTCGATTGCAGGTAAGGCCCCGCTACCGAGAATGACAATCGAAGATAGTCGGATCTCATCCCCAAACGTGGTGCGCAGGAGGTGAATTATTTTAATGGGATTTGGATAGATGTTTGTGGACGATATGTGCTCCTCTGAAAGATTCCCGGCCCCAATGCTGACTGGTGTGAACCAGGGAACAGACGCAGAAGTGGCAAGGAGGGCGTGAGCTACAGTGGTGTCGCAGTAAGAAGGAGCTCCGCTCAGCGCGCGTGTCGATAATGATCGGAATGAGGCCAGATCTCTCGTAAGACTGCACCCAAAGATCCTGTACAATGAGATGAGCAAGCAATATAAAGGCACTAGGGTTGTTGAACGCATACAGGAGTGGCGTATTCTTTAGCTCTGCCAACTGACGTAAAGTCGTATCCCTAGGGAGATTGTATGAATCTAGCATCCTATAGACATGCTGTTCCAGCCGCCAGGTACGCTCGTTGGGGGAGAGGTCGTCACAGTCGAATACATCTTGAAGAAGAATACTGAGCTCCTTCGCCACATCCGCCGGAGTAGCTCGTAGAGCAAATAGAAATATCACGAAGCTGTATAACCTCTAAGAATTTGTTAAGGTCTAAACATGGCACATACCTACTAGGTCCATTTGCAACCATTACACGGAATACATCGGCAATCGCGCGGAATTCTGGTAACTCCGGGCAGTCGTGGTTGATGCGGTCAAGTATCTTCTCAAGTATTTTGACCTGGGAGAGCGTATATCGAACACTACTCCCGCCTGGCTACGCGGTGAGGGCAGATGATACGTCTTGGCTGGTAACTGACCGAGGATTAAAACGTTGAGAATGGACTCCATGCACAGAGCTCCCCCGCTGTTCTAGGAGAAAGGGGGGAGTTCAAGATGCAAGCAAATATTTTGTTGAGAAAACATGCAGCTACTATATGGCCTGTAGCAAGAGGCGGTCTATGTTGATATGGAGAGGCGGTCAACCAGCTGCAGGTTGGCCATTCTCTATGCCAACACCATTGATCAAGGACGTTCCGTTGTGATTCCACTATACATGTGACACTTTGCCCAGTAAACCAGATTTACATAGTAGCTGGTTGTAGCCGGATCTGGTTCAGAGCAGACTTGGACCATTCCTCAGCACACTCCCATTTTTCTCATCTCCCAAGGTCCCACTGTCACGACTAGTAGCACTCAAATAGTAGTCCACAACTTGGCCTCATTCCTCAGCGCCTCTCACGTCTGTCATCGCTCAGTGACTGATAAGCAAACCCGGCGTATCCTCCATGTTCACGTATGTCGAGGGGCCCCAGTTTGGGGGATGCTAATCGCTTGCCATGAATCCAGTAGCTATGAAATACCATTTCCCTGGTTCGACCACGAATGTCAACGGTGCGTGGCATTTTTTGCCTTGCTCAGCTCTAATCAGCCTCCGTTCAGTATCAGGGCTGTCATCACCGCCGTTCTTCGCACTTCCTGGTGGAACTATGACCAGCAGTGGAGCATGGTGTATGCTGCGAGGGGCAAATGGGCGGAAGTGACGGCGGTCTACGAGGAAATCGTCGAACACCAACTCGTGTCTTGCCCTGACAATCCCGAGACAGTACAATATATGCTTATTCTCAGCGTCATCTACATGGCTCTGGGCAAAGAAGCACAGGGCTTGGAGTTGCTTTCGCAGGTCTCAGAGATCTCCAAGTAGGGGTCTACCGACAATGCAAACCTAAGAAATCATCCCACTCCTCAATTCCTCTTATCTCTTGGAATGTAGATCCCCTGTTTAATTATAACGTTGAATATGTTTGCTCTGCAATTATTATACCAAAGATACGCAAGAGTTACATATGAGCACACTAAAAAATGTAGACCACTAGCATCATCGAACCCGCTTTGTACGAGTTCCGACATTCGCTCGCTCCACCAAAGGCTGAGCAGCCTTACCACTGACGGTTCGTGGCATACTGCCAATTTTTGACGGAGGTCGGGAGGGCAATTGAGAGGTGCCCATGGGACTCTGCCGCGACGAGGTACGAGTCGTACTTGCAGAGGGAGCGGGACCGGGTACCTTGGAGATAGTCGAATAAGGTGGCGGTGGCGGCCGAGCATTAATCTCTGCTGCGACAATAACAGCATCAACTTCGTCATCGGCCTCGACTTCACTCTCTGGCCTCTTGAGAGGCTCCTCGACACGCACAGGCGTCGCCTCTTCGGAAGCGGCGGATGCCGTCTCCACAACGTCTGGAGACTCGGTGGGTCGAGAAGAGGCGTTGCTGAGACGCTGTCGTTGCACCTCGTCGCGTTTGGCCTGCTCTTGAAGTTGTTGTCGGACGGCCCACTCTCGAAGGACAGCTTCACGACTCTTGGTTCGCTCCCACTCGTCATCGTAGTCCCATGTACGTTTCCGAGGCGTGGTTCCAGTTGGAGTGTCGTCACGTGTGCCGCTTTCCACGAGCGCACGGGTGGCTTGTCGCAGACTGCCGAGTTGCTTTTGTGTATTGGCCTTGTATGACTGCGTGGTCTGTCGGAGAGACGTTTCCTGGAGCAGTTTTCAGTAATATACACAGCTGTAAGGGCACTCCACTGACCTCGTCCAGCAACTTGAGTATGGTCTGGCTGGCATTATTGGTCGTCGACGATAGCCCGCTTTGAAGGTCCCGGTATCCTTGTTGAAGCTCGGCGCTCATGCTTTCCGTGAGAGCTACCCTAGCCCGTTTCGTTTGCCTAGCTTGCTCAAACCCTTGTTTCCGCACGTTAAATCCCGTATTTCCAGGTATGAAAGACTCACCTGTAGCAGCGCCTTTGCTAAGAGTCTCCTTCTGCTTCCTGAGTTCCTCAAGCTGACCATCAATCCTTCCTTCTAGACCATCACGCATATCACGAGCCGAAAGTCGTGCCTTGGAATCCACGGCACGAACAGCGCGGAGCGCATCTTCACCTGCGGCACGACCTCGTTGCGCCTTGTCCGAGACTTCTTGGACGACCCGGTCCCCGTGACGAAGGACGTCGTCTACTGCACGTCCGTGTTGCTTGCCAAATGATTCCATCTCCTTGGCTCCCTTTCGGACAACGCCTTGCACCTTTTGACCCGCGGCATGGAGGCTTTCCGTACGGCTCGAAACGAAACGCTTGACGAGGGAAGACATGTTGGAAAGAAGGTCCTCTTGGAGCTCCAATGTCTTGCGCTCCTCTGACTCGAGCATTTGGCGGAGGAGAGTATTTTGTTCGTTTAATCGCTTGACCTGTAACACAGTTAGAAACCCCCATAAAGGGATGAGGGATGCCATACCTCGGAGCTAACGGCTTCTTGTACAAGATCTCTTGCTTCACCGACAAGTTCCTTTTCGCGCTTGAGATGCGTCACCGTCTCATCGACGAGCATTTTGTACGTGTCCGCAGAAGTTTGCATCGCCGTTTCCGCCTACAGAATCGTAAGGCACATTCAGGTTAGAGCCAAGACCAACTGACCGCTTGACAATTATCACTAATGACTCCTTGAAGTTCCTCTACAAGCGTCGTGCATTGCTTCTTCAGTCCTCCTGCCCAAGTCTCGAAGCTGTTTTGGATAGTATCCGAAGTCGTTTGTACCAACTGCTGTAGGTGATCCATCGAAGCCGACCCCTCCTTTTCGTTGAGACCAATAGCTCGTATCGCCTCGTTGAGCGACTCGATAGACGTCTTGACTTGGGAAGAAAACGCGTTCAACGACTGCCAAACGAAGTGAGTGTCCGCTCCAAAGCGCTGCTACCGAAAATGTCTCACCTGCAACTCGCTCTCTCTAAAATCCTCCATTCGACTCCGCATCGAGCCGGTAATCTTCGCCTGAACACCGACAAATTCCGCCAAACCAGCCGCGAGAGCATCCGTTCCCTCTGCGAGAACATCCGCATGATTTCGAACAGCACCAGCATTTTGCGCACGTACACGTTCCTTGCGCTCAACCTTTTCCCAAAGCCCACGCACATCCGCAACGCTCTCCGAAGCCACATTCCGTAAGCCACGCGCCACAGAATCGAGTTGTTCCTCCGTTTCAGCATGTGCCTCTCGAAGGACCTTTTCTTCCACATGCATCTGCGTCGTCGTAGCGAGTTCCTCTGTCGTGGCTTCTAGATCGGCTGCCGTCTTTTCCAGCGTCTTCTTCGTGTTAGCGAGTTCGCCGTCTCGCTTCATGAGCATTCCGAGAGACTCGGTGAGCTCTTCGCGAATGATCCGTATTTGCGCTTCGAGGTCGTCGCATTGTTGCTTGGCGTCGATGTGGGCTTGTCGCAGTGCGCTTTGCTCCTTGGACATGTCATCCCAGCTCTCCTTGGACATGTAGATGCCATTCTTCTCTCGAGCGGCCTATGACGAACAATTAGGTTGAGCAGGATGTAGCAAACGCGAGACTGACCAGTAGATCCGCCTTGAGACACTCGATTAGGCCAATGTATTCCTTCAGGAGCGAGTTACGCGTCATTTTTTGGTTGACTTCAGGTTTGTTGCTAATGCTCTTGGCCTTGAGCGCATAGTCTAGGGTCGAAAATGTCTCCTCTAGGTTCGACTGCGCAGGTGATATAGTAGCGATGATGCACGTCTTGGTCTTGCCACCGAGCGAGTCTTGCAATAGTCGTGTAAGCTTTGATTCACTAGAAAGGTCTGAGCTGTGCACCCATCAATGACGACTGTACGTACCGGTATGGAATGTGAGCGTGCTTTGCGACGAGAGCATTGATAACCCTCCCGAGGGCTAACAGGCTCATGTTGATATTCCCCGCTTCTCTCGCACGCATATTCTCCGCACCGCTCCTGCCAATGTTCTCCGAGCCAGCGAGATCGACAAGATTTAGCTTTCCTGTGCGGATATAGTCTTCACCCGCTACACCCCCAGCGCTCCCACTCGCACCCGTCTCCTTCATCTTTGTATGCACCGTCACGGTGAAGACGCTGTGACTGCGACTTGAATGGTCGTTAAACTTTGTCGCGGCAATCTGTCTACGGTGGCTCCCTTTTCGTAATTGTTCGATTGCTTCATGTGCGTTTCGGACATAGGATTCTTCTAGCCCTTGGATGAACACGCCTCCACGCGCGTCTTCGAAAATCTTGGGACCGGGGTCGCGATTATTGCCGGCAGCTTGGGCCTGAGAGCTGTATTGTCCGGCGGATGAACCGGTGCCTTTGCTCATGGGCTGCTCGGAGCCGAGAGGAGCACTGAGGGAGGGTGAGAGAAGGTCGCGGAGCTCTTCATTGTAGAGCTCGACGTATGTGACTTTGACGCTGTAGTCTGGTACGTTTGCTTCGAGATGCGCGAATAAGTTTGACAAAACACGCGGGATCATGCCTGCGCCTGCGGATGGACCGCCAGATATCGAGGGGGTGAGGTCGCCTTGCATGGTATATCTACATTCCAGAAAGATGATCATTAGCCAGGTTTCGATCAGTGGAGAAAGCGGTCACATACGTTTTGCCTGTGCCCGTTTGACCATACGCAAAGAGCGTGCAATTGTATCCCAGCAGCACCTCTTCGAGCATGGGCTTCACAACCTCGGAATAGACCATTGCTTGATCAGCAGCGTGGCCAAATACGCGATCAAATGGATACGTCTTTGTCGCCGCCGGAGTAGTCACGCCCAATTCCGTTTTTGCTGCGGCGGTTTGGATGACGACTTCGTTTGACATCGTGCCCTCGATGTGTACAATGTTTGCAGATCCCTCGCTCTTCTCCCTTGCGGATCTTCCGCGGCAACGGACGACCACTTGGATGTTGGACTCTGCTTCGAGGCCTGGCAACGTCGCTGTTCTTGTGAGCCCAATACCTGGCCCAGTAGACGATACAACAGAGTTACTTCCCATCGCCGTTGCGGATCGTTTGGGACCAAGGCTTGCGGTGGGTGTCGATGTCGCTGCTGGCGTGGGCTGCGCGTCTTCTACGGGCTGGAAAATGTGTTTTTGACGCGTCGATGTATTTGTAGAGATTGTTCGTGTGCGCTGTGTGCCATCCTGCGCGTTATTTCGACGCGATGCCATTTCAAAGAGACGCGTCGCGGTTCAAGCGCGAGTCACGTGTGGCCACTTGCCACCCGCGCTGCGCATCACCACCCATCAAATAAGCTACAAAATTTGGCAAAGCATTAAACCAATACCCCTGTACGAATAAGACCACCGTCAGCTTGGTGATCACAAAGACAGTTGCTTTGTGTACAGCTTTCTGCCTTCAAGAGGCCGGTGCCGTGCCAATTCCGTGCGGACTTTTGCTGGCCTTTGGCGGTCGAGAACGGCGGTCATGAGATGCCCGATGCGCGGTGTGTAATATATGGTGCTAGGACATAAAAACTTGGGTCCCTGTGAGGCGCAGCAAGGCCACCTTCAACTCCCTTTCTCCCCTATTGTTGGCATTCGGTTGTCAATCTTGTAAATAATCTTCAAAGACACAAATAGCGTCACGTCCTGACTTGAACTCGTCCTCGTTGCTAAGGTGAGTGGCCATTCTTGTTCTCCTCCTCGACTTGGTATTTGCTCACTGCTGAGTTCTATCGCCCGGCGCGTCCTTCATTATCGACTTGCACTCTTTACACATCGCAAATTACTTCAGCAACTCTTATTCGTCTCAGCATGATCGCACCTCTTGCCAAGATTTCCGTCGTCGCCACGTTGCTCTCAGTTGGAGTTTCCGCTGTACCCACCGTTGATACTCTACTTTCTCGGCGAGCCATCGCTGGTCTTTCGTGCGTTCTCTATCTGGTCTGTTACCAATGCTGACATATTTCTAGTCTCTCCCAGTATGTACAACTATACTCACGCTACCACTACTCACAAAATACAGGGGATGCGAGAATACCGTGAAGAACCTTCTCAGCTCGCCCGCTGCGACTTGCATGAATCTACCAGGAACAGTCGCCATTTTCTCCACCGTTGCAAATTCGTCCTGGATCCCACCAATAAATAAATGGCTTAGCGACTTCTGCGGTGCTCCGGATTGCACCGGTGACCAGATCACCTCGACGCTCAATACGGTCATGGACGGCTGCGCCAATGACATTGCGCAGCTAGGCGTCACGATTCCACGAGAACAGATCATCTCAAACTCGGTTACGTACTTTCCGCAAGCAAAGTCCGCTTTATGTCTTCGCGAGTACGTCTGCTCCGCATCCGGTGGATATTACCTAATGACGATGGTAGCTCGAGTAATAGCAACAAGCTTTGTGCAATCACGACACTCGAGAACCTGCAAACGGCCCTCGGCGGTGCACCACTCACTCCCGCCGTCATTGAAGAAAAGTATCCTCTCCTGCTCGCCAACAATTATGCACTCGCGAAGCAACTCGCTTGCACGCCGTGTACTTCTGCGGCATTTGCCCTGGTCCGACCTGCTCTGCCGCAAAGCATTCTCACCACCGTCGATGGATTTGTCGGTGACCAATGTGGTGTCGATTTTACTTGTACGTCCATTTTTATCATCCAGAAAATGACGTCAAGATGCTAATTATGGTGATTATAGCTCAACCGACTGGAAGTATCGCCGTCGTGACCGGGACGGCAGCCCAACTCGCCGCTTCGGCAACAGCTAGTTCATCGCCTTCTGCCGGGTTCGCCTCATTCTCGCTCAACCTACCTGTGGCTCTTCTAGTTGGTATAGCGTCAATCGCCTCGTTCCTTCTCTAGATGTATATGGACTACCCTACAGCTTTCGAGGAAGAAGAACGGACACGTTTGCTTTACTTTATCATTGCATGATACCATTACCATCTTGGACATTCTGTCTTTGACAGCAAGTGCACGGGATGTATTCCGACGCTGCAATATACTTTCAAGTCGTCGCATATAGCCTAAAGTCCCTCGTTTCTACGATTATTTATGTATTTCCAAAGGTTCACGCACGTATTTGTGTACTCTCTTGCCTGGAGGATTGCTAGGACCGAAAGCTACGACTGCCAAACTTGTTTAGTGCATTGCATCCTAGGATGCCCGTATGCTCACTATACTAACTTGACTACTAACTCAAATTCTGCGTCAAATACGGATGTATATGACACCGTCTTGGGCTCGCCCACCTTAGCGAATGCCGTTGCGCTTCTTTGTCCGTCGCACTAGTGAGTAAGTCGAGGATAATCCAATTAGGTCCAATTGTGTCTATTAATGAATCATTCGAAGTTGTTCAGCAGGTAATTCGGATCCATTTGTTATGTTCACTGGATATTCTAGCGCCGTCGAACATTCTTATTGCATTGTAACGCTCTGATTGAAATATACTGTCGATGCATTAGCCAAGAGGAAGGAGGTTCGAGCATTCACGCGCCGCTGCGGCGTAACCTGGCCATAACTGCAAGTGCATCAAAACCGACATGCAGTGCGCGTGAATGGCATGTAAACAAAGTAGTAAGCTTATGCGAACAACACGGCTGCCACCCCTCTCTATAGGCATGCTGAGGTGATACACTCCCGATGCTCGAGGTTGCCAGTTGCCGTCCCAAGTAGGATAGAAAGCCATGGTCGATACTTTGCGGTCGTTGTATACCAACCCAAATAAAAGCATCGACAAAGGCAGCATGTCACAAGGAGTCTTCCGAGTTACCAAGTGGTAACTGACAAAGATTCTGATCATGGGATGAAAAGCCACCGCAAGACGAGAAACTGCGAGAGCGCGGCTACCTTCGACGTAGAATGATTGTGCTGCGAACAATAGCGGAGAAGTCAAGGCATCCCAATCCGGGTGCCCCGATTGACGCTGCCTGACGCTTGAGTTTGAGACTTTCGGACATCACAGGAACATAAACGAGACCAAGGGCCAGTCTTTTTGGAGGCCCTCCAGTTCGACCAATAGATGTCGGGTTGTATTCCGTGAATAAAGATCCATTGGCTTCGAGAACACAGATCAGTGGCTGTGGCAGGTCGATATGAAGCAGTAAGATTATCGTCCAGGAGATGACCTGGGATGACCAGGTTGTCCTAACTGCCCACAGCTAATGCACGAATCATCTGTATCAAAATTTGGTGCCGCCGCTTTCCTTATGCAGTAAAGTACTTACAGGCCGGTGGAATGGAACATAAAAGATTGGACAGGAGTCCATATGTGGCGCAAGGCTTTGGATGTGTACTTGGATATAACTTGCGGGGGCACGCATACGTTCTCTGATCCGTGATGGTTAGTCTACGCTCTTCGTAGCTCTAGTCACACCTGAGATCCCACTTGGTGTAGGTTTGGGCCATTTGCTCATCGTACTGGTCGTGTCTGATCCATCCAAGTTTGGCAACAAACCTGGATTGGTCAAAAGTAGTACGAACAGAGCAAAGTCACTCACTCTCAATGGAAAGGACGATCAGGAAGGCTCATAATAGGGGTATTGATGGAAGGCGTGATGTGGGAAAACTTGACGATGTGCCCAGATTCGTCTAACGCCTACTCGCCTCTTCCTGTCAGCTAAGTGACCGAACCTTCTGCGAATCAACGCTTTCTGAGCTCGTAACTCAACGCCTGCACTCGCGCCGACTCCACGGCATTTGTAGTATCTGGTGGAACAAGTAATACTATGAAATTTGGTCGACGTTGACCTGTCTGACCCAGGTGCAAATGGTGCAAGCGGCACGTATCGGGGAGGGCTGGATGAATGGACAAAAGACGGCTCGCTGAATCTCGCCCTTCCCGAACTGAACGAGCAAATCCGCCTGACCGACTTTGAATGATAAGTTCTCGGTGCCTTTGACATCTTCTAAGCTAGGCTGAAAAATTCGTTTGGTGTAGTTTTGTTCAAGGTGTTTAAAACCCCGCTGACTACATTATCCATCAAGTTACGCCTGAGCGTCCTTCTTCAATAATTTCCTCCGAGAGATGACTTTCAAGCACTCTCAGTAGCTTAAATACGACTACGTGAACGCGCACCGGAGTCGAGTGTAGGTGCAACATGAAGATTAAATGAACATTGAGAAAGAAAAGCCGTGAGTGCGTTTCGCCTTCTCAAGTACCAACAGTATTTCGCTCCATTTGCTCAGGCATAGTCGAAGGTAACAATGAAACGGAGGAAGTAGCGTCGATCGATCTAACAGAGTGGTTATATATCTCCGTGAGGATTGTGAACGAAATTCGGAAGTTCTTCAAGAAGAAGAAGAGGAAGCATATGAGTTATGAATGACTAGGCATAGTCACTTGGCTGACGTTGCACGTGTTCCCGTTCGCACTTGCACCGCTTACCGTATACTGCTGGACAATATTGTGAGCAAGCAGCGTCAAAGGTTGTCAAAAGACTGCTCTTACCCCCTTGCTATATCCCAAAGACACAGTTCGGGAACACCACCCACTTGCTGCGGTCGTTGCTGTAATCTTGAGGTTCCGATACTATTATCCGGATAAAGAACGGTATCAGAGTGATAGGACAGAACATACGATGATCGGACCAAACGTGAAAGGCACATTTGTGAGCTAGTTACGTAGAGGATTGCAAGTTAATCAGAGCCCTGTAAGGAGAAAAGGCGTACTTCAACAGCGAGAATAGCTCTGTTCATGGTATTATTTGGAATATTCAAAGTAGTCGTCGCCGTATTGGGTCCGCTGAGGGTACAGGTCCACATGTTATTACTCCCCAACTTGAAACTGAAGTGGACTGTTTGCCCAGTCGAAACACTAAAACCGGAGCCCCATGGTAAACTCGGTGTTCCATAGAAACTAAGCGTAAAAAGGTGATCAGGAATGCCCTCGACGAAGAACAGACAGCCCCTCACTCACCCATCCCCAATCCACCAATGATTATTTCTCCCATCCAGAACTGCCTGGAGAACACCATTTCCACTTTGAAGTCCCGGCCACACATACGGGGTACCACCTGAAGGAGGGAGATTGGGTACGATCAGGTCACCTTCCATGGCAGTGAACTGAGGTGCATCCCACTCGACAGTGTACCAGTTTGCAGCTACAACTAGGGTAGCCAGCTGGCTTCCAAGCACGAGGAGAGCCTCGAGCTTGACCATGGCAGAGAGGAATCCGTCTAGGACAAAGGTTGGAGGTATGTAAGTTGGCTTTTATATCACCACAGGAAGCTGTGGGCGCATATAGTCATCCAATTTTCCCCATTGTCTTAACAAGCCAACCATTAGCCTCAAACCGGGAAGAATCAACGACTGTTGCGCCTCGTGCGGAGAAATTTGAACCAGAAGCTGGGGCTCTGGAGAAAAAGACGTAGCATTCTTCATTCTCTCTCGCATATGTAGAAATTAAGGAGCCTACAGGAGCACATCCCGTTGGAAATCTTCCATCACGGACAGCCTCTCAGTTGATCCGCTGGGTAGAGAAGGGCCTGTACTAATTATAACCGGTCGGTATATGTGAAAATTTCGGATCTGCGAGGTGCTATATGAATGAACATCAGTATCTTCGATTTCCAGACGGAGTGCATTAAACATAATTGCTTAATAACTCATTCTAAGCGCTCAAACCATCTGCTCTATTGGTAAACCCAGGCGCCGATATCCCGTCACTGCCACAACCTGATTTACAATCTGAACTAACCTTTGGTCAGGCTCTCTTGCCTTGCTTAGACCTGCCCACATCCGCACACACTCTGTAAATTCTCCAAATCCTTGACAATGAGTGGTAGAGGTGAACGAGGAAGAGAAAGAGGCGTCCCCAGAGGTCGAGGGGGTGCAGGGGGAAGTAGCAGAGGTTCGTCACCAAGTCGTGGGGGCCTAGGCCCACGCGGTGGGTCTCCCGCTCCTCGAGGTGGACCTTCACAGCGCAGAGGTGGTGGAGGATTTCAAGGACCCTATCTTCCTCACGGTGGTCGTGGAGGTGGACCTGCCGTGCCTGAACCGACAGTCCAAGCTCCACCAGAGGGACCAGCGAATCTCGATCCACGTATATCGTCCATGCAGGCCGGAGTGGAAAAATTCAAGACCGTCAGTCTAGTTAGAAAGGACCCCAAGAACCCACTTCGACCTGGTTTCGGCACGCTCGGCACTCCCATCGTCGTACGCGCAAACTTTTTTGCCCTCAAGTTCCCAAGAGGGCTCATTATATACGATTATCGAGTTGAATTCAGCCCTACTACCGACATAGGTCGACTCAAGGGCCGTATTCTCGATTTACTACTCGCATCTCCTCAGTTCACCCGATTCAAAGCTATTGTTGCACATGATCGAAGTGAGAGACTGATCGCTGCAAGAGAACTTCCCCAGCCCCTCTCTGTGGATATTCGCTTCGTCGAAGAGGGAGAGACGCAGGCGAGTGCAAAAGCGAAAACGTACACTGTCAAAGTCACGAAGACCGGGGAGCTCAATACGGATGCTCTCCACAAGTAAGTTTGTCCTACTGCGTGTTAAATAAAGCTAAATATTTGCAGACACACGGATGGTGATCCCGCATATGTCGACAAGGACATCGGCTCGCTTATCTCCGCACTAAACCTCGTTGTTCAAGCGGATGCATCCCGAAAAGGAGCTCGGGTAGGAAAGAACCGTCACTTCTTTGAGCCATCCGTGGGCTCCATCGGCGGCGGGATAGAGGCATGGCGAGGATTCTACGCCTCTGTCCGTCCGGTTTGGAAGAGCATGATGGTCAACATCAATGTATGCATGACTGCATTCGTCGAGAGTAAGAATATGGCTACGGCTATCAGCGATTTTCAGAAAGGATCGCGCGGTGCAATTCCAGACCTAGGAAAGATGTTTGGCAAGAGCGTCATTCGGATCAAAACGCTCCATCTTGGATATCGCAAGCCAGTTCGCGGGATTATGGATAAGAAACCCAGTCAGCAGACGTTTCCTTGCGCAGAGCTGGGAGGCACAGTGACAGTGGCGGAATACTTTCGACGGAGTAAGTGCCATATATCCCTCGTGAGCTTCACTTATCTTTCATCAGAGTATCCCGACCACCCAATCAAGTATCCAGATTTGCCTCTGCTCGATATTGGCAGCGACAAGCGGCCCAACTACATCCCCGCCGAATTTTGCGAAATAGTGAAGGGACAGCCGTTTCGCGGGCGACTTAACGATCGACAGACGTCGGACATGCTACGTGTCGCTTGTCAGAACCCACAACGAAACTCGGAGCTGATCCGCGGCGAAGGATTCCTCAACCTGGCTCTCAACGCCGCATGACACAATGAAGAGCTTCGGTATCACTATTGACCAACAAATGACCGTTGTCCCTGCTCGTGTCCTCCCACCACCTGGTATCAGCTACGCAGGTGGCCGGCCCCCACGCGTCAACGACGGCTCATGGAACATCCTAGATGTCAAGTTTCATCGTGGAGGTAACATGGGCCGATGGGCAGTATTGATCGTACGCGAGAAGAGTCGACCTGGACCGTGGACTGGTCCAAATGATCCTCAAATGTGGGAGTTCATCAACCGCTTTGCTCAAAAGTGTCGCACCGTGGGAATGGTGTTATCACCAGAGAGGCCGGCAGTTGTTCCAACACAGGAGCTAGACCCTCCCGGCGGTCGAGATCCATCCAGAACTGCTGCGGTGGCGGAGATTAAACGAGTGCTGACCCTACTCATCAACGCCAACCCACGACCTTCGTTCGTCCTCGTCCTCTTGAACAACAGGGATAACTATATCTACCCAGGGATCAAACGAATCGGCGATGTAGAGCTGGGAATTCACACCGTGTGTATGCAGCTTGACAAGGCGTCGGGTAGAGGCGATGCGAATAAGCAAGACCAGTACTTCTCCAACGTTGCGCTCAAGGTCAATACCAAGCTTGGTGGCATCAACCACAAACTCGACGCGAATAGCATGCGGTGGCTCACGGAGAAGCGCACCATGGTCGTCGGGGCAGACGTTACACACCGTAGGTTTTCGTTTTGATTCTACGATGCTTACTAACTGTGGCGATAGCCGGACCAACCAGCGCGGATGGGACCCCTTCTCTGGCGGCAGTCGTTGCGAGTATAGACAATGACTTTGTCCATTTCCCTGCAAGCATGGAATTGCAAGAGTCAAAGAAAGAGGTAAGCCTTGTAATGAGTAGCATGAATATAACTCACCTTGTTGTAGATGATTGAGAAATTTACAGAGATGATGGTCGAGCGCTTGCTTCTCTGGCAACAACGAAACAAAGGGTTACCCGAAAGGGTCCTCCTTTTCCGCGATGGCGTGTCCGAAGGCCAATTCGACCTTGTGCTCGAGAACGAGTTGCCGCAGATTCAAGAAGCGTTCCGCCAGGTATACGAATCGTCGCAGAACAAGGGCGCTAAGAAGCCGCAGCTGATGATTTGCATCTGCGGTAAACGTCATCATGCCAGGTTCTATCCGACCGACAGTGCCAACGCAACGAAGAACGGAAATACCAAGCCTGGCACGATCGTCGACAAAGGTGTCGGGGACGTCTATCGCTTTGACTTTTATCTACAAGCGCGTAAGTGCACCACATGGGTGAAGTAGCCAGCGTGTACTGACCTCTTGGATAGACGCAGGTCTTCAAGGAACAGTCAAGGCCACCCATTACACCGTGGTTTACGACGAAATCGGCTTTACCGCAGATATGCTCCAGCAAGGCACACATACATCCAGCTATGCCTACGTCCGGGCGACTAAGGCTGTTAGCCTCTGCCCACCTGCGTATTACAGCGATCTCGCGTGCGAGCGAGGAAGACTTTATCTCAATGACTTGTTCAATCTCGGAGCCGAAAAAACGGGCGCCATACGCGGGGGTAAAAGGGACAAGGACGCTGCAAAGAAGCAAGTCTTCGATCGCTGCATCGCGGCCTGGGGAACTGGAATCCACCCAAATGTCAAGAATTCGATGTTTTACATTTGAGGTGGAACGTGATACGAGATTCCGTCATATTATAGTCTGCTGGAGATTCGTCAGTGCTCCATGATATTATAGTTGACCAGGTTACACACCAGCTAGTCTACAAAGCAAATTGAGCTCAAGCAGTGTTGCGCAAAACTACAAAGGAGTAAGATCAGTTGATTTAGCTGACAGAAAGCGTACCTAAGATCACGGAGTCGCCCCTTTAGATCGAACAGTTAGTGGATGTAGCAGTCCAACAAGCAAAACGCTTACCTGAGGAACATTTTGCTGATGAAACGGTCCTTGTTGACGGGCTTTTTATTTTTTCCGCTAGGCGTTTCTGTCCACATCTAGAATCGGTGAGTAAGAGTGTATACAGCTCAAGTGGTACGTGACACCTCTTTGACGTTCTCCAACACCTAGCAAATATCAGCAAAACGCGCCTTTGCGTGAACAAACTCACCATGTTACTGTGGCGATCAAACGCTTTGACTCGAGCCAAAAGTTTTCTATTGTTTCTGAGCGAAATGAGAATCTGGGTGTGGTTGCGGACGGATTGCTGGAGGACGCTCAGAGGCCCCTGACTGATCTCGTGCTCCTCCAAAGCGCGAATTTGGGCCTCGTCGAGCTCAGATTTGTTGACGTGCTGATACTGGCTTTGTAAATGAGTGGTTAGCACGCGTAAACGGGCCCTTTAAGTGAAATACCTCATCGTGGTTTCAGTCGACGCTTTGATGCCACTCATCTCCGTCACTCATCCCACTCTCAAATCTGCGAGGAAACTGCTTATTCATACTTGTCCAATTATCTAAAAAGACGGGACATCAGCGAGCAAAAGTGGCCAACGTCCGAAAACCGTTCTTACTCTCCACCGCTTCAAGTCGCCATGAGCGACGCGTCGTCCGCCCAAGTTCAAGCGTCAACAACAGATTCAACAACTTCAAGAACAGCTACAAATACATTTGACCACTCTCACGCATCATCCTCCCTCCTCTCACCTCCAGAGTCGCCGTCGGGAGCTCAGGAGATCTCCTATTTTTCCCAGAAATCGCCTCTACCACCACCTGCAACCAGTTCTGAATCCATTCATGCGCCATCCAAGTCCCCAAAGTCGCCCGGTGGCCCATGCTACACCAGAGACGAACTGGTGTACCTCAAGAAGAGCCCGCTTGTAGCTGCCCCGCCAGGTATGCCATCGCGCAAAGAATGGTTTGGGTGTGTTCTTTTATATGCGCAGATGCGTGAGGGGGCTCATTTCATGTTGTAGCGAGGCCAACGAACAGCTCAGCAAACCAAGGGATCACGACAGCCTCACGGCGACTAGGATGCGGTACGAGCATGTTTGATGAGCAAAAATAGATCCTTGCTGATATTGGAGTAGACATAGGCGAGATCCTGAAGGTGATGATCCATCTCGAGCATCCGGTGGGTCTCCTTTTACCAAGGACTCTATACCCTCTTAGCCCGGTGCTGTCACTCTCTCGTATAGAGACATCTAGAAGCACGCTTTTTAGATTGCTTGGCATTTTTGGGCCAGTCCTGCCTTGCCTGCTCAGCTCCACTTGCCCGCGGTGTCCTCGACGGAAACTATTTACTGACCACCCCTTGAATCACTAGACTCTTCGCGATCACTGTTCAAGTCTGGTCCTGCTCAACCTTCGCAAATGGGATCCTTCCGGCATCAGTCGTACCGAGATCGCAACACCGACATCGACAAGGATACTGCCAGCTTGAAATCGGTCAGTTTCACCCCTGTGATCATTTATCATTTTGACCTCTTCCCAGATGGCAGAACGCTACGACCGTGGAGATCGCCTTGGCCCTCAGTCTCCAGGAATTGCAGGCTTTACTGGCAGAGTCAAGGACAGAGAGACTGCACCGCATTTCAACGGCAGCGTTGCACGCATTGGCCCTGCTCCCCGAAGAACAGAAGGTAGGGAAACGGGTCGTCGAAAACCCGGAGATGAGGCGAGTGATTGGCGCAAAAGTAAGCAACATCTAGTTTATGCCGCATATAAGTGCTTATTCTTGCATCAGACGCAGATCCTGCACGTGAACGGACGGAAGCTCGGGAGTCGACTCGTACCGGTCGTGAACGGGACAGTTCCAGGGCAGCAGGTGACGATACCGCTAGCGAAAGAAAACGACGAGATCGTTCTAGAGCAGCTGAAGAGGACTCTCGACGATGGAAAGATGAGAATGGCACCGGTCGACCGGAAAAGGAGCGCAAAGGTCGCGAGCCGTCCACCGTCCGAGACGAGCGTGAGACAAATCGTAATGGACGCAAACGCGGGGAAGAGGATGAACGAGCAGAGGCTAATCGTAAACGTAGAGAAGAGAGAGATAAGGAAACTCCAGCGTGGTTTGAAGACGACGCTCCAAGCGGAGCGGCCAAAGGCATTGTAGGAGCCAGGGTCGGGGACGAACTTGACGAGCTACAAAAATGGAAGTTGGAGAAAAAGGCAAAGGAGGAAGCAAAGGAACGGGAAGCCAATGCAGCAGCCAACGTGGCATCGACTGCTCAAGACCAAGATCATGGCGCAGACACAACCTCACCACCTTCAGAAGAACACAAAACGCCTCGCCCGGCGAAGAATCGAGGGGATCTGTTACCTGCGCCAGCTCCTCCACTGCCGCAGCAAACCACCGACATTTCTGGTGCTGCCAGCCCCCTTGATCAAATCAAGGCCATGATGGGTATGACCAACGGTGAATCCCAGAATCACGACGATTCCATCACGTTCGGCACAAGCATCTCCAACGAACCATCAGCGGCCCTTCCGGCCTTCTTCACAATCCCGAATGATGCCCCTTCTCGACAGCCACCGTCAACGGCCACCAGCAACCCTACCTTCGTCGCCCAACCCCTTAACGAAGAGTCTCGCAGGACAGGTGAGCTCATCGCTTGCCTAGCTAAGACATTCTCTAACGCCAGCAAAGTTGAATACGACGCACCTACCAAGTCACGGCATGCGTTTGCCCAACCCAAAGCTCAACCTTCGCCATCACCGGTTGATGGCATGAGCTTTAGCTCTCCTATGACTGGAGAGCGAGCAGGCATTCCTGGAGCGCCTGGCCTCGGAGCACCCCCAGGTCTCCGTCAGCTCCAATCCGTTGAGCCATCTCAGCGTACAAGAAATGTCAGCGATGCTTCCCAACAATTACCAGGTCAAGCTCGGAATGGACCAGGTGTGGTTCTGCCTTTGGGTATCAACAACGCCACAGATCCCACGTTTGCAAACCGACCGATGCCTCCTCATATGAACATTGGCGGTCCATTGCTCCATCTCCCCGCCTCTGCTGGAGCCAATGCTGGTCCTCGAGATGGGAATGTCAATGTTCTCTCCGTCGTCTCACCTCAACCGCAGGCAGGGGCTGGTCCAATCAATGCAGTTGGTGGGCAAGGCATGGTTCCTCGTGTACAAACCGAATCTCCCCAACAAAACCTGTTGGCACGACTTGGCATTCTTGGTGGTGGTCAGGACCGAAAGCCATCGCCAAAGATGGCCGAACCTGGATACGACCGTGGAATGGTGCCAGGAGATGTGCGAATGCCGATGCCTCAGCAGCATTATGGTGCCGGTCCTCCTGGATTCGGACGAGACCCATACGCATCGCCCGCAACGGATAGATTCGATCCCAACGAGGCTCGCTACGGCATGGGTCATGCGTCCACAAGTTCGACGTCGTCGTCAACCTTTTCCCCTTCGCCAGTCGCGGGCAACAATCCATCCATGGTGCTCTCTGCAAAGGGTAGTCGGCTCGCCAAGTTCTTTGACAATCCACGTGGAGACGATATAAGTCCATCAGCTGCCATGCACGGTCCGGGTTCGAATGTGATGCCGCCTCCAGGTCACCAGAATCGCAATGGTATCGTCACGCCACCGCAATTTGATAATAGCAAGAACCAGGGAATGCCAGATCTGCTCGCGCTACTTCAAGGAGCGCAGCCACAAGGAAATCAGCAACCTGTAAGTGGTTTTTGTCCGTGCGCCGCCTTATGATCTTACCTTTTGTAGAATCGTATCAACAACGGTATGGATCCATCCATGGACCTTGCTATGCAGCGCCACCGTGAACTGGCTCTCCAGCAACAGCAGCTCCGAGAGAGAGAGGCCCGACAGCTCGATCCGCTCTACAATCAAAACGCCGACTTTTACGATAGCCGAGGTGCCTTTGTCGCGAACGACTTGGTCCCTGGTCTACGTCCGCCAATTCAACGACAAGAGCGCGACTTGTACAACTCTGACCGTCTCGATGAGCGATTGAACTACGCCGCCCATGGTCGTGTTCCAGGCGTTCCTGGAGGGTACGACCAGATGATGCGCAATATGAGTGGGGGTCCTGCTCCTCGTGCTAATCCTGGGATGTACCCGGGAATGGGTAATGCGCCACCAGGCTTGGCTGGACATCTGGCTGCCGAAATTCTTCAGCAGCAACAACTCCAGCAACGAGAGCGTCAACGTCAGCAGCAACAGCAAAGGGAACTTGAGCGGCAACAGCTCCTGGCAATGCAAGCGAACGCACTCAATAGCCGAGGGTTGAGTGGAAACATTATCCCTCAGCTTGCACCTCGCCAATCCCCCGTTGATCAGTATGCGAGAAGTGGTGGAAGAGCACCTATCAATGAGATCCCCGTTCAACAATTCGGCTACAATGGTCTAGGTGGAGGAGCCCTCGGTAATGTCCCAGGAAACCTTGGAGGCCTTAATGGTAATGCGGGCTATAATGGTCTCAACGGGGTCTCGAATGGCTTCGATAGCCCTCTCCGTCAACAACAACAGCAGATGAACATGCCTCAACGTCAGCTTGGTATGGGTTATGGTGGCGTTGGAGGTATCGAGGCCCGGTACGCTCAACAGCAGGCGCAACTCCACGCCACACAGGGGCACAACCAAGGTTCTGGGTCCTCTAGCGACCTTATGGCCCTCCTTCTCGCCGGAAATCTAGGTGGTCAGCAGAACTAGAGGCCTCGCCGGGTTACATTCACAACAAGTCTCGTGTAGTCCTCGTTTGAAACCTCGCTCCCGAGAATTCCTTTCTATCTCTATTCCATCGGACCTCTTCCCTCTCGCTTGTTCCAAACTCCAGATTTGGGTCTGCATTCTTCTTGGCGTCTCCCTCTGTCATCCGTGGTCCTTGTCTCCTTCCCTCTAGCATCCAATGTCTCCATGTGTCATGTTCTGTGCACTGTTCAACTCTAGCTACGCCTGCAGTGACCATTCAATCCTCACATTGTTCCACCTTCGCCGACGTCCATTAGCTCTTCTTACTCCTTTGTTGATATTAAGTACTCTAACGATGCTGAATGTTGCCTTACAACGTTCATCACCTCCTTTCGGTTCAGTGTTCCGTTATTCTCAGCGATACCAGCTTGTCAGTTCTCAAGTCGGAAGGATGCTAGAGTAGGACACGATTGATTTGCAATTATATCTCGACTACAGGAAAGTAGCGTGCCAGGAACATTATCAAATTCGATACTTTTAGGATAGAGAGAGTGAGCATCACTGTCCTCTCATCTCCTACTTTTACATCCACGACAGTTGATCATGCTGGAATAGGCTCGGGAATAATGCCAATGGATTGCATGATGAGGTGGACTGGTTGGCAATGATTTGCAATGGGAGTAGATCCCTGTGCGTAGTAGATGTCGCGACGATGCGCTGGACCGGGCGTGCCGATGAACGAACAGACGGAAAAGTTTTCGGCGTCTCCGTTGACGGCAAGGTAACCAGGCAAACCGCCGCCGGTGGACGAGCTACGCTATAAAACGAATGAGTGCAAGGAGCTAATGTATGCTTGGAAGACTTACCACCGCACAGTAGCTCGCAAACTTGACAAGAGTGTCTGATGGACCGGTCACAAAGTTGACTTTACCTTGTGTCAATGGCATATTAACAGTTGTTACATCGTCATCGACGGCGAAGAAGACTGGCGTGAGGACAGAGTCATTGAGGGTCCAGTAGGCAGGAGCATCGCCGCATGATTCGCAAGTCTGTTATGGATTTGGTCAAGCTTGGAAGGACGTTGGTGAAGAGAACACACCGTCATTGTGGATATAGTATTCTTGTTGGAATCCACGCCCGTCTTGACAAGGCGAACAAGCTGCGAGTCAGAGGAACCGCCGGTAGCAGCGTAGAGTCTGAAAGGACCATAACTGGTCACTCCACAAGAACGAGAGGGAACCGGAGAGCCAAGTGCGACGAGGATAGAGAAAGCAAGGATGAAGAGTGCTGAGAACATTTTGGTTATAGGCAAGCGCTATAGATTGGATGGAAGCTGAAGGACGCGAGATGAAGATGGAGTGGATTCGGCGCCGCGAATCTGCCTTATATGTGTCCTCAGCTTCAAGATCCGTGAGGTGCTGAACAAGTCAAAGCCCACACATGATGCAGCCGTGGAAGTTTCCGGAGTAGAATAATGAAATGGAAGGGCACGAAATAGACATGTTGAGATGAAGCGTTTATGTTTTGCGCATGGGCATGATCCGCAAAATTCAGTCCTTAACGTGAAGGAAGGTTCCCATCTCCGTGAGAAACATGAAGCCTCGTTCCGCACATCGGAGGCTGCATCGATCTGGGGTGTCCACCGAATTTTTGAGGAGCAAGAAAGTGATCCTGACACGTGCTTTGGCATCGTTGATGCCGGGTCTTCTGGGATGTTATTGATCGTGAGTAAGTCTGCCGTGATCTGTACCCTCTTCGCGCCAAGGAGATGTGAGAGTTGGGTTATCTTGTGTTCATCTCTCCTCGTTAATCCGTCAATCAACCCTTCTGGATTTGGAAGCATTCCAAGGTTTGCACCGGGCGACAAGATGGAGACATCTCGAGATTCACAGAGTGTCATGAGTGACCTTGATACAATGTCCGGATCATGAAGTGTCCCGTCCAGCCGGAAGCGACGCGCTGCATGCGGAAACGATTTTGGAGCCGAGTTCTTCACAAGCAGAGAGGCGACGACACGTCAATGAAAAAAGAAAAATCCCGACGATCGTTGAAGGTTTGTTGAAAGGGGGCGGGCTTGACGAGAATTGGTGCTGATCGAGGAGTTGGTGGAGTCCAAGTTTTGTTCATTGTCGTATTATCACCCAAATTCGAAAATCTGGAATAGGAGAGTTGTCTTTGAAAACACTTCAGACGGAAGGCTCGGGGAGTGATGCCAATACTCGGAAAAGGCAGCTCAAAGTCGTTCCAGACGCTATCAAAGCGCTCTGGAGAGCATTCGGAGCCTGATAAAGGCGAATACTCACAAAGGTGGGGACTTCCCCCTCGAACTATGACAGAAGAGGCATCTTCCGAATGTAGCTTGCACCCTCATCCGCGGCTGGGCGATAGTAATGAATCCAGTGTAACTGATGCAATACAGAGGTGATATAGAGTCGATTGCGTCTCGTTGAATGGTGCATCTGGCCGGGACGGTCGTCGTGGTTCAAATGAGACATGCGGGTCGGTAGTAAGAGTGTGCTCGCTGTGTTGATATCTTTAATTCGAGCCGCTTACATCAAACTTGAGTTTCGAGGCCAATCATCATGGCCGGAGGAGACTTGAACCGCTTGTACGGGCTCTCTGTGCACTCCAGCAAGGTGTAAAATTGTTGCAGGACGTCTACCTGCCCAACGAAAACTCTCTTCCACCTCGAGGCTGTACGTATCCATACCGCGACTTCTATACGGATGGTCAGCGTAAAGTCACATTTGAATATAGCCGTCGCCTCAACCCCGCAAAGCTCTTCTTTCAATGCGTACGAAAGGAGGACCAGATACCACTCTGCGTCAAGTTTACACTCAAGTATGCGAAAGAGGCACACCAGGTGTGTAGCGATCAGGGAGTCGCACCAAAGCTCTACAGTGTCGAACGGCTTCCGGGAGGTTGGTGGATGGTCGTGATGGAATATCTCTCCGAGGAGGAATACACCATGCGGAGCTCGGTCGATGTCGACGTCGTCAAGTTCAAAGAGGCTATTAAGTGTGTCGTTGGTCTTTTGCATCGCAGCGGTTTTGTCCATGGCGACATTCGGGCTTGCAACATTATGATCCGTCGCGAGTGGGACGATGGCATTGGAATGAGGAACGTCAAACTGGTCGACTTCGATTGGGCTGGGAAAGACGGCGAGGCGAGGTATCCTGCAAATGTGAATTACGAGCAGATCGTGCGACCAAAGGATGCGAGGGATGGATTGCCTATTACAAAGGAGCACGACCTGGAGATGGTTGAAACCGCTGTGACCAACAACGAGTGGACAGGCAGATTCTGATGACCTGGGCGACAGGGACCTAACCGTTGTATCGATCTTGTAGTCTTCTTCCAATTATACAGTCACTCTATCTCATGCCGTTCGCTCGAGCACGCCTTCCACATCCCGGGGTCGAGTCGGATGGGTCGAAAGCCGCACGGGGGGGACTTGGACCTGACTACAACCAACCACCACACAATCACCACACCACCACCACCGACGCTCAGCGGGGGCCTCCGTCCCTGACCCCCCCCCAGCTGAACATAATGTGTCGTCAACAACTCAACTAGACCCCCCAAGTACAACGCAAGGCAACCATCCCATTACACCCTGACAAGCAGTAGCCAATCTCACTGCCCCCACCCGTTCGTTCGACATCCCATCTGGTTTCGATGGAACTCACGATACGCAAAGGATATCACCACGAACGAAACATCCCTGCCTACTCTCATCACCTGCACGTCAGAGCGCGTACTCTAGACCCGCAGACCCTTAGCACCCTTACGTAGCCCCTTGTCTGTAAAGATCGCGCCTGATTCCATGTAGTACCTGCTAGCGAGGGCAAATAAGATTTCTCTCTCTCTCTCTCAATGCTCGAGCAAAGTCCTCTATAGCTTAATCAGCGCTCGGACAAGCGTACAGAAAGATCGACTCGCTTTGTTTGTATCTGAGAGTTCAACCCAGCACGAGTAGAAAGCGGCGTTGAGAGCTCGGTGGCTTGTACAATGCGAACATCGAGGGATCTTGCGCGTGAAGAATCGAAGATTTTCTAGCATATCTTGTCAACCGAATCCTACACCAACTTGTACATGCAGGATCATCCATGTCAGCAAAGAAGATACAACTCAGAGTCAAGGAGATGAGGATCGATCACCAGAGAAGCCGAGAGTGTTGAAGGTTGTCCGCTGGCCAATACTGAGGAATTCCACTGAGTTGCAAGGATTTTTGGGACTCTGCGCAGGACTGAGACAGTGGATTGAAGGATATTCCAAAGTCGCACGTCCACTGAATCGCTTGCTCGTAAAGAGTGCACCGTGGATCTGGGGAGACGAGGAGCAGGATGCTCTTGACAAGTTGAAAGAGCTCGTTTCGGCATCTCCATATACACCCAATTCACAACCAGGGTGGGAGAGAAGTCATATTGGCTGTCGACTCGTCCTTCATCGCGGTGGGATGTATCCTGATGCAAGTTGATGGGAAAGGAAGAAAAAGACTAGTAATATATGGATCACTCACTTCAACGAATGAGAGTTTCGTTATTCCCAACCCGAGCTAGAAGTCTTTGGCCTGTTCAGGGAGCTGCGAGCAATGCGAAGATGGATTCAGGGACAGGATTTGACGAGATGGAATATATGAAGAAAGAGGACACCGAGGGACATTTGCAACTCCAAGGGTCACTGCTCGGCAGACATTGTGGCCTGGTGTCCATAAAGACGCTGCAATATTGGCACATGGCTATCACAAATGTCAGCGCTTCAGCGATAGACAAAACACCCTACCAGTACAACCAAGCTCACCTCATCAGCGATTCCAGAAATTTCTCGTCGAGGTGATGTTCACGCCGATATCGAAGCAAGAGACGAAGCGACAGGATACCCCGAAGGACCTTCACTTCGTACTGCCAGTGCAAAGACTGTCTCACTTTTCCCTTTCGAGGAGATCATATCGCGCTGGGGTGCCACCGAGGAGATTGTGACAATGCTCCAGAGTTCGGAGCTGCACTCGAAGACTTGACACGATATTACGGGGGTCAAAGTATCATAATCTCACCGTATAACTCGAGAGCACAAGGAATAGCCCTTGGGGTCATGTGCCACTCCTGCTGAAGGATCCCACAAAGTCCGTCCAGGCTGCTCTTTGGGTTGATCATGCAGCTGTTCGGAAGGCCACTGCGTTCTCGCCGTTCTCATCACCCTGCCGATTGAAGCGCACATCCTTGACGTTTGCAATGAATACACGTCCTATTTCCATGGAGCGCGATAGGAGAACGACTGAGACTACTGGATTGTCGAGATGTCGATGAAGAAGATGCATTACAGAGAATTGCAAAGTCGAGATGGGAGTACAAGGAACAATGCTCGAGCGCTGTAACCTACGACCTGGTCAGCTCGTGCTCGTACGAAACTCGGCAGTAGAGACTGATTTGGATCAAAAGCACAAGCCGCGATGGCTAAGCCCAATGAAGAGTCGTGAGGAAAAGGAGGATCGTATATCCTGGCCAAACTCGACGGTATCCAAATCGAGATTCGCTGCATCCCGAATCATCCCCTATCATCCACACAACGGTCTCACATTCTAAATGCGTATCAGACTTCATTAATCGCGATACGATCAAAGCACGGAGAGGAAATGAGGGATATAGAAAGTCATGGGGAAGAACGGGAGGAAGAGACGTACCCGATAACCCCGATCTTACATCCGAAGAGGAAGACGAAGGAGAAGTGTTGATGTAGCCTATTGATCGATTCGCTGGGACCCACGAGTCATCGGGCAACCACGGCCAGAGGATCATTTTGGGACACCTGATGCTGAAGATTGGCTTTCAGACAGTCTAATTCCGCGTGACAACCGCGTGACGATGAACCCACGCTACGCGTTGAACCAGTGACATCGAGGACTTGCACTCGCGGCTTTAGACAGGCTACTGACCAGTACAAGCGACGCATTTTTCCTTGGAGAGGGTGCTGAACTCGGAGCTCATGAAAGCATCGCCATCTCCCGAATTGCGGAGAATGGAGAAGTCGATTTCGAACATGGCCATGGAGCGGCAATCAAATCAGGCAAATGGCACGAGCGATAAAGCGTCTACCAACCGCTTAGTTTCCTATCTTGGGATTGAGTTGACTCTCACCTCATCCAGACCGACGCCGGATTGTGCAGATCATCCAACAGGAGCCACGGGTGCTTGACAGTCGAAGCACCAATGGTGGCAATGATGAACAATCCGACCCATTTGCAGCTGACCAACGGCACCGAGGGAGAGACCACAGATTCAGATTCACGCCCATGGACAGTAGGAGCCTTGGGTTGTGGTCGCCGTTGCAGAGGATGACCTAGAATAAGACGGGGAGACCATAGGTGACGAGGCCGATTTCAAAGATGATGAGGGCACTGCCGAGGAGGGAGGTGGATGCGGAGCAGTCGAATGCATTGGGGGACGAGGAGTACAATGAGGACGGGGAGCATTCGCATGAGGACATGGGGGACGGATTCTGGATATGCCATGCCGATTTCCTTCAAGTCAAGCATCCGGTGTCACGAGAAGTTTTGCGAGTGGCGGGTGAACCTCGAGATGGTATCACGTCTAGAACGAACCATTATCAGCGCATACACGCCGTAGCTTGACGGAGGGAAGCGTACCTTTACGTGTTTGCCCGCAGACTTTTTTATAATATGAACTTCGTCGAAAAGGACGCTGTTGGGTCTGGGTCTGCTGAGGCAGAATAGACGAATGAATCACGCGACGCGTAGAAAATCCAGCGGGATCTCCCCCCTCCAAGGCGCCCGCCAAGCCTACAGTGCCAGTCCCAAATGTCGCTGGCCGTGCCGCTCACGCTTGAGGTTTCTAAACAGCTCTAATTTGCTGGGAATTTCAAAGGGCGTCGGTCAGAAAAGTGGAAAGTGCCTTGCAAGGCAGTTGTCCTGTGAGCCACCTAACGAGGGAGGTTCCAAGGGCTGGCGGTGGCCGCCCTCCTTCGAATGGTCAACAAGAATCTCAGGATAGCCTCGTCGAGTTATTAATAAGCTAGTATAGTAGAGGACAATGACAGAGGGTAATCTTTGGCGAGATAACTGACTCCTTTATGTTCAATTCGTCACAAATTTCGACACCGATAACGCCGCTTTGCAAAAACATAGGATCACGTTCACCTGAGATTGCTCACGCGTTGTATGAGAAAGGTTATATATAGCGATAATGATAAAATGACGATAGTTCACTGGTTGATATTCCTTCGAACGTTAGTCCATGAGAGACCACATTGGAAATTCGTGAAATCGAGTTTGGTTGCACGGGTTGGACTCGACGTAGGCATAGTCAGACGAAGATCTTGATTTCGTAGTCCATAACGATTTTCCGGGGGTACCCAGAAGAGAAAGTTGCCAGATGATTGCACCCAGCCATCGTGCAACAGTGAGCACTGCGTGAACCCGGGTATCTGGATTTGTAGGCTATGTGCACCTGCACCTGAAAGTTATCAAGTCAGATACACAAGTAGGATAAAACCAAGGCCACACTTACCAGTATGCATATCCCATACCCTAACTGTTCCGTCATGTAAGCCAGAGACCCTCTGGGAGCCATCTGGGGATATTGTAGCCACATTGATTCCGTCTTTTAGTTGATCTGGAGGTGCCTCTCCCAACAGTTGACCAGTATCTGCGTCCCACAGTCGAATCGTCTTGTCATCCGAGCCAGAGACGATTCGTGAGCCGTCTGGCGAGAATCCGACGGCCCAGACCCCTCCTTCGTGACCTCGAAGTGGCTCTCCCAATGGCTGACCAGTGTCTGCGTCCCACAGTCGAATCGTCTTGTCATCCGAGCCAGAGACGATTCGTGAGCCGTCTGGCGAGAATCCGACGGCCCAGACCCAACTTTCGTGACCTCGAAGTGGCTCTCCCAATGGCTGACCAGTGTCTGCGTCCCACAGTCGAATCGTCTTGTCAGAAGAGCCAGAGACGATTCGTGAGCCGTCTGGCGAGAATCCGACGGCCCAGACCCCTCCTTCGTGACCTCGAAGTGGCTCTCCCAATGGCTGACCAGTGTCTGCGTCCCACAGTCGAATCGTCTTGTCAGAAGAGCCAGAGACGATTCGTGAGCCGTCTGGCGAGAATCCGACGGCCCAGACCCCTCCTTCGTGACCTCGAAGTGGCTCTCCCAATGGCTGACCAGTGTCTGCGTCCCACAGTCGAATCGTCTTGTCATCCGAGCCAGAGACGATTCGTGAGCCGTCTGGCGAGAATCCGACGGCCCAGACCCCTCCTTCGTGACCTCGAAGTGGCTCTCCCAATGGCTGACCAGTGTCTGCGTCCCACAGTCGAATCGTCTTGTCAAAAGAGCCAGAGACGATTCGTGAGCCGTCTGGCGAGAATCCGACGGCCAAGACCCTCCTTCGTGACCTCGAAGTGGCTCTCCCAATGGCTGACCAGTGTCTGCGTCCCACAGTCGAATCGTCTTGTCATCCGAGCCAGAGACGATTCGTGAGCCGTCTGGCGAGAATCCGACGGCGCAGACCCTCCTTCGTGACCTCGAAGTGGCTCTCCCAATGGCTGACCAGTGTCTGCGTCCCACAGTCGAATCGTCTTGTCAGAAGAGCCAGAGACGATTCGTGAGCCGTCTGGCGAGAATCCGACGGCCCAGACCCCTCCTTCGTGACCTCGAAGTGGCTCTCCCAATGGCTGACCAGTGTCTGCGTCCCACAGTCGAATCGTCTTGTCAGAAGAGCCAGAGACGATTCGTGAGCCGTCTGGCGAGAATCCGACGGCCCAGACCCCTCCTTCGTGACCTCGAAGTGGCTCTCCCAATGGCTGACCAGTGTCTGCGTCCCACAGTCGAATCGTCTTGTCATCCGAGCCAGAGACGATTCGTGAGCCGTCTGGCGAGAATCCGACGGCCCAGACCCAACTTTCGTGACCTCGAAGTGGCTCTCCCAATGGCTGACCAGTGTCTGCGTCCCACAGTCGAATCGTCTTGTCATCCGAGCCAGAGACGATTCGTGAGCCGTCTGGCGAGAATCCGACGGCCCGGACCCAATCTTCGTGACCTCGAAGTGGCTCTCCCAATGGCTGACCAGTGTCTGCGTCCCACAGTCGAATCGTCTTGTCATCCGAGCCAGAGACGATTCGTGAGCCGTCTGGCGAGAATCCGACGGCCCGGACAGGTCCTTCGTGACCTCGAAGTGGCTCTCCCAATGGCTGACCAGTGTCTGCGTCCCACAGTCGAATCGTCCAGTCATCCGAGCCAGAGACAATTCGTGACCCATCTGGCGAGGTTCCGACGGCGTTCACCTGATCTTCATGACCTCGGAGAGTTCTGGGGAGGTCCGGATATGTCTCTTCTACCCCCCGGATCACCCTCAGAGTACTTCCGTATCTTCTTACCCTCTCCTTATGCAGCATTGACTTCCTGGGAGTGAATGCAAGTGCCGAGACGTATATGTGTGTAGCACTGTCCTGGATCGGCACCGAAAATGCCATTAGAAATCGTCGAATCTCCGTCATCCTGCCCTTATTCTCCTTTTCAATCTGTTTCCTGTGTCAAACAATAGAATACATATCCAGATAAGCCACTCACTCCAAGGTGGTGTGTGATAGCTCGAAGTCCTGCTATCGCCCGTGGCACTCCTCCAATCAGGCTCAGAACCTCCGCCCAGTATAGAACATATGACCCCTCTATAATCTGTTCCAGTTCTTTCTTGAGTGTACGTTGCCAGTTGTCATCTGTCCCGGCCAAATGGAACAGCCAGTGCGAGCTGGCATATCGAAGTCTCCTTGGAATGAACTTGGACACCCTGAAGTCCAGGTCGGGGATCTGTCTGTTAAGGAGGAAAGATGACTCGATTTGACATATGTTGAACTTGAGACCTTCTGTTCGCGATTTGAGGTTTCTGAAACACCATGATGCGGCTTGACCGTGTGCATTGGCGAGATTGAGATACATTCTATCACCGTTATCGGTGGCTGGAGCAATGGTGCAGCGTCGCAAGTACTCCACGAACGTAGGGTGCCGAAATTGGATCAGATGCGAATTCACATCCACGCTGAGGACGCTTCCTAGATTCTGCAACAACGCCTTAGAAGTTCCCCGCACTCTCGCATGCTTCAGCAGATCGTCCAGGTCATCGACAGTCAGTGGCTCATATGCAGCGAGCAGCAGCGCCAGCGTCGCACACATCACCGTGTAGTAGGTGGGGTCTGTGCGCTCAAAGACGAGGCGGTATACGTCGTCTATGGCCCCTGGTTGATCCATAGAAATCAGATGGTCATATGTGTCATTGGGCGAGCTCCAGCTGGTTTCGCTCGTGAGCATTCGGCATGCAGTGCTCGCCCAGATGAACAGTCCGTTGGCCTTTTCGACCAATCGTTGCCTCCTATCCTGGGAGAGAAGTCGATACAACGACTGATGGACATAGACCCCAATGTCGTCGATATTATCCGAATGGTTGGGATCGTGCAGCCGGTCTTCTAGCTTTTCTTTGATCGAAAGCTCTTTCAGGACTGCTTCGATGACAGGATCCGGTCGACTCGTCATGAAGATCTTGAGATTCTTGCTCTCTCGAACACCCTTAGCAAGGGTCTCCACAAGTTCTCTTCGCTGTGATCCTGACTTGCATTCGTCGATGGCGTCGATGACGATGATCACGCGCTTATCTAGGTGGTTGAGTGGACGAGCGATGAGCGTGCTGAACTGCTCGCCGAGCGAACTTCGCGTGATGGCTGGACTTCGCTTCACAGCGTCGGCGATGTGTGGCGAAAGAGCGGGTATATGGTGTGCGAGTTCCCTGGATATGGTCGAGCATAGCTTTTCTGTATTCGATGCTTCGGCGCTGGCCATCGAGAAGAAGAACTGGGCCCCCAGTGTTCCCTCGGCTCGCCACGATGCCGCTGCGGACATGGCCACTGACGATTTGCCAGAGCCAGCTATGTCGCATAACCAAAATATCGGCTTTCCCAACATGTCATCCACTGCCCAATACCGGATCTTGTCGAGAACAGCCTGACGGGTTCCTTGCAAACAGGGAGCATGGACCGAGGACGCGACAAACGCGGCCATGGGTAGCTGGAGGATAGCAGCGGTGTCGACTAGAAAGATTGAGCCATGACTTCACACCCAACTCTTGCTTACTATCGGAAAGGATTGTTTCCACTTTGGATTTGGTCACCTCTGTATTGGCCTCCATGCTGGCCATGACCGCGTACAGTTTGGCCTTGGTGGCCTCGATCTTCCGCTCGATCACTTGAATACGATATGCAGTAAAGAGGCTTAATTGGTCCTGCGCCTACGGTGAGACCACGAATAGGGTTGACGAAGTTCATACCAGTAGCTGCCTGTGGCGATCTTCGATATCACGATTGAACTTGCGAATCAATCCGGCATCCAATTTGACTTTGCCTATTCCAGACAATGAAGCAAAGGCGCTCCGGCTTCGTTTATGCCTGTGATGCGCCACTGTCTCTTGAAAACTCTCCAGCAGCCTGAACCAGTTAGTATATAGAAGAAGGACCAGAACCCACACCCACTCTACATAGTGAATCAGCGGTTGCCTGAATGCCTCGTCAACGACCCTCTCGTCTGCGGGATACTTTTCGAACGAGTCGATTTGATTGTCGATCGCGAACATGTATTCCTCCAGACGCCGTGTCAGATCATCCCAGTCTTCTTGGTTGTCTTCGACAGTCTATCGTTGTTCGTTAGTTGCGAGAATGACATTCTCGTTTAACTGACTTGGAGGACATCGAGAATGGATTTGGTGGCTTTACAGGCAGCCTTGAGAGGAGAAAGTATATCTGATGCCTCGGCTACATTTGCCACAAAGTCGAGACCGGTGCTGGCCGTGTTGTAGACTTGACCCCTCTTGCGTGACGGGAGATTTGCAGAAGACGACGAGTCTTGAGGATTCATGCTCGTATTGATGGATATGTTGACTTTGAGATGATGCTATGGACGTGGAAGAGTCCAAGATGGGTCGGCGTCTGCCATTCTCCACGGCAGGCTATGTGCCAGATACACGAGGCGAAGGGCCAGCACGACATTGAATTTGATAGTACACTGGTTGAGTACAAAACCAAATATGGAAATGGTCAGTGAGTATCGGTGACTGTGTTGGATGGTCAATAAGTCGACAATTGTATGTAGTCCATAATGTCTCAAGAGTAGCTTATGCGACGCAGTGCTGCCTGAAGTAAACGATGACTACCTGCGTATATGATCCATTGGCAGAGTCTACACTTTGTCTGTCACCACGTCAACTTGGCCCAAACCAACTCCGCTGCTTGGCACTGTTTGTTGCTGGATAAACTATCTACGACGGCACAACTTTTACCAGCACCAAGAGTCATCCATGTCGGCACCCTCGACGCCGTCATTCTCCAAAAAGAGCCCACAGAGTGGCGTCCACCATCCACTTGAGGTGACGAGGCTGGAGTAAATAACGCAGCTTGATACGCAGGAGGGACCATTGTCAATTGGAAGAGTTGCCGCTTGTTCCTTACAACAAAGATAGACTATCCTGACAGGTAGTTGGCTTTATCCACCGTGAATTGTGTGGGAAGTCGAAGAATTGTTATTCATTCTATGTTATATAAAAGGGCTTAGAAATCAGTATACTTTCCCATGATACTGGAACACTCTACCAAGATTGAGACGGCGAATAACATCCATCATTCGGAGCGAAGCACACGGCTTGTTGCGGTGAAAGTTGACCATTGACCACCACAACTACCACAGTTTCGTCGCTCTCTAGAGACCGAGAAGAAGCAGAATCCTGGAAAAGGAGACTCTGGGAATACGGGTTAATAACCTTGTGAGACTCGAGACTCGACCGACGATTAATCGGGCTCGCTGACCGGCACGGATCCGTACTCTAAAGAGACCGGGACGAGTTCTCCGTCTCTGGAAGCTTTCAATCTCATCTCGACAAGTAGAATGGCGAGCTCCGCATCGTGGGCGGCCCGCGCTGCCGGGCTCGGGAAAACCAAGACTTCGAGATTATCAGCAGACCACCTATAAGAGACAGTTTCCTCAACTCGTAACAACTTGTTCTCCTCTCCATCCATCTATCCTTCTTTACAGTCCACCATGAGCGACCTTCGCAAGCTCAACGTCTTGATGTGTATGTCTCTCTCCTATCTCCTCGGTGGCGAGCACTAACTAGGCCATCTGATAGGCGGTACCGTGCGTTTAGCTCTCAAGAGGTCATAGAACTTGTCTGATCCATAGTAGGGCGAGTACACCACCGGATACAACGACGCTGGCGCGAGTCAGTCCGACAAAAAGGTCGGCGTCGTCGGATTGACGCTCTTTGACCTTCGGAGGCGCGGTCTCGTAGATCAACTTGGTATGGTCGGCGTCAACGGCAAGAAATTCCCTGCCATCCGCAAGCATCTCGAGAAAAGATTGCGGGTGTCTACAAGGATATGGACATCAAGTTTGTCCTCTTCATTTGTCTAATATTGTTTCTAATCCTGTTCAGCTTTACATCCTATCCGGACAACGAGAGCGTCGATCCAAATGCCTGTGAGCCATTCCGGGTGGTGGCTCTGTAAAGTTGTGCTAAGATCATATAGACAAAGCGGCTATCGACGCGCTTTCTCCTGGTGATGCGGTGATCATCTTTACACCAGACCCATCGCACTACCCAATCGCCAAGTATGCGCTCGAACGCAAGATTCACGTCCTCGTCACCAAGCCAGCGACCCAACTTCTTGAACATCATCAGGAATTGATTGAACTTGCTGATAAGAACGGTTTGGTCTGCTGGGTCGAGCATCATAAGCGCGTACGTTGCCTCCTTTTCAGCAATTCGGGACCAAAATCTCAACTATATGGTTCTAGTATGATCCTGCATACTCTGATGCACGTGGACGCGCCGCTCAATTGGGCGAATTCAACTTCTTCAGCGCGTGGATGTCTCAACCCAAGTCGCAGCTCATCACCTTTAGAGGATGGGCAGGAAAGGATTCCGACATTTCCTATTACCTCAGCTCGCATCATATCGATATTTGCTGCTGGATGCTCCAGGGCAAGGCCGTTCCAACACGAGTTGTTGCATCGGCTGCAACGGGAATTGCGACCAGCGAGCCATATAATTGTGTACCACAAACAGAGGACACCATTACGCTTCTTGTCGATTGGCAGTCCCTGACCTCGAAGACACATCGGGGAACGGCGGTGTATACTGCATCCTGGACGGCTCCTATCGGTACGCACGCCTCGACTTCTTTGGATAGCAGAGGTTGACGATTTACAGGCGCTGGGATCCACTCGAAGCAACACTTCTATTACATGGCCGAAAAGGGCGAGATCAACATTGACCAAGCCCACCGTGGGTACGACGTTGTCGTCGACGGTCAGGGCATCTCATGGTTCAATCCGTTTTACATGAAGTATACGCCTTCTGAGTCGGGTCACTTCGATGGTCAACGCGGTTATGGATACATTTCGATTGAGAAATTTGTCGAGGCGTCTCGAGAGGTCAATGCTGGAAAAGCCAAGGCTGGTGACTTTGACACGCAAGGTTTCCCGACTGTGCGGAATACGATTTTGACAACGGCAATCTTGCACGCGGGCAGAATCTCGCTTGACGAAAAGAGGCCGGTGACGATCAAAACGGTCGATAACAAGTGGATTCTGGAGTAGATGAGTTGAAGCTGGATGAGAATGTCCTTTACAAGTCGAGTGTATGCTATCGATAGAGAAGATGTCATTTGTCGAACCTGGAGACGAGTGGGGGCTCGGATGAGCTGATGTGGTTACCGCCGACCACGGGACCTGACAACGCCGACGACGACGTGATTTGTGTATGATTCGAGAGGGTGCGCTACTTTACAGTCTAAATTGACCCACTCTCCAACCACGGTCCGCTCCTTCCCCGATGGATTGTGGAAAGGGAACTGGACCCGACTTCTTACCGGCATTACCCTTGGGCATCGTTACCGGAATGGTTGAAATAGCTGCAACAGTTGGGCGAGGACATCCTTCCTTCGTCCTCGTTCCCTTTCATCTTCATAGCCGGCATCGCTCTTTGAAAACTGCCGGTTTATTGCGCTTTGTTTTTGGACATTTCGGACTGGATTGTGGAATAAAAATTATCACTTTAGTGCGTCCTCAACGTTTTCTCCAACGGATCTACAATGTTGATCTTCCCCGCCCCAAAAGGTTTCCGCCTTTTCTCCTCATCTTCTCTGCAATATAGACAGAGATAAACTATTTCTGGATCGCATACATTGTTTCAAACTGCATTTTCTTTCCCCTCTGCTCATCCCTTGGTGGACCACGGACACAACGAAATTTCATCTGGAATAGCTCATTAGCTACGCTTGGGTCATATAAACTGGCCAAAGAATGTCTTCAAAATCAGTCTTGACAAATGCCATTGACCCAAGACTTATTCAATCCATCTTTGGTGGTCGCCCAACCCTCGCGCGCTTTATCAGTGTATCAGAAGCCATTTATGCTACGCGGTGCGTTCACCTGTTCATCTCACAATCACATCGTACTGAATATAGCACAGCGCATCCAATTATGCCTTGTTAACGCTCCTTGTATGGGATATGATCATTACATTCCCTCGTGAGGTACGTTTGATTCTATTCGAGTATGAGATGCTAAAGTGTGTTCTAGATCGAGGTAGTGTGGAAATCCAAATGGACAGTCGTCAAAGTACTCTTTCTCCTTAATCGATACGTCACACCTTGGTTCATGGCTGCGCATATTTGGGGTGAGCTCGCTTCGGATTGTCTGCTGGAGAGATATTGACGAGGCGTAGCACTTAGTGGACGCGCTGTTGGTCTCTCTGATAAAGTGAGTACTGATTGACGACTCGATATCGTACTAATGCATTACAGAGGTCTGACGAATCCGAGAGTAAACGCGTTGGCTAACCCGCGCAGTTGTAGAATAATCTACTCATTCTCTACAATCGCGGAGATCACTTGTATCTCGTCTGTTTCGCTTGTGACTGTGATGAGGTCGGTCCTTTCGCTGACGAGAGATGTGGTATCTAACGATGGGCAGGTTGTATACCCTATTCGAAGTATCCCATCGGACATTGTACATACTACTTGTGCTCTGGCTAGCCACTTTCATGGCAGCTGCGGCCCTCCTGATACCAAACGTCTGGGGTCCCATCGAGCGTACGTCCATACAAGATGCGATTGGGTCTAGCTGATTACAGCCTAGAGATCATTTACATCAAAAGTCTTAACTTCTGTTCCATTTCTGCACTTTCTTCTCCTTCAGCGTGGACTCTATGGATCCCTCGTGCCACCGAGCATGGACTCTTGTTCGTCTTTCTCATTGTAAACGCTATGGGTACACCGAGGTACGGTCTCTCACCCGATCAAAGTATCATACTCAAGGTCAATTAGAAAGTCTCAGACTAACGTCGTAGCCGTTCTTTACCGCCAAGGCATTGTCTACAATGCGATGACATTCATTCTGTTTCTTGGGATCTTATTGGTACGTCTTAAACATCTACCCTTTGTCTGTACTTATGAGGATACTGTAGTTTTGGAGATACGGAAACCGGTTGTACATCCCGCTGACGGCGTACAGTATTGGTCTTATCCTAACGCTGGTCACATCCCGCTTCTTCTTGGCGATCAATGCTCCGACAGTGTCCTCATTGAGGTATTCGCATGCTAGAACGCCGTTCAAGCAGGATGTCGACCCCAGGGACGGAGCACCATTCACGTATCCATCTTCTACGGTGGGCGATTGGATTCGCTCTCGTATCTCCCCTCCTGGAAACTTTCGGCAAAATTACAACAGGGACCCAGGGAATTTTCCAAGTAACTTGCCGCCGCCCCCATCGCCGACGGCAACGACACGAACATATGAGCCGTCAGAGATGGCGCGAACGATATCGATCGACGAAATTGATGCGGCGTCTCAGACGACGCGTGAGGCGCACATGGTGAGCGTGCACTGGACGTTTATCCGTCGTCGGGCGTGGTGGCTCGTCGGGGATCAATACCATGTGTCCACTGAAAATTTATCTGGAACGATAGAGGGAGAGAGGATTGGGCAAGGAGCGAGTGCGGCTGAAGGAAGAGGGACTAGGGGGACACGGGATGGGGAAAGTCGGTCGGATAGGTTTACATACTGGGTGTGACATACTCCAATAGGTATACCATTCATCTTGTACTGGTGACCTGCATATGCCACGGTCAATCAAAAGATGTTGACCCAGACGACGAACCATGTGCATCTGAATGGAACTAAATCGACAGTAGATGTCGCATCTTACAGGATTGAAATGCTTCTCACACCCCTAAAATGTGCCGATTTGAGGCATTTGGCCAATGAGCTGAACACTTCGCGCGTCAAATCCGCGGCACACACGTGAGAGAGGCCAAGAGCGCGTGAAAATGAACTACAACTCGGATAACAAGCAAGGAGTTGGATAGGCGGCATATGGAAGGATGGCAACGGGATGCCCGTCTGTCACCGGTCGACAATAACAACGTTCACCGCTCGTTGTCATCGTCGTTTTCATGTTGCTCCTCATAATCTTACATTGATTTATCCTTTTGCCTGCCCTTTTCTGCTTCTTCACCAGCTGGCCTGCTTTCATTCCAACTCACAAGACCACCCATTTGCGATTTGTCCTTCTTGAAGGACTATTGGAGATTTGAGGAGTATCCATTGGCAGTGTTTTCCCGGAGAGAGTTTTCGCTGTGGATGGCGCAGTGCTGATGGCGTCGATTGCCTTCCAGTTCACACAGCAGCTTGCCAAACAAGTCAGAGGAGATGCATTGCCCAAGGGGGATGTCATTAGCCGCGCTCGAAAGGACCGTCTCCCTTGTCCGAGCCACTCAGTGCGCCCTTCTCCCACTGCCGTATACCACCTGATGTCTCGTAGGAGTTTCAACTATGCCGCTATCACATTGCTCATCTACGACATGATTCTCACTATGCAGCAAGAAGTACGTTGATCGCTCAGCGAAGCTCAAGTCTTGACGCGGGCTAGATTGAGATCGTCTGGAGAGCAAGATGGACGGCTATCAAGTTTATCTATCTTATCAACAGATACATTACCCCCTTCTTCATGCTCGCTCACGTCTGGGGTTCGTCTTTCTTTCACCAGAGTGCCAAAGCTGACTTGAGCAGTCTTCAGTGGCAGAGCGTATGGGCTAACCGATACCGTGAGTTTTATCCAATCGAGTGTCGCAGCTTCTTATCTCTCTCTCTCAGTCTTGTCGTGTCATATACTCTGTCGCGGCCGTTGCCGAGATCTTTTCGGTCTCCTTCGTCTCGTTGGTGATCATCATCCGGTGCGTTCGCGACTCAACATAGAAGGCGCATATCTCAATCAATTATAGACTATATGCCGTCTACGAGCTCTCCAATCGCGCTTTCTACTCACTTCTCACCTATTGGCTTCTCACTTTTCTCGTCTTTACTGCGTTAACCATTCCAAATCTCTGGGCTCGTCTCGACAGCAAGTATGCCTTGTTTGTGACTGATTGTACTGACGATATTATAGAACTACGCTATGTGCGCTCAGTCAACGTGTGCACATTCAAGGTTGGTCCGACCTTTTGGACGATCCTGTTACCAACTGTGCTGGAACACGGCCTACTCTGTCTTTTCCTTGTTCACAACGCCATGTCGACACCCCGGTCGTCGCGGTCCGCCATGCTCGCGACGATTTACAAAGGCGGCATTCTGTACCACGCATTTACCTTTTGCGTTCTCTTGGTCACTCTCCTTGTAAGCACATTATCTTCCGTGGTCTACAATAGATGGATAATAACGGATTTATCATAGTTGTGGCGCTTCAAGGGATCGACAGTTATTGGATCGACTTCGTTCACCGTTGGCTTGTTCCTCACTATGGCTACGTCTCGACTCCTGCTCAATCTCAAGGATGCCGAATTCAAGCACCAATCCGTCCCTGTAGGCGGAGCAATGCAGCCTAACTCGGCATTCGTGCAAAAGGACAGAGCATTGACACGCAAAAAGCTAATGGCGATGGCCGCCTCCAATGATTTCAATCACGATCCCGCATCCTCACACGCATATGACGAAGCGGGCGGGCCTATGAAGATGCGAACACTTTCAGACTTGGACGATATATCGCTCTCTCATGCCCACCACGCACACAATCTCTCAAACTCGACAAACGCAAGCTCATCAACGACAGAAGGAGCATCTGGATTGAGCAAATGTATATTAAGCAGCGCGCGTGGTGGTTGCTCAGCTGTGAGTACGTGCCCACAGAGACGCGTATCTTCATCTCGCGCACGCACGAGTCGGATGAAGAATCCATACTCGAGGGAGCGCGAGAGGGGGAACGGGATGGGTATGAAGGAGATGGCGAGAGCAACGCGAGCATCCGGGAAAGGACGCAGAAGGGACAAGTGGTGGAATCCCGTCTAGGAAGATTTGATTATTGGCTTTGAGCAACGTTTGTGTATCATATTGTGTGCTCGCGGGTTCAAATTCTAACCTGCTTTCTTCTCTCATAATCAACCCGAGATGAGAACAACCGAGATGCGGCTCTGTGAGTATCTCCGCGCGGTTGGTGTATCCGTCTAAATTCCGTCCACTTCCACTTTGGGTACATGGTGACGAGCCGTCCGATAAACGGCAACCAATATTCGTCTCGTCTTGCTTATAATCCAGCGCCTCTACTCGCTACTAATGGCCCGGCAGATCACTCATCCTGCGTATATAATAAGCTTGATTCCACAAGTCAAAGGATTGTCAACACCCAGAATAGCCTTTCCGCTTGCAATTATTAGCTGGCCATTGACGTGCCGTTGCTGTTGCCAAGGTGAGTGGCCATCTTGTTCTCCTCCTCGACTTGGTATTTGCTCACTGCTGAGTTCTATCGCCCGGCGCGTCCTTCATTTATCGACTTGCACTCCTTTTACACGTCGCAAATTACTTCTACAACTTTTATTTGGATTATTCGCCTCAGCATGATCGCACCTCTTGCCAAGATTTCCGTCGTCGCCGCGTTGCTCTCAGTTGGAGTTTCCGCAGTACCTACCGTTGATACTCTACTTTCCCGAAGAGCTATTGCTGGTCTTTCGTACGTCGTCTGCGTAATTCTAATGCTCGTACTAACCTGCTTTCTAGTATCTCACAGTATGTGCAATTTCTAGAACACTCTCCATACTCATGAAATACAGAGAATGCGAGAATACGATCAAAAATCTTCTCAGCTCGCCCGCCGCCACTTGCATGAATCTACCAGGAACAGTCGCCATCATCTCCACCGTCGCAAACTCGTCCTGGATCCCACCAACAAACAAGTGGCTTAGCGATTTTTGCGGTGCGCCGGATTGCACTGGTGACCAGATCACTTCGACGCTCAATACGGTCATGGACGGCTGCGCCAACGACGTCGCACAATTGGGCGTTGCCATTCCAAGGGAGCAGATTATCTCGAATTCGGTTACGTACTTCCCGCAAGCCAAGTCCGCTCTGTGCCTTCGCGAGTATGTCCTCTTCGCATTCGTCGACACCAACTGATGAGTATGGTAGCTCGAGTAACAGCAACAAGCTTTGCGCAATCACAACACTCGAAAGCCTGCAAACGGCACTCGGTGGTGCGCCACTGACTCCCGCCGTGGTTCAAGAAAAGTACACGCTTTTGCTCGCAAACAACTACGCACTCGCCAAGCATATCGCTTGCACGCCATGTACGTCGGCGGCATTCGCACTGGTCCGACCCGCTCTGCCACAAAGCATTCTTGACACGGTCGATGGATTTGTCGGTAACCAATGCGGTGTCGACTTTACTTGTACGTGCATTTATCACCCAGAACAACCTTGGCAGGTGCTAAATATAGCGATTGTAGCTCAACCGACTGGAAGTATCGCCGTCGTGACCGGGACGGCAGCCCAACTCGCCGCTTCTGCAACGGCTAGTTCATCGCCTTCTGCCGGGTTCGCCTCGTTCTCGCTCAACCTACCCGTGGCTATTTTGGTTGGCGCGGCGTCGATCGCTTCGTTCCTCCTCTAGATTATAGACCACTCGGCACATCTTGACAAAGAAGAAATAGATACTTTTAGCTCATTAGAGCAGATGCCGTTACGACCTTGGACATTCTACCCTTGACAGCAGATGTATCGGATATATTCCGACGCTACAATATACATTTCATGTCGACGAATCGCCTGAGGTCCCTCGTTTATACAATTGATTAGACCATATTCGAAGGTTTACGCACAGATTTGCATATTCCTTGGCTGGAGGCTTGTCAGGAATGAAAGCCACGACTGCCAAACTTGTTTAATGCATTGCATCCTAGGATGCCCGTATTCTCACCATACCAACTTGATTACTAACGCGAATGTCGCACCAAATCTGGATGCACATGACAACGATCTTGGCTACCTCATCTTAGCGAGTGGCGTTTGGGTTCTTCGTTGGTCGCACTCGTGAGTACAAGTCGAGGAGAAATCCTGGGAAATCCAAGGATGTCTATTAATCAATCATTCGGAGTCGTTCAGCAGGTAATTCGTATCCATTTGTTATGTTCATTGGAATGTTCCTTCTAGCGCCGTTGTCAATTCTAATTGCGTTGTAACGTTCCGATTTAAATAAACTGTCTATAACGAATCATGACCAAGTGGGAAGAGGTTTGAACATTCACGTGCAGCCGCAACGTAACCCAGCCATGATTGCAGACGCCAGAGAATTGACATATAATGTGCATAAATAGCATGCAAGTAAACGAGCAGGTTTAGCCGCTCCGTGGGTGCTATCACGACTTGCAACAAACTTGCTGAGGTGGCACCTTGTCGATGTTCGAGATTGCCAGCTGCCGTCACAGGTCGGATAGAAAGCGATGGTCGATACTTTGTAGTCATTGTATACCAATGAATCATGGGTAGACTTCGTTCCTGTTCTGTGCCGCAGATTTTCCTACGCGACATCGATGATATGAAATATTTGATATGGTTGTTGAAAGAGTCGTAGCCAAATGCCGCCCAATGAAAATGGAAGTCCGAGGTAGTAGTGAAGTTCAAGTTACGTGAGACACATTCTACCCGAGAGCAATTGACCGGAGAAGCTCGTGCTTGACGTATAACTTACTAGGAATATCTAGTTCCCGAGAGTACGAGATGGAATTCAGCATGCTTGTGGACTGCATCGACGTACCCAGGCCACTTTTGGAGGTGATTCGACACTTTCAGATTATGTGCCTGTGCGAAATAGAGCTTTTCCAACCTCTGCACGCGACATCCAGCGGACTCCTGCATCATCTTACTAGCAAATCCCGAGTTGCATAGACGTGCTGATGCACCCCATCCACATGGCTGACCGGTGGATAAAATGCGGTTGTAATGCCACGTAGGGATGAATGCCACTAGCTCGTAGCCAGCACTCTCATCGTAGATGACTCCGAAGAGAAACATCCATTTGAGCATCGGGTGGTCGTCCGCCACCCGAGGCGAGAGGTAGTACTCGAGTAAAATCTTCATGATTGGGTGGAAGACGGGGCAAGGCGAGAAATAGCTCCCTTTAAAAGTTCTTCTCCCGAGTATATTTCCGCCGCGAACACTATCGGCGCCGCGATCTCAGCCCAGTTCTCGGATGACAGTGCACGTGCAGAGAGAGTCCCCACCACAGGTGAAATACCGCTCGGCCATCGTATGTAATATACCTGTTAAATTTGAATACAGAAGTATAATAACTGCGCAAAGCTTACCATCTAACTTGCAGGCTGAAGGAGGAGATGACACTTGCAATCCCAAGTCCAAGTCTGGGAGACAGACCGTCCTCTCTCGTAGACCGGTCCGGAGTAATATTCCACACAGGAATCTCAGGCCATTTCATGACATGTATGTACGCTGCTTGAAACCAAGCGTCCCAATTTCGGCTGCTCCGTCCATAGCTTGAATGGTCCCAATCACGACATCAAAGCGGAGTCGCGGTAGGGTCGTCCGTATACATTCATATCCTGCATACCAATGAAGATCCATCGACTCTTCTCTTGATGATTCACGATCTGCTGTGGTCGGCAGGAGGTAGTAAACTTGCTATGTGTACCGTCCGATTTGACTGTACGGAATACCTACAGTGCTTTAGCGCGGCCAACTCAAAAGGATAGGTAAATGTATAGCTGTGCAAGGTCTCGGGTCAAAATGGTCGCAAAAGCTTTTCAGAGCTCGGAAAATGGATTTCGATGGGGGTATTTGAGGAGTTAGTACCAGTGAGACAGCTTTGATCGGACCAGAGAGGTCTATTCGGCAAATACACCACTTAGGGTCATCTGCCACAGTAATGTGTTGGTCATCGGGAAGAGGACAACGGGACAGTAGAAGCCATCCCAACTCTGTCAAGAATCTACTTGGCGTTAGCTGAACCTTAAGACCAATAATTTTGGACACACTCCTCTCTGATATCGGTGGGATAGCTTTGCAAAGGCGGGCTTGGGTGGTACGGTGGTGAGGAACAAGCACGCCTTCGAGCCTTGCTCCGTTTCGTGGTACCAACTCGAGATAGCGATCGCTTTTGCCGTACAGTTGACCTCATATGTAGCTGTGCGCGATACCTTTGAGGGCTTGACACCTTTGAGGGCTTGCCAAGTTATATGAGGACCTTGGGGGCCAACTCGCTGGGTGGTTCAGATGGGAAGACCTCGACACGCTCACGGACGCCGGAATATTAAATGCAGAGCCGCAGGTGGACCTCCAGGATTGCATGGTAGACCTTGAGCTGCTCAGACAGAATGTGCGAGTGTCTCCCAGTTTTTGACGATACTTGCGTGTCAGCGACATCCCCCCCAATTGAAGTATGAGTAATGTCCAAGTTGATTCAGACTCCGCCAACCACGCAATTCAGGAAGGTAAGGCACATTCCAGTGGATATATATAAGTAATATGTCCAAATATGACGCGCTGAAAGTCTAGTAGGGAACTAAATACCAATCGCCTCCTCGACGGAACCCCGTTTAACGGATGGGAGTGTAACACGCCAAACCAACGCTTGATTATCCACGTTTATGCTCGCATTGTACGGTTTACCCATCGCTACTCCGTTCGTGGTTTGGAAGTCATTGTCCGACTGCATTGGTCAGTAAGAGAGGAGACTTGAATGTTGGAACATACGAAGGTGAACAAGAAGTAATCGTCCGGATTTTGAGGATCTCGCGCTGGAGCAAGCGCAAGACTCTCCCACTTAGAGTTGATCAACGTTTGATCGACCGGCTTGCCATTGTGGAGTCCGAAGCGAGCGAGTTGTGTGGTGTTGAGGAGAGAGACGAATGGGGTGTACGTTGCTGGTACGATAGTGCCCAAGAGCTGGCCACCAGGTGCGACAGAACCAGTGGCAGAGTCGTATATTGTATTGGCAATATTGGTCGCGTTGCTCGTGTCAAAGATATCGATGGATCTAAGCACAACAGTCAACAGTTGATCCAAATACAGCTTCCTAAAGCTTACTTGTACGCGGATTTGGCACCATCTCCACCATTTCCGTCACCATCTCGAGCGAGCACAAGGAACTGATTTTTGTTCAACCAGTGAATCTCGCTCTGGGCATAAGTCGATGGCTTGGAGCTCTGCGGAAGTGGAACCACGTATTCAGCTTCGAGCTTCAAGTTATGGGCGTCCCATTTGAACAAACGCGCGTAGCGATTGGTCGTCTTGTTTCCTCCCCCATCCTGGCGTAGTGCTGACTGCATGAGGGCATAGACTTTGTCGCCCGAAGCAGAGGTGGTGAGACCCTCAAAACCTTGGTTTGCACTGCGGCCGGTGTCTGGGTCTCTGATTGAGGTAAAGTTGAGCGATCCGTTGATTCTCGGAAGGGCAGCATCCGGAGGTGCTATGGTTTTCAGCACCTTGCCTTTCGATGATACAAGGTAGATGTAGGGACCGTATTCGTCGCTGATCCAGAAAGTTCCGTCGGCGTTTTGTACGAGACCTTCTGTATCAGTAGTGAGTCTCGTATAATTGCTGGCAGCGATTGGATACTGAATGGAGGATCCAGGGAAGGTCTTGAATGCGGAGGGATCTGCTCCAGAAGTGGGCTGGTCACGAAAGGTGAATAGCGTCGTCGATAGGTACTGCAGCTGCAGGGTCTTCTGTGCGTCGGCAAAGGTGAGATTGTCGGTTCCATAGTAAGGCTTCATCATAAAGGATAGATAATGCAGGCGAGTTTGCCAATCGATCGGCGCTTCTCTGTAGAACGGTTAAAGAATGCGCAATAAGATCACAAGCACCCACACGTTATAGCCTCGGTCCGGCAGAACAATCATTTTGCCCTCGAATGTACCATCTGGCTTGGCCCTAAAGGTTCCACGCTGAAGTGCCATGGCGCTTCCAAAGCCGCCCAAAGTTTCACCATATTTGTCCTTTGCATCTGAGGGAATGAATCCAAACGCCACGAGCCCCTTGATGATAAGGGAATAAGCGAGGAGCCTCTAATAATTACGTGATTCATACCTTATTAACGAACGTGTCTGAGCCTTTGTGTGTATCCGAGCAGAGAGAAGGGTCAGGTCTCTGTAAGTTTCCAGCTTGAACGAACCCCAATGCAGCAAGATGCACTAGAAGCACAGAAAACTTCTGGAGAGAGCTCATGGGGTTTATTCTATCAAAATATTAGTACAACGCGATTCTAATCGCCAGACAACCTACTTTGACAGACTTCCAGGTGGCGGGGACAAAGAGCACGAAGTAGACGCCTTCAAAGAATGATCCATTTATGTAGTATTCCCATGGCGGGGTTGTGTTCGTGCCGACGAGGTTTGTAACACACGTTTGTTACTTCCATGTGCTGAATGCGTGAGGAAGTCTTGATGGGTCCCACGTCAAAGAAGTAACATATCAATCGTATAACGCCATTGTCCCTTCCGTTATATAGCATGGCGAAGAGGCTGCAACATAGGAATTGCGGGGATCTGTCGGCGAACGGGAAAGAGGTGTATTAATACGTTATCGGGCCGTCCGTTATCTCTGAGATCCTGTACGGCCATTTTGAGCCTGACGAATCATATTCGACACAAATGGTCCGGTTCAAGGAGGTTAAGTAGTATTTGCTTGCCCACTCACTTTACAGGAGTACCTCGCTGTAGTCCAAAACGCATTCTTCCAAAACATTCACCATGAAATATACAAGACGGACGAGACTTTGGTTCTCAACGCTTAGGCAGAAACAGCGGCAGCGATAGCCGCTCCACGACGTCTGCGGTTTATATTACGCCGTCTCCTTTCGGATATCAGAAACGTGACTGTCAACCTCATGTCAGCGAAGCGACTAGTGGATTTAGCGACGCACGTATGATGATGTCAAGCAATTGCAAGAGGGAGGAATCGAGGATTTCGAGGGGATGCTATGGCTCCTCGTTTGCAGGCTCGGTTGTAGCGAACAGGAGGGGTTTCATTGCTCGATTTCTCTCCTGTCGCTGCGAACATCTGGAACAAATTAGTCACTTTCCAAACTGAAGAGTTGATAGCACACCTGAAACTTGCATCGCCGGACTTCCCAACGGTATTCTTGCCCGTAGAGGCAACGAAACCCCTTACGCTGGTCACGTCAGTACTTGAAAGCGACTATCTGTGGATAAGCTCACTTGGAGAAGGGATTTTGACTGGTCTTATAGAGCAAGTCCTTTACTGGCTGCCAGTCCGCGTCGCCGGACTTCCGATACAAGTCCTTGGAGAAGCAAGGCATCTTCAACTCATACACGGGAGTGATCGAATTGGATTTTGCTATCCCAACGCTGGATAGGGACTGTACCATCGCTGGTGTGCGAGATCTCGTAGTGAATGCCCAGACTGTCGCAGGAGATGGTGTTGTTTATGAGCGAGTCGGACGCAAAGAGCAGAGCAATATACATTGCAGTTTGATGAAGTGAAGCTGAACGAGCCCTCCCATTTTTAAGTTTCTAGTTATTGATGGGGCGGTGTAATGAGACGGCTGGGTGGAGAGTACTGGCGTACCAGGCCAGCAGTATCCGATGCACCAGTGCAACTGCGGCTCGGCGAGGTACCAACCGTCTCCACTAGCAAATGTACAGATGTACGGCGACACCTCTGTCGACGCAGAGTGTCAGGATTGTTATGGTCATGAGGGAATGAGATACTTCCACTACCAAACAAAGGGTTGAGTTAGTATCTTTGCTCTATAGACAAACAATTGGCGTTTGAAGGGCCATTTATGGACGACTTTGGACATCGCCCGTTCAGATAAAAAGGCATAATACCATCAAAATCAAAGGTGTTGGGTAAGATTTGATTCCAAATTATGGCCAGAATGCAAATCGTGGCCGACTGTCGCTGTCGCGTACGTCACACCAAAGACGCAGACCGCAAGCCATCAATCTAAAGTTGGACCTCGCCATCAGCTTGGCTCGAGAAATTCAACGAAAGCAACAAAGGGATAGGACTGAAAAGATTATAAATCACAGACATATCTCTGGCGAAGCGTGACACAAGATGTGGTGGCTCGATCCGGGAAAGGAGCTGCTCCAGGCTGTCAGTTACAGCGTATAAACGCGTCGTGAAACTCAATGAATGTCTCATAGATCTTCAACAGGGTCATGGCACCCTACTTGGAGAACTTGGATATGAATCAGGTCAACTACGGTATCGCTTCAGGTGAGAGCGTAGTTTGATGGCCCAAGGTGGAGCAAACTCATCGTGTTGACCAGGATCTCTGACATTGAGAAACTTACGACTCAAACGGGAGGCGTTGGATAAGTTTCGATTGCCAGTAGATGTGGTAGAAGGCATGTCAATATGTCATCACGCGCGATCCGTCTAACTTGTCGGCGATTCTCTTCTCCAGGGTCGCTTGGACGCCTTCAACTCAACATCCCGTGGAGAAACTTCAATACGCCTTTGACTGCTGAGATCGACGATCTATTTCTACTTGTTAATCCAGCGGCAGCCAGCAAGGTGAATTGGTTAGTTTTCCTCATTAATTGCGACTCAAATTTCGAAATAGTACGATCCAGAAGATGATGAGCGACGGGCGCAGGCTGCCAAACAAGAGCGACTCCGCACCGCAGAAACCCTCCAAATTCAAGGAGAACCGACAGCGGCAACAGAAGGAATGTCGATTGACGCATTCCCATCTTAAAAACTTATTTCGCAGCAGACACTCTCAAAAACCAAGGTTTCATTGATAACATCATCGCCAAAATCATCAACAACTTCCAGGTCACCGTCAAGAACATACATGTTCGCTATGAAGATCACCTCAGTGTACCTGGCGTAGGTACTACGATCGAAACGCATCCATCTACTGACACGCTGTGGCACACAGCATCCTTTCGCAGCGGGTATCACGCTCTCCGAGTTTACCATCATCTCTGTGGATGGTAATTGGCAGAAAGCATTCGTGCCTTCCACAGCTGGCGCAATTCACAAGGTGAGGTCGTCTCGAACGCGGAGCCTGGTGCTTACTCCCCAAAGCTTGCAGAGCTACGATCATTTGCGGTATACTTTAACACGGATAGTAAAAGTATCAAAGGGCTACCTCTCAAGGAATCATCAGAAAAGTTTAGATCTCTGGTATTTGATAGCATCCCCTCGAAGTCACTTCCGTTGCTGATACATAACTGATAGATCTCGACAAGTGAAAACCCGGTTAACGAGCACCAGTTCATTCTCAAGCCAGTTAGCGGAAAGGGAAAGGTTCGGCTTACCTCGACTCTTCCCAAGGAGAATCTAACCGTTTGGTAGATCACCATGAACCACAAAATCGACGCCAACACTCCAAAATTCGACGTCGAGCTAGACTTTACGGAGATTGGATTCTTACTCGACAACCACCAGTACCGAGATGTCATCTCTATGGTGGATATGTACCACTTCTTCCTTCGTAACCAGCAGGTTAGCATTTCATTCTCATGAGTTCACGTTCTCACATTGTTTTAGTATCGAAAGATCCGTCCTACCGACGAGCAGATGGAAGCGGGCAAGGCGAAGGCGATGTGGAAGTTTGCCAGGGAAGCTGTTCTCGGACAGGTGCACGAGAAGCACCGACAGTGGTCGTGGGCCTACTTTGCAGAACGACGTGATGACCGGTTTGTGTTACGAATGGTCATGATTCTGTGTTAATTCTACTCTAGCAAACGCTACGTGACGCTCTACAAGCAGAAGCTTCCTGGTGCGCTCAAGGGACCAGGTCTCAAAGAGCTCGACGATCTAGAAGCGAAGCTCAGTTATGAGGATTTACGATTCTATCGGTCGGTTGCTCGAGCAGAGCTCCGCAAAGACATCCGAGACCGAAAGTTGGAGGAAGAAAAGAAGAGAAAGGAGCAAGAAGCACAAGGAAAAGGAGGTGGATGGTTCGGTTGGGTGTGGGGATCGTCCGGGTCCGCCAACAACGAGGAAATCCTTGGGGTCCAGATGAATGACCAACGTCGCAAGGAACTCTTCGACGCTCTGGAGTACGACGAGAAAGCAGCGACTGCTGCTGCTTTTGAGCCCCCAAAGGACTCGCTCAAAGCTCGACTCCGCGCCAAATTGCAAAAAGGCTCTCTCACTCTGCGTTCAGGTCCAGAACATACGGCATCAGAAGTGACGTCTGTGGTGTTCGAGGATCTTCGCGCAAAAGCTATTCAGCGGCCGACCAGCTTGGATGCCATCCTCAGCCTTGGGGATCTTCATGTCTACGACGGGACGACCACAAATTCTCAGTATCCAGAGATCGTACGGATTCGTAGGGACGACACCCCGAGCTCGTCTTTGGTCAAGGTCGATAACGTAGACGAAGATGACAACGAGGAGGCTTTATTGTGGGTCAAGTTCGAGCAAGCTCCACTGGACGACCGAGCAGACAACGGCTTGACAGTCAAGCTAAGGTCCATGGAAGTCGTGTATCATAAAGGATACGTTGAATCTCTCTATACATACTTCAAGCCCCCGGAGACCCAGATGGAGTCGGTCGCAGCGCTCCTGGTGCGTATTTTATAGAGAATATATGGCTGTCTGACAATACGTAGGACGTCGCTAGTGAAACACTTGAAGGGTTCCGAAACGCAACAAGGGCCGGTCTCGAACATGCGCTACAGAGCCATAAGACTATCGATGTCAAGATGGACCTACAAGCTCCTATTATCATCATTCCAGAGAAGTAAGTGATTGCAACATCCCCACCGTATAATCAACTAAATGGGTATAGTATCTCAAACAAGTCAAGTGTGCATCTGATAGTGGACGCTGGACACCTTGCCATTGGGAGTGACCTCGTTCCGAAGAAGGAGGTGCAGCAAATCTACGCGAAGCGCAACCAGCAATATACAGAGGAAGACTACAAGCAACTCGAAGCGCTCATGTATGACCGTTTCTCCGTCAGGCTTGAAGCCGCTCAGTTTGTTCTGGGCAATGGACTCGACGACTGTCTTGCCGCACTCAAGGCGGATGATGAGCATAACCTCCACCTCCTTGAGAAGACGAACATGGAATTTGCATTACACAACTCAATAGTTCCCACCGCTGTCCAGTTGTCGAAGATCAAAGTGCGGACAAATCCTTGTGTTGTTGCCTTCATTCAATGACTTCATTAGGTCTCGGGAACGCTCCCAGAACTTGCCGTCAACTTCTCTAATATCAAGTACAAGCTTCTCATGAGAATCATCGATGCGTCGATACCGAAGTTTGGTGATGCTGCGGAAGCCCAGAAGCCTACAAGACCTCCTCTCGCCCCTGGTTCCAAGTCCCAACTACCTCTCCTTTCAAACGCGTTCACCGGGGAGAAGAAACAAGAGTACGTGGTTGCAGACAATGAGGATGACCACGCATCAACTTTGACGAAGGAAGAGTTCTTCGATGCAGAAGACGGAAAGGTGAAGATTACTCTTACTAATCACTTTTATACTGATCTCGTTTTAGCGTCTCGATCTTCACCAAAAGCAGTTTGAGTTTCATTTCACTGTCGGAAAACTCCACGCATTGCTCTCCAAAGCCAATACGTCGGGTATCGAGGCTCCTCTTGCTGAGGTTGTCTTGGAGAGATTTGGGTTAGACTTTGCCCTGGCTAAGTTTGACATGCAAGTTGACGTTGCTCTTGGGTATGCTCATTTTCGAACTGGATACCGTCGAACTAAAGGATAGTGTAGAGCGTTATCGATGAATTACTTGGAAGTAGGAAAGGAGGCGAGCCCTTTCATCTCCTCAGAATCATCAACGACTCAACAAGACCTCGTCAAAGTCAAATACCTCCGAGTTCAAGCAGAGTCTCCCGAATTCGAAAGTATATACGAAGGCATCAATCAGAGCGTCGACGCTGCATTTTCAACTGTCGTTCTTCGTGCTCAGCCGGAGCCAGTTATTGCTGTTTACGACTTTATCATGTCGACATTTGTACCCGAGAAGCCAACAGTCGTTCAGTCCACGACCACTGCTGAGCAAAGCCTTGTGGCACTTCCGCGGGAGCCTTCCGCCCCGCCCACTCAAGGGCAGACCAATGTGGAGAAGATTCGAGTAAATGTAAAGCTTCAAGGAGTTGAGGGTATGTTCCATGCTCTCTAACATCCTCTGACTCACCCTCCGCAGTCTTCCTGGCGAATTCTGGTTCGAACATTGTCAGGCTTGACTTGGTCAAAGCAGCGGTCTCCTTGCTATTGCAAGGGAATACGCTCAAGGTTGCTGGAAGGCTTGAAGACATCTCAATTTCTGATGAAATCACGTCATCGGCTAAGAACGCACAGTTTAAAAAGATTCTCCTCCGTGAAGGGGATCATTTCGCCGATTTCTCCTACGAAACCTTCGACCCAGCAGACAAAGAGAACTTTAATGGAATCAACTCTGCTGTCTCGCTACGAACCGCAGCACTCAAATTCCATTTCGTCGAACAACCTCTCCATGAAGTCTACCTCTTCCTCCTTAAGCTCGCCAAGCTTAAAGGGCTATATGATACTGCAACACAGGCCGCAGCGCAGAGCGTCTCGGAGATTACGCGAATGCGCTTCGACGTTCTTGTCAAATCACCTATTATTGTCTTCCCGAAGAACTCTGCAACGTCTGACGATGCACTCGTGATGAAGTTGGGAGAAATTACTGCTCGCAACGCCTATGAGGGCAATCGACAAACAATCGAAGCGAGTCTACAAGGTATTGGGTTGACATCGCAAGCTTTCATCCAAGGTCATCTTTCAATCCTGAAAATGATTGACGACGTCTTGGTAACGACGACGGTGGTCCAAACCCAAGGGATTGATCACCACGCGACACCCAATGAGCCAGACACAAAGGTATGTCAAACCAATCCATTTGACTTCATTGACCTAGAACGTGCTAGATCAACGTAAATGTCTCGGACATTAAGCTGGGTTTGACTCAGAACCAATACTGCGACCTCATCGCGCTGTCCCAGGCTGTCACTAGAGTCCTTGTCGCTCCTTCTGATTTGACTGAAGGCCCCCAGCCGCAGTCTGTCCCAATAGCACCCTCTGAAACCAGATCTAAAGGGGCACTGAATGCAGACGAATCCCAAGAAGTTACAGCTCCTGCCGATCTGGAGCCGGAGATTGCACTTTCTCCTCGCCAGTCCGTTTATCCCACCCTGGATCTCGAGCTCAAAATCATGACCATACGACTCCAACTTTTCGACGAGAAAGCAGTCAGCGAGGAAAATCTCAGGAGTTGCGGAATCGCTCGATTTGCGTTGCATGACAACGGTGTGCGCTTCAGAATGTTTTCGAATGGCGCTGCCGAGGCGGAAGTCATCTTGAAGTCGTTCACGGTCAGCAATACGAGACCAGGTCCATCCAAGTTCCGAGAGCTCATCCCGGCCGCGAAACATGATAGGAATCAATTTATGGTTCTTTTCACCATGACCGGTGGCAAGGAGAGTAGTTCAACAGCAATTGTCACCATCGAGTCCCCGAAGTTTCTGTTCACTCTAGACCCCTTGTTCGCCCTTGGCAACTTCTTCGCTAGTGCTTTCGTAACTCAGCGAGAGAGTGAAGAGAGAGAGGCAGACACGACAGTTGTCCCTACCAAGACCACGACGGAGAAAGAGGTTCAAGCAGAGAAGAGAGAAAGTCCCTTTGTTTTCCGAGTGGATCTGAACGATGTCTCTGTGACTCTCCTCGAAAGTGACACAGATATCAACTCCCAAGCAGTCCAGCTCTCTATCAAGCAGCTCATGATGTCCCAACAGGTAAGAGGACACGAGGGATCAAATGTATTTTGACACAAGAAATAGGGCATCCTCGCATTGACTGTCACGCGATTGGGAATGTCATTGACACAAATGGGCCGCCCTGAAGAAAGCGTCCGCTTTATGGATGAGATTGACGTGACGTTCTCAATGGAGAGCAAGCAAGCAATGGCGTTACAGAGGACCAATATTGACATTACTGCTCAACCCATCGTCTTCAGAGCCTCTCAGCGTGACATCAACCTCATTCTTGCCATCGTCAACAGAGCCACACAACTTGCATCTCAACCAAGTGCAGGTGCCCCTAAAGAAAATGCAAGGAGTACACAAAAGGCAAGGAGCACGGCCCCGAAGACTAAGACGCCCACGATCGTCATGGAGAAGCCGCAGCTAATTTTGTCGACGGAGAAGGTAGCGTGAATGCTCCGTTAGTATTACAATTGCGGATTACCTCTCACAGCTCCACGCTTCGTTTGATGGGTTCCGACTTGTCCTTATCGGCGAAGGTCATGAACAGCCAATGATGCATCTCAAGACCAAGCCGTTCCTAGTCAATGTACAGGATTGGACCGGGCCGGTGAGAATACACCATTGTTCCCAACGCATACTAAGCGGATGCCATAGATGCGGGCCACGACGGCGCTATCATTCGACCTCACGTATTGGAATCTGACAAACTCTCATTGGGAGCCCTTATTAGAACCGTGGACACTGACTGTTGAGGTTTGTGCTTTTCTCGACGGTTGCCACTTCAGCTCACCTTCTTCAAGGCCGTCAAGGATGTTTCCACTCAAGGCATCAGGGTACAAGTATCATCACCCTACATGCTTCATTCCAACATTACGATGACCTTCGTCGAATTAGCACTGGCGGCTAGTGCAAACTGGTCTGGAGATCGAATGCAAGTGATGTCTCGTGGTAGAGGTGGCACTCCACCGTATCGTATAAATAACCAGACCGGCTCTGCCGTCGAGATTTGGTCAAACACCGAAGCAGGCCAGGTATCCCCGACTTTACTTCAGGATGGGCAGACAATCGATTGGAGGTTTGACGACTGGCGAAGTTTGCGTGAAGTGAGTGTCTTCATTGGAATTCTGCCTAGTTTTGAGACCACATTAGCATGTCTCGGCAAGCGGCCATAACAGTATTGGAATCAAATTTGAAGGGAAGGAATGGGATCCCATTCCAAGCATTTCTGTTGACAAGGAGGGCCAATTTCCTGTACTCCTTCGTCCACGTGTCGATGGAGTCCTTCACCGACTCTTATGCGATGTGGTCGTGCAAGATAATGTCAAAGTCGTCACCTTGAGATCCACATACAAGATTGACAACGAGTGCATGTACCCCCTCGAAGTCATCCTTGTCGATGACCATAACAAGCCGGCCTATGCACCCCAGAAGATCGGTATAGTCAAATAGCTCTAGGTTTCACTCGGATTTGATACTTCCCAGATGCCAAACAAAGCTATTCGCTTCCTATCGAGGCTGTTGTTCGAAACCGCATCAGAATTCGACCTGACGGTGAGCCTTCAAACATCGTTTAGGACCCGATATTTACTTAATCCAGCTGGTTTTGGATTTGGATGGAGCTCTGAAAACTTCAAATGGGAAGATTTTACGCGCAGAGCCAGCCATACAGTCACTTGTCGTTCTCAGGATTCCGGTAACGCACCGTTTCGGCTTGCACTATGGGCCGAAAGAGATACCAATGGGTCCAAGTAAACCTTTTTTTCACTCCAATTGTCTCCATACTTATCCGTTTCAAGGAATTACCCACGCTTGACTCTGAAATTATATCCGCCGATCGAACTCGAAAATTTGTTGCCATTTGACATTCGTTATCGGGTCCATGACAAGGCTAGTAACACCAGCTCATCTGAATTCTTGCGCAAAGTAAGCAATCGAGAGTTACAACGTTCGCCACTCATTTCTACTCAGGGTGGTATTTTCCCCATTCATACCGTCACATTGGACCACCTAGTTCTTCTGAATGTTCGTACAATTCGCAGAGTCTGGAACGTACTGATTATGTCTGCAGATCGCGATCCAGGACTCAAGTATGGTCGTTCGGTCGAGTTTATTGACACTAACTCTTTGTAGGCGCGTGGAAACCAAGCAATTTCATGATCATCAACACAGATAGCGAATTCTCTCGAGACAAAAAACTCATTCTTCCGGACGTCAATGGCCGGCAACTCGAGCTGGGATTGAATTATCTGTAAGTTGAGACGAGTGGATCGGTGTATGATGCTCATTCGTAAAAAGACCGCACGGCAAGGGTAATTCTTTTAAAGTTCAGATCTATTCTCCATACATTCTCGTCAACAAGACCGGCCTACCCTTCGAAATCAAAACCGTAGCCAAAATGTCTATGCATTCCAAAGATGTGGCTGGGGAGACAAATAAAGGTATTAGGATGCTTGCTCTGTTCCACATCTGATTCTTGGCAGACGAGCTCAAGAAGACAACACCTTTCAGTACGTGCATACTCCACAAGTGCTGCTGGCGACTAAGGACATATAGTGCTATCTCACTCGACCGGAAACGAGTTTGTTCTCAGAATTGGAAAGTCTGAATGGTCGGAGGTGCGACCCTTTGCCTGGCGTAATCTAGTCTGAGCAGCGTATAGGCTCTTGATGTCGAAGCACCCACAGCAGAAACGGACCTCGTTCTTCCATCTGGGAAGTCAGAAGGTCATCTCGGTGTCTCGTGGACGCCAGGATCTGGGAAATACGCGGTTACCAAGGTTATCACCCTTGCTCCCCGCTACATCGTCCGCAATTCCACAAGCGCAATCATACGCTACCGAGAATATGGCGGCACGGAGCCGGTAGATCTAATGCCAGGATCTTCGTCACCCGTCTTATGGACTAGACGAGATCCCGACAAACTCCTCCTGATAGCATATCCTGGCTTGGATGCTATTTGGTACGCATGATCTCTGTCTCTTTTCGCTTCATTAATGAGCCTAGGTCGGAGCCGATTAACATGGAGAATGTTGGCTCGGTACATCTCAAACTTCAACCCAATGATAAGCGCGCTCCCGTTCAGCTCATTAAGGCAGACGTTGAAATTGCTGGCGCCACGTTGTTCATCACCCTTCAACGGGAGACCAAGTGGCCATTCAGAATCGAGAACCTCAGCGATCAAGACTTTGTACTCGTTCAATCGGTATGTTGGACCCTGCTTCACTGAAAGCCGCTGATAGTACGTTAGGATGAATCAGGTAACACAAGGGACAAGGCTCCAAAGTACGATATAGCGCCAAAGTCCGTACTTGACTATGCTTGGGACTTCCCAGCCGCTCGCGAGAAGTTCCTCCGCCTCTCTGTCGGGCAATTCTCTCGAATTATACAGATAACAGAAATAGGCAGCCTCATCCCCTTCAAATTCTTGGTAAGTGAAGATAGACTTTCGCGAACACTGCTCAACTGCCCCAGCTCTCCACCAGGTCCTCACGTACAGTGGCACTGGATATTCGTGCGGATGGCCCTACTCAGATTCTCACAATTTCAAATTACAACGAAGCTGTCAGCGTCTACAAACGTGCTAGAGCACCGACTGGCCGACAAGAAACCCTCATGAGCCAAGAGGCATTCGAGGCGATTCAAGAAGATACAACGCCATCTCTTACCGTCAGTCTCGTTCTGGAAGGTTTCGGTCTTTCGATCAGCAATAAGTCTGCCATAGAAGTGCTCTATCTCTCCACGAAGCAGTTTAAGCTCGAATACACGACGAACGAATCGTCTCAGGCTATCAATCTCTCGATCGGACACATTCAAATTGACAATCAACTTCCAGAAGCGACGTTCCACGTTGTACTTCAGCCAAGCCCGCTGCCTAGCCGGAGAATAGGACCTCCCCTTCCTACTGTCCAAGCATCAGTCGTCCTTTTGAACGATGCATGTGAGCACTACACTTGATAGTGTATGATGAGAGCTAACATGGCGTAGCTCATGGAGTAATGTTTGTCAAATATGCGTCTATTCTGCTTCAGAGCTTGACCATCATGCTCGACGAAGACTTTCTCATGGAAATCTTGGACCTGACCAAGATCAAAGGAGCGTGGGAGAGCATGAGTGCCGAGTGAGATCCCTCTAGTGTCGCCTTATTCTTTACTGATATCACAAGTATTCTGGTCAATGACCCAGAGACTATTCCGGAGCCCGAGAATACTGCAGCACCAGGCCAAGAGGTCTACTTCGAAGGACTTCTATTACAGCCTCTGAAGTTTATTATATCATTTGTTCGGGCTGAGAGGACCACGCAGCCCACGTAGGTTTTAGTTTGTGGAAGAGCAATGCGCTAACAGCCACCAGTGCTACTTCCCGAAATCCAATCGCCACGGTTGTTCATGCACTGACTATGGCACTTGGGAACATCAACGGTGCTCCTCTTGAGTTTTCAGCGCTCATACTATCCGACGCTCGGATGTCCCAGTCGATGTTGGTGGACCGTATTTTCCGCCATTACCGTCAAGGTGTTATCCAGCAACTGTACAAGATCCTTGGCTCTATCGACTTTGTGCGTCTCATTTTGTCAAATTGGTCTCGTGTAGTACTGACAGTTTATAGATTGGAAACCCAGTCGGGCTGTTTACAAACGTTTCGTCGGGCGTTATGGATATCTTTTACGAACCGTACGAGGGGGTTATCATGCATGGAGGTGAGGGTTTGGGCTCGGGAATAGCCAAGGTCAGTTGTTATCGTCTATAACCAATAGCAGCTGACCTGTTCAGGGCGCGGCAAGCTTCCTCAAGAAGACGACCTTTGGACTTGCAGACACAGTTACGCGAGTGACAAGCAGTTTTGGAAAAGGATTATCATCCGCAACCTTTGATGCCGAGTATCAGAGTCGTAGGAGGCTTGCGCAGCGGCGAAACAACCCCCGGCACGTCTTCGCAGGTGTTGCTGCGGGAGGCTCTGCCATGATGGATTCGCTTGCCAGTGCGGTACAAGGAGTCGTTGTTCAGCCTGTGGAGGGCTTTGAACGTGAAGGAGGCATCGGCTTAGCGAAGGGAGTGGCAAAGGGAGTGGCCGGGTATGTTCACCTCAGATTATATTGGTATTCATTGCTCATGTCAGCAGTCTCTTTGTTAAGCCCGTAGTGGGTGTCACTGATCTCTTTGCAAATACGGCCACTGGGGTTAGGAACACGGCAACGATGTTCGATCCACCTGATAGAGGACGTGCTCGCATAGTATGCTAGTTTCTTCTCTACATTGTCATCTTTTAATCATCCATTCCAGCCTCGACACGTCCCATTTGACGGGGTTCTCAAGGTATACTCTCAGCGAGAAGCTATCGGACAACAGTGGCTGCGAGAAGTTGACGAAGGACACTTTAAGCACCAAGTATACGTTGCACACATTGGTGAGTTGAATACTTCCGCATATTCTTGATTGTTCATTTACCCCCAGAGTCTGAGCCCAACCGTCAAATATGCATTTTGACGTCCACCAGCATCATCTGTGCGTGGACCGAAAAGCTACGTCTATGCTGGGACGCGCCTTTCTCAGATGTCGGCACCGTTTCTTTGGATGAGAACGGTATTCGCATTCTGGACAGAAAAAAGCATGAGATTGGGTTTATCATAATCACTGATAGAAATGACCGTGAATGGTTTTATGGACAGATATCCAAGTAAGCTTCCGCGCTCCTGCTCCGCACGGTCTAACAAATCCGATAGGGTTATTGCGGCATACAATGCTGCTAAACGCCTAGATTCCTCATGAGCAATGAATATTGTATGGATCATACAACGCTTGTATCAGAGTAGATGGATACTGTTTTGTAACGACTGTATTTGCCTCAGTAGAACCAGTCTAGGAGGTGCTAGATGATAAAGAAAGTGCACAATGAGATACATAGATAAAAATTGGGCCAGATTAATCGTCCACTTCTTTGGGACTCTCGACAGCCGTAGGAAGCGAAGTTGTGGTGGGTGTTACAGTTCCTGGGGGATGATAGTCTTTGCCATCTTTGACAATATAAGACAGTATATCACCCAATGTGATGATACCGGCCAAGCGCCCGTCAGCATCCACAACGACGAGTCGGTGGAGTTGCTGCCGAGAGATCAACTCCAAGAGTTTCCCCAGGGTGTCGTTTCCTGAACATGTGACGACCCCCAGGAATTCTGCGGTGCGCTGTTGAATTGCCTGTCGTATGGACAGATCGAGTTTCGTGTACGCTCCCGAGCGGATTAGCGTCTGGGCAGTTTTTAGTAGTAGCATAGACAAGTAACCTAGAACCTACAGTGACGTCAAGCGTTTCGTATACGTTCAAGACCACACCGTCGTCATTCAATATCGGCACAGCGCTGATTCCATGAGTGGAAAACATATTCACGACATCGAACACGGTCGAATCCATGGTCGCTGTGATGATTGGGTAGTAAGGGTTGTCGGGTTTGGGGTCGACGTAAGTTCCAATGCCCAACGAGCGCAGGCTGTAGGAGAGGTTTTGAATATCCTTTGAGCACTGAGAGCACGTCTCAGCGTAATTCGAGGTAGATAAGCTGCTCACATTGAGAGAAATGAACCGAAGGACTCGGAACAATGTCAAGACCGATGCGATTAGCTCCATATTCGACTCGGTGTCGTAATCGATGAGTGGAAGTCGATGTGCATGGCTTTGAATGAGGAGTTTGCAAGCCTCATAGAGTGGCTTGGAAGGGTGGATAGAGTGCAACGGCGGTGGTGGTACATTGAGTTCCTTTTCTATGTCTATCCGAATCGGTTGATCAGCGGCCAGATGACCATGTTCCAAAGAAGGCTCACCTCGAAGCGATTCAATCCTGAATGTCTCCACATCTGCGGCTGCAGTCTCAAATGTTTCGGCTTTCATGTAATAGTATTGGATAAGGTGAATGATGTTGAGTAACGTGAGCATGCCCGCGTATTGCCAGTTCTTGGAGTCGAATAGCGGAGCATATACAATTCCTGGAAGATGGCCAATTCGGTGGGTTGTCCCGAGGTAATCGAGATTGGACAGCACCAAGTAGCCAGGGTCAGGATTCCTCACCCAATTCGGCAGATGAGAATGACCCACCATTTTGGTGCATCGTCGCCAGAGCGTATTTGACCGTGAGTTTGGTGTCAAAGATGATGAAACGGTAGCTGAGCGGGAACACGTCGAACGCGCTCCTTGTTTTGAGAAACTCGCGGAGCCTGGTAAGTGATTCGTGATGGGGATCGGACATGGACAGGCTGTTGGTATGTAGACCAGAGTGCATATTGGAATTGGAGCGTATGCGCCGCTGCGAGTAGCGTCGGCCAGCGGTTCCTCTTCGCGGCGGTGGAGGGTTAGCTGTGGTGGCGGCATGAGAGTTGTCTTGATTCCTAGATGCCCTGGGCGTCGTAATTTGCGCATTCGAGGCCGTCGGAGCTGTGTTCTCGCGTGCTCCTGCCGCACCAGCCGGCGATTGGTTGGGGATGGACCGCTCCTGTGTGGGATCACTGTTTTCCATACTGTCTGTCGTATTCCCCGCGCGTTGAAGTCACGATTGGGACCGTTGAAAAGCTATCGGTTGGTGATGGAAGAGAACTGAGGTGCGTCCCCCACTCGAGGCTGGACCCACCCAAAACATTGACTTCCCAAAAGATAAACTCTGCAACCAACTTTACGCCAAGAGAAAGGATAGAATTAATGTCGGATCGCTTTGCACGCTTCAAAACTGATCCACGCTTTCGCCGACCCAAAAAGCAAACGAGCAAAGTCCAGATTGATGCACGGTTTCGGGATGTAATCGATTCAAAACCTGTAAAAGGAGCATGTGAGTGGTTTACTGGTCGTCATTCACCTCACCGGACTCACAAACGACAGCCAGAGTGGACAAGTATGGGCGAAAACTGGCCACAACGCATGAAAAGGACCAGCTGCGCAAGTTTTATAGCCTTGATGACGAGGAAGAGGATGAGAAAGAGAAAAGAGTCGACTATGCCCGTGGAGAAGGTCTCTTGGAGAGTTCATCCTCTTCCTCGAGCGACGAAGAAGAAGAAGACGAAGGCGACGTAGTGATTGGTGGTGCTGTCACCAAACCGATACATTTACTGGACGAAGAGTCGGACGAACAAGAGCCAGAGATTGATCTCGACGAGTCGCAGTTTGCAGAGCTCGATGCGGAGGCGGAGAAAAATGTGGCAGCGGATGCAGCGGCTACCGGCGAAGCAGTCAAGCCCACCAAACGAATCGCTGCTGTAAATCTGGACTGGGACCACGTCAAGGCGTCCCACTTATTCCGCATTTTTTCATCTGCCCTGATTTCCCTCAACGCCAATGCCACAACCTCCAGTCTGAAAAGTGGTCGACTCTTAAACGTTTCCATCTATCCTAGCGAGTTTGGCAAGAAGAAAATGGCAGAAGAGGACAAGTCCGGTCCGCCACCCGAGCTGTTCCAACCGCCGGCAGACGGCAAGAAGAGACGAAAACAGGATGAAGGAAACAAACATACCAAAGTTGTCAAAAGGCGTGATGATGGTGAAGAGTACGATCAAAATGCTCTGAGGACGTATCAATTGGAGCGACTTCGGTGAGCTGCGTTCTATATCCACTCAAATCACAAATTAAATTCACTCGCAGTTACTATTATGCAATTGCAACATTCACCGACGTGGCTGCGGCATCCCATGTCTACACTGAGCTTGAAGGCACAGAGCTCGAACGCTCTGCCAATTTGTTCGACCTCAGCTACGTCCCAGACTCTATGGCCTTTGAAGATCCGCCACGAGATGAAGCAACGGAGGAATCCCTCACTGCATCATACCAACCCCTCAACTTTACCACCGATGTGAGTTCTCGTCAGGGCAGCGAACACATGGATCGAATAACACATATTCAGGCTCTACGACATTCCAATGTCAAGCTTACATGGGATGATGATGATCCTGAACGAACTCGAGTTACCCGCCGAGCCCTCAGCAAGAAGGAGATTGATGAAATGGACTTTCAAGCACTCATCGCTTCTTCTTCCTCGAGCGACGATGAAGCATCCGCTCCTAATGGGAAAAGTAGTAAGAAGGCGGCATCCAAGGAAGAAGCGCAGAGGATACGCACACTCCTACTCAGCGGTAACGATGAAAATCTACCGGAGGGATGGGGCGGACAGAGCATCGAAAAGGAAGGAGAGAGCGGCGCCATGGAAATCACCTTTACTCCTGGCTTGAGTGGAACCCTCGGCTCCAGTGCGAATGCCGTCACGGAAGAGACGACTTTGGAGCGATACCAAAGAAAAGAAAAGGAAAAGAAAAAAGCGAAAAAAGCGAAACGAAAGGAGAAACTTGCAGCTGCGGCGGCAGATGCCACAAGCGAAGAGGATATCGCAAAGAAGGGGAGCAGGTCGCGTAAACTGGAAGGAGATGCATTCTTTGCCAACTCGTCAGAGGATGAACCGGACGCCGAGGAGGGTGCTCATAGCCGCAAGCAAAGATCGACAGCCAAGCCAGCGACAGATGCAGAGCTCTCCTTGCTCATGGATGACGACGAAGGATTACTTCCTTCAGGGAGAAAACACTTTGATATGAACGACATCATACGAGCGGAGAAGAGAAGCGACAAGGGTCATAAAAGCAAATCCACGAAGCGAAAGAGACGCGAGGGTGAGCACGAGGAAGACAAATTTGAGATGGATGTGCAAGATCCTCGATTCCGAGCGGTTTTAGATGATCATCGATTTGCGATAGACCCTGCAAATCCTCAGTATGCGTTACGTTCTACTCATTCGTGACAGAAATGGCTAATGATTTCATTACAGTTTCAAGAAGACGAAGAACATGAAGCGGCTCTTGCAGGCTAAAGGCGGAGGCGACGACGAGGCTCGACACCAGAAGCGAAAGCGGCGATAGTTCTTAGATTCCAATGGACTTTTCCACCGATCCTCGTTTGACAGTTGGGAGCGTCACGCGCCAGACCATGGCTTGATTGTCGACATTCATCCCCGCGTCGTATGGCTTGCCCATAGACACTCCATTGCGTGTCCTGAAATCGTTGTCCGCCTGTAAACCTTTGATAAGTAATGTTCAGGCGTATTGATATATCACACACAAATGTAAACACAAAGTAGTCGTCGGGATACTCTGGGTCGCATGCTGGGGCAAGTGCAAGGCTCTCCCATTTGGCCGCGATGAGGGTTTGATCTACGGGTGCGCCGTTGTGTAATCCAAAGCGTGCAAGTTGTACAGAGTCGGTAAGTTGGATGAATGGAACATAAGTGGCGGGCGTGATGTGGCTCAGGAGTTGACCGCCAGGGGCGACTGCACCCGTGGCAGCGTTGTACTCGTCATTGGAGATGTCGGTCGCAGGGGAGATGTCGATGATATCGATCCCTCTAAAATATCTAGTCAGAAAGAGAGAAGCTCCAAAGAATGTGCTTACTTGTAAGCAGACTCTGGTTCCTTGTCTCCATTACCGTTTCCATCCCTGGCGAGCACAAGGAATTGGTCCTTGTTCAACCAATGTATCTCGCTCTGTGCATACGTCTCTGGCTTTCCGCTCTGTGGAAGCGCCACAACATATGCCGCTTCTAGGATAGCACCTTTATTCTCGAGATCTTCGACGTTCCACTTGAAGAGTCGCGTATGTCTACTCGTCCTTCTCCTTTTACCACCGTCCTGTACGAGCGCACTCTGCAGCATTGCGTAGAGCGAGTCACCCGATGCCGAGCACGTTAGACCTTCAAAGCCTTTATTTTCACTTCTTCCGCTGTCCGGATCATCGACAGACGTAAAGTTGAGTACGCCATTGACACGGGGCAATACGGCATCGGGAGGAACAATCGTGTGAAGGATTTCCCCTTTGGAGGAGAGGAGATATATGTACGCGCCGTACTCATCGCTCATCCAAAATGTTCCTGGCTTGCCGCGGTTCTGAACGAGACCCTCGGGGTCGATTGTGAGGTGAGGATCCGTGGTAGTTGACATGGGATAGGTTACGGTTGGATTCCCTAACGTAGTGGAGGTGCCAGGGTCGGCACCAGAGGTTCGCTCGGAGTGGAATGTATGCAGGGTAGTTGAGAGGTACCGCAGCTCTAGTGTCTTTGCTGCCTCGGCAAAGTCGAGGTTTGTGGCTCCGTAGTAGGGCTTGAGAGTAAAAGAAAGGCGGTGAAATCTCGTCTGCCAATCAATTGGGTTCTTTCTATTGGAATGCATTTAGAGTGCGGCCAAGCGGACGAGGAGCATTGCGTACACGTTATAGCCTCGGTCTGGTTGAACCAGCAGGTTTCCAGAAAAGGTACCATCTTTGTTCTGCGCAAAAGTGCCGCGCTCAATGGCAATGGCGCTGCCTATGCCACCCAACGTCTCGCCAGTCTCGTCCTTGAAATCTGAGGGAATGTATCCAAATGCTACGAGTCCCTGTGAAATATCCAGTTGTGAAGAGTGTGAATCATGACGTGCTTTCCTTGTTGACAAATGTCTGCCCTTGGAGCGTAACTTCGTGAGTGGCAGCCATGGCGGACGTCAAGCTAAAGTGGCGTATGTCTGGTCATCTCTTATATCTTGGAAACTAGCGCTGTGTCAGCACACGATGACTGTCCCCGATAGATTCACTGACAGGTTTTTATTTGCCAGTGTGCAGATAAGCCCCTAGTTGCCAGTAATCCATATAAGTCGTAATTATGACCCGTCAAGACTAATTGATATCGTGGCAAGGGATAAGCATAGATACCACCGTTGACCCTACTTTGACCTGACCACATTACCACCCATGGACGCGTTTGCTGGCCTTGCCTGGGACGAACCAAAAGCTGGAAACAAGAATACAACACTCGGTGCACAACAGACGAGACAGCTGACGCCCTCCCAATTCTCCCAGTCATCCAGCACAAACGATGTTTTTGGACGCTTAGCCGCAGCTGGCCAACCGGCTGCGGTCCCAAAGCCGGCAAATGGCATTGGATCTCATATAAATATCCCTTCTCGCAACGTTTCAACTCCTCAGATGGCCAACAGCAGCGGCGGTGACCCGTTCAGCGGGTTATTTGCACGTGGCGGGAGTCCGAACATCAACATGTCGATGGCGGATCGACGTGCACATGCTGAACGAGAAAAGAGAGACAAGGAGAGACGCGAACGAGAAAAGGTAGAGGCCCAAGGCGCGATGTGGGACCAATTTGAGAACACGTTCTCCACTGGAAACTCGAATGTGAACAGTAGAACAGCTTCTCCGTCTCCAGCTATACTAGCTGCTCGTTCCCATGGCGTCTCCACGCCTCCGATCGGTCTAAAGACGAATCCAGGCGTTGCCAAAGTGGCCGCATCTCCGCCCTCCGGAACAGATCTATTCTGGTCCATGCATCACTCGCCACAAGCCGGTTCTTCTAGGACGGGTTCCCCAGCTATCCTCCCACAGCGACCGGGGACCGGCTCGCGGCAGCATTCTGGACAAAGTCTGGATGCGCTGGCCACTGCAACTCAGACGAACGATACCTGGTCACAGCTCGATGCACTTGCTGCTCCGAAACCTTCCCCAGCAGTGCGCTCTCCCCCGAGTGCATTGGATCCATTCGACGTAGATCTGCTTTCCGGCACATCTTCGTCGCAGCCTCTAGCTACACCGCCGATATCAAGAACGCGTAGTCCGGGAGATTTCGACTTTAACGAACGGGATGATGGAGCAGTGAGCGAAGACGACATCTTGGGTGACTTGGCAAAGCCAGTCATCCGCAGCGACACTCCTGATCTTTCAAGAAAATCTATTGGCGTACGTTGATCCCTAGGTCGTGTCTCTCAATGACTGACCTTGTTTATAGTCACCAGCGAAATCAAAGCCTTCGAGAGCATCCTCTCCCCCTCCCCATATCATTGGTCAGATTGTAGAGATGGGGTTTACCCCTGAGCAAGCACGAAACGCACTTGCTGCCACGGATACCGGCGTAGATGTCGAAGTCGCGCTGGAATCCCTTCTCGCAGCTGCTGGCAGTGGTGACATCACGTCTCCTAGTCCATATACAGACTCTCATCCACCTCCGCCACGGAACAGGACCGCTCCTCGCGAGCAACCACCACCACGAGCGTCCGGAACGTCGACGCCTACAGGAAATTCCAACTCCAACATCCTCTCAGGACAAATACAAGCAGACAAACTTTTGGCACAGGCATCGGAAATTGGATTCAGTATGTTTACACGTGCGAATGCATTCTGGAATCAGGGAAAGGAGGTCGTGCAGAAAGCGTATGAGGAAACAAGGAAGACGACTTTGAACGCTGGTCCACCTGCGCCGAGCGACGGAAGGCCACGATGGATGGCGAATGCTCCTGTAGAGGACGAAGGGGCAGATCCTACCACTCCGCGAAGAGCGGCTGCTCCATCAGGAAGTGGATTCAAAGACGACGATGATCTCCCAGAGGAGATGCCTCTTCCGCGGCAGAAGGCACCTCCCAAGGCAGCAGCTCCTGCTCCCGCTGCTCAACCGAGATCCGCTTCGCTGTTCGACGATGGGGAGGAAACCTATGTGTCTCCGCATAGGAGGCGAGCCGCCCCTGCAGCAGCCTCTTCACGTGCCGATACAGTGCAAACTTCCGCTCGAGCACCCAACTATCCCTCTCGACAAGCTCAGCAGCCGCAGCGCCAGCAGACTCAGGAGAGGAAGCGCCCGCCACTGGTCATTCCGGATACATCTCCATCTGCATATGCGCAATGTACATCGTTCCGCACGAAAGGGACAGAGTTCTTCAAGCTAGGTCAATATGGGGAAGCAGAATCTTGCTATACGCGTGCTATCACATCATTACCTGATACCCACATTCTCCTGACGTCGTTATACACCAACCGGGCAGCTGCTCGGCTAAAAACGGGAGATTCTGGTGGTGCAGCAGCGGATTGCTTATCCGCGTTGAAGCTCCTTGGAGTTTCCGAAGATTTGAGCGGACTCATGGACGTTGACGATCGACCATCACTGCAATTTGATGGTGTTCCGGGGAAGCTGGATCTGAGAGAGCAAGCTGTCAAGGCGTTGCAACGCCGTGCTGCTGGATTGGAAGCGATGGAGCGATGGGATCGGGCTCGGGCCGTTTGGGAGCGCCTTGCTGGTCTGAGTTGGACTCAAGCCCAGGGACGCGTCAAAGATGAGGCGACCCGAAGTGCTGGAAGATGTAGGACCATGGTCAGCGGTGCGACGGCTGCTCCATCCACCTCTGGGCCTAGCTCATCGCAGACACCTGTCAAACCTCGACCGCGTCCGGCACCTCGACCTGCCGTCACCAGCGCCGTATCGTCCAAACCCTCTGAAGCCTCTCAGCGACTCCGTGCGCTCGACGCAGCGCAAGAGGCCGAGGAGAATGTCAAGATTCAGCTCAAGGACTCAGTCGATGCGCGGATTCAGGCGTGGAAGGGTGGCAAAGAGGCCAATGTTCGTGCGCTCATCGCGAGTTTGGAGACGGTGTTGTGGCCCGAATTGAATTGGCAAAAAGTGGGCATGCACGAGCTCGTCACGCCGTCGCAGGTCAAGATTCGGTATACAAAGGCCATTGCAAAGGTTCATCCCGATAAGGTGAGCACTCCCTCGCGTACTTTGCGTTCTCTTTTGCTGATGGAAGTGTAGCTCAAGACAGGAAACACTACCACTGAGCAGCGGATGATTGCCAATGGCGTCTTTGCCGGTTTGAACGAGGCCTGGGGTTCTTTCAAACAATAGACGCGAGATATAGAACTGTATTCGCAACGACGTCGTTGGATATATTACAGTGCCATTTGGGGGATATACAACAGTGATATCAAAAGACCTCGTAATCAAGAGGCGTAATGCTCATAAGCTTCATTTCGTCAGACTTGAACTCTCTTAGTCGTCTCTTGAGCCAATTATGCGTGTCGGGCGTGATGATACAGCCGCAATGGATAATCTTGAGCACCTGCAATTTCTTCTTCAGACCACGCGTAGCCGACGTTGTTCGTTGGTCGACAAAATTGATGAGCCGTGGGAGTATAGTGTCCATATCGCGTCTTCCTGGACAATGCTGGAGGGTGAGTTTGGTGAGATTAGGACAGATGAGTGAGCCGTCGGCACTCGGGCCATCTAGCGTCAGCAAGAGATCCTCCAACGGTATCCTCGACACCGTGAGTTCTTCTAAATCTTCGAGGCACTCAAAGTATCCTAGGCTGGCCTCATGAATCCTGTAGGGATGCTGGATGGACATGCCGGTGATGGCCGGAAGATCGGAGCGACGTAAGAGGTCGCTAAACTTTTCTCCGAAATCGGTGCTTTGAGGCACCTCAAACTTGAGGTTGACAGTTCGCAACGAGGCGAGTTTGAGATATTGCATGAGCGTGAGGAATTGCGGTGCGCCTTCTAGTGAAAGCGACCGAAGGTGTGGTAACGCGAGGATATCTGGATTGGGTAAGACAGAGTTCTGGAGTCCTTGGAGATGGAGTGAAAGGACTTGTAGATTAGGGTTTTCACGTAATATGCCAAAAACAGAGTCGAGTGTTGCAAGATTTGGATGGTATGTGACTTGGGATGGAGAGTGGATGCGAAGAGTGGTAAGGTCCCGAAATACGGGTGATGACCACGAAAAGTTGACGTGGTCCAGCGTCAATTTGCGCAAAACAGGTGTTGCATCTCCATTTGATTTGCAGAGGAACCACTGCCAACTTGAGGGGCGGAAGTAGTGATCCCCACATTGAACACGGAACTCCTCGAGAAGAGGAAATGGACCTTTGAGCACAATTCAGTGACCGAGAATCGCAAGAGCGGACTTTATTTACCTTGGATGTACTCCAGAGCCTCGACAGGTACGTCCAATGATTCAAAAGCAAATGATCTCCATCTGTGTTTCTGGGTGAGGAGATAGTAAAAGGCAACGTGGCCCCACTGAAGAGCCCTCTGAACAGTCCCATCATCTGGGTAAGAGCTCCGGTCGAACAGGTGACGCGGTCTCATATAGCTTGATATCATTCGGGGGCCCGAGCTTCTCGTTCGTCGGCGACCAATCTCTATATCGATGTCGAGTGGGACGCTATTTCCGGATCGGTCCACCCATATACGAATGATATCTGGTGAGCTGAGAACTGTTCCGCGGAAGCGGATAGTTGACCAAAGGTTCGGAAAGTCTAGAGCCATCTTTCTCCAGATCCGGCACACACTTGCGATGGTCCATGGTATCTTGCCTGTATAATCCGATAACCCCGATGCAAGGAATATTTCCCGATAGATTTCAAGAGGCAGTCGGCGGATGGGGGCGAGATAGCTGAGAGTCTGTCTCCTGTTTTCGCGAATGGCATCGCGCCTGGTGTGGTAGACAGAGATTTGTTCTTGAATTTGTTTCTTCTTCACTTCTAGTTCGGCTAAGGCCTCCTTTTCGAGTGCTTTGAGGCGTGCTAGGGCCTCTTCGTCAGCTCTAAGATCACGCCTGGCAGCTGCGATTTCTCTCGCATTCGGAAGTGTCTCTGTAGGATATTGTCTTCGAGGTGGTGAAGGCTCAGAATCCATCGTCTGCCCGTGCGAGCAGGCCTCCGAGTATGGTCAGGTCGAAGCCTGGCAGCGCGTGACCGCCGCCGTTTCAGGAGCAGGCTCACGTCTATAGGACTATATCTCAGGCTATGATGATGAATATATACAATGTTGAGAACTTTGTTGCACCGGTGGCACGCTGTCGACCGCACCTTGAACTCGTCGCCGCCAACGATAATGGCAAACCACGAAGAAGAAGCACTCGCAGTGCTGCATTCACAGCAACTAGAGGCCACTCAAGCAGCTGATATTGTCGACGAGCATGCCGCTGGTCCCACCACGCCGTTTGAAGCAGTCCAGTTGCGTTTGCAAGACCACCCACACGACACGGCAGCATGGCAGGAGTTGATTAACATTGCTGAGGACTCTGGAGATTACAAAATGATCAACGACGCATACACGGCGCTTCTCAAGGTGTACCCGAACACGGTTAGTGCAGCAAAACAAACATTGGTCCATATAGAGCTGGATGCTGACCATGAACTTTTTGTTTATATGACTCGTTGCCTTCTCAGGTTCATGCACAAATCGCATTCTTCAGACATGCTCAAAGGGCGCATCCCATAGGAAAGCCAAAGAGTACAGAACCTGACCCAATTCCAACACCTCAGACATTGTTTTCTCAATGGCTAAAGCAGTCACCAGAGATTGAGATGTGGAAACTCTATCTCGACTACGTCCGGTTTGTGATTGTCGGCTGAGTCCGATGATCGTTGCTAACTCGAACCGACAGCGCAAACCAGGCATCTCCACGCGATGTAATAAAGAAGGCGTATGAATTTGCACTTCGTTTTGTCGGCCAAGACCGTGAAGCGGGTGAAATTTGGAAAGACTATATCGAGTACATCAAGGCTGACCCAACGTCGAATGATCGCGAGGCCCAAGAGAAAATGGATCTCCTCAGAAGCGTGTATCGACGTGCTGTCCAGATTCCTCTTGACAATCTGGAGCAACTTTGGCGAGAGTGGGATGCGTTTGAGAATGGCCTCAACAAGATAACCGTGGGTTTACCATTCCTCTCGGTAATCAAACTTTAATGCTATCGGATAGGCCAAAAAGTTCCTTGCAGACGTGAGCCCTGACTACATGACTGCGAGAATGAAGAAGACGGAGCTATCCGAACACCACAAACGAATACATCTATACACACACCAGCCGTATCATGAGCGTGCACCCCTAGAGCTTCCTGTGCCACCGATTCTGCGCTCAGAGGAGCGTCTCCTGCTCGCCAACTGGCGCAAGTATCTCGAGTTTGAGGAGTCCAATCCTCTCGGAATAGAAGAGAAATCGATGTTGACTGCGAGACTTTTAGCAATCTACAGGAAAGCCGTAATCCGAATGCGTTTCTATCCAGAGATATGGCAAGTTTCATACGCACTCTATTTCGCTCATTAAATTGGATTTGCAGGTACCTCGCGTACATCTGGGCTCAGTCGGTCGGCAAGGCTGATGATGCGCAATTGTTTCTAAAGAGCGGTCTCGATGCAAACCCTGCGTCTTTTCTTCTCAATTTTGCATACAGCGAGCACCAGGAACAGGCAATGCTCAGCTTTCAGGCAACTGCAGGGGTGGATCCCAAAAAGGTAGAGGAGAAAAAAGCAGAAGGGCATGAGATTTTCAAAAAGTTTATTGGGGTCCTAAAGAAGGAGCTCGAAGACCTCGAAGCTCTCCACATTTCTGAAGGGGGAACCCCTATATCACAGCAGCCCGCGGGATCGCAGCCTATCCAAGCCCCAGCGCCGGCACCGATCAGTATCGAGGACGACTTGGCACTGAAGGAAAGCGAAGTTTACGGTACGATCGATCCCGCTATCGCAGAAGCAAAAGAACAAGAAAAGGCGCGGCAACTGGAGAATGAGCGAAGGGAGGCCATCTTGATTGCCAAACGCGTAGAGCTGGGTCAGGTCAGTATTGCGTGGATGCGGTACTCGAAACGAGTCGGACAGTCTGCCGGGCTTCGAAGTACGTTTCGGGAGATTCGCGCAGACAAATGGGTATGTTGGCAAGTCTTTGAAGCAGCAGGTATGCATCGACAGAACCCTTGTCACCTATATTGACAATGCCCGCAGCGCTCTTGGAACATCAAATCAGCCCTAATGCAGATGTAGCCGCCAAAATATTCGAGCTTGGTCTTCGTTTTTTCGGCTCAGACGTGGACTACGTCGTACGCTATCTCAACTTTCTCATCAACAAATGCGATGAAGCCAGTAAGTGCGCCAGCTTTTGTCCAGAACTTTGTCTTGACTGTGCAAGATGCGCGAGCGTTGTTTGAGAGAACCGTAACCGCGATGGATGCTGAGAAAGCGCGACCTATCTGGCTTAGATGGCTGCTGTATCAAATGAGCGTTGCAGATTTGCCGACATTGCACAAACTCGACAAGCGGGTAGCGGATGCGTATCCAAATGGTACGCATATATAGAAATATATAGCGGCAAGACTCACACCTTGCAGATCGGACTATGAAACTATTTGCCCAGCGCTACATGTATCTCGGAACAGAGGTCGTCACCCCACCGGCTGGAATCGACGCTATCGCATCACATGATTTGCAAACACCACTGAGAGTTCCATCCGTGCTCGCAGCTCAACAACCTCCAGTAGTCTCGACGCCGATACCGCCACCAAGCTCGCCCCCTCCATCTCACGCAAACGGAACATACTCGTATCCTCATCCATACAATCCTCCTGCGTCTTCTGTTCCCCCTAATGTCGCAGCAGCAGCGCCACGACACCCGAAAGTGGCCTCGCCCCATCCTCCCAAGCGGCCTCTTCCAGAGCCAGAGGCAGGTAACACTCCAAAAAGAGCACGACGCTCTCCGCCGCCGCCTGCTCAACGACGAGGTGTTCCGCCCCCAGCAGCGCCTCAGCGTAGATGGGGATCACCTCCGAGGGATAGTCGAAGGGATAGACCTCGTTCGCCTGATCGGCCAATGGTTCCACCGAGCGTTATGCGATTCCTCTCACAGCTTCCGAATCCTGCGACATATGATGGTGCGTTTTGGTTGTAATTCACTCTTAATGAGTGTTTGACTTGTTCCAGGACCAAAATTCAAGACGGATGAACTAATCAATGTGCTCATGCAAACGGCCCTTCCACCGCCTCCCCCTGTTGGCTCTCGGATAAGGAGCAGGTCTCCACCACCACCACCACGTGGTATGTCTCTGTCGCAGATCTCAAATCGGGCTCTCATCTTCCCTTAGCTACTCGTGGTGCTCCCGACTATGGACCCTATCAGGGCCCTGGAGGTCGGCCCCCTCGGAGATACTGAGCTTTCATATTGTTTCTGTGAGAGTATCCTGAATATGATCGCCGTGGTGTCTACCATCTGAATGTCGATTCCTATTCAGTATCAATACAAAGTGCCATGCCGCTCGTACTTTCGGGGACTAGATACTCCTAATAAGTTATACGTCAAGCACGAGCGTCTCTGGTCAATTGCTCTCAGGTGAATTGTATCTCACGTAACCTGAACTCCGTGACCACCTCAGATATCTATTTTCATTAGGCTACGACTCTTTCAACAATCCTATCAAACATTTCATATCATCAATGTCGCACAGCTCATCACATGGTGTCTGTTACAGAGGTACATCGGTCTCGAGTATCGACAGACTCAATGAGGGCAACCGATATGTCCTCAAGTCTACTCTCTTCAGTTTTTTTAGCTCAAACTATGCCTCGAGAGGCTCTCCAACCTCATCTCGAGCGCCTTCCAGAGCTTCGAAACGTAAAACGGCGTCACTTGCGCAGAAATATAGGATCAGAATTCGGAAAGCTCCTCTTCTTCTCGACTCACGCCGGATCAAACAGCGAGGATTTGACAAGCCCAAAGTGCTGCTTCGTCCATTGAGGCGAGCAGCTATAAATTACCAATCATCCTATTATATGGAGTCAGCAACTTATAATGCTGATATTGGGTGAGCAAGAGATACAGATATTCAAGGCCATTCACTCAACAGGGCAGCTTTGTAACCAGCCACGGTTGGTGGATTGTAGACTTCGATATGGATCACTACAACTAGAAGGCGTCGATCTCAACCACTTGGCACACATGCTCTCATAAGGACCAGGATTTATGTCCGCCTCCGGTGCGTTGGACGGACTGTAGTCGATTCCCATCTTTCAACATCAAAATATCCATCGTCAAACTCTTCAACGGTCTGGCATATCCAAGGATAGTGTTTTTCCCTACTGAATGGCCAGTATGTACCTGGTCAGTAATACTTTAAAATTTCTCAGACGTTCCGGATCGATGGTCCGTGATATCAAGTGGCACGATATTAAGGGAACTGTATATACCCCTTCCAAAGCTTCAGATGACGAAGATTATACCGTCTCCCTTGTCTGCACCCTCGGACTGACAAAGGTGCGCGGGAACGTAGCCAATGGGTGTACCTTGATAGCATTGTTCTACGGCGTAGTTGTTGGATATCTTGGCTGCGAGAAGCTGTGGCAAGGCGACTAGCATGTTGTTGCCAATGGACATGCGAGGACCATGGCGAACGTGATAGCAACAAGGACACATGGTTGCAATCCGTCGGGACCGGCTTGTTCAATATCAAGCCATCGCTAGATACCTCATCTGATCCAATACCAGTCGGACATCTTGCGGAGGCCGGTTCACGTCCCGAGCTAGGTGTATTACTATCTCATATCCTATCTACTGAGCATACCACCGTGGAATGGTCAGCCTATGCATTTGTATTCTTCTTCATTGACTGTTCGACAGGCGATCATTCTCACAACCGGGTGCTCAACTCGACACAGTGCTCTTTGGCCTCATAACAGCACCCTTCCTGTCTTCGCTGCACATCATTACTCTGGGAAGGCTTCCCGCTCTACGGCCATTGCACATATTGTGACAGCACTTCACCCCATTATTAGAGCTCTCATCAGATACTACCTCGCTCATCGACTTACCCCGAATGAACTTATGCCATCATGGATGCACGTCTTCGGTGCCATATACAATGATGATGGGATAGAGTTTGTTGCGTGCCACCCGATATGGTATTCAAAGAACCTTGCCGTAGGCCTGCCATGTGGGCTGGGTGCCACTACAAAACTACTTAATGTGAGTCACCTGTCGTTTATGAAGACAGGCACCTGGGACACTCGTCTCCCAACTCTTATATACGATGACAGAAGTGCCTCATACTATCCACACTATGCCGCTTGATAGTCAATTGAACACTTGACCTGATCCCTTACATTCACATTGTCCGTATCCGTCTGGAGTTTTCCATCAAGACTTCACTCGCGAGAAATTGAGATAAGGATAGTCAATGTATATAGATACAGGCCAGATTCGCAGCCATATCCTCCTTATCTCGCCATGATATTTCGGTGAGGTGATACAGGACGACTCTTACACGGCTGGATTCGGGACGTGAGTGTGGCGAGAGGTGCGACGAGAGAACCACTACTTACGGACTGGACCAACATAATCGTAGATCATTCTCGCGGTGACCGTCTCGTCGGGCGTGAAGAAGTGAACATGCCTAGACATTCCCATCAGCCGTCGCTCTCACATAACGGAACGAGCTCACCTAGAAAAGTACTTGACGCCATCAATCTCTTCAAATCCCCAGACTTGCTCTGCCGTCCATGTCTTGTTCGACTTTGGGGTGTCGCTACTGGCGGTCGTATAAATGAGACCCTTTTCGGCATCGAGCGTGTCTTTCGTCCAGTTCTTTTGGAGAAACTCGTACTTTCCGAGGACGGTGGATGGATCGGAGATGTCGCTCGCTGGGACGCGCTTGCTCATGCCGATGACCGGGCCAAAGACATAGTCTTCGTGAGGCCGAGGGAGACCGGAAAATGTCCTGTTCTCTTGCGTACCTATAGAAGTGTTAGGTTACGATTAGATATTCGAGTGGGATGCGTACTGGAGATTCCAGAGACGCTTTGGGTGACATCGATGTGCTCAAAGTCATCGCCGTCTCTGTCCTCTGGGAGTTTGGCGTCTGGGTCGGCGGCCTTTCCTAATATTTTGATAAGTTTATGACAGAGAAGGGTTGGGAATAGACTCGCCATAGTAGTGTGTCATATCAATCGTCAGGGTGGCGTATCCAATAATCTTGCGAGTGTACCAAGGAACGCCTTGGAGAGTGAGGATTCGATCCGTAGAGTCGGAGATGGTACGGTTCTATCGGAGCGGGCAGTGAAGGCGCAAGTCAATTGTACAGCGGCCAGGAAACGATATACATCAGTCTATGTCAATCTACCGAGATGATAGCTTTCTTACAAGCACAAAGCGGCCGCTGAGGTCGGCGGTGGTCATAGTCTCTGGAACGGCCATATTGTGAATAGGATCTCTGGCGAGGATGGGCTGCTTTTGAGCTCGTTGCGTAGAGTGGAAGTGGAGGGGTTTAAGGGGTGTAGTGTCGTAGCAACCGTGGAAGCGTAGTTTTATATGGCGCTGGATGTGGAGAGAGTTGAAAAGTGGATTGCACGTGCAACCGGCCTCGGCATCTGGACGAGGAGCTCCAACCGGAGAATTGAGCGCCAGAGAGTAAGATCCGTGTGACCTGGAGAAATGACATTGAAACGCGGGGGGGCCGCATTCGACAGCTCTCGGCTTGGTCCTCTTGAATGATTGGCAGACAAGCACATTCTAGAGACCTCCGGGTTTATATGCATTCTCGTTGAACAGAATCAGCTAGCAATGGGCGTGTTAGCTGCCTCGGCGTCGCCCATAAGATATTCGAATAGTTTCTGTAAATGGCTGTATGTTCTTGAGAGGGCCATAAGAAGACCAAGTATTCGCCTGAGGTCATCCACAGGCTCATCCATGGGGGGCTTGGTTCTAAGTTGCGTCAATACCCCATGGGGGATAGCCATTCTTGACGTCTTCCAGTTTACATTTAAATATCTTAGCCCCGCCAAGTACTGTCGAGTTTCGAGCTGACCTGACCGCAGTCTGGTGACCATCCAAACTTTGACCCAGCCTCAGCATCGCCTCAACCAACGAACCCTCTTCGCAGCTCGGAGGAAACCCTCTACGCCGATGCGCAGCTGTAGACTCTGCAACTCTACCTGAACCTTCGCTGCGGAGACGCTATGCAACAGCTAGCTCGACCCACCGCCTCTGACCGACTATAAAACACCCAGCAAGCTGAGATTGACAACAAGCAACACACAATGTCCATCCATTTACTCGCATCTAACAACTCTGTGCGCAACACGACACTCTCGTGCGATAGCATGGGGATCCACTACGAGGTCTCCAAGTCGAGTCAAACTGGAATCGTCTCTGTTCACCGCTGGGAGAGCACCTCCAATCAGAATGTACTTGCTGGCGAGATTGAATTCCACTGGTTCTCGGCAGACTTGCTTCGCATGGGCGACGGCGAATGGCGGAGGAGAAAGGATTTGCTGGCCAACGAGGAGAGGAATCCAATGTCTAGGTTCGTCAATTCTCTGCTTCTTTGCTTCTAAATCGTACTTACAAGATGACCATTAGAACACGGACATTCACGGGCAACAATGGAGTAAGGTACAAGTGGAAGTTCCATTGGGACTCTCTTCAGGTGAGAACCTTCAGTATCTCAGTTGATCCTGCATCTTACACACGTCCCAGCTCTGCCACGCAGACAGAGACGCCACGAACCAGGAAGCCTTGGTCGTCTACCACCGTCATTTTCTGCCAAACAAGCCGTCCTACCTCGAGATTCGCGATACGTCCGTTCTCCCAGGCCTGGATAGTATCATAGGTTCGTTTTCTTACTTTCCCATGAAAGCAGCTCACAATGATGTAGTAACCTTTCTGTATATGGAGAAGAAGCGGAGAGACCGCGACAAGGCTCAGCGACGCCATGGCGCAGGAGGAGGACCATAGTCTTCCCTAGATCAGCTCTCACCGAGATACTGTACGTTATCCATAGCGAATAAGAGTATCTAGCAACAAGGCTGATAAGAGGACTGGGTCAGAGAGCATAACATCTCCGTACTCCCCTCTTACTCAGGAACGATCGATACATCAAGTTATATACCATAGCTATCCCAACTTCAACTTAATCCGGTTCCTTCACCCGTTGTCAACTGAATCTCTCTCAGGAACGTCTCGAATTTGTCTTCGAGAATTTGCCACCCGTCAGAATCAAACCTGATTTTGTCCCCCGAGATCCAATTACCACTATCATCCCGTCGAATGAGTCCCCTACAATTGCCTATGATCATCCAAAGTTTGGGAAAGAGGGCTTTTATGCGCAGCATCAAGCCAGAGTCCGATACGGGCTGTATATCTACGTCGATGGATAGGAACTGCAACGTGAGACCGAGAGACTCGATGGCCTCCAGCTGTCTAAGCAAGTCGTCTTCCCGCCAAGTCCAAAGTGGACCCTTATAGGTGCTATAACAACAAGTACGAAGCGGAATTTTATCAATACTCAACCGGCCAAGGAATTGAATGCGTTTGAGATGGGGCGCAATATCTTGAAGAAACCTCGTCTGATCCCAGCTGCTTCCTTCGCACTGCACCCATATTATATTAAGATGGGTTATGTTCCCTGCATGGTGCCAGACAAGTCGCTCGACGTCCAAGCTGAAGAAGGGGAAACACATCCTTCTCACTGGTTGTGAGTATAGATTGCGAATGATTGTGTCTGGATAGTCGATGCTTATTCCAGTGAGATTGGGGAGATGAGTGGCACCTTCCCAGGCTCTGTCCAGTCCGTTATCGCCAGGGACGGACCATCTGAGTGAGGTAATAGTCTGCATGCACGGTGCAGCCAGGATCTGCAGGGCGTTGACATCCTTGGTTCCACCCCAACAGCACACGTGTAGTGCTTTTAATCTCCGTGTCGACAAATGCTTCAGGAATCCGAGTGTGAGTTCATGCCTGCTATAGAGCTCACAGTTGATTGTTAGTCGCTCCAAATTAGGGAATCCCGCCACTATTTTGCCTGCTATCGTCTCCAACTCTCTACATTGATCGATAGGGGTTCCCCTGATGATCCGTTCTCCACTCGATTTATCGATGAGGCCGCTGAACAAGGTGACATTGAGCTCCACGGTCAAAGAGATGAAGCTAAAAGATGATAGCGTCCTGTGCAGCTGGCCAATTTTTGGGATGATTGAACCATCAATAATCAAGTCGATGCGACGATAGAGAACAGGCGCGACAATAGCCCTGAATGTTCTTGAGACACAATATAATGAAGAAAGTGTCTCCTTATCCTCGCAAGAAAGGTAGGATATGATTTGCTCGAGAATTTCGACAGGTAGTTGCAGGCGCTGGTCAACACCGCGCAGTTCTGTGAGAGGTTATCATTATAAAACGTAGGCCAGATTTCAAAGATTTGGATATATACCTCGTTTGATACGTCTCCGGTATCCTAATCGCTGCAACTTTGCCACGATATGCATCGCAATGACAGCTTATCACCACAGTTTACAGATTTGAGATCTGAACTGGTACTACGTGTCGTCCAATCTGAATCGAAATTTGTGGAGTATGCGTGATATGATACTGTGATCAGTCTCCAAGAAGAAGTCACCACATCTACCACGCCGTTACCAGCCGAGTTCTCGCATTACATATGTGCATCATGGGTGCTCTGTACAGGCCGAAAGGGTGTCCATTCACACTGGATTTCAGGCGCAGACCAGGTTGGCCAAGTCCACTCAGACGCAATGACGATAATACCAATAGATCATTTGAGTATAGGAACTCAATCGTTTTCAGAAAGCTTATGGCTCTGGTATTTGGCGAGTTCTCATCGTCATAGTGTACAGTTCCAAACAAATAATACAACGTGACTCGCACTCTTCGAATCGTAACATAAACAAGCTGAGAAGACACTGCTCTGAGGTCACACAACGGCGAAATGCCAAATCAGAATAACCGCGCCATATTATTACTCGAGTTCCCCCCACCCAGGAACAATCAAGACATGGTGTTGTATACCAAAGCTATTCCCAATGTCGAAGTAACGTGATTCCTTCACCCATTCTGGATGGAATGTTCTGTAGGAAACTCTCGAACTCGTCTTCCAGAATCTGCCACCGGTCAGGATCAAATCTGACTTTGTCCCACGAGATCCAGTCGCCAATGTCATCCCGTCGAATGAGCCCGCTACCTTTAGAAGGCAGGATAATTCGGAGATTGGGGAAAAGATTCTCAATGCGTGGGATCAGGCTAGAATATGCCAGGAAGTGTGGGTCGATATCCGTGTATAGAAACTGAAGTGTGGGACCGAGACACTGGATGGTCTCAAGGTGTACATACAACTCGGTTGGCTAGCACGAGAGAGACTCAGCCTTTACTCAAGCAAAGAGGATGACGACTTACCGGCATACCATACGTGATCAACCGGCCAAGGAATCGGATGCGCTTGAGATGCGGTGCAATTTCTTGGAAAAATATCCACCCAGGGCTTCCCAGAATATTCAGATGGGTTATGTTCTGTGCATGGTGTCGAACTAGTCGTTCAGCGTCCGAGTCGAAGAATCGGAAATCCATCCTGTTCATTCGTCGTGAGTAAAGAATATCCGTAAGCGCTCTCGAATGATCGATGCCTATCCGCGAAAGATTAGGAAAATTGGTAGAGGATTCCGTGGTTCTGTCGAGAGGTCGGTTTTCGCGTGACCTGAAGAGGGTCCATCCAATTGAAGTCACAGTCTGCATGCATGGGGCAGCCGAAATCTTTACAAGATCGATATTCACTCCTGTACACCGACAGCGAACATCCAACACTTTGAGTTTCCGCGTCGATAATCGCTCGAGGAATTCGAGTGTTTGGATGTGCCCACCATGAAGTTCACAATCCAATTTTAATTGCTTCAGGTTGGGAAACCGTGTGGCTACTTTTCCTGCCATCTCCTCCAATCGCCTACATTGCCGCATGGAGGTTGCATATGGCACCCTCAGGCCAGTGGATCTAAGAATCTGGCCATCGAACAAAGTGAGATTGAGCTCCGTGGTATAAGAGATGAGATTGGGATGCGATAACATCTTGGGCAGCTGGACCATCTTGTGGAGAATTTGAAGGTCGATGATGAGGTCGATGCAACGATAGAGCGCAGGAGCAACAATAGTCCTAAATGCCCTTGAGGCGGAGTATAGTGAGAATAACGTCTTCCTATCTTTAAAAGGAAGATATAAAAGGATTTGCTCCAGGATCTCGACCGGGAGTTGCAAGCGCTGGTCCACATCACGCAGTTCTGCAGGAATTCGACTAGTAAGAAGGAAAATACGTTTAAAAGTCAGAATCTTACCTTTTTCGATGCGTTTACGGTATCCCAGCCCTTGTAGCTTGGCCACGAGATGCATCCCCGTCAGTAAAACCTCTATTTCCTTGGTCTCAAGTCAAAGTTTGGTGGTTTTGTGTTCCAGAAATTATGAATATACGTGTTGTCCGATTCGGATCAGCGAAGGCTCGAGGCGAACCCAGACCAACCTTGGCACGACCAACACGAACAAATAGCTGATTGAGTGCTTGTTATAATAATAACTCCAGGAACCACCAAAGTCGCCCAGAGGGTCGGGTGGAACTACGGATCATTCGCTTTGACGCCTGAAAGTATGGCTATCATGACACGAGTTCAGCGTCTTTCCGCAGCGGTGGCGCTGCACTCGAAAGAGGTGAAAAACGGAGATTCTCAGCTCTGGAGATCGCCCTGGAAGGACGCACTTTCCAGCGAAACTAAATTCGGATCGGCGTCAAAGTTCCGCTTTCCCCAGATATTCTGGATATGTCGTTTTGTACTTCTTGCCAGTGCAGCGCCACCGCCAGGTAAGATATTGGACTCGCACCGTTTCTTACTGCAGTTGTAAGAGTTCAGCGCGGTCAGCGAAGCATGGCGCCGCCCCCGCCTGGTTACCCTATGTTCTCAATCGCGAACAGAAACCAATTCGTACTCCTCGAATTGCATCATCGAGGCCGACTAGAGGACTAGGCTCAGTTTAAAAGACATCAATAAAAGCGGGAGATCAGGACGAGGAAGACGTCTTCACACTGTATCAATCAGTATATCAAGTTATACAGTACGATGATTGCAACTCCGACCTTAAGAGAGAACAACCCCACCCTTCGCAAGCGGAAAGTCTCCTAGGAGGCTCTCAATGCTATCCTCGAGAACCTGCTATTGGAGAAGATCAAATATGGCCTCTTTCCATATGATCCAGTCTTCAGTCACATCTTGTCGAATGAATCCGCCTTGCTCGAAAAGGAGAATGACACGCAGTTTCGGAAACAGTGTTTCAATGCGCGGAACCGTGCCGAGAAGCCACGATGGTTCCCTATCGATAGACATGTGTAGAAACTTGAGTGTGGTTCGGAGACATTTGAGAGCCGCAAGCCGTTTAAAGAGCTGCTCTTGCTACCGAGTCAACCGCGGGCGAGAATCAGGCTGTGGTTCAATCAAAGAGAGTGAAGAGAACTCACCGTGGTATAGTCCATATTCAGCATGCCAAGGAATTCAAGATGTTTAAGATCGGGTGCTATATCTTGAAGAAGCGGCCTGAGATCATCGCCGAGCCGGTCACAGCCGACTATATTGAGATGAGTCAAGTGCCCTGCGTGAAGCCGAATCAACTGCTGGATGTACGGGTCGTAGTAACGGATATCCATCCTTCTCACTGGTCGTGAGTGAATAATGCCGGTGATTGAACATGCGCTTGGATGATCGAGACCTATTCTATCAAGATTGGGTAGATAAGCGACGTTTTCCCAGAATCTGTTGTCCAATATGTCGCCAGGCAGACAGGGGACGGACCATCCGAGTGAAGTGACCGTCTGCAAGCACGGGGCGGACAAAATCTTCTCTGGGTTGAAATCGAATCCCATACACAGACAGCGAATATACAGCACTTTCAATCTCCGTGTCGACAAGCGCTCGAAGAATCTAACTGTCTTGGCATACCCGCCAAACATGCCACAGTCAACTTTTAATCGTTCAAGATTAAGAAGTACCATCGCTGTTTTGCCTGCTATCGCCTCCAGTCGCCTAGATTGCCGCCTCGAGGGTACTTCAATCCTCCTCCTCCCGCTGGATCTGTTGATCTCGCCATCGAATAAAGTAAGATTAAGCTCTACAATATAAAATATGAGGTTCGGAGATGATAAAACCTTGGGTAGTCGGATACGTTTTTGGAGGACTGGGAGGTCGATGATGAAATTGAGGCAACAATAGAGGACAGGAGAAACGATAGCCCTGAATGTTCTTGAGGCAGAATATAATGAGAATAAAGTCCTCCTATCTTCACGAGGAAGATATGAAAGGATTTGCTTCAGGATCTCGACCGGGAGTTGCAAGCGTTGGTCCACATCGCGGAGTTCTACGGGTATAGATCAATAAAAATGGGAAGATAAGTTGAAAAGACGAGGTGTTTACCTTTTTTGATGCGCTTACGGTATCCTAGCCCTTGTAGCTTGGCTACGAAATGCATCCGGTACACGCTCTCCATCACCTAACTGTTCCGAAGCAAGCCGATTGTAATAGCTTCGGATTCACCTGGCGTTATAAAATACACCTTATCCAATCCGGACGGAGGCTGTGGAGGCGCAGGCCAAGCTCGAAGAAGCCATTCAGACCCAACGTCGACCCCGCTCCATAGTTGACTGGGCGCTCGGACGAAAATGAACTCTCATCTCAAGGTTACGAGTCTAGGAAGGGTGGTATGGCGTCACTATGAATGACTCCACTGTATACGTTGATGCTCCATCCACACAAACGGCTTTACCGGTACTCACGGCCGAGCTCACTCAAACATGAAGAAATGTACTGCTTCCTACGATCGCTGGGGGTCCACTAGGAGACACTACGCAATGTTCAACTATACTTAGCTAGCCGTCGCTATAAGTCTTCCGCGGGAAGATGACCGCCATGAAAAGCTTTCGCCATGTCTATCCGCCTGGTAATGTCTAGTGATTCCCTGCACAACACGACGTTTTCGTGCGATAATATGGGCATCCATTACGACGTATCCAAGGAGGATAAAGCCATATCTATTTACCGCTGGGATAATAGATTCAACCAGAAGATCCTCGTCGGCCAGATCCAATTTCACTTAATTGGCAACGACCAAGTCCGCATAGGGCAACATGGAGAGTGGAGGAAAAGAAGAGACATTCTGACCACAGAGGGAGGCAGTTCAATGTCTAGGTCTGCATCCCCGCCTATCAATAGGCGCACTGACTTTGATCCTCAGAGCGCGAACATTTCATGGGAATGATGGCGTTAAGTATAGATGGAAATTTCACTGGGATTCGCTCCGGGTGGGTGATTAGATCATGCCTCTTACCTCGCTCATCACATTTCAATAGCTTTGCTATGCGGACAAGAATGCGCCTAATCAAGAACCTCTGCTCATATACCACCAATCCAGTTCGTCAAGAACGCAATCGTACCTTGAAATTCATGATCCCACGATTCTGCCAGCACTCGACAGCATTATTGGTTCGTCAGGTACTGTTTAGGCTCGATTACATATCTAATAGACATACAGTCACATTTGTTGTAATGGAGAAGAAACGTAGGGACTCCGACGAGGCCGCATAATGGTACAGGGCTGCCCAGAATTTGAATCGCCATATTCGTCAAGGACTGTACGCACAAGCAAAGTCAGATGGCGGGATTTCCTGTAGAGTAGATCTGCCAATCGATTCATTCACGTTTACAGGCTTGGCTCAGGATCCCAACGTCGCAAGAAAGGCGGTGATACAGGCGGCAGGTGCACAGGGTAGACGGTGTTCTACTCTTAGCTCGTGTCTAAGTCATTGCCAGTACATTAATCATACCTTTCGTAGGATGTTGGCTCCGTGTTGCTGCCACCTGTCGTAGTCTATCTCCACCTATGTCGCACAGACAAGCTCAGGGTGCAAACGCCACCGCGGAAGCCCATAGCCTGCAACTCTCTTGTGACCTACACGACTTTGTATTAAACCACCGGAAGCCATAGGCCCCCTCCGCCCATCGGAAACGTCACTTCCAGATGCAACCAACACCCTTGTTGCCCATTGGACGAACATAATTGCAGCTATCAGCGGTTTCTTTCTTTCCCAGCAGTTCCAGTGTGGTCTCGAGAGGATCTTGCAGAAGAGGCATCACTCCACCTCAGTATTTGTTGGGATGAAATTTGAGGATCCTATCGTACGTCCTGTCCGATTCCTACGGAGTCTAGCTTATGGAGACGTAGGCCAAGCTGTAGATGCCGGCCGGATTACACAACGTCAATACTTGGCCTGTGCGCTCGAATGAAAAGGAATGCTTATCGCAAAGTCATGAGTCAGGAAGAGGTGGTCCGGCACCACTATGAATCACTCCACCGTGTACTTTGATGCTCCATCCATACAAACGGCGTTACCGGGACTCAATCTAGGATCATCGAAATATGAGGGAATTTACAGCCTCGCAATCGCTGGGGCTTCACTTGGAGACTCTACGCAATGTTCGAAATAGTTAGCTTAGTACCGTTATAAGTCCCCTCTGAAGGAAGATAAGCTGTCGTAAACAACTTCTCATCATGTCCATTCGCCTGCTCATTTCTAGCGATTCCCTGCGCAACACGACGTTCTCATGTGACAGTATGGGTATCCATTACGACGTATCAAAGGAAGGCGACATCGTATCTATCTACCGCTGGGAAAGTAAATCGAACCAGAAGGTCCTCGTCGGCCAAATCCAGTTTCACTTGGTGTCCCTTAATTTGAACGACAAAGTCCGCATAGGAGAAAACGGAGAGTGGAAGAAGAGGAAAGACGTTTTGACTTTAGACGGAGGCAATTTTATGTCTAGGTATGCATTCTGGCCATATCCCGCACATCACGCGTAGTGACCTTGATCCTTAGAGCGCGAACGTTTGAGGGTAATGATGGTGTCAGATATAAATGGAAGCTTCACTGGGAATCACTCCAAGTGAGTAAATCGGTCATTTAGTACCCCTAGCTCACACTTCGATAGCTCTGCTATGCGGACAAGGACGGACCTAATCAAGGTCCTCTGCTTGTATACCACCGAAACATTTTACCCGGAAAGGAATCATACCTGGAAATTCGTGATACGTCGATTCTACCCACACTCGACAACATTATTGGTTCGTTAGGGTGCTTTTCTACCTGATAGAGTAGCTAATGAGCATACAGTGACATTTCTTATAATGGAGAAGAAGCGTAGAGAATTCGACGAGACTGCAGCCGCGTGAAGAAAGAACAAGGATGTAGACTAGATCTTTAGACCGCTTGGCAGGGCCAACATGAACGTATGCTATGTCCGGCGATGAGAATGACTGCGCGGGACATAAGAGGGTTTTGGCCGTTGATCCCAATGAGATTATGACCGATGCAACCCTTTGACCAGGAGTTAGCTCCGAATCGCTCCCATGTATTCGAAGCTATCTCCGCTCTGATATAACTCGTATCTCCGGACAAGACGGGAAGCAAATCCCACCCCTGCAGGTCGGTGGCCTCCAAGGACGTTTTTGTGAGCTTGGAGGGTCACTTTCGATGGTCAAAGGCATAAATGGGCTCTTCGCACTCTCGACAACCCAATCTGTAGTCAAATACTGCTTTCTTCCTTTCAGTGCATCCCATTGTATAATGTACGACCAGAGTTTGGATACGTGAGGGACAGGAATAACATAGAGGGGAAAATGAACTCGTCTCCAACCGTCGTTATACACCTAAGGGCATCTTATCTGTCTTTGTCTCCGATGTGACGGCGCTGGCGATCTGAGCATGCACCTGCTTGATCTTGCGAATATTACGGTTCAATTAAGCCCTCTAATTTTTTATTCCAGGCGTGACGGCCTCAACTCACCGATACAAAGGCTGCGAGCACATCGGCAATTACGGTAACACGCGGCGCACGCGCCCAGGGTGAACTATTGTGCGATACTGGGCTGAAATCGAGTCTGGCCTCATGAATTCCATACACATCTCATTTCTGTTGCTCCCGCCTGTCGGAGTTGGTCACTACATTGACAAATGATGGGACTCGGAAGGCAGAAGTCACCCTATAGATGCATACTATATAAGGGTCCTTGATATTTCCAGACCTCCTGCAGACTGCGCGATCCGAGTTACCCCACAAAAGACACACACAACCCAGCCATCGAAAAATGCCCATCCCCGACGCAATCAACGCCCTCATTGTCCTCTCAATAATCAACGGCGCGGCTATTGCCAGCCTCTCCCTTCGTTACATCTCATCCTACAACGCGCGACCAGAGTTTGCATACGTATGGGGCCTCATAGCGCTAACGACCTTTCACCACGCATACGTGTACGACGAGAGCGGTCCTCAGATCTCACAAACGGACAATAATAGACACGGAAATACTACAGACGAGAGGAGGGATGTGTACCCACCGGCCCTCCTGCAAACACTCCATCTCAGCTACGTTTTCATCCTTGCGATGATGTGGGTCGTCTGGGCATGGAATCCCCTCATCCTGGAGCTCCTCCGGCCATATCGACTACTTGACCTGCTCATTCCAGGCGTCGTCCTGGGAATTTGCGCAATGGTCGAGGGTGCCTTGCTCTGGATAATATTTGGGCTCTGCTTGGCACAACGTCGCGCAGAGCTCATAGAGTCACTTATGAGACGATCACAGAGTGAACTGGAGAAAGAGCCTGAAGATCCGCGGTTGGAGGACGTTGCTGGAGAAAAGGATAGTGATGACGGGAGCTAGCTAATATGGCGTGGGAGTCTAGATCTACGGCCTTTGGATGTTGAATCATGTTGATTACATTTATGCAAATTTTTCGGACGACGACAAGTGTAGCCCACATGATATGAGACCGCCCATCGGCCCGGCTGGTTGCTGGTTTTTCATACAGTAAACCATGGTGACACAAGTTGACATTTGGTGGACAAATAGGCGATAGCACTAGTTTATCAGAAGGTAGAATTATAAAGTATGAGGTTCCGTCTCTCGGAGGGTTCAGGGGGACCGACGTTGGGCATCGCCTTACACGGCAATAACCAGCTTTTGGCGAGCAAGGCAGGTCTACTCGAGGTACAAAAAATAAATGAGAAACCCTGGAGTTGGGGCACTCCAACACAATCGAATGAGATCCTGTGCCTTGCACAACACGCTTGAGGCGACTGGCGTTACCCACGCCACTCCCTACCTCGATAGGTTTCGGGCTGGAAAGCGCTCGTTGTACACGTAAGCTGCAAGGAATCAACCAATCTAGCGTTTAGATTTAGGTTCGCCTAGGGATGGCTGTCCCTCATTCGCGTGCCAATGGCCGGTGGACCTTTATCCTAGATTTTCGAGCTGCATGGCATTGGAGAATAGGACCACTAGTCACTCTCTCTGCCATGTGCACAGCCTAGAACTCGGAGGAAGATATTTTAGAGGCAGGAGAGAATTAGACATCCGGTGTAAGCCACCAGCAGTGGAGAGACGAATCCACGCGCGCCGTCCACAATCCTCGTACCTCTCGTAAGACACCACTCTGAATGCTACAAATTCAGGTGCGCAGTCCGCTCTCAGGGGGAAGGAGGGTATTGGATCGCGATCCCGTCTATCCCGCAAAATCGATAACGGCCGCTCCACTGATGATTCGATAGGCCTGGGTGGTGGGGTGTAGCCCAAGGAAACGGACGTAGAGACACAGAGGACAACAAGACGAGACGAGCCCAGGCGGAGAACGGCCCTCCCCAATGCACGTCCCGACCCAAAAATCACGACTCAGGAGTTGTCCGGACCGTGCATAGAAACGTTCTGGTGGAAGGCTGGGCTCATTGACAACGCGCTGGCTGGGGACATCAAACAAGGTTTGTACAGTCTCAAGACTTACTGGGGAATGCCGACGCCTTTGGCAATTGCATCCTGAGAAGTTGCGAGGGCGCTGGCTCTCCATCGCGTCCCCGAAATGCGCCCGCCTGCACACGACAGGGAGAGATGAAGATGACGACGAAGGGTATACTTTTTTTTCATATATTCCATGCGGATGCACATTGTGTGTGATTTCTTGGGAGATTGCAGGGCGACGAAGAGGTGAGCTGCTGGCTGCCTGGCCTTTTGAAGCTGTACATTGATTGGTTACAAGGTTTTCAGTATAAATACACCAAGGCCAAGCGGTCTCCCGTCGCACTCCAACTTGGACCCTACCATCGTCTCTCCCCTGGCTCTACAACAAGCTAAAGCACTCTCAAATGTCCAAGCAAATCCACCTTGATAACAAGCGCTCGCCCGTCGTCGACGAGTACCATGTACGTCGTGCGCCTCGTCGCTGACGGTGTGCACGACGTTGCTGACGTCCTCTTCTTGCCTTTTTTTCTTATTCCTCTAGTTTTCTCGTCTCAACGATGCCCTTGAGCCATATGCGCGGTATGTCCTTCCTTGCTCGGCAACTCAAACACCGCGCTCCTCGTCGTTTGCTCTCTTTGCTGAGATGCCTTGTTCGTCTACAGCGCCGTACAAAGTTGCTGGTCTAGCTGTCGCTGCGTTCGACTCTACTGCACCGTTCCGACGTGCCCATCGAGCAATGCTGGTGCGTCCTCCTGTCACCGTCCCGTCCGGAGCTTACAATTTCCTTCTGTCTCTTCATGCGTATGCGCTTCTACAACTTTGTTCGAAACCCCAACGCGCTCAACGCTCACCGCCTCATGGTCCACAAACATCAACGCTTCCGGTCACGCGCTAAACCCATACATCGTTGATGCGAAAAATGACGTGCGGGTGGCATCCGAAACACATGCTTTTTCGCACTACTATTGGTGGTGGAAAACAGACTTGCATGACCTCAAAGACCTCCAGTCGCGATGCTTTGGATTCATTCATGCTCTCGTAAAGTTACTCAGGACAAGCGGGGTGCGTCCCACTTCGCCTCTCTCCCCCCCCAAAATCCGGCCCATCAATGATGTCAACCGCATTCTCCCCGTTCCTAGTTCTCATCCACATCTAGCCCTCTCAACGGGTTTGTTTGTGTTGATTCTGACCAAAGCTCCGTCAATAGGTTTACGCTAGTTACCACCTTACGTTTGCACCAACGTCCCAAGTCGTTGTGCGTGCCCTCGACGCTCAACATACTTGCGGACAGGATCACCATTGTGAAGACGAAAAGGTCGCCCTCGAGCGAGCTAGTGCTTGTGACCCGTGAGTGATCCCGTGCAATAATCCTCTACATCCTGTGGCCACCATAGGTCATCGGGTACACATTTCCCCGCATTTTCGCTTCTGGATTACGTGATGGACTGCCCTCCTGTTCCAGGGTACGCTCTGGGCGGGATGCCTGGTCCGGACTCTTCGCGTCACGTTACCCGTGCACGTCAATTCCTCCCGCCTCGATGTCACCCCTCGTGATTTCGTGCCGATATTAACGCATCCTTTTAGGCATACGGCGACCGTTCTTGTCCTGCACGACACGCCAGTCCTCGTCGCCAGCTGATCAACTAGAGACCTCGTGCACCCTCGTTGTTTTTCTTGCATGCCGTGCAAATGGACACACGTCTCTCTCTCTCTCTGGGAAGACCATTTGGCGCACCTCCTTTTCCCCTGGTTTCTAATCTCACCACCCTTTTCCTCGCATAGACCTTCTTTTTCTCTCTCTTGCATCCCAGCAATCTCAATCTCCAATAGGCAGCACAAGCACTGCTGGCTTATTGGAGATGTCGTTTCCTGGTCCTTCTTAGCGCTGGTCTACCACACTGCTGTATATCTCTCACCTCGCGCATCTTGCAATTCTTCCTCCTTTTCCTTTCTTGCCAAAATGTACGACCAATGCTCGTCTCCGTCTTGGATTCCAACTCTTGCTCCCCCTTTTTTTTTTTACTCTTTCGTCGTGCAATGATATACGTTTGACACACAACATTTGATCTGAAATCACGACTCCGGTTAATAGCAACTGGCGAGTGAGTATGATACGACGAATGTGATTGGCCCAAGCGTGCGAAACTCGCGAAACGCCCATTGCCGGAATTATGGATCGACCTTTGGAAAAAAAGGCCAAAGCGAGCAGCTTTGTTGGCTCCTTCCACGTCTCACCAGATTATCTGGCCGTCGTCTGCTCTCATCCACGACGCGTATATTATTCTAGCTCGCTGATCTACACGTCTTGTCATTCACTGCTGCAATGCGCGATCCCTCGAGCATGATGCCAAACCTCGCCAACACGCTCCTCGCGCTCCCATTTATGCCCACAGATTCGTTTCCGACATACCTGACACAGTGGCAGCCCGGCGTGACGCCGTTGAGCACGACTCCCGTCGTCTTGTCCGTGATTGCGGGCTACCTTGCGACCATTTTCACCATTCGGTATTTGCTCAAGGACAAACAGGCCTATGTGCTCAATACCTGGTTCCGTGCGCATAATATTGTCCTCTCCGTCGGCAGCGGTCTGTTGCTTGCGCTCATGGCAGAGGAGATTGGTCCGCTCGTGTGGAAGCATGGGTTCCGTTGGGCTATTTGCGATAGTGCTGCGTGGACGCCGGTGAGTGGATTATTCGATTTACCCCGCAGCGCCGTGAGATGTGCTGACGCGTTTGGCTTGCGTTTAGAGGATGGAGTTTTACTATATCATCAATTATTACATCAAATATGTTGAACTCATTGACACTGTCTTCTTGGCCCTCAAGAAAAAGCCTCTTGGTAGGTTTCGACACTTGGTTGATACGGTTACTCATGGTCGATAGCATTCCTCCACGTTTTTCATCATGCTGCAACTGCTTTGTTGTGCTACAACCAGCTCAATGGGAAGACTTCGGTTGTGCGTACGCTTCTACCATGATTCCAGGCCCACGAGTGATCTAACGCTTTGATCAGTCCTGGACAGTCATCACCCTCAACCTTGCCGTGCACGTCGTAATGTGTAAGTTCTCAACAGTCCTACTACAGTCGGTCCTGACTTGCTGCAGATTACTATTATTATGGCACGGCCGGTGGACGCCGCTTCTGGGTACACATCCCCTTCACATCTTGGGCGATTTCTAACTCTCTCGTAGTGGAAGCGCCATGTTACCACGATGCAAATCACCCAATTCATCATCGACCTCTGCATCGTCTACTACGCCACCTTCCAACTCTTTGCTTTCCGTACGTCCACCCTCCATCTCCTGTCACTGATATTGACATCTCCCTAGGCGACCAAGCGAAGTATCCATGGCTCCCCTCTGTGCGTGCAGACTGCGCCGGTACAAAGGACGCAGCCATCTTCGGATGCGGTCTTCTCTCGTCCTACCTCTTCCTCTTCATCGAATTCTTCATTCGAACCTACATCATCAAAGGCAACAAGTCTGCCCGCTCGGCTTCTGGTGCCGCCAAGCACAGTGCCAAAAAAGTGGCCAATGGCGTCAGCAATGGGCATGCGTACGCCAATGGAAACGGAGTCGCGTGAGTTTCTAGTTTGCTTCACCTTGTATTTGCATTGACTGTTGCATAGGAAAAAGGCAGATCTTTGAGTCTCTCGTCTTGTCACCAACGTTTAGAAGTCGCCGACGTTGGCAAAATCCTACCACGATCTTACGCTGTTTTAATGTCTGTGGATATCAAGGACCTGCTAATATATTTGTGTAGTCGGCACCTAATTCAGCTTGAGTTCTGGAATGATAAATATTTGTGGTATTACACAGCGACTCGACACGAAGACACAAGGAGGACGTAATACTAACGTTTAAACAAGCCTCTAATACGTCCCCATGCCGAGGCTCTAGCATGTGGAGGCTGAGACGGCGACGGAGCGTTGGTAATAGCACCATACCCACTCAACCTCGCCGAATCATGCACACCAGGCGAGCTCAACGATCCCCCATGCTCATGATCCAAACTCGGCCGTCGGCGCACATCACTCTCGCTCACCGTCCGTCGCGCGCGGCCCATGCTATCAATCGAATACGTCGCACTCGACACTCTCCTCCGCTCACTCGGCACGAGCGCAAACCCAGGACTTGTCGCGCTCAACCCAATCGACAACCCGGCCGTCGTCCCTGCGGGCGTCTCAAAGATGCTCGACCATTTCCTTCGCGCGCGGTGTGCGTGGTGCGCGTCTGGTGATGTTGGAGAACCCAGTCCGTGACCGTGTCCAAGTTCGCTTCCAGCACCGTATCGTCCAGGACGTGTTCCACGTGTTGTTGGTGAGCGGACTGAAGGGAATGGCGTCGTCGTGGTAGTAGAAGGATGTGTGTCGTGTAGGAGCGGCGATACATCCTCTTCACGCTCGCGTTCGAGGTCAGCCGAACCAGGAGATGTGCTGAGGAAGAGCTGTGGGACCGCGTCTGTCGTAACGCCACGCGCGTATGGGCGGCTACGTCGTCGTATGTGTGTAGGGCTTGATGGTGGGCTTTCGGTAAGCCCCGATGTGACGACAGCAGACTCGGTGCCAGTGACCTCTGCAGTCAGAACTTCTGCACCCTCTTGCCATGTCCCCACTTCCACTCTCGATCCGCCACTTGGCTGCATACTCACAGCCCAGACTCCAAGAAGGAGAATGGTGATTCCGAGAAGGACCATTGAGAGCTTGAGGGGTGAAAGCAATGCAAACTGGTCATAGTATACCAGTCCGTTGAAGATGGAGCTGAGGTTGTAGAAACAAAATGCCAGTGGGCAAACGAGGGTCGGGTCAGCGAGGATGAGTGACTTGTGCATGTACCACAGCTGGAGGAGTGCGAAGACCACCAAGCCTCCAACGAGCATCCACGACTCCCACCGGAAGAATTGGTTATCACCAGTAATGGTGAGAACAAGCAATTCGACGCCCGACTTTGCAAACAGAAGACACATCCCACTAAGAATACCCGACGCGGACGCAAAGCTAATGGCGACCCACATCTTAGTGCGTGCAATCCGCTTCTCGTGCGCGTTCATCGCCGCGAGAGATGTTTGAGACTTGTTGTCCATCATCAGGAGCGGCGTGCGCTCAGTTGATGCAGCGGCTTGCGACTCTTCGAGCTCATGCGCACGTTCGCCACCCTCAATCTCCATTGGGTCCAGGGTAGGAGAGTCGTAGATAAACTCGGCAGGTATCCGTGATTCTGCGATATGCGTCTGAATTTGCTTGAGCGGCAAGCACGTGCAAATAGGAATCGACGTACGACAATCAGGATAATGCCCAGTGCAGATCCCAGTAAGGAAAAGTACACCACAAAGGTATGCCTCGAGAATAGCTTCAAGAGGTCTTCCAGCGAGTGAGTCGGCTCCGGAACCGTGCCGAATATGGCAATAAGAACAGCACCTCCTGCAATAAGAACGGTCCCTAGCACCATGTAACGTGAGAATACATCTCCAAGGAGGATCTTGGCGAAAAGTGCGTTCCATAATAACGAGACAGCCCCAAGTGGGGCGAGGATGACGACTGGAAGACTTGCAATCTGGAACACAGATCCAAGAATATTAGATGTGATAAATATGGCAAAGCCAATGAGCCAAAGTCTGTCAAATGGGGTTGCAGTCAGCTCGAGCTCTGCACGCAAGGCATCCAAAAGTAAGATGAACAATAAAGAGTGGTGAAATGATGTGAACAACAGCTCGTAAAACGTACGGTCGTTTCCTTTCGGGGCGTTTCTCCTCCTCGGGCAACGACTCGTTCATGAGATGGCTCTTCCTCTGCATTGTAAGTCCAGCGGACTGGATAAACGAGGTCACCAAGCCGACTGTGATCCCCTGTAGGTGCATTAATCCAACTTCAGGCGCTGAATTGCTGGACCAACCACCGCGACTGAGATTGTTGGCGGGTCTCCATTTGTCAATGTGAACATTGTACTTGACGATTAGTCGAGTAATTCTGCGCGCGTTGCTTGCACTTCCGGAGCGACGCCAGGAAGCACGCGGGATCGCGCCGACGACAAAGGGGCGATTGAGAAATGAACAAGTACGAGACTTTGGTATCTCTGAAGAGTGTCACAGTATATTTCTGTCTCAATATTTAGTCGGGTTTTTAGCCTAGTCGTGCGGTTGAGGAGGTAGTCAAGCTGGACACTCGGAGCCCGATGGTCAAACGCTCATGAAATAACAATAGGTCGTATGAATAATGCTTTCATAAGAATTACAAAACGTGCAATGGAAACCTTCTTTCCTTTCATCTTTCGATCAGCAATCTTATGCCTCCTCCTTGGCCAACTCGTGGGCCATTCTGTTCTGTCGTCGGCGGTGGTGGACGAGGATGCAGAAGATGCCGAGGCAGACAAAGCACTCGACATATCCCAAAAGTCCCTGCACTCCGTGAAGAATTCCGAGCTCGACGACGACGGGTTTGGCACCCTGGAGCTCTGGGTCGTCCTTGACGTGGAGGAAGAAGACGGACAGTCCCAGGGGAACCCAGGAGAGACCGAACCACACCATGAAGAGGAGGAATGTTGCGATGAGCGATGCCATATGGGTGAGACACGCCGGGCATGCGAGCGGTGCGTTTAGTGGGTCCTCTGCCTCTGCTTTGCGCTCGGAACGCGCCATCATGAGGAAGACGATGTGATGAAGCAGGGTGATACCGACGAGCGTACCCGATACGACGGTGATGATGTAGCCTCCCATCTTGATTTGGAGGGCGATTGTCAACGTCAAGAGGACGAGGACGAGGAAGAGGGACGCGAGCATCGTCCACCTGACTGAGGGAGGGAATGTTCGTGACATTTTTGTTTCTAGATGTGACTTGTTTTCGTTTGAAGCAAAAGGTTGGCTGGTAAATGGGCGACTTGCGCGGACGAAAGAAAGTAGTAGTGGGACGACCAGGCGTGAAAGTCAGACACTACAGCAGTATGAGAGCCTTATATTGTCCATCATATCATTACGCGGGCTCAATCACCCAGACATCGCAGACGCACCGCTTGGTTCACAGGCATCCCAGGCCAGTGCACAGCGGTCATCTTTGGGCGCAAATGAGAATAATTTTGCATCCTTTGCATAAAGAACCACTTGGACCTGTACCATCGCAACGAGAAACCCGGAATGTTGTACCTGAATCCAAGGGTCGATGGTTTATGAGCACATATCTGCCTGACTTCATGTATGTTTCGCCTAGAAACTGATGGATCGCTTAGTATCAAGACGCAGTACTTGTTCTTGCTCCTCGGAATCTGCGAATATGCTTTCTTAGACACTGCTGATTTAAACAAATGCTGTCATAAGCATTCTACCCGTTAAAATCGGTCGCCATATGCCCGACTTAACGTGCCGAATCCTGCTGCGGGTTGTCCGGGCTACTGACTGTCGGCTCCAAACTTGGTCTCCACACCGTCTGGCCTGGCGCCGTCTAGAGGAATGCCTGATCCAGAGACAGGGCTTATTGTACCTTATCCCAATTCTCTTGGCCATGAACAAGGCGTGACCTCTGTGCCGGACGAGAATCGAGCCACGGAGAGCGAAACTACTACGTCGCAGCCCAAAATTAGCCAGTTTCAGCTAGAGAATGAACTCGAAGATACTGGTTTAAACAACTCGTATAGACGAAGAATGTATAGATGGGGTCACGAACGGTATCCGCGGACTACAAGGGTCCTCAGAAAAATTATTCATTACATTCAGGGTCCACAACCACCCCCACCTGCTGCTGGTATGTCAAAGTCTTTGCTTGATACCCTTTACTCATGTCTGGCGGAAGGGGTGCGCGGCTGGCTTGACAGGACGTGGCGCATTCGAAATAAGTCTATCGACCTTTACTGGGAAAAATACGTCCTACACTTCACACGTTTCATCAAGAAACCATGGATATTCTGGCCGATAGCATGTGCCTACATCGTGTCCTTGGCGTTCTTCGCTCGCGCCAATTACTTCTTCACTCCACGGGACTCGTTCATTGACTGCACAGCAGCATACTGGAGAGCGTTGGATGGATGCGGTCTTGATGGTACAGACTGTACCCCGTTCAGCGATGCGGGCTTCGAGTTTCGCTGCCCAGCTGGGTGCAAAGGGACAATATTGCGAAACATACGCACAGTTGGGGATCAGCAAGTCGTCTACGTTCCACTCGTCGTTGGAGGAGGGGATACGAACCGGACATACCGAGGCGACTCGTTTCTTTGTGCGGCAGGGATCCACGCGTATGTTCTCATTTAACTAATGGCCCCATACTGATAAAAATAGAGGTCTCATCTCGGAGTCTAGGGGGGGCTGTGCCAAAGTCTCCCTCGTTGGCACCTTTACTAATTATTTGTCCTCGACAGCCCATGGAATTACGACCATCGCCTTTCCGTCCGTCTTCCCGCTTTCCTACCAGCTTTCTTCGCCCGCCACACTCAGTCACTGCGAAGATCTGCGCAATGAAGCGCTCGTCTTTGACATCCTCGTCACACTCTTACTTTTCCTCCTCCTCCGTCCGAAACCCATCATCATCTTCTGGTCGCTCGTCTGCATTGGGTACTGGCATATTAACCTATTCTCTGATCCAGCCGTTCCGCCCGACCTCTCGACAGCATTTGGCACATTCCTCCCCTCGCTCTTCATCTGCTACGCCTTTTGGCGCTCTGCGTTCCGGCATTGCCTCCCCGCCTTTTCCGACTATCCGATTGAACGCGCCATCTGGTACCTGCCCGCGTTCTGGGCAGGTTGTCTTTTCAATGTGGTGACGGCCGGTATCCCTATCGACCGTCTGGTTGCATCGGACATAGCAAATCAACCAGGTTCACTCGCAGCACTCATCATCTGCAGTCTCGTCATCCTTGCCCTCGTTATCAACCAGCTCCGTGTAATTCGCAAGACGGGGTGGTTATTACTGTACCTCCGGTGGTATGCTCTCGCCGGTCTGGCACTACTCGTACTAGCGTGCCTGCCTGGGCTGCAGTTCCGGTTGCACCATTATTTTGCAGCGATTCTCATCATTCCACTCACGGCATTCCCAACTCGTCTCAGCGCCATTTATCAAGCGTTTTGCTTGGGAATGTTCCTCAACGGAGCGGCAAAGTTTGGATTGGACTCGATACTCCAGACCGTGGAAGAGGTAGCTCATTCTCTCTCTGCAAAGATTCTGATTGCTCATCTGTTTTAGCTACGTCGGGATGCACCACTCGGCTCCGACCTGCCTACCTTCTTGACAAACTCGACAACGTGGAACACGTCCATTCCTCTCGCGAATCAAACACTGAATTGGCAAAGCTGGCCGTCTGGGACGGAGTGGGACGGATATTCCCTTCTCGTAGACGACGTCGAGCGTTATACTGGCACTGCGACAAACTTTAGCCTCAAAGGATTGGACGCGTCGATTCCACACTTTTTCCGAGTGGCCGTGCGTATTCCCTTGTCCATTTTCAGTGCTACATCTCTGACATGTTTGTAGTTCCAGTCAAAAGGAACTAGCGGCGATTTTACCAAGGCCGCGGTATGGCATCCAGATGGTCGTTGGACCGACCCAGCACCTGGGCCGTCATAGAAGGGTACTTAATCTATTCGATTGTAATCTCTGTACAATAGGTATCTGGTTCTATCTCAGCACATAAGCGCTATCATTTGAACGAGTGGCTAGAGTAATCCAAAGGAATGGGGAGGAGTGATACAACGAATTGGGTTGTACAGGGAAACATTGCGAGAGCTGGCTCAAAAGAATGTGTATAATGAGGGGATTATGGTGTAGTAGGTGGAGATGGAAGACCCGACGTTGTGGCTGGAGGCACGGTTGGAGGGGTAGGAAGTGGCCTATAGGGTCGCTTCTGCGTCGTTGGTTTGGGAAATTGACTTGTAGGAGGCATAGAAAGAGTGGAGGGTTGAGGATGACTCGACACCGCAGAGGCAGCCAACGTTGGTTGCTCCGATTGCGGTTTTGAAGCCACGGGGGCGGACATCGAATGTGACTCGTTGGTTGTAGATACCATTGTGGAGATTGTCACAACAGAGGCGGAAGCGTATGGATGCGGTATGCGAGGGGGGTAATGATACGCCGAAGTCATGCTACTCGCCGCAGACGTCGACGCGTGCGTACTACTCATCCTCGAAGCAATTCCTTCTCTTGATACAGAAGGGACTCTAGGAGCTACGTCCATGGGCGTTCGGGATAAATCACGGTGTGAGCTGTTGACCATCGACAGAGCGAACGAGGCTGCGCTAGGCGATCTCGGCGGGTAGAGTGTTGGATCATTGCTGCTGTAGAATGGATTCGGAGGTCGAGACGGGAATGGTGGGTTTCCGGCTTTGCCCTCCTTTGGTTTGCCGAGGCTTAACCCCTTGAGAGAGCGTAAAATCGATGTCGACTGCTTCTTTTTAGGAGCCTTTGCAGCTTGCATCGATGGGTCGACAGAGGGTGTTGATGACGAGGGGGGTACCAAAGGTTCATCAAACGGCGCAACCTCGTTTGGTGCACGCCCTTGCGTGTCTTGAAATGTCAAGTTCCTGGGAGATGAGAGCTGTGGGGAAAGGGGACGAGCCGAGATGATGTCGAGCACAGTCGCAGGGTTGATGGTGCTCGTAGTAATTCCGGTCGTTGCCGCGATATCGTAGATAGAGTCCGAAGTCGAAACTCTATCCCACGTATCCTGGGAAGCATTCGACTGTCTATATGAGCTACTGCGTACAGTCGACGCATGAGTATAGGAGAATCTTCGTCTTCGTTTGCGTTCTACGTGTGAAATATTTGATGAGCATCACGGGCATAGAAATAATAAATAGGGTCATACCGTTCTCAGAGACGGCAAAAGGCGGAAATAGCTCTTGCTGTGCTTCTCTTCCGGAACCGCTCCTACTTTTGCTCCCAGACGACGTCGACTTGGCATCTCCCTTGTCTGATTTCCGGACATTATACCCTCCACGTCCGAACCGTGCTCCCGCTCCCGTGGCCTCTTTGTACTCGTTCCACCGTTCTCGCACTTCAGCCTCCTTGGCAATAGCAGCTTCGTGATTGGGAACGAGCCCACGCTTCTTCACGTGACCTTTGGCACCTAGTCCTCCTCTCCCCGTCTTAAAGTCTGGCGTAGCCTGTGCCTTGTGCTTCTGGAGAACCTCGCGCTCGTGCGCCATCAGTTGGTTTGCCGTCGTCTCTTGCTGATTCTTGTTCGCTTTGCTTGCTTTGAGCGCGTTTCCTGCCCCCCCTCGAGCACTGTATCCCTGTTTGGTCGACATTTGGGTGGAGAGAGGGAGAGAGTTAGTCGACCTGAGCGCTGGGCACAGTTCGGGGCGTACACGACGCGAGGGTGTAAATATTTCTCGGCCAGAGGGAGCCGTTATCTTGTCTTCGTTTATCATCCGCGCATGGGCAGGCATCTTTATCGAATACAATCGGTGGGTTGATGGCGCGCGTGGACCACGTTAGCGAGGGGGGTACGTCTATAGCTGCGGAAGAGTACATACGCCCTGGAGACCATTTATTAGGCTCATATTTGACATATCTGTCATGTAGAACCCCGTTATGGTGGCAGACGAGGCTAAGGGGAGCAAAGGTTTTAGAGAGGTCGCGCCAACGAGAGTAGGACCAACTTTTAATGATGATCGCGCCGAACTTTGTGAAATTTGATTCCGGAAATTGGTTGCGATATGTCTGCCGGTCGGAGTTTGATACTCACGCTCACCCCTGAGTGTCCTGTGCAGATATGATGGTGGCGGTGAGAAACGTCGTATTGATACCGTTCCGAGCAAACTGTCTGACAACGTGACGCGCGAGAACGGAGGTGGGCAAGGCGAAGCGGGGGGAAGAAGGAGCGGGCTTGTAGATCAGGACGAAGAGGGCTGATAAGGCCGCTCGAGGAACGGAGCCACGGTTGTGGCGTAAAGTGGATGTTCCCAGGTGAAAGCCTGGCATCCTGATCGTTTCCTCGGAGCCCCGGAGGGGACAAAGGGCTGGTAGGTGAAACGGAGCAAGGGCGAGACGGAGGCGTTGACAGCGGGATAATTAGTGGCACTCGAGAAAAAAATTCGGGCATAGAGTTTCACATGAGGTCGATTGCTCACTCCTGGAGTAGGATTTGTTGTTCCCGCTCGCGGATTTTGTCTACATCGAGGATGGCTGGTCTGAAAAGCTGTGCATAGCCGAGGCGTAGGACCATCTGGTATACGTTATCAGGAGTGATAGGCGCTCTCTGGATGGCCCACCGATGTAATTCATGTTCCTTGATGCCCACGGTAGACTCAAAGGCTGGGGGCGCACGTTATTGAGTACACAACGTAATTGACATGGCATAAGCGTTGAATATTCGATCATGGCTGACAGTTTTCGGTCGAGGACCAAGGAGGCACCGCAGGTCTAAGAACAGGTCGAGCCTCGGTACGGCCTGAACCGGACAGCTAGTACAGTTCTTGACGTATAGGTCACCTTATTGAAATGCTCTCCTCGTAGCTGTCCTCGTAGCTGTCACCGACGGAGACCTAGGCCGTGGAGGGAAAGGCTCAGATAAAAGTGCAGACGGCCATGAAAATAAGCTCTAGAGGTTTAATTCCGGATACAATGAAGCCGCTTGACAGGGATTTTCGGTGCTTGTTTGAGAGCGTTATAGTGTGGTTGGGTCAGAGTTGGTCTTCTAAGAATATCTTTGAAACATGAATATTCACAAATAATATATGATAGTTCTGCTGTGAATTGCCAGGCTATTATCTCTCCGCTCGATTATAGGGGCCAATCCCCAGTTAAACTCCAAAGAAATACATCTCAAACAACTCGTCAAGCAGTCTCCGTTGGATTGTTCTCCGTCGCCACCTTGCAATGGCCGGTGGAACTAGGCATTACAACAACGTTGACCTTCGACCACTACGGCCTTAATTCGCAAGCACGCCTGCCACAATCATCCACAGCGTCGACAAGGACGAGGAATTAGCACCTCGTCTCGTCTTGCACGCGCTCATCGCCGCTGACGGTCTCTCTTTACACCTCTGCTTCTGCCACCCCCCGTTCCTCCTCCCCGCTCCCATATTTTACAGAAATAATGGAGTCTCCGACACTAGAAGAGGCTCTAGATACCCCAGAAACAGTAGACGACGCTGATCCCGGCCCCGTCGATCCAGAACCAGGCCCAAACGCAAAGTCTGAAGAGGCCGGCGCCGACGAGGACGAGGATTGGGACGTCGAAATGGACTTGGGAAAGACTGGAGGTGCTAAAGCAATCCCAAGCCCACCTATCAATGCATCTAGCGCAGCCTGGCACGCGTCCATGAGCGCAGCCACTAGTGCTTTTACGGGCACCATCACCAGGCTCGGCGCTGGACCAAAGTCGGACGTGGAAGAATGTTGGGACGAGTTTGATATTGACCTCAACTCGTCCGAGGAGACGCCAACTGTCGGTTCAACATTGGTGCCACATACAAAGATTGCAGCAGACCTCTCCGACTGGGATGACGACGATGATGATGAAGCAATTTCAACTATCAAAGTCGCATCTGGTCAGCTGTCTTTCCCCAGTGTGCCGACCTCATCGACGCCACCACGAAAGGCGCAACCGATACCCGACGATGAAGACTTTGAGCAAGACTTTTCGCTTCCCGACGATCTTGCTCATCTCTCCCTCCGTCCGCTCAGACACCGTTCAAGCAAGACCAATCTCGACGGTTGGGGCGACCAGACGTCCTCATCCACCGCCTATTCATCCGAAGCTTCCTCTTTTGGCGTTGGAACAAACGAGTCACCTTCGTCAAACTCTGTGTCATTGTACTCGCAAGGCGCAGAGACGGACGACGACGACGACGAGAGTTCTGCTCGGAGGGCTGATTCTTCCAGAGGGTCTGTTCGGGACAGATGAAAACGATGGAAAGCTATTGCACAAGCTCATTGAAAAGAGAAAGCAACAAGCAGCGACCGAAATCGTCGCCGTGGCCTCGCCACATGAAGAGGATGATTTCGAGAGTGGTCTGGTGATCGACGACGATGTCGATTTCAACCTCTCCAAAGCCATCAAACATCGTCACTCCTCGTCTGCTTCTCGCTCTCTCAAGGGACTATCAATGCAAGCCAGCCCTCGCCTCCAACCAGCAGAGGAAAATCCTGCACCGTCTGGCTCCCAAAGTCTGACCAATAGCCCCGAAACTCCTCGAGATCCAGTCCACGAATACAAGTCGCCTCTCTCGAGAAGTTTTGCTTCCGTCGCGCGAGCCGCCTCTCCGCGGCCTTCTGGCGCAAGCTCTCCCGCCCCTTCCCGCCCGCCTCTGAGGGAGAGTCGAGCTTCATTTCATGGGGCTTCACGCCCAATCATCTCCCCACCCTCCAGCTTTTCGTCGCTATCACGAGACCCTCTGCGACGGCAGAGTTCTGCTGGAAAGTTACAAACATCCCTATCGATCATCGACGTTCATACTGCCCCATCCCCTACTGGGGATTCCCTTCGCGTCACACTCAAGCGACCCTCCCCAAATAGTGAGGCAGTCTCACCTCAGTTCACGAGGCGGATACCGCCCGCCCCAGTCTCAAGTCCCATCGGGAGATACAACAGTGCCCGATCACGATCGATGAACTCGCCTCTTAGTCCAGCCACCATGATGTCGCTGTCTTCCTCTGCCTCGCGGTTGCAGCAATCTCCTCACCTTGTCCCGCCAACGCCTCCTGGAACGCCCAGCTCGAATCCAATTGCACTGAGGTTGACAACGTCCACCTCGAGCTCGCGAGCCAAGTCGCGACCGGCGCTCACGTCAATTTTTCCCGGAGCGTCGATGAGCAGTAGCGGTTCACAAGGCGTACCCAGACCCACGTCGTTTGCAGCTGCCGTCAAGTCACCTGTTCGATCGCCTCTGAGTACGCCGAGTACGCCTCAGACGCCCAAGGCATCCACGTCTTCGTCGCCTATTCGTCATCGCGCGACACCCATGTCCAGGTCTTCGACTGTTAGTGCTGTGGCGGCAAGTGTGCCACAGCCTTTGCAAGCCAAGATTCTCAAGCGCCCCAAGCGGTTGAGAATCTATGGGGATGGGACCGAGTTGGATGGGATTGAAGACTTGCCAACAGACAAGGACAGAGTGCTGAGGAGAAACTCTGGTGCGACGAAACCAGAAGAAGGTGGTAAGGGTTTTATTTTGATTCGCGTTGCTGCTTTGTACTGATTTTTGCCGGCAAGATTCGACTGGCGCTCGCCTTTCGCGCCGTCGAGCTGATTTGACGTCGAACCGCGCGTCGGTCTCGTCGTCGGCGACTGCAACGCCGTCTCTCGGACAGCTTCCTCTTTCTCCCATGAATTCTCCCAAGACGGAGAAGAGGCGCTCCATTAATAGTCTACCGCTCAAGCGAAGACCAATGCTGATTCGAAACTTGAATGGCGTTGGCGCTCCGAAAGGTGGGTACTCTTCGATCTGTCTGGAGATGTTCCTGACAATATGCTATAGTCGTTGGCCAAATGCGATGGAACCCCCAAACTTTACGATGGGAGGGTAACGACCAGGAGCTTCGAGCATTTGAGAATGCTATTGGCTCCTCTACTCGTCCGGCTCTGATCACCAAGCTTTCTGGTGCGGCACTCGGGTCGCCTGTTCAGTCTGGCTCTGGCATGGATGGAGCGCGGGTTGTCGGCAACATGCTGTTTGATCCAGTAGAAATGCGCTGGGTCAGTCAATTGCCTCCGGAAGAGGAAGAACCAGACGTCTTTGCCGATCTCGCCGACGACGAAGAGGAGGACCTCGGCTCTTGGAGCAAGAATAAGGGCGGCACGATTCGTGCGACCGGAGGATTACTTGCTAGCATTCGTGTCGCACCAGCATCCCCTGACAGGTCCACATCTGATGGAGTCAATACCTCTCAGAACAATATCATGCTTCTTACGTCACCCTTGAGTGACGGCAACCCCAGCCCGGCGCGCTCAAGTTATTCAAGAGGAGAATCCGAGATGGATATTTCAGTCGATGGGGCTAGTAGCGATGGTGGAGACGGCATTACGCAAACCTTTATCGACGACACAATGCAAGCGGAAGCAAGACACCGAACCGAGATGGTCGGATGGCTCGTCGATTCGATTCAAGAAGATGCGTCAAATGCAAATCTGTCGCCTGAAGCCGTGCCGTTTCCAGCCAGGTCGCCGGTTCAGGAGGTCGGGCGCTATGATAGGGCATACCTCTATGACCTTCGCGCAATCGCAATACGGTCAAAGGCGTCGTCTGCATAATGTCCTCTAGAATCCAACAATGGGTCTTCGCCGCTATTCACTTGTAGCTTTACAGGATCACACTGCATTTTTTTTACTTGGACCTTTTTCTCGACATGTGTTCATACCCTTTTTCCCATCCTATCTGGCATCCCATCCATCACGCATCCCAATCATTTCCCGCTCTGCCTCGGTACTCCTCTCTATATTATCTCCAATCGCCCTCGTCTCTCAACATCGTGAAGGTGTGGGCTAGTGGCCGCACTGTCGTCTGTTCACTCGTCCGCAACCCACTACTGCTGGATTGCCATTCACTCTCGTTGATTTTGTCCGCCTGTCCCGCGCCCATTTGCGATGCTCTGCCGCATTTCACTCCTTGGACTCTGGCTTTTCCCTGAATCTTGGTCTCTGTCTTTCCTTTGCCTGACGTTGCTATAGAGTTGGCCCGTTTTTGGCTATGTAGCTTTTGCATTGTTTCTACGTCGATCGCTCTAATCAGTTTTCCCAGTTTGACAATACAACTCTTTTGTAAACCTGTTCGACCCCCCAATTGTGCTCCTGAGAAGTGGAGAATGCAGTGTGTTATTGTACCTGCGGGGTGGCATTTGCGGCGAGAGGCTGCTTGCCGGTATCCTCGGAGCTGTACGAAATGATGGTGTGGTTCCTCTTTGCTCAATGGGTATTTTCAATCTACTTTAGGATGGTTGACAACGAGGGCGTAGGGGGTTGTCGACATAGACAGCTCGAGAGGATGCTAACCCACTTCAAGTTGAAAATCCCCACGGCCTCTTTGGACCTGACTAAGCCTCAAGCCGACGCTCTAGAGGCGCCTTTTACACTGGATTAGGCTCTAGAATGTGATTCTTGATGATTTCCTGCGCCCAGAAGCTCTTTGTTTGTCAGCTCCAGAGTCGCCAACCGCCGAGATGATGCGTTTGGCTGCACATTTGGGGAGAATGAACACACGCCTTTGGTTTCATGACGTCTTCTCGCATCATATACGATATTTTACACTGAATTGTAGAACATCACAGTCGGCGAATACGACATCCCGAAGAGACCTTGTTTTCAGTTTTTGGGACATCGCAATGAACCACGTCCGGTGAACAATTCCATCAGGGGCGTCCCTCGAGCGCATGCTTCATTCCCCTCCAGGCCACGGGCCAGGGCGTCCGAGCGTCGGCAGCCAACTGATTGGGACGATACCAACACCGCAACTTTGGTTTCCTCCGACTCTCAGTGCCTCTAGAGGCGGTCCATGGTGACGCCGGTGAATACAGTCGTCCGACGATACCCAGGTCGCCTAAGTCAGTTGCCGTAGCTGCCAGTTGCATAAGCAAAGTCAGCAAATGGAATCTGCACCCACACGCTCGAGCACACTCTACACATTCGTCGACTATTCTGGAATAGACCCTCTCTCGTTGATTACCTTATGACCTCGATGCTCGGAGCGCTTTCCATTCCGCCGTGGCGTCAACACGAGCAAGTGTACATATCGGGTGCATAGAATGAAGAGTTTTCTCTCGTGAAAAATGCTGAATCGACGTTATTCCTAGATTGGCTAGATTGCTTCCTCATCCTCGAGTGAAGAATGGTATAAAAGGGAGGGCCGGAGTAACACTTCGGAGCGACAAACCTCCAGGCGAGCCAAATAGTCATTCCCTCCTCTGAACTCCTCTCCAATGTCCAACGCCATGAACAACGGGAGCCAGTCTTCCTCACGCGATCAGCAACAGGCCCAGCACCCTCAGCAGCAAATGCACCTGGTAGACCCGATGATGTATCAGTACTATCAACAAGGACCAACCTCGTCGTCGGTACCACAGCTCCCACAAGGTTCGTGTATCCCTTTGCGAGCCGCTAGTGCGAGCTATAAAAGTTGACCGTGCCATCCAGCAGCCGTTCCCCAAGTCGCTCCTCCGTCATCGTTACCTTTACAGATGGAACCCCCTAGTTTTTCTGATCTGATGCGAGAGATTAGCTACGAGCAGAGTGATGCCCTGTACGTTGTCCGTCAACCACTGCCCTTTTAACCCTGTATTTCCTATAATGCGTCCCCCCAAAAAAAACTGACACTCTGAGGAACGACCAGACATGCTGCAGCACGTCAAGTGTCCCAGCAACCCGGAATAATGTGAGCCTTTTGTGTTGGACGAACCCAGGCAAACGAGCTGACCTTTGCCCCTCGAAACGAATAGTCCGTCGACCAACTACAACCTTCAACCCGGTTCGTCAAGTGCTCGTACGAGCAACGTCGGCCCCATTCGTCGTCGCTTACGGGGGGATCCTGCAGCACGTTCTAGTTCTCTAACTCCAATGCCTCCTGTGCAAACTAGCGGCTCGACTGGATGGCATCTCGCGGTCCCGGCGTCTGCGGACGTGAGTCCGATTCTGACCCTGAAAAGATTGATCGTGCTAACGTGACTTGACTGTCCAACAGGAGACGAGCTTTGAAATGTTTCCTTGCGTGCGCTGGGAGTCCAAATTTCCAATGCTCTATACTCATTCTCTTTTTGACCAGGAATATTGTTCTGCATCGTTTTCTAGAAGACATGATCTCGAACGCCACAAAAGAGGACACTCTGGAGAAGGTGCGTCCCACTTTCATTTGGAGGGAATCGGTAAAGAGACTAACTCGTCGGCAAGCTCCGTACATGTGTCAGGGATGCGGCGCCAAGTTTACTCGTTCAGATGGTCGTGGACGGCACTGGAAGTTGCAACCAGACTGCGAGCAGCGCCATTTCCAGTTTGGTGGCGGTGGTCGTCGGCGCGGTGCGAGCGGTTCGGGGTCTAGCTCTGGCGGTGCTGCTAGCATGCGAGGACGCTCGACATCGTCCCATAGCAGCCCACAGGCGTAGAGACCAAAACCGATCCGTCTTGGGAAGGAAACGAGATGGCACCAAAGCGCTGGTCGCGTGGGTCGGGGTGTAGAGGTTGACTATTGAATGCACTCGAGTGACGGCTCTTCTCCAGCGAGGATCTTATTCACTCGTCAACCATTCAATCGCTCACATATGTTTGCTATTATCACGATGTCCTTTGCCTCGTATTTATATGTGAAAGAGACTATTGTTTATACCCTAGACACATTATTAGGGTACCTAATGTTCATCAGATGATTCCTCGGAACGCTGATTCACCGCCTGACGGGTGTGAGGCCCTAGTGACAAGAGCACACCTCGAGACTCACCTCCTTTTGACTAATAGTGGTCTGTAGGTTATCGATTGTTTCACTCATCCTCGTGAGCATGTCCTGGAAAAGCGCGTCCTCACGGTCAGCACCGACTCTTCTCTCCTGAGGAAAAAATGCTCACATCCCGCGTTTCCTTTGTAACACCTTCAGACGTGGCTGCGCGCTTGGGCTGGGGCACCTTTATCGAATGTTGCATGAGCACGTTTTGGGACTCGGCAATGTACCCCTCCAGGCCATACACATACATCTTGCGCTGTGTGTGCACAGACAGGCCATCAGGGCCAGTGCTTGGTCTTCTTCGGATCCAATTGTCACGGCCACGAAGCGAGATGAAAAGAATAGCGAATGGCAAAGTGAGTACCACCGGCCAAATTTCGTAAGCAAACCTACTGCTTTGATTTGCGTTCCCTGTTAGGCTTTGGCGTATCATGATTCGACCCACCTCCACCCGTTCTCTCGACAGAAGCCTGAGCGCCCATTCCACCGAGTCTCTCGGTGGGGCGCTGTCGATAAGCGAAACGGGGAACTTGTGGAGGGTGACCGTATTCAGGAGCACGCGAGGAGCCAGCAGACGAACTCCCTGAACCGAGTTGCGTCGACGCAGAGGATTGGCTGTACGTGGGCGAGGTGTGACCATGTGCCATGGGCAGAGAAGAGGTATACATTGAGGAAGAGGATCCCGAACATTGAGGCTGCTGAACGGGCATCATCCCATGATGGGCGTTCCCGACGACTGGGACTTGGTACTGAAAATGTGGATTTTGCTGAGGAATTGCTGTATAGTAGATGGTTCCTGTACTGGGATCATAGAACTGTTGGTGATATTGGTTAGTAGTCGGAAGCTGAGGATAAGCACCTGTGTGTTTTTTTTGGTCAGCCAATCATCACCCAAACAAGGCAGTTACTCGCCGTGGCTATCATTAGTCTGTCCGTATGTAGATTGTTGATCTCCATCCCATCCCTGCGAGGACATCTACCGCCAAACAGGGAAGTGGCACGTTTGGTTGTGGCGTTCACTTGTGACATTGAAGCCGATAGCGATTTATATACGTCTCGACTTGTTGCCGTCCTGCTGTCACCTACCTTGAAGGCCACTCCAGGGCGTGGCGTGGATCTATCCGATTTCTCCAATTCAGCGTGAACACGCACATTGTTCAACCAAACCGAGCTAGTGGACGTGCCATGCTCTAGGTCTCCAAGGGCATGAAGGAATGAAATTCTCATTTCTCCAGGAGATTTCGAATTTACATTTATAGCTACCGTCGTTTTGGCTTTGCCGCCTTTTCGCGCCTCTTCTGTGCTCGCAACTAGAATTGCAAGAATCAGCATCCGCCCTCGCGAACACCGCACGTCTCCAAGACGCCGGCTCTCAAAATGGAAATCACGAACCTCTTTTTTGCCCCTGGAATCCACCATTCTGTACCTTCCCTTTACACCTTTCGGCCTGCCCTTCAGCCCACGATTGGGTCCCTTCGCAACGACCAGCTTGACCTCGTCCTTCTTCCTCTTGCCCTTGCCGAGTCCACGCTTCATCAACTTTTCAATCTGACTCGCCTTTTCCTTCTCAGTCATGTCACTTGTCGCGTTGACTCCTTCTGCCTTTTTCATCGCCTTTTCTAGTCGCTGTGCTGCCTTGAGCTTCTTACGCGCCTTGGCCTCGGCTACCTTCTTGATCGGACGTGCATCGAGTTCACGCTGCTTGGCACGCAATGCGCGTACTGCTTCTTTCGTGATAGGGATGTTCGGTTTGTAGTGCTTTGCCTCGTCTTCGAGGAACCAACTTGGGAGGCCCTCTTTTGAATTCAGCGAGTGCCGATTGAAGCCATCATTGATCAGGTGAGTCCTCGTTGTCTCCCGATTGACAAGTTTTTGAGCCAAAGTAATTGCTTCGGCCGTGTTGAGTCCAAAGTCTGTACAAATGTAAGCGACCCACGTGCCGGCGGATCATACGCAAAGTGGAGATTGGACAAGAAGCAAGAATACATACTCTTGACAAACTCCCGTTTCTGAGCGTCGGCATCCTCGTCGTCCACATCCCACATGGTTACATCTTCCTCTTGCGGGACTACTTCATAATCAGGTTCGCTCTCTTCCTCGGCTCTGTCATTGTTCCCAGACTAGAAGCGATGTCAGATGTCAATTAAAACCAGATCCCACCGGAGATTTTATGTTGAAGGTGAAGAAATCAGGCGCACCTGAGAAGGGGTGCTGGTGCTGTGGGTGGAAGATGACACGGAGCGATCGTCCATCTCTTCTTCATTCACGCCGGCGAAAATGTCCTGAGAAACCAAAGTTGCGCGGTGCGGCTCGGCTTGACGGCATCTTCTGGAGCGTTCAGTCTGGTGATCAGAGGTCCATCGAATCTTTTAGCGCGCTTGCGATTCGTAGGCTCGTCCTCCAGAAGTTCTCCTCGACCAGCATCATTCTTGTCGACCCGCTTTCGCTTGCGTGAATGGGTACCTTGCGGTAACATGTCGTCATCCTCATCACTTGAGCCACTGTCTGAACTTGCATCTCCGTTCTGCATCTTGCGAGCCTGCATTCCTTCCCACCCATCCCCAACACTCTCGGTGTCCGAATTGGAATCAGATTCGTCCTTCTCGCGGATACCACCCCAGGTCTCCTCGCGGTCCTTGTTCTTCTGACGTTCCTGTTTGGCTTTAAACTTGGCGTCTCGCTCCGAGCGTTTCTCCTTGTAGGCCTCGTAAAGTCCATCGAGGTCGTCTTCGAGTGCTCCGATTCGTCTTTCCCTCTCCTCATCGGAGTCCAGCCCATCCTCTTCGGTGCTTTCTCCACCATCCTCTGAATCGGTACTTGAATCAGAGCTCTCATCAGCTTTGGTCAGAAGCGTCTTGCGCTTTCTGTCCACCGTGGAGAGGTCAAACATGTCCTCTTGTCCATATTGCAGTGAGTCGTCCACAAGCTCTTGACCAATGTCCATCGGCGCAACCATGCGCAGCTGCATACGCTGAATGGTCTTTGTCTTCTTCTCGTTTGCCCGCCGTTTGTCGCGTTTGGCTTTCGCGGCTGCTTCTTTGCTAAGCCTTTCGAGCTCTTCTTGCATCTGCTCATCTTCATCGACCTCTTCTTCCACAACCTCGACAGTCTCTGTGAGTTCTTCAGCGGGCTTGGTTTTGACGTCCAAGCCAATCTGAGACAAGGTAAGCGACAGTAATGTGATATTCGAGTGTCACATGCCTCTTCGCGCACTGCAGCGCGCCACTTCATGAGCGCCTTGAAGTCGCCCTTTCCCAGCACCTTGAGGTCCTCACAGTTGGCGAGAACTTCTTTGGTCGTAATCTCGCTCTTCAACCAGGCGCCCTCTTCCTCGTCCTTCTTGTCAAATGTAATCCGGTTCGCCGTTCCCAGCTGCGTAAGAGCGTCCCCGTAGACAAAGTCTTTTGCAGAGATCGTCTTGTAAAGCGTATAGTCGCCTTCGTCATATCCATCACGCTTGCGGCGTTTTTTGTCAGGCATAAAGACGTTGGCGTGAACGTTGTTTGCCGACGTGCCTTTATCGATACCTCCTGTCGACTCGGGAGCAAGCTCTTTGAAGACGTGTTTAGGGTCCAGGAACTTTGGATCGATGTACTTTGGTGCGTGGAATTCGCGGCATACCACGAAGATTTCCGCGGAAACATTTCTACATATCTCTGAGTTTATGTCGTTATTGAAGATTAAGCGTGACGTACCTTGAAGCAGGAGGCTTAGTTGCCTCGACCTTGGCGAACAGCTGCTGGAAGACCCAGATAAGATTATTATAATCCGTACTGCGGAAGACTTTGGTGACAAATGTGCCGCCCTTGATGAGAAACTCCACGGCGAGGCGGAGACTCATTAGGACTAGTTCTGCTTGCGAGTAGGCGTCCTGTATCCACGCTGTACCGACGTTTGGGGCACCGTCGTGCAGTACTACATCCGCTTTCCAATCTTTTAATTCTCCACGAAGAAGAGAGCGACAGTTTGACGTGGTAATGTCCGCTGCAAACGTCGTAACGCGTGGAATTGGCTTGATTGGGACAAGATCAACTCCTATGCATACTGTTCAATCGAATGAACGACAGGAGACAGATGATCACGTACCCACGATGATACTATTTGGCGGCATATACTTGCTCGCGACCTGGAGCCAACCTCCAGGAGCAGCACAAAGATCGATACAGCATCGTGCAGACTCGAGAAAGTTGTACTTTTTGTTGAGCTGGATAAGCTTGAACGCTGAACGCGCCCGGTACCCTTGCTCCCTGGATTACCGAGCGTGCAAGGTACCAAGGTCATCCAAATGGCCCCATCCGTAGATTCCACATAAATTTGTAGCAGTTTGCGGATATGGGAACCAAACATACGAATTTGCGAGCGATCGTTAGAATGAGGATTGAAAATTGAGTGGAACAAGCGTTACTGACTTTGCGAGCTTATAAAACTTGTCGAGACGACCTTTTCCAGTCTTTTTCTGTGCTTTTCCCATGGTATTCGCTCTTCACTCTTCCTTGGGCGTATTCTTTCTCGGAGTTGAGAACCTAGTCTTTCCAGAGACTAGCTACTGCAAGAAAACTATGCCGTTTTTGATCGTTGAATATACACGACCGAGAAATTGGCAGACCTCTGCGGTGGCGGAGAGAAAGCTGCGACGCTCATACTTCGACCAAACCATACGGATACAGCATGCGATTCTGGCAAATAAGCGGTCTCTACGCGTCTCTTTTACTGTCACTGTACGCTATATAGCTGCTGGAGACTCCATTTGAAGCTCATACTCGACATGTTACAGCGCGACGCTTGTCTCGGCGGTAGACATCAAAGGAAAAATTGTTGATAATGAAGCCATGCACAGTAAGCTTTCGTGTATGACTATACATAATGGATGGGGCTGATATTACGTGCCAGTCGATTTAAAGTCGCTCTCAGCAACTCGTGTCGTACTCGACGATGGTACTTATTCTGGTTGGGTAACCAGAAATGGAAACTTTCACATGTGAGCTGCTTGTCCCGTCATAAAGGAGCGGTCTTTGGAAAGCTGACGTTGCATGATACAGACCACACGTCCCGCCGGGCACGTATATCCTTACTGTTCTCTCTCCGCAGCACTGGTTTGATCAGGTACGGTTTTATCAAAGTACTCTCTGCAGAAAGACGCGCTGAGGACTCGCAAAGCTTCGCATCGACGTTCTGCCGTCGTCAGACCTCCCAGAAGTCCGCCCATACCTTCCAGGGACACCACTTTACTCGTCTACAGCACAACACATCACGCTTCCTTACCCGCTTCACCTGGAACCTAAACGCAAACTCGACTTTTTCGTACCGCAGGAATCCTTCAATGCGCTTGCCCTGCTCAAGAGCCCTATGGTTATTATGATGATAATCACCGCGGGAATGGCCCTCGGTGTGCCGTATTTGATGGTGCGTATGCTGGCGATTCTCGTTGCACAACCGTTGCTCTGCGTTTCTCTCTACTCGGGCGCTGGATTGTCTTTTCTAACGAACTTGCAGAAGAATCTGGATCCAGAGACATTGAAGGAGATCAACGAACAGCACCAGAAAATCGCACAGGTACAGTCATCTGGGTACGTCCTTTTCGCTTTCTCGAATCCTCGACTCACAGTATTCTCTCCTAGCTTGTCTGGTTTGATGAACGTAGCAACATCCGGTTTGCAAGAAGAGGAGCGGCCAGCCTCAGGTGGCAAGCCAAAAGGTGGCAAAGCGGTCAAGCGGCGATGATCTCTACCATGGAGTGTATTTATTGATACTCTTGGACTAATAACAGGCCATTCAGCATTCTTTCATCATTGGTGCATCCCCAACAGAATCCTTGTTACACTGCGAACATACCGTGCATTAGCATTGCGTCTAAGCGAATCTGAGGTCACTAACCTTCAACCGGACATCTTGTATTCTCATGCAGACTGGCCGACCAACTTGTCGCTAATCGAACCCTTTGAATCCAGCAGACGGCGCTTGCGTACCGAATATCCGACAATGGCGAATAGCACGCACGCCTCGACGAGTCCAGCTACACCCTGCAACAATGTCGCCACCCTAGGTAATCTCTCCAAACCGTGTACTCTCAACGGTACAACGGCCCACACGATCCAAACAATGCCCAATGCCATAGCGACAGCAATGTGGATTATATTGACGAGGTAGGAGAGCGTGTTCTCTTTTGGCTCACGACGCTTCGAGGCGCGGTGGGCGAAGAAGTAGACAAGAGCTTGGTAGACAAGAGTGACGGGACAATCACCCAAACCATTGAGAGGGATGGCTTGATGTCGTAGCTAGATAGGTAGGCGAAACCGACGCCGAGTGAAAAGGCATTGAGCGTGAGCGATAGGGTGAACAGACGATCGATGAACGAGGGGAGGGTCATATTGCGTCTCTCTGCTGACGTTCGGTCGATAATGGTCTGTGTAGAAAAGCCTGTGGGCAACACTCCTGCAAGAAGGCTCGCAAAAGAGGTGAGCAAGCAAAGCAGAAGCTGGGTGCGTTGCTTATCAGATAGCGAGCTTTATACTGTGGCATCAGTCCCCAGGGTTCGCCTGCTTGTCGCTTGAATCACGCGACGGGCCACCAATCAAAAATGGTACCGTGGGCTTAGAGAGTGGACGCCAAGAAGAGAACTCGTCGGGTCATAAATACAAATTCCAAGTCTGGACCAGGTGACAGCGCGGCGCCACGAATGGCACGATGGATTGGACATTCCCGCTGTTATCTGATAATCAACGGCCGCCGGCGGTCCGTGTGAAAGGGATTGTGCACGTTGGGTGTAAGCTCACTTTTGAAGAGCCAGTGAATGGAGTCTACCTGTGGATGGTGTGAGGACACGGAATCAACTCGTGCGCTGCATCAGTTGGAAGTATCCCAGCATTCCTTTCGACTCAACCTCATGTTTCGGGCATTTCATCCCCACAAGGAGTTTGGCCGACTCTTTGCCATTGCCTGAATGGCCTTGCCAAAGGTAAAATCGACAGCTGTCGTTAAGAAGGGATCGGTGGAATGGCTCAGTAAACGCTAGCGCGCTCGCACCGAAGACCGAGCATGAGTACACAGGCACAAAGATCTTGGAATGCACCTTGTAACCAAAATCCAAGGGCGAAAGTATCGCCAGAGACTGAAAAAAGGTAATGAATTTCATTTTTCTTTGGTCTTTCTGACGCGACTCTCGCAGAGACCTGGGATATAAACAAGCGCCTACAACTCCCCGTCGAAATCCTCGAGCAAATCATCGCGCACGTGGATGACCAAGAGACGCTATTTACTCTATGCCGTGTATCAAGGACGCTCAAGTCTCTCACTGTTCCGGTCGCCTACCATACCATAAAGTTCAAGCTGGATTTCCAACGGCTTGCTGGGTCTACCCGGCTTATCAAGGCCCTCTCTCGTCTAAATCCCTCAACGTTAATTGTGGAACTCGACATCACGATGTACAAAAGCACGCTCGACACGTACAATGGCGACAGGCCCATATCGCCACGGACCTATTATCGCGCAGAGAAGATCGTGGGTGACATTGCCGCTAGATTGCTGAACCTCGAGGTGTTGAAATTAAACTGCGATTTTGACTCTGACGACAATCCCACTCTCCATTTTTCACTCGACTTTCCACGAGGCGGTTACGCGAGCTATATTTGCGTTGTTATTGCTATAGGTCGACAATAGATGCCTACAGTATACTCTCATTGCCGAGTATGCAGACCGTCACGCTGCTTGGGTGGTTCTGTCGTCCACAAGAGGAGAGATGCCGTCCATATGATTTCTCAGCTCATCCGGAAGTCATGCCCAACCTCACCGGTCTATGCATCGACAAGTGGAGCCCCTCGCGGAGATTGCATACGCACGCCCGGTGGCAAAAATGGACTTTCGCCTTTATGACAGCCGAGTGGCATGGCAAGTCCGGAATCACGCAGCCAACCTCACACACCTCAATATTGCGGTGATGTCTTACGAGTATGAAGTACGACAACTCTTGAAGGATGTAGCGCCACAGTTGACAAGATTGAGATTCTTGGGCCGATGGCTACTGATTCCCTATGGCCGTTCCTGGGTATGTTCCCATAGTTCTCTCACAGACCAGTGTCCCCGTCTCAGGGAACTTGAATTGACAACTCAATAGGTCGACACCATGCTCGAAGATTTGCAACCACTAAGATGTCTAGGACGCACACTTGTTTTCCTACACATCAGTGTACAACGCGTCTCCTCAACTACGTGTCCGACGAAACTACTTCCTCATATTGAAGCGTTGTTCCCCAAGCTTCGGATTATACTCGAAAGCAGTCTTGGGTCGCTAGTTCGCCGGAATACCTGCGACTGGATCCAATGGAGGAGGCTTGAATTCGATCCCAGTGAGTGGCAAATACTCGAGGATAAATTCGAAAAGGCGCTGCAAGACGTACCAGAGGCAACATCGGATGATCCGGCGGCGGGTGTGTACATGATCCAATCATAAATAAACAGTCCTCCTCATGAAGCAATTGAACCACATTCGTTCAAAGTAGTTAGACCCGGCTACCTTGAACACATGAATAGGAAGCCGCGCATAGTGCACTGCGAGACATCTGCCACAGCTGTGTGTCGATAGCGTGGTGGCGCCATCCACATTTGACGTGCATATCGTTTTATGAGCGAATATCGACAAATACTAGTCGCAAAGCCTGAAATTTGCGCTTCTCCCGATCCAAGCGGCCCTGCATCTGACGAAATCCTTCCTGTGAGTATGCCAATCAACTTTGCACAATTTCAGCGTCAATGACAAACTAATACCAAGTTCCGCAGCAAAATGCGTAGGACAGAATGAAGCGATCATTTACACTGGATTGCTCGATGATTAAAGAGTTGTAATTATATTCGTCTTTGGACGATTCCTAATCTCTCTTAGATGATGCTCTTTAGTCCTTTCTCATGAACGTAGACACTGCGTTCGCTAAACTACTGCCTCACCGTTAATTATTTCATGCCTTGTCCGAAGCCCAACGCTGAATTACAAAGTTTCCTCTTCATGATCAGGAAAAGATTTGCAATCTCTATCTACTACTGGAATTGTGGCCTGGTTCATCGAGAGACATCCGCGTGCTCCCGCCGAGGCTCAGCCGAACCGGAAAGGCACGACACCTGGAATGCACCTCGTTGCCAGATTCCGAGAGAGAAAGTACCGCCAGAGACTAAAACAAGGTAAAGCCTCTCATTCTGCATCATATTTGCTAATTGAGTCTTGTAGAGACCCTTCGAGTGAACCAGCGCCTACAGCTGCCCGTCGAGATTCTGGAACAGATTATCAAACATGTGAAGGACAGTAACACACTCGCTAGCCTATGTCGTGCATCAATGACATTCAAATCTCTCACCATCCCAGTCCTCTACCGCTCTATCAAGTTCAAACTGGACCGCCAGCTCGTTGATCAACCCATTAGGTTAAGCAAGGCTTTATCTCAGCAAGAACTCTCTACATTCGTTAGAGAATTTGATGTCACGCTATACAAGGGCACACTCGGCGCACATCGCGGCAGCAAGCCGACATCCGCAGGGAGCTGTAGACGAATGGAGGATATTACTGGCGCGATAGCCATGAATTTACCTAATCTAGAGGTGCTCAAAGTGGACTGCGAACTCGTATATGGACACTTAACAACGCTCCATTTCCTCACTCGACTGTCGACAAGACGACTGCGGGGGTTATACTTGCGATGTTGCTGCTACAGTTCAGAAATAGACGTGCAAGAGATTCTGTCCGCACCCTGCATGCAGAGTATCACTCAGCTTGGGTGGTGTTATCGTCCGAGATATGATAAATCGGCTTCAAACGGATTATGGGCATCGAAAACAATTATGCCTAACCTCACTGCCATCTGTATAGGCCAACCATGTCAGCTTACAGAGGTTGTATATACACGACGGATGAAGAAGATGGATTTCCGGTTCTTTGATGAGAGAGTAGAGCGACAAGTACGGAACCACGCGGCTAACATCACATATCTGAACATCCAGATGGATGGAAGAAGGGAGAAGGATCAATCGATTCGGACATTTCTGAAGGAGGTTGCACCACACCTTAGGCAGGTGAAGTTCTTTGGACAGCTTTGGCTACCTCATGACGTGGTGAGTCTCTCTCATACATCTCACTTCATACGGTCTTATAGCCCGTGTTCTGAACAGGTCGAAGCACTTTTCCAAGATTTCTCGACCCTCCAGTGTTTGGCAAGCACGTTGATCTTTCTCCACATTCGTACAGACTACTGGCCCTCGGCATTCTGGCCTAGGATGCTGCTTTCCCGTATTGAAGCCATGTTCCCCAAGCTCCGAATGATACTTGATCAGTCTCTCGGTGCGTTGGTTCGACGGGATATCTTGGAGTGGTTTCACTGGAGTGACCTTGGATTTGATCCTTCGGATTTTCAAATTCTGGAGGGAACATTTGAAAGGGCACTGAAAGAGGGACCAGATGTGACGAGCAATGTCAAGGAAAATTACATATTCAGAGTCTGAATTATGACTGTTCTATTCGCATACCAAAGTGATTGATTCTTACTCAATACGCTCTAGGTTGAATTCTTCCATCATTCTGAATGTGGGGCTGGGCTCGGACTTTTGTAGCCCGGAAGCAGTGCGAGATGCGAAGACGTCTACCGCAGTCCCCCCGAATCGCTTTTCTCGACCAGCGTGCGCGCCCGTGGTGACCGCAGTCGACCTTCAGCAAAGGCGATGCATAAATCTCGATCTTGTACTTGTACTCCGCTGATGGGTGGACACCTATGAATCCTGTTTATCAATATTTGAGTCATTTCTAGTATATGAACCAGTCGTCAATGATCTCTGCAATATTCGACATGGAGAGCGACGCAGGCTTATCTTTGAGAAACGTCGAACTAGGTCCGCAGCTTATCTATTCCATCTTCTTCACCGCCATAGCATGTCGTCAACAGGGCGCCCCTTTCACCAACAGAGAATATAAAATCACCCTGCACCTGGATCAATCTCATCACTTGATAACACCCTCTCACAGAGCCCAAATACTAGGAATGACGACGACGCGACTTACGTTCTCGACAAACTCCGTCCGCAATACCACCATTTCCAACGATTCATTGGGCATCCGGTACGATGTCCACAAGGAGAGCGAGGGTGTAGAGATACACCGCTGGGACGCATCTGTCCGTCGAAACGTGCGCGTAGGACAGTTCAAGCTTCATGCTTGGAGTTCAGACGAGATGAGAATTGGTGGGGATACGCAGTGGAGAGCGGTGAAAGAGTGGCTTTATAAGCCTGATGATAGCAAGTGGTGGTCGACGTAAGTCTTCAAATTGTTGGACCAAGTTAAAGGTATTAATGGAAAGAATACAGTGCACGTCACTTTGTAGCGAACAATGGTGTCGAATATCGATGGCAGGAGAAGGGTGGTCGACTAGTGGTACGTATTACCCTCTAGCGTCACATAGAACGGACGAACTAACATCCAGGAAGCTCTTCAAAGTAGCCAAGACTAACGGAACCCGTACACCACTTGCTTCGTTCCATCGCCATCACAGAAAGGACAATCCTTCCTACCTTGAAGTCCACGACCCAACCATACTCGGTGCCTTGGATTCTATCATTGGTAGGTCCTCCATGAATATGTTCAGAGATCACTCATTGACTCGTTTTAGTGTCATTTCTCATCATGGAACGTCGACGTCGTGATAATGAGGCCGCTGCAGCGGCAGCGGCGTGAACTAATGACATCGTCCTACACACCCGACTTGTATAATGGCATCCTATTTATTATATTATATATTATACTCTGTCTAGAATGACCAAATGGCTTCGAATCTCATTTTCATAAGGTGAGAATTCGTAGTTTAAAGTATTCTGTCTACCAAACTCCTTGAACAGGTCAAGATTACTCGGCAACGGGGTTGATATCTTGTTAGACCCTTTGTTATTCTAGTTTTGCCGTCGACCATTTATATTTACTACACACTCGGTTTAGACTGCCAGGGCTCGGCAATTCCTGCGCCATGTTCATCAGAAAGTCTCGTGGCTGACGTACTGCGCCACCTGGATGTCATCGACAACCTCGCCGCGCCAACTCCAACGGATGACGTCGTACCCCGCAGAACAAGATAAATAATCAGACGACGGGCTTCAACCGAAAGGTCATCTCCTACTTGGACACCTAATTTCGAGCAAATGGCCGGCTATCATCCAGTGCTCTTCTTCCTAATTGCCGCCGTCGCAGCTGCAGAACTAGGCCTGACAGCCTATCTCGTGCACGATTATGAGAACCGGGAGAGCGGATATCCATCCTCGCGATACCGGTCTCTCATCATCTTCATCCTCTTCGATGCCTGCTGGACTGTCCTCTTTGGTCTTGCCTATCTCCTCTTCATCGTTGGCGGTGCCCTCCACATCCTTGCCAGGCACGTCCTCTTGTCTCCAAGACGATCAATTACTCACAAGCATCCTTTAGCATTGCGTCGTCGGCCATTTGGCTCATCATCACCGCCGTCCTTTGGGGTGTTGCTGCTGGCCTTTACAAGAACGAGCGTGGCGGTGGAATGTGTGAAGGAGAAGCGGCCATCTCGCGATGCAGACAAACTCAAACCGTCGAGGCGCTCGCTTGGACCGAAATGGGTCTCTGCATCCTTACTCTTTTCGCTGCCTGCTTCTGGATGCGTAGGAGCAAGCGCTCATACGTACGTACTTATCAAATCTGAGATACCATACTGACAACATTTTGGTAGCGCAACCCGTACTACGTCTGAATGGCTCCATACAAATGAACGTTTATCGATGAATGACTTGCTTGTTGTACCATGTATACCATTACGAAACTCAATACGTAATCCCTTTGTGCTTTACAAAACCTGCAGCGAGTTCTCAAGTTGATATTGCAGCTGCTTTAATGCATCGTCAAACCTATCTCTCAGAATAAGTTGAATCGCGGAAAGTCATCTGTACCGTCGTCCAATGGGCCGCATCTCCCTCAAATAATCGGCCAAATGCTTCACGTTATTCGACCACTAGTCGAAGCATTGGGAATAAATAATGAAAATCTCGAGGTGGTGACTGCACCCACCAATATGGATATGAATCATTCGCCTGGATATGAAGTATGACAAGCGTGCTTCTCAGACACTCGAGCGCTGGAAGCGATATCAGCGGTCTGTGAAAGTTTCAACCGGAATTGCAAAGCGAAGCAGTAGCGACAGAATACCGAGAGAGGTTACATACAAAATTGTAATACAGGGTTAATTGGCTGCGGAATCTTAGCCTCGTAAGCTGGGGAGCAATCTCCTGGAGAAACGTCCTAATAATCCCTCCATCCCTTGAGATGTTCGAGTATGCGATATCCTCTGCGTGATTTCGTACTTTTCGTGCAACTTGGTCGTCAACAAACTGGAAGTCCATCTTGGTCGCCGGCCGTGCATATGCAATCTCGATGATTTTGCTCCGTCTGTCTGTGAATATATCAGTAAATTCTTAACACGGAGTAGGGAAGCATTTTACCTCATCTCCCCTTGCCTCGAATTAAACCCTCGGGTACGCAGAAGAGAAAAATCAGTCTCTGGCAGAATTACGCGTTCTCGGGCAGGTAATATAATCTAAAGTCGTATAAATCGATCCTTTGTATTATTCTTGTGCAGTTCATCTGAGGTGGTGACAAAATCTTACCTTTTTCGTTCGCGTTCTACATAATTCTCGGATGTGCAGAGGATATATCAACTACAGTGCGTGAATACGTTAAAAAATTGATTCGATCTCTACAAATCCTATAGTACATCGCTTGAATGGCCATTCTTCTGGCCCATTCTAGTCAGAGGTCGAACGGCAGTCCTCGGTTATTAGATTTGGAATCATGACCCTACATCCTTTCTATTATAATCCACAGGAATTACTTTGAAGTGTTGGGCAGAGCAATTCCGATATTCAATCTCCGATCAGAGGTTTAGCCGTCGGCCTGTGAGTGGCAACGGCATTAATAATCGATGATGCCGAGGCGGAGCCGTATCGGAGTGCACAGAGTACTTGCGAAGACATAATTTCTGCCGTCTCTTCACACTGCCACATTACCAGCATTGATTTAAAGAGCCTGGGTTCGTCTTATGGCTCCTCATAGTCGAGAAGATGTCCATTTCCCTTGTTTTTGAATCAACGTCGCTGTACCATAACACCATCTCCTGCGAAACGCATGGGATTCGTTATCAAATCTCGCGTGGGTCAGACGACGTTGTCACTATCAAGCGCTGGGACCCCAAGACAGATCTAATGAGCTCTGTGTATGAGCTCAAGCTACCTTACTTCACAAAGGACATGTATCGAAAACCCGGCGAAGCCACTTGGCTACCAATGAGGCAATTACTGCAAAAGGCTGGCAATAATCCACTTTCCAAGTACGTGTTCTGCTTCCAAAACACGCCCAGGAACTGACCTTCTCTCAGCACTAAAGCATTCCATGGATCCGGAGGTCTTGAATATCGCTGGGAAACGTTGGACCGAAAAGTACTTGTGCGTCCTGACGTTTAGTCGTGTTCAGATACTGATGAACTCTAGCTCTTTGCAGGATCGCAGAGTAGTCCCGAGCCCTCTCCGATTGCTTGGTACAACTGGAGTCACACGCGCGGCGAACTATCTTCATTGGAAATAGCTGATTTGTCAATCTTGCCATCATTGGACATTATCATCCGTAGGTCGCTCATCGAATACCCTGAACCCTTTGCTGACATTCTGGATGACCAGTTACCTTCGTAGTTTTCGAAAAGAGTCGCCGTGATAGACATCGACGACGACACGGAAATGTTTTCTCCGCCTTGATGATTTAAGTTTGATGTTATGGTATCACCAGTCTGTAGATTTATTATTTCGAATATCTCTATTATTTGATACAGAGAGCTGCGTACAGTAAAATTATTGCGAGTAATGCGACGGTGAAAATATGAGCCGTCGTCTTCAACCTAGAACTGATGAATCAAGAAGCAACTCAAAGACAAGCCATAATCATTTCATAAAGAGTGTTATACCTGGGATTGAGACAGTGCTTACCTTTGCACAATGACTGAGAAATATATCTCTGAGTCTCCATATTTTCTGGTATTGCTACTGGCATGTACTATATTCCTAAATCTTGATTACAGCTCGAATACAGCATGCGAAGAGGTAGTCTTACCTCAATGCGCGCTTCGTACTCTAAGGAGCGGACAGTGGAACTCTTGGCATGCTTGACCAGCTATATTCATTAATTGGTAACAGATGCCGGGATTACCAAGGTGGATGGTACAAGTTCCAACCACTCATCACCGGCGGCCAAGCGGGTCGAGACCACGCCGTCGTTGCCCGCTTCCTTGAACCTTCCATACACTATGGCCACCAATGAATGGAGGTACTAGTTCACCTACCGACGAGCGTGGGAATAATACTACGAGTAACACTCGTTCGATCGCCTCGTCACAGTGCCACATTACTAACATATAAAGAATCTCGAAACATGTTCTTTATCATCAAAATATGTCGAGCACGCCCATATCTCTTGTTTTTGAATCCTCGTCGCTATATAACACTACCATCTCGTGCGACACTCGCGAATTCGCTATCAGATCTCATGCAGCTCAGATGAGGTTATCACCATCAAACGTTGGGATAGCAAGACAGGCTTGATGAATCCTGTGTACGAGCTAAAGATGCCCTACTTCACGAAGGAGAAGTATCGAAATTACGGAGAAGTGGATTGGCGTCCAATGAACCAATTGCTCGAGAAGGCCTATGCTTTGTCCACGTAGGTATTTCCATATTCAAGATACCCGGTGCTCATTCTCTCAGCGCCAGAACATTCTGTGGAGCCGACGGTCGAAACTATCGGTGGGAAGCCGTGGACGAAAGGGTGGTTGTGAGTATTGACATTTGCTCGTGCCTCAGTAATTGAAGTTTCCCAGCTATTAGCCGTATCGGATATCATACCTCGCGGATATGTCACCGCACGGTACAACTGGTCCCTCATATGTGGCGAGCTATCCTCGTTGCAAATCCTTCATGAGCCGGTCTTGGAAACGCTCGACATCATCATACGTACGTCACCCATGTAAAGCTCTGATGGCCCCGTTGGCAAAGATGGCAGTTACATTTCTGGTCTTCGAAAAGAATTGACGTGACAGTTACCGAAGGCGGTATGGTGGACATACCTGGTGCCCCTGGGGCAGTTAGGTGCCTCAGATGAGTTTCATTGAATAAAATGTACGCATTATATGGTTTCGGGTTGATTTCAATCAGATTGTCGAGGTGCTTGGAGACAGAATAATTATATTGCGGTTAGAACCATAAGTTATCCCTCGACTGTGGTCGGAGTTACTCTCTACGCTTCTTCTCAATGATTAGGAATGAGACTGGAATGATGTGAGCGATGACGCGGCGGAGCCCAGTGAGCTGTACGGGCCTACGATATTATCCAGCGAGCTCATGACAGCTGGATCGCAGATCTCTAGGTATGAAGCATTCTTGCGCAGAGGATGATAATGGTATTTGACAAGGGGTTCCTGGTTAACTTCATCTTTAGAGGCATAACATAACTACCTGGATTCAGGAGGTGACTGCTAAGCGTCCAAACCCACTCACCACCCATTTTGGCCAATGAATCTTCCATCTATATTGAGTTCCGTTGTTCCCCATAAACGTTCGAGATCTGTTGGATCAGGTGAGCAGTTCGCTCCGCAGTCCGAGAAGGAAAGATGCGTTACAGGGAAAGCGGATGGCCTTCAACTCGTTTCAGAAATTCTCCTCTCTTCATCCATTCCGTCTGACCTCCTAACCGAACCTTGTCCGGAGACGCGAGTGGGTAGCAAAACTCGGCCACAAAATGATTGGTGTTAGTACTGCTTTCCCAACGGGTCACGGTAATGATTCCAGTATCACTCGACTTGGTGACGTCGTAGTGGATCCCGAGACTATCACAAGAGAGAGTGGTATTGTACACCGAGTTGTTTGACATGAAAAGATGGATAGACATTTTGACGAGTTCTTGTTGTAGTTCCTATCACAAGCCATGAAAGGCGTTATATAGTCGCTTGACGCTTGTCTGCGATGAAAGACGGGCATGGATTGTGTCGCCGCAGCAAGGCGCGGCAGAGCTGCGGGCTCCTGTGAGCAGCCTTCTATACACTGTTCTAGAGCACATATAGTGAATTGGAGGCTATTAGGTGAGAAATGATCCATCAGATACAGCAATTGATGGAAAACTCGTTGGTTTCAGTTGTGTCGAACGTTCACTTCGCAGCTGGATCATCGTAAATTGGTGATACGGGGAGGATAAAGAGCTTTCAATGCGGACCAACGCTTGAGATCGAGACGGAAGAGAGGAATGAAGGTCAAGTGGACACTTGCGCGGTAAATTGAACGAGTAGAGTTAGTGTATAATAACTTCGTAAATAAGAAACAAAATGTTCCCTCAGTGTGGACCGAGGACCAATAGCATTCGGCTGCGAATTTGGATGAGTTTCAACTTTGGAATGAACTTCATTCGGACATTGCAGACGAAACGATACAGGCGGCGAATTAAAAAAGGTCAATGACATCAAAATACGGTTTTAGGTAGTAACGACGATGGTTGCAGACACTGCACGCATCAACAAGCGTCTCCAATTACCAGTCGAAATACTGGAAGCAATCTTTGCGCACGTGTCGGATAAAGAGACTCTTGCTGTGCTCTGTCGTGTCTCGCGCACAGTATTTGCGATAGCGGCACCCATCCAGTACAAGCGGCTGACAATCCACAACATCTCGATAACAGCCAACGCTAAGCTCGCGAGAGCCCTGAATAGTCCTCGCTATTCATACCTAATTGTCAACCTCATTATTTTTGCACACCGCTATTGCACGCAGAGCTCAGTTAGGAACGGCCGTTGCGGATGCGAAGAATGGGAGCTGAGCATGAGCAGACTCACGTGCGAGCTAAGGAGCCTCAAATCTTTACAAATTAGGTGCAAGATGTGTCGTTCTCACTTCACAAGGTTGGACTTTCTCGCCAACCTCAAGACTCGATCCCTTCGAGAGCTCAATCTCGAATGCAGTTGCGCAAAGCCCGCTATCAACACGCGTAGTATTCTCCACGCCCCATGCATGCGGAATGTTACCATGCTGGGCTGGTCTTGCGGTCCAGGCCTACCTTGGCAGACGACCAAAAACTACATAACAGACGATATCTTCGAAGACTACACGGTTCTACCTGAACTCATGACAATACGTCTCGAGGAGGAGAGCCAGCTTACTCACCTATTACAGACCCGGCCAATAACCCGTCTTGGCCTCGTATACTATAATGAACCAGCGCGGCGCCATCTTCTACGAGTCGCAGGGAGCTTGACTCATCTCAATATTGGAGTGCGTGACTCAGCAACCATCCAATTTCTTGAGGACGTTGGCCCCAGATTCCAGAATCTCCGCTACCTCGGGAGGTTAGCAATAGACCCGGTTACTGTATTACTACCTTTGCATACGAGTTAGCATCTCACGCTCTAATAGGCCCAGACAATGCTTCAAACGTTCCAAACGTTACGACCACTCGCTCACACACTGGAGGGGCTGAAACTGGATCTATGTCGGTGGGATGACTCCATGCCTGCCACAGCTATACTGGCGGCTCTAGAGAATCTGCTTCCTAATCTGAAAGCCGTTCTCTTTGATGGAGATGAGGTTGGGGTACGGTTCAAAGCAGATAGTTGGGCCTTCAGCACAGTTGAAGGAGAAAGAAATACTCTCAGTGTCTGGCAGACACTCAACGGGGATCTAGAGCGGATAATACTGAGCCAGGCGTGATTCAAATCGCCATCGTCCCGTTGTACTTCTACCGTCACTCCTTTCCTCTTGACAATTCCAGAATCAGTTTATATAAATTCTGTTTCCAAGTCGAGTACCGCGTCGCGTAAAGGTCCCGAGTGGCGGCTGGAAACGCGTCTTGAACTCCGCAACCAAACTCGGAAAGCCCCGAACGCTCTCCAAAAATCCTGCAAAAATGCGTGTTCATCCACGACAGCCCTTTAATGATATTACAAACACTAGAAGATCTTCTCACAACGCCAAACCTGTTTCAGTGCTCCCACCGACGCCCATAGCGCGACAGCAGACCAGGACACGCCAGCGTCTGCCGCCCGCTATATTCCCAACCAAAGCAGCCTCTAAGTCGCTCAAATCCCAGCCAAGGGCTTCATCGTCTTCATTACGCGCGTCCAGACGCGTCTCTCGGGTTTGTAAAGCGGCCACCACTGCATCGCAGCAGCAGCATACTCGCCTGAGATCACAGTTAAAGCTGAGCTCCCGCGATAAAGAACAGACCTCACATCCGCCGCGACGTCATTCAAGAACGCTGCGATGGCATGCAAAGGAGGCACTCGCAGACTTGCGGTTGCCTTTTCTCGCACCAAGCTCGACGGTGACAAACGGTATGTCAGATTTCTCAAGTTCTCGAATCTTACATGTTCTAAAAGGTCTATGAGGGCGAAAATGGAGCATCGACAATCACCTGCTGGGGCGTCATGGCTATCAGGCGCGGCCACTGCTCCCTGACGACTTTGGTCCCCTCCGTACCGGGTCATGGGATCCTCCGACTCTTGATCATTCTCCTGGAAACCTTGTACAGCCCGCCATGGCCATTTCTCGATTTGCTCAACTCATCACCAAACCGGGGTTTTCTTTGACGACGTTCCAAGTTCCAATGTCGTGGAATGTATGTATTCTGCGTCGGTCGGTTTATCCGCTGATTTGTCGTCAGATACTTGAATCGGCCCCATGGGAGTGGCATCCACGGTCGAATGACTGCTCTGATGATACTTGCCCTAATATTGGCGAAGAACTGCATCCAAAGCTCTATCTGCGAGATACGGAGGATGGTAAGTACATGAAGGTCCCTGAAGCGAAACGGAGGCCAAGTTCAAGCTGGACTCCTCGTTGTCGGCAAGAACCAATGTTCATTCATGAAATTTCTACGGCGTGGCACTGGCGGCCTTTTGTCAGGCGGCCAGACATGAAGCCCTATCACATGAGGGTAGATCAACGCACGGCCAATGAAGATATCTCCCTACTCAGCGCCAGTCTTCGTATGGTGAAAGCAACCACAGTGCCACGCTTAAGTGAAGCGATCCGCGTGCATAGCGAAGACGGTGCAATTCCAGAGCTGGGGGAGATAATTGCGAATTCCGTTGCTTCTAACGAAGTTATAGCGCATTGGTATGTGCATATCTCTTCGGGTGCATAGTCTTACCGAGATCTAGGTGTCGATCATCGCATGACTCGCTGCCAACTGGTGCAATTCGGTTCTGCCCAGCCGGACAACATCCCGAGTCGGCCATCACACTGTGCGCAGCGGAGCAGCTTCACGATGGTGAAGAAGTGCAGAACGTGGTAGCAAGACTCGCAGAAACCTTTCACCCTACACTTCAGCGCTTTGTCCGACAATATCTAGACACCCGACGCACGCCTGAAGACGTGATGCCTCCCTGGATGGCGGCATTTGGGATCATATATGACCATGATGGCCTTCTTCTGTATGCGTTCTACCCGTACTACAGGCAAGAGCGGACCCCGGACATTGGAGTCGATGGCGGTCATTGGGCTGCGGCCGCAGATGAGATTCGCCTCACATACGCGGAAGTCATGCAAGAACCTGTGGAGACCCGCTCGGACATGGCGCATCATTTTTTCGCCCTTCGTCAGCATGCTATCGAAGCCTGTATGCGTCTGCATGCAGAAAAATAGATAACATCATTCTCCAATGTAGAATACCGTATAGAGAATCGATAGTATAAACAGATCTCGCATTCATACGTTGTCAAGAGACGGGGATATTCCTTGTTTGATGCACCATGCGACGTCCTTCGCTTCTAATCGTTCCTTCGCGTAGAGTTTATCCATAAACTTTGCTCCCCATACCGCTTGAATCTCTATCCATCCAGAAACTTGATCATTCACGAAGAATGTATGGCTTAGGATGTGATAGAGACATTGAGCCACGCGGAATCTTTCGAGAGATTCTGGTTCTGTATCTCTCCAGCACATAGCATACTCGTTGCTGACCAGAGTGCTACGAGGCTCCCAGACGTAGTGAATGCCCGATGCTCTAGTCCGGACTTGCGTTACGAAGTGAGCATATATCTCGAACCCCGTAGGAGCGAACACAATGCCATAAGTGTACATCCAAGGAGGCATCGCTTCCTCAGGCGAGCCTCGGGTGTGGAGGTAGATTCGGACGAAAAGGTCGAAGATTGGAAGAGTCGTAAATGCGTTCTGCACGGCCTTGTAACTCGTTTTGAGCCTCTTCTTGGCCTCGGCGACCATTATCACCGGCAAGAGATTTGGAAATGCGTCAAGGGCAGATATACGAGCCACAACCTGTAGGTCGGGGTGAGGCGATATACCGAACTGCCGCATATGTGCAATCAAGTTCATTTCGGCATTTCTAAGAAAATGAGCGATAGAGACCTGGAACAGACGTGCGAAACACTCACGAGGACGTCTTGAATCCAGCTTTGAAGTATCCACTAAAGATGGGGCCAAACTTCTGTTCGACATTCATCTCCGTAAGTCTGGTCTGGGGGTCAGCCACGTCCTCGTCCTCACTCCCGCTCCCGCTGTCCTCGTTCTCAATCTCGTCATCTGATCCCCCATTATCGTTTGTTACAGTGGTTTCCAGAATAAGGAGCAATTGTCGGAGTGCTCGCGTATCTTCCTTGGACGTCTCGACCGCACCACGTAGATCACCGACACCAACAGCTTCGGGCAACCTTCTGGAGCTGGTAGCTGATTGATAGCGAAGCAACCCAGCTATATGCTTATCCCTTCTTCTCGCGTTTGTCAGTATGGATTGAAGCCGCATCTTGTTTTTATAGTATTGATAGAGCCTGCGAGACGTCGCTCGAATCTCCTTGTATTCCTTGGATTTGAAAACTGCCGCCATGACCATTGGATTCCCCAGTTCGGCGAGGCTGCCGATCACCTTCCTTCTGAGGAGCTCGGACTCGATAAAGTGCCGTGGCTTCGCACTCCCAGCCTCGTGTTGCTTCCGAGGGGGAGAAGCCATAACATCAAACCTGCCGTCAGCATCGGCTAATCCTTCCTCTTCCTCTGGATTATTGAGTATGAACGTAGTCGCTTGGGCGGGTGAAGCGTTTATTGGGTCTGTTAGGGGAAGCTTCTTGGGAATTGGCTCCTTCAAAGGCTGATGATCTTTCGGTCCAGTATTTGAGTCATACCATAGGAGTATATATTCAGCAACGGGTTCCTGGAAGGCTGTGAGACGTACGCTGGTCAAGTTAGCCAGATACGTACACCCCAGTGAGATGGAATAAGGATATTTTGTTCAAAGTGAGGTGATATTTGCTTCTGAGCATGTCTCAACGCGTTCTCGATTCGGCGGTGATTGTCGCGAGGAGATGGTGGAGCTCGCGCTGCGCCTTCTAGGTCGATCGGGCGATATGCGACAAGGTCGAGCAGCTGGTATCGATCACACGGAATTGGCTCTCCTTTACGAAGCTGGTCGAATTTCCACCCGATCGAAGCGAGTAGGTCGCTGGGGGCAGTTCTGCGCATGCAGTGAGCACTCTCCACTATCGGTTTAACGGGCACCAAACGCACGACGCAGAGAAATAACCTGATCCCCCTGTATCTCCTGATGGATATGGGAGTGGTTCTCCCTTCTTCCATGTCTTCTCCACTAGCTGTCGATGAGTTACGAAACCCAAGGCCTTCTGATGTCTATCCAGCTCCGCATCTGACACGCCGAAGAGGCTCTCAGCCATGCTGAGAACCTCTTCTCGCTCCTCCTGCGACATTTTGGCAACTTCGGGCTTATGGGCGGGCTCCGTCGAGGAACCAGAGTGAGATGACGAGGCCTCTTGTCCAGGCTGGATCAAACCGTCAGATTATGCATTCTCAATCCGAGCTGCCTACGTTATCCGAGACAGGTGGTCCTTGCATAGATTTTTGACGGCGACGCTCGAACGCGCGCTCCGCAGGGCTTGGTGAGCGGACTGGAGATTTATGTCGCGTCATTGGTCCGATAAGAACGTCGTGGGGAAAGCTCGAGTCCACACGTCGATTTAGTTGGTCATAACTATGGTAAGCTCTCTGGAGACAGGTCAAATATGCTCTCTAGCGGACATAGAAGCCTAAACACACTAAAGAATGGACTTGCCGGTCGACTGGTCCCGCAAGCTTGAGACATCAAATATTAGCTAGAGTAAGGTACGCTGATAGAAGGTGTTCACATACATCCATCGCGCTTCTTTGACCAGCAGATAATAAGCCAAGAGTTCCGTGAATTGACCTAGTGAGCTTGGGCTATCATGATGGATTGGGTCATCTCAACAGCAAAATCCATGGTGAACTCACAGTAATTCGACTGAAAAGCTTAATCTATGATCGAGGGTTGAGCTACTGCGATCGAAGGCGAGCAAGGCGACTGGACTTACGGCGGCCGGAGGGATTAGATTGGTGGTCAAGCTACTGGTGGGCCTTGTAGGAAAATTGGTAGCCTTATTCGAAGATTCGCCACCCTTCGAGGCTTTGATCTGTGCGTGGCGTCAGTCGACAACCTCAAATCAACGTCGGCTGGCTGGCCGTCACTGGCTCACCGTAGTCCTCTTTTTTTCCCACTGTTGTCGCCAACACAGTTTTCGTGTGGATATTCAGTGATACAATAAGAAGAGATTGCGCATAGGATCGTTAGTTATTGACTTGAGCGGCTGGTCAACATGTTGAGAGGATGGGGAGCTTACCGGAGGAAGTGCGAGAGCATCAGGACTCGTAGAGGGATCAAGACCCGGAGATACATCTGTCGGGGCTCCCTTGACTCGTTTGGTCGGCACCTGCTGGTGTCCCAGGCTGAGCTCGCGTTCACGCTTCGTGCCCGCCCGTTTCATGCGGTTATCCATCTTCAGCAGGCTCTAGTACTCTCTTTCAAAGCGGTTTCTCGGCGCAGTGTGGTTGTGGTCGGGGAGTGAAAGGCGAAAGCGAGGCGGACAGCTGCATGCCGCCTTTTATAGCCCGACTCGAGCTGTGGCAAAACACACCCAGACACATTCGCCACACCTTCTTTTTACAATGACATCTCGCTGTTTTCAGCCGACAAATAAAGCAAAGCTTTTGCTGTGGTCGCCGCCTGTAGCCTGGCTCCAGTTGGCTCCAGCCGGTCATTGTTCCAGCTTGTACGAATATGCACAAAGCCAACCATAATCCATGTTATAGACTGATTTATCAAAGAAACAGTGCATTGATGCCTCTGGCGAGCCTATATGCATCTGCGATTCGGGCACGTCAATCCATACGCGGCATGCCACGATTAGCCTAGGAACTGTATTTAGGGTGTTATACGGGATCCATACTTGGTCTGTCCAAACGATCAAGAGCAGTCCAAAAGATCAAGAGCCGTCTTGCCTTCCTGCGGCTAAAGTCTGCCAGGGACCGTCTCCCACAGATACTTTTAGCCGGCTTGACATATGAACAATAACGATACGTGGCCGCAAGAGTTTAGGCTTTGACGTGCTTCTGACGAGGGCTCGACCACTCGCTGACACACTGGAGGGGCTGAAACTGGATCTATGTCGGTGGGATGACTCCATGCCTGCCACAACTATACTTGCGGCTTTAGAGAATCTGCTTCCTAATCTGAAAGCCGTTCTCTTTGATGGAGATGAGGTTGGGGTACGGTTCAAAGCAGATAGTTGGGCCTTCAGCACAGTTGAAGGAGAAAGAAATACTCTCAGTGTCTGGCAGACACTCAACGGGGATCTAGAGCGGTTGACACTGAGCCGGGCGTAATTCAAGTAGCCATCGTCCCGTTGTACTTCTACTGTCTCTCCTTTCCTCTTGACAATTCCAACACCAGGTTATATAAGTCGTTTTTCCAAGTCGAGTACCGCGTCGCGTAAAGGTCCCGAGTGGCGGCTGGAAACGCGTCCTGAACTCCGCAACCAAACTCGGAAAGCCGCGAGTGCTCTCCAAAAATCCTGCAAAAATGCGTGTTCATCCACGACAGCCCTTTAATGATATTACAAACACTAGAAGATCTCCTCACAACGCCAAACCTGTTTCAGTGCTCCCACCGACGCCCATAGCGCGACAGCAGACCAGGACACGCCAGCGTCTGCCGCCCGCTATATTCCCAACCAAAACAGCTTCTAAGTCGCCCAAATCCCAACCAAGGGTTTCATCGTCTTCATTACGCGCGTCCAGACGCGTCTCCCGGGTTTGTAAAGCGACCACCGCTGCATCAGAGCAACATACTCGCCTGAGATCACAGTTAACACTCAACCCCCGCAATAAAGAACAGACCTCACATCCGCCGCGACGTCATTCGAGAACGCTGCGATGGCATGCAAAGGAGGCACTCGCAGACTTGCGGTTGCCTTTTCTCGCACCAAGCTCGACGGTGACCAAGCGGTATGTCAGATTTCTCAAGTCCATTCGACTCCTAAATGTTCTCAAAAGATATATGAGAGCTAAAGGATGGAGCATCGACAATCACCTGTCGGGGCGTCACGCGTCTCGGGGGTGGGCACTGCTCCCTGACGACTTTAATCCTCTCCGTACCGGGTCGTGGGACCCCCGACTTTACACCATTATCCTGGGGAGGTTGTGCAGCCTGCCGTGGCCGTCGCTCACTTTACTCAACAAATCACTGACCCGGGGTTTTCTTTGACGACATTCCAAGTTCCAATGTCGTGGAATGTATGTATTCTGTATCCATTGGTTTGCTCGTTGATTTGTCGCCAGATACTTGAATCGGCCCCATGGGAGTGGCACCCACGGTCGAATGACTGCTCGAATAATAGCTGTCCTAATATTGGCGAGGAACTGCATCCAAAGCTCTATCTGCGAGATACGGAAGAGGACGAGTGCATAAACGTCCCTAAAGCGAAACGCAGACCAAGTGCGAGCTGCACTCTTCGTTCTCGGCAAGAGCCAATGTTCATAAACGAGATTTCCACGGTGTGGCACTGGCAGCCTTTTGTCGGGCGGCCAGACATGACGCCCTATCACATGAAGATAGATCAGCGCACGGCCAACGAAGATATCTCCCCTCTCAGTGCCAGTCTTCGTGTGGTCAAAGCAGCCACAGTGCCAGACTTCGGTGAACCTATCCGCGTACATAGTGAGGACGGTGCGATTCCGGAGCTAGGGGAGATAATTGCAAATTCCATTGCTTCAGACGAGATCGCAGCGCATTGGTAGCGTAGTCTTCTCTCACAGTTCGTTATCTCAACGATACATAGGTGTCGATCATCGCATGACTCGTCGCCAACAGGCGGAATTCGGTTCTGCCCAGCCGGTCAACTACCTGAGTCGGCCATCACTCTCTGCGCAGCGGAGAGGCTTCACGATGACGAAGACGTGCAGACCGTGGTAGCGAGACTCGCAGAAACCTTTCACCCTACACTTCAGCGCTTTGTCCGACAATATCTGGACACCCGACGCACACCTGAAGATGTGATGCCTCCCTGGATGACGGCATTCGGGATCGTATATGATCATAACGGCCTTCTTCTGTATACGTTCTACCCATACTACAGGCCGGAGAAGAGGACCCCAGATATTGGAATCGGACATTGGGCTGCGGCTGCGGATCAGACTCGTATCAGATATATGAAAATCATGCGAGAACCTATAGAGATCCGCTCGGACATGGCGCATCATTTTTTTGCTCTTCGGCAGCATGCTATCGAAGTCTGTAGGCGTCTGCGAGCAGAGAAATAGGCGACACCAGTCTCCAATGTTATAGAAACGTATGTATGATTGATAGTGTAAAACAGATCTCGAATTCATTCGTTATTGAGAACAGTTATTCCTTGCAGGATGCACCACGCGACATCCTTCGCTTCCAGTCGTTCCTTCACATAAAGTTTATCCATTACCTTTGCTCCCCACATCGCTCGACTATCCACCCATCTCGAAACTTGCTCATTCACGAAGAGTGTATGGTTTAGAACGTGATAGAGGCATTGAGCCACGCGGAACCGTTCAGGAGACTCTGGCTCTGTCCCTGTCCAGCACTCTGCATACTTGTTGCTCACCAGAGTACTACGAGGCTCCCAGATGTAGCGAACAGATGCTGCTCGAGTCTTCACTTGCATTACGTAGTGAGCGTATACCTCGAAGCCCGTGGGCGCAAACACGATGCCATAGGTGTACATCCAGGATGGCATAGCATCATCAGGCGAGCTTCGAGTATGAAGATAAATCCGCACGAAAAGGTCGAGGATTGGAAGCGTCGTCAAGGCATTCTGCACGGCTTCGTAATCCGGTTTAAGCTCCCTCTTAGCCTCGGCAACCATCACGACTGGCAGGAGATTCGGAAATGCGTCAAGCGCAGGTATACGAGCTACAACTTGTAGGTCGGGGTGAGGTGATATCCCAAACTGTCGCATATGCGCGATAGCGTTCATTTTGGTATTCCTAGAAAATGAGTTAGAGACCCATATCTGAGGTGCAAAACACTCACGACATCGTTGAAAAGGCAGCCTTAAAATATCCCCTGAATATGAGTCCAAACTTCTGTTCGACATCCATCTCCGCTCTTCTGCTTGTTGGCTGATGCTGAGGCGCATCCTTGTCCTCGCCGTCCTTATTCCCGCTGTTACTCGTGTTCCCGCCCTTGCTCCAATGCTTGACCGCGCCTTTTTTCTCTGCCGAGCTCGATCTCATCATCTGATCCTCCATTCTCATTCGTCGCAGTGGTTTCCAGAATCAAGAGCAGCTGTCGGAGTGCTCGCGTATCTTCCTTGGACGTCTCGACTCCCCCATGCAGATGTCCGACGCTAAGAGTTCCCGGCGACCTTTTGGAGCTGGCCATTGATCGATAACGGACCACCCTAGCCAGCGTCCTGTCCCTGCTCTTCCCATCTTCCACTATAGATTGAAGCCGCATCTTGTTTTTATAGTATTGAAAGAGCCTACGAGACGTTGCTCGAATTTCCTTGTATTTCTTGGACTCGAAAACTGCCTCCATGACCATCGGATCTCCTAGCGCATCAAGACTGCTGAGCAGCCTCCTTCTGAGAAGTTCTGACTCGATAAAGTGTCGTGGTTCCGTCATACTCTCCCTCTCTGTTTGCTTCCGAGGAGGAGAACTCATAACGTCAAACTCGTGATCATTGTCCGCTAATTCTTCCTCTTCCTCTGGGTCCTCGGGTGTGAACGAAGTCGCTTGGGCTGGGGAATCATTTATTGGGTCTGTCAGGGGGAGCTTCTTGGGAATTGGCTCCTGCAGAGGCTGATGATCTCTTGGACCAGCCTCTGGGTCATACCATTGTAGTATGTCCTTAGTCACGGGCTCCTGAATGGCTGTGAGACGACTATGCAAGCCAAATTCCTCAGACACTTACGCTCCAATGAGATGGTATTAGAACAAACTCTCGAGAGTTAAGTGAGAATGATCTCGAGCGTGCTGCAATGAGCTGCATATCCCGCGGTGACAGTCGCGAGTAGATGGTGGCTCGCTTGCTAGATCTTCAAGATTGTCTCGAGTGGCTCGACACCCGATGATGTCGAGGGGTGGATATCGATCAAGTTGCTTCGGGTCGCCTTTCCGAAGCTGGTCGAACTTCCAACCGACGAAAGCGAGTAGGGCGCTGGGGGCAGTTCTGAGCCTATGGTTGAGCACTCCCCATAGGAATTTGACCGAAATTAGCTCACGATGCAGAGAAGTAGCCCGATCCTCCTGTGTTCTCTGATGAATCCGGTAGCGGTTCGCCTTTCTTCCACGTTGTTTCCACCCGGTGTCGACAAGTGACGAAACCCAGAGCCCTCTGATGTCTGTCTAATTGTCTGTCTGATACGCCGAAGAGTATCTCGGCTGTCTTGAGAACTTTTTCTTGCTCCTCTGGTGACATTTTGGCAATCTTGGCTTTATTGGCAGGCTCGGAGGCATCAGGATCAGAGTGCGAAGGCCCTCGTCCAGGCTGAACCAGACCGTCAGATAATGCATCCATAATCCAAGCTGCTTACATTGTTCAGGACAGACCGTCCTTGTATGGATTTCCGACGGCGACGCTCCAATGCGCGCTCCAAAGGGCTCGGCGAGCGAGCTGGGGATGTATGTCGTGCCATAGTTCCGGTCAGAAGCTCTTCGAGAGAGCTCGAATCCCCCACATCTCGATCAAGTTGGCCATGATCACCTTTGTTCTCTGGCGACCATTTGATAACCTCCTGTTTGTGAACTGCCTCATTCGAGGTGCCCAGATGATAGTATGAGAGCTCTTGCATAAGCTGCATCGAACAATCAGAACGTATCCTTTCGATCTGAATGCTTACATTGCCGTAGACAGGCTGTCCTCTTTCAGCTTCGTGACGGCGCACCACAAATGGTGCATCTAGAGGACTAGGTGGGCGTACTGGCCGTCTACGTCCTGCCATCGGTCCGATAACAAGCTCGTCGGGAGAGCTCGAGTCACCCACACGTCGGTCGAGTGGGCCATGACCATCTTTATTATCTAGCTTGACTAGGGCATCTAAAGGACTGGGTGGCCGTACTGGCTGTCTGTGTCGCCCTAACGGTCCGATAACAAGCTCGTCAGGAGAGCTCGATTCCCCACGTCGATTGAGTTCATCATCACTATGGCATGCCCTCTGGAAATAGGTCAGAAGACTCTCTCTAGTGGACATAGAAGCGGTAACACACCAGAGAAGGGTCTTGTCGGTCGACTGGTGCCGCAAGCTTGAGGCACGCAGTGTTAGTTAGAGCAAAGCATGCTGATAAATGACGTTCACATACATGCACTGCGCTCCTGTGACCAACTTCCGACATGACAAGACCTCCGTAAGTTGACGTGGTGAGCTTGGGCTATAATTATGGATTGAGTCATCTCGACGGCAAGATTCATGAGGAACTTACAGAGGATAGACCCAAGAGCTTGATCTATGATCGAGAGTTGAGCTACTGCGATCGAAGGCGAGCAAGGCGACTGGACTTACGGCAGCCGGAGGGATTAGCTTGGTGGTCAAGCTACTGGTAGGCCTTGTAGGAAATTTGGTAGCCTTATTCGAAGACCCGCTATCTTGTGAAGGTTTGATCTGCGAATGGTATCAGCCGACCATCCAAATAGACGTCGGCTGGCTGGCCATCACTGGCTCACCGTAGTCCTCTTTTTTTCCCACTGTTGTCGCCAACACAATTTTCGTGTGGATATTCAGTAATACAATAAGAAGAGGTTGCGCATAGGATCGTTAGTTATTGACTTGAGCGGCTGGTCAACATGTTGAGAGGATGGGGAGCTTACCGGAGGAAGTGCGAGAGCATCAGGACTCGTAGATGGATCACGACTCGGAGATACATCTGTCGGGGCTCCCTTGACTCGTTTGGTCGGCACCTGCTGGTGTCCCAGGCTGAGCTCGCGTTCACGCTTCGTGCCCGCCCGTTTCATGCGGTTATCCATCTTCAGCAGGCTTTAGTACTCTCTTTCAAAGCGGTTTCTCGGCGCAGTGTGGTTGTGGTCGGGGAGTGAAAGGCGAAAGCGAGGCGGATAGCTGCATGCCGCCTTTTATAGCCCGACTCGAGCTGTGGCAAAACACACCCAGACACATTCGCCACACCTTCTTTTTACAATGACATCTCGCTGTTTTCAGCCGACAAATGGCTAAAGCCTGCTTGCTGTGGTCGCCGCCTGTAGCCTGGCTCCAGGATGGCTCCAGCCGGTCATTGTTCCAGCTTGTACGAATATGCACATAAGCCAACCATAATCCATGTTATAGACTGATTTATCAAAGAAACAGTGCATTGGATGCTCTCTGGCGAGCCCTATATGCATCTGCGATTCGGGCACGTCAACCATACACGCGGCATGCCACGATTAGCCTAGGAACTGTATTTAGGGTGTTATACGAGATCCATACTTGGTCTGTCCAAACGATCAAGAGCAGTCCAAAAGATCAAGAGCCGTCTTGCCTTTCTGCGGCTAAAGTCTGCCAGGGACCGTCTCCCACAGATACTTTTAGCCGGCTTGACATGTGAACAATAACGATACGTGGCCGCAAGAGTTTAGACTTTGACGTGCTTCTGACGAGGGCTCCAAGTTCTGATGGACCAAGGTCTATCCGCTCTCCGATAAGAGCCTCTGGCTATATGCACAAAGATAAATATGAATGTGGTCGGGCTGTCTAATCATCTAAACCAAGTCGAGAAAGTCGCCGCCCCTCGCCCAGCTACTACCTTGAAGAATTGTTAGTACTGCTTTAATACTCACCTGGCTTGTATCTCGTATTTTTCAATAATATTCTGTCAAGGGTGCCAGCAGTCCGGACGCGGTGGACGCGATCACGTGATCTTGCACACAAATACGCCCAAGCGCGTCGCCCGTCTTTTGTTCCCGACCATATTGGCCATTGCTCTCCCCTCTTACCAGTACTCTCTCCAACCAACAACCAACTACTTTTGATCATGTCTGGACGCGGAAAAGGCGGAAAGGTCTGTTTTCATCGCGTTCAACGACACCAGCAACACCCAACTCACCGCGCAACAGGGACTCGGAAAGAGCGGTGCCAAGCGCCATCGCAAGATTCTGCGTGACAACATCCAAGGTATCACCAAGCCCGCTATTCGCCGTCTGGCTCGCCGTGGTGGTGTGAAGCGTATTTCTGGTCTCATCTACGAAGAGACGCGTGGTGTTCTCAAGACGTTCCTCGAAAACGTGAGTTAGATCAAAGTGGTCATTGGCGCGTCGCTAACAGGGCATGCAGGTCATCCGTGACTCTGTTACATACACCGAGCACGCAAAGAGAAAAACAGTGACGGCACTCGATGTCGTGTACGCTCTCAAGCGATCCGGACGTACCCTCTACGGCTGTGAGTTGGACCTGTCTCTTTCCAAACCAGCAACTGACCATACACAGTCGGTGTCTGAGCGTGTGTCTTCTCTCTGTACTTGTATTTGTAGATCGGTGCTATCCTATCGCCTTCTCACCCATCTATCCACTTGAACTTGAGTGGCAATCCAACTTTATTACGTGACCAATAAGATAGCAAATGATTACAGGGCAGAGTTCTTGCTCAAAGGTTTCTGTAATGCTGCCAGTACTTGCCCTGCGACTTCTTCCGAAGTGCTTCGGACCGTCAAACGACATAACTGGGCACGAGTTAGCACTAGTGGAGTGAAATAGGAGGACATGCATACCTTGGCGACCTTATTGGGCTCAACTCGTAGCAGACATCCCACTTTGCCTGCACTCGATGTATGCAAGACTCCAGCTCCAACCAAGTTGATTGGGTTCGGGTCGACGTCGCTCAGCAGAGAGAACCCATGACCCAGTAGGATCTTGCGGTTTTTTGCAATGTCAACATTGCCAGACTCGTCCAGGTTGATCGGAAACACGACCTGAGCCTCGCGTGGTGGTCCACCGATCAGCTTCCATCGCTCAAAGAAATCGGTCTGGCTGAGCGTAACGCCCTCGAAAAATTTGGTGACGAGAAGGGGAAGTTGGATATTGATCGTCGTAAGAGATCCAGCGAGGTAGGAAATCATAAGAACAGGAGAACCATCGAATGGCTTCTTGTTCTCGACATGAATGACGTGTTGAGCCTGAGTTCGGGATGTGATGGTATTGGACGGAATCTTGGCAAAAGTGATGGAGAGTGCATCTGGATTATGACCAGTGACCGTCGCAGTGAATGAAGTCAGGGGAACCGTCATTTTGTTCCCGACATACAGTGCAATACGACCGAGGTGACCGTGGTACTCCGACTTGATACCCATCTGAATCGAGGTGTTCTCGTACAGGATTCCGTCGTTGGACATGCATAGCTTTTCGTACCACTTGTCGATGCTTGGACTGGAGTCGAGAACCGGTTTTGGTGCATATACGATAGTAGGTGCAGTACTGACGCCAGAGGCGGACGATTGGCCATTCAGGTCAATGTCGGCGAGTGACATGAGATCTGGTACATCGCCACTCGCGTTCCCATTTGCGGCGGTATTTCCAGCTTGGTCTGCCGTATTCTTGCGAAGCTTTGCCTTCTCTCGTTCTTCGTTGACCTCCTTTCCACCAACAACCCAAACCCGCCCATCTTCAGTGTCACCGTGCTTCTTATTCAAACGATTCAGGAGCGTAGACTCGCGCGGCGGGAAAGGTGGCATCTCTTCACACATTTGCTGCAAGAGGTCGTCGGTCTCGCGGGTTGCAACTGCATAGTACTCGCAAGCACGCTGCTGCAGCTCCGCATCCAAAACATAGCGATATCTTTCGAAGACGTTGACGAGGTGATGCTTAATTTCGGGGAAAACGTTGACCCATTTGATATAGGTCGTGAGGAGCAGAGCTCTTGTCGGTGCTGAGCAATACGGTGACTTGGTGTGTAGTGCTTGAAACTGCTCGATCGGGCTGAGACCTGGGTCATTTGCCACCAGGTGACCATATTCCCCCAATATGTAGCCTAGCATAGCTTATAAGAATGGCATGCCGAGATTGGTGAATGGTGCGTACCTCCAATCTTTACTAGAGACTCGTGACACTGAGGTTGTCGGAGATGCTCGAAGATCGCACGTGCTGCATACTCCTGAAGATTCTCCGTGTTGGTTGTGATCTGGACAACCCTGTACCAGACTTCTTCACCGACGTGGTCACCAGCAGAGCTGATAAGTTGAAGGATTGTGTCGATATACCACTTGTATGATGTAGCGAATTTCTCAGTGGAAATGGCAATCTTGAGCACCATTTCTTCACGCAGCCCGTAGTCTGCGACTCGAAGATAGCGCAATAGCTCCCCGACAATGATCTCGGCATTGTCGGTGTCGCACATACTGTAAAGAAGATCCAGTGCTCGTCGCCGAACTGATACGTCCTTATCACGCAGCGAGTTGATGATGGTGGTTTGATGCTGTTTGATTGAGTATAGTGAGTCCGCGCGTGCAGCAAGATGCGCCATTGTGTCCAGACCAAGGTATCTGACGTTCGTTTCCTTGGAGCTAATAAAACGTGCGAGGAGCTCTGCCGCATCAGCGACTATGGGAGATGTTGCGTCGAGGTGGATAGCAAGTCCGATGGCCTCGAATAGAACTGCATTTTGGGCGTTGTTTTGCTGAACGTTGCTGGCGACTTCGACGGAGTTGTTGAGAATTGCTTTGAGAACCTTTTGCAAGACATCGAGCACAGTAGGATCAACTATGCACATATTAGATTTTGGAATAAATCGTCCATGTTTACCTACTTGACGGAGGATAGTATTGTAAGAGTCGTAAAAGCTTGACTTGGAGCCAGGGAGAGGGTATACGGTAGTAGGCATAGGTAGCTGTGTATTCACGATCGATGACGAGCTTTAGAGGCAGTAAGCAAAAGTAACCGTAGTGAGAAGAAGACCCACCTTGTGGAGACGGTCCACCGCCTTTTGGTAACAGAATGAGAACGCATCCAGATGATCTTGTGCCATTGCCATCACCAGACTTGTGACCGAAACCACTACACCAAGATCATCGTCGTCCATTATCGAGACGATCCGCTGAGCCCAGTCACTTGCCGGTAGGACTTCTGGATACTTTCGGTATAGTCGTAGTAGCGTCAGGGCGGCCTTCTTCTTCACAAAGTTTGGTGATGTCCTACGGTGATTGAGTAACGAACCAGACATCTGTTCGGTACCTACGGCGAGATGAGCAGTCGATGCACAGATGGACCAAGTGTTTCTGCCATCTCATTACTGCCCACATTTGCTATTGCGTGTAAAGCCAAGCAGTTGTTGTATTCATTATTCTCCTCCAAATCCTTCTTGATCGAGTTTACAACCATGAGGAGCAGCTCAGAGTGTTCATGTAGCATCAATGTCATCGCAAGATATCCCTAGAACGTAACTGGTTGAGCACGAGTTGCGACCGTCGCCAAACTGCCTGAGACGAGCGCACTCACAATCTGCTTTTCGGTATATTTATTGCTCGTGACCAGATTTGCGGCTTCAAAGTGACCAACGTCGACTTTGTAACCGAGAATGTACACGAAGATGAGTTTGGCGACATACTTCTTGCGCTGATACGACGAGAGCTGTGGATCTGGAGGGGCTCGCTCAGCTCAATCGAGGTTCCGTGGACAGCAGATACCTTTGAACTGCCTCCTAATGTTCGCCATCTCTTTATTGATCCTTTTCTCTTCGAGTTCCTTCACCCGACATGCTCGTATGTCCGCAATGAACTAGTCCCGCTGGTCAGTGCGTTCCATGACACAATTTGGAGTAAACTAGAGCTTGCTTGGGTTAGTCCACGCATCGAGGTCGCCATGATTGTGCGCTGACGAGGAGAGCAAGGCCAGGCGGTGGGATGGGTCGGAGGCAAGTTTAGGGAATTCAGTTTGTGACAGCCCTCGATTCATGATGCAAGTTGTGAATACGCGGGAGTAGGTATGATCTAGAATACACTGCATAATGTAGAGTCTAATCTATGCAAAGGCGCGATAAGAAGTCGTTCTGAGCGAGCTGGGGGTAGTAGGGCGAGAGCCAGTAAAGGGGCTGTTGTAGCCTGATCTAGGATATGGACTGGAGTAACCGGATCGAGGGAGTTGTAAGCGGCCCTGGAAGTTTGGGCTTCCATAAGCAGAGGGTGTACCCGGCCTGGAAGCCATGCGTGACTGGCTGAGCCTTTCCTCCGAATAGCGTTCCAAGATGCGGACAACATCACGTGTGAGGTAGTCAAACTCTTTAACTTCCTCTGGGTTGAGTGCTCTCGACTTGGGAGCTTCAACGATGGCATCGCTTTCATCCAAATCTTCCACATCGTCGTCATCCTCTTGGGTATTCCTAGACCTCAGTTCGCGATTTGGGAGTCGTCGCTGTTGGAATTGCTGGCGGTGATGGGCGATGCCTTCGAAAACTCGGAGGAAGCACTTGTCCATGCGTGTTTTCAGAGTCTGGATGTCATCCAAGATGTCAACGCGACCCACAATTGGAAGCCAACCGTCGCATTCTAAGCCGCGCTCGGTGACCACCGCGTTGTAGGCACCGAAAAGGAGGTAGGTCATGGGATCAAGTTGAGTGCAGCCGCGAATGAAAGTTCCCGAGTTGGCACTGCCAGAGCTAACGTTGCGAACCTTCTCGGCGAAAGCGAAGAGTTGTTTATCGACGAAACCCCCTCCGCTATCAGCTTTGCTTTCTTTCGTGCGGTTGTTGACACTGCCAGGAAAGACGAGGACATTCTACACAGTACGTCAGTACAAAGAAACGTATCGATTACACTCTTCTCACCCTCTCCTGAGCCGTCCGCAGAAGTTTCTCCGTCACTCGGATGGCAAAGTTTGGTTGTGAACCGATGGCGACGAGCGCAGCAAGCATTGGCAGCGAGTCGGCGTTGGCATTGAGCTCCGGTGGAACCTCCCTTGGGAAGCGACCATCGACTTCAACTCCACCGCCAGACACACTGAGCACGCCAGCACGTGCGAGAGAGTGAAGGAGGTGACCCTTGAGATTTTGTATCTGAAGGAGAACTGGTTTAGACAAGAATTGTTCATTGCAGAATGTGTTTGCTGCCGCAAATTGGCCGCTTCCTTGGAGATCCCACCAGGCGTAGTAGGCTCTCAAGGTTGCGAGGACGTCGGACCGGAAATTCTGAGGGCTCCAGAATTCTCTGGCAGCTTTCGCCTCCTTCTTCAATAGCGGCGGGTTGTTGAATGCATCACGGTTCGACATGATGGCCGCAAGAGTAAGAGCTGGATCCAGGCAGCGGAAGAAGCTACCATACATGAGCAGTCGGCCGAGCTGCACATCAATGGGAATTTGAAGTAGAACGCGACCTAGTGAGGTCAGGCACTTCCTTTCGTCCAACGCCCCAACCATTTTCAGGTTCTCAATGGCAGCACCAACGCGTTCGGGAGTGGGAGGCTCGATCGTCTGAGCAAGCACCTCTTCAACTTCCAACCCCGGGAAATTGAGGGCTTTGATGTGCATGACGACGTTGCTGAGATCGACCCGCTTGATTTCCACAGTCTGGTACGGGTTGAGCTTGGCCATTCGCGCAGAAGACACGAGACCGTAGTACTCTCCAGGGCGATGGCGACCAGCTCGGCCAGCTCGTTGATTAAGATTCGAGGAGCCAACCCAGGCGGAGACCAGGGAAGAGATGTGACGTTCTGGATCGTATCGCTGCTCTTTGACCTTGCCGGTATCGACCACGTACACGACGTCCGGAATCGTGACAGAGGTTTCCGCAATGTTGGTGGCAAGGATGATGCGTCGAATGCCAGGAGCTGCTGGCTCGAAGATGGCTTGCTGCTCGGCGATAGGCACAGTAGAATGGAGGAGGTGAATGGAATATTTGGAAGAGTCGGAGAAGTTGAGTCCAAGAAGGGGCATCCCCGAGTGGATGAGCGTTTTCTGCAGTGACTGGATGGTGTCCCAACCTGGCAAAAAGACCAACACATGTCCATCCTCGGATTTTTTGAGAACATGCGCGATAGACAATGCTACCAGAGGCACGGGAATATCGAGATCCTCGCCAGAGGAATCCTCCCGTAGCGGCTTGACGAGAGCCATTGCTCCAGGGAAACCAAGGGCCGCTAGTGCTTGGGGACCAGCCTCCTGTCCGATGTAATTGGCAACGCTCTTCTCGCTGAACACCCAAGAAGAGGGACCGATGGCCTGGGGCCCACCAAACTCCTGAAGGACTTCTTCAAGGAGCTTCTTTTGCACAGGATACGCACGGCCAGGGATCTCAGAGACGGGCGCAAGCGTGCCATCAGCTGCAGCAAAATATTGTTGGAAAAGAGTTGGGTCGATAGTCGCACTCATGAGGATCACTTTGATCGGGATGCCTCTCGCCTTTCGATCAGCAAGCATGCGCTTGATGACCATGAGCGTCAGGTCAATATCGACATCACGCTCGTGAACTTCGTCGACGATGACGTGGGTCACTTCATCAAACTGACGTGGGCCATCATGCTTGGCCATTTCGAGCGCTTTTTGCATGCGGTTGAGGAAGATGCCGGTGGTGCAGAACGTGACAGAGCCGTGATCAAGAGGAACCTTGGAGTCAAATCGGACTTGATATCCAATGGACCCGCGCCCAAGCGCCTCGCCTCGCTCGTTTGCGACACGTTGGGCGACGGAGATGGCGGCTATACGGCGAGGTTGGGTGCAGATGACATTGCAACGTGCTCCTTCCCCTCGATCAATCCATTGGTCTAAAATGAGTTGGGGGACTTGTGTTGTTTTGCCAGAGCCGGTAGCGGCCATGCAAATGGTGACATCGTTGGCGTCGACGACGTCTAGGAGCTCCTTGATTTTGGTATAGACGGGAAGACTTTCACGAGAGGCTCGCATTTTGGCGTGTTCCGGTGCCCTTCTATATTCGTCGAGGCGGGCCTTGAGGCGTTGACTCTTGTTCTCGAAAAACTCTGCGGAAGGCGGAACATAGGGGCCTCGTTGTGCTGCTTCTAATGCCGTGGCAGAGACGGAGGCGGGGTCATCTTCCTTGGGATAGTTGAGATAGAGCCCGCTCTCCTTTACGTCGTCGCAGAGGTCTCGGATCTCTCCACCCAGAACCTCACTCATTTGCAGTAGGACTTTGGGAGCGAGTCCAGCATCCTTTCCTGTCTTTGCGGCCTCTACAAATGCTTTCCAAAGCTCTGGGTCGCATTTCTCTAGGTATTGGGCAACGTCGAGATAAGACTGGACGAGGGCGGCCTTTTTGCTCGGCGCGGTACCGATACCAATTCTCCTGCCTCCGACAGTGAGAGTCGCATAGAATGGAGAACCGCCACGGCCTGCCTCGTACGAAATGTCTGGTTTGCCGAAATCGAACCGCCTGCAGTAATAGTCCATAAATTGCCTCGCACGTTCGAAGCTAATTTCCTCTCCATTGCTGAGGGTGGTGGTGGCGTCTGTCTCTTTGGGCTTTGGAATGACCAGCTTGATCGGATTCTCGAGCTGATGCTGTCAGACGTAGATAGTCCACGAATACACCTTGACATACCAAATTAAGTGCTTGAAGCTGGTATTCTATCGAGATACACGCAATCTTTAGTGCATCTTTCTTTGTTGGCGCGTCGCCAACACCTACAATCCCGAGCGTCTCATCCAAAATGACTGTACACCTGAAAAAAGGATGAGATCTTTTCACACCAACTCTCTCGTAATTTTACCTAAAATGGGGTGTTCGACCAATGTAGCCTGCCTGATATGATGCGTCTATGCCGCGACCGTAGACAAGTTTTGCGTAGTCTTGAACCACGCTTTTGGGCACCTCCAAATGTTTGGGTTTTAGCTGGACAGTGCCACCTTTGCTATACAGCTGCTGAACATGTTCGAGTCCGTGAAGGCCACCTTCGAGCTGTTCTGGCATTGGTGGTGGTGCGTGTACGACTTTCTTGGGACCTCCTCTTGCACCTCCACGTCTCGGTGGCTGGGAAGATCCACGAGTTCGCCCGCTATCCCGTGAACTCGACTGGGGCGGCGGGGGCATGTTGTTCTTCCTCGGTGGGGAGAGATTTTGGCTCGATTTATTCTTCTTTTGAGCTCCAAGTGACGCTGTAAGATCGACGTTTGACTCTCCAGAGGCTGCAATCTGCGAGCTCAAAGCGAGTGTTGGTCTGGCAGAGGAGAAAGCCGCACGGTGGACGGTGAGCGTCGAGCCCGTGTAGAGCGAACTCCTTCTAGCAAGAGAAAAGGCTCCACGCATAGAGCGTCTATTTTCTAATTCGTATTAGCTGTATATTCGCACCATGAGCTGGACTATATCTCCAACGTACAGAAAGACAGCACGGGACGACGTCCGCGTACCAAGTCTTGATGAATAAGAGTAAAACGTGTCGCAAATCACCAAAAAAATCCTGTCGTTTGTCTGCGTCTTGCAGACGTCGGTCGGTAAAAAGCCCAGAACGTGCACCTGCCACCTTTCCAGCTCCCGACTACATTTCTAGACGCGTTGAATATGCGTGTAGCAGCTCTCAACTCCTTCAGACTTCTCCCCCGGCGCCATTCTCGGCTCGTCTTTCGAGCTTACGCGACCGCGTCTAGATTGACAAGTCCGACGAGCCAAGATGTCGCTCACTTTGCTGGATTTCTCCCAGAAAGCTCAATAATAACATCTCTCGAGGGCTCTAAATTCTCGAAAAAGGCAGAATCAGCCGATTTGGAGCAGTATAATGCAGACTGGATGGGCAAATACATGGGGAAATCCCGAGTAGTGCTTCGGCCAAAGACAACCGAAGATGTGAGCAAGATTATGAAGCATTGCTGGGAGAGACGGATAGGAGTCGTGCCTCAGGGAGGCAATACTGGCCTGGTGGGTGCGTATATACAACACGTTTTGTCTCACTTATTGAACGTCAATCAGGCGGTGGCGTACCGGTCAATGACGAGGTCGTACTGAATCTGTCTGCCATGAACTCGGTTCGTTCTTTCGACCCAGTCTCCGGCATCCTCGTCGCCGACGCCGGTTGCGTACTCGAGGTCCTATCGCAGGAGATTGCACCTCACGGATACATCATGCCCGTAGACCTGGGTGCAAAGGGAAGCTGCCATATTGGCGGCAATGTCGCTACCAACGCAGGTGGTTTACGGTTACTTCGATATGGTTCACTCCATGGTACCGTCCTGGGTCTCGAGGTGGTATTGCCCGATGGTACCATCATCGACCAGCTCTCAACACTGCGCAAGGACAATACTGGGTACGATCTCAAGCAGCTATTCATTGGTGCAGAAGGCACTCTTGGTGTTATTACTGGTGTCTCCATTCTTACACCGCCGATGCCACAGGTAGGCCCATGTTGCACTGATCTTACACCGTTTTCAAACTTTGACAGTCGACGAACAATATTGTTCTGGCGCTCAACTCCTTTGAGAGCGTCTTGCCAATCTTCAAGAAGACACGGACTCAGCTTTCGGAAATCCTGTCTGCATTCGAGTACTTCGACCGCAACGCCTATAATCTCGTCGTCAAGCACAAACTAGGAAAATCGCTAGCTGAGGATGAAATTGGCGATGCATCAGCCTTTGTTCTCATCGAAACCAGCGGCGGCAACAAGGAACACGATGAAGCGGTATGTTGAACAGATTTTTCAATTCAAGAGCTCATATACTGCGCAGAAACTTCAAGATTTCCTCGAAGAAGTCATGAGCGACGAGTCTTTGGTTAAAACCGGCGTTCTTGCACAAGCTACTGAACAGTTCCAACAACTTTGGTCTCTTCGGGAGTGCATTCCTGAAGCCGTCTCGAAAGAGGGCAAGGCGTACAAGTACGATATTAGCGTTCCAATCACGACCTTTGAAGAAGTTGTGCATAAGACACGCGAACAACTGAAGAGCAAGAATCTCTACAAAATTCCTGGAGGTGTAAAGGAAGTGGTCGGCTATGGTCATATTGGCGATGGTATACACTCTTTCGTTGAGAGGAAGGAAAGGAGCAACTAACTATATATTCAGGTAATCTACATCTCAATGTCGTTGCCGAGAAGTACAGTCCGGAGGTCGAAGGCGCTCTTGAACCTTTCATATATGAGCTAGT